AAAGTCAAGGGTAGACGGTGAAGGGCGAAAAAGCTTCTTTCAGGGTCGAGCAGCTAGTTTCAGGACATGCTTTTTGATCCCTTTCATGATGATCCATGGCCATTGCATCGATACTGTCAAACTGTGAATGCGGTTTTCAGTCCAAGGTCAAGTCTGGCTCGAAATTAAGGCTGATTTCCTGACCTAGATAGAAAGGTGAAAATGAATCAGAGTCCGGAGCATTTTTACCAGAAACTTCCATCTATAGAGTTTGAAAATTCAAAACGAGGCGCGGGTAGAACAATACGGCGAAAGTGAAAATGGAAAAAACTATCAAAGCTTCTTGGGTACAAACTCGTGCTTAGAACATGTCTTGTCTATAAAATGGAAGGCAATACAACTCTCTCCTCATATTGAATCCTCATTAGCTTTCGTCGAGCCTAGCCACTTCCAATGTCTTCTACTAGTCGACAAACCAGATCCTCCAGGAGTGCAAGTCGCTCCGCAAGTGCAGCTTCCATCCATTCTTCGTGGGGACCGTTGTTGAACGGCAATATAATGCCATTGCGAGATGAGGATAGGGTAGGCTTTGCAATCCGATACTGTCACGCTAGTCATTGACTTGAATTTGCCAGGTCGATGGGAAGACGTTGGGATTATTCTTCGGACGTGATAACGCATTCCCTGAACAAAAACGTTTTGCTTCTGTCAACTCTCGCGAAAACAACAATCGTTTCATTGAAGTTCAGCGGGCCTTCAAATTCGATTATAATGCCGACTTCTATCAGGCGAAGGTGATCGTCGGAAAGCGCAAATATTATGTCGCGGGAACCTACAACCAGCGCTCGGTCGAAACGAATACGTCTCTGGAAGCTTACGGCTACAACAAAGAGTTCGCAGGAGACGTAGCCATCTTCTTCCATTCAAAGTACGAACCAGAGAGGTTCCTCGAGGCCCTTCCACGCTACACCAATGCGAACGAAAGAGAGATCGCGATTCGTCGTGTTATTACTGCGTGAGTAGATTAAATTGCCTTCGTGTAATTGCTCTAACTCAACGACCGGTGTGATGTAGGTTTTGCAAAAACGTTAAAGACCATGTCGAGAAGAATACATCCCTCAGACGTGTTATCAGAGGGTAGATGAGTTCGTGGCCCATAGCCTTCGCTCTGTTTGCTCCTCCTCGCGTATGTCCCGGAGACCTACATCTCAATTTTCTTCATCGTGTCTATTCTCTATGCTTCTTTTCCTTTGGATCGTTCATCTATCACATATTCTTCATGAATCGTGAATCTCAAATGGAGTTAAACAGTTTTTACCTTTATAACCACTGTAAAAATCCCTCTTTTCTTCCGACTCAGTTTATGCCTAACCGATGTTTCCTCTGCCTACTATGCCTACCCCGTTATATGTCTCAGTCTTTTTACCATTTCAACCGGCCAGTGTACTTAACTTTCTCCCATTCGTCTTCTCAGGCATTGACGGTGTCAATGCCCTTGTAGATACATGTTTTGCGTTCTTGGACTGGTTCCGCTCCGACTAAAATTCGATACGCGTACTTCCTTGTGATCGATATCGAATTTGCCTTTTATTTGCGTTCAAGTATTGGACTAATTCCGGTTTCTAACCTGGAGCAATCCATGAATCCGTGATCATGAGTATAAGATGGTTGCAATTGCAAAGACGTAGCAGATCAAGCTGACAAATTTAAAATGACTACGTACACGTGATCATGAGGATATTTCCTTCTTAGCCACGTGCATTCCATGGTAGCTCTTGATATATACTTACAATTTGTGCATCCATCTCTCAACTAACGGCTTCCTTCTGGTTTAACTGGATACGAAGCTCGCTTACACTCTAAATCCTCATCAAACTGCCATCGGGTCGCTGTCTTTGTTAGGTGGACTGAAACCAAGGTTTCAAACTTCACTCGGACACCAGTTGAGGCTACGAATCGACACTGGTCCTGATTAGATAGGAACAGAGCTTCATTAATTCTCCTGTGCAAAATATGGATCGTGAGTACATGTCAGGCTGCTGTTCACTAGTTCCGTCTCAATTCCATCCTAGTCGTGAAATGCCGTCTTGCGACCTTTGAAGAGACAGAAGCGACAGAAGGATTTACTTTGCATGCGGTAATTGATACAGATGTCTTTACCTGCCTGTGTCGCAAACCGTTCAATTTTCCCAAAATCCCTCCCCGACATCAACCTGTAAATCTTAGTCCTCACGCAACGACGTTGCCCAACTTTTATGTTCCCCGCTGGATTGATTCATCAATACCTTTCTTGGGATTTGCTCCGAGCAGTAATCCGTTCAAATTCCATTTCCTCAAATGTCTTGACTACGCTCTCGATAGCTTGCCTATCGTCAAGGACAACGATGGTCACTACGTTCTTAGATCGTCAGAACAAGCGAACTGGGATTCTTTGGAGAGAAATATGCGTGCGTTCCTTCGTGCATGTATGAGGGTAAACTCGTTGGCAGTCCCTGAAGATTTTCGACTTTGGCCTTATCCAAACAACTATGGGTATCGTTTACGGTGGAAGACGGAGATGGATGCGCGCTATGCAGCCATGCGATCTCGCCAAGCATTTATCCCTTTAATTGCATGCATATCCTTCTTTCTTCACTTGCTGTATCACCTGGAAAGTCAATGGGTCGACCTTGTTATATCTGCCTTCGAACACAATGCGAGATTGCCTAGCATTAGTCCTTTTTTGAGTAAAAGGCAACAGGAATACGAAAAACTCCGGAGAGAACCCTTTCCAACAAAATGGCAATGGAAAGAGCGGTTGCAGCAGCAAACCTCGATCAGTTCAGAGTGGCTTGAATATTTTCATCAGATCCTGGATCTTCCGATGGTCGGAACATTTGTAGATGCCCATACTTCTGGTTGTCTTCCATGGATTCCAGTTTTTCTTAAAGCAAAAATGCCCCTGATGTTGTACTGGGGTTCTATCAATAATTGGTCAATCCCCACTACGCTAGATCGTCTAATTTCTACACCTAATTCTGCCATGATAAACACTCTAATTTCGCAACAAACGCCCTATCCTCCACCCCCATCGTCCATAGAACAACTTTTAACGCGCGAGTTTCCTATCTATAAACCTCGATTGCGCTTGCCTCGTATCGATGGTGGAAGCCTTCCTCGTCCAAACGAGAGCCTTTTTGCTTTCATTCAGCGTAGAGAAGATCATAGACTCAAAGTCATTGCATCTGAGACTTCCACTGAACGTCAATCTCGTCTTCAACGTGAGGCAAATGCTGAGAAGGATCGGCCTCCTGGTAGGAAAGGTGCCCGCGTCTACTATTGGGACTTAGTCGAGGGGAACAGGGTCCGGACAGCAGTGGGGAGGAGCAATTACGAGGATATCTGGGAGAGGTATGGGTCGCGCCAGAGGCGTTATGATTCCGTCGCTGATGAATGGGAGGTGTGTACCGACTTTGACCCTAATGATGCTCCCGATGATTACGGCTATGACTCCGATGATGATGATTCAGACGGTTTCATTTCTGTCGGTGCTCATATAAACGAGGAAACATACCACAATGATGGGGCCATGTCCTCTCAGGCCTATCTCACTCGCCTTCAATCTCTGAATAAGTTACCGCATTCTTCGATAGAGTTCCACGAGGCCGTCGAAGACGTTGCTTACCACAGGTTCGGGTTTCTCAAGCAACCTATTGCACAAAATCGTGACTTTGTACTCAAATTGCAAGCTTGGAAAAAAGTCTTGGGCGTTTTCGGTTGTGGACGCCGTCACGCAGCAGTTAAACTTGACGATCATCTCAAGCTACAGCTATGTGACTTCATCACACGAATACTAGATGCAGTAGATCTCCGACATGCACCCGATGCGTATGACTTATCTGCTAGGAGTCTTATACGGCCTCCGGTTCCCTTTGAAGTTGATACCCTGTCTTCATACAATGGCCGTTACTTTATAATACAAGCAAAAGATGCGACAGATAACGAAGAATATGTGATTGCACTACGCAGCGCCAGTACCGTTATGGAAATCGCACGTCGGAAATGGGGTCCTCGAACTGAGGATATTATGAAGTGTTTGATCGAAGAAGGGATTCCCTTCAACACGCTCATGGCTAGCCACCCTCCTCATAGGTCCCTTTCGATGCCCTTCCGTAAGCCTGCAATGTTAGGCTTCCGCCCGGTTGGATTTGTTCCAACATTGCAAGACTATAGTGCCTACGAGCTTGTTCGCAACGATTTCTTGCGCTCTGCCAGGGGCCGTGCAGCGCTCTTAGCTGGAGGTATCATTGCCAGATTAGCCAGAGGCATTGTCGATGCGAATGATGTTTACGATGGCCCCACTGGTCATGCCCTACATGAAGGCGAGCAAGCACTGTGTGTCTGGGAAGCAGGCCAAACACATGCGTTTTGGGATGATAAGCTTACCGACGAGGAGATGGATCTGATTTGTGGATCATACGAGGTTGCAACAGGTTCATACTCTTTTTCTTTTTCTTTGAATTAAATCTAATTCTGAAGTCCTTGCATCCAGGTTTTGTTTCAAAGCAGGGTCAACAACAAACCGCGATCAAGTCTTGGTGGCCTCGTTCAGGCTCCTGGCGATCCTGTGGCCTAAATTGTGGATACTGGTCCAGAGATGCAGAAGATTGGTTCCAAAATCGTTTGGACCAAATTCTAAAGTCTCCAGTGCCAGTTGCTTTGATGACCAGTCAGGAATGGCATGGGAGATTGAAATTTCAGAGGGCCAATAGTCTTTCCAACAAAAATGACATTCTTGCTACAGAATATCTCAAGGCAAAGTGTAATTTACCATTGTAAACTTAGTTAGGGTTGCACTGTGCGACTAAATCATATACAGTTTATTCTTGCGCGATCGAGAGAATCGAAGTCTTTGACTTGCCAACTCATGATCCTTCTTAAATTTCACAACTTTTCAATAGATAGTGCATTTGAACGCTACATAGATATAAACTGTAACAACTAAAATCTGATTGACTTGAGAGTATTGCACAATTCTGACTCTACAACCTGATTACAGACAATGCTACACTGGCTAAGTCTCCGATCACGCAGATCATTGACCACATAATGGAAGTGCAGATAAAAGCACCGATGAAGATGACCATGTCGATAGCAAGTCGGAGAAGCCCAGACCTCTGTTACAATGTCAATCAACCGTGCAATGAATTTATAGCGAATCTTACCTGATCTCTGCCCTGAATTTGGGGGGCATTATATTGAATGAAAACAAGCAGCCCAACACTCAAAGCCGAATGACCAAAACCAGTCAGTGGTTGATGAAGAAACATAGTTCCGATCTTCCAGAGTGCTCTAATCAGAAAAAGCAAGTAACTTAAAGAACCTATAGTGAACAAGATTTTAGTCCCTTGCCGATCAAGTAACTAAATGCGTCGATGAAGTTTGAAGTGTAACGGAGAAGAAGTCAGTATACTTACAATCAAATCTAGGAGATTCATGTGTGGTGCTGGAAGACCAGGTTTGTCTTCAGCCCTATTGCCTTGATCTACATCGTTCTCTCCTTGATTACAGACCTCCTTCGATGCCTCATTCGATGCAAGAATAGCATGTATATCTGATAGTGGAAGTGAAGTAGTGTTCTGCGAAGACCGTCACTACGTACCACTGATACCAATACTTTGGAAAAATGACCTACTTTGTCTTCTTCCAACTTACGTTGGTTCCCTCCTTGATCACAGACCTCATTTGATACAGGCGTTACAGGAATATCCAGCACTGGAGTAGTAGCATTCTGTTCAGTGGAACTCTGCGCAAAATGAGATAATGAGATCGAATGAGCCAATGATATCCGTATAATTGATGCAGGGGAGACTAAGGTGAAACTTGCATTCATAGAATACTTCGACCATTGAAAGACATCGGTATGACCGGGATGCGGGGTAGGAGAAACGTTCTGCAGACAGATGAGTTGGAAGATCTAACAATAAATTTGAACTAACCAAAAGCATTAGGTTATGTCTTTCAGCGTCGCCCTCATCAATATCTTCCATCTCATTACTTCTATCTTCTTTATCCATCTTCAGATTGTCTTCCGTTCCGTCTTTGCTCCCAACCGATCTCGATTCTCTCGAGGAGGAGTCTATTTGATTCTACTGAAAGAGTTAAATCCAGTTCGATAGCACGGGTTGATATACGCACGTTCGCGTCAAGGGCACTGGACTCTGCCTCTGTAGGCCTGTACCACCCATCGTGGTCAGGGAGGATCGGAACTTGCGGATATGCACTCGGTGTCTGATCATGAGAGGAGCTCATTGAGAGTGGTCACCGCGTGTAATTCATCCAGCCAAAAGTCTGATGGCGTGATCATGAGATCTGAACACGTTCTTAACGTCGGAAATGGTCTTCCACAATCACGTCGATATCGGGTCGAATAGATAGCATCTAAGCACGGAGTTATACTCAGGTGTTTAGACTTGGTTTGGAGTAGAATTTGGAGTAATATTAAATCAACATCTAATTCGTGATCAAGACTGATCTGAGACAAGATATCATGTGACTAATGATATGCTTGATATGGTTTATCGGAGGTCATATGATAGATCTCTTCGAGGAATTTTCCTGTAGACACGTACTCCTTGTTCTCCTGATTCTCTATCACACACAGGCGATCCCACAGAGTCAAACTCAGTAGGAAGCCAGTGACTTCATTCTATTTCGCACTACTCACACTACCTGAGTCTTCGACTGGACGTGACCCGGATCTCTTCAGGCTTCGCGAACGATACGTTGTCAAAGTGCTATTGAGGACCCAGCTTGGCTTACCCGTTGCAGTCAACTTCAATGACCGGTCCGCAATTTTGGGATGCGCCACCTGTTCATTATTCAGGTCCACGGGCTGCCATCCAAGTCCCTTCCCATCCCGATTGAACCATACCCAAATCTGATACCCTCCATCCTTGGTACTTCTATGGATGTATATCGTCCCTAGAATTCTCGGAATCGGTGTTTCGGGGAGAGGAACATCCAAGTCAACCGGTGATTGGCTGTAATACCAAGCAGTTTCCCCTTCGCTTGTATGCGACCTAAACGAAACAGTCTGTAGCTTTGTCGGTCCATAGGTGTCCCCAACGATGGAGTTTGTTCGTTTCGACTTGTCCAAGAAGTATTTCGGGGCAGCTGCGGAAAATTTGAAAGTGACGGGCGTAGCTTCTCTCACCTCGGCAGCTGCGACGGAGCCTGCTCTCAGCAAAGTTATCAGTACAGGTCTTTCGCGAAGAAGGACTGACTGACCTGGACCAGAAGTTCTTTCGTCCCTTCGTTTGAGGGCTCCTTTTTGGGGTGGGGGTGTTTTTGCCCGTACTCGAGGGCTTCTACCTCGATCTCAGTATCCGTAGTTGCGACGGGAAGCCGATATAGATTGACTTACACCTCTTCAGCATTGGGAATATCGATGATTTTCTGGACAATCCCATCATCGTCCACAGCATAACGGTAATAGTCGTGGTTTTCCCTCCTGTACCAGCCCAATCGATGGGGCTGTAAACAGTCAGCGGATAGTCAGTTGTTTAGCCCAAGTTTGATTGTCCTCCTACCTTCAAATCATAGGTTCCGTCGTCTGTGACCTTGTCTGGGTCCATTATCAAGAGAGTACTTGTCCAACCCTACGTGATTATAATCAGTTAACTCTTCCTATCAATGTTGATCAATCCCCCAATTTCATGTGGAGCTGGCAGGTTGGTGTGCTCGTCCCTGAATCGATAACGCAATTGATAAGCAGAACACTCATCTAGTTCGTTCCAGGATTTCTCCAAACTCAAGTCGGTCCTCAAATGGCTCGCCGCCGTAGGGTTGATTCGAACGAACAGCCGTGTCGATGTCAAGAGTGTTTGAAGCACAATCCGGAAGGATTACTCCTTCCACGGTCTATCCTGAACACGCATCGACACCGGGAACGTCTCCGAGCCGCTTTATCAACCAGCGACGATCATTCAGAAGTGAATCGGACTGACGATCCAATTAATCCGGACAGTATAGCCAGTGGAAGTTTGCAGCCGGATCCCCAACCACATATCCGTGCTCCTTCTCCTCCTCCTCCTCCTATAATGGAAGTGGAGGATTACGAAGACTGGTTGCGATCAATCGTATCTGAGATAGGTATACGTCTCGAATTTCTATACGACTCAGAGACCCATCTGGAATTCGTCAACCATCCTTCTCCGAACCTATCGTTTGTCTCTCCAGATCCAGAAGCCTTACTACAGGTCAACTCTGGAGATTTCTGTCTAAAAACAACCAGCAGCTGCAACATGCGATTTTTGGAGACCGAGACAAGATTCTGTGGGCTACTACACCAAATTCAAGCCCTTCCACCGGGAGCACGTTTAAGAGGAGATTTGGATGTGGAGAATGAACTATACACGGCATTAGACAGGGTTCATCGCTTCAAAGGTAGACAGTGGAATTTGCAAGCATATCCCAATGGACTCGGGGGAGTCACCGTTAACAATAGTATGTGAATTTTCATTGTTGTTTCCATTAGTATCTGAACCCTATCATCAGCTCGTCATTTCACAGTGCTCGGAGCAAACCCTGATATAGCGCCAATTTTCATGGCTGCTTTAATAATCTATATCAAATTTCAGACACCTGTCCGTCAGATGCGAGTCATTCTGGCGTTATTACGCTGTATCGTCAGAGCATTGAAGAAAAGAAGCGAAGCTCATCCACCGTCCCAGATTCCTTCGCGGATTCCAAAGGATATTCACACCATCGTCGATTGCTATGACCTTGATCCCACCTTGCACGCCTTCGTAGCATGCCCAAACTGTTATGCACTCTCTCCTCTGACAGACCACGAACTGAAAATCGCGGAGAGTCTCTACCAAGCAAACCAACCTCTTCCCGTGTGCGACGAGAAGTCTCATCCAGACTCAGCACCGTGCGGAACTACTCTGTGGAGAACTCGCCGCATTGATCGACGAACGTTTGTTACTCCTATACGAAAACAGGTGTTTCAGGATTTGAAGGAATGGATTGGAAGAATCGTGGCTACTCCGGGAACCGAAGATGCGATAGCTCAACATCAACAAAGTCCGTCTCCTGCAGATGGTGATCCAGAAAGAGATTTTGTGGATTCCAAAACGTTTCGTCAATTCAAGGGCTCGGATGGCCAGCCATATGCAATACCTCAGACGGGCCCTTCTGGATCGCCGGACCTGCGACTCGTGACGAGCCTTGGCTTTGATGCTTTCAATCCGTTCCATTCCAAAACGGCACATGCTATCGTCCAATCCACAGCTCTATACATGGTAATTCTATCTTTGCCAGAACACCTTCGATATCGACCCGAGAACATGTTTCTACTCACTGTCATGACCGGAAAACCTAGCCAGCATCATATAAATTTCACTCTACGCAAGCTGGTGAAGCAACTACTTCCGTTCTGGGAAGGAGTCTTCTACGTACGCACCGCGCGCTATCTTCTCGGGCGAAGAGTCTTCATAGCGCTCATTCCTGCTGTATGTGACACCGAAGGCGCACATCAGCTTTCGGGATTTGCTTCACATAGCCATACATACTTTTGTCGACGATGCCTATTACAAATTGGCGACATTCACAACCTTGTTCCCGAAACATGGCTAATGCGGGACTCTGCCCAGCATAGAGAATTAGCTCTCAAATGGAAAGAGGCTTCGACGGAAGAAGAACGCCAGAAAATTTATGACGAGTATGGTATCCGGTGGTCGGAGCTCTTAGAGCTACCGTACTGGGATCCCGTTCTTTTCACCATCATCGACGACATGCATTTTGCGCAACTCGGCCTGTTTGAAACTCATCTCCGTGACATATGGCAAATTGACCACAAAAGTGTCGGCGGTGATGGTCTTTATCCAGAAGTTAAAGACCAATGGAAATTGTGCAATGCCAGTTTGCGCAATCTCCTGAATGAAATCCGGGAAAATCGACCATCCTTACAGACTCGCTTGCAGGAACAAAAGAAAAGGACCCTTTGGTATGTTTGCTTTAAGCTCGGGTTACGTACAGGGGTTCGCAAGAAGAAATCTTTGGTAGACCAAATTTTGAGATGGGTGAGTCTCGCGTTGATTATCCTCTTCGTCTTAATCATGTTACTACCGTCTAGCGTTTGAATTTTGGACGCGACAAGGTACCTAAAGTTCCTCCTTTGAACTACAACGATATACCGGATGCCTGGGAAGGCGATGAATTCATAGAGAATGTGCATCTTCATCTACCTGTGTTTCGCAATCAATTCATCTTCTAATATAGGATTCCGATGCTTTTTCGGATTCTGGGGTTTCTGACGCCGTATGTTCCGCCTTGTTTTCCGAATGCTCACACGGATTAATTCGAGAAGTCGTTTGGTTCAAGAGCTTCATCGGCACCATCAGTGATGCGTCCTGCACCGATTTTCGCCTTCACCAGAGACATAGCTTTCGAGAACCTCAAATCAAAAATACTCGATTTTTCAGGCAAACCCCCTTCACTTGGCAAGCCAAAACTCCAAACTCTCAAAGCACTATGTCAAGATCTGGGCATCCATTACAATTCAATCGATAGCAAACGAATTCTTGCTGCACGGATCATGGAATACGTATGTCTTTCTTTGAGCTATCGACGAACTCCTCTGAACATCAATGGAACAGCGTAAAGAAAATGGGTCAAACGATCCTGTGTTGATTTCGAAATTCGACCAGCTGCTTTACGATAAAATAAAGGCAAAATTTGAAGCAGAGGAACCTTCGAGAACTACGTTATTGAACTACGAGCACAACTATCTCGAGCGTTTATGTCAGGACTATAAGATCCCACCGTTTGATACTTCCGATCCGCCTCGAATGTCCAAGGATGATATGGGACGGAGATTACTACTTTGGGTGAGCCACAGTACCATCATTCAACGTAACATTGGCATGTTAATTGTTTTCAGCATCAGGAGTACCGGGACAGTCCCCTGAAACAGTCCCTACCCCGCCATGTTATTGGTAAGGACCTGCTGGAGGAGATCTGGGCGGATATGAAACGAACTATTTTGCCTACTTGGATTCAATCACCGCCTCCAAATTGGGGTACTCCTGCACAAGGCAAGCTTAGCGCTGATGAGTATAAGGTCGTATGCTCAATCTCACTGGTCATTACACTAATCCGGGTGTGGGGATACGGAACCGAAAATCTTCAGTCCCGTCGCTTCCAGATGCTGCTGAATTATCTGGACCTTGTTCATGCAATTCGCGTCCTTTTGCTCCGTGAAACATCTCGGAAGTCAAGAGACTATTACAGATCTCATATTCAGAGATATCTAGAGACTGTCCTGGTGTTATATCCCGATTTTACACTAAAACCAAACCACCATTTCTCACTCCATGTTCTCACTGACCTGGAAACCATGGGCCCAGGTCATGCTCGGAGTACCCCAGTATTTGAGCGAATCAACCATTCCTTACAAGAACTTAATGCGAACCAACACCTAGGTGAATTTTTACTGTTTATCATCAACAAATGTTGTACTGACAGTATATTTCAGGTGAAATCGAAGCTACCATGTTGACTACCTATTGCCGGCAAGCTAACCTGCAAGTGATTTTGAATCACAATGCCGATGTACGACAAGACATTGATGAAGCCATTGAAGCTCTGAAAAACATCGACCGTGAGGATCATCGCGGTATGTTTCCTGGAACGGACCACTCGGCTTGGTCAAGCACTGAGTTCAAAGCAACTGCCTTTTGGATCAAACATTCCACTCTGGATCGCATTACACATCACCTATGTAGGATACATGACCTACCCCACTCTCATTGGAGTTCCAAACTCACTCGCCAGGCTCACTCTTTGCAGGGCGTCGCAATCGGGCGGGTAATCTACTCTCATAAAGTTCGGCAGAATTCCGTCATTTTTCGCCATGAAGGAGAATTCCTTGCTGGCACGATCAACCAGGTCTTTACTCACCCCCATCCCCATCCTGTCACCCAGGCATTAATTATAATCACATATCTCGAAATATTTGTTATGGAAGCTATCGAGGAACAGGATGATTTGTATCGGAAGCTTCACTGCGGATGGTTGTGTTTGCAAACACCCACAGCAAGAACTCTCACTATACCATTGTCGTCTATCATCTCTCACTTCGTCCGGACAGACCTATCGCTCACTATAAGAGGAAACCCGGTTACGCACGTATATCCTGTCCCAAAGGTGAGTGGGATCCGATTTCATTGTTGATTACAAGTTCTAAATCTCAACTAGGTATTCTTTGACAACGATTCAGTAATGCCAACCCCGACCAATTGACTTCGATATAAGAGGATCTAAGCGACCAGAGAGGACAAGTTTCCGTAATATCATTTGGGATGAAAGGATCGATCTGTATCAACGTAACGAGAACAATAGATTTCCTTTAATTTTAATCGTGCCTTTCCTTTATTTCTCATCTTAGCCTCTGCTTTATGTTCAAGTTCCAAAACCTTTACAAAGGCAATCGCCGTCATATATAAGCTAGGGCAGCTAGCTTTCCCTCCGGAAACACCTTTGTCCATTATGAGCTCGGCAAGTGTCATCTCACTCACCTTTCAATCAGTCCTCTCAAACTGCTATAGAAAGTCCGCATCCTGTCATCTAAAACCCAGCACTTGCAAATTTTGGAGCAGCAGGTCGAGGCAAAGCATCGAGAGATTCTCCAGCTTCGTAGCGAGGCCCAGGATCTGCGCCGACAAGAAGAAGCTCCCCCTCGAAAGACACCAGAAGTCAACGTAAATATCGTTTCGTCTTCTATTGATTAACAAAAATATTCAAAACCTAATTAGATTGGCGTGCAACCTGAATACGAGCATGCTCTTGCTCGGTTAGAGAGAGCGACCGCATTGACGCGAAGTTTCCGTACCCAGATACTGGCTTGCTTGGATTGCGATCTGAATGACACGAAATATATAGACGCAATCATGACAAAGGAGGTTCGTACGATGCTTCATTTGCCGACGGGAGGACGTGTCGTAATTCATCTTCTAGTCGAAGCAATTCTGGGCTTTATTGGAGCAAATTAAACATTCGAAAGCAGAGATCATCATGCTAAAAGCTGTAAGTATTGTAATCTTGAACTCTCAAACATTAACAAATGATGCAAACGTCACCAGGAACCTTCTCGTGGTGTAGACACTAATCAAGACACCCCTACATCGGCTTTAACAGCGCTCCTGGAGGAACAATGTCTAGTCCTTTGCAATATGGCTCAGAAACTGAAAGGTTCTGGTCATGAAGATCGTCTCTTTCAGGAGTGTACCGAATTATATCACAAAGCATGTATGATTGAGTAAATGTAATTTTCATTGCTAGATAATGCTTGTAGTAGGGCTGCAGGTAGAAATGATAAGTACATTTGATTTTTCGACTGAAGGAGGTCAATGAATGTAATTCAGACAAAATATGGTATAAAGGTGATATACTAGGAGCATCACTGCCACGAATTCTCCCACCACTGAGATTATCAACCATGTAATCGAAATGCAGATGAAAGCGCCAGTTAGAATCGTCATGTCTATAGCAGTTTGCAGAATAACGGAATCCTGCACAGAAGTAAGTCTATGAGCATAGAAACATAACATATTAGACATTACCATGCCTTCAGCCTCGGCTCGAACTTGAATTGGGGCATAGCGCTGGACCAGTGTGAAGATCACAACACTGGGGGGTACAAATCCGAGAGCAATCGCATGCGGTTGACTTTGAAACATCGTTGAGACCTTCCAGAGAAGCTTTATCGAGAACAGAAGGTAGCTTAAGGCACCTGCATTGAACAGGATCTTGGGAAGCTGAAGAGTATCTAACTGATGAAAATCGGGTGGGTCATGCAATGTAGTTCAAAGCAAGTTGAATATTACTCACCGCGAAAGCCCTGAAGGCAACGAAGCGAAGACCACTCAATCTTGGAATTTCAGGCATAAACTAACGAACAGACTTGAAAGCAAACGTCAACACCAGGAAGTCAATGACCTACACCACGATTACTATTGTTGTCTCTGTTGTCCTGCTGAGCCTGATTGGCGCGAGTGGTCTCATTCTGATTTGAGAACGAGATTAACTACCAGAATGAGGACTCGCTCACTCGTTTTGATCCTTGATAGGTTGTCTCCGTCATGTTGTTGTTTCCTGCCGCTTTCTGGAATACTGTGAATGTTTCCTCTAAGATGGTCATCTACATGGAGCACTCACCGGTGAGTTGGTCCGCTTCATTGGGATGGCGTTCTCCTTCAAATAAAATGAGGAACAGCAAGGTTCATACAAGTACAACTCACCTTCCCAAGTGTTTTGTCGCGTTGAGAATCATCACGGTGGAGGTCGAATAATGCCTGCTGAAGGAATCATCGGACCTGTAACGATGCGTATTGGATATGACAACGGACTGGTTCTGCTTCCTCCACATCCATGATTTTATACCGCCGTTCGATCTCAGTAGTGATAGCTTTTAAGAGTGTATTTTGGGAAGGGTGCTCGTGGATGAGTGCGAAGGACATCCGATCCTCGTGTATGCCATGCGAGATAAGAATCATAAGATACTGCGACAGCGCGTGAATTGTTGAATCGTCGTTTTCTTGCCTGTGGGGCACAGAGGATGCGCAGAGATGTCGTTGAGCTTGGTCCGGTTTGAAACCAGGACGTAGCAAAGGCCAACGAGAGAGGTCCGACTTGAGAAACCAATTGCATTAATAATTTGATCCTTGCTTCGTACAATCATGTGACACCAAACTTCCTTCCTCTCATCCACATTCCTACGGAGTCAAACTCGGTAGCAGCCAAATATCGTTGTCGCCACCTGGACTCAGACCTCAAGAGGAATAATTGAGCTCCTCTCCCTGCCCATATGGATATACTACACTACAATACTCCACACTATACTACAGAGTGCTCTACGACTCACGAACCGATACATGAAGAGTCCGTCAAACCCTTCTTCAGTCTTTTTTGTCGCGATGAGCGCAGACACATTGCTCTAACACTCCAAAAAATTTCTCCGGAAAATCCGCCCTCAGCGTTAGATATGGAGCTTCTGTACTTGCATGCGGACTATGAATTGTAGATTTCTCATTGAAAAAGTGGAAATGTGTACGAGAGAGTACAAGCTCCCTGAACTCTGGGTGGCGTAAAGCTTGTCACTGTGTCCCCGTATCTTGTATTTCACATTTCATATCTAAATCCACGATTTCTCAATGATATCGCCTTCCCAATAATGCAAGAACGGTCCCTTGGGCGTTCAATGAAGTCGATTGATCATACGATGGTTATTGAATTTTCAGGGACAAGACTGCTGTTCAAGTCGTTTACAATGGATAACGAACGGAACGCGAGAGAAGAAGCCGGCGCGCCCAAGGAATGTCATTTTTTCGCGCCGACCAGAAGCCAAAGGTTGGGGACGAACAACATCACACCAATTGTTGAAGGTGTAACCTCCTTAGCATGTCCGATGCCAGCACCACGTCGTCCACACCACCTCTGCCAGTTCCGATTCTCCAACGACCTTTGGCCTGTGATCGTAGCCCTTGTTTGCTACAAGTCCAGGAAAACAAGGCGCGAATATCGTTCTCGATTTCAGTGCCTAGCAATCGCAAAGCGACGCTAGATGGTGACTGATATTGAGAGCGTGTCGTCATGGATCCGCTCTATCAGCACCTCTTGAATCCACTGCTCCCGCGCCTTTTCCTCGCGCCCTCTTCCTGTCCCGCCTCTTTCTCCAATACTCTCCCGTGTCTCTGCTTCGTGGAGGACTCTCTCTGTCGGTCCTCAGCTCCCAAATCTCACTTCCAGACTCCTCGCCTCCCAACACCGCTGCCAACGTCGCTCGGCTTTTCAGAACACAGAATGACCAGCCTACGATCCGCTGAACGACTCCGAGCTCTGTACGTTTCGCGAAGAGCGAGCGGCGTATCGTTAGCAGATGGGCCCGGATTTTTGTACGCCTTTGTCGAATACGGTCGTCATTGGAAAATCGGGATGACCGATAATTACGATCGGCGGAAAGCCGAATGGGATCGTCAGTGCCCATGCGCTGACAGGGCTTGGCTGCCACCCTTGCGCGTTCCGAGGAGGAGGAGATCTGGTAATCATTTGAGCTATCTCCTCTGAACGTGCTCATCCCTCTCAAGAATCTCTAGCCCACATTCTATTAGAGTTGAAGTGCTTCAAAAGACCTCGCATTTGGTGCACACAATGTATGTATTTCTTTCTTACTATGACATTCTCTGAGTTTCTACAATAAGGTGGTAGGCGTCACATCGAAAAATTCATATTCTTTGGAAAACAGAGACGCGTTTGGCGAAGGAAAATTCGGCCAGTGCTTGTGCGCGCTGCATTTTTGTAAAAGTACGTATATTTATTCAACTTCTTTTGATTTGCTAACTTACAACTCTCTCTTCAGACTTCGATAGTTCTAAATATTCATTATGTATACTGATAAATACTCTACACAGCGTAGACAACAGACGTGCTTTCCGAATTTGAGAAAAAGCCCTTGACCTGTGGTTCAGGAGTTACGTATTTCTTATATATAATCATCATCCCACTGACTGATTATGTGCATAGCTCTCAGATCGCCCGCATGGTCCACCTCACTCAATCAAGTTCATTGTTGCTCCTGTATGTATTGTAGTGGTGCAAATAAAAATTAGAGATAACCTTGCTCGATGAGACACTACGCAGTTCACGCCCGATATCAGCTTCGGCACACGTCACAACATCCCGACATCAGCGACATCCAAACGTCCCGATATATCGATGTCGGATACGTCCCGACGTCCCGACGTCCCGACATCGGGTCACCATAAGCTGGGCGAGCTTATTTTGAAAAAGCGCATGCTTTGCGCGAGGCTGTTTATATGTGAAAATTCTGAATTATTTCTGGTAGAATATTGGGCCACTATCTATACTAAGCTCTCAATTTTCTCTGTATTTCCTCCAACAGCTTTCAATGGAATAATTTTGGATAAAGGGCCCCCGAAAAGATTGATAAATCGGCTTGCATTTTGTGAAAATAAGATTGTCAATATTAGAGGTAAGTTTTTGATATAAAGTGTACTATATCGGTACCATAACATGCAAACAGATTGTGAAGAAATATTAAGAATTTTCGGCGCTCGGTAATCTGAACAATTTTGTACCAAAGCTCACTATAAAATCAACCTTTCGGTCGCGAGAAAATCGGCTCATCCCCGCAGTGTGATATCGTGCCGCAGAATTGGTGCGAAGGGCAAGATCAATGGCGGACCGACCCTTAACGTTTAACTGGTATCGGAGTGACTCATCCACGGATCGGACCAAAATTCGACCGTCATGTCCAGTGAACTTGCATCAACCCTTCATGCTGGGTCTTGTCTCATTGATACGCTCTCGACGCCACAGACGCAATTAAAATCCGCTTTACTACAGCGCCTCCAAAACTATTACAGCTGCTTAGGCTCTTCGTCGACTTTGAATGATTCCGCAACTTTGGAAAATGTTCAAATAAGAACTGCAGATGAAGCTCTTGTTGTGGTCGAAAAGGTGCAGCGATTGTTGAGAACAAATGCTCCTGATACCGGAGCTCCGCTTCTAGGTACTCGTGATTTGAACCAGCTAAGGGTCTTGCTTTCAATAACGTTCCGATGGGGCGTGGATCCTCTGCTTTCTCATGTCATATCCTCCTGGCCCAACACGTCTTCTTCCACAGTCCCAGGGGCCAAAATAATTGATCTGACATCGACTCCCGAGGATTATCATCATCTAGCTAATTTGGTCGCCCGCCAATTAACCCTAGTCTTTCCTCTAGGCATTCATGGAAACACGTCGAACACTCTAATCACAGAAGTGATTCTTCAGCGACACCTCCCTGATATTCTCAAACCGGCTATCTCGTTAGGATGGCTTCCTAAATCATTAGCGGTGGATACAATGACCCCACTGGATGATATTCGCCCTCTGATAATGCGACTCATGGCTATGTAGGTGCGTCCGTTATCCAGTATCTAGTTAGGTCAACTCATACATTTGTACCCATCAGGCTGCCCCCAGTCGAGTCAATGGTTGCCCTCGGTAGTGTTATGTCTTCCACAAACTCAGTACCACACATTCGCCGAACCTGTGGATACCTCATGAGCAGACAACTTCTTCGACCTGAAGGCGTCAAGGGTTTATGCGCAGCGGTCTTTGGAGACAGCGAGAATGTCGATGACATTCAACTCGATAAGTTACAACACATATCTCGCGTTTTGATTACGGTTCCTGCGGGTATGGTACCAAAAGTCAGTTCACGCACAAACCCTCAAGCCGTTAATTTATGTCTAGTTTCACTAGGATTACTTTTCAATCATACTACCCCGCCTAATTGATCTCCTACAGGAGAGCCGTTACCCTGCTTATAGGAGAGCAGCGGCTTTCGCATTGTCGCAAATGCTTGCAGTCAAAAACGGAACCGCTGCACAAATCATCTTGTTTCGATTTCATGATCTGTTTCTATACACCCGCCCGGACACAGAAGAAACGGATGTGACGATTGTTCTGGGCAACTTGACTACTGTGCTGACCAATTCTGATCCATCTCCCGAGCTCATCAGCACACTACTCTCACCTATAGTACGACCTTTATATGGTTTACTTTTCCACCTTGATTCGATTAGAACGTCAGACCCTGAACTGAAGGAGATGGTTCGCGGACTATTGTTGACCTGGTCCAGAATCACCTCCAGTTCAGAGGCAATAGATACCCTATGGACAATTTTCGATGACGAGGGGGGTCAATGGCACACTGATCTAGAAGGGGGTGTACGACGAGGCCCAAGGTGAGATGCTTCAAATACTCCTAATAGGTTCTATGCAGATGTCTCACACCATGCAGCGTTCCCACTCTAGCTTCGACGAAATTGTCACTGTTCACTCCTGAGACACTCAAGAAGGCAAATGAAGCCGGAGAACTTGACCCTACTGCAAACATACTAGATCTATACCCAGAGCCTCGTCATTTAGCAGTGTTCCTCAAGTCGATGAACCGGGATGACATTCTGTCCCAATTCCTAGTCAAACTTCTAGAAGGATACCGGGACAACAAGAACAGCGAGGATGGGAATCCAGTTCGGTTCGTGGCAAGTTTACTTTTCAGAATTCTATCTCGTGCTCACATATTATTCGTAGCACTTTGCTGTACCTGCAGTTGATAATGCAATTGCAAATCGCAGTTTCTGATAGCTCCAAATCGGCTGGTCTATTCTCCAAACCTAGTCAAATACTGACTTTCATTAAACAAGCCCTTGAAGCGGCTGCTTCTGCACGTCCCGAGCCCAATTACCAGAAGAAAAAAGTTTCGCTTGCAGGAAAATTTCAAATATCTGACCTCCGATTGAGTCCACAGGACGAAGAGGATCCTGAAGTTAGCGACGGAGATAGCGACGACGATCTTTCCGATTCCGAAGCTTTCACAGCAGACAATGAGATGGAAGAGACGTCAATCACTTTGCTGCTGTCTGTTCTCGAAGGTAAGATCTCACTTTTGCCAATCACCGTAACATCATTTATTGGTCAAATCCAGCCAACGAAAACTTGTCAGCCCGTACAGAGCCTATACTCAACGACATATTTGAGCTTCTTGAACCTCGTGTGAACCATAGTCCCTCCGCTGTGAGATTAGTCGCTCGAGAGGCCCGGATGGTCATGACTGCTCGTCTCGCACTCGGAGACGACGATGTTTCTCGCAATAATGCTGTAGATACACAAGCGGAAAGCCCTCGAGAGATCTATCAGAAAGCTCTCAAGTTTCTTCAAGATCCTATCCTGCCCGTTCGTGCTCACGGGCTACTCCTCCTCCGCCAACTCGCGTCCGCTTCAACTGATTCTGCGAAAATGGATTCAGCGCTCGTTCCTGCGGTACTAGAAATATTCGTCCAATCCATACAGGATGACGACTCATACATTTTTCTCAATGCAGTACAAGGACTCGCTGCCCTCGTTGATAACTATGACAGGAGTATTTTGAAGAGACTGGTGTATGACTATACGAAGCACTTGGACGGGTTGGAAGCGGGGAATATGAATCAACAGGATGTGGATACTCGTATCAGACTCGGTGAAGCGCTTTCGATGGTAATCCGTAGATGTGGGGAAACATTGGGGGCAACAGGTGGGCTTTTCTTGGATATCGTGTCATGAATACTCGGCTCATGCTCTTTCATCAGGGAACGTCATCATCCCACCTCTGCTCCGTGTGATACGCTCACCTACCGCGCCCACTACGCTCCGCACATCATCTTTGTCTTTGCTAGCAGACTGCCAAAACACGTATGCACTCGCGGTCTTACCGTATTTACTGGACTTGGCGGAAGGGATGATAGACCTTTTACAAGTCGAAACGACATCTACTACGGATAATACTACTACTACCAAGTCAGAAGAAGGACGGAAATTGACCATGGATGATCATCCTACTTCCACAAACACCAAGTTTCCTCCACTCAGAAGGGCCGCTCTTCATTTCCTTACTCTGTTGATTCGCGGGACTACGAAGGAGATCTACGAGTCGTATGCGTCTGCCGGAGACAATGCTCGTTTGTCTGTGGGGTTAACGAAACGCATGCGAATCACGTTAGGTTATATTTCTAACACGGATGATGATATGTTGGTCAGAGTCATGGCACGAGAAGCCTTGGAAGATCTAGCACATCTCGAGTTGGCGAAACTTACGATATGATTTCATTTCATTTGTGCACGTACATATATTATACTGTCTACCCCGTATCTGTCTCAACCGTGGTACGCTCTTATCAGCTGAGTCAATGAAGGGTACATTTGATTTAGGTTCGACCAACAACACCTTATGGTATGGTGGATTTAAGCCTCCTGCTCGAGCCCACATTGAATATTCCATGAAAGGATATGCGAGCTGAGAGGAAAAGAACCGATGAGCTCAGGAATTCTCTCTTAAGGAACATCTTGTGGTTGATTTTGTGAAATTATCCTCCCGTCGACGTGTTAGATGAATTCCCTACTATCCTGGCTATTTCATCTATACGTCGTCGAAGGTGTTTCCATTTCGGACTTCCTGCCAACAAGGGCCTTGAACTATCATGTACAGCGGAAGCGGGATCTTGGAGTACCAGGAACGGATTCGAGATAGCAGAATAGTACGCCATATGCAGAGCTTTAAAAATCTAGAGGGATAGATAGGTCATGAAGTGGAGATAATAATGGATTGTAATGATTTCTACGTGCCATATTGAGATCCACATCGCGAACTACTGCATCCGTAAGCGCTGCTGCAAGTACTATCTTGACCTGACAGAAATTGACGATTTTGATTGAGTAGAAGGAATATAGGGTAGAGTAAGCGCGTTCACTTTCAGCGGAGTTATGTATCCGTATACAGCGACATCTTCCATAGAATAGAGAAGACCAAGATAGCACTCCGACGACTTGGAGCTTGCTGAGGTTGTTTGAGCCTTCAACGAATCTGAGCAATTGAGTATTGCGTCTAACCTCGTTCCTCTATCACATCCAAACTAGTGTGTGCAATGTAGTGGTATTTGATTGCATTTTCGTCCTGCTTTGAGAAAGTTCGAATTAAGATTGGATGATTCTGAGGGGAGATGAAGGCCACAGCGTTGAGGCGAAGATTTGGTGCCATCGCCGAAAGAAAGCCTTACCGTGAGAACTCGTGCCTGAGTTGAGTATTTCCAAATTCAGAAGAGGGGCAGCCCAGTTGCAGGAGGAATACATACAGTAACAGATGGTACAATTTTGTTTGTTCAATAGTTTTCACCACCCCCACCTACTGGTAGTAACATGTTAAGCAGCTTAGGTCATTGCTTCTGTCTTCCATGTAGTGAGTGTCATCAGCGCTGGAAAGTTAAGTAGTGGACAAGAACCAAGCAAGGTACTGTCCACAACAGTGGAGCCTAGTATCATACAAGATTACAATAGTAGGTCTATGAAGTTTACAGACATGAAAACTCCATGGACATGATAATCGCGTTTACCATCTGCAAGTCTACCGAAATATCTACTTTGGCGCAAGCGTAAGAGCCTACCGTGGACTCTTGAGCATTCAATACTCCCCAAAATTTTAGCAACTATCACTCACTGCTTTGGTAATAAGAAAGATCCTTCGTTGAAAGGCGAACAATATCGCCGCAGTGAGTACACTTTGTAAGAGCTTGCTACGCATGCCTTTGTACAACCCTTCGATACCCTCATCTCTCAATATCGTCGCCAACGCATTCAGAGAAGATTTGTATTTGGTGGCGCCAGCTTGTAACCTAGCTTTGATAACGCTATAAAAATAATATGAGGCTATCAGTTTGCGACACATCGAATCATGAACGAGGAGATATAGGGAAATATGTAATCACATATATGGATAGGTAATCGAGGTAGCAACTAGCAGGTCCCGTTAATGAGCATCGCGACTGCACGGAAAGAAATTCTTAAACCATTACCCAGTTTTGATATTGCACCAAGCACAAAGAAATCCCAATCGGTCAAACCTCCTCTGCGTCGCAGCTTCCGGCGAGATGCCAAAATATTTTTGAGTTGCTCAAATACGGAATATTGGATGACCGGATTGACAACAAGGACTGTTCGATGCAACGTTCTCGATAATGTACCCCAGGAAAATCTAAGAAACTGGCTCGCCTAAAGCAGGTCCAATTCCTCGGAAGAACCCCCTGAGGCCAAGACCGACCATTAGCAAAGGATCTCGAGGGAATAAACAAGAAAAATAAAGCGCACTTCATCCCAAACTTGGCTAGAATATGTTGTACTGTCTCCAGAAAGCCCAGATTCTTGGTCTGAGTATTCGGATCCATCGTATGAACAGCTTGAGATGTTTGAACAACCCAAAGAGGATTGCTAATGATTGTCGTGGCAGATCCTATGTAAATGAGGTGTCGGAAAAAGACAATCGACAAAACACCCAATGTAGTATGTACCAGCAATCAGGCCTGTGAGAATGGACTCTATGGTGGTCAAGCCTTTCTTCCCGCCAGTCAAAAATATGCCTTTCGACCGTTCATAGAAGTAGTAGTATACTCTAAAGTACCAAAGAAGTGAATGGTTTGCGATGATAATTAGAAAAGAGATAAGTGCAATAACACACCCGTTGGTTACAGCTATTCCAAGTAAGCTTGAACTTAACCCACTGTACAGGCCCAGCACCCCTTCACGCTCGAGTACTTCCATGACAGCTTGATACACAGACTTGTACGACAGGCTTGAGGACCACAAAACATTATCCCCGTGATCATTCCTGACGAACCTTATTCTCGCTTTGCGTTTTCACGGCTGCGCGCGTCGAAAGAAATACAAGAGGGCTGGAGCAGAAGAAGAAAGTTAGAAAACTTTGTACGTTGCTTTTACTAAAAAATGCCGGACATACTATGTAGCCGTCATGGCCTTGAAACAGCAAATGATTGCATGTTATACAATGATACTTGAGGAGAAGAATCTCTCAAACACTCACCAAAACACCACCACCTGTGTAAAGGTGAAGTAATCGATGTATTCAGCATTACGCGAGACAGTGTCATCGGAAGTCAAGCATACCGGCTCCAGCCATTGCATGCATGATAGAGTCGTTCATCAGAGTCAGGCCTTGTTAAGAAATGAATCTATGTAAGCTGGCGGTTGTCGTCGAAGAATAATTCGAAGAACCATTTTACGTTTAGACGGACTCGGAGACTGGGAGATTATTCACATGTCATTGTCCAGTGTCTCACGTGTCATTACCCGTCCTTTTCATGTTCAACCTGTTATTTGGAATTATGTGACCGTACATTTACACTACAAGTTCACAAATCGTTCAGAAGGCTTTTCAACGAGTTGATATCAGCCTTGAAGTCGTTTGAACTACTGGTGCTTAAATTCCTTCCAGCACCCGAGTATTCCGCACCGTCTGATGCCAGCGCTCTATGGTCATCTTCCTTGAGCCAGCTATCTAGTTGCTTCTTCAAGGACCGAGCTTTGAGCCTAAAATGTGTCCTTATTACATCCTCGAATGGTTCCGGAGGATTTTGAAGCGCATCGATCATCTGAAATTCATCGCCGGTGAGCACTTGAACAATCTGTAAAGCTAAAGCTTCGCTTACAGCAGTTTTCACGACCATACGTCTGACATTGGCTGAGTCTACAAGCGCTGTCAGACAAGGAGAAGGAGGCAGAAAATGAAAACCACGTACATGCTTTCGACTGAGGTGTACCAGCATTTGAAGCCCATCCCGGTTCATTCAGATACGGTTCCTCGCATAGAATCATGGATTGTATCGATAGCAGTACTTGTAGTAGCGTGGATTTAAATGGCACCCAGCCCGGTCCAGTCCATGTTCCTAAAGGCGGTCAATTTCATTTTCGAGCATATCTTTCAATGACTTACCCAGAAGACTGAGGCACACCTTCGAACGACGGATAACGAGGAACAAATTAGATACATATGTATTGCAGCGTGTCGACCATACAGACCTTGCCATCCGCATACACTTGGATTCTGTGAGAAGCGTTATTTTTTGAAGACTTGTGCAATCACTCACAATTAGGGTTGAAACGATACTTGCCGCCTGAACAGAATGTAAGAAAAACATCCGCAAGAGGGGAATCGCGAAACAAATCTACTCGCCATTCGTTGTCATATATTTGACACTGTGAGCAACAACACGATCAGGTAGAGCTTGACTGTCATGAAGATAGAATTACCCGGGAGGAGATTGATTATAATTTGCCCCGAGGAATACATCAAACAGATAGCTATATGTTCACCGTTTGAACATTGCACTGTGTAAAATAGATACAGAGCACTGACCAGCCATTATGATACCTGAGAAGAAAGATTGTGTTTAGACTGCACAGGCGTTGAAACGAAACAAGAGCTTACGGGGTACCTTCTGGCCCTGTGATTAGACATTTGATAACGTCGACCCTCGCATCGTCCACTCTGAGGAAGATTGATGAATCCCAGGCCACCGGTAAATTCGTAGTGAGAATCGCCAGCTGAAATCACTTCGTTATTCATGGTATGCAACAGACATTGAAGATCGTCATACCTCCTTTGCAATAGCAACCGAGCGTTTTGGAATACTAGCGTTTGCAAGCATTCGAATTTCATTGTTGAAATAGTGCTTATAATTTAGCGTCTCGTCCGAATTATCTGTTGTAGGGATTGTGAGATCACAGTACTCGAACCTGCAAAATATTATGCAGGTGGTCAATCGCAAACGCAGATGTTGATGGGTAGCCTCAGAGCTACCTGCTCGATGTGGCCCACTTGACATACGCCTCCTTGGCATCTTCCTCAGTATCGCCGGCATCGACGTAAATAGTATCTGAAGCTGATGTGTACGCCTTAGGTAGGGATTCATGCATCCGGGTCACAAAATCATCGCCCTTAAGCTCTCGCAAAGACCGGTCAATTTGAACTGTAGTGGCCAAAAGACGATTACAGAAACCGTAAAGTTTCGCAGTCTCGTCGAAATTGCCCTCCGCAAGCGCGTCGCCTTTCGATTTCCCTTTATTAGCAACAACTGTTTTTCGCTTCTGTTCTTCATTAGGTTCGGGTGACGGATCCTCAGGAGGCTTTGAGCTTTCCAGTCCCTTGACATCGAGTCTGCTTCCAAAGTTCCAAAGAAAAGAAGCGAAAATACCTTGAGCGCTGCTTGCGCTTGAAGAGAGATGGCTTCGAGAAGTTCTCGAGGGCTGGCCGAGCCTTCGTAAATAATTTTGCGCTCTCGTATTGTTGAAGTGTTGGTCTTCTTCACAACAGTCTGTTGGCTGACGCTTCTCATGATAGGCATAGGCATCATACTGCAAAGACTTTCATGCGACGAAATCGTCTAAAAGACATGGAATGAGAAAAAAGTTGATGTCCGTATAAATGTGTGTCACCTCTAGCCATTCGAGCAGCTCAAAGTAAAGGCCGTGCCGGTCAGACATATCTGCGAGAGAATCGTTGCGAAGAAGTTCGCTGGTAATGAGATTGAAACGACGTCGGAGGTGCGTAAGGGAGGAAGGGCTACAGAGACGAGTCAGTGAGTAGTTCGGATAAGGCTTGATGCATGCTTTACTGTGGAAGATAATCAGATGGACGAGCCCCACCAGGCCGTTGTAAAGAAGGTAGGTAGACCCGGACTTCCGCAAGCAAAGCGCGGATTTTGGAATCCTTTGCAAATTGGTTCGCTTGAGCCTCTGCTTGGCCGGAACTCTACGAAGACACTGAGAAGGAGAAACTTGAATGGAATCATGAAAACTAACTCACATCCTCTTTCAAATCACCAGCATAACCTACCCCGCCTTTCGTCTTGCCCGATCCCGTATCTAATTCATCGTCATCGATGTCTCTGGTTTTTCTTCGCTTAGTCTCCCGCTCGGTAGTCTCCTTTATCTCAGATTCTTCTTTCTGTTGCTCAAACAACCTTTCGATCATGAACAGACCGACACCAAGAATGACGCCCTGCAGATTGGAACAATGCCACAGTGGGTCACTGGCATCTTGAGAGATCTTCTCTCCACACGCGAAACAGAAGTCTGTTTGACACTTGGGGCACCTCTGAGGTACTTTACTTTGCAGATGTTGGATGTAAGTGGAAAACTTGGGCTGGAAATAACAGCGCACTATCGGAATCCGAAATTTGTTGATCAAGGACGAAACTCACATAGATCGCAAAAAAGTCGCTTTGCTGACGTTTGACAGTCTGCCCACAACCAGAGGGACAAGGGCAAACACCATCCAGGTCGCTGAGTTGTGACTCCCCGAGCTGCGAGTACAAGGAGAACAGGAAGCTTTGTTCGCCACCCTCAGCACAACCAGCCATCCATCTTCCTTGTGTCATGACCTCCACCTTTTCGTTGATTTCTGGAACAGAGACGAAAACAGACTCTTCTTCGATTTCAATTACTTCCTCGCGTCGGTCTTTGGAGAAGAATATTCCTGAAGCAGGATCGTTAATCCATCCTAGAGATTCTTATTATTTCGGCGCACCAGCATAAGGGTCATTAACTTTGGAAGCCCCGGAGTCTCCAGGCATCCCACCATCATCGTCTGAGTCGTAATCTATGTAGGCATCGGAACCTTATGATCCATTGTTAGAGACGGCCTGGCTCAACAGTATCGCGTCAACACACCTTCATCATCCTCTAATTCTCCATCATCATCCTCTTTATCCATCTCGACATCTGGATCGCGACTCTAGATGACATGTCAGTTCACAAGTGCTTTAAAGAAGAAGAGCGCAATGCATTACAGTGGCACTTGAATGGGCTTGATGGGTACGTCCTGAGTCGTCCCCCGCCACATTCTCGAATTCTCCTTCAAAGAACTTTTCAGCCGCTTGCATTACGTCTTTGTATTTATTGAGAGCTGCGCGCGCCTGGGCGGCTGTGGCACCCTAAAAGAGAGCATGTACATGTTATACACCCTTTGAAGACGATGGATAAATGAAATGTAATGACCATTTCAACTAGTTGCTGAACTTCTCTGTCCATACTGAAAAGCCACTGGTTTTCGGTAACAGTGAGTGTAATTATTCGAGTCAAGTTGGTGAATGGGACGGTGTATAAAGGGAGTGACTAAGGTTTGGCTTTGCTAGGGTAACCCCTATTGCCACAGACTGACATCAGGCCTAAATTCGCTCTCCTTGTTCTCACAGTTCAAGAATAGTATTTCATGAGACTTCATATAGATAGTAGACTGCAAATAAGGCATGTGTAGCATAAGCCAAACGGACAAGATACGCGACTATAGTAGAGCCTCTGATACTCCGGATGTGGTGTGTGCCTATGGAAGATCAGGGCCAAGACATCCTAGTTATCCCTAGGCTACAACCTAGGCGTTCAATTTATCGTACGCTTCGTTGATTTGTCGGGTGAAGTCAGAAACGGTATGACCGTTCTGTAGCAGTCTCAGTTCGGGTTTTGAAAAGTCAGTATGTGTCCCTCACCTCACACTCCTTCCACGTCTCATCATGAACACAGACTTTCTCCCCATTGATGTAAATCGTGCAACTCTTCTCTAGTCCCATCGCCTTTCCGAGCGCGACACTCTTGTGAAATAGTCTCACTAGTATGTTGAGTTTAGCTTCCGGAGAGACGGAAACGAACTCACCTCCTTCCGCGCCCTTACCACTTGCATCTAACCCTGCGCATTCGCCAACACCGCTTGTCTCCCAATCTATCTGTGCAGTCTGAGCGCATTTCCTAGCCGTTTCCGGTAAGCCAATCTGTAAAGAAGTTGAAAGAAGAGCTAAACAATACAGGACCGGGAATAACCTTGTTTCGACCTGCATTCCATGCTTAATGGCATAGAATCCGAAGAGATTTCGACTTACCTTCGTAGTTATTGCAATGTACAAACTCCCACCAATTTGCGAACGGAGAGTATTTTGCAGCACATAATTGTTGAACATTTCCCGCACTAAAGACGCTTGAGCTTGAGCTTTCATCTATTACAAATTTTGAAACACAGGTTATCACCATTCTTCGGGTCCATGCATGCAGGTGGCACCAAAGTCGGGTTCCGACGAATTAATCCTGAATCCACGACGGAACGTTAGCAACAGTAAAGCAAAATAGATCAGAGAAACGGTACTTGGCGATGTATACCAATTTCAAGTCGATTTTCTCACCGACCTTCTTCAGCACGGCATCCATGGAGTTTTCACAAAGCAGCGCATCGGGACATCCTGGTCGCGGAAGAACGATGAATGGCAGAGATACGGTGGTCCGAGTCAGTAGCAGCTAGCTTTCCAGGAGCAGGACGAGAACGAACTGCTCATTACTCCCAAAGTCTATTGTTTGAGGTCAGGATAGAGAGTGATCGGCTGCAGTAAAGCAAGTGCACTCACTACTGGAACTTTGATATCAACATCAACCTTCGCGTCCAACAGCACATTTTGGGTGGCATCTTGTATAAAGGAGAGAACCGTTGCTGGTACGAGAAGAACATTTGCGAAGAAAACCAGAAACGTGAAAGCAGTAATACTAGTCATGATGATTGTAGTAATAATTATTAACAAGTCAAAGCGGTATATATAGTTGCCCCGAATTTGGGTTTCGATCTGGTTCCGATACTTCTTTCTGTGACGTCAGCGCTCTTACATAGTCTTCTGAACAGCACTGGCACAGAAATACAAGTTGAAGCACAGTAAAAAGTATCATTGGCTATCGTGAACCAGTAGCGGCGTCCCACAACTTACGCGCCTCCACGTCCGTAAATGGTGGCACAAAATACATACACCTGGATCTGAATACTGTAGAGGATTATAGACAACAATACCATGGGGTTGACAGCCTTACATACCATCTATAGAGCGTTGCTTTACTATCGTTTCAACTGAAAGTTCTTTGTGTATTTGGTCACGCTAAGAATGCTCCCGCAGCATTAGATTTACTGGATGCAGGGGTCCAAAACAGCATCACCTTGACTTCTTGGGAGTACTTTTCCGCGCGAGCCTTTCGTACTTCGCTGGGGCTGGATGTTTGACTGTCGACAATTTCTTGCTTTTCTTCATTAGACTTGTCCACAACCCCCACGCAGTACTCTATGAGCTCCTTTCTGCGACTCCAATTGGCTGACCGAACATATGGGTACGAAGGTCGGTATATAGAGGAAGGTTAAGGGAGAGGGGATACACACAAACGAGTTCTTGCCATAACCGCGAGCAAGCCTGTTCTTCCGCGGATAATTTGCTTCGACTTACTTTTTGTCGCTCTTGGTCATGCATGAATGCAGCCGTACGATTCAGGCGCTAGGTCAAATTGGAGGTTATGTAAAACATCCACCAGGCTCACAGTATGTAATTCCGCCACTCACCATGTTGATTGTATCATCGAGTCCTCGATAACTTCGTAACACCGCTACCAAATGACTCGTGAGCTCTCCAAACACCATCGTATGTTGCTTTAGAGATCGTGCACCTTTGAACATCGATAAATTCAAGCATGTTTCCGGTGAGACGTGTACAATCTGAGGAGTCAAGCTGGGAGCTTGAATTGCAAGGCTACCCAACTGTGGTGTGGAAGACATAACTTAGACAACACACACGCCGGCCCGACACTTATGAGCTTTTTCGCACGCTTCTCCTCAAAGCCCCTATGCCACTTTTTCACTACCCTCTCGCAAAACAGCGGGACCTTGTAGGACCTTGTGCTACATCCTCACGCTGGAACACCAATGCTGGAGGTGAAAAGAGACAAACTTAGCCAGCCGCACTGGGTCAGGAGTGGATGAGCTTCCCGGGGGAACTGCGATAACGGCCAACACACAAGGTCACTAGTAGCCATTCCATCAGAGCCGCCTACAAAGAGACATAAATCAATTCCGTCGAAGACGGGGGAGGGGCATCAACTTCCCGTGTTCTTTGTCTCGGAATTCCATCTGCTTTTCCGGCGGATGTATGAAAAGATATTGACAACATTAATTCAACGGGAAGGTAATAAGTTATCACAGGATGTACAAATGTAGCTGAGGCAATGATTAACCGCGAGGGAGTACAGGACAGAGGTTTACATGCGTGGTGGGTCCCTCGCGGATGAAAAAATACACGAGGAGGGGAATATAGCACCCAAAAGAATATTACAGGATAATCAGAAGGCGAGCAAAATCATACTCAAAACAAGAATCCAGGATGATAGGAAAAAAGTAACAACGGACTTCTGCCGCCACCCCACTGTTGAGTACAAAGGTTTGAGGAGCCTTATAGTTATCGGGATGGTCCAGTGGTAAGATCATAGTCGCTGGAAGGAGAGGAGACTCTCGACCTTTTCTTGCACCGGATGGTCGCCTTCGGAACATACTTGTGGACATCGATCTTATGTCGATGCAAGCGAGCAGGGTCGTTATATGCTTGTTGACATCCATCGAATGGACACTTGTACGGCTTATTGCGGGTGCTTATGACAATGAATCTGTAAGTAAAATTGTGAGATGGTAGAGGTTGCGCTACTCACTGTTTGGAAGCAACATGGACGTTCATGGAGGTTTTCTACAATATACAAAAATCAATAAGAGGGTCATATATTTTGAAAATAAAACGTACCTGAGGAAACCTATCCCTACAGAATGGGCAGATAAAAGGTCTGGGGAATTCGAGTGGTAAGTCAGTCATATAGTGCTCAGCGAGGCCCGAACGAACTTCAATTTCATATGTTTAGTTTCAACGTGGCGCTTCACTAATTGCTTTTTGGCTAGGTATTTGCAAGTTTCCCCGGGCCACAGGCAAAGATACTTATTGCTCCCCACATGTACCGCAAAATCCTCCCACTTTCGTGAGGAGTTGGAATTTCGAGGCGCTTTGTCCGTGGTTGTGGAGTCCGGAGAGCTCGGGCTTGTAGAACCTTGTGAGGCCGTCGTTGATGACGAAAAATCGGTGATGATTGGAGGGAGAGGGGTTCTGCGAGGGGTTTCAACCTTCGGTTGGGACGTTATCGGGGCAGAGTAACAAGAAGTTGTACGATCTGAGGTATATGACGAACATGAATGGGCGTCGTCAAACAGCTCTTTGCGTGTGCGAATGACTCGAATGCTCCTGGATATCGACAGTGAAAAGAGGACGGATAGAAAACGTTGGTCTGCTTACCCTAGAGGAATCGTAGAGTCATGAAAGATGTCGCTGTGATGGCTGTGTGGGTCGTCGATAAGCGGGAGTTGTCAATTTTCTGTAAGAATTCACTTACTCTTCGTCGATAGCCTCATCTTCGTACTCACTTCGAGTTCGCTCGAGAGAGCCACATTCGGAGATAGGCGTTGTGCAATGCGAGGTGGGTGCTGGCGAAGGGCAGCTCGACGACGGAGACCACGCTTTGTATTCAGACAGTGTCGACGCTTTGCCAAAATTCCGGAACATGCAAGGGTCTTCTAGTTTAGAGGAAGGCTTCAAGCTGGGCCAACTGAAGGTGGCGGTTGTGGCGGTGAAATTTCCGAGAGACGCTTCATGAATTTCACGGAAGCTGGGTAGAGAGACTTTCTCGCGGAATCTAGGAACGGTATGTGTTCAACCAACCGAATTTATCCGAATAGATATACGAACCTCTGGGACACAATTGTAGCTTCTTCTCTGGAAAAAGCGGTTGGCACAAAACAATTCTTCTCAAACAAAACACTGAAGTACCTTTGCGTCAAAGCGAAATCATGTCTGAACTCCGATTCAAGCCTGGATATGTCTTCCTGCATGCTAGGATTGAATGATTGGTGGCGGTGATCCCCAACGGTGGTAAAATTCGAATTCGAGGGTGCTGCGAAGGATGTCAGTAAATACGAAGCCAATGGACGATACATGAGGTTTGGGATGGTCGACGCCACAAAATTGTAGTGCCGGGGGGCGCATAATATGCTAAATAGAGAACAAGACTCACCTAAAGCGGAAGTGATGCAGTGGGCGGGATATACGCAGGGTTGGATATTCCTTGAGGAGACAAATGTATAATGTGCTTCTGGAAAGGTGGGGTGGAGAAAACAAAGGAGGCAGGGACAACTTCAGCAATTTCTCCGGTATTTATATACTCCGTTCACAAAAGGATAAGTGTTGGACGAGAAGGCGAGGCTAAGCGCTAATCAGAATTGTCTTCGCCACCTTACCAATTATCTATTGGATTTACCCTCGGAGTATGATGGTCATACGAAGGAAAAGACGCAACAACCTTGCAACAACCTGACGTTGAAGATGCGTGGAGATACCCGCATTTCCGGAAGGTGCATTTACAGTTTTGTCCATTTCAGGGTATGTATTAAGATTGAGTGACGGTCGAAATCGCAAGGCGATCTTGATTACTCTTCCAGTGCACGTCGAGCGACGAGAAACTAATATCTGATATGAAAATAACTGCCAGAATTTGTGGAAAGAAGCTAATCTGGGAAAAATACAGCGATATTTGATACAATCTGATGTAACAACATTTTGAGAAAACAATGGCTGCTTGAGTTGCCCAACTTTGGTTAGTAGTTTGAGTTTGAAGTCAAAGGACTGATACTCACATAAATTTAGGGCATGAGCGTGGGCTCAAAGGTAATGCTACTGGCAGATGCCTGGAAAGTCAGGTCAGAACTCCAATCATTTTCTTCCTCATCCGTCTCGCGGAGATCACCCTGGAGTATCGTTTGACTTTGACCTGGAAACAAAGCACCTGCCGGTAAAGATTTGGATTGTAGCATTGAGCGCGCGGTCTTTTTTAGGGGTTTCACGGGTCTTTCGGGTTGTCTTCCCACATCAATGCTCATAGATTCCTCCTCATTGTATGTCTCATCGACCGCTCCATTGTCGATCGGAGAAGCAGAGCGATGCCGTTTCCTCGGGGTAATCAGAGAGTTGAGTTGGTGTCCCCGAGCATCCTGCATTGCATCACGGGGTGATTGGAAAAGAGTTCCTGTAGACATTGCTTTGATACGGGATGCCGGCGTTCCATATTGTGGGTTTGGATTCATGGCGTAACCTTCCAATACACCTTCATGCGCAGATGTTCAAGAGCATGGATAATCAGGAAATGGATCCACGTACTTTTTCTGGTTCGCATCCCTACATTGCGTAGTGCAGCTGTAACATCAGGGGCTACTGCATGAGATCTTTTTGGACATTGAATTATGACCGTTCTCAGTTTCCCAAAGCATGCTAAAGGACCCACAGAGTAGCAGGGTTGTTGGAGGCCACATTATACGCGTGAATTTCGTCTGTTTGAACGCGCTTCGTAGACATGGTTTGTCCGTCGTTGTCGAGGGTAGACAAAGTATTCACATTGCCTTTTTGGGTTCCCGGAATTTCCTCACGTCACGGGCCGGATACTACACCACGCCACTAGGTACGCCCCAGCGACGCCCACCGAGCAATACAATGTAATATCAAGTTGCGATAAATTCTAGTCATCGATTATCGCGATCTTTGCGCACTCATGAGAATAAAACAAAAAAGGAATCAGCAGCGTGTATATTGTGCACAAGGTAACAAAAGATTTGACCATGCTTCAGAGATGGCCCAGAAAAGTAGTACTGCGAAAGGAGCTGGTTATCCAGGTAGAAAAATTCATAATGCAAGATAGATAGAGTCCAATTTTGAAGGATGTGTAAGAATTTCCCGCCAATGCAGGATTTTAGACATATATGTGCTTATGTTAAAAATTTCATGCAATTTACATACTGTACTTTGATCATGATGGAAGAAGAAGAACGGGATAGAGATGCCATATGCCCAGTGCTGTATCATCGTTATGGTTTGTGCCGATTCAACCGTGGTCTTCTCAACGTTGTTCCAGATAGAATTTCGAGATTATTATTAAAATTGTGAGCTATTGTTGACGTTTGCAACGAATGTGAGAGCAATAAAAACAATTCCTATGATGATTGTTGGTCCAAAGTTGTGGCGAGGGATTTACTGCTTTGTCATCAGGATTGGCCAATAATATTTCGTCGGCTTCGTTCTGACCGCCACGCAGCTCGCTGGCCTTCCTGGCCCCAGCGTTCATCGAATGGCTCAAGGTTGTTTTCTTCGCTTATTCTTCTTATTCCTTGCTCTTTGTTCAGCTGTTCACTCGCAATCCGTACCCCCTTTGCAGTACGTGTTCGGCTATGTCATCAATTTCAACTTTAATTTTTGCTTTAGATGGCTGAACATTACCAATCTGCTCCAAGGCTCTGCAAAACCCATTGCTCTCAAAGACGCTGTCATCGGATACGATTCAGATTCGTGAGGCCCTTCCTTCTTGCACGCGTATATTATCTGATTTGGAAAATTCTACTTAGCTCTACTGTGGTTATTTTCGGGGGAGAGTCTTCCAGTGGAATCCCTCAATCAGTCACCTATCTGTGCATTATAATTCACGTATCTGTGATCGCACTTACTGAATCCCTTGTTGCATGACAGTCTCGACACTCAATCCCTATCATGGGTCACAGCGAATTCGCCCACCGGATTAACTACGGCTCCACCCGCACGCAGCGGTGCTGTATCCGGAGATGATTTCGCTGCAAGCAAGTGCGTCGTTTCTATCCTTCGTTCCTTCTATGTATGTTCTAATCTGTTTCTCCTTCTCGAAGTCGTCACGGATTCATTGTCATTGGGGGTAAAGGCAACAATAACGAACCATTATCGGACGTTTGGGTGCGTTGACGAGTTTCGATCTTGAGCATGCATGATTCAATTACGAACAGGAATTCGACTACGGGAATCAATTTTGGACGCAAGTAACAATTACTCCCAGCGATGGCCCTTCTGCGAGGTGGGGTGCCGCGGGAGGCAGAGACATACGTTCATCAAGCATCACTGATCCAGTAATTCCAGGCAAGTTGATCTTGATTGAATTGTAAACTCGAACTTGATGAGTCCTTGTGTAGGACCCAATAATTCATTCTACTATACCGGCGGCTTTGACGGTAGCTCACTGGAACCGCTTTCTAACGTCTGGCGTTTGAACATCTCCGGTGTCCTCTCGTCCAATAATCCCACCAGTGTATCCGGGAGCTGGCAAGAAATAACCATCAACAACTTCAATTCACTGTCCACACAGAACCTTTCTGGTACCATGGTTATGGACTCTGTCGCTGTATATGGCGGATGCGCTACCACCTCGACCACCAACAATTCCTGCGCTACTCAAAACGCTTATTCCTTGGATATTGATACTCGTACCTCGACCGATCCGAATAACTGTCCCGCTCCCAGATTCGGCGCTGTGATGACACCCAATCTAAACAGTGTTTCGGCTACTAGCACACAAGTAATGCTTCTTCTCGGCACTTTCAATTCGTCGCTATGGTCTGACGATAGCGGCTTGGATAATGGAGAAGTGGTCCGTAATTCAATATTCTTCAAATATCTTGCGGTTTGACCAATTCTGTTGACCAGGATTTTTGGGACGTTGGTGCTGGCACCTGGATCAGAGTGATACCTTCGGGTGATCCTGGCAGCTCGGCCTCACATCCCACCCCACGCGAAGGCAGTGCTGCAGTCTCATCTGCTGCGCCGATTTTTGGTAACACTTCTGGAACATATTCGGACACTTTGGTAAGGTTTACTTCTTGTCGATGCTTCAAATATTCAAATGATATCCTAGATATTTGGTGGACGTGATCTTTCTGGCAACTATCTTGACGAAGTTTGGGTACTTCGAGCTTACAATGGCGCCGTGACATCTTCCAACACCAAATGGGCTGGTTTTGGCGATGGTACTTTGCAAACTGGAGTAAACGCTAGTGGAACTGGTGTCGATGTCGAATTCATCACCACTTGTGCAACCGCCATTAGCTCCGGATCATCTTCAGCATCATCATCCAGTAGTAGTCAATCTGGCTCTGCAACCTCCAGCCCTAAACCTTCCGGTAGTTCGAAACCTGAAAGCTCCGTGTCTACATACGATACTTCAACTGTTCACAAGGTCCTTGCACCACTATCCGTAACACTACTGTCTGCTAGTGTGATACTCGGACGAATATTTCCTCCTGTTTTCGATACCTCAATTTTGACCCTTCGGTCAATGGCATCCCACAGTTTGATCCTCCTCGTCTGTTTAGGGCTAGGTATCGCTGGCTTAGTTTCTGCTTTCACCTCCATTTCATTAACGACACCGACTTCCAACTTGAGCAAGCGAACATCCTCGACTAACTTTCATCTTCACACAGGTCACGGGATAGCTTCGCTTGCTTTTTTCATCGTCCTGTATGGCGTTTTGCCCTTGTTATGGTTATTGTCCGGGCGTTTCAACCGTCCTAGCAAAGCCACAGACCATATTGAAGGTTTGAACTCTGACAAACAGCACATAACTTCTGCCGACACAGTTGAAAAGACCACAAAGAGCCGTTCTCGAACCCCATCAAGACCTTCTTCTCCTCGAAGGAGGACTCATTCATGGGGACCCTCAATTCTTTGGCGTCCCAGCACTGATCGAGGCGACAGTGATTCTAATAACTCAGCTGATGCTCAGGCTGCCCTTACTCAAACTGATCCTGTTCCAGCAGAACCTCCCCGTACATTCGAGGTTGTGAACAGACCTCCACGCGTACGCCGAATGCCTATAGATCGAGCGCCCATGAGTTCGCTGCGAGATATCGATTGGCTTCAGCGAAGACGAAGCTTGAATACAGCTGTGAGTTTCTGTGTTTATGAAATGGACATCTAATGCAATTCTTATTCTTTCGTAGGATGCATTAGATTATGCGTTAACTGAAAACCAGCGTTCTCGCGAGCGGGCGCTTCTTTCAACTTCTGCTGTTCCTAATACACCAAATCATCTCAGCCCAACACCTGAAATACCGGACGCAAATGGCATCGTTCTTCATATACTTCTGCAGTCATCCATACTCGGCTTAGCCATCATATCCCTCATCAAACTATGGTCTTCTTCTTTGGTCGGCTTCATCGTCTTCTTAATCTGGACTGTCGCTTTCTATATCACATTGGTCGTACTTGCATGGAATGGCAAACCGAAACTTTCCATCTTGGCTGTTATCCTGACTCGACTCAGGGCTAAGCCAGCTGCGACAGCTCAGGAGGTGAACCAATACCTAGCCTCTCAATCACCACCCCTTTCAGCTCCCGACCATTATGCATTTCCACAAGGATCGGGTCCATACTATCATGAACCACCCTTTCAAGCTGTGTCCACAGATCTCAGTCACGGAGATCTCTTGAGTGTTGAAACAGATGAAGATGATGATGAGGACGAAGATGCTCGCCAGCAACGGATAGAAAGTGAGATGGCCAGGCGAGAAATTGTGACTGTCACGGTTCCGAGGCGCAAGCTTTTAATCGCGAATCCGTCGTAGACACGGTTATGCGCCAACCATATATATCTTATATTCGGTATACCATTTGCATGAAAAACATTTCAGCATTCGTTATTATCTCTTTTGCTCAACGTTATCATTTTATTTTGCTTAATGTCGTCGTTGTATGCACGCAGTCTGTATTATAATCATCATTATGTGGAATACTCATATTGACTAGATATGCTTGAATAGAAGAATGCGAAAAATGAGAAAACTTAACACCATATGTAATGTAATCCGCGAAAGTGGAAGGAAACAATCACCTTATCGATTATTCGCCTTCAGTAGCAACATCGTGCCTCCAGCGATCTACTCGTCCAAACTTGGCAGCATCGTGGACAGGGGGCGGTGAGGGTATCGGAATAGGGGCTGACACCATAGGCGGCGGCATGACCATGGGCGGAGGGAAGAATCCAGACATAGATGGATTGAAGAACATGCTATTTTGCATCTGCATGTTATTCATCATCATTTGGTGCTGAGCCATCATCTGGTATTGTGTACGGCGCTGTTGTTCTGGGTGGAATGCTAGTGGACGATCATCGTCTTCGCCATCTGCATTGGGATTTGGCATTATCCTTGAAGCACGTATTCCCAGAGGCTCATCGTCGTCGTCCCTGGTATCTGGTTCAGCACTGAGAGGCGAAAGATTATCAAAATTGATGCTGGGGAGACTCGGCTTTGCAATCAGAGTTGACAACGGCTTTTCCTCATCAGAGTCAGACTCCGGAGGAGCAAGTCGCGAAGTACGCTCTATGGCACGACCAATTGTAGCAGCCAGGGGAAGGTCCTCCTCGCTATCGTCGTCGGTGGCATGTATTTGAGGAGGGGGTGTTTGCTTCTGAGGGTATCTCAAGCCGATGCCGGTAATCCTACGAGGCCCATCTTTGTCCTCGTCCGAATCGGCATACCAGCCTTCCGCTTGAGAGGATTGAACAACTCGCCCTCCAACACTTTCCTCGCTATCAGAAACCTCGTCATCAATGACAGGAGGGGGACCTCTTATAGCTGGTATGGTTGGTAATACAGGTGGTCCAGACGAGACGACAGATTCTGCAGGAGTATCCTCTAGAACAGAACGCCCCGCTACGGAAGGTGAAAGATCTGGTACTGGGCTTGCGAACTCTGAACCTTGGCCCTTTTTGCCCTTCTTTTTCTTCTTCTTCCCCCCATTTTTCAACGCCTCGGTTTCTTCTATGGCCTGCTGGCGTTCTCGTTCAAACGCCTCCTGCGCTTCTATTTCACGCAGCTTAGCCATTTCTCGCTCCCATAGAGTGTCAACACCGAAGACTGAACGATTCGGAGGACCTTTGTTAACCGCGACCGTTGGCACTTTGCCGTCGTCGTCAAAATTGAGCAACGGCCCAGCATGTCTAGAGTTACGACGAGCCATCCCACTAGTTGGCTCGAAGGAACTGGCCCGTATATTTACGGGATGGTCTTGTAATGTAGCTGGGTCAATGAGTGTGCTTGAACGGGCGAGAGGAGTTCGTGCCATCATTGACGGCCTGTCGTCACCTCTGAAGACACTATATGATGTCAATTTTAGTTTGCAAATGAGCAATAAACAGATAAAACTGTATATACCGTTGTTTTGATTTCATTCCAGCCTTACGATTTTCTAGATCATCGATAAGGCTTTTGCCGTAGAGCTTTCCAGCAGGCCTATGTGGGCTAGTAGCATGCTCTGAAGGTATTGGAAGATTCATTTCCATTTCCATGGTCGGTGTTGTTGACAACTTCGCTTGCTCTCCATCCTCTAAGGCACGCGGAAGGTCTCCGTCGATGTCGTTGTAAGCAATATCTCGCTGGCCTCCGACAGTTAGGTTATTCCGGAAAGTAAGTTGAGAAAGAGAAAGATTCAGACGAGGGTTAGGAGTAAAGGAATTTGAAGGCACAGGAACAGTAGAACTTCCGATATTGGGAATTCTCATGGGAGTACGTGCGCCAGGAGGCATGGGCGGGGCGTCTGCTAGCGTAAAACCATCCCTTCCTTTTGGTGGAGGCGGAGGGGCATTTGCGGATTGCAGGGGACTAGGCATAACCAGTACTTTAGGCCTAAGCAGCTCCATAGTAGTCGAGTAGCGGCTCTCCAGAGGAGGCCTGCCGGTCATAACGGAAGCGCCATCGTTCTCCAAAAGCATGCGCGAGCCTAGAGACGCATTCGACACAGTACGTGCATGAGCGGCAGCTTTGGGATCGAATCTAGAAGCACGGGATGGAGGTGCGATTGTAAACGGATTGTCATCTGTTGGTTCCATAGTTCCATTGGAAGTTGTACGAAGACGAGGAGCACTCATAGCCATTTTAGACTCAAAGCTAGCAGTGGAGTAAGTTCTACGATGATCCAAGGTCATCGGAGAAGGACTGCGAACAGAGGTAGTGGGGAAAGGGATAGAACCCATGGCTGGATGCGATTCTTCAAATGCGAGCCCGTCATAAGCGAGACTATCATAGCCAAGGCTCTGGGAGGTGGAGGCGACTGGCCGTTGGAAGGAGGCAGGAATTTCCATTGCAGACAGATCCAATGGTGACCCGATAGACTTCCGCCTCACTTCCTCCGCAGGTGACAGAAAGTCATAATTACCGACGCTCATAGAGCGTGTGGTTCGCGGGCGGCGATGAACCTCACCGAGTACATCGTTAGTCTTCGGAAAATGGGCTTGCACGGCGGAAAGAGGCTGAGCTGAAGGAAGCGACTTGGCTTTGCCCTTGCCTTTTCCACTCTTGTCTTTGGACATGAAGGCGTCCAATCCCCAGGAGGTCAGGTCCAGGTCCATTTCTCCTGCCTCCTCCTGTACCTCCTGCTCCTCAGCTTCTTCCTCGAAATGATCATCCGCGCCAAATGGATTTCGAAGGGGTCCAATTGTAGATCCTCTTGACTTTCGTTTCCCATCAAGAACAGAGTCTGTTTCACTGGGAAGAGGTACTCCAAGATAGTCACTTTTCCGCTGGGAGACTTGTGGTCGAGCTGGATTGCGTCGGAGGTGTGCGAAAATGGCGCTTTCATGTGCAGATCGGTAAGGCGCAGAGGGGTCCGATGGATCGTTGTCGTATTCTGGCCAAGAGATTGAGCATGTATACTATATAATGGATAGATAATATGCAAAGCGTACCTAAAAGTGCTGCAGCTAACTGCAGGCGGGAGAACGGAGCAGCCATTTCACAACCCCCCTCAAAGTCTGGTAGTGTCAGATAGTTATTTCGCCACGTGGGTCAAGCGCCCGCAACTTTGGGTTTCTAAGAGTCTTATTTGGTAAAAGTAACTTTATTTCAATTTTACTTGTTGACGAAGTCGAAGTACAAAATCCAGTTCATTTAAATTACTCCAAAAATATCCTTCTGAATTCAATCTCGTGAGGCTACAAGGACTACAGTTCATCGCGAGGAGCGACGACATTGCCTTCCTCGTCTATCTCCTCCATCTCAATGGAAAGCTGAAACCAGTACGACGTCAGTAAAGTCATCAGCAAACAGATAGCGATGCATACATCATCCTGCATATGTGGGGGAACATATACTCCTGCCTTTCCGTCCTCCGGGGGCATCTGGTACAATTCCTCGAATGCAGGAAGCTCAGGGTCCACAGGAGGAGCAGGTTTTACTGTGTCGTCTGTAGGTGCATGTTCTGAGACACCCAAGGATCTTCTCAGCACGCGGTCGACTCTTCCGAAGAAACTACAGGAAGTTGATGAAAAGCCCGTAAACTAATTGCGGTTGTACTCACTCATTTGTACTCGGTACCTCAAAACCGGAACGGATAAGCGCGCCATCGAGAAGAATAGATGCAACCTCTTCGAGTTCTTCCTCGGCTTCAACATCCCTCCCTTCTTCCTCAGTGGGGAGTGCTTCAACCTTCTTGAGGAGACCTTCGATTAAAGGAGACCTAGGGTTAATTTCGAGTACTCTGGCTTTCATAGCGAAATCGTGCATGGGATTCTTTCCTGCACCTGGGTTTGAGGCTGTGGAAAGAAATATTCATACAGGCTACTGTGAAGTAAGCAAAGACAAAACCGACTGACCCATCATTCGCTGAACGTTAGCAGTGTAGCCGAAACTATCTGCCACAATGGCAACAGGACTTGTAACAAGTCTATTGGAGATGACGACTGCAACGAGTTAGCTTGGCAGCCAGTAGTTCAGACTTGACACTTCCATACCATCACGTACAACACCGCGGCCCTGCTTTTGAAGGTATTCCATCAGAGGCTTATACTTCTGCGCGGCCTCTTTCTGTTGTTCCTTTTCTTCCTCTTCATCTGTGTCTTATCCAAAGCGGGAATTCAATGAATAACTCATATCGAGAGGTAATAACCTCACCTTCGTCTCCGAATTTAAGACCGACTTTCGCAATATCCTGGAAAGGTACGTTTCTACAAAAATAGTTAGTCCTCCATTGAATGTCCACAGCACATCCGACTTACTTCCATCGACGTATGTTTTGAACAAATATTTCATCCAGGGGTTCAGTGAACAAAAGAACTTCATATCCTCGAGCATGAAGCTTTTCCACAAAAACACTCTTTGCGAGTTCCTGAGGATTCTCGCCCATCTCTGCCAAGTAAAAAATCTGTATTGCATTAGTGAACAATATTTGCCCATTGTATGCAGAAGAATACCTGCTTCTGGCCTTGCTTTCTGTTTTCGAGATACTACCGGAATCAATGGTAAATAATCTGAGTCTATGATAACACAAGCAGCATACCTGGTCGAGGGTAGTGAAATTTCGGTGGTTGGTAGTGAATCTCGTTATGGCGGCCAATTTTTCCCTGTTCTTTTGATCTTCGACGGCTCCGAGCTTTAGGATTCCACCAAAGATCTCGTAGAATTTTTCGAATTTTTCACTATCTTCGGTTTCCAAGTCAGCCATTTTGTTGAAAAGCTGGATGATACGCTTGAGGATGATGGACTTCAGCTGTCTTAGGAACGCCGTAGATTGAAGTGTTTCTCGAGAGACATTCAAAGGCAGGTCCTCCGCTATCGAAGCCTGGTGAGCGGAATCCTCAATCTGTGGATAGACATAGACACATACCATCTACCACTACCTTAACCCAGCTGGCCCATTTCGGTAACGCATCCTCCCCGAGATCGTTGGTTATAAATACACGCTTGACCATGAGCTTGATGTCTTTTGACTGAGAGAGTAGCGGCTGTTGCCAGTAGGAATCCTCACTGCTCGTAGGCACATTGTCAGTTGATTCCTGGCATCGAAATAGGGACATACATTTTATCTGGAAGGAAGACAATTGCTTTGAACGATACACCGGACCCCGAATCTCCAGAAAAATGAGTCCATGTCATCGGAGGTGAAAAGTCCTTAAAGAACGCGTTGTAGAACAGAGTGTATTCCTCTACTCGAGATTAGAGCCTATGATGAACTATAGAGAACAGCTAACCCACCATCAGTAACCTCCTTAGGGTCACTACGAGTAAGTAAATGAGTTAGACTCTCATAGGAAGAGAAAAGACGACCTACCGAGTCCAGATGGGAGGTTGGCCATTCAGGCGTACCCATTCGTCAACTGTTATAGACTTCATTTTTGGAGGAGCCGGTGTTTGTTCTTCTTCAGAAACATCCTCGATGACAGCTTCGTCGGTATCATCGGCATCGGCATCGTCCGTGTCGCTGGTGGGTTTGGGTACAGACTCTGCGGATTGAGTTTCTTCTAGAATCACATCCTCATCGGGAACTTCATCGGTCCTCTGAGTGAATAGGTATATAGGGAACGATGTAGAGAACGAAGAGTGTTTCGACCTATATGTGCCTTTAATTAAAAAATGCCTCGCCTTAGGAACACACAATACTCACACCAACGCAGTAATTTCCTGGTTCTCAAGATACTCTGAAGAATCATCTTTGAGCTCCAATGTGATTTCTGTTCCACGACCAAGAGTGTTTCCCCGAGGGTCAGGGAATATTTCGAAGGAACTATCTTCAGATGATGAGCTGAAGACATACTGGGCAGGCTCAGGGTATTTCTCCGATTTCGCAGGTACAGACGCGACATGGACCTTGTCTGCAACGAGAAAACTACTGTAGAAGCCAAGTCCAAATGCTCCAATGAGATTTCCAGTTGCGGCTCCTTCTGCACCTTCAGCCCGAGCAAGGAAGTCGGAAGTGCCCGATTTTGCGAGGGTACCCTACATAACATGAACTTTGGTCTTCGAGTATACACAGGAATGTGCCCACCAAGTTCGTTGTAAGCTCTTCCGGGCCCATCCCGATTCCTGTGTCTACAAGGGGATAAGGTCAACGGCACTAGAATAAGACATGGTAACTCACCTGTTATTATAAGCTTTCCACCTTTGCCATCCTCATTCTTCACGGCCTTGATCGTGATATTGAGAGGGTCTGTGCCGTCCCAGACGGTTTTGTCGATTAAAGCAGTAAGCCGGAGCTTTTCAATAGCGTCGTTGGCATTGGAAATAAGTTCACGAAGAAAGATTTCCCTATTGCAAGAGTACGATGAACATTCAGTGGATGAAAATTACAACGAAGACTTGCTTGTGCGAGTAGAGACTATGCAAGGAGTGTAAGCACTTCTTCTACATTCAGTTCTTCAGAAGCTTCAGATACACACCTATTTATAACGATCTTCCGCATACGCGCTACATCGCTCTATAAGTGAAACCGTCAAAAACTTAGAGCTCATAGAAAAGACCTAGTCACGGACCTGATAGTTGAACTTTTCCTTCGGAATTTCCGCAGCATCAAAATCCTGAGCGAGTCCCAGAGACAAGAAGGGAGAGAGGAAAAGGAATGTACTGAGAAAGCGCATTTTGACCGAACAAGCAGCCCTGCGGGGAAGGATTGAAGATATACGAGTGAGAGTTTAATTATATATTCCTCCGCAGAAGCTCCTCCACTTGAATTGCACTGACGTGTCAACAGTCGTGTCGTTTCCTTTAAGTTTAAGCTCATCAGCTTCATTGGGCTGTCACAATTTAATGGGTGACCGACTCACGGGTACTCACGGTCGCGAAGTGTCACGCGGTTGCCTCAAAATTAGATTATGTCATGTTCTACTGTTCTGAACTTCTTCAAATTGTTTCAGTAGTAGCTCTTCAGTCATGGGTCGCTGACCATCACAACCATCATCGACGATTTTCAAAACGGCGGACAGTGTTGCCGAGTTGATGCATAGGTCCCAACCGCCATCGTTGAAGCTAATTTGTTTTGAATATACTCAAATTCTCATTAGGCAGAAATTGGGAAACAACTGCGATCAATATTCAAACACTTGGAAGGTGAACAGATAGTTTCGGTGCAGAGAGTTGGGACAGATAGTCCTGTGGTATGGTGGAGAATCGAGATCAGTATTGCACACTATTATACAAAGGAAGACATACGTACTCTAATCCACTGCTCCCGCTGTTCCGCAATATGATCAAATACGATATAACGCTTGTCGTTCTGAACAAAAGCTTCAGATGAGAATTCTAGAATAAGTTTACCAGACTCACTCGGAGAACTTTTTCCATTTCCTCAACGTCAACATTCTTGGCTAGAACTTTCATATCCACCTTCGTGCCGAGGCCTTCACTCTCGGCATCGTCCTCATCTGCTTTCACTCCGCCATCAACACCTTCACCTCCAATTTTCCCTAAACGACCCCAAAATTCCACAAACGAATTCTCGGACAACATCTGGTCAAATGCCTTCCGCGAAGCATGCGTCCGCTCCCGCTGCCACTTTTCAAACTCTTGCTGTAGTGCTCTCTCACTCATCCCCAACTTGGACGTTGGAGTCGAGGACATCAGTGAAGAGACTGGCAGATGATCAAAGGTTGTTGCTAGCGATGGCGCATGCGAGTCGAATAGGACATGTAGACTCGCAAGATGTTTAGAGCGTAATTTCGAAATATGTTCATGGAAGAGATGGAGTTGCTGATTTAAGGGAAGAGGAGTATCATTGAATCGAGGGTCGGTCTGAAGTTGGGGGAGTGCGTTTGGCCAAGATATCTGGAAGGACAAATTAATTGCTGCGTCAGTCAATGGACTCTCCGTACCTGTGGATCGCGTATGGCGTCTAGAAGTAGTGTACTTTCACATCACAAGTCAATTTGACACCCGTAGCTCGACAGACAAATACGCACTTGAATTCTCGTTCCCCTTCTTCCTTGTTCAACTCCATCCTGGATTTCCTGGTGTTTGCTTCGACTTTTTCTCGCTCAAGGCGGACTTTTTCTTCCCTTTCCTTCACAGCACGCACCTTCTTCTCCCTCTTGCTTTCTGATCTGGATATTTCGTTGTATTTCTGATCCGTTGAGTCTGTATTTGCAACTGAAGGACTGCCGAGTTTTGCTTTGACAAATGTGTTGAACAGCTCCTCCCGCAATGAGGACGAACCGACTGCATCGTACCGGGGGTCTTTGACGAGATCTTTCTTGATCTGTTTGCCAACCCAGTTAGCGGAGGCGATATTGAAAAATTACTTGAACAAACTTCTTTCCAGACGCAACCTTCCTTGATATCAGCGTGCTCTTTGAGCAAAGCAAGGAAATCTGCTTCTGCTTTCTGTGCCGCGGCCTTCTTTTCTGATTTATAAGGATGAGCACAAGCGTAAAAATCTGTGCAACACGAAACATATGTACTTTCCCCCAGGTCTCGAATGAAGTCTCTGAATGCCTTCTCACGTTCGCGGTCATCTCTGCCCCAACCATAGAATCGTCTGTCCTTCTTCCACGTCCGACGAAAATCAGTCCAGCTTGTCCGTGTGCTTTTGACTTCAGCGTTCAAGAGAGAGTCAAACTCTTCTTTAGGCGTGCGCGACTCTTTATTTACCGCATTACGGCGAAGTTCCCGGGCGCGATCCCGACAATATTCATCAAAAGCTTCCCGGCGAGCAGAGACAGACGGAAGTAGGACATATCTCGGGTCCGAAACAAATTTTGGTAAAGATGTGTCCCAAGGATACAGTGGATTGATATCTTTTTCCCGAAGTAATGTCTGCAAACAAAGTAAGCTGGAAACGAGACAAAAGCACGCTTGTCTACCTTGAAAAGCGCTTTCGCTTCTTCAATCGAGAGATCCACCTTTTCAGGCATAACTATTTGTGCCTCCTTTGCCCGTTTGAGCTCCGCCTCGGCTTCTTGTCGAGCCTCCTCTTCGGCGCGTTTTTTCTCCTCCTCCGCCTCTGCAGCCAGCTGAGCAGCAGCCTCTCGTTGCCATTCTTCTTCCTCTTCACTTTCATCCTCTTCATCTTCGTCTTCCGGAGCTTCCTCGATTCTTATTTTCTTCGTTATAACAACTTCATCAAGATGTGTGTCTTCTGTTTCTCCCGCTTTCCGTTTGGCCGTATCCTTAATCTCAGCCTTCACCCTCTCTACCTCCAGCATCTCTTCAGCCTGCATAAGATGTTCTCCTTCCCCAGCCTTCTTTTCATTCAATTCCAGCTGTGCTACTGCATCTTTGATCTCATCTGGGACCGACCATATACTTTGTTTCTTGACTTTGTGAGAGTAGAACACATTCCCTTCTGTTGTCTTCACTCGGATCCAATCGGTATCAGGTATCTGGGTCTTTGTCAACGGTCTTTCCTTCTTTTTCGGAGGCTGTACAGGCGGGATGTTTTGGAAAGAGGGGAGCGGTCGTATGTAGGTGGATTCCTTGGTTTGTACATTGTAATAATATAACTGACCTCCGGGTCCTAACATATACGTGAGAAAGGATACAGACATCAAGCTAGTGCATACCTGGGTGCTCTGTCCATCCTGGAGGAAGTGGAGGAGGCGCAAAGGCAGCAAACGGTTGCAATGACATGCTAAAGTTGAAATAAGGCTGCTCGGAGCCTGGTCCTACCTGGGAAGCCGACAGTTTACCAAATTTAGTCGTTTTTGCCACGGCCACGGGGAATGCTTAGCGCCTAGTATATCAGAAGCGCATACTATTCGCGACTTGAACTATGTAGCTTGAACCCGACTTCAACGGTTCGTGTCTCCAGTGATCAAGTGACCAGTCGTCGAGGAACGCATGCATGGCAATTGATGGCAATATCCAAAAGTCGTCAGTTAAACGGAAGTCGTCCATTGAAACAAGAGCCGGCACTTATCGCGGTGACACTGGAGCCGTGTATCAATCAATCTATCTACCTAAGAAGGCCCCGATAAATTCATAAAACGCCGAAAGTCTATATATACAGCAGATGCAATGTTTGGAACTTAAAGTTCAGTTATTCGTTCGATTTTGGTTCCCAAAGTATAATTGTTCTGGTGGAGATTCCGGGGGTCTGTACACGGTACGGTTCCTATCTCTTAATTAACATACTCACTTGTATATACGATACTTCCAAGTCCCATGATGCTCAACGCTCCCGCCCAGTATAAATACTGGGACCTATGACTTTCCACGGACAAGGATCTCAGTTTCACTTCCCTTTTATTCCTGGACCTCTCCAAAGGAAATGCCTTCTCAAGAAATTGTCGATTATGAGCGCAAAATGACTAGAAGAGTGCTATGGAAACTTGACTGCCATGTCCTTCCTCCTTTGGCCCTGGTTAGCTCTATCTTTGTCGATGCTTTTTCCAATCATGAAATGGTTTGTACATAGCTGTGGCTTGCGAATTTCATTGATAGAAGCAACGTCGGAAACGCAAGGTAATTGTCCTTTCCTTGGGCTTGGGCTTCACTCAAAATAATCTACAGGATCGCGGGGTTGGAGACAGACACTCATCTACACGGTAATCAGTTTAATACAGTGCTCGCTGGTGCGTGTCTTGTCGTACGTGATGATTGTCAATCCTAATACATGTCCAGTCTTTTACGTATCGTAAGACAATTCACTTTTCGTCCTCATCTACACATTCCCAGACTCGTTCATGTTATTTCCTAAGCTATATGCTGGTTGAGATGCCCTCGAACTGGATCCTAAAGAAGCTGGGAGCAAATGTCTGTCACAATCTCAACGTGTTCACTCGTTACATAGATATTAATCATTTTTCCATCCGATAGCGTTGGCTTCCCATCATCGTATGGTATGACTTATCAACGCGAAGTAATTTTCCATCACCTTCCACTCATTCGTTCCATCAGTGCTTGGGGCATTGTTACCACTCTAACGGGATTGGTCCACAATCTTGGTGGTATTCTTGCAATCCGAATTGTGCTTGGAGCGTGCGAGGGTGGCCTTCTTCCTGGAATGGTTTGTTTCAGTGGTCATTCCTTGTTCGACTGCTCACATATTTCGCAGATCCTTTATCTGAGCACAATATACAAGCGGCATGAACTCCAACTTCGGTGCGTACATACATTTATAATAGTGTATCATTCATCAATGTTTCATAGTGTCGGGATATTCTACGCCTCTGGTGAGAGTCTAACCCAGCTGATGGCTTTGGCGCATAAATTTTACGGTTTATGTAGCCTCATTGTCTGGTGCTTTTGGAGGTACTATCCTGAGGCTGTAATTATTTTTATGCTGACTACAAAAACAATAGGTCTTCTTGCTACTGCAATCCTCAAGATGGACGGCATCGGTGGCCTCGCAGGCTGGAGATGGATTTTCATACTTGAGGGAATCTGCACCATCTTATTTTGTCTCGTAGCTGCCATCTACCTCCCCGCCGATATTGCTTCGGCCCGCTTTCTCACAACCGAAGAGCGAGAATTTGCAGGTACTTACATCATACTTCACATGCGGAACTGATATAACTCAAATTCAGTTGCTCGATTCAATCTTGATCTTCCGCCCAAGTTAGCACAAGGCACTGACGGCGAGAAGAACAGTGTCGATATCAATGAGAAGGAGAAGCCGAGCGAATTTCATAGAGAAAATGCATCTGAGGATCTAATTTCGTCAAGGGTCACTCAAGAAGAAGAACAATTCGAATGGAAGGAAGTCATGAGGGGTATGTTGATATTTTTTGCTTTTCGGAGTGCTCCAACGATCTTCCACAACGTAGGTGTGTTAGATGTACAGACTTGGTTAACAGGCTTTGCCTACTTTGGACTCATCGTCAGTCTCTATTCTTATTCCTTATTCCTGTAAGTTTGACTTTCAACTCGTTTGTGATGGGAGTTAACTCGCTATGAACCAGTCCCACGATTGTTGCGGGCCTGGGTTACACTGGCTCAGCGGCCCAATTACATACAGGTATACTCTGCTATTCTTTGTAGGAAAAAACTTACCACTCATGTGGTTGTGTAGTACCTCCATACGTTCCAGCGGTTGTGCTTACAGGTATTGGTTATGTTAAATCTGGCTTTTTTGATTTGACACGTTCATTGAACTTTGAATAGTATTCATCGCATTCCTGAGCGACCGATTCCGCTGGCGTGGGCCTTTCATCTTAATCTGTCTTCCTATTGCTATTGTTGGCGAGTAACTTCCCTGATCATAATTACTTGCTTTTTGTTCAAGCCTAAATTTGGTATCTAGGATATATTGTTGCAATCACTGCAGAGACGGACACTGGCCGATACGCTGCTGTTTTTCTCATGGCCACTGGAGTGTACGGCTTTTCATTTATGCGGTTCCGACTTCCATACTCAACGAGTGTCTGTAGATATCCCTCCGGTCCTTCAATATTGTGAGAGTAGATGTTAATTATCAAAACATAAGCAGCAGGTACCAACTTTTCACGTAGATCTATTCTCCCTAATAACAGCAACGGGCACTACAAGAGGGCTACTACGACAGCATTACAATTGGCGATTGCAAATTGCGGGTCAGTTACAGCAGCTACTTTGGTCGTTAATCTTTTTGAGCAGCACTAAATAACTCCAGGGGATTTGTGGCAACCTTTGCATATACACCTGGTTTGTTCAATTTATTTTTGTCTCAATAATAACTCTCATCCCCTCAAATTAGACCAAGCTCCAAAATACATTAGGGGGCATACAATCGTGCTCTGCTTTTTGATATTAGCCTGGATTTTGATAGCTGCGAACGTGTACGAAAGCTCGGTCCTTGTCTCAAAATCAATCTGTTCATGATTTCTTTAGCTGTTACTGTCTGTGGGAAAACAAGGCCAGGGCAGATGGTCGACGCCAACACAATCTTATCCAGTATCAAGAATTATGGAATTCAGGAAGAACCAGTGCGCCAATCGGTAATCTCAAATGTTCTCGGATTCATGAATGCGCAACTTACTAAATTGTTCCAGGTGATCGTCATCCTGACTTCCGCTTCACACTATGAATCCATCATGAGCAAGATAACATCGTAAGATCAGTGTCGGGCTTTTAGAGATACATGGACGTTGACGGATGAAGTATGAGTTGTAGTATAACAATGTACTAAGTCGAATAAATACTATGAAGTAACATGTGAATGGGGCTACAATTATCATACATAGAACCTGGGAAGGTGTTAGTAATATTCTATAGAGGTGTATGGACTTACTTTTTGTTGATTTGATACAGGAATAGCTCAAAGTTGAACTTGGCTCTACCGTCGAACAAGGAAATGAAGGAACGCTGCTCATACTTTGCCTGAAGGAGCTCCTCCATACGAACATCTTCAGAAGCAACGCGCGAGGAAACCCCAAACGCGGAAGACTCTAGTGTGATGGTGAAAATTCCGGCAGTGTTTGAAGACATTGTGATATTGAGCTTATCGAATTGACGAGGAGAATATTGGTCAATGGACAGTAGGATCCCCTTGTCATAAAGATATTTTGCGGTATAGAGGTAAGAGCCGAACTGGGGACTTTGACCTGCCTTTTGCAAGTCTCGGAGATGAAAGTATTGTTTAGTGAACGGTAGAACGAAGCGCTTTTTTCTGGAGATGTTCGAGTTATCGGACGATTCCATGAACTACATATAAGCACGTACCCAGATTTTCCCCGCTGCATGGTGTTCATCGCAGCGTCGACGTAATTATGATAACTGTCGATCTGCTCCTGGAAATACTTTTTGCGTTCTGCCAGATGCTGCAGTGCCTCGTTCATACTCTCCATTTCCTGTTGTCGCTGTAGGCGCTTGCGATGTTTGCTGCGAACATCTCCAGCAATAGCATTCAGAATTCCTTGAAATCCGTCATCGCGAGATATCTTTTGTAGGCTCTCTAATTTGAGTAAATGCTGAATCGCCATAGCTTTCACAGCAGCGAAATTAAGTCTGGCCAAAGGTTAGATGAGCATGTCCGCAATGAATGTAAGATTGCCCACAGTCGAATATCCTCGAGGCGATAAGCAGCATCCGCACCGATAGCGGAAGCCTGTCGCCTAGGAATTTGCCGAGCTTCATTGGCTATCTCAGCGTCCAGAATGTCTTCCCAAACGCTCTCATCCTCTTCAGTAACTGGACGAAGCAATGCTCCAAGCAAATCTTGCGTTGGCTGAACTCGAAGTATTGCGAGAACTCCTCGTTTAGCTTGAACCCAAAGTGTCTTTTCTTCCGCTAGAGGATCTAAGATTCGGAGTGAGGACGAGCTGATGGATTCAATGATTTTCCCTGTACCTTCAACGTTGGCGAAACGGTTCGTGAGCTCCAAGGTAATGGTTCTGTCGCGTGCGTCTTTGAGCTCTTCATTGCCAAAGTTAGGAACCCCGTTGAGCTCCGTCAAGATAGCTCTGATAGCGTCATCCGGAGCAGGAGCCTGAGAACTATGAATCACGTGAAATATTTGATGGTTTACAGAGACTTACTACTTCACTGAGATGTTGGACTATCAATGCATGCATTGAGTAAATCTCATTTGGGGAGATATATATGGGCTTCGGTGGAACAGTAGCATCCAAGAATTCGTGGGCATGAAATGTTGTCTCGGCATCGGGAACATTGGCAACTGGAAGATATTTTGAACTAGAAGGTAAGTACAACAGCAACTAAAAGCATACCCTCGAGCATCCAGCTGGAGATTTGGGAAATGGCTCTTGAAACAAACTCGTTGATGGGCATCATGTTCGGACTATGATCGTCGAACACAGCGCCACCGGTAATTTGTGTCAAAACTCTGGATATTTGGGCAAGATTCTTGCGGCTTGAGATATCAACAGTCTTGGACACGATGTCGAACGTTTCCGGAGCGCTAAAGAGGTCATGAATCGTGCGCACAAAAATATTGGACCTTATACATACACTATAGCCGGGTTGATATATCGATAGTAAACCAGCCTACCGACACATGCAGCGTACGCCTCTTCTGGTGCATCAGGAAACCTTTCCTACGTAGAATAGGTAAGTTAACATGAAGAGTTTACTGAGACGCAGGGCACGCACACGGACACAAGCTAGAGTTTCGCGAGCGAGGTATTTCATACTGAAAGGCATCTTCTTAGTAGATTGTATGATGGCGGCAACAAAACGATCGGTCCATAGTTGCAATGCCTGAAGATCTAGAACAAATTCATGAGCAGAGTAAATCGAATCTATGATTCAGACGTACGCCTAATGAATATGGGCCTCGTAGCGGGATCGTCCAAAGCTTGGCGGAACGATACATCCTTCGGCTGTGAGCTTGGTCTACCAGCTCTCATTTCTTCCAACTCAATCCTAGCGCGATGGACCTAAAAGACAGTGATTAAGCAGTAATTACCTAAGGATATATAATGCGGACGCACGACGGTGGGGTCAACTTCAAAGTCAAGGTCATCATCTTCTACTATCTGACGTATTAAGGTTTGGAAAGTGTCCCGAGCATATGCAATTTGCTTGGGTCGAACATAGTGTACAGCGATGTTGATGTACATCGGGTGACCATCGATGATATCCTGGATGGAGCGCGCCGCACTGACTTCGTTGTAGATTGAAGACTAACAGAGAGTGTTCACTGAGTAGAATAATAATAATTAGATATATACAAGAAACTCACTTGGAACAGCTTAAGTAACAAGAAATCTTCCCGACGATCCTGACCAAAACCATATAGTGTCAGAACGGCGGCTTCCGTGAAACGTCTATCCTTCTCCGGAGTATCGTCTCTCGAAAGCCGAACAAAAAGTCTACTAAGATACTCCGAATGCGTTTGGAGGTGGTAGAACAATTGTTGATATAATTCTAATTTGCGTCGAGCTGTCTGATCAAGGGTGTTAGGACCAGCAAAAGGGTCTCCATGGGCTGCTAGAAGATGACTCCGAGCAGCATGAGCAGCAGCACTATCTGCACCAAGCCCACGCCGAGCTTTCAGTACGTCCTCGAAACTTTTCACGTTCTGCACAACCAAGGCAATTTTCACATCAAGATCAGTGACGTCACTTTCCAGTGCCTGATTTTCGCGGATGTTTTCCACGACTTTCTTTCGGAGCCGCTCAACCTTGAGCTCTTCTTGAAAGTCTGTCTCTGAATCGTCAAGGAGATGGACAAAGTTTTTGATAGTTCCGACCGTGACATTCTTGCCCATTGTTAATTGACGATATTGCTCACGAGTCTCCTTTGCTCGGAAGAGCGACTGGATCTTGACAACCTTGCTCAGGTTGGCACGATAATAGTCCATTTTCGCACGAAACTTCTTGCGTTGGACCAATCCACGTAGCATTGCTTGAAGCACCGTCGCTACATGTTCGTTGTTATGTAGATGGTCTCTCCAGCGGTAATACAAATCGCGTGATAGTGCGCCTCGAACAGCAGCTTGCAAGCCCACAACATCTGGGGCAATGAAGTCGAGCTTCCGAGTGATTTCGCGATGTCGATTGCGTGCCAACGCTGCCCGCGCTAATGACTGCATTCCATGAACGGCTTTGATCGTCTTGACCTCTGATAACGCTTTACCGAGATTCTCGTGCTTTTGTCGTGCGAGGCCAGCCCTTGCGCGCGCCTGGAAGCCAACAACAAGCGGTGTTGCTTTTCTCAAGCCACGAATAAGAAGTAAGAGACGTTTCCTAGCAAGGTACGTCCTGACAGCAGCTTGGATACGGACCACTGTCTGGCTCACGTCTTCTAGTTTTGCCATCTGCTTTCTCATCTGTCTCCTGACCAATACTCCCCGACAATGAGCCTGCAATGCGATATAGCATGGCGAAAGACGGTACATCAGTGCGGCACGCTGAGAAAATTTCCGCCTGAAAAGAACAGCTCTCCCCTGAGCTTGGAAGGCAGCAATCGACGATAGTACTTCAGGATGTGAGAATGTCCTCGCGAGCTCGTTATGTGTCTGACGCGTCAATTTCGCCCGAGCAATCGACTGTAAGTTCACAAAAACTCTTTTGCTGCTTCGAAGAGCCCCTCGAAGACGATTGTACCGCCGACGCAGTAGTACACCACGAAGCTGAGCCTGCAGTTTGACAACTGAAACAGACGAATCAGCTATCCGGGAAAGATGTGAGTACCATCTCTTCCGAGCTAGTGCTCCACGGATTCTTGCTTGTAAAGCCACCGCCCATGGACGAAGGTCGTTGCGGGCATTGCGTTGCTGTAACATATGCCTCCTAGTCATGGCGGCTCTGCATTGAGATTGCACCTTGACAATATTAGCACCACTGAGTTGCAGATGGCCATACAGTGCCTTCAGAGCTTGGCGAGCGAGATAGCCACGAGCAACGGACTGAAGCCCTAAGATGGATCCTTCGTTCTCCAAGAGTAAACGATCGCGACCTATACGTGGTAATTGAACAACAGAAAAACAAGAGGAGGAACGGACTTACGTTCATCTTCAGTTTCAACTTCTACTTCAGGCTCCTCGTTTATCTCTTTCGCTAGCTCACGTCCGACGTTCCCAAAGTTGGGCATGGCAACACCAGACGCAGTAAGACCTTTCTGAGTTGCCTGCAGCTGATCGTCAGAAAATTGGAGTTGACCAAGCAGGTTACCAATCCGTTCTGCTAATCCACGACGAGCTAGTAAATGACTGAGCACATGTTAGTACAGGATTTACAACATAGGTCCAGATCCCCAACCTGAGCGCATGTATGCAATATATGACTTTGGGTAAATTCTTCTTTTCATAAAGATCAGTGAGTTCGAAGATGAAGCACTACGGAATAGGTAAGAAGCTCGGACGTTCGATCGATTGAGATTAGCCTATACCTCTGGCAGTCCGACGTGCCGAACAAAGTTGAAGAAGTAGTTGATATTGTCTGAATGTCGAAAGTCTAATTTGGGTGCCTATATCAAAGTATAAGCAACATACGTAGCAGATCAAATCGTTGGACAAACCTCATAGATACGTCTGACAACTCCCTCTCCTTGAAACACTCTCACTAGCTTCGCAAGAACGACACCATTTCGTAAACCTTCCTCCATCTCGACCACTCCAAATCCGAGTTCCTGATCTAAACAACCCTCGACCCATTGTTGAGCTTCGCCGACATGACACAAATACTCATAAGCCTGGATAAGATGCCGTTGCGTGTCCGCCCAAAGTCCCCTCGCTAGACGAGCTGAAGGGAGCGGCGCCGGCGCATTGAAAGCTTTATTTCGAGAGAGTCGCATTCTCCCTGGAATACCTATCACGGCATCGGAGTCCGCAACGGGGGCTTCAAGCGTTGTGGCTCTCCGTGGCGTAGTATCAAAGTTTCCGTCGCGGCGCATTGCACGTCGTTCCACTCGGCTCGGCGGAGGTTCCTTCTCAACTTCCTTTTTCTCCTCTACGTGATCCTCAGTGTCACCACTAGCTATCCGCGGCAAGTGTTTACCGAAACGACGACCACCGGCGGATAGGGTGTTGCCGTATCTGGATTTGTTCTGCATGTATGAGCTTTTATATGTGGATGGAAACATAACGTTGGAGGAGGGGGAGGAGGGGGTTGGAGCGGTAATTGAATTAGCGGAGGTTGGTGAAAGCGGATTGAAGGATGTGCTTCCTGTTGACTGATGCTGAATCCTGTCCCTGTCAGATGAGACTGACGGTCGGCTATAGAGGGAAGTTGGTCGGCGTTGAACAGAAGTCGGTGTAGAGATGACACTAGAGGATTGGTCGAACATGGAAGGTGAGGAAGGTGTAGAAGGGGGTTGCGCATCATTTCTCGGAGGATTAATGCGCTTGAGAGAGCTGAAATCGACGGTATTACGACGAGCAGGAGAAGGTTGTGGAAGTGTAGGAGAAGTTGGACGTCCAATGGCACCTGCAGATCTAGAAACGTGATCGTAAGACGGCAGATGGATACGCTGACTAGACATGGTCGGCGACGGCGAATCTGCTTCGACAGTGACACCGGTGCTGTTGGGTGAAAGAGGAGTCGCAATAATAGGTGATGGTACCGATGAAGTAGTGTACCGTTTGAGATATGTAGGCGTCCGCTCTAATGGGCTCGATGTCGAATGTACCGGCGATGAATCCACAGCATTCTGGAGCTTAGCAAATGTTGTGAGCCTTGTAGGCGTTTGAGGAATGCTAGGGCTTTCGTCGATAGCATTTTCTCTGACGCGTTCTTCCCATTTCCCTCGGACAGCATCCAAACTATTAGCCACACGGTGACCAGGAGTCCACCTCCTGGTGGCTGAAGAGGTAGAAGATCCTGTGGTGTTGGTTAAGATATTGTTACTGGACTGGGAATTGGTTCTTGAAAGAGAGCCCTTCGAGGATGAGGACGTCCGTTCAAGTAATCTAGTTTGATAGGCAAAGGGACCGGACGATGATGAATTTGGCCGAGAGGAAGAAGGATTGGAAGAGCTCGATGAGAGAGAGTCTGAGCGTTGCATGGTGGGAAGATCGTAAAAGTCGTGAAATGAAGGCCAAGAGTCAAGAACTGCATTCGCCAAAAAAGGCTGATTCGGTTGTGAGGCCCACGAGATCAACGCGATCAGTATCCGTATCCTCTCTTATTTTTCTTTCCTCAATTCTCTACCACATCACAATTCTCGGCTGCTTTGAGCTCGAGTATTCCGCCGCCCTTCGAATTTTCATCGGGAACTTTGTCAAAATATGACAATCCTGACGGATTGGAATACTGAACAGAACTATGTTGACACAGTTGTAGTTCGAGATCAGCTTGGGCACTGTACTTTTATAAGCTGCAAGAAGTGCCTCTAAATAACTACAGCGTCCGAAGATGATCACTCTCCACGAAGTTACCTCATCATACCGTACAAAGTCATCTGAAGTGAGCGGGAGCACCGAGATTGAGTGAAAGAATGAGTTGGTCGGATATCCCATGAGCCTCCCTCGAACCCTCAGTACGCAGGTCTAATTCACGAACGGAATTATCTTCGTGAACTAACAGCAGTAGACTAGTACAATCCGACTCCGGAACGCATGACTTACAGTTACATACTTACTTGCGCCATTTTGCGGCTTTGCCACATTCCGCCAAGTTCGACTTGAACTCGTCTTCCGCCGCGTCTTCACGTCTTCACGTCAACCTCCGTCAAAAGCCTTCCACAGTATAGCTCTGAGAGAGATCTTCTAGCACTCCCAAATGCCTTGTACATATCTTGGATTTCCCTCCACCTTGATAATCTTCCCCTGTAATCCAACACTGGGTACATTGATTCGTTGTAGCTGTTGGATGATTAGTCTCTTGTAACAGATTATAGCTATATGATTCATGGCTATGGAAGAAATATGTCATACTCTCTTAATTTCTACAATCTATCATTCTGTAAGTAAGTATCCTTTAGTGCCGCGCCCTGCATGGCTCTGAAAGTGAATATTTTAGTTAGATATGAAACTTCATTTCCCTTTCTATCATTAGAAAGTGTGCTTCAGGAAGAGACCCAGATAGTAACCTGGCAGCATAAGAAAGTTTTGATATGGGATCATAGGGCAAATCAGGAGTCCTCTCTGAGCAGTGTGCGGGAAACCCCAAAAGCACTGCACATTTGCATCAGGCTGCAAAAGGCTGCAAACCAGTGTGCCGAAACCCCCGAAAGGCACTGCACATTTGTGTCACTGGGACACTACCATCACAAAAACTCACGACTTTTGATTGCCACTTGGTGCGAACAAGGACCTCCTCTTTCAGAGTCGGTGATGTTCTACTTTCTCATATTTTTGAGTATTTTGTCATCAGATACCAGATTCTCAATCAAGAGGCATTGATTTTAAACATGCTGTAGACTTATTAGTTTCAGTATGTTGAAGACATAACTCCCTTAGAACATGCCAGCAAAATGCCCCCGACCCGGCGAGAGTGCTTTAGGGCAAGTGCTTGAGCTTAAGTGCTTACACACCACTAACAATGACTAGCAATCAACGAAGAGCAGATGAAGAGCAAGAGTGATCATAAAGTTGAAGTATCCTGGGCCGAGAAGGTGATAGAGTGTTGTAGACTATCTGCGATATAGAGCGAAAAGTGCGTCAATGAAACGTGGCGAGAAACCTACGTTACTGTAACCAAGCAAGGTGATATTATGAGTTCTTCTGACATTTACAATACTATAATCAAATCTCATATCTCGTCTACAGATATAGCGTTGGGTAGGGCTTCTACAGTCTCGTATTCAGGGCCAGTATCAACGTCCTCCTGAATATGAGTAAGGATAGATGCAATAGCAAATCATCGCAACCACTCACATCTTTCAGTCTATTGAAGTGTTTAGATAGCTTTTCAATTACTAGGCTATACGGTAGGTGCTGCGTCAATTTTCTAGTAAAAAAGTCAATTACGCCTTGAGCATGGTTTATGCAACAGACATACCGCCGTTGCTGTACATTCAAAGAATGCCGAGCATCTAATGTCGAATCTAGCACATTGGAAGAGTGTGCACCTTCACTCAAAGAGAGTTTGATTGAATATTCCTTGTCTGATTTGCCTCGCCCGTGGTTGCGTTCGTATAGCTCAAAGGTGATATGGGACTGTTAATTATTCTCAGTGTCGACTCCTGGATCTAATGTAAAACCACGTACACAGTAGTCCAATTCAGGTATGCGGCGATTTGCGATTGGTAGACCAGAGGTAAGAACAAGGTTTACCAAAGTGTGTATATGGCTCTCTTTAGTGAAGTATAGAGTTAATGAACTTTCACCGTTATTGCGTGCGGCCTCGAGGTCTCGGACAACGTTTTGAAGAAGGGGTAAAGATGTAAGGACACCGATTTCCTCCCTGGAGTTTAACATAAGATATGCTTGACAGATGTAGACGATAGTTTTACTTTTCATCTGGATCGATACCATATTCCTGTGGAGCAACAAGATCGAAAAGAGCCTTAGCGCGGCCATAAAGCTCGTGTAATCTTCGATCCTGCGGCTGTTGAGGGTCTTGAGTTGTCTGTTCATTGAAGATAGAAAACAAGAAGGTTCTATGATGAAGGGCGCAGTATTTGATTGTGTCATATAGCTCTGAGACCTGTGTTTGGTTAGTTTATTCCAGGATAGCATAGGTGCGGCTTACCCTCGATGGATCAAACTTTTTCTGCTCTACATCACAAAAGTCTTCAAATAGTTTTTCCCAACGCTCTCTAAATAGCCAGGGTTCATCACCACAACACCAGCGCTCTTGGATTTTATCGACGTCCAAAGTCTCGTAATTTCGACGCATGACATCCCGAAAAGTACTGAGTAGTTGTATCACTTCCCTGACAACCTCCACCGGCTCTTTCTTCATACTTTTCGGCCAAGTCAATTCCGGTCGTTTCTCTGGCTCTCCCGGTCGCAATAAGATCTTGAGCCGTTTTTTCACATCATCCATGAGGTCCTTCGCTGCGTTTGAGTCATCGAGGAGATCTTTTCGAATGATGAGCTGCAAAGGAGCTGACGTATTGTGGCGGGTCAGAACGTTTTTGTTACAATAAAGATTATTATTCGGTGAAGAAGTGGTACCATCGGTCGAAGAGCGGGAAGAACGAGAACTAGAATTGGAGTTGGGAGATGACGCCGTAGAGAAGCTTTGCTGGTGATCCAACAAGGCAGCAGCAAAAATCTCGGCAGATGCGATAACACGTCGTTCCGAGGAGGTGAAAATCTGAGATTGAACGTGAGAGAATAAACATGAAGGGATTTGTATGTACACACGGTGACGTTCTGCAAGACCTCCCTATCTGTAACATGGTTTGACTGCTAAACACACATTAAGGTGAAAAAAAACATACTCATGATTGAAATATCCTTCTTCATATTTTCGCCCAAGTCTCGTGATTGATACCGGGCTGCATGGGTAAACTAGGGAAGCTAAGCGGGCCTCACAGATGATGGAAGCACAACGATAATACCTCTCCTCCCCATTTAAAGACCAGCGTGAGTTTCGTGAGGGATCTAGCGTGACCAGCTTGCTTTTTCGAGTAGACAGGCTTCAACTGTGCTTTGGTACCCGGTAAGTCTATCTTGCTAAATAAAGCGCTGTTCAACTGGGTCAACTTCGCCAATTCCTCGCCACTTGCACCGAGACTCTTCGACTCTTCCACAGCACTAGCTATTTTGGTTAGCTGTTCTTTTTCTCGGAGGATAATCTCTTCCGTTTCGCCGTTGAGAAGTTTCACAAATGGCTGAGTCCAAGCTTCACCAATGGGAAAGTTGCTGGAGGAATATCAGGATTCAGTGAGAGTAAATAGCAGGTATTACTTGCAATTTGAGCTTCTGTTTCGGGGTTCTATCAGCGTGCCTAAATACTGTGACATTGGCCTTGAGGAGCCAGGTAGGCGCTTCCTCAGGGGTATTTTCGGTAGCTGGGAGCGCGCGGCTAGGGGACGATGATACCTGCATGCATAACGATGCGAGGATTTCCGCCGCTCTATCTAAAATGAACACACCAGAGTAAGATAAGGCGACGGTTTACAAAAATCTGGACTGCACGCAGATAGACATGCATAGCCCATGCGAATCGAAACGGCTGTACATACGCACCATAGTACGACTCGTTTCCCTTCACAAAACTCCACCCATTTACATCAATGACCTGACTTTTGTGACCGTTGTCACACCTAAGCATGTCATAACCACAAACGCGTTGACCAAAACCTTCACATATTCGAGATGCCCATGCCCTCTCCTCATCGGTCAGGCGGGTGATGAATCTGTCCAAACGTTGAAGTTTCACTGACGGGATTGGCACGTGCAGTCTGACATACCGAATTTCCTTTCCCTCTGTATTTCTCCTTACTACGCCGTCGACCACAGGCGATTTTCGAGTTTCAGCATGGGTATAGTCTTTTCCGACAGTGTAAACTTTGATGTCCTCCGAATTGTCAACGTCAATGAACTGTTCGTAAATATACGATCCGTCCGTTCTTGGATGGTTCAGGCTTGGATCCAACTCGCTGGATTTGTTACCAACCTGTAGAATGCGGTCGATGTCAAATTCAGAAAATACGACAGCACGTACCTTGCGAAATAAGCGCCTACCACCACCTCCTCGAAAGTAAATGTAGACGTTGTGGTCTTCACCACTCACGGGCTTTTCGACAAATGGTTTTTCTAATACATTACCATCAATGATGATGGCATCTCCGTCTTCTCTAAGGGCAACTTCCGGAGTGACTTTGTATCCACCGAGTACTATGCCTAACTTCGACTTCATGAAGTCTCGCAGTGTATCATCAATCTTTGGACCACCGTCTCGGGATACTTCAACGCGTTTGGGTGTAGGAACTTTGAGATGATCAAGAACAGTTGCGACCAATCTGCGGTCCCATAATAACGCTTGTGGTATCAGGTCGTTGATGCAAAAAGGATTTCGAAGTTTGACATAGGATACGGCCTTGTCAAGAGGAAAATCAGTCGAAAAGAAAGAAATGAGGATATCGCAGCGAGGCCAATTCTCGACATCTATCACGGACAAAATGAATGTAGATTGTTGAATGAGAATAAAGTCGCGTACCTTCGTCCAGAATTACTTTATCTCCAAAAACTTTGACTTCAATAGTGCCTCGGGATCTTTCCACAATTCGTATCAGAATCTCCCTCATGGCCCGGGATCTTGCTTTGACATCCATGGCGCATACACCCAAAATGACAGGTGCAACAGGTTGCGAAGGTCCAATTTCCTGGAAAGCATCGTGTGATCCGATAGAGGAAGGAGAAGAGGAGCGAGTTATAAGTGAGCTGGAACGAGGGGATGGTCGCTCTGAAGATGAGGTGAAGAAATTCGAAATTCGGGACTGGCGGTCCCAAGTTGGCATACTACACAACGACCCACAGAAAAGCTGCGATACCCCTAGCTGAGCCCTCTGCAGCCCTATGCGCGGATAAGCTGACAAATTATCTTCCGTTACACACGTGGAAGCAGCAAATTTGCCAAATATGGTACATATAATATAGACCCAAATAACCGTGGGAAAATGATACTGTCACTGATGACATGACTCGCGTAAATCTCCTATTGGTCGCTTTCTCGCACAATTGCCTCGTCGATCTTTTACGTAGCAACTCACAGTTTCGCCCTTTTGTTTTTGTGTTACTAATAATCTCTAATAACTTATCAATCAAGTCATGGCCGAGGGTATAACTCCAAGTCTGTATAAAGCTCGACCGACAATGACCGGAGGAATCTCTGAATCATACTATCGACATTCAGAATCCAGAATGAGCTCTACACAAGGTGAACGAGTCACTGTCGTCCATATATCCAACCTTCACTGCAGCAGGTAAATGGCCTTTTCTGAACCCTTTCAAACCCTTCTTACTGTCTTCTAGCTGTGTGCAGACGATTGCGAGCATTCTAGCGGAACTTTCTCCTCCGCCCTTCTTAGTGGAGACTTCCATTGTCCTGCAGTCTGTTAAGGTGTATCATGACCCGAGATTGTCGGCCGCTGTAATACGAAATACCTTGACTCACTGGGCCTTTGACGTCGTATCTGACTCCAGCTCAGATCTCTCTGTGACATTCAATAAACGACCGCCGATACTTCCAGGGAAGAATACGAAACATATTCAAAATTGCAGGCTTTGTCAGGAAGAAGAGTCCGGACAAGAAAAATCCTCTCATCATCTATTGCCAGGTGCACCTCCTGCGGAGCTCTCTTCAACCCAGGACATTGGAGGTCCCTTCAAGGTGACCTTGTCAATAGCAGGCATGACTTGCGCTTCTTGCAGCAACACCATTACCAACACTGCCAAAGACCTTCCTGGGGTCATTGATTTAGTTGTGAGCTTGCTCGATAATTCAGCGTCTGCGGTCGTGGAAAGCGAAGATGTTGCTCGCGAACTCACTTCAGTGATTGACGATTGCGGCTTTGAGGCTACTGTCATGAACATCCAATCTATAAAGAAGTCAGTGACATCTAGTATCGAATCGAATCGGACCGTTTCCCTCAAAGTGGACGGCATGCACTGCCAGTGGGTTCTTCATTATTTTGAATGTTTCACATTCTGAATTTTTTGCAGGCATTGTCCGCCCAAGATAGCTGCCGCAATAGAACGCATGGGCTCCATCACCATCGTGAAACCAAATCAAAGTTATAATGACCCAATTTTGACAATATCATACCGTCCAACCCCTCCGTCTTTCACTATTCGCCATATTTTACAACACATACGTTCTTCGTGCCCCGAATTCCAGGTCAGCATACACCATCCACCCACTATTGAAGATGTTTCGCGTAATATACAGCGGCGTGAGCAACGAAACCTTCTCCTTCGGTTGTTATTTACGGTCATTGTCGCCATTCCGACCTTTATCATCGGGATCGTTTACATGTCACTTGTCCCCGATGGAGATTCCAACAAGGCTTTCTTCATGAAACCTATGTGGACGGGGAACACATCTCGCGCTCAGTGGGCACTATTCTTTCTAGCTACCCCGGTCATGTTCTATAGTGCTGGGATTTTTCATCGAAGGAGTATCAAAGAGATTCATGCGCTGTGGAAGCGGGGGAGCACAGTTCCTATCCTCAAACGTTTAACGAGATTCGGCAGTATGAACCTCTTGGTTTCTTCTGGAGTTTCTGTTGCCTATTTCTCTTCTATCGCTCTTCTTGCCTTGGCTGCAGTTCAGCCAAGATCCCCAGATGGTCAAGGAGACCAGTCTACTTACTTTGATTCAGTGGTTCTTTTGACTATGTTCTTGCTGATCGGTGTGCACTGATTATCATGATCTTTGTTTTGTCTGGATCACTCATGATGAACTCCTAGGTCGATATCTGGAATCCTATAGTAAGGCTCGCACTGCGGACGCTATCAGTTCCCTTGCCTTGTTGAAACCGGCAGAAGCATACTTACTTACTGCCTCTGACGAATGGTCTGGCTCTTCTGTATCGTCTTCCGAGGGACTGACAGCTGTTCCCACGACAGCGAAAGGAGCAGTAGCGTTCAAGATTGAGAATATCCCTGCGGATATGCTGGAGCTTGGGGACATAGTACGCGTTCCTCATGGTTCTTCGCCGCCTGCGGATGGTATGATGGTCTCTGGAACGTCTGGCGTTTTTGACGAAAGTTCATTGACCGGAGAATCCGAGCCTGTTAGGAAAGAAGCTGGCGATAAAGTTTATGTGGGCACTATCAATCGCGGCGACGTCGTTCATGTTTCTGTAGTGGATATTAGTGGTACCACGATGTGCGTCATTCAGTTTTGCTTTGCTATCAGCACTAACGTTTCGGTAGGTTGGATAATATAATGGAGGTTGTGCGCGAAGGTCAAACCCGACGTGCACCCATGGAACGCATCGCCGACATTGTCACGAGTTATTTTGTCCCAGTGGTGACCCTATTGGCTATAAGCACCTGGATCATTTGGCTTGCCCTTGGAGAGTCAGGAAAACTCTCTGCAGATGTTCTGAGTAATCTGTCAGGAGGTTGGCGTAAGTACTTATATGCTGTCCTATAATCATAATCCTTGACACCTACCATGAATATAGCTGTTTGGTCACTCGAATTCGCAATTGCCGTCTTTGTTGTTGCATGTCCCTGCGGTATAGGTCTTGCTGCGCCCACTGCGCTCTTAGTGGGATCCGGCCTTGCAGCAAAATATGGTCTTCTGGCCCGGGGCGGAGGCGAAGCGTTTCAAGAAGCTTCTAGATTGGACATTGTAGTCTTTGACAAAACGGGCACCATCACCACTGGAAAGCTTCAGGTTTCAGACGTGAAATATGTTACGAACAGCTGGAACGAAGAAACGATACTCGGAATCATAGACGAAATGGAAAGTACGAGTTCCCATCCGTTAGCTATTGCCATTCGAGAATTTTGCGCAGCTAAAACAACTCATCCGCAAAATGGAGCTTCTTTTCGGGAAACTGCTGGGAGAGGGTTGTTTGCTTCCTTCCAATCACTTTCTTGTTCAGTCGTCATTGGAAATGAATACTGGATGCAAGAGAATAGTGTGCAAATTAGCCTAGAGCTTCGGGACCTCGCTGACTCATGGAAAAATGAAGCAAAGAGTGTAGTTTTTGTCGCAGCGCAACGTGACGCTCAGTGGGAAGTATTAGCCATCTTTGGAGTGGCCGATCTCATTAGGCCTGAAGCATCCAACGTTATTTCATTGCTTATAAAAGCTGGAATCGAAACATGGATGATCTCGGGAGACAACGAGAAGACTGCCTTGGCTGTTGCGGCTGCTGTTGGAATACCATCCTCTAATGTCATCGCCGGAGTTCTTCCTCAGGAGAAGGTCAGTTCGCTCTTCTATCAGATACACTTAAACACTGACTGCTGCGACTCAGGCTCAAAGGATACAATGGTTACAAAGAGGACGTCCTGTCTTACCCTTCACAGGCACTGAAATGCCTAGCAATCACTTCGTAGTCGGGATGGTTGGAGACGGGATAAACGACGCGCCGGTTAGTTCTCAATGTGTAGAGTCTCATGGGCCGCAATGATGATCTGTATCCTTAGGCCCTTACCTCTGCGGACGTAGGAATTGCAATAGGTTCTGGAAGTATGTTTCTTCTTTGCTTATTTTCTGCGTAATCTTTAACAAGGCCTCTAGGCGATGTTGCTATCTCTAGCGCCAGTTTCATCTTGCTCTCCGCAGACTTGAATGGTTTGCTCAACCTTATCGATCTTTCTAAGGCTGTGATAAGAAGGATAAAGTTCAATTTCGTGAGTCGATACTTCTGTGAGATTTGACAGAAAGATTACCTTCTACTTAGTTATGGGCGGCGATATATAATATAGCTGCGATACCCATTGCAGCGGGCGTCATTTATCCTGCTGGCCGTGTGCGCCTTGATCCAGTATGGGCCTCTCTTGCAATGGCGTTATCGTACGTGCCAAATCTTTCAAATGAGATGGATTCAACACTCACCACAGGCAATGCCCTACAGTTCGGTTTCTGTCATTTCCAGTTCTTTGTTATTGAAGTTGTATAAACCTCCGAAGAAGACCTAAAAGTTCGACACCACATACAACCCCGTTCTGTACCACCTTATTTCACACAAGTTGCATAAATCTACGTTCGATAAGTGATGTACGTTGTCAGTAAATCAGTACGATTGGGCATGTTAGGCTGTAGTGAGAACAAGTACGGCAAGACAGAAAAAAGTATAAATAAAGCAATACACACAACCCTTCAACAGAAAACAAAACCCGTTTGAACGGAAGAAACAATGCCACCAAAGCTCAATAGGAACCATCCCACTTCAATAAGAAGGGAACACTCCGGCATAGAATAGCAGCGGTAGGCGTTATAACTAAAGCTTTTTGAAAATAACGTTAGTGTCCGGAAAGCCTGCCAGTGCGGATAGTACAACGTCAAAGGTATCCTGAAACCCGTTCATCAACACAATACTACAAACAACCATAGACTACCTTTTGAACTGCCTTTTGAAACAGTTAACTCAGAGACCGAAAGTGATGCGGTGAGCCTACCTTAAGCCCGACGTGGAACGGGAACTGTGACACTGTCTCTATCAAACCCTAGCGGGAAAGATGATAGATCACTGGTGATAGCCAATGTATCAAGACTTGCGCGCTGGCGTCCACTGAAAGCCGAAGGGGCCGTCGAATCCCTGGAGTTACCAGTGTCTATCTGGAAAGGGAAAGACCCCAAACCAGTGGAGACTGTAGAGAGCTGAGAGCCGGTGGACAAGCCCAGCGTCTTTCTGTTTGGAGTGGGCACTACAGCATTGGAGTCCAACTTCGAGTCGAACGGCGTAGCTTGGAAGTTCTGGGAGCTCATTGGTGAAGGAGGAGATACATTGAACGCCTGTTGCGCAAGCGGTGAAAGGGGCGGCGACCTAGCCGGCCGATTTGAAATGGGCGACGGAGGAACAAAAGGGAATGATTCGAGGATAGAGTCTGCTGTAGCAGACATAGCTGATGATGCAGATATTCTCCTACTCTGAACCCCACCTTGTGCTTGCGCCTGCGCTTGAGCATGAGCAAGCGCTCGTTGCTGTTGTTCTTCAAAGGTGTCTAGCTCAGTAGTAGCGGTGGAAGGGTTCACAAGCTTGCCCATAGTGGTACGGGTTCTAGGAGTTAATACACCCGATTCCCTGCTTAGTTGACTTAGACCGAGGTTGACACGAGTAGCGTTAGCGATATCGATAACCGAACCTGCTTGCGTACTGACACTGGAAGGGCGACTGCCATCGTCACCTGTAGACCAAGGAAGTCGAGGTCCAGTTTCTGCCCAATCCGTACCTGTATTGAAAGCAGGAGAGGGTTCGCCAAAGGTTGTATGAGAAGCTGCTGGTGAAGAAGCCAGTGTGGTACGGGTTGAGTGCCTATCACTAAACGGATTTCCGCCTTCCTCTGACGTTGAGACAGATGCTGCATCGAAGTTGAGATCAGCCGGCCCGAAAGATGATGCAGCCAACGGTGATCTGACTGCGGGTTTCGAGGTAGATGCAGAAGGTTTCAGTCCTTCAGCACTTGTCGGGGAATGTCCGGGGGCATTGACCATTTCAGCTTTGACGACCCCAAGAACTTGACGTACAGCGCCCTTGTTGGGAGTCATGATCATAGGTGCTTCGTTAAGGAAGTCACTTGAATAGCTAGCGCTCGACATGTACGAGTTCCTCGACATGGCTGATACATCCGAACGCGTGGACGTTGGATAATTCCCTATTTGCTTTAGCGAATCATGAGACACATTTATATGATCCAGATTGAGGTCGATTTCCGGAGTGCGAGCAGGACGCATAGGCGATGGAGATCGAGAGGTTTCCGTCTCTGACGAAACTGCAGAGTGGTGCAGGGAATCGGGAGTAACAAGGGCGATAGGGATAACGTTGGTTCCTTCCGTGCCGGTAGTTTGAATGGAATGGTTATCCTCGAAGGGATTAGAGCGCATTGAGGTCCTCTGAGTGTTGGTCCCAGTGGTGTGATTAGATGAGGACTGTGATTCTGGATCGAGGTCGATGGTTGTGTTTGAAGAAGTGGAATACACGCGAACAGTATTCAGCTCCGTAGCAGGCGCAGACGTAGAGGAGTGATGTTTCTCCATAGGATCGGGACGATTCAAAACGTCATCTGCTGATGCGGGAACATCTTTGACCTCTACCGTAGGAGCGGTGCTGCGGAAGCGCGGACTGCGGCGATACCAGAAAAAGAGTACAAAAACTATAGCAAGGAAAACCAAGGAACCAACAACAGCGCCGGCAACGGCACCGGCACTGATGCCTTTACTAGAGGTGGAAGAAGGTTGTGGATTGTCCTGGCATTCATAAAATGCACATTGAGTACAAGATCTAGAATAAAATAAGTAAGGAAATCAGAGAAGATGAATCAAAGAAACTCTGACTTGTTTATGAAAACGCAAGTCTGGTCTGTGGCACAACTACAACTGGGAACGTCGCAGTCGTTAACGCAGTCGTCTCTGCCGCCCAGAAGAGCATTAATATGCATAGAGAGAAATGGAGGAAAGAATGTGGAGGGAGCTTGACGAGTAATCAAAGAGAAGCGATCCTGTGCTGATTACCAGCAGCGTCGAGTGGAGGAAGAGAAGCAAGAAGAAATAAGTAAGTCTCTGGGCTCGGTCGACGTTGGTGTGTAACCAAGATATTGTCACACTTGTTGTGACTTTGTAAGGGTTGTACGAGTACGTTAGCCGGAAATACTGAATTGAAAATTCAACACTGCTTTCTTCTCCAACCATATGGCTCAACCAGAAATCATCGACCTCACTCTCCCTTCATCTCAGTCCCCCCACGCATCATTTGCTGATGAAGACGTTCAGATCATTCCACAGCCTAAAAAGCGCAAAAGCAGTCGCTCCAAAGATAACAAAAAATCCACCAAGAAACTCAGATCGGAAACTCCCATAGATAACTCCAAATTATTTATCGTTGACCTTGATCCATCTGAAGCTCTGCGGCCGACGATATCTACCATACCTCAGGAACACGAGTCCAATGAAGGCAAACTCTTACTGCCAGCTCACGTCTCCGTGCTTGGCTCTGTTCCTGTTGAGATCATAGCTCCAGCTTCGGAAGACCAGGATTATGTTGAATATCTTGATTACGGTGGACCCGACGTACATAAATCTTATGTTCTCATCACATGCTTTGTGGTTGACTTACGGAAACACAGGAGTTGGGTGTAACACGGTATTTTCAACTGGAACCAGACAGAACGAAGACTGCAAGTGTAATTGTCTGCAAACACTGCGGCGTCAAAGGAGACCACAAAACTAGTGCTTGTTCGGTCATAATAGTGCGTACGAGCTTTTTCACCAAGATAGTCCTCTCAATATATCCATTTGTAGTGTCTAACTTGCGGCGTTCGCAATGAGCATTCTACTTACTCCTGCCCAATCAGTAAAGTCTGTTTTGCATGTGGGATGAAGGGCCATTTGAGTGCAGTTAGTGATAGTAATGCTATCTCCCAAGTGAAGTTATCTTACGCTCCTGTATAGAGTTGTCCAAATCGTGGCAAGCTTGCAAATACTTATGACGATTGCGACCGATGTGGTTCGTCCGCCCATGCGACAAGCGTACGTCCCTACAAAAATTTATCTTGTTTACATCAACCAACCCCACGATACCCCACGAACAGGAATGCCCCACACATTGGCGAATTTACCACTATGTGAAGGATGCAGACCGCATCAGTACAATGGAAGCTCGCAGATCAAAAAAGACACGTCCTTTGGGTCAAGGTGGAGAAGGTTATATTGCGGAAGATAGCTGGTGCTATAATTGTGGCGAGTGTGGTCATTGGGGGGATGTGCGTATATACATTCGGTTTCACCCCATTTTCGCTTCTCATGATATATCAAGGATTGTGAGGTAATGCGGCATGTCCACGACATTCCTGATGAGAACTCTGCTTTCGGAATCACCAATCTCCTCACAGGTCCCTTCTCTGAAATTGAGACGGGCAACACCGACCGGGCACCTCGGGAATGGGAGCTCGATTCAGCGGAATGGAACGACTGGGGTGGCCGAGTTCCAATTAATGTCGGACGACAAGCCAAGAAGAAGGAGATAGCACGAATGCGCGCGCACCTGCTAGATGATGAGGATGAGGATGATCCCTTCTCACGCCTTGCGAAACCTATGCGTGATGGTGCCAAGAAAAACCCGGGGAACGGTCAGAAACCGCCGAGTCAACCGAAGAAGATGCGATTCGAATTGAAGGTGAAAGGTGCATCCAATCAAGCATCTGGACCTCAGGATCTTTTAAGGAGGATCAGCTCAGATGTTGGTTCGAAAGGCTCTGGTCGACCAAAGGACAACGACACATATCACCGTCAGCATGGCAGCGGACGTTCCGACAAAGACAGAGAGAGAAAGAGAAATCAATATCGGGACAGAGATAGCCCTAGAGAAGACAGGAATCTGAAGAGAGAACAGGACCGAGGACGGGAAAAGGGAAGAGAGCAAGGCCCCCGCTACAAAGGTGGTTATTCGAATGGATACTATCGATGATATCCTTACGTTAATCAACACTCATTGCTCATTGAGTAACTAATCCATGCATTAAACATTTTCTATTTTCTACCTACATAACTTACATTTTCTTGGTCGGCGTCTTGTGGATGGTAAGATCCACACGACGAGCTACCATCGCGAAAGTAAACAGAACCAACAACACTGTTGCAACTGCCATGGGTTTGCGCAGGTGAGCGGAGATCGGCACTCTGTACGAAACCTGGGAGAAAATATAACTGAGACTCGAGAATGAATGAATTGGCTCAACCCACATAGATAGGTTTTGCATGCTTATTGGTGAGGTTTTTATATTTGAAAATGACCATAGGTCGTCCAATGGTGTCAAGATACGTCACATGTGTTGAAATCTCGTTGGAAAGAGCAGGGAACGGCGCAACATAATCAACATCACTTTTTGAAAAACATCAACCATGGTTTGCTCCGAAAAGAACGACACTCACGTAGCGCCCTCTGGTAGGATGATGGAGATCTCTGCATCGTTGACGACGGCTCCAGGAATCTCTGTCATTACAGGGACACTAACAATGTACTTGCCCGTGTTTGGGTCGTAGCTACCCGAGTCTCCCAATGGCGCATCCCATCCAAGGGTGTAAGTGTAATTCCAGCCACCCATGATGGGGTATCGTGGCTTGAGTTCCAGTACGCTGTTTTGTGTATTTTTCAGTCCACGGGAAACCGAAGGCGCGACACGTAGGTGAGATGTTGAAACGTTCCCTATCTGGTCAAGGTAATAGGTGTTTCGGATGCCAGGAGGGAGTTGGACAGTAAACAATGGAAGAACATGAGGAGCGCCGCGACCATAGAACGACTGAGTCTGGTGTTGAAGTCGCGAAAAGTGTCCATTGAGTCTATGCATTGATGAACCAACTGAACCATGAAGACATGCGTGAAAGATCATACCGCGGGCCTGCATTATGGAGAACAATATCATCTTGAATGTTCAGATTGGCTCCCCAGTGACTAATTTCCGCTGCACGTCTGAGCTTGAGCACTTCCAAGACAGGGTAATCATAGCTGTAATGCAAAACAACACGTTGCTGGTATTTATCAAGGAAGGCTTGGTTTGCTGATGGAGGAACGTTACTGTAAGGGCCATACGTTACAGTCGATCCGGATTTAGTTACAGGATTCTCGAGGGTGAATGCCTGGACATTCTCTGGCGTGGTGTAGAAGATGATACGAGGGGAAGAAGACCTAGCGGACAAGTAAGAACTTCAGTTACGGCTGGCCATATGAAAGACATACTTGAGCTTCGTTCGCTGGACACTGGTGTTGTAAGGGCTCAGAACAAAAAGAGATGTCTCATATTTGAGCGATTGGTCTTCGTCCTGGGCGGCTTGCTGCGGCCAAGGCCGCGTAGTGTGGGTCTGCACAGTTTCGAGAACCAAATTGATAGTCGCTCCAGCTTCAAGAGGCTTCTCAAGGGAGACATCCAAATTATGAGATTTACTGTCGGTTGCGATATTAGAATGAAAGCCAAACGAAGAACAGATCAAGCCATACGAACCTACCAGCCGGGGCCCCGCTATAAGTAACAGTCAAAGGCTGTTGCTTGCCTTTAACTTTGACCTCCAGCCAGCTGGTATTGAATATCTCATCCTCTGGAAGAGTGATAGTATACACGCCCGCAGCTTCCTTGAGGGCCTTGACAGCAAAAGTTGTCGTGACGTGTACGAGAGAACCTCCGAGGTCGATGGTACGAACGATGGCAGAATTTTCAAATGACTGACTGGATGCTGATGCCGCTGCTGAAGCCAGCAAAAGACATGAAATTGCGTTCCATAGACGCAGCATAATTCGTGGAAAGAGTTGGACAATGTAACTTCGAAAAGAAAGCGTGAACAAATTTAAACGACGTGTCGCCCAGGGCGCCTATTTCCAGGGCGCGTCTGTGGACGGGGAAGCCTCTTCATTAGCAAGTAGATTACACTACATATTTACCAGGCCCACATAGCTCCTGGATTGCGTATAGGCTTATCTTCCCTTACCGCCGCGGCGGCGATTATTCTCTTCAACTTGTACGCCCGTTCCTTCTCCTTCTGCTCCTCCACAGACTTCCCTTCCCTCAGCACGACGTGCATTTTAGCTTGCTTGTGTTTGCGAATACCCATGTGCCCACGTCCTCGAGGCTCTATTCGTTTGAGGACTTTTCCTTTATTCACCCATGCCTCGGCTAAGTGCTGCGGTCAGTATATACAGCAAGAGCAAGTATGAAAAGACGTATACGAACCAACGACTAATTTGGAATTATCGAGATGCTTATATCGGTATGCATGATCCTTTGCAGTAGCCAACATGTTCATGATTCGTTTACTGGCCCGTTTTTCGCTAAATTGCATCTGCAGGATTGCATAGTCTATCGGTTGCCCAGAAATCTGATTACCTAACATGTTGAGTTTTCGAGGAGAGATCTTGAAGTAGGTCGTAGAATATTTATGCTAAAAGCGAACAAGAGGTCAACTACAAGCAGTGAAGGAGACTTGTTGGCACAAACCGAAGTCGGCAGCGGCTTTTTGGGCTTCTCAACTTTGGCTGAAGCGACAGAGGAAGATTTCTTCGCAGCAGCAGTCTCCATTCTATGAACGACTGATTTAGTCTGTTCGAACAAGCTGAGCTGGCCCTCTTCTCTCGCTTCTGCCTTGGCTGCTAGAATATCCTCCTTCGACTCTTTTTCTCGGCGGTCCGCTGTAAGCTTTTGTCTCAGCCAACTGAGAGGGTTGTAGGTACTCGCACTATTTTGCATGGGATCAGGTAACGGAAGAAAGATAACTAATTTGTGGCGGACTTTCTGGTTTGTAGACGTCTTTGAATCGACCGAGAAGGTCCAACAACAAAGGCATGCGTCGGATGAGCAGTAGATATTGAACGCGTCACTGTGACAGTGTTTAGGACCCTTTGTTGACAAAGAGAAACATTGCTCACCATTGAGGAGACCTCTGTGCATCGCGAGAGTGAGATTCTAAGATTCAGAAGTACGGTTATTCTGAAGTCACGTTACAGCACCGCCGTTTCACGCACCTCCACCACGTCGACCCGCTCTCGGTCGCCGTCCCTTTTTTTTTGCTCACGATGTTGGGCACCATCATATATGTGTCTATTCTACTCGTGAATGCAATGGCCGTATTGAGTGAAGATCGATTTTTGGCGCGAAGTATGCCCTGAACGAGAATTCCATGTACTGTCACTGCTCACTCTCAATTTCAGTCGGTTGGACTTCTGCTCGCCCTCAAAGCAACAACAACCCAGGCTTCCAAGCCTACGATCAGCCTGCCTTCGGCCAGGAAGTTGCAATCAAAACGAAGATAATAGACCTCATCAGCGCTGTGCGGACGTTGCTGCGTAGTACGTGTATTCGTTATATCTTGACTTCAGACCACTAAATCTCAAGAAACTCATAGTACCATTGATCGCAGTTAACATCATAGTGATCATGTACGAACTAATACTCGGTGGTTAGAGAATAACCTTCGGTTTCGACCATTGTATCACCTTCTCGAAATATCCCCTCATAATTCATGATCTTGAATTCCAAATACTGCACATCCGAAACACACCCAACTAAGTGTCGGTATACTACACATCGTGTTCGAAGCCATGTAGTGTCAACAGACTACATCCTCGAGGCGTCGGGACTCTGTCGGAACAAGGTTAGTACTTGGCCCGGCTGCGAGCGCGGAACACGTACCCTTGAAGGAAAGTTAATAGGCCTCTGCCTCCCTTAGGTAGCATGCAGTCGTAGTATACCCCTGAGTTATTCTGACTACCTAGCTGATATATCAACATCGTCCCTTGCCACTTCCAAACCCCTCCATTAATTCCGCCTGGTTGCTCATCCAGCATCATCTGGAGTGGGATTTGGTTTGTCCCAGGTGCATCTTCGGTGCCGTTGACAACATTTACGGCGTGAATACTCGTCTCATTTACATATCGCCACAAGCGACTACGATGAATGTAAAAGAGTGGAGTTCCAGCAGCACCAGATGTTATAGTCAGATTCCCGATCGCATCTGTTCAAAACAGGTTCAACATTGTCTTTGGATTGAGCCTAGGATTCAGTAGGATGACCACTGTTGATACTCACCCGGCGGACGAACGTTTAGGTGTCTTGGCGCTGATTTCCGACTATGACCTTCACGGAGAGCTTGCAAAGAAGACAATCCTGGAATGAGCGAGCCTATAGAATATTGGCCCTCGAAGGTTGGTACAGCGAAGGCTGTCACAGCACAGAACAAGAGCACAAAGAAAATAGTGGTTCGGAATCGATACATGACGTCCATCCATCTTGAGAAAGACGTGCAAAGCCTTATTTAAGTATTGGAACTTGAATTCCCGCACATTTAACGCGACGTGTCCTTGGCCCAGTTAGCTTGAAGCGGTTTCCGAAATTCTACCCAGGTAAATTCCGATTCAGCCAGTAAGAAATTAAGAGTGATAAAAAGCGCGTGACCGTCCTCAAAAATTCATGGTCCGTGCGCCGAATTCGATGCTTTCACGACATTCACTAGCAGCATTGTCAAACACCGTTCCTTTACGTTCATTTCACGCTAGAGCAGGTATTTCAACGAACCGTCGCCTTCACGGTCATCCTGAACCTAGTGCACCCGGAAAACAGCTTTCTAGGAAATCTTCGGCAGAGAACACCGTCGCAAAATACAGGTCGAAACATTACAGTCCCTCTCATAAAGAGCCCAACCCTGATGGAAAGATTCTCCTTGAACCCCACATTCTCTCTGGACGGCTAAAGAAGCTATGTGACGGAGCTCAGGTTGATACTGCTGTCGCCATGCTGAAAAATTCTCCTCTGGGTGCACAAAATGTACCGGTATGGAATACCTTGATTTGGGAATGCCTGAAAGCGGAACGATTTCGGTTGGCCCATGATCTCTATATCGATGTGCGTTCTATAATTTCTGCTCACACTGTCTCAACTGTTACAATTCTGAGCAATCGACTAGATGAAGCGACGAGGTCACAGACCAAATACCCGAACTTTTCAAACTCTGATGAATGGTCTAGCGCGGATAGAAGATTGGGAGTCGCATCCAAAACAACTTGCAAATGCACATTCCGTCCATCAAGCTTTCATGCGTCATGTCGACGCTGTGAAGAAGCACGACCCATCGAGCGCTGAGCTTTCCCTCGCTCCAACCGCTGCCTACGTAAAGATCCTCGGTGCAACGGGCCTTCACCAGGAAATATTCGACGTGTTTTATAGCCTTGACGCGGAAGGTCGTCTCGCTCCAGACCATCTTCTGTTTACAGCCATGTTCCAAGCATTGGCCATGAAGCCTACGGCAGAAACAGGAGATTTTGTACAAAACGCAGCTAGTGCAAAACTGTTGTGGAATCTAATGACAAAAGCGTTGCGTCGAACTAAATTCCAAATTGACGGTCAATTGGTTTCATCCGCGATGGTAGCCCTCTCCCGAGGTCGTACCATTGACCAGGATTTCGCCTTCAGCCTTGCAAATGAGTACTTTGGTTTGGTCGGGCTCGATGGGGTGGCCGATTCTGCTCCTTCCGAAGGGAAAGGCATCCTTCCACTTCAACCACAGTCCTTTGCCGCCATTTTAACCCTCTGTCGGAATAGCTCCCGTCCCCTCCACGCAATCAATTTCTTTGGTGCTGTTCTCCAGCGTCCCGAATCTCAAGGTGGACCATCCATCATAGATCGCGCACACGTCGAACAAGTTCTACACTCACTCATCGCCGCCAACATCTCTTCTTGTTCCGAAAAAGCTATAGAGCTTATCGAGTGGATGCTCACACAAGAGATCAAGCTTCCGTCAACCGCCGCAACAAAAATTCGTCCCACGTATCCAACATTCAATCTTCTCATCTCTCACATCTGCAGGCCGGAGAATAATTGGCGCGTGGCTGTTAAGGCGTTTGATCTTATGACGGGCTATCATTGTCACGATTTTATGGACGGCGTGGAGGCAAAGGAACCTCGCATTGATCATCGTTCGACAGGGAGAAACATCCCTCCAACAGCAGAGATATTATCGAGCATGATGAGGATCGCAGTAGGCTCAGAAAACAGGGCAAACATTCGCCAAGCCCTTCGTTTAGTCCACCATTTCGGGATCCAGTCGTTGGCGCGGCCTTCACATACCCTGGAATCAAAGAAAGCCGTGAAAGATAAACTATTCTATGCCTTTAAATTGGCACGTAGTGCAATGGAAGGCATAGATATATTGTCTTCACGGAGTACTGCACAGGATCGACCTCGAGATGATGATCTCGTGCGCTGGCAGTCACTTAAAGTCGAGGCCAAAAAGTTGTTGGGATCCGAATCTGACAATGATTTCATCCCCAATATACGCCGGAAACAAGTACATGCCAAACCCAGGGAAATTAGAGAGGGTGCTAGTACAATACAGTCAAATCGCTTGTCAAAAACTGGAGGTCGTATTCTTAATTTTAAGTCCTCGTAGAGGAGTATTACAACAGTAGCCCTTTTATTAAAACACTACTTACTCTACCTATTGCATTCCTATCAAATGAGTCCGAGAAAGACGTATCCAGGACATATCGGTCTCTGTAGACCCCCAAAAAAGAACATCATGCTGTGCGAGATGAAGGTGAATGAAAAAAAAGAGTCCGAATTCGATTATAACTTTAAAGGAAAATGATCAAAGCAGGATATATGAAGTAAATGACCAGATGCGCAGTAAAGGTACACGAAAACATGGAGAGATATAGGTCCATAACAACTGAGCGAACTAAGAACTCAAGCAACGCTCATCGGTCGGTCTCCCGATGAACCCTCTCCTGCATGTGCCCTCATGAAAGCAGGGTTAGGTGTCATTGTAATATCCTCCTCTAAAGGATGAGCTTCGTGCTGAGGAGTTGGCATGGGCGGAGGTGTATTTCCCATACTGATTGGTCGGTCGATAGTCTTTGCGTCATATTGGAATCTCGCCCGAGGAGGCGTAAATGGCTCATCTAGCATCTGCGTTGATTGAGGGCTACCAAGTCCACTCGGACCTGCAATAGTGGAACTCGTGCTCGGTTGGCGGTCGAAATGCGAAGATCGCATTGGAGAGCGGGGGGGAACAAATAGCGGATCCTCTGGACCATGTGCTTGGCTCGCAGGAGCCCCAGCCACAAACGGTTGATAAGGATTGTTCGACGGCATCCCCATGCTTCTTGGGCGGTCGTCAGAAAAATCCCGGAAGCCAGGTGATGGAGGGCCGAACAATGCATCTTCAGGAGTGCCATCCTGATGAAAGCTACGCTGCGAGGGTAGAGTTGCGAGGCTTGAAGGCCTATCAGCTCCCTTTCCGCTCCTAATTGAACCATTGTACTTCTTGAAATGAGGCGAGGGTGGAACAAACATTGTATCTTCTGTCAACGCCATAGAGATCGGTTCGTAGGTATGTGGCTCCGTAGTGGCAGCACTGTCTCGGCTGTTCAAAGGCATAGGACTCATCCTACCCATCGGAGCACGAGTTCTCACATCCATGATACGCTGCCTCTTGTTCTTTTTGGTCCTCTTGCAAAGTATAATGATTCCCACGATAGTAAGGGCAAGAAGCACGAGGGCGTTGAGTGCAACGATAGCCAAAATAACGGGAAAGTAGGTTCCGATTTTGGCCAATGTTTCCGCTACTTCAGTAGATAGATCCACGGACGTGACAGAGGCAGTACTAGCAGTGGCATTGGATTCATTGTATGTGATTCCAGTTTTAGCAGTACCACCGCGAGCTTTAACGAAATCTCCCGATGCCTCGTTGGGATCAACAAGGGATAGCAATTTGAGGAAAGGATCAATCATCTCTCCATTAGAATTGAAGTCCCCAAAATCATAGACGGAGTACATAGCGCGAAGCACGTTGTCACCGAGTAGCCAGTCACTAGATAATGGATTAGCCCAGATTAATGCACATTAAGATCCCTATATTTACAAGTCATCGCCGGCGAAAGAAGTCGGAACAAAGGTTCCAAGGCATGTAGAGGAATCGGCCGAATTCTTGATGTTGATATCAAGAGGATGGAGAGGGAAGATTTGACCACTGCAAACCGAATTATTAAGAACAGGGTATAGATGAGAAACCGTTTAAACTTACCCAAGTTGAAGAGCCATGTCAATTTCTGCATCACATGGTAATACCCACTGCCCGATATCAGAGCTATATTGTGCGCCGGTAATCCCACTATAAATGATTTCGCACACATCTGAAGGAACATAGCTGAAGAATGATGAATGTCAGTAGATAGTCTGAGGTATATAAGAAATGATATAACTAACGACCACGAGGTACCGGTATCAAGAACTACTACAGCTCTGTTTGAAGGCACGTCTGCAACTTGAGTGGTAGGACTGAGTGTATCCGAGCCAATCATGTATGCCTCTAGTAAAACACTCCACCGTGTCGGCGAAACGATTGGCCAAGTAGGAATTGAAGTTTTGTTCGCGACTGCGGTGTACGCAGGGTCATATTCACCTTACAACGGATGAGTAATAAGCCCAAAGCTTGAATGACCGAGCGCGTACCTATACTAAAACTCCCTTCAACATCATCGCTGTCAGCATCGTCGTCAGAGCTGCGTTCAAGGGCGAATGCAATAAAGTTGGGTTCGGAAGGGTTTTGCATGAACAAATTGTATAACAAGCTTCTACCACTCGAAGAATCTGAATTGTTCACAAGAGCATCGATGGTAGAGAGACTGGTGAACCCTAAACCAGCAATCCCATCAGCGCCATAACTCAATGCAGGATTGCTTGCTGATGAGGTGTCCAGGTATGCTTGGGTTGTAATGTTGATGCTGAGAGTACGAAAATCAATGAAGGCTCTACACAAGATGAGTATTGCTACACGCACCCTGCAAATCCTACACTCGCATAAGACACTGTGCCATAGGCCCAACCAATACCATACTATAATGAGTGTTAGCATCTTAAAGCTCCCAGACGACATATTGAAGGAAATCACGGTGATATTGTACGTGGTAGACTGTTGAACCGTTAGTTGAGCTGAGCATGAAAGCGAATAGCAAAACGTACAGTTTGTGAAGAATTTGGCAATGGTGAGGAAGTGCCTTTGATCCAAAGGTCAGAAGATCCAGTGTCCAATTGTATAGGATATTCTGAACGAAAACATGAGCCGAAATAGGTAGTCTGGAAACTTGGGGACACCAACCGACGCCTCCAACAGTGATCTGAAAATGAGAAATGGGTGAAAGGTTTATAGCACAAGCTGCGCGATTACTTACATCGGAAATGTAAATGAGGTCTGACACAGTGCTAGACCAAGGGACGTTCAGCAATGGCTGGAGCTCATGGTAATGTTGCGCACCTGATAGTATCATTCGTGGACGTGGTAACGTTCCCAGATGCCCTTTTTTGGAGGGAAGAACGTTTAACTTTCCGTACTGGAAATTTGAGAGCGTCGGAAGTGACGATAAGTGTAGTCAGCACCACTAGGATGAAATGGAGCTTCATCGTTGGTGAGTTATTTGGTGAGACGTAAAGAGCGACGTGTAAGGAGGGTGTATGAAGAAAGAGAGAGAAGCCTTCTCATGAAAGCGAGGAGATACCGCAGCAGACGATGGAAGAGTCCTGCGAACCTCGCAACCGTTGTTTCTCACCAAGTCCAAACTTCATCATATTAAATTGATGGTTCGGGAAAAATAACTTGTGCTCGACTATAGAAATTATGTATGTAAATACATGCTATCGCATCCAGGACCACGAACATGCAAGTCTTATGTTGATGAAGCTGGAAGTAACCTATCCCAGACCTATCCCAAAGTACTTCCCGCAGAAGCTCAGCACTTGAGCTTGAGTAGCCACCACCGCCGCCGCCGTTACTTCAAGTTCGTCAGTTTGCGGTGCGTTGCCCACCAAAAGAATCTAGTGATTGTCAAAAGCTGACAGATCCGGAAATATCAAATTTGAATCGTATGACTGGAAAGTTCTGGTTGGAAGGAGGCGAGAGTATTGAGTGATGCGGGGTTTGTGGGGAAAAGGACGGGTGCAAGCTGTAAATCAAGTGTTCTACATACTCTGTGAGAGGGATCAAACGAAGGATAGGGAAGCAAGGGCATATGTAGAGAAGAGAAAAGAAAAGGTTCGAAACTGACCATCACTGCAACGCTAATGATTAATAGCTTCGCCACTGTCGTTCGTGCTAGGAATTCCTGTTCAACCTAGTTCCTAGCAAGAGAATATCGCGGCTCAAACAATCAAACATTGGCAGAACACAAGACAAGACATGTCTTGTAAATCAAAATGGGTGACAAGCTTGGTATATGTAGTCACTGCGCAAACTAGAATCACTGGATACAACCCGCTCCGAAACATTCGTAGTCCCATACCTGAATCACGATTCAATATAATGCTAGTAGCAAAATCAGATAGTGATTAGACAGTTGCTTTCTTGCACGAAATCTAATGAGATGAGGTTATCGAGGTCCCAAGCAAGTATTATCCGTGCGAAACGCACCGCTGAGATGCAGTTGTGAATCACTCGTGAATAGTAGGAAGATAAGAGCGTTGAACGCTGAAGCTTTGAAGACATACTTGGTTCGCTATACGGTGCATGCAGATGACTGAGTTGTTTAGGAGGTGTCCTCCTGAGGTCCAAACGATGCGCCCAGGATGCGCCTCTTCACAATTGCAAGAGTGTTATCACCTAAGCAACCGAGATTGGAGATATATAAGTTGCAGCTACGAAGGACTGTCGTTTGCATATAACCCGGCCTCGGACGGCATATGAGTTATTCTTGTACTTTGGGTTCATTTTGCACTGCCACCGCCTTTCGCGGAAACTCGGACTGAATTCGTAATTTCTAAAAAAAAAAATAGAAATCTAAATCTCTTGCACACGTCGGAAACACGTACTTGCGATGTACCTTTCCGAGAGGACACGTTCATTCACGGATTGATCTTGACCCCCATTATTCACGGCTTGGTTAATCAAGATTTGCGGAATGACAGGGTGTCGGCTTGCCGCGGTATTATGTTTGTAGCTTGAGATGACTCGGGACCTCTAACCTCCTCAACCCTCTATAAGGACCTATAACTTTAAGGACAGTTTGGAATTGGCATGGGTTGTGAATGGTGGAATTCTTGATTCAGATGATGAATCCTCATTGCAACGAAGGGAACCTTGTCGTTGTTGAAAGCTCTACTTGTTGACACAGGTTGACACCTACTAGATTTCTCCCGGAAAGCGTTTATTGCAGACTAATGGAAGAGATAGGAAAACTGGTGATGGCCGCTAATGCGGGTTTCCGTTGAAGGTTCAAAGTTCGGATTGAAGATTTGACATCAATAATCATAAGTTACGACGTCAATTTCGTTCTCTTCCGTTGTGAATCCGGAATAAGATTGGCCTTGATTGGCGTTGTGCCAGACGCGTCCGAAAATTTTCCTGTCCTCTGAGTTGGAACTGAGAAGGTATACCGATGGCGTCGAGATGGCGTTGATTACTATTAGAAGGTCAGAATGGCTTTAGTAACTGAGGTTGCTTTCAAAGCTTCGCCAGTCAAATGAGTCAGTTAAAAGTTATTGTGAGTCAGCCTCCAATTGATGGATATCGATAGAGATCGATGGATGACTGTACAGCGGAAAATTACAACGAAAATTAGAAAAGCTGTAAAGGACGTTCTGAAAGCTACGGCTACGCTTCTAGCTCTGAGCGGGTCATTGGGGCGTAGTACTTCTACTACTGCTGCGGGGACGAGTGGAAAAACTCGGAAAAGAAATGACTGAACTTTGCTTACGATTTTTGCGGAAGAGCTGGCTCGGCAGAAATTGAGCCGCAGTGAATGGGGGTAATCATCAGCCGAGTCCCGATGGCAATCGCTCAGTCATCGCGTCACCGAGTCAAACGGAAACCTCACCTTTACTTTTTCGGAACCAGACATATATAATGGCAACGCCTCAACCCATTTTCCGAAACCGTTCGCCTCGTTTGCCAAATGTGCACCAGCGCCAGCTCATCCAGCTCTTCATCGTCTTCACCGATGTCTTCGCCCAAGTCTTCTCCTGTCCACCATGCCAGCCTTGTTGACCCTTCTATCCACTCGCCAGCTCTTCTTGAACTGGTGGACATTCAGCTTTCGAAACAGATCATTGGTGATTATCTTATGCTTCTTTTTATTAAACTGGAGTTCTAATTATTTTTTTTTAGATTATGTCGTAGATTGTGTAGCAGAGACTGTCGATTTTGCGATGGGACGTCCCTCTCACACCCGAGGAAGAACACCTTCACATCGCCCAGAACACACCAAATTCACAACTTTCGTCACTAATGTCCTCACTCGAGCCGAAGTGACTACCCCTATCGTCCTTGTTTCGCTTGCCTACATTGATAGAGCAAAACCACATTTACACATTGCCCTCGAGGAATGGGCCTTAGAACGAGTGTTTCTTGGCGCGATAATTGTTGCATCAAAGGTTTGTATCTTCCCATACAACAACTCGAAACATGTCAACTTACCCCTTTTCACAGTATCTCAATGATTCTACGTTAAAGAACGTACACTGGGCACTGTGCACCGGTGTCTTCGGCAAGCGAGATGTGGGGCGTATTGAACGCGAGTTCCTCGATGTTTTGGATTGGGAATTGAGCATCTCAGAAGATGATATCCTTTCTCACCACGCTGGTATTTCTGCTGCTATCGCTCCTTTGACCTCACCTTCTCGCCATCATCATACCCATTCTTCCTCGCATCATCATCATCATCATCATCATACCGGATATCCAAGCCACCATACTCGAACCCACCATCGTACTTCGTGTCCAGAGCTTGAGCCTTCGAGTCCGATTTCCTCAGACGGTTCATCTTCCCCACGGACACCATCAACATTGAATAACTCTCCTGAATCTTTGGCCCCCACAAAAGACTCAATAGTTCCAACACATTCTAATTCAGGTCTTGGAGACCTTCTACGATCTTTTCCCATTCCTTCACATCATACGCAGACACATTTTCCGATACAAGTTTGAGTTTGTTTGACTTCACATCTTTTTCAACCCTTGCATATCTTCTCGAATGCCCCAACGTTCCCTATTGCTATCTATCTGATTTTGTTTCCCATCTACTCGCACTCGTATATGCACTCGCACAATAGTACTGCAGTGCTTCCCATCTCAACTTCGAAATTCGCCTCAATGTATATTTACGCCTACATAGTCTAAAGTTATATCTACCCCACTTATTTACTGCCTGTCTTACCTTACTGCAGTTGCACATTGCACCTATCAATGTGAAATCACACCTTATCTCTTTATCTCGAATTTTCCATAACACGACCTTCGCGTGAGCACTAAAAACGACAGTGAGTGGGCTTGAGTGGGATGACACGACTCTACAGCTGTCCGGAATCGACGTAACAACATATGACTGGCGGAAATTCAACCGCGACGCGTTAAAACGCGCCGACAAAATAATTCCGAACTTCCGACTGCGCTGTCTGCGCGGTGTGTAATCTTTAATGACATATTCCCGTTCTCTCCAATGCAGAAGACATTCGCGGCTACTTTCCGACTACATACTCGGGCAACCCTTTCGAGACGTCTGTTTGTAGATTAGGACGTCATTCGCTGTGTAATTATTCGGGCTTGAAAAGGGCCTCGTTCTATGTAATCCTGACATATCAAGATCCTCACAACCGAGTTAAAGCGAGTTAACCACAATTCCGCAGGTCCTGTATAGCTTCTCGAACTCCGTATCCAATTCTTTCTGTATTTTATCCACTTCCCAAGAGATCGCCTGAGATCGCCAGTGCATCAACGCGATCTCTTTGACATTTGTGCGGGGCGTCCCGGAAAGGGACGGTGACTGTATCGAACACCACACCTTATCACACTCGGGTGAGGGTGATAGAGCAATTCGTGCGACGATGTCTTGCGATGAAACTGAAGTAATTTCTCGATCCTTCATGAAATAAGTAGTGGATGACCCTCCCCCTCTTTAAAATCTCGGAGGGGGAGATCCTCTTCAAATCTCTTCAAATCTCTTCAAATGTGTACAATCTTGTACAATACACCATACTGCACAATTTTGTTCAACTTCTACAGATAGGCTCACCTAGTACATCTGCAAAACCTGGATGTTCACGAGAGCAAGGGTACTAGCTGGAGAGCGCTGTCCAGCACTGAAAGCACTCCCAGCAGTTTTTCAGTACTGCTGGGAGTGCTTTCCCAGCTGGACAGTGCTGTCAGCTGCTTTCGAGCTCTTAGCCGAAAATACAGGTTTTACAGATGTAGTTTGACACACTGGCATACACAAGTAGCTAAATGGTAATCATCTTCTAGTAACTTGGGAAAACTGGATGAAACAAATATGACAGTGCTCTTGCTGTAGCAACATATGACTCTATGAGATTTTCCGCACAAAACAAGCCGACATCATATTTCAGTGCGTCGTTGTTTGCTCCAAGAGATCTCCTCGCCGCCCATTCGAGCTCATCCGGCGCCCATGTTCCAACTGCAAAGCGAACCAGTTCATACAGCCTGTCGCTCTGTATTCGCTGTCATTTCGATGTTTTCTCATGTCTTCTCTTACCTTCGCCCATCCGCCTCCGCACTACACAAAAATTCCTAATCCAGGAACGATTTCAACGATTTCAACGATCGCGAGTATTTCGAAGCGACTGCCGCATCAGCAGAACATAGCTATATTTTTTGTTGATCTCGGAGAATGGCTCGAGAATTTGTGCCCTACATAAGCCTACATACCTCAGCAATAACGTTTCAACGTTGTGAAGCAAATTAGCATTCGGTGGTATTGAAGGGAACCGGGATCGTCTCCGCGGTCACGCTATCTTCCGAGCGCTTAGAGTGAGGTTTCCCCAGGTTTCCCAGGCTCATCAATCTGCTCTTGATCTAAACTTTCAATGGCGTCCAGGAGAGTTATTTCTCGACTAATCAATGCCTCTCAGCATACCGCATGTCCTTGCCATGGATGTGCCAGTCATTCTCATCATCAGCAATTAGCTGCCGTCAGTCAAGTTCGGTCTATGGCCACGCCTGTTCAAACGGTTCAGAAGGAATATGCATTCGAGGTTTGCATAGGAAGACATTTCAAATGCCCTTGTACTCTTTATTGACTTTCTACACAAGGTGTCTGGTTCTAATCTGAGATTTGGTGACGGTGTCACTGCAGAGGTGGGAATGGACCTGAAGAACATGAAGGCACGGAAGGTGTGGGGTAGTTGCTGCGTTGCCCCTATCATGATCTACATTGACTTTGTGCTAGATCGGGGTCTTCACAGATCCAACAGTGGCAAAACTGAAACCCATGGAGACGGTTCGTCCTTCCTCGTTACAGTAATTCTAAATGAGTTACTTTGAATCATGAATGCAGGCTCTTCGTTCGTTACAATCACAAGAGGACCTCCCATTTGAAGTATACGACCAAGTTCTAGCCGAACCGACTGAAGATAGCTGGAAGAAGGCCATCTCATGGGCAAGGGAACATGACTTCAGTCACTTCTTGGCGTAAGTTCGTAAGAAAACACTTTTGTTTCGGCTGATATATTGTTTTACTTTCTAGTGTCGGTGGTGGAAGTGTCATAGATACTGCTAAAGCAGCCAATCTGTAATGCCATTGATCTTGCTTTCGTTACTGCTCATCATTCTATATCTTTCTAGCTTTACTGTTTACAAAGATGCAGACCTGATGGACTATATCAATGCACCGATTGGAAAAGGCCTTCCAGTTCAACATACTCTTCGTCCTCTCATTGCTGTTCCCACCACAGCTGGAACTGGCTCCGAGACTACTGGTGCAGCTATCGTCGACATAACATCCCGTTCCTTCAAGACTGGAATCGCAAGTCGCGCTCTCAAACCGGTTCTTGGGATTGTGGACACCCAAAATACTGAATCCTGCCCGACTGCAGTACATATAAGTGCTGGACTCGACGTTCTTTTCCACAGTATGGAAAGTTACACTGCTATTCCGTGCGTATAGCAACTCTCACTTTACACACACTGATTCACTCCGCGTGGGCTGGTGGGGGGTATAGATATACCGAACGTACCCCTCGGCCCGCAAACCCAATTAACCGACCAACATACCAAGGAAGCAATCCGGTCGCTGACATTTTCTCGTTGTGGGCATTACAAACTACCGTGAAATACCTTCCGCGCATAGCCAAAAATCGAGATGATGAAGAAGCTAGGAAACAGATGCTGTAAATTTGTTGTGTGTTGAAGGGGATATTCGGCCTGCTAATAGTAAATCTTTCTTTCGTTCACAGTCTAGCAGCCTCATTTGCCGGTATAGGGTTCGGAAACGCGGGTGTCCATCTCTGCCACGGAATGAGTTATCCCGTAGGTGAATTGATCTAGTACTACACACAGGCCTATACCGTTCTTGCCTCAGATCTCTGGATTGAACAAGCAAGGACCCAAGTATAAACACGCTGGATATGAAGTTGACCACCCCATAATCCCGCACGGTGTCAGGTATATCTCACCTTCTATCCACAATTAAACGCTTCTAAGCAACTGTTCCCCTCCAGTGTTGCATTGACTGGTCCAGCAGGTGCGGTTCATCCAGGTTCACCAACATTACCACTTGATCAAACCATTTGAATTCAGTCTTCCAATTCACCTCCCCTTCTTCTCCCGATCGACATCGACAAGCACTAGCCATTTTCACCAATACCACCATCTCCGACCCAAGCATTTCCCGCATACCCGATTCAGAAATCGGTGCTTACCTCTTTGAGGCTATCGCGCGTTTCTTAGATGGTCTGGGTGTCCCTCGTGGATTGAAAGCTGTCGGGTGAGGATTGAAGACGATTCACAATCGTTATGAAGAAAACTTACCCCTTTTGGGACAGGTACGAGAACAAAGATATAGAAATGCTCGTTGAGGGTACTATTCCTCAGCGACGTGTTCTGGATCTGGCACCGGGGATCGGAGATTTTGTAGGTGAAGACGGAAGGCACCATTTGAGGAGAATGATCGAAAGTTCGATGGAGTATTGAGAGAGTATGAGGGAACAGTTTGCGACTCAAACGGCGATTTACAAAAACGTACTAAATCGTATATGTATGTACATTAACACCGTGTATCTATTTAAGCAATTGTGGCTTTTGGATTAAATAATTATAAGTTTAAACCTACGCGAGAGGAAACGCGACGCGTCAATACTGCACGTGATATTCTTCTTTCCGAACGTGCTTGTTCTTCTGTATCTTATATCTCGTCGCTCACTCAACTAAATTTGCAGACCGTATCACGATCACAACAATCATGACTGTTGGAATCTTTGCGTATCATTCATCTTCAGCCACTGAAGTTTCTTTTAGGATCTCACATATTGCTATCTGCATATGTCCAAGCACGATCTCCAAGTGCTGGACACACTCGAGACGTCGGATTATATCAAAGGGGAACTTTCGGACGAGGGTCTGTTTCTAAATGAAAACATAATGTGCTCTCTCTGAACGTGCGTTCCATTCAACAGAACTCGATATTCCTCAACACATGGTACCACCGAACCCAGATGACTCAGATAGTGGGCAGAATCTACACTACGCTACCAACTTTCGAGTTTTGTTGACAATCTTCAGATCTGCCATCCCATGTTCATCCATCATATCCATATGGAAACCCCAGAAGTATCAAACACCCTGCCTCTAGGCCTCGACCACCATACGATCCGACATCGCGCGCTCTCTTTGAGGATATGGGATATGACGGAAGCGGTGTTGCCGGTACTCTTCGGTGGAAAGATTTGGCTCTTGATCAACTGCTGCCGGTAGATGAAGAGAAAGAGACGGCGCTCAAAGCAGCAGAGGCGCGTAAGATGGCCAGCGGAACTGGCAATCAAAATCCTCAAACGCAACAACAACCTGCAGCGCTGGCGCCTGGCGACGAGACTATTGATGAAGAGGACGATGAAGATGAAGATGATGAAAGTGAAGACGACGAAAACGACGATGAAGCTGATGAGGATGAGGACAGCGAAGAAGACGCGGACGGTTGAACATAGTGTTCGTTGCTGTTATCAACCTTTTGCAAGTATTGTGGTTACCAACGCATCGCTTGCATCCTCTTGCAACAAGTCTTTGACGTCCCCTTCCTGTTCAAGGGACCAGTCGTAAGCATCCAGCAAGATCGTGTCGGTAAGAGGAATCGAGCGGGATGCGAGTATGATGATGAGGTTTGTGACTCGAGAGATTGCCATTCGTGTCGAGTCGTCAATATCCTAGGCAAATGAGCTTTTGTAGTCCGAGCAACATCGATATGACACTCACATCGTTCCGGTTTGAATAAACTGCCTCAGCATCAAACGCTTCCTCGCCTTCACGTTCGTTTTCTTTAACATGCTTGCTGACCCAAATGTACCCATTCAGACCCAATATGAGATCGACTCCGCACGGAAGAGATATGAAGTGGGATTTTAAACGTCGGACGAGAATTGGTGGCACAGTCACCAGTTGGCCGTTCCTAAGCTGATCAAATTTTGAGAACACATTTCACTAAGACAAAGAGATTATCACTGACCTTCCCATAACTTAATGATCGAGTGTGCAAGGACATAGTACCGTCACCAAAGAATGCCTGAACTTCAGCTACTAGTAAATCACCCTCTTCGAAAAATGTCCGCATCTGGAGTTCGTCACTTTCGAGTTTTCGTCGCTGTTTGACTTGTTCAGCGTTTTGTTATTATTCAAGGAATAAAGGGCATACCTGAACTCCTCCAGGAAGGTTGACCGACGAAAGCATAAGAACCGCATCCTGCCTTGAGTTTCCATCTACCTTCCAACGACGGGGTTGGACCTACAATGGCATGAGATACCATAAAATCCGTCGAGTAATTGTCCATACCTCGGTAATCCTCCCCACAACGAGGTCTCCAACTTCAGGATTATATCTTGATAATGATGTAAGAGAATATCATACAATCAACGCTGATTGTACTAACCTAGTGCGTACCGCACGGACAGTTATTAGTTTGTTGACGCGTTCTACGAGTCCGCTGACTGAGGCCACCACTTCTTCATTATCAACGTAGGTTCCGTGCCCGCTGGGAAAAAGTAAGAACACAGTACAAATTCACAGTGTAATCTTCTGGGCGTACCGCATATAATCTTGGGACGAAGTCAGGGATTCTCCAGGCCAAGTAAGCTTCATTCCACCTGTCTCGAGAAAATCTTCATCGTCCTCATCCATATCGATGTCCTCAGGAACATTCTTGACATGATCGTCGGCAGGCTGTTGGAACGACTTGAACTCGAACATGGAAGTTATTTAAGATCAAACTTAAGACAAGAATTCGGTCATGTGCTGAGTTTCTCCTTCCACAAAATTTCTTAGATAATAGATCGTGTTGGTTTCCTCCAAGAGAATGACCGAAAGGCGCAGTGTATTCAGACCTTGTATCGATCTACATGGAGGCCAAGTCAAACAAATAGTTGGAGGTACTCTTTCCGATACCAATCCCAACGACCTCAAGACGAATTTTGTTTCTCAGTCTGTTTACTGTTGCTCAAAAACCTCAACCATCCTTATATATTTTCAGGAAGCCACCTGCCGAGTTTGCACGTCTTTACAAAGACAATTTCCTTGAGGGTGGGCATGTCATCAAATTGGGTCCCGGAAACGATGAAGCAGCCAAGGAGGCTTTGGCAGCGTGGCCAGGTTAGGGCGAGTTTCAACTACTGCAGAGGTATCTGACCATGCTCCAGGAGGTCTTCAAATCGGTGGAGGGATCACTGACAAGAACGCTACGGAGTGGCTAAATGCAGGAGCGAGCAAAGTCTATCATTTTTCTATTCAAATTTCATTCGCTAACATTTGCATGCAGGTTATCGTCACATCGTATCTCTTCCCAGAATCCAAATTCTCCTTGGCGAAGTTGGAAGCTATATCAACCACTGTGGGGAAAGACAGGCTTGTTGTCGATGTCAGGTAAACCGAAAACATCTCCAGTATTACGAACAAGCTGAAAACCTGAAGACAGCTGTCGTCGGAAAGGAGAAAAATGGTTCGTTGCTATGAATAAATGGCAAGATTTGACAGAGATGGAAGTTTGTCAAGGTTGGTCGATCAAGTACAGCGTTCGTCAGACCACATTGATTGGAAATTTTAGAGTCTTTGGACCTTTTATCCAACTATTGCAGGTGCTTCTTATAGCTCTCCTTTGGCCATATCCCTTCCATCTGATTGCGCCCAATCAGCGAATTTTTGGTGCATGCAGCAGATGTTGAAGGGCTTTGTCAAGGTATCGACGAGGCCTTAGTCACAAGTAAATCGAACTTCTGGCTGTATAACCCTTGCTAATGCCGCCTAGAACTAGGAGAGTGGTGTCGGATCCCGGTCACTTATGCTGGCGGCGCTAAAGGTAATGGTTGATTTTTCTTCTGAGAATTGCTCTCTGATTGATTACTCCAGACGTCTCTGATCTTGATCTCGTCGACCGTCTATCGCTTGGACGAGTAGACCTGACATACGGAAGGTATATTTCACGTGATACTCGAGCAAACGGGAGCTGAGAGCGACTTTAGCTCACTCGATATTTTTGGAGGTTCATTGGTTAAGTTTGATGACCTCGTGAGGTTATCGGACTCTGCAAGGCGCCATTCATGAAAGAAGACATTGGTAAAATGCGAATAATACAACCTTAGCCCAACCCATGTCGCAAGAATATCGAAGACAAAACGGATATAAAGAATACTAAAACTAATGATAGTCGAATATGGATAACATGTACTTTCTGATTTCGACTCGGAGAAAACAGCGAACGTGGATTTTTTGATATGAAAAAAAGGAGAGCGTAAGATACGGAAAGAGGACCGAAGTTGCCATTATTGGCTTTTTGCATGCTGTGACAATGATTTAATCTAGTTTGAAAAATCATGGTTAAAAATGCTCCATACCTGACTTGCATTTCAGGTGGTAAATCGTCTATTTCCCATTACCGGCCTGTGCCACGATGACTCCCACTCCTTCAACGCGTTGACAAAACCAGTGTTTGGCTTAATGCATGCCCGCTGGCGCTTCACAAAAGCAAATGCAGCGTCATAAGACATACCGTGATTGCGTATGAGATATGCGATCACCACAGCAGCAGAGCGAGAGATTCCCTACATTGAGAAGAACATGAACATCAGCAAGGACATATAATCACAAACGCCACAATGATAGGACCTGCTGGCAGTGAACGAGCACATTTCGTCCGCTCCGTAATGCACGGTCTATGCTATTACATGCATCTTCCAGGTGTGGTTTGAGATCTGCACTAGTTGTGTCTAGTATTTCAATTTTAAAGCTGGTCACTTTGCCGCCGTACCCATCAGTTTCGGGAAGTGGGGGAAGCCACGGAGCGTCAAGAACTTGGATGAAATGAGAGACCCGATAGGTACGAAGGAGATCGTAGTCGGTGATAGCGGACAAGGAGCCTACGTAGAGTGATCCAGTGGCGTGAGAGGGGGAGGTCGAAGAGGCTGAAGGTGCAAGCACTTGATGCATCGGAGTGCACATTGCCTGCATCACTTCAGGAGGAACATTATCGAATCGAATCATCGTAAAACCTCTGATTGTCGAGTCGATACTAGAGCAAATACGGTTGTGTGTTTTATATCGTTTACAACTCTGTACGGTGATGGGACATCGATTCGTCAACCGTGATTCTTCTTCAAGTCGAAATCCAACCTAGATCTTCAAGAGATACAGTTGAGGCATGAGATAGATACACCCACCTATCAACAAAGAGTTCGACTTCGAGGGTGTTCCTGGATTTTCCGATGAGAACTTTGGGGAGAGTTCCTCAAGTTCTTATCTAGTGACGAAAAAGAAAGGCAAGGTCTAGAACATGAACGCTCAGACCAAGAAAAGAAATCAGGAAAGGATGTAAAAGAGTAAGAGGATCGGAAAAAGAGGAGCGAATTCATGTGGCGCCTTGTGGCGCTCTAGAGCTGAGCTATGTATGACGCTGATTGATCTCGAGATCTCTTCAATTTACCATCGGATCAAAGTATGAGTCGGAATAAATCTCCAAGAATGTTATGTATGCTGTTGGATTATGGACAAATATATTACAGCGCTTTGGGAGTGCTATATGGCGCGACAAAAATATTTCCACGCTTTGTGAGGGTATAATGGCGCGCACAATTTTGGTGCGCTTACGATATATTTCTATAGGCTTAGCAGCGCGCTTTTAATAAGTCACATCACATGCAAAAGTTTCTCTCTTACAAGATCTGCTGCCAGCTTATAGGCAACTCTTCCTTCAATTCACCTTCTGACATAGGTTCATAAGAATACCCAGTACTGCTCATATTTTTGTATTTTAGACATGAAGTTATAACCCTAATGGGGTGACTAATCAAATTTGAAGCAAATTCGGGTTTAACATTTTACACAGCTCTTCCTCGATGGTTGGGTGCAATTTTCACTCAGAGGATACTGGGGAACGTTGTGCCTGCGACAGCTATGAACTTGATCCCCACTCTGACTCTTTAAAATGCTTCTCATGCGATCATTCTGAGAAGGTGCATTCATATACACTACCATCGTCGACTCAACAAAAACCACTCAAAAAGCCCCAAGTCATGAAACTTCTTCAGTCCTTGGGCAGATCGGGTCAATTCAATGAAGCCAATGAGGAGGCGAATAAAAATCTTATCAGTAAAAAGGCATGCTTCCTGTTATCGCTTCTATGCCTCATCTTACCTTATGTTCAGGCGAAAAAGAATGCAACATCTAGCTTCTCTGCCCAAGTCCGAAAGTCTACTAGTAGTAGAAAAGGCGAATTTCACGATAGCCCTACCGAAAGTACTTTTCCTGTTGCACAAGTCGCTCTTTTCTTTGTTGGCCTTGAGCTCGATGTATGTCACTTTTATTTGTCAGGCTCCAATCGCTTACTCTATTGTATAGGACGATGACTTCCTTGACCTTGCTCACTCTGTTAAGTATAACGAGAATGCCTTCATATGTTTGCGAAAGCTTGGGCTGTATAAAGCAGCACAGGCGAAGTCCGATCTAACTTTCAGTCAAGCGATGGATACTCAACAAATCGAGGAAAGACTTGTAGAGGTTTTAGGTGCCCCAATGGAGTATCTGACACAACTGGGTAGAGAAGAAGGAACCCGTCAGTGGAGACTACTGAAAGTCGAAGGAAAAGGTCTGAAACTCCTTGACGAGGATTCGCCTGATGGCGGAACCCTCTATAAAGCCCGTGGAGCCCTGGGCAAAGCTTGGACCCTTCACTCGGTAATCATCAGTGTGTATTTGTTGTTTTTTAGAATGCCATATTACTCATATCGTATCGCGAATCGTTTCATTAGTTTCGGTGCAACCCCTTCCTGCTCATGTCATGAGGTCAAAATGTCCCGATTGGGAGCGATATGCCAAACGGTTTTTGCGGGAAATCGGTTGGCATGACATAGGTACATTATTCATCCATTTTTCACTGGATAAAGGCTCATGACTGCCAAAGATTTCGATAGTTTATATCCAAGCTCGGGCAAAAAGCGAGCCCATTCTCCTGCTTCAGACGATGAGAGCTCTGAAGATGAATCCACGAGTCAGGCTCCCCCACCTCGAAAAAAGTCACAGAGGCTTTCGGCAAAGAAAGATGTTTCGCCACCTGTTTTTGATATCGCTTGGCATGATAACGATGTTGAGGAAGCTGGGGCTGTTGAGGTCGACAATACTTCGGGAGATGACTATGGATCCCCAAGACCGAGCTCACCAATCCTCGCATCTGTACCTACGAATGTATGGGATCTTAACCGTAAACTCGAGTACTTCACAACAGACTAGCGATTAAAATCAATACAAACTATAAAGTTCTATTCTCTACAATGTGTTCCAGAATATTGAGTCCAAGGGTCCATAAGTGTGCTCGTGGTCGCCATATGAAGTCAGGCAGCTGTACTGAGATTTCTTTTGCACCTTTACGACCAGTCTGAATAATCTCGATGGAGGGATAGTGATTATCTTTCCATTCTTCTGGGCAGATTCCATAACCAACAGGAACGATTCCCTGGGCAACTGCCAGCTGAAGAGCTTCGTTAAAAATTGCCATTTCTTCGTTAGTCAATGGACAGATATGGCGGGGTGTTTTTACTGGTTTGGGAAGGAATTGACGGCTGCTTGCTTGTGCAACATTATCAATCCTTGTGTCGAACCCCTCTACATCTGAGTCGTTATCACCCTCGCTATCACTGCTAGCATTTGATGGGGTTGATTCACCCTCGTCATTGAGATATCCAGCACCTGTATGACCAGGGGGACGCAAAACTTCCGGGCCATCAGTTCCATATAAATGTTCAATTGTGTCGGTATCGAGGCCTTCGCAATCATCCATATAAATACCATGATGTATCATTCCAAGGAACCGCTTGTCCTGTAGTAACAGTGAGTATGAACACAGTATACAGACAGTTGCAGAAACATTACATGGGGGCTCTCATCTGCTCCCTCAGCACCTGATATAGGATGAGTATTCCACTCAGCTTGAAACGTCTGGCAGTCTTCATTAATGAGATCAAGGAAGAGATGGTGAATAAGCCACAGATGATATGGATTTTTTCGCCTAAGACAGTGGATATGTTCAAGCCGGATAAAGAATGCCCGCCATCTGCGCGCAAACTGAGATCCAACCTCAACCCACAGACGCTCAATCCGGGTGTTATGAGTTGATCTACCAGAGTTGATTACTGATGACCAGGTATGATATGATCATAGAGATAGAGAACTCACGATCCCCAGATAAATGAACCACGGTTGAGGCCATTGCGTAAAATGATATATATTGCTACGGCTTTATTTTCCCGACCTCTGTCTCCACGAACGCGCGATGGATGGCCAAAACTGTCGACAGCCTCGAGAAACACTTCAAGAACAGTTGATGACTGGTTATTTGTACTGGCACGCAGCCCAGTAACCTAACAGTGAAAAGGTAAAATCAACTGTATAGATGACCAACAGAGAAGTAAAAACAAACAGTGCGGCAATATCCATCTACAATACCATGAATCACGATACCCCACAAAATGAGTTTATGATGCCCATCGATGTGCCAAAGAGCATTTGGCCGCTTAACAGCATAACTCCGCCTTTTGATCTTTGGCTTTCGGTGCAGTATATTGCCTAACCGGTCAACACGTCGCATAGAATGGAGTACCCGTGTACCTTGAACACGGAAGCTACGGCTACGCAGAAATCCAATAATATAACGTAGACCTGCATTTGGCTTCACACGTCGGTAACACCGGATTAAAGCATCAAGCTCTTGATTTGTAATGCCTGAAAACTTGTAGTATACCCCTGCTTCCTTTAGGCGGCGGGTAAGTGTCCTCGCACTAACTCCAATTCGCGATGCAAGATCGACCAATGTGATCCGCCGTTTGGCATCTACTGCTTCACGCATAAAATCGACATTGATATGTTTCCGTGGACGGCCAGGTTTGCCTGTGTGTTCTTCAGTAACAGGCCCAGGGATAGAAATATGTGAATCCTCGCTATCCAGGTTTTTGATATCAGTATTTGTAGCTTACTATTGATTTCAGCTTACGTTGTGCGTGTAGTTTCCTGTGCATTTGCGAGATCATTAGAAAGTTCGGCAATATGCACAGCACACTCTCTAAACCAGTCTGATGATAGTTCTCTGGCTTCGTCAGAACCCTCCAAGGCAACCAAAAGAGGGACTACTTCGCCAACAACACGTTCAAGATGAATTCGAAGCCGGTTTGGGTCAGCTTCTTGGTGAAGAAGCTCACTTGCATATGTGCAGATGGATAAAATCTGGTCGTAAGCTGCATGGACATTATCAGACCATCTTCCATGAAGGTGAGTCGGATTCACTGGAAGCTGAGGAAGCGAAGTCATGAGCATGTAAGTAAAGAAGTGCTGGGGTGGCTGTGTTGACATCCTTGCCTATAAACCATCACGATGGACATTGATAATGGCCCCATCTCTGGAGATGATTTACCAGAACAAGGGGATAAAAGCCCTGCGGTATATAAACGGCATCCTCTGTATTACTTTGAAGATGCAAATCTATTCCTGAAGGTATGCAAATTTTTAGCAAGTAGCCGTTAAATGATAACCAAATTTTTTCGTAGGCTCAGGATTCGGGATTTATTTATGCTGTCTATAAAGGGATGATGGCCAAGTTTAGCGAAACCTTCGAGGCCTGTTTTACATTTCCCCAACCTCAAGGAAAAGAAGAGGGCACGATCTTTGATAATCCCATCTTGCTACCTATCGATGCTGCAGCATTTGATGTCCTCTGTAGCTTTATCTTTCACCTGTAAGTCATAGCAGCAAGGAACTTGCTATACTTACTCACCCAGTGATAGAGGATGGAAGTCCCAGAGCAACAGGAGCACAGATGAGCTTCTCGCCCTCGGCAGGATTTCTCAGTTTTTACAGTGTCCAGATGCCCTGAAATTTGCAATCGCCGGGCTTAGATTTCACAGCTACGACTTCAATGGAGGCAAGAAAATGTTTTATGCGAGCACATTTGGTGTTCCGAAGTGGGGCTATAGTGCTACTCGGGAGATTTTAACCTCAGTTTATGGGGTCGGAGGTTGTTGCAGTGGTGTGTTATCGGAATTTACCTCCATGAGTAAACTAATATTGCCTTTGTAGAATATTCTATCGATATGAAGATTCATAAACTCCTTCTTGAAGGCGAAAGCAACCTTGTTTGTCAAATTCAACTTCTCGCTCGTGAAATTCCCAACCTTGATGACGATGCTGTATGGTCAAACTGCCCCCAGAAGGATCGCTGTATGAAAGCTCTTATCAAAGGATGGGAAGTTTTGGGACCTGCAATTGGCCAGACTCGGGGTGCGATTCGCCAGGTAAAAGTTCTGGTTTCCATGAAAGTAGAGAGCGAGGCCAGTTTTGCACCTATGAGGCTAAAGTGCAGGGAGGTTTTGTGTACACGAGTTGGACAGGTTGTTGAACGAATCGAGGCATTTGTCAATAATGCTGCTGGGGAGCGAGTCAAGGCCTGCATTGAGCAGGAACATCCTGAGGCTTATGATGTCGAAGACTAGGCTTTCTGTTTACTGTATACAGTATATTCTACCTGATATGATGCACTGTGAGCGTGTATACTGGAAGATATAAGCAGGATCTACTCCTATATAAATTATTTATTACCTGCAATAATAATTACTACATGGCTTAGTGGTTGCAGGCGCCGACTCTGGATTAAGGTCAAGGCCCTCCTGTGATAGCTTGAGCTTCAATGTTCAACCCCCGCAGGTGCCAATATGTTAAACCAACTGCTGTAGAGCTAAAGGTTATAGGGTATAACTAGGTATTAAATGACTATGTATATGTATATTATATGAACTCTGTGATTTTTTACATTGTGACTAAATGGCGCATAATTTTTTTTTGAAACGGGCTTTTTTTCAATATACTTTTCACCCTCTCCATTAGAATCTAACAGCAGTATAAAGTATTCTGGGTTGCAGTCTAAACAGAGTTATGTACTCTAATTATATATGACACCCTCTTCATTAGAATCTGACGGCCTGATAAAGTATTCCCTTTTCCCCTCTTCTGAAAGCTCCCGATACCCATCAATAAGACGGCGCGAAAATGTGACTGCATAACCATAATTACATACACCATAAGATAATGTGGTACCATGTCGCTGGCCAGGTTGAAAAACGATCAGTGTTCCAGGTGCAGATTCAACTACTACACCAAGCTGGACATCAACATAATTTCCCCCAATGTCACAGGGGAGTGCATGAGGACCCTGACGATCAGGATGCATGAGGTCAATAATGCGGTCAGCAATATATGCTGCAGCATATTTACAATAAGTGCGATCCATATGAGTGGGACTGCACATAATAAATAAGGTGAAAACCAGGCGGGTATAATTTACAAAAACTCACGCAGAATATGCCCTATTGATATAAACTTCTGGTGGTGCACGCTCTGTATATGGAAAAAAGTATTCGGTACTGTCAATTTGGAGGGTAAAACCTGATCCTGTGAGGAGTTAATGGAGACATCAGCCAAGAATATTGCTATGCTCTTACCAGGAGCAACATTCCGAGTCTGCAGGAGTGGTAACTCTTCAGCTGCGATATGATCATACATGACCTGAAGGACATCCTGTGGAAGAACAGCCTGTGCAATAGACCATATCAGGGAAGCAGCACCGATGATATCTTCATCGTGATCAACCATCTTTTCCTTGACTAGCTTCTTTGTGAATGAAACAGCAGGTCCAAAAACCCGTGCATGACGGGGGCCCATGTTGAGACCAACCTGGTTCATAGTCCCAACATGGGTCGGCTGGCACAGACTGTATCAGTACAATATATCTAACTGGAGGAAAAAATACAGTACCCGAATATTGCGGCGGAAATTGACAGCAGCATCAACTGCCTCACGGAGAAATTCTGTCAAGCATGGGGAGTATGCACATCCCAAGGCAACACCCCGCATGACAACTGACTGGATAATAAAAGCTAGAAAAAATGAGAAACATATAATTGAGTCGAGTCGGGAATAAATTACCTTTGGGACAGCCTGAGAGGATTATATATGACTTATCGTGATCTAGCCTCAACATGTCATAGTCATCTAAATCAACAACTTTGAGTACTCCATGATTTTCGCTACTGGCATTTTCAGTCATATAAATGTTGGCCTTTATGTCCCGATATTTGGTCGTGCGTTCGCGCCAGATTACTATGAATTTTGGAGCATTGGGCTTCCCATCTAGGACATCTTGGACTGTATATGGATCGGATCGGATACCGAGTTCGGAAACCTCCAATCGAATTTCATAAGAAAAATATTTGCAGGGCAAGTATAACCATACCAATTTCCGCTTCTGGCGGTGTGAAGCTTTTGCTGTATTCTGTGTATTCCGGGCTCGCACATGGCTCAGGAATTGTCGGAGGTGGGTAATGGGTTTTTGATCAGACAGTGAGGACGATACCCGGGTCGCTCGTTTGTAAAAGGTTTCCCACTACATACAATGCTATGTGTTCACTAATAGATCCACAACAAACTGTGAGAGAGAGTAGAACTTACATCGGGTACATTGGAAACCTTGTTTTGTACATCCTTTAGAAGGCCGGCTGCTATATCGGAGTCAAAGTTATCTTCATTCGCCAATTGAGCAAGGATTCTCAGGTTGTGAGAGTCTTGGAGAAAAAGTAAGACTACATAAGGTAGATTCAGTAAGAATTGACCACGAATGAATGGCATAGGACAAATTTACCTGGATCCCTGCCACGATTCTTCCGTCTTCCCATTTACGGTCGCGGGAGGAAAGAAACAACGTGTCAGGTGATGACGGAGCGCAAGTAGCCGGTCCCGGCGCGGGTTGAAGTGATCGCGCGCGCTCATTAAAAGCGCGCGCCATAGCACTCCCAAAGCGCTGTAATATTTTTGTCCATAATCCAACAGCATAGTTATGCTTTGTTTTATCACACAGTTATTGCGATTCTTCAGCCTTTGTACTGCATATGCGACTACGTTTGTTTTCCATGAACGATTTCTCATAGGCTGATTAGGTCTGACTAGGTACCCGTGGCTGACAGGAAAGCGACATTCGCGGCCAGCCGCTCTTCTGAACATGATGGTCCAGAGTCTCGACAAACTTGATGGTACTAGAAGAAGGTATTTCCGTTTCCTGCACAAAAGTTCGTAAACTTCATTGAAACAGGATAGGAACAACTAGGAACCACCACATACCGAACGATATAGGCACCTTCAAATCGTGCAGAAACGTGCCTTCCTTGCGACAATGATGTTCTAGAGAGCGTTGTATATCTTTTAGTCGGCACAGTTCGATGCATCTCGGTTTCCTGATACCTTTTCCAGGATCTTTCATCCCAGGAAAAGGATCTGGGAGCATCGAATAGACGTGATAACACGCTCTCAAAACCGTCTTGTCGCCATTGTTCTTTTGCTTTCGAAGCATGTACCGTGTAAGGCTAAGTTTTTCTTGTGTCTCCAATATGTGTATCTCGTTTATTGACCTTATGCTCATATTGCCTTTGTCTACTCAAAAATCAGCACAACTGTTTGAAGGCACGATAAATTCATAATGCCGGTTCTACGTTTCCGTATGCAGACGGTGCGCTACATAGGCCGACCTTAGATGAAAAATATGTTCTCGAAATTGGCGATAATCATTCCTAAATACTAGGGTTTGCACACATTCCCGGAGACTATCCCATCTTGTGATATCTATTTTGGGCATGTATTCGGGAAGCCGGCGAGAATCGAGCTTTCACACCGCGCAGGCTTATTGGTTGCATTAGAACATGTAATGAGCTGTTAATACTTCCATTTCCTCTGCCAATTCATCTTACACGAACGTATTAGTCATTATCACGAAGAGACTCGACGTATGACGTTTGGGAGGCTGAAGGTATCAGAGTGTGATACTCCTAAGCTCGACCGCTTTACACCAGTTTGTTGAGGCCCAGAATCTACTTTTAATTATCTACGTAGTACAGCGTAGTACGTACGCCCCAATGTATGGAATACGTCAGACTCAACTGGTGATTCAATGTTCTCGAATCCTGATAGCTGGCTGACACTCGAAGACTCCGATACCGGTTTGTTTCCAATGATTTCGTCACTACCACTACGAAGTTTTTGTAATTTAGGTAAATTTCCTGGAGCATTTGGGGTGTAAACATCGCCGTTGTTTCGAAAAGAATCAGGCGTTATTGCCGTTTTCAAAATAGTTGGCGCCTGTTCTCACGACGCCAAATTTGAGCACGAAACAATGGCCAGCTCGAAAACACGATCCTGAGCTCAATTCTTGACCAAATCTTTCGAAAATTAGTGCGGTATAGAGCGATAGAGGTGCTCTAGTGCGCCCCATAGTTTTTTTTGCAATCAGAAATAGTATACAATACTTGAATTTTCATGCCTCCTCAACTTCCGAAACACAATAACTTTAGAAATACACACCAGTTCGAGCTGTCCTTGAGATATGCTATGCATATAGGGTCTGTGAAGTGCACCCCATGGGTAAGATTGTGAGATTGTGAGCTGGCACAGCCTTAGACACCTCTCTCTCATTCTGCTCATGATCTTGTTTTCTGACCAATGACCAGAGGCCATCGACTATCCAACGACCTTCGGAAAACATGCAGTACCTTGGGTGAAATCATTCATAAATCAAATTGCCGGAAAAGAACTGTGCAGCGCATACTAGCGGAACATCGAAGTAAGGATGGGCCTGGTCATCAACTGAGGCGTCGAGGAAGGAAGCGTATACTTTCTTTTGAGGATCTCAGAGTATGTTATCATTGCTGGAAAAACCTTCTTGTTCTCACTCTGTCACCAGTTCATTCATGGACTGTTAATGCATACTCCAGACATGTATCTGGATGAAATCCGGAGAGAGTTAGATGAACGGCGTGGTGTACTTGCAAGTACTCCAACCCTTTGGCGCATCTTGAAGTTTAGTGGCTATACTCTTAAGAAGGTACTTTGTTACTCTGCATAACATCCATCGATTCAATCCGCCCACATCATAGATAACAAAAGTTGCAATTGAACGTGATGCACGCAAACGAGCTCAGTTTCGACTCAATTATGCTCGTCTATATAGAGCAGACCAACTTATCTTTGTTGATGAAAGCTCGTTTGATCGACGGACACCATATCGTCGACGTGGTTGGGCTGTGAGTGGGAGGCGTGTATATAAGAGTACATTTTTCGTTCGTGGTCGGCGGTGAGTGTTCATCACATTTACATGTACTTTTACTGAAATTCGCAATACTCTTGCAGATATTCACTTCTACCGGCCCTGGCTAGCACTGGAATTATATATGCAAAAGTCATAGAAGGCTCATTTACAGCATTGAGGTTCTATGCATTTATCGAAGCTCTTTTGACTCGAATGCAGCCATTTCCTGCTCCGAAGTCAGTTATTGTCATGGATAATGCTCGCATTCACAAAGATCCTCGAGTTCTAGACCTTATCACATCCCGGTATGCTAATTTCTGTCTTGACTTTACACAGTATTACTCATAATCCTGCAGTGGCATGCGCTATTTTTTCCTTCCACCATATTCACCTGACTACAACCCCATTGAACTTGGGTTTTCCTGTATCAAGTCTTTTGTTCGACGAGAGGGTGAAATAGTTAGACAGGACCTTCACCCTAATATAGATGATACCTATGTATATTTACATCTCATTCGAGCAACATATTCCATAACTAGTAATGATGCTTGTGGATTTTTCAACCATTGTGGATATACTATACTATAGAAATCACTATCCAATTCGAGCTTGTTTCGATAACTTTATGCCCAAATCCTCCCTGGCATACCGGAGAAGACGATCACAAAACCCATATGCCATTCCAGTGAATGCCTCGAGCCGTTCACTTGTAAGCCGCACAAGATCATCAAGATCGAAGATACCTTTTTTAGCCAAAATGTCACCATATCTTGTGTAGTCTGCATTCCTTTTGCCACGTTCCACATCAGCATCGACTTTGGGAAGCCAAACAAGTAGCTCCTCATTTTTAGAGGGAGATGCCTTGGATGGAGATGATGCCGGAGCAGGAGAGCTGTCAGCTCGGTGGCGCTTGGATGAAGAAGTGCGTGGAGGGGAATGGTCCCGAGTGCGATTCCCATTCATCAACATTGCTAAAAGCGGTGTAACTGTGCCGACCATTGTCATGGCTTGTGTAATAGCATCTGTGGCTGGGGCGGGAGCTATGGGAGTTTGTGGAGGGACAGAGGGCACAGAAGGTGGCGGCAGTGGAAGAGCACTACGACGTTTTTGATGACCTAGCTTTTCGCCAAGCCGGGTGAGGATACAGCTTGGCGGATCGTTGACTGTTGCTTGGTGCCGAGACTAATGACATATACCTAAGCTTATGAGCGCGAAGAGAGTAAATAGAAAGTGCTTACTGCAAGTTGAACCCATGTATTCATATCCTCGTCATCAAAGCGATAGTGATCACCATTAGCAAGAACGTAGCATGCCGCCTGACACGCATTGCAGTGATTTTTTCCCTGAATGGCTACTAGAATGTCTGCATCAGAATCGGATGCAGGAAGTTGGTCACTTGGCGCTGCAACAATCGATCTCTTTCCATTCTAAACAATGAGTTAGTAAACCATGATGCGTATAAGATAAAACATCAATACCTTTATGCCCCCATCCTTTTCCTTTCCTTTGCCAGTTGTCTCAGTTGGGCTTTTGTCAAAGATCCGGATTGTCCATGCTTTAGTCTTCTTCCCGCGAGTATTTCGAACATGGTCCCAGGCATCTCTGATCAATATGATCCAGTCTTCTTCTCCTTCCAGCATTACATCGGTGGTCCGAGTTTTTGGCTTATATGATGGAAGATATGATATATTGGAAAGGAGAGAGAGTCGGGTTTCCATCCGTTTGGCTAGCTCATCAATGAATACAACAAATGTTGTATGAGAAGTGATCCCGGTCAAGTTTCGCTGAGAAGTTTTGTATGGAACCTCAAAAACGATGTTGAACTTCTCAACACTACCGACAAGGTTATTCCAGGCCTTCTGTACCTCATCTCCTGTTGAAGAATCAACAATCTTGACTAGAATAGAACTATGCATGTTTGCGCACCTCCGTCACTTGTTTCACTGTCGTTATCCTCATCATCATTGAATACGGGTCTACTGTCTTCAAAATCATCAATATCCAGTGAGCGTATACTTTCCTGAGCAGGGCTAATACTTTTCATTCTTCTGCTCTGCTGTTTCTGTTGTGTAGAGAGCCTTGCAGAGGTCTCTTCCTCTTCAGGATCACTCAGTGAATCCTCGAACCCGTACTGCCTCTCGTATTCCCTCTGCTTCAGCATCTCTGCCTTGGATATCCCCATAGCACCTGCAAAGACCTGTTCATCAAGGGTAAGATGTGGCTGACTCGTGGTAAGTTTTGATGTATGTTTGTGTTGGACTGTTCGAGGTACTATGCCTTGATGTTGGAAAGCCACCAGCTGTTCTGCAGCAGCAATGTCCATATCATGAGGGAGCTGTGAACGAGATGCTTGTATCTGCTCATAGGCAGGTGTACCTTTGTGAACAGGGGTTGGTCGAGGTCGTGGTTTTTGCGAGGGAGGAGGAGGAGCAGAATATGAATGTTGACTGTTTGGCTGGGGTGAGTTTGCCTTAGTATTTCGCTGCCTTCGAGTCCCAGTGCCGCTCTGAGGGCCTCGTTGGTGGTTGCGGCCATTTCCCATGGAAGGTAGAGGTGGGCAAGTTGGTGGTTACAAAATATCAGCCGCTTGCACAAAACCATTTCGATCTTGACTTACCACAGACCAATATGTGATTTTTATACATGGGGTGCACTTCACAGACCCTATATGCATAGCATATCTCAAGGACAGCTCGAACTGGTGTGTATTTCTAAAGTTATTGTGTTTCGGAAGTTGAGGAGGCATGAAAATTCAAGTATTGTATACTATTTCTGATTGCAAAAAAAAAACTATGGGGCGCACTAGAGCACCTCTATCGCTCTATACCGCACTAATTTTCGAAAGATTTGGTCAAGAATTGAGCTCAGGATCGTGTTTTCGAGCTGGCCATTGTTTCGTGCTCAAATTTGGCGTCGTGAGAACAGGCGCCAACTATTTTGAAAACGGCAATAATAATGAAGTGTCAAGCAAACGCACCTGATTTATGCATTGCGCGGTCAACATCCTATGGTAAAGTTCAGAATACCTATATAATCTATGAAATTTTCGAAAGTAAATTTTATATATGTAAAGTAACGAGGAAGATCCTTGAAGTCCACTACATGACTAGCAGTCATGCCCAAGTACCGCCCCCCCCCTGCGTCAAGGACCTTTACGCAACGAACAGATGATACAACTCGAACATAGGTATGTTAGCTCCGTCCGACACACAAGGTGAAGAGAGGTTATACTGAAGGATAGAAGTTACAAAGGTGGGGTCAGGGGTACATTGCCTCATAGTAGTTTCTGTATGCACTCCCCCTTCGGTCAGATTGAACTACAGTTGATTAGTGACAAAGAAGGCTGACTTTATACCATTCATACAAGGACCGCCAAATCACCTTCATTTCAACGATGTCCTAGAGAATCCTTCATATCCATTGTACATTTTCTCTCGACATAATTCAGTGTATTTCGGGATTCCGCCGACGAACAATAGGGGTTCTGATACCTTTCCCGGGATATTTCGTCCTAGGAAAACAGATGTAGGAGCATCATATAGTCCTGTCGACATACTCTGAGAAACTGTTTGCTGCCATTGTTCTTCGGCCTCGTGCAAAGGTACGATGCATTTCACCCCACTGTCCATCATGTCTTTAATACAAGCATTAATCCATTCTCCCTGTACCTCCTTTGTTCAATCAGTAAACATTGCATCAGCCCGAGGGTAAACAGTAAACTCACAATGCACGTCGGACCATTTGACAATGCAGTCGGGGCGCCAGGACCGTAAATGAAGAACATATTTGGGAAATTGGCGGTCATCATTCCCAAATATGTCTGCACACTTTTCGCCCATTTATCGGCAATAGATATTCCATCCGTCCCTTCGATATCTATTTGAGTAATGCCTCCGGACATAGCATCGAAGCCAGTAGCAAGTACAATAACATCGAATTCACGTTCGTGCCCGTCAGCCGTGAGGATTCCATTTTCAGTAAATTCTACGATGGGATCTTGGGTAAGGTCAACCAATTCGACATGTGGGAGGTTGAAAGTATCGAAGTACGAGACTTCTAGGCTTGGCCGCTTGGCTCCAACTGGATGTGGGGGTACTTCCGGAGCAAGGATCTTTTGCAGCCGGGGACTCTGTACCCTTTCCAAAACCTTTCTTCTCCAGAAATAGTAAAGCTCGTCGTTTGCTTGCTGATTCAATCGTATGTCAAGGTAGCTGGCTGCGACCAATTGGAGACCTCCACTCTTGTTCCATAGATCTTCATAAAAGAGGATCCGCTCCTCCTCTGTAGCGTCGTATGAATATTTGGGGCACAAGTCGTAGGCGTGACCGCCTAGTACGATGGTCAGGAAAGGGTTCTACTTCATATTACCCACACACCCACCAAGGGTTTGCCTACGTCTCCGATACACGGTACTATACAGCTCCTGCTTCATTTTTCTTGAAGTCTCCTCATCGATCGCTCTTTGACGCATGGGGAAGGCGATGTTGGGAGTACGTTGGAATACCGTGAGTTGAGAGGCTCGAGGACCGACGTCCTGCACAACCTGTACTCCACTTGCGCCTGTCCCGATAACTGCAACACGCTTCCCGCAGAGGTCAATTCCTCCTTGTGGCCAGCGCGCGGTATGATGGCAACTCCCACGGAATTTGTTGATTCCTGGATAATCCGGGATGTATATTTTCGAGTCGTTTCCAACACAAAGTAGAAAGAATTGAGCGCTAACGACATAGCCGTCTTGCGAAGTGATAAGCCACCTGTCTTTACCTGCGTTCCATTTTGCTGATACCACCCTGCGGTTGAATAGGATATCCTTTCGAAGATCTAGTTTCTCGTCCACATGTTGGAAGTAACGACGAAGCTCTTTCCAGTCCGGGTATTTTTCGGTCCAAGACCAGTCTTTCCAGAGCTTCTCATCTGAAAACTCGTAAACGGGGACGATGGAATCGACGCGGGCACCTGGATAACAGTTATGCCACCAAACACCTCCGATATCACCTCCTGCCTCGAAGACTTTGACGGAGTATCCCAAAGAACGAAGATGATACAACTCGAATAGACCCGCGAATCCAGCTCCGACGCAGAGAATGTCTAATGTGAGATCAGGAGAGGCCATGGTGGCGGAAACCAAGGAAACCTAATGCGTTTTCTCATGACGCTTGCTGGCCATGTACTGCTGAGTGGATAGCGTGGAGTAACTGCGCTAAATTGAGATAACCTTTGGGTACTTGCTATTTAGGTCCTGGGACGTGCTATACTTACGCGGTCAGATGACGAGCGAAGCGAAAATAATGCTAAATAATGTCATACAATGTCATACCAGCACTCATTCCCTTCAAATGCGTTGGTGAAGTAAACTGTGGTGTATACAGCGCAGATATAGCCAGGATATAGTAGAAACCCCGTCCACATGAGAACGGGGATTCGGGAATAGAAGAAGCTGCCGGCGGTTATTTTATCATGCATCAAATATAAATTGATTGAACGACGCCCCTGTCCTCATCCTGTTTGTTTCTCAGCTTCGACGTTGAGGACAGAAGTGCAGGAAGTGAGCCTCTCAGTACGAATCATATCTAGAGCTCATTGGCGTTATAAATTTATGTATGTACGCAAAAAGTACTACCTTTCTGCATCTGAACAAGTCTAATGTGGTCTCCTCAGACGTTCTGCATTTAAAAATCGACAACTGCTGACGATTCAACCTCTTCTCTTATTCCTTCCGAAATTTCCTTTTCGGCTTTGATTTCTTCTTAATAGGTCTGGACCCTTGTTTTGCATGATCTTTCCTTGTCCTCCATAGCTTGTCGCCGTAATGCTCATTCGTCTAATTCCCTCGGCCTCACAACCAACTGTTCTTTTCAAGCTCGTATTCGAAAACCTTCCGGAGACTCTCCAGACACCTGCAGCGTGGGTCAATCATCTTGCAACTCTCGACTCGGATGACCTCGAAATTCCCGAATTAATGCATGCGTTGGACAAAGCAGTTGGTGTGCAGGGCATACTAGAACAGGTCACCTTTGACTTGGTCGAGCAGAAGATCAAATGTGTCTTCTTCGACGGGGAGACGGAGGAATGGCACATTGGCTCTTGCTATCAGGGCCTCTTGGGAGAAGCGGCTCATCGACGGAAAGCTGATCTAGTCAGGAGACTAGACAGTGTCATCGACGATGTGAATGAAAGCGCAGCGGAAGTGGAAAGAGAACGCAGACGAGAGGAAGAGCGGAAGGAGCAAAAACGGATGAGGGAAGAGGACGAACGGCTAGATGCTGCGAAACAGGACGAAATCACCGCGTCCATTCACGGACGAAGGAATAGGCCTGGTCACAAGAAGCAGCGGTCTTTGCTGATGAATCTCGTATCGTGAGCTCATTCTTGACCAACGACCTTCTTGACACTAACCGTTCTGCAGGTCATTACTCCCTCTCAGTTTAAATTCTCCCCGGAGCCCTCGTTCACCTCTTTCCTGGTCATTATCATCTCCGTCTACACCTCGATCAACGTCACCCGTCTCTTCCATTCGCTCTTCTCGTTCTGACAAGTTACCTTCTCAGACCCCTTCCGCGCATACTCGCTCGGCAACCATGCCCAGCCCAGGTATTCGAAACCATCGTCCTCTTTCCACCTCTTCGTCGTCGTCTCCTCTAGCCCCCACAGAATCTTCGTTTCCAGTAGTCATCGTGGCGCCTCCTTTGCCTCCTCCGCTTTCTCCACGCGCTCTCCGGCGCAGGGCTCGCAGTTCTCTCGTTGACGCATTCAGGTTGTACGTTTTACCAGAACTCAACCGAAGAATTCGGTTTTCGCATTTGGCAGGCTCTCATATGACCTCTTCCATCCCATCATATGGCTCTGACACTCCCGCGTCTTACTACACCTGGATTGTCGGAAGTACTTTGAAGCGGGTCGATAAACGTCTGAGTGAAATTGGCAAGGACTTGAAAGACGAGCTAGATGCTATTGGGATAGAGCCGAGCAGTTTACCCTTGGGTCTTTTCGCTGGACTTGGTAAATTGTTCATTTCATTGGTTTATATTCTTTCTCTCAACCTTTTACAAGGTATAGGTTCAAGTGCAGACCCTCCAACGGCACAATCACTTCCATGTTCATTACCGTCCCTAGCTGGTGACAGTAGCGACGGAGATGCCGGTTCCCGGTCGGAGACTGATGGAGAATTAGCAGAAAGAAATGATAGTGATAACGTGAGCGAGGTCACTCTCTTCGAGCCAAATGCCTCGTCAACTGGAAATCCGATAACTGTCCACTATCATTTACCGAAACCTCCTGCGAATGCAAGTTCAACATCATCTGTCATCGCCTTTCCACCTTCCCTGTATCTTAGGTCTTCGTCGTCTTCCTCTGACATCTTGACGCCTGCTTCCATAGTTCATCCAGAGGTCCCTCTGCCAGAGAGTCTGAACGAGCTCTTGATACAGCACAATGATTTCTCGTCGCTACATCTACGATTGGCGCACCTACTTCTTACATCCCATACACGGGCTGCTGCTGCTGCCGCAGACATTGCACAAAGGGAAGCTATTCTACAAGTGCGAGGGCGCAGACGGTCTTGGTTGAACGGTGCGCTGAAGGCACACGGGTCATCCAATAGTGACACGAAGGGATATCCTGTCAACTGGAGCGGAGCAATGGCCACACCTTTCCGACAGTCAGGTTTGGGCAAATACTCTTACAGCTCAGACGAATGGGAGTGTGACCCGTACCATTACTTGAAGATGTCCCGCCTGTCGTCCTTGTCCACGTTAGTCACAGATGTGTACCCGAATTCGTTTGACTACGCGGGCGATAATGGCTTTTCGACATATTTTCATGGGCATCGCCGAAAAGGGAGTGTCAACGAGAAGAACCTCAGCCTATTCCCGGTCTCCGAGGAAGAATTTGTCGATGATGGACCCTCAGCCCCAAGAAACAATTTTGGTCATCGTAGGTATCTTGATGTCGAGATCGATGAAGATGACGAGGACGACGAGGACGGAGAAGATACTGACGTTGATCCTCTTGTCGACCTTGAGTTCGACGGGCTAGATGATGATGATGATGGTGACATGCTTACGAGGCCCCTCCGACCATTCCTGCAGCTCGATACCCATAATAGCACAGGCATACCCAAATCCTCAACGCCTTTTAGTCCAACAGCCGTTAGCATGCATTTAGAAGCCAGAATCCCAAAAGGGGCTTCGGACGATCGAGTTGATGATTTCGCTCCTCTTGCTCTGGCCAATATCTCAAAGCGCATCCAGAACGAAACCAAAGCCGAGTTCCTTTCGGATAATATTTCAGATGTTGCTCCAAAATAATACTTGGTACGCTATTGCATTGATCCGATTGAAGGCTCCTCTCCTTTCTCATCCCGTTTTAACCACCACCATCCTACTTTCTTTTCTAATCGAGCTTCCCATTCTTCATAGCTCAGGGGTTTCAAATCTATACCAGCCGTTCTACTGTACAAATACCCGCATCATGGATTTTTCAACACTCCTAATTTAGCATTCTATAATGTCGTCGCATCTTCACTCATCTTCATCCCAAGTCTCACCTCTGTAATATAGAAAATCTTGTTCGTTCATTACTCTTCATTGCATCCTCGAACACACGCATCACATACATCGCAACATTCATGTTATCGTTGTCGTCACTACACTATACCTCTTTTATTCGTGCTATACCCTACTTTTCTATCCATAATTGCTCAGTTATTAGCATGTAGACAATATACAGTGAAAGATATCCATTTCCACAAGCCCACTGCAGGCTGCTACGTACTGCATGTGCGTTATTAGTAGCTTACTGCTACTGACTGTGGTGTTGAGTTTCGTTGCGATTGAGGTGTGGATAGGGCTTGCATCTGAGGCCGAACCTCCACTTACTGGCCCAAGGCCAACGACTAGAGCAGTGGACCCGTTGGGGTGATGTTGCTGTGTACGTTACTCCATCGGTTAGAAGAAAGTAGGGTATGGACAAACATCCTTAAAGGATGTGTGAGTGGAATGAGAGAACAGGGAAGGAAGGAGGAAAGAGATTATAGCGTCGGATAAGTTGAATCCACAAATTCGATCGATATTCTACAGGTGAGTACCCACCTGAAGTGGGAGACTACAAAACAACCTTGCTTAGCTACACTCAAGGTTTGCCTTGTTTGATTTTGTGAGGGACCATCCACTTGTGTGATATTCTTGAAGCGATCAGTAGATTTGCGAATTTGAGAAACACCAGTATGTTTCCATGGGGAGGAAGCGGAGTAGGAGGCTGTTGAGTCGCGGTATAGGGTGCATACCCTCCCGGGCCTGTAATGTGTGCGACGGCCTCCGCACGACTCCGTGCTTGCAGGTGGAGTTATGTAACGTCAAAAAGTGACCAGCCACACCTCCCCTATGAAACCCATTGGATTAGGTGAAAATGGTGTCTTCTCACAACAATCCACTAGGCATTTTTCCGATATTGCTGAATTCCGCGCTCCTTGGTTGTCCAGAATGAGTCATTATTGGGTTGCTGTTGAAGGAATTTCCAAACGCACATGACTCGCTTAGTATCGTCTGGTCCGTGCGCAAATGCTTGGGTATAAAAGCAGCACACATCAGTTTCATGATCCCCATCTCTTGTGCTCGGGCGCGTGGTCGCACCAGTGAGGTTTTTACCGAGGTCGATCTATTTTGCTGATTGCAAATTATACATCCGAACCCGTCTGTTAGCTTCGGCTTTCAGCAATTTTTGGAACCCACTCCTTATGATAACTTCTTTGAAGTTTGAAGGGACTTTGTCTTGTTTTTTCTCTTGTAGTCTCGTTATTGAAAATGCAAATATTTTATCATACATTGGGTTTCTTGATTATGAAGTCAAATTTTGGCTTGCTTGATACTGCGGAGAGTTGTGGGAATTGTAATGACCAGCAAGAGGTAGTTTATTGACAAGGGGTATTGACACTGAGAGACAACCAAATTTGATTTACATATTAGAGGTTGCAGCTATGTGAGTGAAATCTATGATAGAATTCTACTTCGCCAAATTCAACAATTCCTTGGGCAGCTTGGAAACAGTCATGATACCCAACAGAGTGACAACAATGAAAAAGAAATAAACCAGATAACCATTCAGAACATTGTACTCCTTTGATATGGAGAACAGCGACATTGCAAATACCGGAGCGATCGTTTTTGAAAGTGTTTTTGCTGTTTGAAGAAGACCATTGGTAGTCCCGAGCGCAGCTTGGTTCGGCGCTCCGTTGATGACGAACATTTGAGCGGTAGCTGCATAACAGTCAGCACTCGGAGATTCATAGGGCAATCATACGGAAGAAAAGCTCACCAAAACCCATATTCATTAGCGTATACGATCCAAACTGAATAGCAACCACAACCCAGAACAGCAGATCGTCATTTCCTCCCACAGGGCGCTTTGCAAGTATGTTGAGAGTGATGAGAGACGACAAAATGAGCAGCGGACACATCATCCCCATTAGTTGCACCTTCCATGGCCCAAAATACCTAATCATCCGGGGTATGCCAAAAGTTGGAAATAAGATATTGAGGATACCCCAAGAACCTACGTAGCCGCTCGTATCAGGGTCCAATACTGATTTTAAAAAAGTACCATACCAAGAATTGAGCCCAACTGGAACGAGGTTAAACCCAGACCGCCGCTAGCAATGGACGTCGTGTAAGTAATAGGAATAAGGACCGAGATACTAGTTTCAATGGTGGCGAGAAGGCTATAGCTCAGGATCGGAAACAAAACTTGTGGAATCATCAAGGAACTTAGAATAGGAGGCTGTTGAGGAAAATCATCGTCTTCACCAGTCCCTAGGGCGCTGAAGGTGGGCTCGACAAAGCTAGACGCGGTCGCAGTCGAGATAAATGAACAAGCGGTCGGCGCTGCAACAGACCCGTAGTAAAAACCACTCCCTGCTGATTGTGCTAGACCATCAATACTCCTGGAAGAAAGACGCTTCTTGAAATGCTTGCGGTCTTGACTTTGAGATTTAGATGTTTGAGGGTTTGAGATTTGGAACGAGCGAGTCTGAGTGACGTGCTGGGTCAGATGTGCATATAGAACAGGCGAACGAGTCACTGACTTCTTTTAATCCAAAGAATGCAATGGTGACGAACAAGAGAGATAGGCAACCACTGACAGCGAGAGGCAGGAAGAAAGGATATTCTCGGAGCAAGGATATTTTGCCGAGGGTGTTTGGCCACTGATTCGCGGGATCCGATAAAGTACCACCAAGAAACGGACTGTAGAGACAATTAAAGATAGCGCGAAGTAGTAAAGCATATACTCGCCCAATAGTCCCGCCTAGACACCACATCATGGGATTGAAAGCGAATACATCCGCTAGGTTACTGGCGTCTGCCAGCTATGTAGAACGAAGTAAACGCGTCAAAAACATGTGATTGACGAAATGAGGTCGACTCGCCTCAGCCAGAACCGTTTTCGACACGCCAATGTTTCCGTTGAATGCACCTTGGATGCTTCGAAAAAGTACCAATTGCGAGTACGACGTGGACAGTCCGAAGCCGATAGCACCGAAAAACAGACCAAGAGGTCCGATTAAGAGAATAGGTCTGCGTCCAAAGCGATCTGAAGCCATCCCCCACCTGTCAATGTGAACAAAATTCGCATGAGAACAGATTAGAACCAGGGATGCGAAGGTATAAGGTAACCTTACATGAGTACCGTGAGACACTCGGCGAGGAAGAAGACAGATTCCTGGTTGTATGCTAATTAGGAACAAAGACGAGGAAAAAACTCGACCACGTTCAGCCTTACAATGACTCCAGCGTAATACCCAGTCTTTTTCTCGTCGCCTTGAGTGATTCCAGTGCTCGCCACAAATTGATTGACGAACGGATAGATGACAGTAGCAGCGATAGGTTCGGAAAGTTGAATTAAAAGGACCATAGAGACTTGAAGTTTGGGAATCGGAGTTCGTTCGATTTTGGGCAGTCTGCTTGTGTGATACTCGGTTGGATGAACGGCATTGTGACAAGATATAGTGCTTTGCCTGCGGGATGCGTATGGATCAACGTCTTCATCCGCTTGAGCTTGAGAGGGAGGACGCCGTTGGCGAATGGTGATAATGGAAGCGGTTGAAGCCATGCAGAGAAGATGGAAGTTGAGAAAGAAGCCTTAGCCTTCGCGATCGAAAATGTCAATGTCAAAGGTCTGAATCCAAATCGCCCCTTAGGCTTTAGGTGTCTAGCAAGGATGAGATCGGACTCAACACGAATGAATTAAGCAAAACGAGTGTATGCTTGATATGCATACGGCGAAGCAGAAAACCGACAAGAATTCCTCGATTCGACCACTCGAAAGGTTCATTCATCACTGAAAGAGCCCGTTTCTATGACTTTATCCAAGTCGTAGCCTCGGCGTAGCTGAGTTATCAAGCGATATTAGCAGAGATAAATTTCGAGCATAAGCATGTATAAGCCTTGCTAGTTTGTTCTTCATAGTGGGACGGTTACTGGTCGCTGTTGATTATCACTGCCAGGTTGTGTCCATCGTCGTCGACATCCGTACTTTGATTTACGTACACACGCTCGTGCTAATAGTCACGTGGGGCCTGTATAGTATTTGTCAGCAAGCTCCACGCTTCTCATCTATCGAACACGACTTTGTCCAGTTGAGCTGAACGAGATATCTTCAAGGTTAGTATTTATCAGAGCCGCAATCGCTGATCGTCCAACTCATCAAACACACACAGACCCGCCAACCATGCCCGGAAAAGTCAAGGCCTATGAGCTCCAGTCCAAGTTTGTCTGCATGATTATTCCTTGTGAAGTTAAAATTTAATGGACTATGTAGGTCGAAAAATGACTTATCCAAACAATTAACAGAGCTCAAGACGGAGCTCTTAGCTCTGCGGGTACAGAAGGTTGTCGGTGGATCAGCATCAAAACTTACCAAAATGTGCGTCGTATAATCTGTGTTGCTCAATCGCTAGTGCTAACTATGTAATGTTTTAGCAACACCGTTCGCAAGTCGATTGCACGAGTTTTGACGGTCATGAACCAGAAGGCACGCCAGAACCTACGGGAGTACTACAAGGACAAGAAATACCTTCCCCTTGATCTCCGAACGAAACAAACTCGCGCTATTCGCAGACGGCTGACGAAGGTATACTATTATCCTCTTTCCGTAGCATTTGTGCTTATGGTGTGCCTTATTGCAGCATGAAAAATCGTTGAAGACGGCCAAGCAGGTCAAGAAGGACCAGAATTTCCCAGTCAGGAAGTACGCTGTCAAGGCATGAATGCGTTTTGGTGTATGAACGGTTGCGATGGTCGAGGAGCGTCATGTCTACTGTTTTCTATGTGCTTTATTATGTCGAACATGCCTGTATTGCCCGCATATGGATTTCACCACATGACAAACTGCGAGGCGCAACATCAGGAGCGCGCCAATCCTATACTGATAAGGCAATACGTTGGCCCGGCTTGTATTAGTAAACGCTGCCGTGAGCAGTAGCAATTGCATCCTCTTCTTCAATTACTATTGAGTACTTGAGTTTTCGACCACCTGACGGTTTTTCCTTCGATCTTTGCCTAACTCTCCAGTACTTTCTTCTTGTAATTCAAATGACGATGGTGAGTAACCATTTCGTCGTTGATCAAGTGAGAAATATTTCGGCGAGAGCTTTCGGAACATTTGAAATTTTGGGCACGTGTAATCTATGATGCACTTCGAAGACTCTATCAAGGGTGGTGCATGAGAGAATTGTCGCGAGCCCTTCTCCTTCCCTGACTGTCATGGCTCCCAGTTCTCGCTTTAGCAAGCGCACCAGCTCAGATGATATGGTTTCCAAACCTCAGCCCAGAGTGCTTACTCGATCTCCTCCCTCTTCTCCACAGGCTGAACATAGAAACGGTCCCCGGGATCCATACCCTATTCCTAGTAGCAACCCCGCTAGTCAATACACTTTGCTCGAGAAACTCGGTACAGGGAGTTTTGGAATTGTTTACAAGGCCATGCATAATGAAACAAAGCAGATTGTAGCCATAAAGCAGATTGGTGCGCTTAACTGTCCAGTTCTTCAACCACAGGACTCTGAATACTTGATTTGCATTAACAGATCTAGAAGATACTGACGACGACATATCGGAAATACAACAGGAAATTGCCAGTCTTGCTCAATGTGATTCTGAATATGTTACACGGTATTACGGCTCCTTCGTCGTTGCATACAAACTATGGATTGTTATGGAATACCTCGCTGGCGGCTCATGCCTAGATCTACTGAAACCCGGCCCTTTCTCCGAAGCTCACATTGCGGTCATTTGTCGGGAATTATTACTTGGACTTGATTACCTGCATACCGAAGGCACTATTCATCGAGATATCAAAGCTGCCAATGTCCTTCTATCCTCCTCTGGCAAAGTCAAGTTAGCCGACTTCGGTGTTGCAGCGCAGCTAACCAACACACTTCGACATACCTTTGTGGGAACACCCTTCTGGATGGCTCCAGAAGTGATTCGGCAAGCAGGATACGATGCGAAGGCCGATATGTGGAGCTTGGGTATCACTGCGATAGAGATGGCGCTAGGTGAACCACCGCTGGCGGAGTATCACCCAATGCGAGTGCTTTTTCTTATTCCGAAAGCTAAACCTCCGGTCCTTGAGGGTCCTTTCTCTGCTGCGTTTAAAGACTTTGTCAGTCTCTGTTTAACAAAGGATACAAATGCAGTACGTCCCTATCATTCAATCCAAGCCTAGAATTTCAGCTGACAGGTCATTGTTGGTAGCGCCCGACAGCAAATGAGCTACTACAACACCGCTTCATCCGCGGGGCGCGGAAAACATCTTATCTAACAGAGCTCATTGAACGATATCAAGACTATCGGGCACGCTCTCCGCAGAAAGGTGGTACCCAAACGTATCAAGCTACCATCAGAAACAGCATGGGCTGGGACGCAAACAGCAGCATACGGAGCGACTGGAATTTTGACACCATCAAAACGTCGTCCATCATGGGGACTTACCGAAATATGGCTAAGGACCTCAGTTCCATGTCAGAAGCTTACGAGGACGAATTCATCGACTCAGGTTTGCCTAGCACGATAGACACAGCAGCAGCCACGAAAGGCAGTGATCCAATTGCCAATGGAAGGATCGGTTCTAATTTCGATGCGGCGCATTCGACAGTGGTTATCAAGTCACCGGTAATTGAGAAGGATATGGAAACTTTGCTCGAAGCCACAGAATCACCAGTCTCGTCTGAACCCCTATCCGACAGTGTGACTCCTCCACCTGCGTATAGCGGGTCAATAAGGAGTAACAGAAGGTCATCGTATGCTGAGCGTCATTCTATCGACGGGGCCGGAACTGTCATGCGTGAAGCGGACCTTGGCACTGGCGTAGATACAATTCGGCCGGTAAAGAAGGTTGACACAGTGGGCTCTCTCAAAATTTCTGCGGAGCATGTGGGTAGCCTACGCAAAAATAGTGGAAGCAGCAGTGGTCCTAGCTCTCCGACTCTTCATAGACGGGCGGCCAGTGAGATAGGAAGGGCAGGGACATCGATCGTTGATGAGGTGGTTCTTCCTGTACTATCACAGGTCCGTCGTGCATTGTGATCCTTGTATAAGCCTGTCTTGATTCATATGACCGTTCAGGCTATCCGGGATGATATGGACGCTCGCGAGATCGAGTCCTTGAGCATGTTATCACGGGGCTTCAACGAGCTCAAGGAAGCAAACCCTGAGCTTGCTTATAATGTTGTCCTGGACATCCTATCAGGTTTGAACGAGTACGTTTCTCATTTCTAGATCTTCGTATACGTACTCACAATCATACAGAAGCAACAGCCTACGACAACACATACAGACCCACCGCAGCTTATTCCCCCATAAACGGATTACGCGGAAAAGTGAAATGACAGCGAAGGGATTGGTTGTAACGGAAGTCGAGGAAGTTGATGTGACATCAACATCAACACCTCCAACAGATAGCCCTGCTCCAGCACGCAGATCCCCTATCGCGGAACTGTTATATATGCGGTGGTTGGAAGGTCTTAAATTGAAATGGCCTAGTCTGACGTAGGAGAACATCCTGAACATCTGGCACCAATATGAATAAGTATCTATTCCCTTTTGATCTTTCCGTTATTTTACGACGTTGTCTATTTTCTCTTTTCTTGTCTCTACTTTCTCTGTATCGCGGTGCTTGTACCTGTCGAGATTTCACGCGCCTTCATTCTCTCGTTTCATGAACCCTCATTCACTTCTTTTTGTCGGTCGTATTACACAGTACCCGATGACGGTATTGGAAGTTTTGGAGTTCGAGCGCTCATGCACATGTGTGAATATCCCTGCTACCTTGACTCGTCTCCTCGTACCATACCTCCCAGTTCAGTTGCTTCATGTCCACTTACGCACGCTAACGTTAACGCATATATATATTATTTCTAGAGAATAATTTCTACCCTCTTATTGATCATGATCATGGCCTTTTTATGACATTTTTTCGATTTGCTTGTACATACGTATGGACAGTATCCTGTACACAATTCGTCATGATGATGATGTTGACTTATATGTCGAGCTTACAAAAGATAATACCCCGTTGTCTTGATATTTCCATCACTGCATGAACACGGGGAAAATCAAGCTGATCACGGAAGTGAATGACCAGTCAAAGCTGGAAATCGCACTTTTAGGAATCGCAACCTTAAAAGTTAAATTTAAACTTCGTGCATAATCTACGGTCACTGTAAGTACTGAATGAGGGCGAGTGAGATCAAGTAATGACAGAAATGCGGTAAGCGCGACGTTGTAAGGCCCTAAATCGTCGTTAGTAATTACAGCACAGAGTAAATAGCTATTAGTATCGTCAAGTATGTAGGTAGAACGTTCAAAAAAAACAAGGTATTGATAGATGCACAGACAAATCTAGAATAGCAGCGACAGAAAGATATAAGACAAGCGAAGTCCGACAAATTGAAGAGAGATGGATAACGATGCGACATGTAGTCGTGAAGATGTAAATGATAGGCAGTAAATAGTGCAAAAGTTGTTCGTTCAGAGGAAAATGACACAAGCTGATATGATCGCTCCGTAAACAACGGATTTTCCGACGCTCAGTCTGCTCCATGCTGAAAACGCAGAGTTCGACGAATTATCTGCAGAAGAGGCAGTACTTTGGCTGGGTGTAGCACTCTGCGATCTGTGATTGGGGTGATAAGTATTAGATATTCTGCGTGTATATTCATAAACAGGACTAACGATGTTTTCGTTGAGGCGGATGAGCTAGTCGATGATAATGTCGTTGTGGGACTTGAAGTTGCAGACAAAGTCGCGGATATTTCTCCGATGATAATGTCAGCGGGTGTGACACTGCCATTATTGATACCAATAGCGTTCTGGTAGGCGCTTTGGCCTGCAGCAGCAAGCTGGGCGACGGACTGCAGGTTCCAGCCATTAGACTTCATAACAGGATACGCTGCTTCGAACGCCTGTACGGATTCATCTGAGAGCTCATGTTCTAGTATAATGAGACCAGGGGTCTTTGAGCCTATCAGCGCATTTGAGTGAGTGATAGACTGTGATAAACAATGTGAAATGAAATGGTAACCTACCTGTAAGCCATGTAGTCATTGAGGCATTGATGGCTGCTGCCGTTGTACCTCCTGTCTCCGTCAAGCTCCAATCTTCCGTGCTTTAGAAACTAAGCGGTTAGAAAAAAAATGCCAGCAACTTACCAGGTTTGGACTTACTCTTGGTTCCAAAGAATAGTCTCCATGCCAAAGACCTCCTTTGCGATCGCGCTAACCCTCAAGTCAGTATCCCCATAGGGTGGTCTCCAGTATTTTGGAAGACGTCCGCCGGTCGAGTTGTGAATGAGTTGCATAGTCCACCCAAGCTGTCGAGGTATAAAAATGTTGTTAAAATACATCAAACAAATTTTTGACAAACCTGTGCGAGGACATCCTCGTTGCTGAGTGTGGTCATGTACGGATGTGTCCAGGTGTGCACAGCAATATCGTGACCGAGCTCTACAGATCGGGTGAACGAGTCAGGCTCACTGATGATATTAATGCCAATCATGAAGTGGGTGACGGTTTCGTTGTTCGCTTCGAGGAAATCAAGCAGCGCAGGGCTCGCCTAAGGAAAAGTCTGTATGTGTAATTAAGCTGCTAGAAGCAAAATGCATACCGAGGTAGGGCCATCGTCGAAACCTGAATTTCACCTGCTCAGTTTGTAATATTACTAAAAGAAGACAGAAGAGTTACCAGTGCCGATAAAGCCATCGGGAGCATCCCAAACGTTTCCAGGGATCCGACACTTGTACGTTCCAGAGCAGACGTCGGGTCCAGTGGGATCATAGCCATCAGGATAAACGGGATTAGTGTCTGGTACGGGTTGACTGGACACAGGAACGTTGGGGATTTTGCCAGCTCCTACAGCAGTGTTCAATGCAGCAGTCCACGTAGCTGGCAATTGAGAGGTGTCGGGTGTAGAAGAAGGATACGCCGCCGCCCAAGCTGAGGGAACATGTCAATATATGACCATTGGAGATGAATATTAAATCCAGACTTACTTGAAGAACCAACATCGGGATAGGTTATACCGTCTGTATCCGCGTCGCGTCTGAAAAGATGGTGGACTGGGTGATCCCTGGGATGGAACCACTCATTGGAAGGAAGACGCTGGAGGATTCGATGTTCGTGATGTGTTGCTGACCTGTGAGTGAGAGATGCAGCGGAAGCAGACAGGAAAAAGGCGGCGGGAAGGAGGGAAGAAAGGAGCATGGCGGGTTAGAGATAAAGGAAAGGGGTCCAAACCTGTATTCACCTTGAGGTCTCTTACTTCTTATAACAATTTCAAGTCAAAAATGTGTTCGGTTCAAGTTGATCGTGTATTAAGCGCGGTCATGTCTATCAAAATTTCAGCGCTCACTCCCACGTCTGCGATAATTGCCCGTTTTTGGTCGAAAGCCCGTACACCCTGGGGCCTGCTTTGTTGCGCTTAATGAAATTTGAGTTTGACTACGGATCAAGTTCACCCTATCTATAACCAACATCAAAGTTCTCCAACTCTTCAAGGTCCTTCAGCAGAGTGGTTAAAAGTGGTTATGGGCGCTGTTTGGGCCACGATGTTATGTCTTGACATGCACGCTAAACTTACATCAATCTACCTAGGACTTGAGCTTGAAATTCGTAGTGCCGAACGTGACCCGATGCATACCAGAAAATACCTAGCATGCATAAGCAGAGCCCTGCAAAGCAAGAGAACTCAGAAAAGTCCAAGATACCGGAAGATACCAGGCCGATGCCAGAAGTTGAATAAAGGTTCCACAGGGTTCCACACGCTCTACGGATTAAAATTTATTCGACACTGAATTGTCTTGGCACATCGTACTTGTAATTACAACACGCCACATGGAAAAAACATAAGAATCACAACCTAGCCCGATGCTGTAGGAGTGGCAGCCGGGCTATCACGATAAGCTGGTCTCAAAATTAACACTCCATTCTTCAGCTGTGCGATCTCCTTTACGAGCCCTGTAAACTGCGCCTTCTTTTCCTCGTCCGTGAGGTAGGGAGTGAAGTATTGTATACACTCCCTGGTTGATGCGTTGGCAGTTGGAGTATTCTTCAACCACTCGATTAATAACCGTTCTTCTAGTGGTCCCGCCGGTATCGCTACTGCCGTTGTTGGGTGTGCTTTCCGTTTTTTTGGTTTGGGCGGACCGTTGCTTGACAGAAGAGTAGGTGACAATGATCCAGCCTCTTCGGCTTTGCGTTTTTTGTTTTGTGATTGCCCGTTCTGAACCCCATTGACTGCCGCAGGACTACCTGCTCTACTCCCTGGAGTGGGGGAAGTGGCGGTTGTCATTCCGCCGGCGCCAACTGGTGATACAGGGCTACTTGCACGACTAGCGAGAGGGCTGCCACTCCGGCCAGTATTAGTCAAATTTGGCTTGATTTTTGGCACTTTCGGACTAGTAGCGCGTTTCGCGACAACAGAATGTCCGCCGAGACCTGGAACGGGGGATGTAGCACGGGATGCGGTCGTGTGTACAGCACCATTGATTTGAGTAGTAGCTTTCATTAACTCTAGGTTGGAACTGGATGTTTGTGACGGTGTCGGAGATTTGGACTGGGGCTGAACTGCAGGACCAGTTTGAGGAACAATTTCTTCCTCCTCGTCCTCTTCTTCTTCCTTTACAGAGGTCAACGGTTGTCAAGGCAGAACAAAGGAAATTTGAAGTACTTACAGATGAAGCATAAGGATTATCTTCTTCCTCCTCACTTTCGTAAACATCATTCCCCTCTCGAGCGCGGAGCATTTTCTGCATTCTCTTCGCTTGTTTAGTCATCCCCGGCTTCTCCTCTTCTTCGTCGGACTCGTCGATATAACCCTCGCGGGTCTTGTTCGCGTTCTTGTATTCTTTCTTCAGTCGTTCCTGAAGAAATCGATCAAATTGAGTTTGATTGTTGTTTATTTAGACAACGCACCTCAAGCTCCTTGGCCTCCTGGTCATTCGTGTCTTCTACATCCATCTTTTCCTCGTCGTCCGCAAAATCTTCTTCATACACCATTTCGTCCATATCACCTTCACCGCCGAACTCCTTGGCCCGCCGTTTCGCAGCACCGTTATCCTCGTCATCTTCTCCAAATAAGTCATCTGCACCGCTGTCAACAGCTTTCAGCCTGCGTCCACCGGGTCCGAGACTCTGTTGCGCTTGATGTACGAGAGAACCATTAGCTTGTGGCTGCCCGTCAGCTTCGGCTTTGAACATGGCAGCTGTGGCGGCTGACGGGCCCTTGCCATTTCTCTGGTGTAGCCAGGTCGACGGGTCCCGCTTAAGACTCTTCTGATACTGTTTATGCATTCAGAGAGAAGTAAAGTGCGAAAAGTGAAAGTGTGGCGAAACATACAGCAGATTCCACAGACGTAGTATCCGTAGGCATGTCATGTTTGAGCTTCTTCTGAAACTTATAGTACCGATGTGAAGGGACAAACTTGAACACGTCGTTGGCAGCAGGCATGAAAAATGCATGCGTTTCTGCCTTGCCTAAATCGTCGAGCTGAGCAGTCCATACTTCTGAGCCAGGAGCATCTTCAATGACCCAAGGGTATCTCTCCTCCTTCCTCAAATTCCGGACCTCATCCGGGACGATAAACACCTGTCGAGTCTTCTTTTGAAACTTTTTCTTCCCATTCGTAAGTCCCTTGCCCTTGCCTGCACCGCTACCAGAAGCTCCGTTCTCCGTTACAGGTCGTCCTTCGCTGTCGACCATGACTGTCTTGCCGTCGGAACCGATAACGGGCTGTCCATCGAGACCTAGCATAGGACGCACAGCCTGCCCGGCACCGCTCATCGACGGATCCTCTCTCCTCAAATCTTTCCTGTTCAGCTTTATCGGTCCTTGCCAGCGCAGAATATCAACACTCTTCCTTGAATCAAACTTCATCACGTCGTATTTCCACCCGTTGAGCGCCGAAGACATTATTCGAAATTCTTGATATGGGCCGTCAGGTAGTTGCAGGTCAGCCTCGTCATCGTCAGCGTTTGGCTTTGGCGGTGATGGCTTCGGAGATGGTTTTGCTTTTACTGGAGAGCTGGGTCGAGAGCCATTGAGCGCAGAGTTAGGTGGAGGTGGTCGTGGCGAAGAAATCGACGTGCTTTTCTTGTTCTTTTTCGGGTGAAATAAGAGTGAAATGTCGGCCTTGGCTTTGGGAGCCATGATAAATAGTGAATAGCAGTCAAGTTATCACACCAGAATGAAAGAGCAAGCAATTAGGCAGACCGGCGGTGGTGGATTCAGTGAGAGTTGGGAAAGTACCATGTGCAACTGATTATGTTGCTTAATACGGCTATTTTCCTTTGTTCTTGATCACCACTGTTGTTCTCATTATTGCTCGTTCAAGATAAAGGCCCACGGCCAAAAAAGTAAGTATTATATCCGCCACCGTGAAGACGATATACATAACAACTGTTGAAGAACAATATTCTCATTTTATCGCGAGTTTATCGTCTAATGTCCCAACAATTGTATACAGCTACTATCAAACATGGAAAAAAGGAAGTCTGTGGGAGGTATAATATTGCTCATGACGTAGGGTGAACTTCTGGCCGAGGCAAATCTCCGTTCTGCGAAGGAGGAGGGTTCTGCTCACCAAGAGGAAGCATGTTCTGCGACGAGGCGGGACGAGAAAGTGGATGCTGAGGATGTTGTTGTTGAGCAGTTGGATGTGAGATCGGAGGAGGATGCGGTAAGACTCCAGGAGGTAGCGGATACGGCGCAGGTATTGGACCTTGTGCATAGATGAGGTGTGGCGGAGGAGGTCCAGTAAATGGAGGAAGTCCAGCATTCTGTCTGACTGCATCTAACTCGTGCCGCAGCATATCAATTTCTCTGGCCATATCCTGATGGCTCTGTTTTAACTGATTGACAAAATCGATAGCTAAAAGAGCATGATTAAACCCGATTTTTTGTGCTCCAAGAAAATCGACTCACCTTTACTCAAGATTTCCCACTTACTTGCTTTCATCCCTCTATCTGCGGGCAGCTGATCTCGTAGCTCATCGAACAAGTCTTTCATTTCCTTTCTTCTCTTTCTCTCAGCAAGTTTGTGCGATACTCGAAGTTCGGGTGAGCGGGAATAGGGAGTCGCGCCAGAATCTTTTGCGGCCTTGACCGACGAGCTCGAAGAGGCGAGTGGATCTGCAAGAGGGTCTTCCGGAGACGCTGACTGGGCGTCTTCAGCGCGAGTCTGACGCGATGGCGGTCTAGAACGAGAACGAAGGACTCTCGTAGGGCCTGTCGAAGTTGGTGGTGAAGCAGAAAGGACATTTGGCACAGACATTCGTCTATCCTGGCTGAAATTTATCGGGGGCATCATGTGAAGAGGTGCAGAAGCGGTCACATTGGGATCGCCTTCATGCTGCATGTTGATTGACTCTGAAGGATGAGGACTGGCGCTAACAGGCCACGCGAAAGTCGTAATTCCGGTTGCAGGCCGGCCCTGCGGCGATTCCGTTCCGGGAAATGCCTGTGAATATCCCGAGGCGGCCGAAAAAATTGAGGAAGTCGAATCTCGCCTGTCATTTGTCCATGCCCAATGGCTTCCTCGTGAATCTACAGAATTTCTCCGTTGTTCATTCAATGACAATGAAGCAATTCTGCTGGTATCAATAGCTGAGCCCCTTCGCTTTGGTGGTGGTGCTTCCATTTCCACTTCAATTCCGCTAACTCCTGGCCCTGCCAACAGTTCGCCTGGTACACCTTTATCCACTGACATCTTTCTCTTAACTCCCGCCATCTGTAGTTCAGTTCCGGCTGCAGACTGCCGTCGCCCTTCTAGACCAAATGATCAGTGGGAACTCCGTGGATATCAGAAGCACCCTAACGCACCTTCCGTGGTTACTACTCCTTCCGTCGCGCGTGATTTCTCTGTCTCCATTGAAGGTGAACGCAAAATCTTTCGTAAAGCTGAATTATCGCTTGTTGTCGCTGTGGCATCTCCAAACACATATGTGGACGACGGTCCAATAGAACCAGGACTCGTAGGGCCAGAGCTATTGCTCGCAACTTGGCGGGACATTTGCGGATTGGCTGGGGGTAAAGGTGCTGCATGTAGCGATGGGTCTGTGATAGATCCTCGTCGTTGATTTTGTTGCAGGTATTCTAGTGGTGCAAGGGGCATCGAAGGTGATTTCATTGCTGGTTTGATCAACGGGGACCGTATCGCGCTTTTTGTCGTAGATGTGCGGTCTCCCTCTGGTCCAACCATGTTCAATAATGGACCTCGAATTTTTAAAGAACGAAGCTAGCACACAAACTGTCGGATAGATATATGTACTCTACAAAGCTTCATCGAAAATACCCAGCAACGTGGACTAAAATGCTTACGAAATCGTTGTAATTTAACCCGATAAGTACATTACGACCAATCAAGGACCGTTGCGTCCAATCCTCTTCGCGCATTCTCACTCAACTCTATCATCCGACTGTATTTCTGACTATTTCTAGTCTTTCTCCCAACTCCGATTCCGTCTCTCCTCAGCATGGCTTTTTCCTGGCTATCCTCTGCAGCGACCATCTGTCGAATCCAAGGCAAGTAATCCAGGTCAAATACGGGTCGTCGCATGATCTGAGATCGTCCTGCTACCACGTTATGTCCAAATTCCTTGACTGTCTCGTCATATTGCACGCGAGCTATCCTCGCCCTCGTGCTAGTCAATATACTAGAATCTCTCGTAGAACGTGGACAGCTATTGCCGCCACGCGAACGCTCTATGATCGTTGACATGATCAATTCATCCAGATCATGATGCCCAAACTGACGGTGGCGAAAGGTCGATCCATTCGTTTGTAATATGCGATATCCTAGAACGTCATCTGCAGCAGTAGACGCAGCCTCGTTCAAGCTCATTTCCTATGCAAGCTATCATGAGAAATAGCAGCTTTCCTAATTCCGTCTCACTCACCTTTGGCATGTCTGCAACTTGCCGTAAAAGGTAGCAATCTGCAAAAGAAACTAGTTCCGCATGATATGCTTCTGAACTACCTATGGAATACGTCTGTCGGACTTGGTAAATTGACGCGTCAGAAGACTTGTTCTCTAGTGGACGGTCATCCGGCCAATCCCAATTTAACATGTCTTCAATCTCTTGACCACATATTGCAGTCTCTGCACTTGTTGTGTTCCCAGGACACCATAGCTGGAGATTGTGAATGGCTCGACGGAGATCCAGACGAGGGTAATCCAGCCCGGATGAGTTAGGGCTCTCATAAAATCGTGATAATACTTCACGATCCAATAGGTATCCCTCAGCGCAGCACAATGCCTGTAAGAACGAAGTAGCAACACTTGTGGAACAGAGCTGAAAATTCAGCACATCTTGCAAAGGAAGCTCTGCCACAGGCACCAGAGAGGCATCTGATATCATTCAGTAGGATAATGAAAAGGCAGAAAAGAATCGTACCATTGCATGTCAATATCACAGGCCGTTTACAGTCTTTGATTAAACTGATTATAGAGCCCCAGAAGTTCACATCTTCTTTGAACAAGACATCCACTTCTTCTAGGAGGATCAAGGATTGCCGGGCTGCAGCTTCATGCTCCTCATGTTGTGTGCCATTAAGCTCTTCCACGAAGCCAAATCCGTTCATTGAAGTTGAGCGCTCACGGTGATCATTTGGAATCCAGATTTTCCCGTTATTCTTTTCTTTTCCCCGTGCAAAGGCTGATTTGAGCGATCCGTCCACCTTAGGGTTCGTTCCTGAGTTTTCATTTTGAAGTTGCGTCTTTCGCACAAGGTGATTTTTACCCACTTCTCCTACGAGGTTGTCGAGATTTGCCCCACTGCGTTTACCTACCCCTGGATAAACTTCGAAGATCTCCCAGCCAAGTTCGGCGGCACACGCATAAACCGCGGCCGTCTTTCCGGTGCTGTTGGGACCACTGAGCAAGATAGTGTTGGTGAGACGTTCCTGGAATGTGAGATGCGTGGGGTAGTGTATTGTAGAGGAGGAATCGTTGCGCCTAGATTGACGATACAACCGCGGGGACGCATTCTCGACGCATTCTTCCGTATCTTCAAAATTATCGATAGGCGGAGATTCGGTTTCCGAAACATTATCAGAATAGATAATCCAACTATCATCATCGTCGTCGGAATCAATTCTTTGCCTTTTCCTCTTTTCAACGGCCCGGATGACACGTCGCTTAGTTCCTCGTTTCTCATTAGCGGTAGATTTTGTCTTGCCTTTGCCAAGTCTACCGGGGGCTCGGGAAGCAGCGAAAGCATTGACATCGGGTGGAGCAGAAGCAGTGATGAAATTAACTTCCAAAGCGCAAAGCCATTGTCGAAGGAAGGTCGCCTGCTCTTCATTCCCAAGAACGTGATCAGCTCGAGAAGGGCGCCATTTATCCGTCCATAGTCTGTGAGAATCGCCCGAAAAAGAATCGGGCTCAAAGGTGGCAGTTTCGACCAAATGTGCAATGACAGGATGTGATTGTAGATGCTCTGTTGGAATACTCGTGAGATGGACAGCTCGGACGGTATGAGATGTCGAAGCATCCAAGCGCAGTTTGTGTGCGTGTTCATCTTTAGTTTCCACCAGAGAAGGAATACCTATGACGTCGGATACATGCAACGATGTGTTAGAGGCAGTTGTATCTTGGTAGCGGGGAGGAAATGATATTGAAGGAGCATTATAAGTAGTTTGTGGACCTCGGACATGCTGGGATGAACCGTCTGGAAATGGTGCTTCAAGATGAGAAATGGGAATTTTGGCGGGATTGACAGGAGTCACAGAAGGCTCTACACGGGTACGAGGCGCAAAAATAGAATAAAGCGTTTGAGGAACTGCTCTGGTTGGTTGCGAATAGAGTTTGACAGGAGAAGAGTCAACTACGATGGGATCGTCTTCTCGCAGGCCCGTGGCACGTTCCACGACCTGTATATCAGGCGTGAGGAAGCGCATACTATTTGAAGCGAGAGTTTCGAGTGAAGACGCGGAGACCATTTGTTCGGGTCTAGAGGTGATTTGTTCGGAGATGAGCGGTATATCGACGGATTCACCTTGAAACAAATCAGTCAAGATCACTTGAAGCCACAAGTGGCTCGCACCAGTCAATTTGGGAGGATCGTAATCCAAGTTCAAATGAGAATCGAAAGACTCCTGTCGTTGTTCCTGAAGGCCTGCTGGTGAATCATCCAGGTCCACTGTAATACTGGCAGCAGTTTTCTGTTTCTTTGGAAAGAGATCTAGAATACTCTTTTGGTTCAGTTTCTATAATTTATTGCTGAGTCAGTCGGACGAACAAATGCTTCAAGTATCCACTGGCATGAGACACACTAGCTTGGATTTCCTGGAGGGTATTGTGGAAGATTTCGGGACATTGTCAGAGCGCTTTTCATCCGCCATTAGTAAATCGAGGAATGAGCTTCGTATACTAGATGGTGATGCTGCAGGTGAGAGTGTTTGCGCGCGCATCGCCGAATGGCAAACGCGAACGGGTGAAGATCACGTGAGTACGCGCCATTTGGGAATCACACCGTGACCTTATGGGCCTACTCATGACTCCGAAGGGCGATTCACGTACTCAGAAATCTTCTCAACAAGCCTCTCTAGAGTGGTTGTCGGCAGAATATCACGGTACTCTCTTTCCTTAATGGAAAATGATGCGTATGAACAGAATTATAGACTTGAATGGAGACCACATCGATATCTTGGAAGGCACCCCAACTGCTTTGGAATTTGCACGAATCGTGCAGATATCACGACCCGTCTTGATCAAAAGTCATCTCAAGACTCATTCGCCATCCTTAGAGACTGACACGGCGATTTGCCCCAGGATTCCAGGCATCCAGCTGCAAATGGTCGAACGATTATCTGATCAGCAAGATGGGCTCTCGCCCAATATCTGTGGCTGTCACTCCCAATGGGTGCGTGTATCGACTTTCTCTTCCTGTACGAATCCAACAAATACGAGAAAAAGGCGCGCAGATGCTATAACCCTAGGTCCTAATGGAAAACTATACTTTGCAGAGCCCGCGGTGGAAAAAATGACAATGAAATCTCTATTGGACAATCTCTCAGATGATAAAGCCTCAGACGGCGATGGTGCTGTATGCGCACGTCTTCCTTTGAGAACTTTCCCTGCTCATTCCACCCGACAGGCAGCGGAAAAATATTACCTTCAATCTCAAAATGGAAACGTGTATTCTAGTAGATTTTTTAATGGGCAGGATGATTCGTCTGAGTTCGAAACCCTTCGACAAGATATACCTAGTGACGTCAAATGGTGTACTGAAGCACTAGGTTGGTCTAATTTGAGCTAAGTTCTGACGCCTCCCAATCGATTTGATGCCTTTGACTGTCTCCAGACAAATCACCGGAAGCTGTAAATGTATGGATAGGAGACGGTGGCAGTATCTCAAGTATACATAGCGGTATGTATTTCTCTCATACTTGCCGTTCTTATTCACAAAGTAAGCAGATCCGTACGAAAACATATACACTGTAGTCCGCGGTCAAAAACATTTCACCCTTTTGCCGCCCACAGACGGGTGGTGTTTGGATGGTACAGTAAACCTTTGATCTGATGCCTTGATTCTGTTTAAGCTATACGGTTTTAGAGCGTTTCTATCCACACGCGACCTACGTGCGGAATGCTGGCGATTTGGTTCTACAGCCGTCTCCAGAAATTTCACCTCCCATTCGTTGGGCTTCCATCCTAAATCCTCATCTTCCAGGATGTACTCCTCCCGAAGCACATCCGATTCATATATCAGTTTCGGAAAATGAAGCAATATACATTCCCGTTGGGTGGTGGCATCATGTCAGGCAATCTGGCATTACCGTAGCTCTGAATTGGTGGTACGACACGGAAATGCGAGGGATGTCATGGGTGATGTTATCCTATCTGAGGGATATGAAAGACGTTCCATCAGGTAACACCGACAATGAGGGGTCAAAAACGGTTGTGTGATTAGAGCTGGTATGTGATATGCTACAGAACATATATGTATCATTACAGTGAAAACAAAATACAAAATTGCAGCATTCAACGTGGGTAAGAATTTCTGATGAGATGGAGAGGATAGAAGGGGAAAAGGTTACGGCGCGTATACCCTCTCCCCGCGATAAGTGCGCCCATTCTCGTCTAGCAACTTCTTCAGCTTGCCTGCTACCTTCTTGACGCCTTCACGACACTGTTCAAGACCTTTCCAAGCGCCGGCAACGCTCCAACACTCCGAGCAAGCTTTAGATGCCGCATTCATGGTCTCAATGTCCAATTCGCTTCTGACATGGAGAGCAACAATGACGTCGATTAATCGACTGAAGCCCATAAACCACGAATTCACGCCGTGGTCGGGGTCCATGCATGTATCGGATAACAGAAAAGACGAAGAGAGGGAGATGCACCTCCTTAACTTCGTCTGATCAATAACTTGCTCTCCAGGAGCATCCTTGGACATCCGTTTAAGCATAGAAATGACGAATTTCCCGTAGTTCGTAGGTGGATTCTGTTCAGGCTAAACATTGACTCTGGAAATTGATAAAGCGAACTGTAAGAATAGATAGCACTTACCAGGAGCTCGGGAAATTCTGTATGCTGATCTGAGCCACTGCTCATGGTGGAAACACAGGAAAAGTATTACATATATTCTGTCTGGCATGGAGTTCAACCTTCACTGTCGGAGTCCAAAGTCCAGAGTCTAGACCTTCCAGTAAGTGGAGAAGTCACGTTCAAATCCGGAACCTTCGGTACTTTCCGTCCCAAAGACTTTCGGCAGAAGTTGCTCATCTTCCGCCATGGCTAGTTTCATCAATGTACTCTCTCGTCTTACTCCTCCACCGTTTGCTGCGCCAGAAGAGTACGATGGCTTGGAGTATAGGTGGAAACTATTTGTCTTCAGGCCAGCTTGTGAGCCCATTTCTCTGAATTCTGCATGACATATCGACGCGTCAACATAGACTTCAAGAATGAGGTATTCTTACTGGGAGCTCTCCTTTTTTATGTGGCCTTCTTTTTTGTTGGCCAATCTGTAAATGCCAAAAAGGCAGAGAAATGGTATGTCCTTTAACTATAGAGTGTTTCTAAAACTCACGCTGGTTCAGGGTAAGCGGTTACCGAGACCTGCTCAAGCGTCAGTTTTCGAACCCGGATGTGAATGGCCTCGTTCGAGATGGTATTTCTCTCTGTCTGTTATTCAATGCCGTACTTTGAATAAATTGAAATTTAAGGACATTCGGATTTCTTTACCTTTTCCACTGGTAGAAGAAACGTTGAATCCCTACACACGATCTTCCGACTCAAGCCGTATCATGACTTGGCACAAACCGTATTCCTGACTGTCTGGTCTCTTGTGGACCTTCAATACAACCCCATAAACGATCTTCAACTGGACTTCAAGTTATTTTCGTCCGCTCTTCCGCATGATTTTGTCTGGGCTGTAGTCGCTAAGGATGAACTAAAGAACATCAAGGACAGTAGATGGGACTTGGTACGCCATTTGATACGTAATTGACACCTGTTTCTAATATAAACTCTGTGTAGACATTCACTAAAGCCTCGGAAAACAGTAATCTACCTCCTAACATGTCTATTATGTCAGGTGGGCTCATTATCGCGTTCATGCAGAGACTACTGACTTACACATATTCCAAGAGCTTGCGGATGTAACAGAGGCCATTTTCAAGAGCACAGCGATATTGGATGCTCTAAAGGACCCCAAAATTGCTCCATACTTTCGTTCTTTATCTGTCCGTATCGATTCTTGTCAGCATACAGCTGTTTAACCTTTTTCTAGGTGACTGATCAACCTCGCGAACGGCCGTCAAAACTCTCCAAGCCCGAAAAACACGTTATCCTCTCCTTGGTCTGCCCTCCGTCGTCGCATGTTGATGATCTCAATGGCTTGGTCTCCGCACTTTTCCCTTTCATCGATTCTCTCACAAAGGTTTCCCTTCGTCCGGAGACCAAAACCAAATTGAAAAAGGTCAGAGAGACCTTTGAGAAAACATTGAAGGTTGAAGCAGAGCAAGCAAAGAAGGAAGAGGTTTGTTTCTTCCCACCCTGTTCTTCGAACACAAATTGAATCATTTATAGCTGGAGCAAGCGCGGGAAGACCAAAAAGCAGCCAGACGCAAGGTCGAAGAGGAAAGAGTATCTAAACTGAGTGCTGCAGAGCAACAAAAGGTATTTTCCCCCGTGTGTTCTTCGCGCCTATTCACATTCGCTTCCTAGATTCTCGAACGTGAGCGTAAACGTTCCATTCGTAAAAGCCAGGGCAAGTCCGTTCGGAAAGTGTGAAATGGGATTGAGTAGTGATTTGGACAAGGAATGCTTATTCTTATCATGATTGGATCTAAAATAGTATAAGCATTGCGATCATCGCTCTAATTCACCAAGGAGCCTCGCCTGGAACGATACGTAGAAGCTATTTCGACGTTCTACATAATCGTTTGGGCCAAATCGGCGAAGATGAATTGCGTGGGAAACCGCCGTGTACCCCGAGTTATCAGTCTGAGGCGCGCGGAGAGCCAACCACTAGACAACTGTCTACTACATGGAATAGATTATAACGATTACAGTGTTCCTGATAGTCAATGAAGGGGAAAAATGGGTCGAAAATTTGAAAACGATAAGTGTACGACTAGCAAGGTGACAAGTGCCAAAAGGTATGTGAGTACGTCCCCGACGAATGAATCCCTCGAACATACCTGGCAGAGGGAGCGGTGTAAAAAAGGTAAATGCTCGTAACTCTGTCGGCGTAGGTACTACGAAAGCATATGCTATAGAATAAAGGGGTTCGCAAAAACTAAATTACAATGAGACAGCTTTTTCTAGTCGGATTGGCTGAGAAGGGGTACTAACCTCCCCCGTCATCTCCTGAGTCACTGTCGGGGATGCGGGAGACGAAGGGTTTTCAATCCGTTGAGTAGCCACGGACGCTGAAGGCCGCCAATTAACCCAGCTTGTGAAGAATCTGAGGAGCCACATCGGCTTAATGCTCGGATGTTCTACGACATCCTCCACGTCTTCCTTCGGCGGACTAATGAAAACGCCATCCTCGTCGATTTTCCTCTCCTCTTCTACTTCGCTTTCCGTCTTTCCTTCCGAGTCTACCAGCCTTTCTCGACCATCCAGAGTCTTTTGCACTCGGTTGAAACGACCATGTGCACCATGGACACCTTGAGGAAACCGTCGACCACCTGTTCCGAATAGCTTTTGCCGCATAGCCAGAACCTTCTGGCGCGGAGGGCTAGCAATGTGCCACAGGTCTGGAACACGGAACTGTTCGGCTTCATACCAGAGTGTTTTTGTGGCCTGGCTGATTTTCATAACGTTTGCATTTTCCAGATCGACTTCAGCGATAGCCTTGGTATGTGTTTCCAATTCGACGATATCAGGTAGATGGGCCTCGTAATATGAGCGCATACGGGCATTAGTGTCAGATAGTCGGGAAGTAAGGATCTGTAATAATCGCGGTGAAATCGGAGAAAAAATGATAGCAAAACAAGGCACTAACCTGTAGCGTGGTAACCACATTCTGCAAATGCTCCGCTCTTCTCCACATTATCAAGTAGTACCCGCAAAGGTCGACATCGATTCGCATTCGGTCGATAGGCAATACCTTGATTGGTATTCGTTGTTTGACGTCCTCATCGGTCATTTCTACATCGATCGGACTAAAATCGTGACGATAAATCGACAATGAGTGGAAGCTTCGCCTTCGTCTGGGAACTATTCCTAGCATCTTTCTCGTGGTCGCTCCCTCTTCGGCGGTGTCATCTTCCAAGTGATAGGTCTTGCCCTCATTCCTACTGCCACTATCCCTAAGTCGCACGCTGCGCCTCCCCGTTATGCTTTGTGAACGTATGTGATGTGAATAAGCCATAATGTCTGAAGCGCCTTCGTTCGTCCAGGTTCCAGCTTCATTAGTGAAAGCATTCTGAGTGGATCTGACAGTTGAAGAACGCCTATGACGCTGATTATAGTCTACGAAAATGGTCTTTTCTCTTTCTAGTTCTTCATCTTTGCTCAAGCGATCTTCACTTTCCAGACCTTCGTCGATTTCACTACTTTGGCGTGTACGATCGCCGATGCCTTGCATTACATCTCTCGCACTGATTGGGTCTGACCAACTCGATACTCGGCTGGCGTGTGGAACACGATTTCCCGCCCAAGTCCGCTGAGTTGGATGCCCCTTTCCCAAAGAGCGGTAAGCAATATCTTGCTCCTTTTTTGGGCTCATATCCTGAAATTTGCTAGAGGTTGAAGACTGAGTTTGGGCGCTAGCTTCGCTACCTCGTTTTGAAGGGACATTGGGGAATGATGATCCCAGCCTCACTAACCTGTTGTTAAGATAATCTGCCGGCCATCCTCTGGGCGTCCTTGGATCATCAGTGCCAGATTCAAATCCAAGTCCATAGCCAGACCCGTATCCGATTGGAGATACTTGGCCGCTACTCAAGAGATCGTCATCGTCATCACCGTACACTGGAGAATGTGAACGTGAATGGAGATGTATTTGGGATTGGTGGGGACCGAGACTCCCGAAGGATGGTATTGAAAGTTTCCCTCCCGAGGATTTCTTTGCAGCAGCAGAAGAAGGCACGGAAGGGACGTGGAAGGGCTGGGTTGGTGACGGAGGTTCTCGTGTAATGAAATGAGGAATGGAGGGAGAACCCGGAGGAGAGGGTGTTGGAGAGAGACTTACGACGTTGGATTCTGCGTGGGGCATCAGTGTAGCATGGACAGTGTGATGTTTGGTCCGTGTTTTGGTCAATTTGCTATCAACCTTGGACAATCTGGAGGGTAGAGGTCAGTGAGAAAGCAACCTTCGTATGTAAAACTCACCCGGCCCAGCTCTCCAATTTATCTTTCACTTTGGACCCACTTTTGGCCCATAAGGCACCTAAAGTTTCCGAACCAAGCAAACCAGGTCCTTCTTCCTCAGTACTACGCCCATCTGACTTTTCGGGCGTTAAGACGTTCTGAACCGAACCATATCTGCCTCTGGATCCCGTGCCAGATACACTGGACCTCCGTGCAAATGTTGGGGAAGTTCCATCGCGTGCAGGAAGTGAGATTCTCTTTCTATCATCGTAAGAATAAGCGTGAGTGTCGGCATCTCCGTCACTCCAAAGTGACGGTCGATTATGGAAATCTTTAGAGGTATTCTTGGGATTACTTTGCCACGAAGTAACACCATCCGAAAGTACACCATCTCGTTCCGCCACTTGGCGTGCATCAGAAAACTGGATACTCCTCTCCCGTTCGCGCTCTCGTTCTTCAGTTTTTTCTCGTAGTTTGATGACCAGATTGACTCTCCCTGTCCAGAGACCTAACACCAACCCGCCAACTCCACCCACATTATCCTTGTCCTTTCGCCTTTTATGTTCTTTGACAACATCCTTTGCCTCCTCCGAATCTCTTTCGTCTCCCTTATCAACAGATCGTCCTTTCACTTTGGCCTTAACTTTCTTGGCCGCCCTGGAAAAGTCAACCAGTCCATCCGATGAAGAGGATGATGAAAGATTATCAGCGCCTTTCTTATCTCGTTCTCGTTCACGCTCGCGTTCCTTCTGCTCCTCCTTCTCCTCCTTTATTCTTATCTTGATTCTTTCCTTCCTTTCCCTCTTCTCTCTCTTCTCTTCCCTATTTCGTCTATAACTGATCTCCCCAAGAATAACTTCAATGAATTCCTCCAAATCTGACATGGGCATCAAAACACTAGCAGCGCCGGAATTCATGCTTCCTCCAGTGAGCGTGCTAGCCAATGTTCCTGTCAAACCACTGGCAAGTCCTGTCTTGAAGCCAGATGCGAGAGGAAGGGAGCTTCCTGAAAGGAGGTGAGAATGCGATGCCACGCTGGGTAGACCAGCAATTGAAGATAATCCATCCTTTCCTGTTCCATCGTCTTCACGCGCATACGATACGGAATCCTTCTTCCTATACCTGTTAGCTTTTTGCTCCTTACGCACAGCCCTCCGCACTTCAGGACTCGATTTGAGCAGTTTGGCGTCGTATGCGTTGAAGACAAATTCAATCAGAGAACGTGATAGAAAAACTCCATCAGCATGAAGTTTGTTGGTGGAAGGACTATCTGCAGCTGAGAAAGCGGGGGTAAGACCCCCTGCTTGATCAACGATATGTAGTTCATTTGATGCAGAGTTTGCTAATGAAATCGCAGATGAATGGAAACCAGTCTTCGGCGAAGGAAGGGTCAGAGCCAAAGTTGGGGTGGACATACCGCCTTTTGTATCGATATTGAAGGTTGCACCAGGTAATCGACTCGTGTTCGGTGCACTTGCGAGCTGAGTCGAAGGAACAGCGGAATTTAGCGGCGAAGATGCATGTGAATGATTCGTGGTTGCACTAGGTATGGAACGTCCATAGCTACTGTGGGTAGCTTCATCGGAGAAGCTACTCCCATGTCCCAGGTTGACGAATTGATCCTTTAGGAAAGCTGGAATGGCCGAAGTAGGAATTGGGGGCGAACCTCCACTTGATTGGCTGATGCTCTGTCGTGGAGAGTATGATGCATTCGAACCTTTGGACGACGCTAAAGACACTATTTGGGGAGGAATCGTAGAGTGGAAATAGTGAGAGTTGGCATTGCTGTTAGTAACATATGTGGCAAGGGCCCGAATGAAGAGACCAGGATGTAGAAAAGGATCTTTTGGAATAATCTAGAGAGAGAAGGGAATCAGTCCAAGAGAATGTATAGCAACTGAGCCTCTCACATTAGTACTTCCGCTGAGCCCGACCAACCTATTCCTGACCGCTAATACAAGACTCAACAAGGAAGCCACAGTGCTGGGATCGGCTATCCTTTCCATTGAGTCGAGGCCTTCGACTAATTCTCCAATCTCTTTGACCCAGCGTTGGAGTCCTTCGACTGTAGAATCGCAGAGTAGACCATCGAAAGATGATGTCTCGTAATAGCCAAATATATGTAACGACACTTGAACAAGCTTGACAAGTTCCAATACTGTGTCATTGAACAGCGAAGGGGCCTTCCCGGCTCCTAAAAGGTGATTATATGGGAGGAAGTAGGTTGAGATGAACCGATCTTTCGTGGTATCACTGGGTTCTTCGAGCGTTAATCCCGAGCGTCCACTACAGCCCATCCGCAGGAGATTGATGTTCGTATAGAGCTGCGGCTTAGCAGACTCGAGATTTCCATCAGGTATCTGCACAATAGTAAAGTCCGACCGGAACTGGGCGAGCGAAGTGACCGGTAAAGTACCATACATTGTTTCTTTCAGCTTCGCATTAGCATGACGCTTGAGCCAAGCAATAACAGTATCCCAGTCTGTTTGAGATGGCGGAGAAAGGGCAGATACTGTAATCTACAAGAATTTGTAGATACGTACAAAGAAAGCGATACAAAAAGCGCACCTTGTGAGCAACGTCTCCAGTGTGTACGACCAGTATTGGCACTTGCTTCCTGTCCAGAACCCAATTATCTACTACATACATCTGATAGCCTTCCAATACTATTCCTTCTTGTGCCGCATTCCACCTTGATAGCACAACTGGCAAGAGTAGTGAAAGAGCCATGACGACAAGATTCGCTTTGACAACTTCAACTTCTTTTGTCGTGAACTAAGAGATGGGCATTTCAAGATTGCTGATCGTTCCAAGCGGACGAAATTTGGGAAAGGGTGAGTGTTTGTAGAGACTTGCGCGTGTACGAGGCAGTGTGTATATGTACCGGGTGAGAAAGCTTCGGCCAAGATGTCAAAGCTGTAAATACCACACGCTGAATCTATGGAAAGGAAATAAAGTTATCATTTAAAATTGACAATGTACCTCAATGTACAGCCCTTGACCTCTGGAGACGTAAAGGCGTTGGAAATTATTATCCACTACACTGGGGGTTGTACAGTAGTAATAGTATCTCGAATTCAAGGTACAACACATAATTTACCAGTTTCTTGATGCTAAATACTCCAATGCCAAAACGGATTAAAGGTGAAACATAGAAAAATAGCGATGGAAATAACCAAACGCAATGATTACCCATATAGATATGACTTCAACTCAGCTTTAATAGCCGCCCGCAACCGTTCTCATGCATTTGTACCACCATCACCATGGACCCCCATTCTATCAGATCTCTCTTTCGTTGTCCAGTTTGCAAGAATAATCTCTCTAATCCTTCTACATTGCATTGTGGGCACACTATATGCGGCAGCCACCGCTCTTGTACCCTTCACGCTGATACATCATACGAATCTACGAGGAGGGTCGATGTTTCGCTTCAGAAGATCATTGAACTTGCCGATCGGTCTAATTCGGGAGTTGGCGAATCCAGGGTCAGAAACCGCGATGATGATGACGACGACGGCGACGACGACTATGCTGGGAGACGACCTTATAAGAAGGCTCGTACCGAGAACGACGACGACGAGGAGGAAAACGATCTGCTTGCCCACCTTCGTGCAGAATCTGTTCGGCAGCGGACTCTCCCTCAAAATGAACCTGTGCTCCCCTCGGGAACACGTCCTCGTAATAGATCGGAATCTTTTGAAAAGGACCTGGTGACAGAGCTCACTTGTGAGATCTGTCTTTCTCTGATGTACATTCCAGTGACAACACCGTGCCAGCATGTGAGTCTTGCATCTGTTCCCGATCCGAGCCTGTTCTGACATTGATACATAAAGACCTTTTGCTCGCGCTGTCTCCACCGCTCATTAGATCACAGCGAAGTTTGTCCCATCTGTAGGCAGCAATTGCCTGGGTTTGCGTACTTTCAGAATCATCCTCCCAACGAACTTATGTTACGGATCAGTATGTTTACTGCTATCTATTTTTGGCACGAGATGCTTATTGACTCTTTCGCTGTTCAGTTCTCCAAACTTGCCCATCGGCATACGAAGACCGACGTACTGCAATTGAAGCCGAAGAGCATAATGCTCGACTCAAGACCCCAATTTTTGTATGTCACCTCTCATTCCCTGGCATGCCTATTCTTCTGCACTTCTTTGAACCCAAGTATCGGCTCATGCTTCGTCGATGCCTTGATTCCCCTTGGCCGTCATTTGGTATGATTATGTCGTCATCCGCTTCCTCGTCTTCGGCATCCTCGTCCAACTTGAACGCTAGTGATCAAATTGAGTACGGTACCATGTTGGAGATTCGTAGTGTTCAAATGCTACCTGATGGTCGAAGTATGGTCGAAACATGGGGCGTCTGGCGATTTCGCATTCTGGAGCGAGGCCTTATGGACGGATATGTCAACGCACGGATTGAAAGAATTGACGATATCCCGGATGAAGAAGAGAACGAGGAATCTGAAAGTCCCGTCGCTCCTGTGGAAGTCCATCGCCCGTCTACCTTGCAGCGTCTGACTTCCAGATTGTCGTCAGTAACTTCAACCGCTGATAGTCCGTCGAGTTCGCAGTTCTTAGCTTCTGGTTCAACTTACAGCGGCATTGCCTCTACCTCTTCATTATCTGAAAGTTCATCCGAAAGCTCATCCGTAGTCTTTCCACCACCTCCACCACCTCTTCCTCTTTCCACAAGACTTCTTATAGAGCATTGCACTTCGTTTTTATCCCAGTTGCACACTTCGACTACTCCCTGGGTCGTGCAACGTCTTTCCTACACACATGGGCCTCCACCTCCTTCAGACCCATCGGACCCTGCATTTGACGCTGGAACATTCAGTTTCTACGTTGGAATGGTGCTGCCGATAGATGATTGGGAAAAGGCAAAACTGCTCCCCGTTCGAAGTGTGCGGATGAGGCTGAAGATGTGCGTCTGGTGGATCGAGGGTCTGAGACAGCATTGGTGGTTTGAACGTGGATGCATAGTGCTCTAATTGCACATACCAAGTTTGCTTTGCAAGTGGAACTCCACTTTCTCGTCCATCTCATCACACATTTTTAAAATTTAATTTCCTTTACTCTTTTATTTTTCTCATTGGACCACATTCACCATTAATTATCCTCATATGCATTCTGGATCTTCCTACCTAATTATCTATACTGATCTGTCTGGACGCTGGTCTCGCCTCAAGTTTTTATTTCTCCGCTAAATATCGCAGACTTTCCCTGAAATTTCGATTCTCTCCGTCTCACACTTCACGCTTCCCTAGTCAGTCTTGACGTCACTCGATCTACGCCTTGCAATATCGCATCACATCGCCCAGCTGTTTCGTCGGTGTTTTTCTGAGGCTGTAGGTTCCCTAACTTCCCTAACTTACCTACTCGCGCTATTACTGAGTTTTATTTTTCCTTTTTCTCTTTACCTTCCTGCATCTAACTTATATTCATATATTATACCCAAGCATTACATCTCTCCCCGGATTGTTTTCACTCCTTTACTCTACTTATACTTATCTGTTTTGTGTAGGTTCTTACAATTGTATTCAAAACCCGTAGAATTACTGAATTGTTGTACATACATACACCCAATCTCTGTATCATAACTGCATCATCATTGTGCGCTTTGACTCTCAGGTTTATATCGACGATGTCCTGGTTTGATAAACAAGGTCATGTAAATTGCGATAAGTTGTATCCTATCTCATTCTTCGCTCTAGAGATTGCCACCCTTTCCGCAAACCCAGGGTTTCGATCAGCGCAGCCGGCATACAGTACACTGGGTCGATGTCAACTAACCCAGGATATCCAAGCAAGGACAGACCTAACCCCCCAGCAATCAGATCAACCCGCCTGCGTTGTTCACAAATACGTACCTGCTATTCCGAAATGCGTGTGGAAAACGTCAGGCATATCACCAGGCCTATCAGCAATACCACCACCCTCGGGATCCTAGATCGGCGGGAGATTAATCGTGCTGAGAAATCGAGTGTGCGTTAGAAGAACCTACTTGCGCTGACAGAATGAAAGAGATCAACTTGTCAGAGTCGATGTAATGCACTTTTTTCAACATGGATAGTGAAGCTAGAACCCAAAAGCTGTAACAAACCTGACAATACCTCGATAAGTGTCATAAGAACCAAAATGCCAATCGGAGATACTTGCGTCCTCTAATTTCTCTGGCCTTCCATTCAAGCCACCGTTAGGGAGCTGCCTTTCAGCCAACCACCAAGAAAGCGTGGGCGTGTCGATTTCATCGAGTCTGTCAAGGATCGTCAAAGCCGCGCAACACACAAAAACTAGCATATAATTCATTATCAATTGATCACTTTGCGGAAAGGAGACATGACTCACCCTGCCCAGCATGGCTCTCAGCTCCGATTCGGCTACCGAATCCACCGTCGAAATTCCTGCATTGAGCGATATAGCTGACCGTCTTCTCAACATCTAAATCCCCTAAACGTCCTAATAACGAAAGCGCATTGACGGCGATATATGAGAACCGCGTATCGATTTCATCAAAAGAATCGCCTGAAAATACGCCCGATGGTTGCTGAAGTGACAGGATAACTTAACGCAAGTACCCCAGGTTCAGCCTGTCCGACGAAGGAAACGGGTATTTGAAAGCGGCGTACATTTCACAACGCGATCGATGTCCAATCTTCCGATAGCGTCCTGAGTGACGAGTATTTGGATGGCACTTAACGTTGATAAAATATGTGCATCATGATCTGGATGAGCACCAAAACCGCCTGACAGTGATACAGGATTGGCCACCAATTGAAACAATTGGACGGCATTAGGACTAACCCACCTGTTTCTTCGTCCCAGCAACTCATAACGTAGTCAATCATTTCATCTCGATCCAACGCCTCGCGATGGTTCATGGTGCAAAGAGCAGTAAGACCCCAGTAGATGGCGTTCATGCGTAGATGCGCGGTGAGATGATATATTAAATCATTCTTGTTCTGCGATCTCCTTCATAAGGATTTGTCTTCATATACTGCAGGAAACGTGCCTTTCCAAGATTTTGGATGTAGGAGACGTGGAGAGGTATTAGCAATGGATTCGTTTCGTGGGACATTGAGAGTTTGGGGTTGAAGAGGTCGTTACAAGTAGCGCCTGCCAGTATGTTTGTCCTGCCTACGGGAGTCTACATTTATCCCAAGAAACACATTTTATAATTGTACATGATTACATCTTACAAGGAACACTGTCTACATAAATGAACCCATTGTGATCCAGCTTGTGTGCTTCTTTCTTGGTGTGTTTTCTAATTTACAACTTTACAAAGACGCCAGGCTGACCACTGGCCACACGTATCCCTCACTTGCCCGTTTGAATCCATATTTACTGACGAACGGATCGAGCTCTTTAGGTCCGCGAGAACCGTAAGGGTAGGTGACCGGGCGGGGTCGTGGCCCAGCAAGCCCATCGATCCAGTGGAGAATCGGGGTGAAGATCTGCAAACAATTTAATTTGAGCATGAAGAGTAACAGAAGGCTACTGACCTTCCAAGCAACATCCAACTCGTCATGACGAACAAAATTGGAGTGATCACCCTTCAAAGCGTCGAGAATGAGGGCTTCATAAGCTTCGGGTATCTGTGCATCAACGAATCGCCTCTTGTATGTTAAATCCATTTCGGTAGGCATGGCGCGAGTGTATAATCCGGGCGTCTTTGCGTTCAGTTTCAGGTAAACTGCTTCGGACGGTTGGATACGGATAACAAGCTCGTTCCGAGCAATGTCTTTGAAGATGCCCTGCGTGACATCCTTGAACTGGATACGAACTTCGACTTTGGCTTCATTTAATGCTGCGATGCGAAGAAAAATATAAGATCATATCTCATGACGAAGAAGAAGCACGCAAACCTTTTCCAGCCTTGAGAATAAATGGGACACCTTCCCATCTCGGGTTGTGAATCCAGAGTGTGGCAGCAGCGAAGGTAGGACAGACAGAATTACGAGGAACCGTATCATCATCAAGGTAGCCGGGTTTGCCGTTGGCGGAAACGTATTGGCCGAGAAGGACGTCGTCTCTTTCGATAGGTGGAATAGCACGAAGGAGTTTAACCTGTTACAGATGTGAGAAGATGGCATTACGATATGTGGGAGACCGGAGTAGTTACCTTCTCGTCCCGGATATCTTCTGCTGCGAAGGATACAGGGCGTTCCATTGCGAGAACACTTAGAACTTGTAGCAAGTCTGTGGAAGCCGATATGGGTGTGCGATACGGGATACCAAGGACATTACTTACGGTTCTGCAAAATGTCGCGAATAATTCCAAATTCATCGAAGTACCCACCTCGTCCCTCTGTACCGAACGGCTCCTTGAAAGTAATCTGTACGTTGCTGATAGAGTTCTTATCCCAGGCCGCATTCATGGCCACATTTGCAAATCGGAGGACTAGGAGGTTTTTAACCATTTCTTTCCCGAGGTAGTGATCGATACGGAAGGTCTCATCTTCCGTCCAGTACTTCTTCAAGGAGCCCAGCAGCTCGCGAGCAGATTCGGTATCCTTCCCGAAAGGCTTTTCGACGATGATACGGTTGATACCTCCCTTGGTAACATAACAATGTTCCTTTAGGTTCTTCGCAACAGGGATGAAGACGCTGGGAGGAAGGGCGAGGTAGAAGATTCGATTGCACTCTTTCGATTGGTAGTGAGATTCAATCTCTTCTAAATGCTGGTTCAAATTATCGAATGCGCTACCATCCTCGTAGTCTCCTGCGACGTAAGATAGTACCGACTTGAAATCGTCAATCGACTTCGATAATTCAGGATCATCGTTGGGATTCTTCAGGTACGAGGTACCACGCTTAAGAAACTCAGCATGATCCATCTTAGTACGGGCGTAGCCAACGATCTTCACATCTCTGGGGAGAAAACTTTGACGGAAAAGACCAAAGAGAGCTGGAAGAGTCTGGCGATAAATCAGTGGAAAATCATTTGGATAAGGGTGGAGATACCTTTTTCTTTGCAAGATCTCCAGATGCCCCTAGGACTGCAGAAAGCTGTCAACGATGCGGGCGATAACACCAATATGATGAGACACTAACCGATAATGATAGTGTTTTCTTTCAGTTCCTCATGGGAAGTCTCCATGGAAGGAATGGTACCAGACAGTGAGCGTGGGCGAGCCATGATGAAAACACAGAGAAGACGGTTGTGTTATAGCAAGGGAGGAAACGGGGAATGTGAGAGCAATACTGACTTGCGCGTCGAAAGGTGATGGCTGAGTGATCCTGTTTAGCGGGTTAGCCACGGGCCGACGGGCCACAATTGCGCGTACGTAATCTTCATGGAGTCTGATGGCGACCAGATTATTGAAAACCTCAGAGAACTCTCGGGGCCAGCATATGCGAGCCACGATGCTCAATCACTTCTCATACGTTCATCTGCGCTTGTTTCATGTCTCAAATCTCTGAACCGTGCTGCCAACACCGCTACCAGGACAAAAAAGGATGAAACCACTGCTGCTCGGCACGAGATGGACCAATCTCACCTGGGGCTCCAGAATTTGTTGTATGAGAAGCGCCACCTAGAGAGAGAAATTGAGAAATGTCGCCAGTTCGCGTATGTAGTGTTTTTATGCCATCATTCAGGCTCACCTAACGTCCATGCAGCTCTGTGTATCAGGATATCCCGCTCTACACGATGGAGGAATTTCAACAGTCGGCTCCAGAAGCGGCTAGAACTTCTGAGGTCCTTGAGGATGAGCACCAATTAATGTTAAATCGTCTCAGTTTTGAACTTGCAGAACGTCAACGGTTTGTTATCATTTCCATGTTCATGTCTTTGTTCTCATATTCGTGTCACCAGCCTTGATCTCAAAAGACGTGAACTGCTTCAGGCAAAGGAAGAATTACTAAAGCAATCTCGGACGAATACAAACACCTTGGACAGTGTGAAATCGCATATTGACGCGCTCGTGAAAGTAAGACTTGACCTTCTATAGTAAGGGTTCCCTCAGCCTCATGTGTTTTGTGAACAGACTGCCTCGGAAATACAGAAAAAGGTCGATGAGCTTGTGCAACCACTACCTGTACCAGAAACCTCGACAGCAATGGCCACCGACTGAGTTTCTTGTGCTTTCATTGCTTGGACGTCCGAGTTGTTGCTTGTAAGCTGACGCGATTCCAGCTGTGAATGTGGTATCCATTTGGTATGGGCTTTCTTCAATTGGTCGAACTCCTTCCAAACAGCTTTGGGTTCACCTTGTATAATTTTTGTTCCCTGTGATAGTCATGTTTGCCCACAAGTTTGAATGTTAGGTGGGATTGTTAATACCCAAACCTACTAGATTACACAGGATAATCAAAACAAGCCCTCCAAGAATACCATGAGAGTCAGAAGATCGGATAATACAACGTTTAATGATTAGATATGAATGTGCGATGGTCATAAATGCAGGAGTATGAGCAGTGAATTATAGGCGCATCATGAATCACTCGCTGTCGCTGATGCTCCCAATGTCGCTCATTTCCTCGTCCTCGTCTTCCTCTTGGCCATCAGTAGCTGCGTCTGCAGCTTCCTTGGTTGCAAATCGTTGTACATACTCTGTATGCCGCTCAATTACCGCTTATCACCTACAAATAACAATTGCCACTGACCTTTCACCTTGGCTTCGTATTCGTCTGGATGGCGCATTAGAAGTGCAGCTGCTTCTCCATTCAGGGGGTCGTTAGGATTTGGGTATCGTAGAAGCTGAGGTAGGAAGACTTCGAATATATTGATCATATCTGTTACCCCGATACCTTCAGAGATAGCACTGAGCAAGGCATAGAGAACTCACCAAACATTGGAGACCAAGTCTGATTTATGACGTCCAAGCACACGGAACCGCTTCTGTTGCAAAACGTGAATCAATGGTTTCGTTGTACGAATGAATAACCGTACAGTTCGTCGATATTCGGATGAAAGATCTTGTTCATGAAGCCGATACTGGGCGATTTGTACGGGTATTGGTCGGGCAGTTCAACGTGGATCTTCCACACTCCATTGGTAAAGGGGGCTAAACGGACTTGGGGTCAAGATGAAGGCTCCTTAAGATATAGAGAATTACACACTTTCTTCCGGGCCATGAAATCGGACATAGAACTCCTGCATACTATCGTTTACTAGTGATACATCGTAGTCGGACATGAGCCTGGATCTTGAGGTGAGATAAATGGCTCAGGTTAGAGAAAATCACTCATACAATTTCATGACATCTGTTTCTATGCGGCGCTTCGTCTGACCAGCGTAGATATCAAATACTCTTTAGTTTGAAGCAGAAGGTAAACAGAGCAATGAAACTTATCATATTGAGAGTGTACTGAGGGCCCGAGGAAACAGCAACGAGGTGGTAAGTGAGCAAGAATAAGAGATCCTTATAAGGAAATGACTTGTTCCTTGTGGTCATTTCCGACGACTCACGAAATGAAGAACTATCGGCCGAGTTCTCATTCAATTACAAGGTATACATGTAGTCAATAATACGAATATTCTTCAATGATACAGAGTATATCACTGTCCGAGCAAGAGTATGATCTCTCGCCTCCACCACTTCTGGACGGAGCTTCGGTCCGACCCAACCCAGAATTTTCTAATCCTTGACCAGTGATCGCTTTCCATCCCAGGCTGACCGCTGTTGAAACGGTTCATCGATGAAGGTTCGAGTTTACCGGGGTAAGTAAACTTACCGATCCAGAGAAGCCCGAACCCTACTATTAGAACTATTTCTTCCTGCATCTGGGTCATGGGATGGTGATGTCCTTCGCCGCGCTGGTGGTTCATGGCAATTCTTTAAATAGTTATATTTTTGTCTTTTGTTCCGTGGAAGTCACACCGAGCACTCACAGGAGCATGACTCCTGATATTCCAAGGATAGCCACAGATGTTTGTGTCAAATGAAACGCATCTATTTTGCGGTTGCAGGTGAGGAATTTGCGCCTTCTGAGCTTCACTCACAGAGCGAATTCAAGAATTTCGTTACTATATGCCCTAGGGCAACGGCAACGGCAACTATCAACGCAAATAAGCACAATTTCAGCTTTAGAAGAAACTGGTGAACTCACTGCAAACCGTAGAGCGGATAGGATGGTCCTGGAACAGCGGCATATCTAATAAAGAGGTGTAGGATACATGCAGAATTTGTATCTAGTTATCATGTTAGAACATGAGGCAACGAACGACACGACCAAACCGCGAGGCATTCGATCAAGAAAATGTGCAGAGGTTTCCGGTACACCAAAAACTTACGCTTACACCCGAAGAAATGTGGCCGTAACGGTAAGTTGTATTTCAGTTAGAAACATAAATACTAGATGAAGCCATCGCGTGTACATCGACATAGGATCATGAATATATTAAATTGGAACCTGGGTCACAGTAGGGGGTCCTCCGTTCACGCTTGGTTGAATGATGATAGAGTGGCCAGGTTGTTGTGCGATTCCACTACCAGCTTGCAAAGGATAGCCATATGGGGCGGCAGACTGGTATTGAGGATACTGAACCATTGGCTGCGTCGTGGTATTATAGAGTCCAGGCCATTCACCGTACCTTTGTATAAATCACGTAAGCCCTCTACTTCATTCTTAAAACCTAAAAATCAACGCACCAGCCTAGGTTTTGAATAGGTTCATACCAGATCAGATACCGTCCAAATCGTTGTGCTTGGGTAACAAGCTGAAGCAGAATGATAAACGCAAAAGAGCAAAGAACGAAGATCATCCATGAAAACGCTTGAATCACTTTCATTTCGTAGCAATATGATTGAGCAGACACTAAGAGCACATATGAACCTCCAATAAGGGAAAGTGTAGGTAGGAGCTTACTGAATCCGTTTTTAGTTGGGGTACGCTGACCAGAAAGGGCATCACACTGAACGGTGCCAATAATGTCACTGTAATCATAATGAATAGAGGAAGGGGAGCGATGATTAGACAGCAACTGACGTAGCCCACGCTGCCATTGCTATCCAGATGGATCAGACAAATTAAAGTAAAAGAACACATTGAACCTACAAAGCCAGATTGCCCATAACACAAAGAGGACTATAGCCTCAATTCGTGGTTGGGACCATTGCAGTCTGTTCACCCATGTTCATCAATAGACACGCGAGTGAGAGCTCCAAATTACGCGCACGTCAACAAGAAGGCGAATATAGTTAGTGAGGGAATAACAAGCGCGAAGATCGTAAATGCCTCTGTCATGTAATCAGTACACGTTTGGCCGAACTCACTCGGGGAAAAACATACCATGAAGTTGTGGAAGGAATACAGCAGCGAAATGGGCATCTAATCCCAGCACTGTGCCTATGCAACATGGTTATCTTTAGATAGGAAGGAGCATCATTTTTGCAATGAGGAACCTGAGAGCAAAAACACGGAGACTTTTTATACGATCAGTACACCGATCCTGGCAGCCTAAAATCTGATGGCTCACTGTAGAAAGCAAGTCTATAGTTCACAAATCGTACGGTCATATTTCGTGATAGTCTTTTGAAGCGTGTCGAGTGAACAGAGGTAAACAGAGGTGGACGAGAAGAAGTAGAAAGGGTGTCGCGAAGCCAAATGCTGAAATAACCGATTCTCCCGAACTTAAACTTTGTTCAAGATACACGTGTTGATCACGTTATAGAGTTTTTTGGGGGCAGTGGGTAGACACTGGCCAGTGGCAAGCGGCACGGTAGTGAGTCTCCGTTACTCCATAGTCTGACTTGAAGCTTGATCTTTCTTCGCGTAACCAGCACGTACATTTCATACTTAAGTATTCTACACCAATGTATACAACGCCCAAAGCAAATATTCGTGAAATCATAAATCTATATAGAGTATCACCGTCTGTTGGGATTCTTCATCGTTCCGTTGTCAAAGGACTCCGTTGTAGATGCAAGAAGAGATGACCCAGATGATTGCGGTTCCTCTTTGGGAACATACTTGCTATTCATTTGAGATTGGTAAACCCTCGCTGGGTATGTGGTCGGCTCTCGTCTATGACGGTGCGATTGAGGGTGACCACGGGAGTGCCCTCGAGATTGACTTCTATGACGTGTCGATCTTCTTGAAGGTTTCTCGGTGAACACGGGAACGACAGTCTCGACAGGCAGGATTCCACTCTGCGAACGCTTGACACGATCTCTTCGTTTGCTGTATTCGTTGAACCAGGCGCATGATGTGACCGGACCATACCACATATGCTCGTCGCCTTTGCGATGTCTCCGGAGAGCAAGCAAAAAAAGGCCAAACGCAAAAATGAGAACTGAAATGGGATGAGCGATCTAACCGCAATATATTTCAGGAGAACGGCCTACGGAGAGTAGCGTTGATCAGAGAAAAGGCGTTGAGAACACGATACATCGCCTGATACTGCTCCGTGTGAACTAGGGAGGACGTGAGTAGGTGGAAATAGGCACACAAAATATGCACGCACAACTGGCAGAAGAGTCGTCTAAAACTTGCGTAGACGTAGCGGAAGCAAAACATTCTACGTCCGCGGATTGAGAGTCGGATGAGGCCAAATAAATCCCGAGTGCTAAACAGACAATGAGAAAGTTTAAGAACGAGAGCGAAGTCTTGCTCACCTAGCCAAAAGATACCCGCAAGAGCTAAGGATGCAAGTTCAAGTCTTGTTGAAATTGGATTCCTCTCGCGAAAGAGGAAGCTAAAGCCCAATCTGTTTTCTCACATCAGGACCGCATGAAAAGATGCAACAGGGGGTGACTTGCAGAAGAAGAATAATCAAAAGGCTGGCACTTCCAACGAACAGTGCGAACGGCACGAAACGAGCTACAATTGCGAGTAAGAAGCGGAAAGACAAGATCAGTATTAGGGACTCACTGAGGTCCGAAGACGCTAGTACTGCTTCAAAATGGCCAGCCATTGCCAGACAAATCACAGTGAACAGGATAGCAGCAACTTTGAGTTGCAGAAGGACGTTACTTTAGGGTGACGAGGACGATGAATATAGAACATACCATAAATTCCGCCACGAAGACTGTTGAACAAGGAAGGCATACGGGATTTTCTCCGGGGGGAGTTTAAAGGATGAGTGGATGATTTGGAATCATTCCGCCTTATATCTGAGGACCTCATGATGAACCGATGCAGAAAGTGGTGCACGAGGCAAACATGAACAAGAGGGCAGTTGCTTTTGCTTCGATGGTAAATCTATCAGCACGCTGTGCTTTCTTGAAGTTGATAGTGTACAGAAAGTATCGCGTGAAGGGAGAAGGAAAAGCTGAGCCTCAAGCACTTGCAATTGAAGGTCACCGAGATGGTAGCTCAAATACTTCAATTGGCATGAACGAAATTTTACATCCGCAGGCGGCATCACTTACGTTACCTGAAATGATCGATCCTTGTTAGGCGCTTAACTATCTTCAACTATGCGGCGAGCTCAGCCGTGGCCCAGGCCCACGGAGAAGCCATGATTATTTATGTAGGTCTATGTATGCAGGGCACAATGATTCTTGTTGTTCAACTTCTTATGTCTTTTAATCCTTACAGACTTCTCTACGAAGTTCAATCCCAATCTTAACATATATTTCGAGGGATTCAGGATTAAGAAGCGTGGCGGGGTTGATGGTCGAAAGAGGAGCACCGTTGATAATCTTTGTAGTCGTCAGTGAGTTGAATTTACACTCGCAGTATGACAAACCTTCTTTACAAGGACCTCGACGCGTTTACCATTTAGAGTGTAAGGAATGTCGTGCACTTGTATGAACTGACGACGAAACTTCAAGGCGTGATTCGACCCGCAACTGAGCTCGCTCACCTTGCTAGGAACATGTCGGGGGGTACGCTTGTGTCTTATCTGAGCTCGAATAGCATCTATCAAAGTGGGCGATAGCTCCTCGTCCTTGGATAGTTTGATAAACAAGATGACCCGTTCATCAGTACCATTGTCGATGCCCTGCCCAATTGCGATACAGTCTTCAACGATGTTCGCAAAGTGTACATCAATCACGTCGTAGAGCTCTGCCGACCCGAAGCGTACCCCACCAGGGTTTCTATAACATAGGACGTTGAGCAGGATACATAACTCCAGGAGAAGGATGGATGAACACACAGCACTCCATCAGAACGTCCCAGCATGACCACTCCGCCAGCATTTCCCTGCCTTGATTGTGTTATGAGAACATGATCACCATGATCTGAAATTTGTTGGAGCCAACGCTTGAGGGATCTTCATAAAAGAACTTACACCAGACACCTTGGGAATCCGAAAAATAAGCATCTTGGAATCTCTTTTGAGCAGCCTGTACTGCTTCATCCGACCCAAAACCAGGCAAAGGCCAAAACCCAACTGGCATACAAGGGAAGGGCTTGACGCAGACAAGCTCTCCTTCAACACCTGGGGCATTCACAGTTCCGTCAGGACTAAATGCTTCGACTGCCATTCCCAGCATGCGACACTGTATTTCCCCCCGATAGACAGGCAACGCGCTATTCATGCCTGCAAATCCAATGTCAAGAAACCTTCACTTCTCGCAGAAATCTGAAGATACATCCCTGCAAAAAGAGAGCATATATCCGTTCCTCCTGCATTTGCAGTGTGAGTCTCAATTGCTCAAGGATGACTAAATACTGATTGTCACCTGTGATGGATCCCAGCAAGATTTTGGGGTGGATATTTTCGTATACCCAATCGAAAAGTTGGGGTGCAAGTGGAGAACCTGTGGAATAAATATGTCGTAAAGTCTGGAGAGAATGGTGTTCGCGTGGTTTATACTTTTTCTGCAAGGCCGGATGGGATTGAAGTATTAAGAACGAGGTAAGTGCTGTCTTACCGATAGATGATCGATGTACTTCGCACTAGTCCCATATATTGTGATTCCTAACTCGTCTACCAGATTCCACAGGAATGTGGGATCCCGCAAGGGGCTACCATCTGATACAACATAAGATTGCGTCTCATAGAGTGGAATCAAGAAGCTTACCGTACAATACTAAGGTGCAGCCCGAAGCTAAACCACCAACGAGAAAGTTCCACATCATCCAACCCCTGACAAGATCACATTAGTCCAGTAAAATCGAGTTGGAGTATGCATACGTTGTGGTGTAATAAAAGAAAACATCATCTGGCTGGAGGTCGGCACATATAGCAAGCTCTTTTCGAGCTTGCAGAAGCATCCCTCCCGCTCTGTGGACTATCGGCCTACGAATGAGAATCAGTAAATTGGATATCACTGTGTCAATAGTAGCATGAAGCTACCTACTTGGGGCGACCTAGATTGTAGTTTGTCAGGACCAATCTTCCGATTTCCCAGAATCATGAAAACTCACCCGTAGTGCCTGAGCTGAAAAGAATCCAAAGAGGATCGTTGAAAGAGCCGCGATACCAATCTATCTCGCCGTCTTCAGAGCGACCAAGCTTCACCCCCTGACCTTGGCGAACAAAAGCCGACCAATCTACCCAGGTGTCATCCCATTCTGCTTTGTCGGTACCCTCTAGACCGGTGTAAACGACAACAACCTTGGGCTTGGTCGATACTACTTCATTCAATCCGGATAGAAGAGACTTTAATTTGGGAATATGGTTGTGGACTTTGCTGTTGTATCTAAACCGAGAAGAAACATGAGCAGTCTAGACCAGTCGTTAAATACAACTCATACACCACCGCATCTACAGCAAAGATGATTTTGGGTTGTACTTGTTCAAACCTGTAAGTAGACCTTAGATTGCAGGTAGGTCATGTTATTACCACTTGCCGTTCGAGTACACCTTGAGCCCCAAAATCGGCGGCAGCGCTTACCCAGATAGCGCCAAGTGCCGTTGTGGCAAGGCAAGCAGCCACATTCTCCTGTTAAACGCGAGGTGTCCATTAGTTCGTAAGCCAGGCCCGTGATTTATCGGAGGAAAAACTTACAATGCAATTCGAAGAGTAGGAAGCAATACGATCCCCAGCTTTGACACCATGATGCAGCAATGCTGATACAAGATCTGCTACGAGGGTGTACAGCTGTGCATAGGAACATCGCTTTAATTCAGGATTAGCGTTTTCTGGGGTTGGTTCCGCTGTGGGGAAAAAGAGAAATCACGCCCGAAATGAATAAACATGACTGAGCAATGGTCTGTGACACTGACTTGCTTGTATAAGAGCGATCTTGCTTGTTGATCGGTGCTGCAGCATATTCTCCGCCCAGTTCAGTTGGGCCTCAGAGAACCAAGGAACGTTCTCCGCCGGTTTGGCATCCTTATCCACTACAAGCTTTCCCTTGTGACCCAAGATTTTCGTCTCGTCCCAAACAGATCCCCAAAATTCGTCTATATGCGTAGTAGACCATTGATAGAGGTCGGAATAAGAAGCCAACGAGAGGCCATAGTTTGCATTGATTCGATCTAGAAAGCGCTGGGTTGCTGTGTTCGTGCTGGAGGGCTGATAGAGTAGGGAAGTTGGCGGAGACATTAGCGAGATCCAAGACAATTACGCGGTCCGAGACTTGGCAAGAGATAACGGAGTAGTAGGATAATGGACTTATATGAAGCTCGCCACTGCAGTGCGTAATGCCAAGGAACGGGGAGCCGAAAGAATATCCCAAAGTGAAATTAAAGCCCTAGTTGGAATGTCGCAGAGAAAAAAGTGTTTATTTTGGGAGATATTAGATACTCGAGCAAGTCCTCTAGAGTATTCTCGCAGAGAGAATTGAATGATTGACAAGAACGAATCCTCATCTGAGCGTTTGTCCGGTATAGATATTGATCGGAAGATACCACGTGCTTAGCCGATCAAGATAAGTGACTCGATAGAAATTATGAACCGATAATTTCTCTTTCTGGTCTGTCACCCGTCCCCAACCCGTTTCCTGTTTTTTGTCAACAAATAAATACCTCCCACGTTCCTTCAGCTCCAGCAGGCTTATAAAGAACCCTACAGCTTTCTCGCACCATTGACTTTCCCATATTGCAACTCAGAGAACACCTTGCAATGGACAAATTCCTTGCCCCTCATACTCCTGAAGCTGTTGCCCATTCGCATGTCTCGTAAGTATTTAACTTTTTCATCCTTCTAGTACCTCAACCAAACCTTCGTCTACTTTAGGCAGAACTCTTGGGACATACACAGTCATCATCTAGATTTTTTCGACGAAAGCCTTGTGGCGTGCAGTGCTTCATACCATGCCTTTGATTGCTACCTTAGTGGCGCCGATCTTTTTATCCTTCCCCGAACTCGGTCAGAACTCGAGAGCGTTTTGTGCGTCGAGACTCAATTCTTTTGCGCTATCCTAATGCTCACGAACTCTGCAGAAGAAGGTACTCTTACGACAGCATCCATAATGCCATATCGAGGAGTCGCTCTACATTGCAACCTGGAGGTTATAGTCGAGTGTGTATCGACCTGCATCTTTTCTTTAGTATATTAGAATAACGGATTGTCTAGGTATGCCACCACGCCGAGGCATCCATCAGGAATGTACTCAACACCGGAGATAATGTCGCTACCCTTCTTTCCATGCACGTTCGCTCTCCTACTCCCCATCATCACGAGCTAAATGAACGTCCGACGCAAATCATCAGAACGAAATGACACGCATGTCCCCCCATAGTTTTTCCACTCAATGTTACTTATCTCCCCATCTGTATAAATCATCGTCGGCTGACATCTTGATATTTATTTGCCGTATCAACTTCTTGTATCACTGTACATGTTATCGTAGTCCTGTGCTTGTAATTTTCCAACTTAGCCGGTTTTTGTGAAGCGCGGTGTATGTAACAGTGTAAATAACGCGTCGAACGTGCGTAACACCTGACTTAGGCGCCGATCCTGGTGACAAACGTTTGCTCATCATAAGTTGCTAACCCCTTCGAGCAACCTTCAGGCGTCAGGCTTCGGAAATTTGCTTAAAATGATGCTCTACGCCCAGGAATCTCAAGCGACATTGCTTAGCTCTGAAGAGAAAGGATGCTGGCAGCAAGCCTTTTCTGTCTCTTCAATTTGTTTGCCCAGAGTTATTCAACGCCGGTACAAAATGTACTGACAGCACGATCACAAACCAGTAAGTGTCATCATCCATTTCAGTTTCGATTTCAACCTATGATACTGCACAGAACCTAGAAAACTCCACGGTCGTTTTCTTCAAATAACAGATCTTCATCCTGATCCATTCTATTTGCCCGGTACATCTACCTCCAAGGCGTGTCACAGGAAGATTCCTAAAGAGGAGAAGAAACGTGCTGGTTACTACGGCACGCCGTATTCGTTTGTTCTACGCAATCATTCCATTCGATACTCTATTCATCCACGGAAATAGTGCTTGCGACGCGCCTTTGACGTTGACCAACTACACCTTGGATTTTCTCGCAGAGCATTGGACAGAGGAAATTGATTTTGTCATATGTTCGCCATCCACTCTTTCCTCCTGCGGCTTTTAACTTACGTTCTTGTACACAATTCTAGGGACCGGGGATAATGCGCGGTGTGTATCCACGCTCCTTTGCGGTATCAAGCTCGCTGCAGCGTTTTTTTAAACCTTCGTATATTTAGACACGAGAATGACCGCAAAATTCCGCGGACGACGAACGAGATTTACGAATTGAACGGTTCCATAGCGAACAGAATGAATGAGATTTTTACGATGAAAGGAATTCCTGTTGTTCCCAGCCTTGGTAAGCCCCGAGCGCATCTCATCTCTCAGTGGTTGAACATGGGTGTGGATTAGGAAATAATGATATCTACCGTAATCTCAAGTTTCGTGTATGTCTCTTCGAGGTCACTTATCTGTGTCTTTTTCAGCACATGTACGATGCACAATCTCCATTTCCCATCAACTAAACTTGATGTTCATGTATTCTAGAACATACTTGCCCCAGGTGACCACTACGTTTGCTGCCATTTCGCGGAAGTTGTACTGATATGCTTCCCTAGGTCCCAATAGCATTACAAATGAATTTTACAAGATATGGCAGGCCTTCATACCGTTTCCATACCAGCAAGCATTTCAGCGAGGGGCTTATTTCGCAGTCGAAGTAGTACCCAATGCACTTGCAGTGATAAGTCTCAATACGCTCTATTTCTACGACGCCAACGATGGTGTGTACTTTCGAATGAATAGAGTGGAAGGATTTTTTTTTCTGATTCTTTATCCTCGGAAGCTGTTGGTGGCTGCAGTCACACTGAACCAAACGACCCGGGGAACTTGCAATTTACGTGGCTTGAAGACCAACTCAAATCATACCGAGAACGTGAAATGCAGGTGTGTCCGAAAGTTCATTCATTGACTCTATATCGAAGTAAGACTATTTTCATAGGTATGGATAACAGGTCATGTTCCACCCTCAAACTACTTCCCCGAATGTGTAAGTCCTTTCGGCGGAAATCTTGTGGTTCTAAAACTGATTATCCTAGTATGTACGGTATGTTCAGCTGGCCTTGGAATTTCAAGACACAATCGTCGGTCACTTGTACGGGGTGAGTAGCTTTATCAGGATATCATTAACTGTTCAACCTGATTGATTTGAGACCGGTTATGCAGCATAGGAATGCGGATCATGTGGGTTTTCGTCGATTAACAATTCACATAACGGAACGAATGACCATTTCCGTAGTTTTTCCTTATCGAAGCTAAAGACATAGAGGTTACCAACGACATTCATCATGGTTTGAAACACGACAATCTCTGCGATTCGCTATTAGACGACTTTGCTCAACTTCCAAAATCAGGACGAACTGATCTTGACGATTATGCCGTTATAAATGTATCGCCCCCAGTGGTCCCAAATCCCTATCTTCCGACGTTCCGGGTTTTCACCTATAATATCACAGATGTGAAAGATGCACTGGCTGATAGCAGTCCAATCCGACAGATGAACTCGTTAGATAGTTCACGGTCAGAGCTCTTGCATCGAAGAAAACACAGAGATAATTCGTCTCAATGTAAAGAGGGGTTGTACAGGAGTAGCTGGAAGTGCCAGCTTCAGTTTGAGCCACCGATATCGATAAATGCTGATGCTCCTTCCCGTACCTCGAGATTATGGACGCCATTGGGCTACGCTCAGGTGAATATCTTGACTTTTGTTCTACATCTGATCATCATGCTTAATCAAACTCTTTCGTTCCGTTGACAGTATTTCATCCCGGATCTGAAGGACAATGACAAGTCTCATCCTCCGCGTTTTGAATTAGAATACACGACATTGCCTGCCTCAGTTCTCTTACCCGAGGAAGGGCAGAATCTGACAGAGTTCCGGTATCCGATCCCATTGAGAAACCTGCCGAATTCTTTGCGTGAGGGAAAGATGAAGAAGAAATATTTTCCATATGAGATGAAGGATCTCACGATAGGCTCTTGGTTGGACCTGGCACGTCGTTTAGGAGATGTGAAGGAGAAGAAACTACGGGGAAAATTCAGGCAGTACATGTACCTTGGAGGAACATAATGATATCTTGTCTTCCATAATTTTAAATAATCTGATTAAGCCATGATGCTTGGAAGCGCCGGTCAAAGCCGAGCCGGCATATCAAAATCCAAACAGCAGCAAGCCGCATTCTGCACACCCTCATCGTTTCCTGGACAACGACTATACTGACTGACCTTGATCTGGTTACCAGCGAAATTTCCGTTTAACCTCGAGTCGACCCGTATTCCCTCTAATCGGCGGTGCCAGTTCACTTGAACGTTTGAAGTTTTTTTCTCTTCGCCATCAACAAGTCCCTCGTTTTCCTTCATATTCTACTCGTCTAATACTTCTGCCAATCTTCGGCTGGTCCGCTCCAACATATCTTTCGTTAATTTCGACATGGCTGCAGTCAATATGCAAATGATGCAAGCCAATATGCCTCTTGATTTTCTTCCCCTCCACTCCCATACGCGGTCCGACTCGGTCTCTTCGTCTTCCACCCATTCGTCTTCTTCTCGGCCACAGTCTGCGCATGGTGTCAATAGAATGGGAATGGGTCTTTCCCCAGAGGAGATCTACCGTGCTAGTTATCACCTCGGTCAGCATAATAACCTTCTTCACGCTGAGCCTGTGCGAATCTTTGTTGTTCTTTTACCATCTTTTTACTGATCTGTCATCTTCTTAGTCGCCACCAAATCACAATATCACAAATCCCGCTCTCAAAAACACCCTTCGTCCTAGCCATCTTCGAGCACGAGTGCAGGCTTCTCCTTATCCTCGAGATACAGACAGCGTCCATTCTTCGTCGAGCGAAACTGAGGACATGGCCATGTTTCTCGGCTCAGCCCCTGAATATCATAACATGAACATGTATGGAGGCGCACCACCTCAGACGATGGCTCCCAGTCCAGAGGCGAATCATGCTGCTGGAGCTTTTGGTCGTATGACTCTCAGCAATGACCAGACCCTGGAAAAATTGGCTGCCAACGTCCGTGCCGCCACAACCACCAGCGCTTCAGATAGGGCTAAGCAGATTTTTGTTCAAGCATGGTGCGCTCTTTTTCTTCTCCTTATACTTTATCTTGATTCTTTTTTTTCGTTAGGCTTACTGCCAACTATGCACCATATCCCGACGGAAATGTTCCTCGACAAGGACTTTATTTTTCTTACCGTCGAGTCTGCGACCAGTACGGAATTCCTCACATAAACACGGCCACATTAGGGAAAGCCATCCGATTATGTTTTCCTACTATCAAAACTCGCCGACTTGGGGTTAGAGGAAACAGCAAATATCATTGTAGGCAGCTCTTCCGCTATCCATCATAACTCACAGTGCTCATCAAAAGCCTTTTGATGTTAGATTGTGGTATACGTCCTGCCACTTCGGCGGAGGCTGAATGGCTTCAAGATTATATACATAAATCTAACAATCATGCGGGACAGCCTTCGATAAACGCCGCCCGCCAAGCTCAAGACCAATCAGAGACTTCTCATCGGAGTGAGGAGCGGTCGGATGAGGATGAGGATGATGCAGACTCCGAAGGCCTTCCTTCTGCTGGTGTATCCAAAAGGAATTCCCTTACGCTCTCAGGCGAAGCTAAACAGCCTGTTTTTTCTCAGGATTCCAGTGACAAAACGCCTACAGCGGCAACTCTACTCTCCCAAGCCCAGTCTGCTCATCGTCCTCCTGGTAGTTTCCCACCCCAAGCACCCATTCGTCGCCATCCCCAAGCAGACTCCAGCCTTACGGTATCCCAAAGTTCTCCTTCCAGCTCTGTCCCTTATCTTGCATCATCGCAGCCTGTGTCTGTTCGTCAATTCCCTCATTTCCCATCCATTGAGGAGGCTGTGGGCTCTAACTCCACGTCCCAACACAGTATCGCGGCAAGGGAAGTGTGGGGATGGTTTCAAGACCATCTTGATCTCTTGCTGGAAAACGTTAGATTGTTCCGTTTTGATCAATTTGAGATCAATCTCAGAACGTTTTGGTCCAGCTTGGGCGGTAATCATCGGGAAATTGTTCATGCTCCTGCTATTGCTGGCCTTATGGCCAAAGCTGATGCAATTGTATATGATGTATGTCGGCGCAAAGCATTGGCTCCGGGAATAATTTGTTCATTTTGACTGACTACATTTTTCCCAGGAAATTTTAGAAATTCTCCGCTCGCAGATGCTCACACCCATACCTCCGGGATCATTAGCCAATCTTCGACAGTTTGCTAACAAGATGGAAAAAATTCTCCTCATGGCGCTGAATGATTACGGCAATACTTTTGTAGAACCCAAAGTCGAGCTAGGAGCGAGATTTGGACACCTTGTCTGTTAGTAGTCTGTCGTTCTTGCATTTTTGTCTGTTCCACTCAGCTTTTTGGTTAGTGCGCTTCCTGGACATTTATCAAGTCACCCAAGCATTAAGTACAGTTCTCACGAACCAAAAACAGCTCTCCGAGATGCGACGTTCCTGGCAAAAAGTGGATTTCGAGTCTGTTCGCAATCAATCCGCCCTGGTTTGCAATTGCCGTCATGAAGATCTAGTGCAACTGCTGGAAGTTGAATTTGTGAGTTTAATGGACAGTCTTCCCAAAAGCAGTGAGCCGGTGCGAGAAGTCATGAGTTGGGCTGACAAATGCTGCGAGAGGTTGATGGGTAATGGTCGTATGGGTCACGGTGAAGAGAGGAGTACTATGAGCTCGCGGAGCGTCCTCATCCGCTGGGGTTATGTGACGAGTCAGGTTATGAGAGATTTGGTAAGCTAACTATTCTGTTCCAGTTTTCAATTTCTAATCCAAGTTTGTGCAGACAATTCGAAGTGATCCTGCTTTCGGTGCCTTTCAAATATTAAAATTGTTCTTGGAGTAAGCTTTCATTCGGACTTCAGTCTCTCTTGTCCTGATCTTCATCCAGCGATTGGATCGCAGTGAATGTACTTCGGAGTGTAGCCCTCTCCACAAATTCAGTTGCTGCATCGGTTGAGCCGGTGATGCAACAGCAGTTTTTTTCATTGTCACCAATGGCGGGGCAGGAAAACTTCAATGCAATGGACGTAAGGCCGCAACATCTTATGGCTAATACCCCAACAACGTCAAGCATGCTCGCTGCCCTCCAAAATGATCCTTTCCCGGCAGGCTCCTTAGATCCATCTGCGTCGTCGTTTAACTCGGATGCTTATGGATCTCTTTCTTATATGGATACTTCTTCGTCTCAGGATAATCCTATCCCAAACGTCCAATCCGATCTCTCTTTCCCTGATTTCTCAAACTCAGGAAACGCTTTCGATGTCCCGAGTGCATTCTCTCAGGATATGGGATTGGCGGCGTCTGTAACACCTGGCAGCGAACCAGACCATACTAGTGATTCGGAGGGGGTGAAATCGGAGTAGATGAAAAGACTTGGGTTGAGGAAATGTAGGAGGTCAAGTATTCTTTTGAACTTTTTTTTTCATCTCGTGTCTATGCTTTGGGTCGTTGTGATTTATTATTACCTTAATACATCTCTTAACTTCTTGTCTTATATGTTTTTCGCGAAACGGTATACCTTCTTACCCAATCTGACACCTCTGTTCACCATGTATTACATATCTCTTGTCCAACAACCATACCTTGTCGTTCTACGCTCGTTAATCCTGTAGTTTGGGAACCTGTTATCTAGATCTATATACTCATCACAAAAAATGTCACCCCCTTTCTAGTAAGTAGCGACTTTGGACCAAGCCATCTATACACGAATGTAGCGACGATGGATGTACTTAAACTATAACCAGGCATTAGGCATTTACATAGGACTCCTTGCCGATTCTTCGAAGAATTTGCTGCGGTCCGTCCCGAATCAGGGATTATTAGAGTCTACCTGACTCCGAATGCCAGAACGCATCTTGTCAAATAATCCAGCGGTAAGACCGATTTGACAATGTCCGTCACATACTAATTGTTGTTGTTTCCTTGTGCCATTGATATATGCGATGTCTTGACCTGAAAAATATTGTTGAAAACACCTTTTTCGGGCCAAAGAGGGTTCCCCTCTATCATGCGCGAGATATGGGCGCCACTGCTGCGTACATTCCTTAGGTCACAGCCCCGGCAACAGTGTGTTGTCAATTTGTGTCAGAGCCAAGCATCAGAACCTCTGCTACACTCCGTCCTAGTAGATGGAGGAGGCATATCATTTCTCTTTTCTGGTCTCACTTGTTTCAAGTACTTTTTTCTTTAATAGGCAGCCTGAGGCTAGCTGAGGCTTCCCGGTGATGTGTATCCCGACTCCACCGATTGTTACATTAGCACTGAGCAGCCGTCGCACTTATGTCTTGAAGATCAATGCAGAGGCAGGCGTGATGCAAACGATGGGGAAGGAGAAAACCGTAAATGTGCAGGGAAATATCCGGGGAACGCTGATTTGAAGCTGATTTCAGAATGAATTTGGCGTACATATACATAGAATCATAATGATACTGAGCACTTCCGAGTCTGGTCAGCCACCATGCGAGAATCAGGAACAGCAGAGAACAGACTGTCGTGCCTTTGTTGACTGCCTTCAGCGACTTCGAATGTACTTGAGTTCTCACTTACACTGCTCCCAGAAATTTTTGTAGTCTAGAACATTGAATGTATAAACACATGGCAATTGAAGAAAGTTCTAACTTTGATTATTGATAACGCCAGATCTACTATATCTAACCCTGCACTCACATCAGCTCTTCTTGGCTTCCTTTCCTTTCCTACTTCCTTCCTTCTACCCACCAAAAAATGGGCAACACGAGCAGTACCAGCTCGACAGCCTCTCCGAGTGGCGTGCCAGTTCATAAATCGATGCGCCATCGAAAGGCTTCTTTGGATCTCCCGGATCTCGCTGCCATGTACGATACTGTTCAGACGCGCTCTTCCCCGTGGTCAATACCCGTTAAAGCCCAAGAGAGAAAAGAAACTATCTATGTACAACCAAAGGTCCACATAGAGAATAACTTGGGTAGACGCGTCCAAGACCAACCGCAAACACCTATTCCTAGTGTCGAATCCTTTCCCCGCACAGTCTCCTTTCATCCAGCCGCTCCTCCTCCATCGAGGACAACGACCTCAGAGACACTTGTTATTCGTTCATCGCTACCAATGGCTCTCGAATTTGATGCAATACCAGAGGCAGTCGAGCCCTCTATCAGTCTCGTCGACCGAAAAATCAACTGGCATGGAAAGGCAGCCTCCGTCTTCGTAGTTCATATGGCTGACAATGTTAGCGTGCGGACAATGATGGATCAATTGTCAGTGTCTCCGTGTCTTCTCTTTCGAATTCTGATCTCTTTTGTGTGCTACACTAGCTCGCCAACATCCTTTTCCACATCAGTAGCTTTTCCACCGGGGACTCACCACATCCGTTTCCTTGTTGACGATCAATGGCGCGTTACAGATGATCTGCCGAAAGCCGTCGACGATGCAGGGAACCTCGCCAACTACATCCACGTTGATCCTCCTCACGATCCCAATAATCCTCAGCCTACACGCATTACTCCTCCGCGCTCTCCTCTTGGAACCCACGTAATTGTTACTTCCTTGCCTCCTCTTGAAGGCAATCTTGCAAATCTCGGTAGATTAAGCCTTGGTCGCAGCTTTTGGAGTTCTAGCACCGAGAACAGCGATCACGATCATGATTCAGGTTCCGCCGACGAACGGGCCGCCTTGTCTCGATACATGCCGCGATGGACGACGGATATCCCGCTAGAACTTTTACAAGCCGCTAAAGAAGAAGAGGTATATCTTGAATATGCCTCAAAGACCCCTTCTAGACGTCCTGGGGAATCCCAGGTTCAACAAGGATTCGTGCCACTGCCCAATATACCCCCTGCCCCAGGCCTGCCGCGATACCTGGAAAAACTCATTCTTAATCAAGGCTTTACTCATACGGTCGGGCACGACCGCCGTCACAAAGACAAACGGAGCTCCCGGGAGAATATCGAACGCTTGAATGAAGATCTCATTCACCGTTCTGGGGTAATATTACCCTTACCGGTGACTACCGCTAGCGGCACGGACATCGCTACTGGCGTGAGTGTGAGAGCGCCTGAGCTTGCGGGGACAGAGCGGATGCTGCCTGTTATGGAAGCCATAGAGGGAGGTGAGCTGGACCCTACCTCTCCCCATGCTGCTGCCGCACTAGCGACCCTGGCTACAATTTCCGACGACTCGTCGGTGCTTCCTGTACCGTCCCATGTGGTGTTACATCATGTATGCACAAGCACAATCAAGGAAGGTGTTCTTGCTGTTGCATCGACAGTGAGATATAGGAAGAAATATCTCACGACGGTGTTCTATAAGCCTGCTTAGAAGAGTGATGAGTGGTGTTGAGCGATGTAGGATGGATGTGACTATATAGAGGCATGTGTATGTTTGCTGCTTGCTTGTTTTATGATATTATCAGCTCTGTTCTGCTCCTACTGTTGTGCCATCTTCCTATACCACTTATTTATGTAGCATTAGGAATTCATGTATATCTACTACTTACAATCTTAGAGCATCTATCAGATACTTCTGTTATTCATTTCCTAGGATCGACTTCTTGTATAATTTTCATGATGCATGAACACAGTTACACAACTAGACCCCTGGTTTCAATGTCAATGTGGGTATGGGTGTGGGGTTTGATTTTTCTGTTGAGGTTGAGTTTTTTTTGATGCCTGGGTTCAATTTTCGAAAAAGAAACCCAGGCTCCCAGCGTTAGCGTTGCCGGGTTGGAGTAGGCGGGAGGGGTCGAGCTTCAATTTTGTTTCTTGATCATTCTCCGGCGGATTCTCGGACTACTTGTTACTTAAAGCCTGAGGCCTGAGTCTCATGAGAAAATTGCATCTTCCGATGTACATTCTTGTACAGTGTATACCTCATTCAGTGGCACGGTGCCACCTCAGCATCAAGGTAAGTACACTCACTGTATTAGTTGGAGTACAGCACATGGATTTTGCAGACATTTGGACAGACCCCCACATCATGGCTTCCTATCTGGAACCAGTCTTTGTTGATTAGCTATTAACCGCCAAGACAGCAGAATTTCATACGATTTACATGTGTACTCCATATGGTGTACAAACAGGATACAATTGAAACAGTTTGTGTGAGTATAGTGATCCATTACAGTAGAACCGATATATACTGTATCATACTTCCTTATCCCTCAGTACTGACTGATGTTATCTGTCATAGCTGGGGACATTTCCGTAAGTCGTTGCCCAAATTTTGCGAAACCCTGATTAGTAAGGCTCAAAATGCGAAATGTGCGGCATTCTTCCGCGTCCCAAACAGATAGACTAAAACACGATGAGTTTCACAATCGTGGTGCATTCTTTGTGGCACGTACCTAACAGTTGGCTCACAAAAAGCCCAATTGTTACGCCAGACGCAACCGAAATCATGCGCAAGGCAAGCGAAAACCCACTGCTGTACTGGTCGGCACTGCTTCGATAGGTTTGAGTGACACCTCCGCCTTGAGCAATACCAGATGGAACGAGGTACAGTACACCGGTTACCATCGATGTGAATGCAGTACCTCCTATCACTCGAGAGTAGAGGTTCCCAAGCAATCCAATCACGAATGCGCCCACGGCAGATACAATGTCAGTCCTTCCAGGGAGCACGACACTAGCTCCTTTATTCGCAGCATAGGAACAACAGGAGAAGAGGACCATGACCGGAAGTTGAACGCTTCGGAGTCGCTGGAGGTTTCCCAAAGACGAAAGTGTGGAGTACAGCGGGACCAGTAAAAGCAATGTCCACCAGGGAAATGGCTGCCTGAACCACTGCCATGACGGATCTCTAAAACAACCTACAGGAAGGGGGCTTTTAGATAAAGTATCCTCTGCCGAAGAGATATATGGATGAAGTACCCTTAACAAGGTGTTGTTGCTCGTAATTCAAGGCATTGGCTTGACCAAGTACTCCTTGGATGGGGATGAAAGGAATGCTCCCATTGGCCATCACGAATCGTCCGTGAGTGTAAGTCAAGTTAGTGGGGGTGCTATTTGCATAATAAGCTTTCCGAGCGCGACGATCCACCACCAGATAGAAGTCGGAGCCGATGGTCAATCCAAACCCCTGAAACAGGTCAATATACAGCGTGTAATGATCAATGAGCACACATCTTACTAAAAATAATGTGTATATCACTGCATATACGATTCTAACGGAGCCGCAAAACAGATTTTTGGACATGAGTTCCAACGCGCTGACCACTGAACCGAATGAGTTAACGCTTGAGATTCAGATGTCATATAAATTTGGTCCTTACAAATTGTAAAGCCGGGCAGAATAAGGACCACACCAGCGGATGAGATGGCACTATAGCAGAACCAGTTTCCAGGAATGTTACTCAGAGCCCTTGCGACAAATGCGACAATGATAGAAACGGAGATCCTGGAAAGCAAGACAGATGAGGACGTAATTGAAGATAGGAGAATGATAGAAACCTACTCATAAACATTCGCATACATGGCACTTTTGTGAGCAGCATTTAGACCTAGGTACTGTAAAACACAGGCGCAAAATCCACTGATCCAAATATCAAGGAAGGAACCGCCGAAAGATGTAGCACAGATCGTAGATGCCCCGAAGAAAGCCAAGATGCAACGAAAGTAAAGCGGATAGATAGGATGTTCTCGGAGAAGTTTCCTGAGAGCTTGAGTTCCTTCTTCCGCGCCAATCTTGTCATGGAGGACGTCTCGATAAATTATATGTACTTGATGGAGTGAAGTAAGTGCTACGGCTCCAGTCGCGCGCACGAAGTAAGTTCTTGCAGAAGGAGAATTGGGACTACTTTTCATTGATGCAATGATGATATTGGGAAGGTGTACAAACTCTGAAAATCTCGATTAGTGAAAGGTAAGACGTACATTCATTATGACGCACCGGCTTCAGCTCCGAGGATTTCAGTAGCAGCAGCGAGTTGAGATGAAATTCTGTGTGATGGTGCGCCGAACGATAGCAAAGCCTTCGACAGTTTGAGAAGAAACTTCTGTCTGATTTGAAGATCTGTCAGAAAACATCAATCTCTTAGCGGAATGTGCATACAAGGATCTTGACCTTCTAGATGTTTAGTAATTACCGAAGGTTGACGCGCACTTTGAAGAACAGAGAGAACTGGAACAGAAGGTATGCCCGATTTGAGTGAAAGTCGTCTGCGGGTTTGATTCCCTTTGAATGAGGTATATTTGTCCTGTTCTCCGGAATCATCTCCGACAAGGGTAGCGTCCGAACCTTTACGGGGAGTTGAGGGAGTGAGGGAGTTGGTAGAAAAGATCGAAGATAGCTTTGAAAGGCGACCAAGCTTTTTTGAATATGATCGAGGCATTACATTTCCACCTTCAAGATCACTATTGACTCGACGAAATTCTGGCGGTTCTTTTGATTTGCCGTTGGGACTAGTAAGCTTATGTTTCATCACTTCAGTAGGCGAAGGGCTTGTGTCATATACGGTATTTGCACCAGGCAGAGCTTGTTGAGGCTGGGTAGAAGGAGGCTGAGAGGAAAATTCACTATTTCTGTGTTGTTTTGATTCAGTCATGGTCGAATGAACAGCGCGTTGAAGTGGGCAGAAAGGAAAGAGCAAGGATTATGTAATCAACTCTAGGAGACATGTATCATCTTATCGTTGATTAAGCTTCATTTTGACACCGAGAGGGCACGATTTGGATGTAACTAATGAACCATTGTTATTGGGAGTTCTGCAACACGCAAGGTATTTCTCAGAGAATATCCAAACCCGACCATCCGAAAAATTCTTGGTATTACATGCCACTACCTCGCGACTAGGGCGCAGCTTCAGTCTCGTTAACTTCATCATCTGGCACTGCAAGGGAAGACAACCCAGATACACCAGGAGTTGGAGCAGGATCATCGGGTATCTCGCCCTCGCCGTTTGGAGGCGTCACATCAGCGGTCTCGGGAGACTGAATATCCTTACTTGAACCCGTGAGCCGCTGAATTTCTGCCTCAGCTTTTGCAATATTGGCTGCTGTCTGGCGAGCCTGATTCGCCTCAAACCACTCCTTCTTTGTTTTAAGATTTTCGACAACGCGAGGAATGTCCGCGCTAGATGTAGGAGGGGGAATCGAGAAATTGAGGAGAGCAGAGAGGGTGGAGAGGGGAATGTTCAGATGCGAGGGATTCTCGGTGGATCCATTCGCCTTGGAGCCAGTTTTTTTGCCCTTGCCCTTACCCTTTCCGCCGACAAAGTAACTGTCATCATCCTCGCCCTTCTTTTTCCGGACGACAACGCCTTCTGGAACGTCCTCGACCTTTCTAATTTCTAACTTGGAAACACCAACCAACTCCTGCTTTTTGACCAGGGGCGCGCTCTTCAGCGTGACATCCCCACTAGTCTTTCCAGACAGAGAGTCAATGAGGGTCTGACAGTCTTCAATTTGTGCCTGGTATGCTGGTACCTCTGCTTCTTCTCTTAACTGCTGTGCAACCTCTTGCTTCGTCTGTAGCTCCTCTGCGGCTCTTTGGGCACGAAGTCTCTCCGCGCGCCGGGCTCGATCCTCGTTGAGCTTGGTATAATAACGGTCATTCGCCTCGCGGAAGTTTTGAAGCGACTCCCGCTTCTCATTGTACAAGGTGTTAAGTTGCGCTTGGATAGAATCACGTTCTTCGAAGAGCTTCGACCGGTTGGCGTAGAGAACGTCCTCTTCTTTCTTCAGCTCATCAAGCTCCTGCTTGGCCTTGTCGTACCGTTCAGAGACTGCTTTGAAGTCAGGGTCATCGAGCTGTTTTCTGAGCTCGGCGACAGCGGCGCGATCAGCGTCGATAGACTCCTGGTCGCTCTGGAAGGCATCAAGCGTACGACGGCTGCGTTTGCACGAACTTATTTCTGCAAGCGCACGTTTTTCGTCAGCGAGTTTGAGTGTTCCTGAGTCGACCTGTTTTTCCAAATTTCTGTGTAGATGTGTAGATTGAGTATCATGGAAGTGTATTTATATATAAGGAATGGCTCACTTGATATGTGCGTCAAGCTCGGCGGTAGATTTGAAGGATATTTTACCCTTGGCGGCTTGCAAGTCCTTGACCTGTGAAAGTCTGTCAAATCAGGAAGAAGAACCATCAGAAGAGGGAAAGTGCATACCTTTTTTTTAATGGATTCATCGTACGCCTTTACCTGGTCAAGAACTTTGCCTCTTGAAGTCTTGTTATTTGACTGCAGCCCGCGAATCTCATCGAGCTCGGCTTTTAAAGCGTTTCGTCTCTCATTACCCGCCCCGCCTTTGGTGACAAGGGAAATTTTGTCTCTTACAGCCGACTATAGCGTCCGGAACATGAGCGACGGGAAATGCAACACTGTGATGAAATATACACACCAGTTTAACCTGGAGAGCATCAATTTCACCTTTAAGTCTTTCCTGCTCAACGTCGTATGCCTTCTTGTCTGGCTTGCCGCCAGAGACAGATGGAACCTCGGACGTGTCCTTCTTTTCGCTGGCAACAGAGACCGGAGTAGTTGTACCGTTTGTGGTAGGCGTAGAAGCCTTGCCCTTGGCCGTGGAACCATTGGCAGGCTTAGACTTTGAAGCAGGGGCCATTGAGACTGAGTGAGAGAGGGAAATATTACAAGAAGACTTATTAAAAGATGGCAGTAGGAGTGCAGAAATTTATTTCAATTCGTAACACGGTCCGTGTGAAGGAGATCAGAATTGTATTAATATTATGCAACACTGCAAAATACCCGCGAAAGCAAAACATAAGACTCGAATTTCTAAAATACAATTTGGGTATCCATCTTCTCTACTTCCTTATAGCACTCGTCGTAAAGCTCCCGATAATCGTCATCCTTCTCCTCTGCGCCCTCTTTCCGCTTTGTCTTCTTTTTTTGGTCTGGACATATCATGACGCAGCTCGTGGGTCGTTTTGTTGAGCTTGCAAAGCCCAATTCTTCCTTCGACGTAACAAATACGTACGGAATTTGTGCCTCTTCGCTGAGTACAGGTAGATGCGAAATGATGTCGATGGGGCTGATGTCGGCAGCAAGGATAAGCAGTCTGAATAGACGCAAATTCAATCACTGGTTTAAGACAAGCAAATAGATAGGCGCACCCTTTTTCTCCCTTACGAATACCCTTTACAACTTCCTTGACACCTCTCTTCACCTGACGAGCCTTCGAAGCTGCGCAAACGCGTGTGCGTGTAAATATACCGAGCATGATAGATAAGAATAAATGTTGACCAACCTTTTTTGATGGTTTTATGAAGTTTTTTCACCAACTTTTTCTGTGCAAGAGGCTTTGCCAACGGAGAAAGGTCTTCAAGAGGTATCACAATTTCCGTTCTCTCTTTCTTAACCTTTTTCGAGGACTGCTAGGATAATCAGTATTGGGGGCGTAAGATCGAATCTGTACACACCTTGACATCTTCCATCTGTACATCCTCATCTGCAACGTCCGTCTCAATGACCTTTCTCTTCTTATCTTTTTTCTCAATTTTGTCGCCGGACATATTGATGGAAGGAAAAGAGAACGCGTTGATGAAGTTCCCACGTTGTGAAACAGAAGTGTCCGCCGTCCGGCATTTTGCCGATGATTACGAGTGGATCGGTAACTATCGGTAATCGCTGCTTAACTTGTTAACGGTCCAATATGTCGTCTGTATCGATGACTGATGTTGCTCCGCCACCACCTACTCGTCCACGTCGTCCAACGCGGTCTGCTCCACCCCCTCCAGAGTTACCTGATGTCGATATTCCTCGAGCTTCGTCTCCCGAGATCCAGCCAGAACAGCAATCCTCGAAACCACAGCCCTCCAACGAAATTCTTACTCCTCTTCGCGCGCATTATCTGAAGAAATCCCTCATTCAGCTCGAATTCGAGCGTGAAATTGATGATATCACGACTTCAGCACCAAATAATGTCTCTACATTCTCATATCTAGGTCCTCCGTTCAATCCCCCTCCTAAGGAAGCGCCACCAATCGATCTACCGTTCCTCAGATTCATGTTTCGCCAATTTGTCCTCACCTTTCCCTTCATGGCATCTGCCCCAAGTAACTTTTACTCCGAAAAATTGCAACCATTCCTCGGAGCACTGTTCTCCCGCAATCTCACCGCTACATCTGTCTTCGATGACAACCATGAGGGTGACAGTTCAACAACTTCGATGAACGCTGTTGCGCGTCTGCAGCGGAATTTTTCGTTATTTTTTGGAGCAGCTACGAAAGTCATTGAACCTGAAGAGGTTGTGCGTCTCAATCAATCAGATCTCGATCACTTAGAGGCTTTAGCGAAGAAGCGAGAAGCTCGTAACTTAAAGCATAGAGATATTTTCGAAGTCAATATCGTCAGTGTCAGAACAGTGATCGACAAGGGCAGAGTACGAAGTAGAGCTCATGAGGTTTGAATATTTGTCTATCATTTTGCATCGTTGTAATCACACATTTTACTAGGAATTCATTATTCGAACGCGCAGGTCGAAGAACCCAGATTGGTTTGTGTCGAGAAGATACGGAGACTTCAGAACTCTTGCAAACGAAGTCTGTGTCACGAATCGTTAATTTAATCACACAATCTCAGATCGTCTTTAGTTGCGGAAAGCACATCCTCAAGAAGACATCAGCCCTCCTCCGGCGAAGGACCGGACAGTGGTTAATGCACCGTCATCAACATCACCAATGAATGCCATGTTCCCGCCGAGCGCCTCACCGTCATGGGATGCAAATCCAGATACATCACAGTCTTACCAAAGTTCAAACCCCTCTCGACTAGCTAGGGAGAAAAATCGCCTTACTTTGAGGGCGTATATACATTCCTTGTTATCGTCGCCCACCATCGCATCTTCCCCAGTCTTGAGATCTTTCCTTCTGTCAGGCCCGACAACTCTAAGTCAGGAAGAGTTAGAAGACGCACAATGGCGCGAGGAGGCAGACAGGATGAGAGAGGAAGGGCGGAAGAAGTTTGCGCGGGAAATCGCCTCTCGTGTTGAGAGTCTGCGAGGTGCAGTCAAAGATATGAAGGGTGACATTATGGGTCAAGGTAATTTCTTCATTCGACCATCCCAACCCCCGCTGTAGTTCACCCTGTCCACTACAGATGGGCTCACCCATGTCTTTGCTATCATCAAAAAGACCCCAAATGTGCGCGACCTCCCACCCAATTTCCGCGCTGTTCTTGAATGGGCTCGAGTATCGTGAGCTTTGCTATATTTTCTCTATGGCATAAGCACTCATTGGATGTTTCTAGACTGGCTTCCACCGTGTTTCAACAGCTAGTCGCTTCAGATAACTCTTCACAAACGTTCGCAAGTTTGAAACGTCTCCATGGGTTAATGCCGTATTTCATGATGAAAGCGGCTTTAAAGATCAGCAACCCAATGGGAATGATTCGAAGTACAAAAATACCTGCTTTCTTTTAGCCCAAGGGCTTAGTTACGATTTTATACAGGTATGCTAGATCTGTTTCTGGCACAACCTTTTGGAGGAAAAAGCCTCGCACAAAGGTATCAGGTCGTCTCTATTCTGATTTTCTAGCTCAACCGCTGAAATTTCTGTAGGATGTTCACGGGATCCTTGTTTGAGGAAGTCAAGGAGCTTGAAGACGAAATACAAGCCGTTAAAACTAAGGTTGACGATCCCGTGATGTGCGAGAAGATCAAGAATTTTGTCAATGCTCCCAAAGAAATTCAAGACGCTTTAAAGGCTGATGCAGGCAAGTCATAAATCATACACCCACTACGAGTAAATTCAAATATTCCTTTCTCAAGTTGCTGAGAATCAAAATCTTCTCAGTATTGTTCTTCGCTCGGGAGAGGAGCCGGTACTCTCAAGAGCCCAACTCCATAGAGTGGCCAAGGCAAGTCGGGCGCACGCGATCTATTTAAAGCACCGGGAGACTTTGGCTGATTCGGATGATGATGACGGGCCGCAAGACGACGACTCTTGGTTGTATGAAGACTTAAAGGTGCTAGGGCAATTGTACTCGCGCTTGAAGGACAGAGAGCAGTTGATCGATCTGGTATTCGAAGTATGTCGACTTGGTCTGAATTGGATCTGAATATTACTCAAACTTATGTAGGGATTCACGTCCGAACTACTGAAAGATATCATAACGATATTCTATTCTCCCCTAGCGCAGGTCTACCGTGCAGCTAGTATAGCGGATTCCATCGGGGATCTTCAGGTTTTTATCAGTGATCTCATCAAAACTGTGGAACAGTGCGAGGATTGTATGTATGCTCATGACTATCTTCTGCGTGACTCTAATCAGTCTTTCACAGTGACTCAAGAAGACCCGAATCGAACTGTACAATCTTTCGTCGACCTCATCCAACGACACGAGCAATCCTTTTACAGTTTTGTTCACAAAGTGCATTCAAAGGGCGAGGGCTTGTTCGATAGTCTGATGCGCTGGATTGAGCTGTTCCTCACATTCATGCGTGAGGGGCTTGGTCCACCAATCAGCCTAGAATTCCTCCTTCCCCACATGGGCCTCGAAAGAACAGAAATTCTGGCAGAAGTGGACAAAGTAGCGCTGTATCACTACAAGTTAAAGTTGCTGTACGAAAACAAGGTTAGACGACGGTTTGGTCGAACCCAGGCGCAAGGCGACGCAGACGCAGAAGACCAAGTGACGAAAGCCTTGGTAGATGGTGTAGTGGGAGAAATCAGCTTTGGTGATCTCGTGCAAGGCGCCGCGGATGACATGGCTGCTGAAGACGCAGAAGAAGATAGTGAAGATGAGGATGAGGACGAATCATCAACAGAATACGAGACTGATTCAGAATCGGGCTCTGATGTCAGCGAAGAGAGTAATGAACCGCCGCCACCTCCACCCCCAAAGGCAGTGGATCTGCGCCGTTCGCGTACTGCCGTGAGCCAGACACCGCCTCCACCACGCCCCATGAATGCAAGGTCCGGAAGCCGACCACCAGATATACGGCGGTCGCGTCAAGAATCCTCTTCTTTGAAATCCTCTCGTTCAATGACCTCGATGGACTATCAACGACAACGTGGTCATGCTCCGCCTGTTCCACCGCTGCCAAGAAATGCACATCTTGTCGCCCTTTCCAAACCCTTGCCACCTAGTCCTGCACCATCTTCCGAAAGATTTGGAAGTCCTTCTAGAGCTTCTGTAGAATCTAAACCTCATCCGGAGAAAACAAAGAAAAGCAGGCCAAAAGGCAAACAAATAATAAAACCACCAGAGCTGACCCGTATACCTACTTTATTGCCAATATTTAGAGAAATGGTGAGCCCCGCCTATCTACACGTTGGTTTGACACACTACTCATTAAAGCTTGGCTCCCAGATACGGCCACTTCTCCGCCCAAGACAGAGAACACATACCTCTAATACACCCACCCCGAATCCATGATGCTTGTTCCGATGATTTAATGATATTCCTGAAATATTGAAAGCAGCGACCAATCCCTCGATGTCGCAAAGAGACTTTGATTCTGTATCCGTTAATGTTCTGCTCAGTGCGCAATTGTTGTACTATACCTACACGCTGTATAATCAGAGTAGTGACGTGCCCGGCGCTATCCCGTTTTCAGTACTTATTGTTGGCGCTTAGTGGTGAATCAATGGTTTGATTGACCCGCCATGCATCAACCAGTTCAGGTTCCTAATTCTCGCGATTCTAACCAGGCTTTTCCTCTTTCCGCATCTACTTCGGTAGTGGGGATGTCGGCAAATCACAGCGGCCAGTCGATGTCAATGCAATCCGATCCGAATTCTATAGATGCATTCAAACATAATATCCAAGATATTCTGAAGGATATTCTGCACTTGCAGAATGTAGCAAGGAGTACTTTACAGGGAATGTGGGTGTCTACTTGACCGCGATGTTATTTCACCTGGATCATCCAACTTATGTTTTAGCCAAAACGCGTATCATCCAGGAAATTCACCCACCCAAACGGAAGGTTAGCGTCTGTCAGAATTGCATTCCTATGATTTGTCAAATGTCCCTTTGTCCTTTTCCAGCCAATATCGTGGCCTTGAAGCAAGAACTAGAGATACTTGCTGATAAGAGGTGAATAACTGCATCTATATCTTTTGAACCTCAACGTAAATCTCAAAGATTTCATGTAGTATCAATATCGGCGTTGGAGCCCTGCCCATCCTTCACATTCCTCCTGTCCCTACGAATTCGACGAATCCAATATCTGGACAAGAAAATGTGGTACCCTCCGAGGCACAGATGATAGCAGACGCAACCAGGTCTATTCAGATATTGTTTGAAAGAATAAAAAGGGTACAAGAAAGCGCGGGAACAGTAGCAAACCTACTCCAAATCCCTGCCGTTACGAACACTGTGTAGGACCCAGGTTAACCGATACGGTCTCAGTAATAATCGGGGTCCTGTACCACGGACCATTCCAGCTACTTTCCTCATTGAATGCGCTATCTATTAAGGTGCACAGAGGGTTTGGATGATACGATAGGGTTGAACAGGGTCTTCGAATTCCCCAATGTTGTAATCAACATTTAGTACGTGTCCTGCGTCAGAATCCATGCGTCCTTATTTTTATAGACCTTGAGTGTATTCATATGGCGATAGCTTTTGGTGTAGTTTTGGCAGAGCTCAGTAGAGCTCAGTACACTTGTTCAAGGAATATATGGTGGATAACATCTCAATTCCATAGACCATGGCACTCATCATTGGTTTTCTGACTCTTTGCAGAAGTAACACTATTGTCAATCTTGGGGATTGTGTCTTGATACTGTTCCTGTCTGATAGCGTAGGCTCCTAACTGATGATGAGTGATATGGGGTGATGATTTGTTAACTCTTCAAGGTGGTGCCATTGAAGCAAAAATGACAATCACCTGCTGCATCTAGCTGTAGGCCTTGTTTTTTTCGTGGAGCGTTTATTTGCCTTCGAGTTGACGACAACGTCGTCACTCCTCGGACATTACTAGCTTAAGTTATGAGGCAAGATACAAGGTACCGAGTGTATTTACTATAGCCCACTAGAGGCCTGTCGGACATTTTTGTTGGCGAACCGCGCACGCCCAAAGTTTTTTGTTGTGACTGTCGTCTTAATCTTTCTCTTCCCCACTGCCTATACCATCCTCTGCGTCCGAGAGCTGCAAGCCTCTCATTACAGCATACGGACAAAGAATCACTAGTCGTCCGCAGGAGCCTGGCAGGAGCTGTGTTGCTCGCGTCACTAGGCGTGATGGTACGACGCGCAGAATTGTACAATGGCAAATTAATCAATCATAAATCTCCAAACTCCGCGTCGAACTCTCTCTTAGATATCTCCCCCTTGCGCACTTTCTTCGCCATCCTTTCTTCTCTGGCAATTTCCGACCAGTCTTCATCATTGTCGTCCTCTTCAACCTCTTCGAAATCTTCTCCAGTGCGTTTCATATTGTTTTGTGTATCCTCAGAAGCAGCCTGTGTTTTCAACCATTGTCTTTTCCTCTTCTTCTTCTGCTTTCGAACTTCTCGTTCTTCTTGTTTCCCAATATTTGTGCTCCACGGCGCATTAGCTTTCTTCCGTTGGGTTCGTTGGGCTTTGCGTTGTTCTTGTTCCTTCTGATTTTCTTCTGTGGACTTGGCCGTCAAAGCGGCGAGACGTTTAGCCTCTTGGATTTTATCGGCATATGCATAGAGAGACCACTGTGCGACAATAAGCAACAAATCCTCAAAGAAAACCATATAGGGAGCGTACGTCGATCTCGGAATCGGCCCAATCATTCTTATCGACATCCTTGAGCTCCGGCATCTTTGGTAGGCGAAGTAGTCCGAAACTTTTCGCTAGACCCACAATATCAAGGTCTTTGGTTCTGAAGATATATGACGCTTCGTGCTTCGAGTATGCACGTACAAAGGATACGAATGCTTTGGCAGCCTGTGATGGCAATTTATCAGCAGGGAAAGATAATCGAGAGAATTCGACATACCTGGTTGTGTAAACTTCTGTCCGTGAGCAGCTTTTGTCGTATATTTTCAAGAAAGAGACCGCCGTCGGGATCATCGGGGCGCGAGTCATCGTCTACATCCATCTCACCCTCTTTGACTAGGTAAGGATGTTTCTGCATGGGTATTCTCCGGACACTCATAAAGTCTGAAGGTTAAATAATCAACTCGTCATTTAGGGGGTAGTGACGGCGAAAGGACCAACCCACGTAGCCTACTTCCCGATCAACTAACAGTGTATATGCCCGCCCACGCCGTCCTGCACGAGCAGTACGACCACAACGATGCGAAAATACTTTGGGATCCGTAGGCGGATCGTATTGAATAACAACGTCTACGTGGGGTAGGTCGAGACCTCGGGCAGCGACATCTGTGCAGAGAAGGATAGACGGAGACGATGGGGTACATATTGACGTTGAGAAAGCCGTTAATGCGCGTGTTCGGGCTGACGGTGTTAAATGACCATGCAAAGAGTGTATTTCCCCTAGAGGAAGAACGGCGGGTAGAACCTAAACAGAGTGTTAATGGAATGAATTATAGATTTTCCCGAACCGTACAGCATAAAAATGGTCGACACTTGCACCCGTTGCGAAGTAGACGATGAACTGGGAGGAATCATGTTGTTTGACTTCGCGAGATATTATGCGAGCTAGCTGAACTGTCTTTTCGGATGCTCGACACGCGATGTAAAAATTCTGCAAACTGAGCGAAGGATTGGAGATGGTTGGATGGAAGGAGATGATAAAAAGGCCTACTTTGCAGGTATTCTCCTCTCCTCAATTACCATATTAGTATCCCCTTGCCTCTTAGATTGAACCTTGACAACTATGCGAGCAGGATTTCTTAATCCCGCGCGAACAAGCTCAGAAATTGCATCAGCATCCGTCATAGTTGCACTGAACAATCCGGTTCGCCGTTGTTTCGGTAAATGCGTCAGGATTTTTGACAAGGTTGCTTGAAACCCTAGATCTAACAATCTATTCATCGTGAATGAAAAAAAATGACCCTAGGTTGTAACAACATACCTATCGGCCTCGTCCAAGACCAGGACTTCAAGTTCCTTCACGTTGACCACACTACGACCCTTTCCTAGCAAAAACTCTTCTATTCGCCCAGGCGTTCCGACAATTATGTCTGATCCCGATGATATAAATCGTTCCAAGTCTTGAGCAGGCGAAGATTGATTTGAAGAAACAAGAAGTAAAGGAGGCGGATATTCAGGTATAGGCGTGTCATCCGAATCCAGAGACTTTTGTGATACTACTTGCGCAGAGAGAAACGCAGAAAATATGCCATGGATTTGAGTTGCAAGTTCCCTAAGAGACTGTGTTGACCGATAACTTGTTTGACTCGTATAAAATGTTCGCACCTTGTAGGACTAATTATCAGTGCTCCGATGTCATTTTTGCCTAATTTTCTCTCCCTTCTGATGAGCTTTTCGAGCACTGGTATGACAAAAGCCAGCGTTTTGCCCGATCCTGTCACTGCCTCAACGACGACGTCTTTGTGTTTCATGAACAAAGGAATTGTAGAAGCTTGAACGGGTGTCATTCTTGTATGACCCATAGATTCTATAACGTCCAAGCTGAGTTTCTGCATTACTTTGGATCTATATGGGTTCAGTTTAAAGCACATACATCCATGGTGTTAGTGAGTCTGGCAAACAGCTCCAGGGGCCAGCGAACGCCGTCGACATTATCGTTCGAAGTAAATTTTGATAATTCATAAGCGCTCATTGTCGCGTGATATCATCCTACGATCGTCACTGACAGTGCATATTGAAACTTCGACCACTTTCTAATCCTACCCCAACAGCAAATTGTTCTTGTTTATACTCTTCATCCATCATGTCTTCAAGGGAACCTATGTGGTATTGTCATCAGGTATGTTTTCCTCTGCAAATGCTTGTGTGTTACGGCTGAGTAATTACTCTGGACTAGTGCAATGCAGAAATGCGTCCCCTTATGGTCAGGGCTTTGCACTTTCTACAGCTTAGGACATTGCTCAAATCATCTGGTTAGGTTCCAGATCCCGTATGCGCTTCATGTCACGGCGATTTCGTTGAGAAGGTGGGTGGGCCACAGATATAGTTTCAGTCGATGCGGGGACGTTCAAGGAGGACTTATAGATAGAAGATCCTGACGATGATCCGCGAGAGTTTCAACATGGAGATCCAATGGATGACGCTGGCATCGACCCTTTTCTGAGTACACCATTGTTTCTCGATGCGGTGTTGCCGTTCTCATCCGTTGCGTAGTGGTTTTACAAGGTCTTATGAATCGGGGGATGCCCGAGCAGCGAAGTCGACCCTCCTCTCCTCGTCATAATCGCTCACCGAGCGGGAACTCTTCATCGGTAGCTCATCATATTCAATGCATTTGTTGAATACTCACAAATGCCTCCAAGTCGTTCTCTTTCCAAATTCGTAGTGGTTCCGGTGGACCCGCAGTGTTTTCTATAGGTGGACCCAATACACTTGGTGGGACCAGAGCAGGATCAGAACCATCTGGGAGACCATCTAATTTAGCTGAGTGAGTACAATTGTGCCGGTCTGGCGCAAAGTGCTAAGAACACGGCTTAGTTTTATCCAGAGCGGTGACGAGCGCGCGCCTGGGATTGCAGGCCCGTTGATGGCCCAATATCTGATGGCACTACTTGGTAATCGCGGGTCACATACAGATTTCCTTGGAGGTCTCGGAGACGCTGCTGAAAGAGGGCGTATGGGAGACTATGTCTTCAACCAAGAAGGCTCGTACTAACATTTGTCTCAATTACTGAGTGTCTTAATCGAATCGCTTTGCAGCTCTAGATCAAATCATATCGAATCTTATGGAGAATTCAAATGCCTCCAGACCGGTACCAGCGACTGACGAAATTATGGATAAACTTCCTCGTGAAATTTTAGAGGCAGGATGTACGTCAAGTTTTATCCAACAGCCTGTGGTTAACTAACAATCGTCTTGAACAACTCTACAGCCAAAACTCTCGAAAAAGATTGTGCGGTATGCAAAGAGCAATTGTGAATATTGATTGATCTGTGTGTAGGACAACATACTCAACCGAGATTTTAGCCAGTTGCAGACAGAGGATCCTGATGAACAGATAGTGATCACATTACCTTGCGGTGAGATTTAATCATATACGAATATTGTCCTTCGAATTTATCATCCACTGCCATTTATATCAGGTCACCCGTTCCATTCATCCTGGTACGTCTCTCGCGTCTCCTTGCATTCTCATGGCCTCATGACGGAACTTCAGTATACTTCCCTGGTTAAAATCTTCCGGCACTTGTCCAGTTTGCAGGTACGAAGGGCCTCTTACTTTGACATGCGATGGTTTCAACCTTCCCCTTCCAGACATCAGTTAATAGCTCAGCCCGAACATCATGCTTTGCCGCCTAGCCCTCCATCGGGCGATGGCCCTTCACGAAGCTCAGGTAGTGGCGGCGAAGGTATCTTCCAGCACCTCTTTGGCTCCATGATGGGTGGCGGATCTGGATCTACTTCCAATCCAAATTCAGCCAGAAATGTAAGTGGACGTTCGTCCAACCCAACTGATGGACGGAGCCAAAGGAATCGCGGAGGATCTTCATCCAATCCGGGCCGGCAGAACTCAGAGGATCATCATCTTCCTGGCGGTTGGGATAACGAGCTTGATTGAAACTGGAATTCAAGTTCTACATTGATTTGTGTAATTCAGCTGCTCGAACTCACCGTATCACCTCTTCTGCTGTCTTTCATTGCCTTGTGTATCTACCATGTACTCATGTTATGTAATGCTTGTTTAGATGTGATGATATTAGTACATTAATTATAAGACTTCGGTACGAGTAGGTGAACTCGCTATATTACACGTTAGATAAGCAAGAAGAAAAAGGGATCTCATCCCTTGGCCCCTCATTTGGCAAAGCGTTAATGAGAAATGTGAAATTCGTCACTCATTGTGCAGCAGTTTTCAATGACCAGATATGGTGAAACGTTTGAAGGTATATCTGAATCCCATGGAAGTAAGTCACAATGTCAAAATGGTGCACAAAATCTTACCCGAGGAAAGCTAGGTCCTTGCTGGCTTCACTAGAATCTGCAGGAGCATCCTCCGGTGCTTGTTCAATCTCGTCAGTGGGGAAATACGAGGTATCTGTTATAGACCGTAGTCGAGGTACAAATGCTGGATGGATGAGGTTATTGGGATTTGATTTATGAAAACGATATGCTGCACTGACGAGCATCTATCGATCTAATTGAATCCCAGTCTACGCCGTAGAAGAACGGATGCTGCTTAATCTGATCGACGTTCAGTCGACGCTCTGCGCCGGTGATTAGTCTATTTTTTGATTGCACAGCACAATCAGTCACTACAACAATTCTAGCTGAAAGCAAGCTCACAGACCTTCTAACTATATCTTCAGCCTCTTCACTCAGGTGAACATCATCGGGAAACATGAGGAATTGTTGCCATTGCATGATTTTCTGATATGTTTCATGGGTCGATTCTGAACAGAAGGGAGGGTATCCGACCAGACACTCGAACATGATGGCCCCCAGGGACCACCAGTCACACTCATTGGAGTACCCTCTCTGCAGGAAGATTTCTGGAGCAATGTAATCTGGGGTACCGACAGTTGAGTAGGCCTGTATCAATCAGTGAATAATCAATAGAAAGCAACGATATGAACGCCAACCAGTTTTCGTCTGTTGGCTTTCCAGGTCGCAATTTGATCCTTGTTAGTGATCGTGAGGTTTATCGAGTTCACCATGACACTATTCCTTGCAGCTTGAGCAGAGTTGGGCGTCTGAGGTCCTTTAGTTGCAGATTCCAACAAACGTTGATAGTAATTGGAATCGTGTTGTTTATGAAAGCCCGTAGACAGGCCGAAATCACTGAGCTTAATGTGCCCTTCCTTGTCGCTGGGTCCAATGAATCAGGTTTCGCGCGAGGTACAAAGAAAGATACTTGAACGGACATCAAAATGTTATCGGGCTTGATATCACTGCATCAAGAACTGAGAAATGAGCTACAATGAGCAGAGCATGAGAGTAATTACCGATGAATGAATCCCAGCTTATGGACCGCTTCTATAGCCAGAACACATTCGGCCATGTAAAATCGGGTGACATCTTCGGAGAAAGTATCGTATTTGATCAGCATGGTCATCAAGTCGCCCCCGGGGAGAAATTCCATGATAAGGTATAGGTATGAAGGATCTTGAAATGAATAAAAGAGTTGAACGACCCATGGAGAATTCGATTCGGCCAAAACATCGCGCTCTGCGCGTACATGAGCCAGCTTGAAAGGCAAATGTCAAAATGAAGTAGACTTCATTGAAAAGCGACGGCAAGCGCACCTGATCCTTCTTTAACATTTCGTCCTTCTTGAGCGTCTTCATTGCGTATATTTTACCCGTGTCGGTTTTTTGAACTAGCCTGACCTCTCCGAAAGCACCTTTGCCTATAACCTTGACTGTTCTAAAATCATCCAACCCGAGTTTGGTCCTTCGTAGCCGAAGGAAAGTCGATTCCTTCCGACCAAGTTGCTGCAACTGACGTTGTTTGCGCTCCTCCGGCATCAATACGTCGCTTTGCAGACGGCGTTCGAGCTCTACACGCCTGAAAGAATCTCAAGAGGTAAACATGAGCTTTCCTGAAGCTTGCGAAGCGACCTGCCTGGTGTTTCTCTCTATTGCAGCATCCACCACAACTTTGTAATAGTGCTCAAGTTTCATTTGGGCTCCTTTTGCTTTGGGAAGTGCCTGGTCCGAGAAACCAGCAGTCGTCCGGTCGAAGTATACATAATCTGCGGGCTTGTTGGCTTGTTTATTGCTCTGGGTGCTCGAAGAATTCGGCAAGGATTGTCTAGAAGAGGAAGGAGGGAACGACTGCACGTTTGGACTGCGGGGATTACTGGACATGGAAGCAGAAGGCAAGCACGCGTCTAATTTGACGCCGTGTATGTACCTGGTATGTGCCTTGCCACTACCAGAACGATGCACAGTCCTCAATACTCCGTTTCAATCTCCAACAACATTGCAACTTCGCGCGGAGTGAATCAATCGATGTTTCGTTTTACATGTGGTGCTTATAACAGCTCAAGAGTTAATACCGTATGGTAGGTCAGCTTGAGATCGTCGTTCAGAGCTGATCGGGACCTCAGAGTCGTTAAGTAGTTTATTGCTGAGAATCCAGATTTATTGCCTGATGCATGATTTTGTTTGCCGTTCAAAAGTTTTCTGCGTTTGTTTATTGGCATTTGGTTGTTGGGGGTGTATCCATTGAATGGGATTCTTGGGTCCGGATACGGTGCGAGGAAAGGCCCGAATTCTTCCTAGTACGACCTGCAGACAATTGCGATGACTCTTCCGCCTAACCTGCAGCTTTGTCCTCATGTCCGGTGCACAAAAATACCAGTCGATACCTGTGTACGAAGATATGCTTTGCTACCAGTGATAGCTTCTATCTAGTCTTGATCATCCGACATTTTGCATTCGCAAAATTGTGCTCTCGTCATATACATACTGATCATCCGACAGATAAGACTTTCAACTTGCTCCCTGTGAGACTGGGAGAACATTAGTTACTTGGTGGTTACTCCCAGATAACGAATGAATTCAAGTGCTCTTCCAAAAAAAAACGGAAGCGCAATGGCTTCCTTTCTCTTCCATAAATTAGAGTAAATTTCATACACAGGTTATCTCGACAACTCTGACTATGAAATTTCTGAAGTCTCTATTAGCGTTATGCACAGTTCTTTCGCAAGCGGCGTGGGTTAACTGTGGTGGTCATACTCACACAAAACGCTTGACTGGTGTACCGAATGATCCAACTATCTTCGGAAATGCACTCAACTTTTGGAAGAAGCTTGAAGCTGGCTGGGATGTGAGTGTCACGTATAGCACAATGCAAAGCAACATAGTTCACTCCTTACTTATCTCGAAGTTATGATAGCTCACCCGCGGGGCAACTACCAACTCGATCACTCTCCCAATGCCCCAGAATGGTCCAATCGTAATACAGCCCAATGCGTCAGCTTTGGTTATTATCGACATGCAAAACTTCTTCCTGCATGAAAGCCTTAACGGTGATCCCAAGGGAAGAGCAGTCGTTCGTACGTCTCCAGAAGTCAAAATCATGAGCGATAGTCATCAGTGGTTTGACCTCCGGGCTCTTTTCTTGCAGCGACAACTATCACCTTGATACATGCGTTTCGAAATGCAGGCATGCCCGTATTGTGGACCAATTGGGGAATGACTGACTATGATAGTCGGTGATATTTCGTAGCTATATTCTATGATAAGCGCGCTCCATTTTTGTTCCATGTAGTCATCAACATGCCCCCCGCCTTCATACAAGGATTTTCTTCCGATGATACCTCCTTGACCTCGTTCGGTAGTGAGATGGGCACGGTTATGATTCCACAATCCGACCAGTCTATCGCCGCCACAAGCACTACTCCCGGTCCGAACATAACCATTGACGCTGGACGCAAGCTCACACGGGGGAGCTGGAATGCCCAACCGTACGATGTAATTAACTTGGACTCAGTGCATACTTCTGACCACACCATAGATGGGGGGACCTCTTCACAGAACAGACTGAGGGTGTTACAAACGGAACCGATTTTTATTTCAATAAAAGTGTGTAGATCCTTGTCTCCTGTATACATTCAATTTGTGACTATGGGGCGGATGCAGACCGCCTTTCGGGAATGTGGGGGGCATCGACGCCAATGCAAACATGGCTTCAAGATAATAGTATAACAACGTTATTCCATGGAGGTGTCAATATTGACCAATGTGTATTCGGAACCTTGATTGAGTATGTGTCGTCTTCGTTCCCATGCCTCGTCAATATTTAACTTATCAACTCATGATAATAGTGCTTACTACAAAGGCTACGATGTAATCATTGTGGACGATATTTCAGCTACAACATCCCCTTCATTTGCTACTCAGATGGTCGATTATAATGTGGCTTTGGATGGTTGGCGAGTCAACTCCACCGATATTCTGCCAGCCTTAGTGGACGCCCGCAGAACATAATGGATTGATTCTCAACAACATAACAGTGGTCAGACGTTAGGTTGGGGTGTAAAAATCTCGACATCGTACTCCGTTCGACGACTTGCACATTAGGTGACGAATGGATTAATAACATTATTGTACAGAATGTACAAGGCACCACTAAGTTTTATAGAAAATTGAAGAAAGAGGGGGGTCGTATTGTAGCGGGCACAGAGTAGATGAGTATAAATGAAGATACACGACAATTCTTGGAACACATAGTAGAAAGGAAGCGGATGAAATGATGTAGGTTAGTAAAGATAGTAAGAATACACGCGCGTTATCGTGAACGAACGAAAATGAAGGCATATATCAGATGACCTTGTCGTTACGCGTCCTGAGTGCCAGAGGCCATCGCGTCATCGATCAGAGCGGGCGGACTGGGCTTGGAAAGGCTACACATATCAAGTATGAACAAACTGGTGTTCAGACGTAGCCCATCTGTCGTGGGCATTCTGGGTAGGATTGGTAATTTGTGAAGGGTGAAGGGGGAATTGGGTGGCACCAGTGGAATGTGATATGTATGATGGTGATTGGGGACGACGTGGTGAGCTTGACACTGGAGGCGTCCAGGTAGTCTGAGACGACCTGGCAGCAATGAACGGAACGCTCGAATTCTGTGGGAGAGCGCTCCGAGATGAATGATCATAAGTGTTATTTCTGTGTACAACACGTCATAAGGACAATGATTAGCAGAAAAAAGGCAAATAACTCACAAGTGTGAAGGTACAGATGAGGAGACATGTAGATGAGATGATACAGCAGAGCTATGGTTTGAAATTGAGATATGTACACGACGTGGGGAAAAAAGTGAAACTCACTTATACAGCGAGTTGGGATTGAAGGTGTGCGGAGGATGATGATGGCATGGTTCAAAGCGAGTTGAACCAGCGCTAAACGGAGAGAAATTTGATTGACTATACGCAACAGAAGCATCAAAATTGAGCTGTGACACTGACACAGCTCTCGTATGGGATGCTGTTTGCGACGAAAAAGATTGGGTGAGAGGGGATGTTGGCGGGGATTGGGAGAAAGCACGATCATTTTTCGGCCCTGAACGATGTGGAGAAGAGTATGTAGGCACCCATGCTGTTGGGGAACGAGAACGGTTTTCCAGAGGTACATTCGCCCTTAATGACCTTGCAGGACTTTTAGCATTACTCGACCCCTCTGCGTCTCCATGCCATTTGGGACGAGACTTTGGAGCAGGAGACAACGTATAGGAATAAGAAGCAGATTTTCTGTGGACTCGTGTGGGCTTATCATTATTCGCCACTGCCTCACGGGGAGGCACTGGGAGTCTTCTCACTCCTCTGTTACTGATCTTTGCCGATGCAGGTTGAGGTATATGGGAAGAAGGGCTTTTAACAGGAGGCGCAGGTTCTTGAGCTCCTGAACTCGAGACACCTTCAGATCTACCCTCGTTCCATTCTTCTTCTTCAGTTTCCTCAGAAATCTCCAAGAACTGGATAGCTGAAGAGAGCTTTTTGTCGTAGTCCGACTCGGAGTAAGCTGGTGGCGGAGAGTCTTCGCGTTCAAAATCCATACAATAATGAGATGAGGGAAAGGAGAGAAGTAACAGACACAGAAGGAACGTGGAAGGAATGAAGACAAAGACCCGGCGCTCAATTTCTCAATACCAGGCACAGCAATAGATAGCGGAACATCCGTGAACACCGGATTGTGAACAGTCTACTTGCTTTCATATTTATACGCTGTTTCCACCCAAAGTTTCGACTTTTGAATAGATACATATCTGATAACCCAGTCGGGGACAGGCATTACATGGCGCAAACTTAATAAAACGAATATGTATTCAAAATTCTCAAGTACCTGCACACCTCGAATTCCTTCGGTCGGTTCCTTATGGTTTCCGTGATTCTGTTAGGATTTCAGAGAGACAGACGCTATGGAAGTCTTCCATGAGAATTCGCCATTTGACTTATCAAGTCCTTTCCTTTTCCTTGTTCAACAGCAATGGAAGCCAATATGGCCTAATGACAATGACCTTGTGCTGTACCACTGCCAGGGTGATTCTCGTATTCTCGATAGGCATTCCATTAAAACACCGCTGGCCGTAGTCACCGCACTTGTCATAGTACGCCGTGCGAAATACAAACTCACTGAAATATATGCTATGTCCATGAAAGTTCAGTTAGCCAACATCTTTCACAAGGACTTCGTAAACACATGAATGATTTCAACTCACATCCCACGAGATCGTATTATAACCTCACTTCTTGAAGTTCTGTCCGTTTATCCTCTTCTTCTGTGAATTTTTCCCAATTCACGTCGGGGAAACATAACTGTGCTAGACCGAGATCGTCTAACCGGGTCATACGGACGATCATGACCAGAGCCTTGGCCGCATTTTGACCTGGCCCGTCTTTGAGAAGCAACGACGAGCCTCCATTGAGTACTGCCCAGGATTCGTCGTTAATTTCATTCGCAGTGTGACCCCATGCGGCTTTCGTCGTGCGGGGATCGCACTGGTTGAAAGACGCTAGTATGAAACACATACTCGAACCTGGAGTACAACATCGATACAAGGCAACTCGGTATGAAACAGAACTACGCACAGAGACCACTCAGTTGTTGTTCCCTTTCTAGTTCAGACGGTCTTTGCAGAGAGTTTAACTCTGACTTCGCACTGCCAGTCAATGCATGATCTGGTAACACATCTCCGACACGGTATAATCTTTGACATGCCGGGCAGATTCGACTTGAAGCTCGGCTTTTGTTATACCAGAGGATCTATGTTCGGCGCGTCTCGGGTTAATGCATTTATACAAACAGACATATAGTGAAGGACACGCACTAAAGCCAACTCTTCGGGTAAAACCGTCTGTAGCATCTGCAGTACTTCCTCTTGCGCAAACTCGGCACATAATGGATCATCCAATGCAGGTGGTTGCGAGAAATAACGCGACGCTAGAAAGGCCCGCGTGTCTCTGACCCTTGGACCATTTCCTGAGTCATAGATGTATGGCTCCTGAAGCTGAATTTGTGCGTCATATTCGATTCCGTTTTCAGGAGGGTATGTCAGAGATTTTTGCACATATTCAGGTGAATGCCGGTTGATAATGTGGATAGGAGTTTCCTCTGAGTGGATGGGGGGTTGTCGGTCGTGTTCGTGGGTTGCGTGATATATTTGGGTAACGATATCGACACATGATGGTTCAGGGGATGGAGAAGAAGCAGAAGAAGACGCGGAAGCAGTATATTGGGTCGGGGTACCAAACGACGCGTTCTTATCGTAGTATTTTGAAGTAATATTCACGATGAATTTCTTTCTCTGTGTCTTTCCCCCAGATTTTCGTTTCTTTCTGCCATTAGAAGGGCCGGGCATTGCCAAGATGTGGTGTTTAAACTCAAAGAGTGAACCGTGGCAAAAAGGCGCCCATTAATCATGCCACCGTAACATTTGCGTGGTGTCACGATGTAAGTTCAAATAAACGGTATCGTTTGGAATAAGTCAGTTACTAAAATGAACGAGAAACATATATGATATCATGTAGTAACAATCCAAGCTGTAAGTATGAGCTGTCTTAGGCTCTACCCATGGACCAACTACTGTCCTCGTAAAATCATTAACTGGTAACATTAAGTTATGTACTCTGCGACCTCTAACTCCACTCGGGGCCTATCCACACAAATATCTATGCAATAGGAGGCCAATTCTCTTTGAAAAGATACGTGTCTTCAGTTGCAGGACTTATCTTCCCGAGTTTCCCGAGACGTTCATCTGTAGACGCCCTTGAATGAGGTGATGTGGAATGCAAAACTAATCACTCACAGGTAGGGTCTGCATCTACATGGTCAAAATGCTTGAGCGGCCACTTGGTCCCAACTGCGATCTCATCCTTTCGTCTCTGTCGCTGGTCATTCTAGATCGGATAAAACTCTAGTTCATACAAAAACATATGTGCACAGAACGTTGAGCATACCTCTATCTTGGACTTTTCTCTGCTAGCCATATCGAAATCGCCTTCCCTGATTCCTTTGGCGACGAGCTTCCACAATTCCCGGGTTTCGAATTCACCCATCTCACCAGACGTTTGACCGCCGATAGCAGTTACTTCTTCCTTGGGCCCCGTAACGTTGTGGAATTCCATACCTGTCTTGGGACCACTTGTGAATTTACTGGTAGTGTGCCATGTACCCTCGATGACATGGCTTCCAAGAGTTCCACCAAGGCCAGGCGCAGGGTTTAGCGTCGCCTTGAAAGAATGTGTCTTGCCAGAGAAATAACCTTTGCCTTTGTAATCAATCGAACAAACGTAATTCTTGCTAATGATCGAAGAACTTTCGGACAGTTCGATGTACGGAGCGCCATACCTGAACATTTAAACCGTGAGATCAGACAGCGCTTTGGTCATACTAGGCAGAATTTCGTACCACAGACCATCTATCCGCAATCGAGGAAGTGTGATAAGATACTCAGCAACATCTCCAGATTGAAGTTTGACGGTTAAGGTAGCGTGTCCAAGTTGTTTAACGATGATAGACCCGCCTGAGGTGGCGAACGCTGAGAACAGGGTATATCAAGCTTAGACTGATAGATCATACCACTGAACGAGGTCTTTTGCGCGTTATGGCCGACAAGCTTTACTCCTTTGCTCTTGTTTTCAATGGCGTATGCGGTTATAGGCGGGTGATGCGAAACTTGTTCAACGAGGAGTTGGGTTTCTCCCCGACCATTGATGTCGGGCCATTTGCCGTAGAATAACCTGATAACCAATCGGTAACTTCGTAGAGATGAAAAGCCGTGAAAGGGCTCACTCTCCAAGAACGGGGTTCAATGGCCTATGAGATACTGAGTGATGTAGAATCGATGATTAAAAAACATACGCACTTCTTCTCCGATCCCATAGATTCATTTCTAGACGTATATTGGCCTTTCAGAGTGCTCTGAACGGAATAATAGTTCAAATATATATACAGATGAATGGGTGTATATACTCACAATAAACCACTTGACAACAGCGAGTGTCCTCTGCTCCTCTGTATTTTGGTCCGCGATAGCCGCAAATAGCTCTGGGTGCTCACACCAGTAAGCTGAGCAGGTTATGATGTAGATAGACATTGAAAAAATCGAGAATGAGGGAAGTACATGGGTTATGGGACGGTCCAAACACACCAGGAAATTCGGTCAATGATACGGGGGAAAGGATGAATGGCGGGCACTGTATTTCGAGAGTAGGAGTCCACAGAGGAAGTGGAGAGCAGAGATTAGGAAATAGGTGAACAGCGAAGTGTTGAAATGACGTGCCGTCATGGACGATAAATCGCCTGACACGGAAGCGATACTGTCATTGAACCGAAGGAAAAACAGATTCAAAGCAAGATCAATATCTCCATTTCCAAAAGCGAAATTCCGTCAAAACGTTTACCTTTTCAAGAACGAAGTCCAACTGCTTCGTTGGGCGGGAGGAACAGCCTGGCGATAGAGACAAATCATAAAGATAATGTCGAATATGGGTCGAATAGAAGACGTACTTCTCCTGCTTGCTCAGCCATTTCGTTTGGAGATATGATAAGACGAGTTCGTTGGAATGATTGTAATAACGCAGTCGAGTTCGTTGTAGTTGATGAACATGCCAGTGGATCGAATTTGACGTCGACGTAATACGAAGCCACGTGAGAAATAGGAGCTAGTAGTAATGCTAGTGTACAGGTGGTGTATCATACTCAGTACTTATGCAGAAGTATTTATCCAATATCATGTTCTGAGATACAGCTAAAAATTCACCGCCTCGAGATTAGTTCCCTGTAAGTAGGAGTTAGTAAATGAAACAATTCCAGCAGAGGAGGGCAGGGCATACCAGTTTTGGCAGGCGGACGTAGGCATCAGTCCCTACAACACAGTCAAATGATGTGGAAGGACTCTCAGAACTACAATGCTTACCATAGCCATCTAAGCTCTTCAAATCCAACGACCCACCGAAATATCTACGAAGCAAAAAATCAAAATCAAATGCATGGCTCAAATATTCAAGGACACACGTCGCAAAGATATTACTCATAGGCAATCCGATACCCATTCTCGCATGCCTGCCAACTCCAGCATCCTTTTCTGGGTCGGGTGAGCGGTTCCAGTTCTCGACTTGTTCGTTCACTGTAGCCCAGATACCCCGACGATAAGAGCTCGCAGTACGAAGTGATATCAAACGTGAATGTTCCATCCGTGCACTGTTTCGTATGTGGGAGAAGGAGAACAGATCAGATGGGTTTTGGACTGGATTTTGTACGGTGATTAGACCTCCGCCTGTGGAATCAATTAAGAAATAGAACAATATTGAGCAAGGTTTAGTCCTAACCTTGATCTGAAATTCGTATGCCAACAGCATTGTCTCCCGCTGCTATAGTGGCTGTTATTGGAGGTAGAGTTACAGAGCCTGCTTGGTTTAGCCTTGTGGCTCGTATTGACTAGCGTTTGAGCATATTGTCAGTAGGTTTCTTAGACGGTAGAACGAGGTCTACATTTTTTAGCAGCTCGAAGACGATGTACCTATCACAAATGTCAGCACTATAGGCAAGTCAAGTCTCAAATGACGCACTCCAAATGTTCCCGTATGTAAGAAAACCTCATATCAACATCCCCTTCAATGACAACCTCCGCCGGGATCTCGGCATTCCCTCCCGCATCCTCAGCCTCCAACGACTGGTGTCTAAGGAGATTTGCACACTTCTCGATACTAGCCTTAACATTCAACCCCGTAGTGATTATGCCTACGTTCGGTTCAGCAGATTCCCAAGGTTTCTTTTTGCCTGCGTAATTTTCTGATAGAGCAATATGATGCTGAGCAAGGACACGACGAGATATCCGAGAGACGAGCATGCGACGCATGAACGAATCAAGATCATCGGGAGCTAAGTATGGAGAAGACAATGACATCCCTAAGGATAAACTTGGGATGACGATAGCGCTGAGGAACGAATGAACAACCAAATTGTAAAGTAGAGCAGGGAACATACTGCTCATCCAGAAGTCCGGCTAGAAATTCACAAAAGGCTTCGTTTTCCTTGATGTTTGTTATTGGTGGGTACTTCCTGAACCTGGCGCATTGATCCTCAGTATCCGCAGGAGAGAAGACAGGACGGACCAGTACTTCTCAAAGGCAGACCAATATAGCTAGGGGGACATGGTCAACCATCAATACCTAGTAGAGGCAGTGAAAACTACCTCGTAGACTTTTGCGATGCCTTCTTGAGTCACTACAATATATGGGAGTTTCTGAAGGTCTCGTAGTCGATGGGCTATCCGCACAGGGAGCTCGGTACGGACGTAGTTCGCACTCTGTATCATGGTCTGATTTATATTCGAGGATGCAGGAGATAAGTACTGACTTTGACCAACCGATCCTCATCCATTGAACGACCAAAAAACACCTGTATCACATTCATTTCATGAGAAGCATATCCAAAGTTCAAGTTGGCCCACAAGTTGCCGAAGAGTCATTGGCTTCGGTTCTTTCGAAGCGTAAAGTTCGAGCTGCTTGTTCTGATAGAAGTGTAAAGCGGTTGATTCATTTCTTCGTGAGCATTTCCGGAAGATATATTGCGTCCTATTTAGATTTACGCTGCAGCGAGTGGATAAGCGAGACATTGGAAACAGGAATAGACCAAGGTGGAGGAAAAGATATCATTCATGTCCAAGTTCTGTTGCGCGCTAAATGACTCGAGCGAGGGGCCAAATTGAAATAACATGCGCATGCGCTGCGGCTGACAGGTCACAGCGCATGGGCTCGCATGGCTCTACTGAGCTCTACTGTATATCTCAAAGAATTCCTTCTGATTTCAGAGCTCCAATAATTAAGAACGCAGAACGTCGATCTCTGTCTACACCAGTCCAATCTCCTCTGCGTTTAATAGGTATATCTTCAAGCCCGTAGACAAAAATGTCGTCGTTCTCGCCATTGCTTTCTCTTTCCTTCGCTTGTGCCACTTCCTTTTGAGCTTTTTCGTCCTCCTCCCGGTCCCAGAGCACATCTTCCCATTGGGCTTCACTGATTGTCACGGCAACCGTTTTTGCGTCTGGAACGTTGGGTAGAACAGAGGTCAGCAAGTTGGACAGAAGTTCGGAGGTTCCGTCAGCTGCTGGGCCGACATTTAATCCAGGCAGTGGAAGATATTCAGCCTGTTGAAAGGTTCGAATGTTAAGACATGAATCAAAATTCAAGTCGTCACCTCAAGGAGCATTCCCTTCATTTCTCCTCCAGTCATTGTCACAATACCTGCTCGCACAAGCCAGTCTGATCCTATTCCGAACACTTGGCCTTCGATAAGGAGTTGGTGTCCAGAGGCCTGACCTCGTTGTGCATTATTAGTAGATGTCTGACGAACAGGGACCCAGCGGGCTTTCAACTGGGCTAGAAGTTGTTCAAGTGCACCAGGAGGATTTAGAGTCAAAAATGTGGTCCGATAATGAGTGGGATGGAAGTTTGGCGGGGCAGTCTTGTCAGCAATCGCTTGCACGACATCGGCACGAGTAGGAGCTAAAGGATCCTCAAGGAGAACGAAAACATTATCGTTCATTTGCAAGGTGAACATGGTACGTTCCAATGGCAGATGGATTCCGGGCGTTTGACTTAACGTGGAGCGGAAGGACTTGACAGCAAGGTTCCAAGGACCTTTAAGGAAACCCTTCAAAGGGAATCAGTCAAGATAGAGATTGTAAGAAGCAAGTATATAGTGCACTTACATTGTGGTTTTCCTGAATATTTTTTCGAATAGCTAGCAAACCATCTGGAGGTGCATTGATCCAACGAGCAAGCCTAAAGAAGGTCAGAGAATGCACCTAACATTCTAAATACCAGCGATTTTCACCCTGTTAGGCCCATTTCGAATTGTGACCTCTATTCTACCAAAGTAATGAGACGAAAACGTCACATGGTGACACCTGGTGACACCCTTGTTCCCGTGAAGTTATTCGTGACTGCCAAAAACACGTGCCCGTGACTGATCGTTATAGTACTCAGCATTAGTGCTCTTGTCTTTTTCTGTTGACCTCCATGGCGCTTAAACGGAAAGCCTCCTCAACTTCTATTCAGGATTCCCCTTCGAAGCGTACTCGTTCAAGGGTTGCTCCTTCTACTCCTTCAATCGCAACTGGATCGCCTCGGAAGAGTCGCGCCGCGAAACCGTCAGTACCGGCAAACGACCTTAGCGACGACTCCAGCGACGATGAGCTCAATATCATCGATCAGGAAGTGCCACCTACTCCTTCGAAAAGGTCCAAGAGATTGGTGCATGTTGTCATTCCTACACCCAACAGTTCACGCAGGCCTGCATTTCCAAAACCGAAGGCTGTTCAGTTCGCAGACGCCTTACCTTTAGAATCCCAGCCTTCTCCATCAAAAAAGGCTCGTTCTACTAATTATGGCAAACAACGAGCTGAAGATCGCGCTGCGCACCAACTGTTACAGGCAAAAGCCGTGCAGCTGAAAACCCCGTCTCTCACTCCTCCTCCGGCCATTCCTCCGCCTATACATGTTCCTTCTCCTCAGCGCTCCCCTTCCCGACATGCTGCCAAAGGAAACTTGTCCCATCATCTGTGCGAGTCACTGACATTTCAAAAACGCGCAGTCCTTCGCGCTTTGCAGCATCCTCCAGTCATTGAGTCGGAAGATGCCAGCGAACGATCTACCAACGAAATCGCGATGGAAAAATTGAGTCAACTTCTGGATGGAACGGCGACCCGAGGAGAGGGAAATAGCTGTCTCTTGCTTGGTCCCCGGGGTAGCGGTAAGACTCAGGTGAGTACAGTTCATGAGGCTCTACATATTGTTGTTCAATTCCTTCACAGACAATCGAACTATGCATATCCAATCTTAAGGAAACTCCCATTGTCATACGGCTATCTGGGCTAGTTCAAACAAATGACCGTCTCGCTATGCGCGAATTATCTCGTCAGTTAAGTTCTCAAGTCTCTCCCGCCCTGCTGCCAGAGGAAATTCGAGGGGCCGCATACGATGAATCACTAGAGGATGATGATGATAACCCTTTCCTCGATACTCCCGCCGAAGCAGTCGAGCTTTCAGTCCCCACAGCTCACATGCATTCGCTCATTGCCTGTATTCCTACCCTTGGACGGCCAACAATCGTCATTTTGGACGCTTTCGATCTTTTTACTGACCATCCTCGCCAATCATTTCTCTATTCCCTTCTTGACACAGTCCAAAGCTGCCGAGCAGGCGGAAGAAACAACGGATTCGCTGTCGTAGGTGTGACGAGCCGGATGGATACGCTCATGGCTCTAGAGAAGCGCGTAAAAAGTCGCTTTTCTGGAAGAATGATCAGAACTTCCGCTTCTATCAAAGCATCACAGGCCAAGAACATCACTAGGGCAATGTTGACTCCTTCTATGGAGGATTATAAGGTTGACGAAGAGTTCAGTGACATGTGGAACGCAAGTGTCGATGATTTTTTGACCGATCCTAAAACCACACGTATTCTAGAGGAAGCCTGCAGTATCACAGGGGATATCAGGTCGCTCGCTCGATTATTCGTGGGTTTTCTTTGCTTATGTTTTTTTGAGAGGTATTTAATGCCAAGCTGCAGGTTTCTCCTGTGCTGAACCTAAAACCGGTTTCTCCCTGGTTGACTGCAAGCCAACTAGAGCTCTCCGCCGAAACACAGCGTATCCGACCAGAATTTGCTTACCTTCATAGTACGTGCCACTGGCTGCCTTCGTTAGAAAGTCTGTCCCTCATGTAAACTGCAGCCCTAAACTATCCATCTCTCTGTCTCCTTCTTGCCTTCTATCAGGCAGACAGTGACGGGTACCCTGCTCTTACCTTTGAGATGCTTTACGAGTATGTTCGTAACGCTATTCGCGTCTCAGCCGTTGCCCCAGTGCAACTTCGTGGTAACAGCATCGGCATGGTCCGCTGCTCAAGACAAGTGCTTTTGGCTGTAAGTATTTCATATGCTCCCTAACCGTGTTCTTGACTGACAATTCTTTCTCATATATAGGCGTTCGAGCACTTGATCTCCGCCCAGATCTTTGTCTCCCTCTCAGGTCCATCTGTTAACGCAGGGAAGAATTTTCTCAAGTATCGATGCTCGGTGGATCGTGAGGATGTCAAGAAGAGTGTAGAGAGAAACGGGCACTCAAGTCTGACTAAATTTTTGAGGCGCGCAATGGGCTCGCGTTAGACTAGACTTTTTGAATCTCATAGACGGATGGATTGTACTTATACTTATTTGTATCGCTATTGGTTGTGAGGAGATATATTGCATTCCGTGTCTTGTAGGACACAATACATGATAAAATTAAGGAATGGTTGCTTCCCAGAGTGATCCGCTGGCGGTACAGTAACGATTGAACGGTTCGATAAGGCAGAAAGACAGATGATTGTCATGAATAATGTCAAAGTTTTGAACAGAGTAAAAACTTTTGGTAAGAGACAGAGAGAGACAAAGTAAAGGCGATGATTCAAAAAACGGTTTGCTATCGGAACTGCGCGCACACATGGGTTACCAAGCCAGGCCTACATCTTGAACTTCCCTGTCCCAAATCAGTTTAACATACTCAGCAGTCTTTATCGAAAAAAACAACCAACCTTTGCACAACTTGCACGTGCTCAGCTTCCTGCTCTTGCTCCTCACTAATCTCTTGTAACGGAGTCAAAACAGACCCATGTTCATATGCCCCAGGCATAGTAGGTATATGCATGACATAGTCTACAATGGGTTCATCATATCCACCCCCATGCAACCTCGGACTCTCATACGCACTCATCCTAAAGTTTTCCATCCTCACCGCATCGAGCCCGACCAACCCCAGCTCAAACTCGACGGAACGCGAAGGCATCATGAGAGTTTTCTTCAAGATTGATTTAGGACTGAGTTTGCGCTCTGTACCGATGGTGCTAGAATTGCGGGGGCTGGAAGTGTTGCCAGGGGCTCTGGTAACCGCCGCACCATTAACAGCTATAGAGGGGGCTTTGGATTTCGCTGATGTTACTGAGCTGGATGAATGTGTCCTGGGCCTAGCAGAGTCGCTGCTGCTTCTGCTGCTTGGAGGACTTGGAACAGGAGGCGCTACTTCTCTGGGTCCAGACGGCTGATGAGAGTGATGAGATGATTTCGATGATGATAATGGAGAGTCGGAAGAGGTCGACCGGGAGTTCTCGATCAACGCCTTAAAACTGGTATCCATAAACAAACTGTCATCCCACTGACTCGTCTCTTCTACGAGTTCCTGAATAATTCCAAGCATTGCATCCGCATCAGGGGAAGAAGGCATTTGAGATTGAGTGGAAGCAGCTTGGGACAGTCTACAAGGAACACTGGAACGATTCTCGGAAACGATCTCGGATTGTATTTGAGACGTCCCTCCTTCCTCTAGCCCCAGCCCTAGACCCCAAGAAGATGGATAGCCAATTCCCAGATCAGCATAATTTTGATGTTTCGACCATTCTCCAGCGTGAGATGCAGGTGCGGTGGCAGAACCGGTGCTTGAGGAAAGGCTAGGGATGGAAGGTAGAAGGTCTTTGTCTATTTCTTTATTGAGATTCGCTAGTGAACCTTCCGGGAGAGTGACGATCCTTAGCGGAGAAGGTCCGACTATAGGACTCTTTCGACTTCGGAGGGAGGGCGATCGACTAGGTTGAGCTTTAATGCGCGGGAGGGTGCCAGAAGTTTGCGAAGGACGGCGAGTGATAGTCATCCCAGTGTCCGCGCCAGGTATTACGGGAGACAGTTTGATTTCATTGAGAGAAGTTTGTTTAGGAGACAAGGCGTATGGGCTTGAGATGTAGCTTCTACCCTCGTTTGAGATGGATTCTGGTAGATCTGGAAGTGGAGACAACAAGACTGAGGCTGGCAAGGGAGGCAAAGGAGGAATACAACTTGAAGCGCGACTGGATTTGGATTTTGACCTAGAATGCATTGACGAAGGAGTAGGCGAAAAGGGTTCAAAGTCTAAAAACGAAGTTTGATGGAGAAGATCTGGGTTGTTATTTACCAAATTGACAAGCCTCAATCCTGGAATAGGTAGCGAATCAAATCTATGACTCCTTGAGCTCTTGAGACTAGAAGGTCTCCTACGACGATCATTAGGATGTTCTGGATGCATTTGACGCGTTACTGGAAGAGAATAGCGCCGACCAGACGAGTTGGTTCGTGCGTCAGCAGGATATGTCGGCGATGAGGCGTAGGAATGCGGAGGTGGATGTGACAGCGCGACCAAAGTGTTTGAAAGAGCACGGCTGTCGCTCGTGTCCGAATAGCGAGTAGAGCGTCTCAGTCCACCAAACTCGCTGATAGAAAAACGAGAAGTACGGCGTGCAAATTTCTGGCTTCGGCGAGATTGAAATTGAAGTTGATTCGAGTAAACAGAAGGTCCATCGTACAAGGTCTTCACACTGGTTTCCCAGGAGGGCGAACCGAAGAAGCCAACAAGAAAGGCAGCCTTGCCAGGCTTAACGAGTTTTTCAGAATTGTAAAAGAATGAAGTCGTAGATCGCTGAGAGGATTTAAGAGAACAATCGGAGAAGTTGTACGAAACATGAGATCGTCTGTATCTCATATACAGAAATTTGGTGAGGACCAGAACAGTGACAGAAAGAGCTACAGCGAGCAAGACTGCAAAAGTCGTTGCGCTGCCAGACGAGTTGAGAACGTTGATAGGATATGCAGTGACAATGAGAGGAAGTGATAAAAGCAGCACGTTTTCAAGGAACATGGTAGTGAGAAGCCAAGTTCAAATGTCATTTGTTGTAACGCATTTGTTTTTATATTACATAGATATGTATATACATTCTGTTGCTTGTGTTTAAATCGTTCAGAATTGAGCTTCTAGCTGCTTCTTTGCGTGGTACTGAGCCTTCTCCTTGTCGATGAAGTCGAGCTGAGAAAATATAAGAATTCAAGGCAAATAACAGCATCAACGACCACTTACTCCCTTGGTTTCAACGATACGATCAATGAAACCACCAGCAAAGGTAGCAAGAAGCTCATTTCTTGTTGCGTGCGAATCAGGCTCGCCATTGTCTGCAACATGTTTCTCGTATGCCTTGGCGGCCTATAGACAAAGAGAAGTCAGTACCCAAGTACTGTCGGCGAAAGAAAGGTACGACAAACCTCGTAGGAGGCGGCAGCAGCGAGCAGTTCATGGGAGAGCTCAGCCTTGTGAGGAGCGTTGTTTACTTGATCCCAAGCTTGAGCCTACAAAACGATGAGCAAAGAGGACAACGATGGATAGCTCTTAAGGACGCACCTGGTCAGAATCATCAGAGAAGAGACCCATTGTTTGAAAATGATAAAGATGGTAGATGGGTGTAAAAGAATAAGTTGATGAAGGATCTAGTCAAATGACTGCTGGCTTTTATACGGTAACCCGTTTCCAAAAATATACATGACGTGCTGCCTAGGCTGCGGTCGTTAAATATTTCCATGATATCCAAATTAATGATATCACAAAAAAGAACAAAGCAAACCAGTGCAGTTACCATCGACACCTTCATCCATCATGATATCACTCATATTTAGCAGATATTAGCATGACATGAGCTCCATTCACTCTTTCAACACATGGATATTCCGTATAGAAACGCCATCGATTGCAGAAGAGATACATCGACCTCCTGAGCGGTCCTCAAATTGCTCCGACACACGATACATCTATCAGAAACTGATAAGGTCTTCTCAGTGCTATGTCCACTACGGTGACTGCAAGTCTCAGGCATAAAAAATTACAAGCTATGTAAACTGCATGCATGAGATGGCCTACGCACGCGATATCGATGAACGCGTATTGGCGTGGGAGACATGACATCAAAATCGCGTGATCGTGTTTCTGCAAAGCAAATTTATTTGCATTTTTATTCGACTGTATCCCATTGACTAGCATCGACTTCACAAGCAGGCCTCCAACTTGGGTACCACAAGTCGCGGCAGCGACATCAAGCCACTGAGGAACACGTACTGTATGTCTATGAGAAACTCGCGGCGTCAAAATTAGAGAAAGCTGCTTCCATTGACCCCTTCGTAATATCAATTCGTGTTGTTACATCACACTAGAGTTGAGTTGGATTGATTTTCTTGATAGCGATTCTCCAGTACAGGCTCGGCTCAGAAGTGGCTGTACAGCAATGGCAAAGTGAGATCTTATCAGATCTTATTGCTATGAACAAGATCGAACAGTCAAACGCTTGCGCGATTCTCCAAATATCACCTGGCCCCTCCCCTTTCCTCAGGCTGTTCTTGGATGGGACATTGGGCTGTCGTCGAAGCCTGTCGTTTGAGGAAACCTAAGAAAATACACAGGCCACAGCTGATGGAAAGTTTTACGAGGATCCTTTCACCGCAATAGATTGTGCTTGCCCGTTTTGATCATATCGCACGAACAGAGAAGAACAGGTTATGATTGCTATTGCTGTCAAGCTTGAAGCGCAGCTACGTCTGACTAGTTTGGACGAGAGTATACAAGAAAGCCCATCTTTAGACAGGTCTGAGCCGCGTCCTGGCATGTCTCGCTATTGCCCGCTATGCGCTTATCTATGCAGATCATAACACCACTCATAGAGAATTTTAATTTCTCGGTCATCCCCGCTTAACCGACTATCTCACTTCCCATATATGTCTTCCTAGTATCAAGCAAGCAAGCGAAGAGATGGATTGTTCGGGGTTTTGCAATTTTCAAATTTGAATGGCTATTCACCTACGACATTTTGCAGGTTACTTGAGCGTTCCGCGCAAGATGATCTAGGACTCAAGTTGTTCAGGTTGACCCACCATGGACCGCTATGTTGCAGAGAATCAACAGTATTCAAGCTGAGGCCATCATTCAAGATCTAACCAGCCCCCTCCGACAAATTACAATCAAGACATACACCGAAGCGTTTTTCTGTGCCCGGCACCCCCGTCACGCTCTTGTTTATGTTTTTGCGCCGTCCACTATTTCTGTACGACAATCGCTTTCACTTCTGCTTTTGCATTTATACCATTCTAAATTGCTCTACTGCTGATAGTGTCGTTAAGCGCAAGTCAAGCTGCTCCTGCGAACATCACGTCTATGTCCAGCACTGTCTTCGAAACTCCCAATCGGCAGCTGGGAGCTCCACATATTTTTTGGTTGATCGGTACCACGCTGACTTGTGTCTGTCCATCTTGACTGATTTATGAAAGAGATATGGTGTTGGTCTAGTGTCAGATGAGCAGGGCAAGTAATTACTGGCAAGTACTGACAATGTCTAGTGAAAGTCAAGTGAGGCGTTGGATTCACAAGCCGTGATGCTGATACATCTCCCAAATCTTTCACAACTTGCAAAATGCCAACACCGTTTGACCCCCGGGCCCCTATCCTCGATTGGGAGCAAATTCTTGCTGTGTCGTCGTCTTCTGTGACATCTATGTAAACTCACTAACTAACAGCATCTGAGATGCCCTCTCCTCTATCCCATAGGTTCTTCTATTCGGCTCTCAAATCAACGTTATATATATCGCGCGGAACCAAGTTGAACTTGAAGGACGTTTAGGCAGATAACTTATTGGCACACCTTTTGTCATTGACATATCTATTCATTTCCTTGCCTTTAAATGTGATTGCATATTGCACAAATCGTATAATCGGCCTCCTAAAGATGCGTCTCTGCTCTGTGTTCACTGTTCTTGTTCTGTTGGTCCCTGTCGCGCGCGTCCTGGCACAATCTCCAGCTAACTTGGTCACTGTCAGCTTTAACTGTACGTCCCCCTGAGCACGCTCTCTTTTCGATAATCTTTGAGCTTGTTCGTGGGTAGTTTTCAATGTTCCAGCCACGTTCCAGGTGACTTTCGAGGACGACCTTGGAGACAGATTCAACAGCGCTACATTCACGCAACTGAACAATCCCGGAGTGGCTTGCAACGTCGGTTTAGTGAGCTTCACCTTTGTTTGTATCTATTCTCGTCAAAATAGTTTTATTTCCTAGGGCGGAGGATGGGTTTTCAGCGCCCTTGAATGGCAGTCAGTACCTATCAACTTGTATAATACTGAACTTGGGTGCGGCTCTAAACTTGGATAATCTCAGTTCTATTGCTGTACTCTAATGTCTTATACAGCTATCAAGGCGAGTGTACTCTCTCTGCTAACTCGGCTTCTGAAGGCACTTGGTTCTGCAACACGGTGGGCAACACCTGATATTGATGTTGCTAACCGCACCAGCTAATATAAGGGTACTAGCCTATCAACTCGGAATCCTTTGTCCAGAACGCATGTGGAGTCCCGCCTGGTTTTACTTAGTGGTGTTATCGAAGACAAGATTTGTGAGAAGGATTGGGGTGAGAGGGATGACGTTACTTGTATTTGTAGCCGTGATCCGGAGCTTTCCCACCGTAACTAACTTACTTCTTGTGTTAATGCCAAATTCTACAACCCGCGGTAGACGATTGACAGAGCTCCTAGAAGCAGACTATGTAGATGAAGCGTGAGCTATGATCTGTAGCTATGAAGCCAGAGTACTCTGAACATCCAGGCTAGGCATATACAAGCTTATGCAGAAGCTCTGCGCAACGACGACATCCATATACCCGAAGCTAACTCTCCAATACCTCCTGGCTCTCCAGCTATCAGTCATCACAGTAGTGTTCGAGTTCGAAAAGTCACTGCTTTGTCAGATTTTGCTCCGATAAATCTTCGCGTCAAGAGGTGCGCCTTAGACTGGGTGTAGGGAATTGACTCTGAGGTTTATTTTGGGGCTTAGACGGAAGAAGAAGGGAACATCGGCCTCTGCTGTGCGGAAACATGATTGGACATTTATTTTGCTCAGGTGGCCTCTCCTGGTAAGCAATCCACTTACCCCTTACTTTTCTCGATGTATTTCTGATGCATCGTGTATTTGTTTAGTTCTTTATATTTCTCTTCATCGCTATCGAGTTCGGCCTCTATGTTTTGATTAGGCAGGTCGTGAACACAAAGGAATGGATATTTTCATGTACGGGCGAAAATCCAGTTGATCTAGTACGTATATCTGACACTCCTACATTCCTCAGGGCGTGGTCAAAAGGGTGTTCTGAGAAAACGTCTTCGTGGTGCACAAACCTACCAGGTGCGAACCACATTCCGGGATGGCCCAATGACAAAGCACCGTTGACTTATCCTTATATTTTGTCAAGGAATGGAAAGATGCGGCAGCCACGTTAGACCAATATCTACACTTTGATGAATGGAAGAAGATTGATGAAGATGCATTCTATGATTGGAAACTAGTGAGGAAAGTCAAACGCTCCTTGAGGGCATTACGAGAAAAGAAAGATGCGAGAGGATGTATGGGTGTGCTCGAAACTTGTATCAGGGCAAACTTTGCTGGTGAGTGCCGGATATCAATTTAACGCGTTTTTCTGAACACAATCAACAGGCGTCGAGTCCCCGAGGTAAGCAAAGCCATTCATCGATTCCGACCGAAGTTTTACCAAGGATTTCGCTCAGGCTGTACAGTGAAGTGAGCCATTATTGCGATAGGTGTGCTTTCCTCGAGAGCTCATTTAGACTTTCAAGACCTATATCGGAACGAAAGATTTGATAGAGTCCTATTACGACGAACAAGAAAAAGCGCTCGAATTCGTGCGTGATTCTCCAGATATCACCCTTGACGAAAAGAAAAGGTGTGTAATCCACATATCCGTCTATCGCCATCTCACATTGCAATCAAGGTTCTTCAAAGGCGCAAACACTAACTATGGTATCTCCGCCCTCTGTCTCTCCGGGGGAGCGTCATTCGGGTACTATCATTTCGGAGTTGTCAAAGCCTTTCTCGATGCAGAGAAACCCCTTCCCCGAGTCATCACAGGGACATCCGCAGGCGGTCTCATAGCTGCACTGACCTGTACGAGGACTGACGATGAATTGAAAATTCTCTTAGTCCCAGATTTAGCGAACAGACTCACAGCATGTGAGGATCCGTTCAAGATCTGGGTAAGACGCGCCTGGACAACTGGGGCTCGGTTCGATAGCATATCGTGAGTGGATCTTGACCTCTTTGACCTACAGCCTGGACCGAGTTCTGACTGATACTGGACACAGCTGGGCACGCAAATGTTCGTTCTTCACTCGAGGTTCGATGACGTTCAAGGAAGCCTATCTTCGGACAGGTCGCGTCCTGAATATCTCTGGTACGCACATATCATGATGTTTTAGCTGAAGGTATTGTCTTGACACAATGCGTGCTATTCTTCAGTCATCCCAGCCGATAGGCACAGTCCGACGAAGTTACTCAACTATCTTACTGCCCCTGATACTGTCATTTGGTCAGCGCTTCTGGCATCTGCAGCAGTACCGGGAATTCTGAATCCTGTACCTTTGATGTCAAAACTGAAAGATGGGAGTATTGTACCGTGGAATTGGGGAAGCAAGTGGAAAGATGGATCATTGAGAGTAAGTTGGAGGAGTCTATATTTTATCCGACATCGTCTTCATTGGCTTTCACTTCTGAACTTTTGCTGATTTCACTTTGAATTCCATAGGTTGACATTCCGGTTCAGGCTCTAAACCTTTATTTCAATGGTATGTGGTCCCTATCTTTTTCACACCTCTTAGTCACGATTGGAATAGTCACCCATCCTGTGGTATCCCAGGTCAATCCACATGTGCATTTGTTCTTTTTTGCCCCTCGAGGCTCAGCTGGCAAGCCCGTGGCTCATTCCAAAGGCAAAGGTATGTATATTATTTTAGTCATATTAACTTGGTCATCACTACAATACTTGCCAATAGGTTGGAGGGGGAACTTTCTTCTTTCCGCTGCCGAACAAGCCTTAAAGCACGAACTGACGAAAAACTTCAAAGGTGTGAAGATTTCGACTGTCCGTTGATCGATATTCTGAATATACGTGTACGTAGTTATCCGTGATTTGGAACTGCTGCCACAACTACTTGGCCAGGATTGGTCATCTGTTTTCCTCCAACGCTTCGATGGTGCCGTCACGTAGGTCGTTTCAAATAAACCTCATAAAGTCGACCCCCATATTGATGCTTTGATGTAGAATATGGCCAAGAACTAGATTTTGGGTGAGTTGCTTTGAAACTTGTTCAATTCTTGGCTGATGGAGTACTAGGACTGGTTCCGTATCTTGACAGATCCTGATCCACCAGAGTTGGAAAGGATGATGAGAGTCGGTCAGATCGTAACATTTCCTAAAGTGAGTTCCTGTTTATAAATTTGTCGCATGAGGGTTTACTCGAAATCCAGCTTCATATGATCGAAAACCGAGCTCGAATTGAGAGGCAGATATTCCTCGGACGTCAACTGGTTCGTCGAACACTGCAAAACTCCGGCAGACAAGTCAACACGCAAACTATCGCACTTCCTGCGCGACTTTCGACTACCCCTTCTTACACAGGGACCGATGCACCCATATCAGTGGACACTGACGCAGAAAACGCTTACGCATCTGCATCACGCAAATACTTCCGTCGTCGTCACCAATCCGCGAACGGACAACTGAAGCCTCGCGCGAACAATGGAGGGAAGGGTCTTAGTTCAAGAAATGCATCAGCAGAACTTGTAAATCCTGGATCCACACCTAATAGGCGCACAGAGCCTATGCTAAATAGGACAACAAACGGCGATAATCTTCCTTCAGGCCATATGCTGAGACCACCAACGAAATCATTCCCAAACGTTTTGGTCTTGAGAGAAAACGAGATGGATGAGGATGGGTGGAGTAGCGAGAGTTCATTTGATGATGATCTGGTGGCGATGGATGAGCATCGGAGATATACTAGCCATTCCTCGTTGCCACCCGTTGAGGATTCCGACCAGCTGCAACGAGATGAGTGGTCTGGTTAGTATCTTATATCATGTAATTTTAATATATATACATTGACTCACCACACGTGGTGAGAAGCAATACCTATTTGCCTGTCTACTGTCTACTATAATGGAAAGCCCTCCACACAGCCGCTTAGCTGAAGCCGTAGAGCGACGGTTGAGCGCGCAGCAGTCTCATGGTCCCTCTCCAGCTGAAATGGCTGCAGAGCACGCAAAGCGCCAAAAATTCCGAAGACTGATAGATCCTGGTATCCTGCGACCAAATCCAGAGCCAGAAGCCGTAGAGTCAATGAAGGTTAGCTTCCGACCTCTATCAATATATTGAAAAAACTGATCGCTTCTCAAGATTCTGTATAAGCTATCGGAGAACTTGATTCGGGAACCTGAAAACCCCAAATTTCAGCGGTTCAGGACAACAAATACGTAGGTTTTTGAGGAGTGCTACATATCGTCTTCCAATTCCAACACTTCTGGCTTTGTAGACAGATACAGAAACATATAATGACTCTGAAGGGCACAGTAGAATTCCTTCGAGAAGTGAGTTGAGTCAAATTGTATGTAGTAGATGGTTATCTCATCATCATCTGTGGCGCAACGTAGCTCGGCTTTCATCCAGAGGTGCGCCTTGATATCCTCTGAAACTTCTATTCCAGGTACTCAATCGTATGGATATGGCTTGTTTAGGTCGTGGATTGTGAGTTCTAGAGTGCCTTGCGATAATTTCTCATAACAAGATTTCGTATCTAGTTCAACCGTACTTCGTTTTCAATCCGAAGCGTATGTCAGATCTCGAGATTGGGAGTGCGATGCTGAAGGAGTCGTTGGACCTGCATGAGGAAAAGAAGGCACGGGCGTCAGTATCAAAACAAACTGTGCAAGAAGCCAGAGCAGAAGTAATCGAAAAGGTACAGTTGGCATTCATGGAGGATCGTAGGACCAAAATGGAACACGACGAAAGGGAAAGGCAATTAAGAGCAGCTCGCGCAGAGATTGCAGCACGAAAGGAAGCACGAGAAAGGGCAAACACCGACATTGAAGAGGACAATGTTATTGCTGCTGATCAGCCACCACCTTATAACTAGTTTTGCTTACTTACATATATCATTGCTCAGTTTACTTGAATACAGAACTCCAATTTGACACGACAAAAAGTGATTGTGTATCGACGATTATTAGACAATAAAATACAGGAAATCAATCCTTTCAATAAATCACGGCCTAGATTGGGGTACGGCGTATAGGCACAGGAGGAAGACTGCCGGTAGGAGGTGGGGGAGGGGGAGGCAAGGGGAATTCTTTCAGAGTCCTATTCAGGGAGTGACGCGTTGAATCCGGATCCGCTGATGACAATTTATTAAACACATTTAGACTGAATTCTCAGATCACTCACTTTCTTCAAAAGCCCTGATTCTCCGTAGAACCACGCTATCTCGCTTCTTGTGCACAGTCCTGGGCTCGTCATTTCTACTTGATAGTATCACAGGTCGACGAAGACCCATCGAGGCCGAACGTTCAAGTGAACTATTAGCTCCCTCCGCTACAGGTGCAAGCCCAGTATTAGCACTCCGCATAGAAGAAGTCCTCGTCGGAGCAGCGGAAGACGATACCCTTCTTAAAGGACTCTGTAGTCCTGGGTCTGTCGAAGATGTACCTGGTATACCTGTTCGAATTGTGGAGCTACGAATGGGCAAGGGAGCACTGGATGGAGTAGACACGGTCGATACAGGGTATGTACTACGGTCAATTGAGCCTATGGAAGTGTTTGTAGGGGCAGAAACAGTTTCATTATAGGTGGAGAGACGGACGTTTGGTCGTGCAGGAAGTCCATAGGACGGCAGAGGACCCACAAAGCTAAGCGGCCGGTGAGAAACAGAACCAGACCTAACGCGTGCTCCGATTGGACGAGGAGGTACTTCCGGGCGAGTTAGAGTCCGGGACACTCTCGGTGTCACTGTTCCATTAGGAGTGATAACTACGCCATCTGGAAATACTTCGTCATGGAGTTCGCGATGCGAACGATGACCTTTGAGATTCGCAACAATCTTCTTGACATCTTCCTGCAACATCACGGCTGGAGTAGATACAAAGCCAAGAGGGAATACCTCAGCGTGGAGACTCTTATGAGAGCGAGCGACATGCCTACTCGAAGACGATTTTGATGGCCTAACAACAGACATCATGGGAGTATAGGGCAATATATGAGGATATACCGCCGGATCTAGAAAGCGAAATGAGGAGAGCTGTTTCGATGACGCAGGTTTTCTAGAGCGTACATAAATCAAACACGCCATATCTTGCAACAGTTTTTGGTATGCTTTGATCCTTATTCTCTTGGGGAGGATATAAATTGAAATCCGGATACTGGCGACAGGGATAGAGGATGAAGTCTGGGTACTGCCTTGTCTTGCAGGTATTGGAAACCGCGAAGACCACTGGGTGAGCAAATGAAGAAGAGTTACGTGGATACACCGCAGGGTCTGAAATAAAATTGAGTTCAATCAACAACGGCAAAACAAAAGTCACGAACACAGATCAAAGATAGGGTATGCCGATGACGGGTCCACAGTTCCAGCTGGCTTGCTTTCACTAAGAGAATGCCAATTTTGTGTGGCCGCCTCAGATTGCACCGGGGGATCTGCAAAAAATCAATGTCAGTTGCAGTAGCCTCCATAATGTGACCAGACTGACAAATGTCGAAGGCGCTCAAAGGATAAGATAATGAAGACCGGGTAATGGGTTTCAAAAAAGGTTTTCCCATTGCAGGATATATCTCGATAATAGCGGAGTCCTGACGTCCGCTCGTTGGTGGATAGATCTGAGGATAAGGAACAGTCTCTTCCGTTTGAGGTTTAGCGGGGTAAAGATCATCAAAGTATGGGTACAGAGAAGGATCTAAAATACCAGTTTTAATCGAGCTTGGGATGAATTCAGAGGTGGGAAACTCACAGATCTTCAGAGATGGGTAGGTGCATGGAATACGAACTGAAATCGATGATAATCCATGGCCAGTATGCACGTTATAGGACTGCTCAATGCTCGTCACAGGAGGATCTATTCAAGAATTATTCAGCGGTACGTTGACTTATGGTTGGTGAACTAACAAATTTCAAGCACAGGCCATGCGGAGACGACTTTGACGTGGACCACTTTGCTTAGTTGTTTTATCGCTGGGTAGACAATTAAGGAATCCGGATAAGACCGTGTAATGGAAGGCTGCGCGGGGTAAAGGTCATCAAAATATGGGTACACAGATGGATCTAACAACAGTTATAGAATTAGCTCAAGCTTTGTAGACAGCATAGCAACCCACAAAGTCTCAATGTCGGATAAGAATATGGAAGGCGAACTGAGACAGGTGAATTCCTGGCATACGTAGTGTGCGATTTCTCAGCGCTGTCTACCGATGGATCTGCCAATTCGAGAACTAGTCAACGAAGAGGAAAAAAATGACAGATAGTTAAGTATACATACATATCTCAAAAATGGGCCACGCTGAAGCGACCTCGACGTGAATTACTCTACTCAATTGATGACCTTGATGACCTTGATCCACAACTGGGTAGATATCGAGTGTACTTAGGTAGGAAGTAGGCTCAACCTCAGCGGGATAAAGATCGTCGAAATATGGATACACTGATGGATCTGATATATTCAGTCATCAGACCAGATTTTATAGATAGATGGTAAGAATGCGCACAAATTTTCAGCGATGGGTAGGAGCACGGAAGACGAACTGACACCGGGACCGATCCATGACGAGTATCCAAGCTCTGCGACTGCTCCGCGATGACCACAGGTGGATCTACAGGTTCAAAATAATATTAGCAGAGATGAAGTATTTGACTACATGGTAGACGTACATATTTCGAAAGTGGGCCAAGCTGAAACTACCTTGACGTTGACCACTTTGTCCGACTTCTGATGTTGATCCACCGCTGGGTAGATATCAATTGAGCTTAGGTACGAGACAGGCTTGACACTCAAAACCGCTGCGGGGTAAAGATCGAAATATGGGTACACAGACGGATCTGATAGGAAATTGCGTCAGATCAACTTATATGTACGAGAAGGAACGCACAAATCTTCAGCGACGGGTAGGAGCATGGAAGATGGACTGACACCGGGGTAGATATATGTCGAGTATATGAGCTCTGCGACTGCTCCGCGATGGCCACAGGTGGATCTACAGGTCCAGGATGAGATCAGCAGGGATAAAGCAGTTTAACTTCATGGTAGACGTACATATTTCGAAAGTGGGCCATCCTGAAACTATCTTGACGTTGACCAGTTTGTTCGACTTCTGATGTTGATCCACCGCTGGATAGATATCTATTGAGCTCAAGTACGTGGTAGACTTAACACCCAAAACTTTGGCGGGGTAAAGATCGTCAAAATATGGGTAAACAGACGGATCTGAGAGAAACCTTCGTTAGTTCAAATTATATGTACGAGAGGGGGACGCACAAATCTTTAGCGATGGGTAAGAGCACGCAGGCCGAACTGTGACCGGAGAGAGATCTTGACTAGCATACGAGTGATAAGGCCATGAATGTCCCCACGGAGCATGAACCGACATGGTCAACTCAGCGCTGGGAGCATGGGCTGAGTTGTATGGCGATACTTGACTCTCGGGACCCGATACTGTATCCAAATGCTGTTGGTGGTAAGGCCACACCTGTTTCCAAGGAGCACTTGGCAAAGCAAGATCCTCGGGGTCAAACGCACGTTGGCCTACGTCAGGGGTCTGGACGTAGAAAGGTGTAATAGGACTAGAGGGCCAAGATGCAGGCCCCCAAGTCGTTGCAGTGGAAGGAGTTGGCGGCGGGCTGAAGACGAGACGATCACCGAGATGTACTGAAGGGGCTCTGCCAAAGCTCATTGGAGACTGTGGATACTCGGAAGGTGGTCCCCACGATGTAGCTGTCATGGGAGTTGGAGGCGGACTGAAGACAGCACGGTCACCAAGGTCCACGGAAGAAACTCTGCCGAAACTGATTGGAGAAGCGGGATATTCGGACGGAGGTCCCCAGCTGGTCGCGGTACTAGGGGTTGGAGGACAGTCTTCATACATGCGATGAGCAATGTCGGGAGTCATAACGCGCGCCCAACTAGGTATGGGTGATGGTAACGTGTAATCTGAAGGGCCAAAAGAGGTGCAAACCGAGGGAGTCATGCACACAGAACTCTCCATACGGTTTGCCAAATGAACGGACGGGAGCCGTGGCCCCGATGCAACTGATCCTTCCTCCCAATCATTGGGACCCAAAGAAGATACAGACCAGGTGAAATCTTCCAAGTTGAGTTCCTCCATGTCTTCGCCATCAGCAACACCGTCCAAGGACATCGTGTTCGGAAGATTGGCAGGCTCTAGACTAGTTTGACCTTTAGCGGCAAGAGCACTAGGTGTCAAGGAGGCACTGGCGCGCCAGCTTTTTACTCGTTTTGCAAGACTGTCTTCGAGCTTTGCAGTCTTTGGTTCATCTTCCTGAAATATCGGTGATAACGCGCGGGCTGAGGCAGAGTGCTCTGGAGAAATATGAGCAGCAGCAGTAGCAGTTCTTGCGACCGCACGTAATGACGAGTCAAGTCGGTCCACCAATGATAGTTTCTTTGGTACATGGCGACCATGGCGTGTAATTGATGGAGGAGAGATAGACTCATTATCCAGTTGATCATCTTGAAAGTTAATTTCCAATTCTGTATTTCTACTGTCCCCTCTGAAGTGGGCTAAGGAGGGTGCTGTGGAGGGGCCTACAGATGCCGGGACGTCTACGTGCTCTCTGTGGGTAGACGCAATCCAAGCTGAATACCAACGTGCATGCCGTATGTCTATGTCGAATTCCACTTTTCCAACGATAGGAACTCGGGGAGCAGGGAAGGAAGGATCAAACACATTGCTCCAGATCATTTGCCAGGATTCATCGGAGATGCGGGGAGTAGCGGTAATCCCATTTTCTGTGAAATGAAAGTAGAGACATATCCCCGTAGTACTGGGGAAATTGAATTCCCTCGCAATAGCGGAAAGCTGGCCATACATCTAGATTATCGTTGTTTATAAGTAGACAGTCCTTGTGAAAAAAATAATCTAATCCTTACCGTGGGGAACAGAGGTAACAGCATTCCCTGCGAAAGACGGTGTCGAGGACCAAGAGATAATGTATGTCCTAGCTGACCGTGTTCTTGAAGCAATGCCGGGGGAGGAATAACCACAACAAAAAACTTGGAGCTTCGTTGTACCCCTCTCTCTCGGTTCTCCCGAAGACCTGAGCTGTGATATGCCAGACTTGACACTCTACGAAAACGGGCTCCTGCGGTTTCGGGGGTTGGAGAATGGTAGGTAGGTTCGGAGTCCATATGAGACGGCTCTGCAGGCATTGCACCTAAGACAGAAATTGTAGCAGGATGTGCTGAGCCCAAATGGTCGGACATCGTTTCCGGGGGGCTCAATGGTGCCCTAGGAAACTCAAATGGTGACGGTTTGTGGAATGGGGACGCAGTGAGTCGTGACATTACACCAGGTAACGGGGAAACCGTAAAGGAAAGGAGGGAATGAAAACAGTAGAACGAAAACGAAAAGGGAGGTAAGAAAGCGATTGGCTGGGGAATACCGTGTCTTTAAGTGCTCATGAGTGATTGGATCAGTTATGAGGCGGTATACCTGAATTCACAGTGATGATTGGTAACCACAACGGAAAAGTATTAAATATAGTAACACCGGCAACTCGGAAGTCGGGAAACTTTTAGCAAAATGCGTCCAGAGCCTGCAGAAATCGCCAGAATCGCAGCAAAAGGGAAGAGAAAAAAAACTCGAGATAAAGTGGAAACCGCAACCGTAGTTAGGCTAGCTTGAATGTTCATGACATTGACATTGCAACAAATGGCCAATTCAGATCACGTGCGTGAATATTCTCCTTCCTCAGACTCAGAATTCGAAGTTTACCTCCTCCACAAATTCTCAAATGGAAGGCCGATTGGAGCAAGCAGCAGCCTTGGGCCAAAAGGACAAAGGACCTGCTTTTATCTCACTTATAAATGAGATAATATCTCGTTCTGATCAATCAACAGTCGCTCGGGATATACCAACGCTAGTAGGCTTTGTTGTTAACCAGGAATCTGTTGGTCTCGTTGTCGGTCGGCAAGTACTGTCTGAGCTTGTCAGAATTGTTGGAGATGGTACTATCTCGGATCCTGAAGTGCGAAAGCGCGTAGTACAAGAAACTATAGAAACTACTCAACCCAAGATAGTCAGTTACGAGGAACAAGTGAGTTTTAGAAAGGCGAACCAGACAGCGCCACTGACAGTATACCTTAAGGTTAGCAATTTAAGGTTCCAATTGGCAGATATATACGAGAATGAAGAAGAATGGAGCGATGCTGCTCGAGTCTTGATGGGTATACAGTTAGATTCTAACCAAAGGTGTGTGGCTTGTTTCTTGCTTACTATCTTCTGTTAAAGAATCAAACCATAGATCTTTGCCTGATGGCGAGAAGATGCGAGTATATGTGCGAATAGTTCGTCTACTGCTAGAAGAAGAGGACTCTGTGCAAGCGGAATCATACTTCAATCGTGCACAACTTCTCGTTCATTCTACAACCGATAAAGAAACCCTACTGCAATTTAAATTATGTCAAGCTAGAATTAGTGACTACAGTCGAAAATTTTTGGAAGCAGCTAGCCGCTATCACGAACTTAGTTTCGTGGCAGATATTGACGAGGAAGAGCGACGCCACATGCTGTGAGTTTCCACTTGTAGCATAAACATCCAACGTATCACACGAGTCTTATCCCGGTTCCTAGAATGGCTGCAGTGACCGCCGCTGTCCTAGCACCGGCAGGTCCTAATCGATCTCGCGTATTAGCTTCGCTATACCGCGATGAACGAACTACCGAACTCCCTACCTACAACATCTTATCTAAGATGTTTTTGGACCACATCCTCCGACCAGCAGAAATCAAAGAATTTGAAGGCACTCTCAAGCCTCATCAGCTAGCCAAAATAGCTATTTCGTCCAATGATCGAGTTGCTACATCTACCAACGATGAAGAAATCGATACCCCTAGCGATCCACCTATAAGCACGCGTACCGCCCCAGCTACTGTCCTTGACCGTGCGGTCATGGAGCACAACCTGCTCGCCAGTTCCAAAATATACCACAACATCAGTTTTCGCGGTCTCGGCGCTCTACTCGATTTGACTCCCGGCGCTGCAGAAAATATGGCTCGGAAGATGATAGAACAAGGTCGACTCCGAGGCACCATTGACCAGGTGGATAAGCTCATTTGGTTCGAGGGGAACCATGAGGAAGACGATGCCCAGGGGAAGGCAGGAGGTCTGGGAGAGGTTGAGGAAGCAGAGGATACTGGCGCTCCTTTTACAAAGCGTTGGGATGCACAAATCCGAATAACTGCCGCAAACGTACGTCCATCTCATTCCAATGGACATGAACATTATACTGATGTAGAATGCCCAGGTTGAATCCATCGTCCAGCATTTGACAGAACGAGGTCTGGTCAGAGTGCCTGTGCAGGCATAGACGATGTTTGAGAGGTTTGCAGCGATGATACGATAGTTTTGATAATGTACATACACTCCATAAACGGATCAATCTCTGTAATATTACTCGCGCTTCTTCTTCTTGGCACGTTTTGTTTCCAGTTCATGCCACTCGCCCTCTAGGGTAGCAAGACTAGGGGACCATTGAGGTAAGATCAGACAAGAAGCAAGTTCACGAGATGTCCTTACCTGGTGGGTTTTTCTGCCATAGGTTCTTCCGTTAAAAAGTATGGTGCGTCCATCGCCTGAGCTGCGGTAACACGCTTGGCAGGATCGTAGTCTAACAGTTGATCTGCAAGGTCTATCGCTGCAGGTGACAACCATCTGTGATAGCAAAACGTCATGCATTATTCGAGATGGAATAGTCACACAACATACTTGCGGAATAGTTCCCGAAAACGGTTTGAGATGGTGTCTTTCGGCTTGACCATTTCGTACCAGGGCAGGTTCGCAAAGCCAGACCAACGCTGAAGAGTCGGCGTTCCAAATACCTTATATATCGCCTCCAGTTGGGACAGCTCGTCGTTACCTTGAAATATTGGCTTCTTGGTAAAAAGCTCCAGCATTATGCACCTAACACAAAGATCAATACTGAGATCCGTGGGGACTCGATAATAGAAAATACCCTGCACTCCAGATGTCCACTTCCGGTCCATACACGGTTGCTCCAAACAACAACTCGGGTGGTCGATACCATAGAGTGATCACACGGTTCGTGTAATCAGCCTTCCGTCTCTTCTGATAAAATCGGGCCAACCCAAAGTCAGCTAGCTTCAACTCGCCTAGGTTGTTGATAAGAATGTTTGAACCCTTGATGTCACGATGTATAACTCCTTTGTGGTGGAGATAAGCCAAGCCTCGAAACATCTGATGACAGAGGGATTTGAGGTGAGCTGCAGAGAACTGGAATTGTGTCTGGGCGAGGACACCCGTCAAATCGTGGTCCATGTACTCGAAAACCATGTATGCAGATCCTAGATTTCAATTAACAGAGAAAGTGCAAAAGATGAAAGTGCTTACCACTCGAAACCATCATCTCAAAAAGCCTTACAACATTGTCATGTCGTAGGGATTGTAGAAGTTTGATTTCGCGCATCGCAGTCACAGGGAACCCATCCTTCTCGGTCTCCATTCTTATACGCTTTAATGCTACATGAGTATTCGTAATCGCATTCCGCGCCTTGTACACCTTGCCAAACGTCCCCTCTCCGACCTGACCGACAATAGAGTAAAGTTCTGGTCGGGGCGGCGGGGGAGCAACCGCGTCAGACGGTTGCGCGGCGACACAGGACTCCTCAGCTTGAGGTACCGGTGTAGGTTCTTTAGACGTCTTTTGACCTCCGTGATCAGAGACAGAAGACTGTTTTGGTGACGGCGGGGGTAATTGATTTGAAGAGGGCACAAAGTGCGGTGCGTCTATCAAGTGGTTATTGGTAGGCGTGACCTCTAGATCTCGTCCGGCAACTTCGACCTCTGTCTGAGCCTGCTGCTCCTGTGGCGTATTAGAAGCAGATTCCTCGTCTTCCGTGAACGCAGGGAAAAATTGCTTCAGTGAAGATTTGGGTGGCTTCAGAGCAGTGTTCCGTATCGGAATAAAGGAACCTGGGACAGGTATCGTGAGACTCTTTTGAGGCTCAACGTGATTGGGTAGATTGGGCGTTACATTGGTGGAGGGTTTGGGAGGGAGTGATGCCGAAGGTGGAGGAAGTGAGGAAGTAGGTTGCGGGGGACGTTCAGGTAAGGAGGCCGGAAGCGCCGGGGATTGGAGGGGTGGTGGGGTATGAGTAGGAAGATGATGATGAGCCATTTGAGGGGCTCCATATACCATTGCCCCCCTAGAAGGTACCGGAAACGCATAATATTGTGCCGGGTAATGTGCCGGATATTGATAAGGATATGCATATTGGTTATGAGGGTATTGGGTAGGATGTGAAGGTGGAGGCATCTGTTGCGACAATACTTGTGAGGCAGAATTGGTCGCTTGGGAAACCTGAGCAACTTGCGCAATCTGGACAGGTTGGGTATCCTGAGCAGTCTGAGCATTCTTCCGCTTATTTTTCTGGGGCCGGAATTGAGAAAAGGTGTGATATAGAAAGAGGGGGAAATTGAAATACCTTCTTGTTTTTCCCTTTCTGCTGAGGCTGGGACGGAGGATCCTGAGTGGCCTGTGCAGGCTTCGGTTCCGGAGGAGGAATGTCAACAGAAGGAATGGGAGTAGGAGGAGCAGGATCAGGGAGTTGAGGACTTGGAGCACGAGCATGATTGACAGGAGTCGGACTTCTAACTCTATGACTGCGGACAGGGTCTCCAGTGGGCGAGACGCTTCTGTGAAACCCTACTTTATCGTTCCTCCTGTACGATGAAGTAGGAGAGACCGGAGACCTGTTCTCTACCGGAGGTAGAGGGGGAGTCCATCCAGTTCGTCCCCGCCCATGATCCCGCCGGGGATCCGGCGGTGAAACGCTACGGACTAAAGGAGGACTAGAGTCACGCCTGCGGCGCTTCGGAGGAGGGGGGGATTCGAAGTGAGTGTAAGAGGGAGACGGTCGAGTGGATACACGGGGTGGTTGTGGAGACGGAGTTCGCCTTCGAGAGCGGTGGGAGTAGTGAGATTCCGCAGGAGAGCGGGAGCGAGAAAAAGAGCGACTGTGTTTTCGACGAGTTGACGCTTGACGGTCATACCTATGATCATAAAAATCTGGTTGTCGTTCCCGTCTTGACCAGCTGAGAAGAAAGAAAAAACAAGACAAGTTAAAGTTTAAATTTTTTTTTTTCACAACAAAAGAAACATACTTGTTCAATTCGTCTACCTCTCTCCAATCCTTATTACTACCATTGACTTTGCTATGAGAATCACTCTTTCTAGAATTTTTTCTGTTGGAAGAGTTACGGTGTCCGTTTTGCTGACTATATCCATGAGAGCGTTGGGAAGAATCGAAACCGTGCTGGGACGAATCCCAGCTATGATGAGCAGGTTCCCACTGACGGTCAACAGAATTCTCATCCCAATTCTGTCTCTGGTCTTGTTCTGGCCGTCGAGGCTCCCAACCATTGTCCTGTTCCTGACGATAAATAGCACGTTCTTCCCGCTGCCACCTCGCATCTGCCCCTCGCGAGCTCTGGCGATGAGAGTTCTGGTCCTGGACTCGGTCGTCGTGGTGTCTTATATCGTCTTCCCAAGGTTGTGGTTGAGGATACGAGTTCGACGCTGGAGGTTGATATTGGTCTTGGTATGAAGTCGAAGAATAATTCGATTCGTAACGTGGAGGTGGAGGCCATTCTTCACGCTGTGGATGCGAGTAAAGGTCAGCATCGTTCGTGGAACGGCGTGAAGACCATCCGACATCTGTTTCTCTCGAGTCTAACACTGCTACAGCGTCGTAGTCATCTCTTCTGCCCTTGTTCTGGTACCGGTCCTGGAAGTTTCCACCTGTGTGCTGCCATGAAGAATCCGCCACCCTTGACGACGACACTTCCCTACTGCCCGCATCGTACGAATGCCTCCCAGAGCCAGAAGCGTTTTCTCTATATCTATGATCCGATTGCCGTGAGCGCGAATAGTAGGAATTGTCGTCTTCGCGGGAGTAGGCCGACCTGTCGTCGTCCTTGTTGCCTCTCGGTCTTCGCTGGTGGTTACGACCATTTTGAGGCATGATCGATAGCAGAAGAGCTGAGTATTGTGGTTGTGTTAGGGAAAGTCACGATAGTTGACAGAGGATGATGTTGATGAAAGTTGAAAGTTACGAAGCAAAAGGCCTAGGCGGAATCACGGAGCGAGAAAATTTGTGTTTGCTCGAAATCGAAACGTCGGAATAAGCTGCGCCTGGACAGCTAGTTGCAAGACGTTCGGTGGGTGGTCTGGTTGGTGTTCAAGAGGCCGGGTAAAAGGTGCAAACTGAAGCAATTTTTGTTAAAACACTAGGACAAACCATCATATTTAGTGGGTAAATTCAACTGGGATGAGAGAGCAAAAAGTACCAGGTCTATACCTTAATTAAAGCACAAAGATCTCCTCAGTTAAGCAATGCAAATGAAACGGACATTGAGAATTCACGTTCGTGATCAAGTCAAGCTCTGTTGATGATGCAATCGAAAAAAGCGGGGCACATTCCGAATCCGCGACATATAAAATTATTGCTCGTTTGCTCAATAATATTCCAATATTTCAATACTCGTTGACTTATACTCAAGTCGCAGAAATAGTTTCATGCAAGATAAATAGTGTGAAATTAAGCATCCCATGCAAAACGTGAAAGCTAAAGCTACGCTACTAAAGTGTATAGTTGTACAATTACATGTTGCCCAGAGAATGGTGTAGGGAGGACCTAAGAGACCTAGGAGATCATCTCAACTACCGCTCAAAGCTCATCGTGCTTCTCGGCCGACGCGTTCCCAGCAGAAAAATGTGTCTGTGTCTGACCTTCGAGAACGACCGAGGGCTCGAGCGAGTTCTTGGAGTGTTCCTCAACAAACGCAACAAGAGACTCGAAAGAACGATCACCCTCGTAGTCCAAGAAGTCCCTCGAACCAGCGGGCTTGAATTTCAAAGTAGGGAAACCGGCAACACGGAAAGGAACAGAAGGAGGAAGATCGTTCTCGGTAGCCTCCATCTTCGCGACGATAATTTGGTCCTTCACGCTGGCGTATTTGTCGGCGAGCAGGTCCCAGGTGGGCTTTAGGCGTTTGCAGTGACCACACCTGTGGAACTATCAGCAAAGAGCGAACCACTATGAATCGCGCTATCAAACACCTACCATGAAGCGTAGAATTCAACAAATACATCTTTGGAGTCATCGAATACAACCTCCTCGAATTCCTTACCGACGAGATTATAAACGCTCTCGTCCTGGACTTCGGGAATCGGCTGGCTCTTGAGCTCAGGCTTGAGTTCACCACTGACGAATTGCTTGGTCCAGTCCTTGACAGATTCAGTGGATACCTCCTTGCTCTGATCAAGAGGATACTTGAGCTGCTTCTCTAGATCCTGGATAACAAACGACGGCCATTTAGGCTCCTGGAGGTTGAGTGCTTTGGCGTGGTCACCAAATTTGATAGCGTCAATCCAGACAAAGTTGACCTTCGATTTGTACTCTTCTGCAACAGGACGGACGGAAGCGATGATCTCTTCCTTGTTTTCAGCTGTAGGGTCGAGGAATACATATGCAAGAGGCTTCGTGCTCGAAGCGTAGACGGCATAGTTGTCACTGGAGACTTCATCAATGACAGGGATGGAAAGGTCAGCCATCCATTCTTCAAAATCCTCGGGTTTTGCGTCGAGGATAGGGTAAGGGTAAACCACACGGGGCTCGTCAAATGAACGATAGACAACGACAGCAGGAGGAGTGACAGCTTCGGCAGCAATAACGTCCGGGTCAGTCGACAAACCAAAGAGGAAGTCGTCCCGATGAGTCTCCGCGACTTGGTTGAATGCGACGGCAGGAGCATCGGTAGTAGATGACACGTATGCGACAGCGACGAACTTGTCGGCAGCTTTGAATTCCTCGATGTTGGAAAGAGTGAGTTCGGTAACGGCAGGAAGAGATTGCCTATGGTAAATGATGAGTGGAATATGCTACAACTGCTGAGTAGATACGCACTTGACCATGTAGCTGATGATCCCATCGGCTTTGCGAGGACCTTGGTAATCGGAAGGAGTGCCGTTCTTGTATACCCTCAGTGTGCTGGACACTATCAGCGAGACGTAAGACCAAGGAAACACAAAACCACTCACGGGTATCCCTGGATACCATTGGCCTGACACAAGTCAGCCTGATCGACACAATCGACCTTGGCTAACTTAATGTCCTTGTCCTTGAGAGCAGTAGCTGCTTCTTCATAGTGAGGCGCGAGCGCTTTGCAGTGACCACACCTACGTTATGCAGAATGAGAAAAACCTAAAAGGCTGCACTGCTTGGTAGTTTACTTACCAAGGAGCAAAGAACTCGACAAGAATGAGAGGCTCGTTGTCGACTTTTGCGCTGAAATCAGACGTGGTAAGGGTGAGGACATCTGATGCATCTTGAGCTAGTGCATAGGACGCAAAGGCGACAGCCAATGCGGGCGAAAGAATTGACAATCGCATCGTTGAGGAAAAAACAAAGAAGAGGTGCAAGTCTGCGGGCGCTCCTGCGGCTCTTTATAATCAACTTTTCTACTGACGTGTCACTTTACCAAGCTCAACATATAGCTCCTTACGTGAGCCCGAAGACAGCAAGAACTTTTACTTCTGCTTTAGCTCCAAATGACAGAATGTCCGCAGAAAGATCGGAATAGAATATTGATACACCGTGATACACCGAGACGACGTGTACTCATACGTGGAACCACATCGTCCCCCCATAAACTTTAGAACGACCTACCCTTCGATGAGGTACCACTTGAATTGGTCCATGCAGATGTGACGAATGGGAAACGAACGTCAATAGTTGCGATGTGTTTAATTACAACAGAAAAAAAAAACTGGAGACTCGAGTTTACTCATGTATCCTCCTCTAACGTCAACTTTGACAATCATTAACGCGACGTCGATCTGAAAGATCGGAGAAACTTGGAAAAAAACAGCCTGTGTCTTCCTGGAATGGCCCGATCAAAAAGAATCATAAGCAGTCAGTTTAATTTAAAAAGCGAAGGAGAGGAGGAAAATATAGACCTAGTACAGTGAGATGGAGCTTGAGCCTGGAAGAGGGTGAAGTGTAAGATGATTTGCCAAGAATGAAGAACAACATCAACATCTGCCGGATTGTACAAATGCAAATGAACGCGAAAGTAATTTTGTTCATCATCCGTTCCCCGAGGAAAGGATGTAGAAAAAAGTCTATTACGCATACATCGATCCGAAATCAAAGTCGCTTCCTTTTTGACGACCACTGGGATACGTTCTCACTCCAGCCGCGAACGGTCTAGGAGGTGGAAAATCAGATACTGGAAATATGTGTGAGCCAGCTGTGGGAGGTGGAGAGGGTACTGATAAGTCAAGAAAAATCAGTATTCACTCATATTGTAAACAGGAGACATTTTACATACTTTGACGACGAGGAGCAGCAGGTGCCGACGCTACACCATTAGTTGCAGGCCGAGAAGGTGGCAAAGGTGAAGAAGCAACCCGAGGTCTGGCGGCAGGAGGAGGAGGTGGTGGGGCAAGTCCAACAGATGCCAGAGGCGTGCTTAGACGCGATTCACGAGGTGGTGGTGCAACAGGAGGAGGTTTACGAGCTGGCGGCGGCGGCGGTGGAGATTTTGCAGGCGAAGAAACAACTACACTCGATGGTCTTTGAGGTGGCGGTGGCGGTGCACGTCCCGGTGTAGTTAGAGCATTAGGTTTCCGAGAAGGTATACTGGGCGGAAGTCGGGATGGGGGTGAAAGTGGTGAAGCAGGTGAAGCACTACGGTGAGGCAACATTGGAGGAGGAGTAGCACGTGATGGCGGAGCAGGACTAGGACGAGCAGGAGCAGCAGGTGGTTTTCGTGAAGGGAGACTGGGTGCACTTTGTACGGGGGGAGCCGGGGCCGATCTAGGTGGAGGCACATTCCGTACGGGAGGATCCGGGCCAGACGGCGTTGGTGTTGGAGGTGCTCGGGCAGGAGCGGGAGGTGCGCGTGCTGGCGGATGCGGGGCAGACGGCGTTGGCACTGGCGGTGCTCGGGCAGGAGCGGGAGGCACGCGTGCTGGCGGAGGTGGTGCGCGAGCAGGAGCAGGCGTGCGCGCTGAAGGTGTTGGCGGTGCTGCACGAGCTACAGGGATCGCTGGAGCTGCTCCTGGAACTGATGGAGGTTTGCCCAACGCTGGCGGTTTAGCTGATATAACACTTTAGTCTGTGTTGAAAATAAAGCAAAATTGAAGGCTTACCTAGATTGTTCTGCCCAGCTGACTTTAATTTGGGCATTCCGCCAGCAAAAAGGCCTCCCAATTGAGGGGGACCACCGGCACCCATGCCCATTGCAGGTCCAGCTGATGAGACTCCTGCAGAAATTCCTCCCCCTCCTCCTCCTCCACCCTTAGGTTTTTCTATTGCTGGTGCACTTCGGTCACGAGTTGTCGTTTTCTTGAGGCCTTTTCCGGCTTGAATTTGTGCAAGGAGCTCGCTGGATGCCATAATGAAGTCGAGCACAAGATAATATCTGAAGAGGTGAAAAGATTCCCACACTCAAGCACTGGCGGATTCCTTTATGCGTTTGCAATCCGCAGACTTGCATTGCATTGTTGACTCACAACTACGGTTCGCCCACATCTCCTCGATTACATGGAAGTGTTACAATAGAGATACAAGCATAAAATACACTCTGGGCATGTAAACCAACAAACTCATCACTTGGGTGTTGCAGTCTCTGCTCTCTCCTTCTCTTTCTCCTTTTGTTGTTTTCCTCGATAATAATCCGAGAAATTCAATCTCACTCCCAAGAACCGACAATCTAGATCTGGATGTGTCTGCAGTGCTGCCACGAGTGCTTGCACCTTTTCTGAAAACTGCGATCCGTAGTCGTTCACCGGCCGGAGAAGCCGTGGAAGATTTTCTGAGAGAGACGAGTCTGGGTCTTGGGGTCCGGTGTAAAGACCTCGGCCGGAATCAAGCATTTGATCTCTTCGCGTGGATTCTGTAAGACAGAAATTGTAAAAGTTCTCCTATGAACCGCGTTAGGACCTTAGCAGAGTTGTGCGAATATCATTTGCTGCTTACTACGGCATCCTGGAACTGAAGCACAGTTACAAACAAGTCCTTCACTTGATTCATGACATTTTCCTACCGAAGCCGCGTCAGCAAAACTTGCAAAAAGGGCCTTTACTTCGTACCTCTCTCCCCACCTTGGGGCTCAACAGTAAAATCTTCTTCACCAGCCTATCCAGATACGTACGATGTGCATCGATCATCGCATCCAAATCACCCTCCCCCTTATGCAAAAACTCGATCAAAACCTTCCACGAGCACTCGATAACCTCCATCTGACAATACGCTTGCAGCTGCTTCACGAAATGTATCATTTCTGCCATTATGATCCGTATCTTATGCCATGACGGTTCGAGGTCAGGTAACCGTAAAAAGGTTGTTCGTGCCCCGCCTGCGACGCGCATCCAGCCGCGGCTGAGTGTGCCCTCAATGCGCTTCATCTGCCAGAGGTGGTTGAAGAGTTTTAGGTACTTGACCATCGCGTCTGGGTGGATGACTGTGTCGATCGGCGCGTCGACTTTATACTCGAGCGTGAAGACGTCCCAGCCGATTTCACCATGAGAGTACTCGAGCATGCGTGCGTCCAGCCGACGGAGGACATCTGGTGGATCGGATTGGGCATTAGAGGAACGGATGGCAGTTTCGAGTGTAGCGGTGAGATTGTGTCGGTATAGCGCGTTGGCTGGACGGGATAAACTCGGCCTACAGAGGAAACCTCAATTTCTCAAAGTCGTCATAATACTTGAGCATAAGTCTCACCCCAAAGCATTCATAAGCTGATCTGCGAAATCTCCATGTCCAAGCATCATATAATTTTTCAACGCAGACAAGTGATCTAGTAATTTGAACTTGTCGATGAAGACGTCAAATAAACGTTGACTTGCAGTCGAGTACGCGGCGTCTATCGACCGTTCCAGTCCTGCGATATCGCTGTACTTGAGAGCTAGATAGTTGATGTTAGCAAGAATGGCTTTGAAAAGAATCAACTACTCACATCCACCAGTGTTGCTCATTTTTTCTCTTGTCACGACCCAATCGCTATCGTGGCAGCTATATCGAATGAAATTCAAGCTCTTGCCTGTTGAAAGGATCTATGTAACGTTTTGGAAAATACTAGAGGTGATTGAGAAAGGCTTATTGACCTTGCGCCCAAATGCTTCGCCGACGAACATCGGTAGCATATCTTGCTGAAATCTATATTTTGCTTGCCATATTGTAAGACCACCTCGTCGATGGTCGCGGTCGTCCTGGTCTGGTGCAACGAAGCTGTCCCCGGCGAGTTGATTGATGTTCCCTGTAAGCGACGAAGGATGCATATACTGTACATGAGCTAGGCTTGGATCCATTGCAACAAAGAATTCGTGAAACGGGTCATAAAGCTCGCCAGAGAATAACCATTTGTGTAGTGTAGAAAAAAAAGGTTTGGAAACCTGACAAGAGATGAATGCGTAGCAAAGACAGTTCGGAGATACATACAGACCTCTTCTAACAGCTGATCAGTGAATTTCCGTATGAATGGATCTCCGTTATCGGTGTAACTATGAATAAGATTGACGAGTGCACCACCCTGGGATTCTGTAGTTGACATTATAATCCATCCGTCTCTCAAAGATTATTTGTTTCGCACCTCTTGCGCCCTCTACGCAAACACTCATCATCCGCATTCGCAGCCTCCATTCATTGATCCAGACATCCAACCGCCGCAACGTTAAGCCGGTTTCATGCTCTCGCAAGTCCACCGTGTTCCCTTCCCCTGATACGGTCACAGAGGGCATTTGGGATTCCAGAACAGCAATAAGCCTATAATATTCGGTAAGCTTGGTCTGTAGATGATGACACAGGCTTTGTTCGATCATCCCAACCCCGGTAGACCCTTCTCGTTCTCGTACAAAAGCATCGACTCGTGAATACAGATAGCCGACTTCGGAAAGACGATGGATAAGAGCCTTCGTGGGAGCTGAGATGACATATCTCTAGAACGCGTGGTTAGTTCGCAGGTAACTTGAACTTCAACAGAAAAACGCACAGTGTTGTCTACAAACTCGAGCTGATTGTTGTCATTCTGTGAAGACAATCGTATGAATTTCCCAGAAATGCCCTGCAAAAGATATAATGTATCTCGTAGTAGGAGATGTTCCGGCAGATACGGTCGTCCTAGACATCCAGAAATTCAGTTGTGTCCTGTGTACACTTGGTAAATTATCACAGACCAGCCTGTTGACGATACTCTCTCAGCCTCTCAGCTCTAGACTTGCTGAAGTGTTGTGACAGTGGTAGCGATTTTTCTGAGGGCGATGTTGAAGGAGACGGCCTCGCAGGAGGTGGAGGCACGAGAGAAGGAAGGAAAGGGACTGATGACGATGGTTGACGCGATGAAGCAAGAGAATGAAGGAATTGTATGGACGCGTGTTTTTTAGAAAGGACATGCTATTTCTCGCAGTTCAACTTGATAGTAGGTAATAACAACCTTTCACGCGCACCTGGTCCAAAAGACGCGAAAGTAAATTGGTGAATTTGAGAGCTGTTGTTCCAGACGGAGACGACTGAAGCACTACATGTTCAGTCAACAAAGATCATATCGAGTCAAATTTTAGCCCATACGCTGTCTTTTCACCAAGTCAGCTAGATGGCCAATATCAGGCTCATGACTTTGTCCAATCCGACTGTAAATAAGTGAAAGTTAGTTCAATACTTGTAACTCTGTGCAACGATCCAGAATTGACCTTGATAGGATCTCCTTACAGTGCGCTACGAGATCATTTCTGAGTGGTTCATCATTCCTTGACGCTGGCACAAGAGAGTATACGAGAGATTCCAAGGCCGGAATCAGACTTGTCGAGGAGGACATCAAAATGGGGAACTTAGTCTCGTGATTTCACATCGGTCTCGAGTCTCGACGAAACAGAGAAAATGAGTGGACGGTTTGCAAAGAGGAGTCAACCCGAGCTAGACCTCTCTTCTTTTACCAAACTCGACGCTCTCATTCTCGCCCAATCTGTATACGAACTCGGGGCTTCATCATGGCCAACAGTGGCAAAATTGCTGTCGAAACATCCCCTACTACGACATCCGAAATCATTCTTTACTGCTCAGGTCAGTGGAGTAAACCTGCTCTTCTCGAACAAGACTCATACGCCCGCCAGTCATGCGAAACATTGTACAAGAAATTAAGGAATGATGCTTCTTTGGAAATGTCCGTGCTACTCTTATACGAGCCAATCTTTACCAATCCTGATCTACAATACAGAACAGAGGCAGATAATGAACGACACTGTACGATCCGTAATTTTTACTCATGCACAGAGCCATAAATCAGTATCTACTCAAGCTCCACTCAACCGCAAGCTTGCGCAGATACACTACCAGGCTCGTATCCTCGAGCTTCGAGACTTGATCAGCACCGAAGAACAGAAATTCAAGTACGCCGCTTTTTTCACTACTTGTAAGGCTGACTGCAACCTCAACCGATATCAGGAAAGTCTTATCTGAAATCGAAGAACTGAAAAATAATGCTAGTAAAGCGACTGCGCCTACAGTGCGTACTTACATGTATGTCAGTGGACAATCTCAACAGTTCGACGTAGAATGGAGCTAAAATGGGCGTTGAAGACTTTACTGCTGATCTTAGTGGAATCAGCTCTACCTTCTCTTCTAATAAAGTGTGTCATTATGTCTGCCTTGAATTTACTTCTTTCATGTACACATCCCTACAGGTTGAACCATCGAACGATGAGACTGCAAACCTATTACGTTCACCGCAACATTCCGATATTGAAGAAGTAGCATCCCTGGCAAGAGACAACAGTGCGGAAGCCCGAGATGATAACAAAGAAGGGAGGGACGAAGTTGAATCGTTAGCCATCTCACACGATGACACGCCACCCCTCCTACACGTCCGACCTTTGGAAGGCGACGCTCCTCAGCGAAGTGTTGTCGAGGTATCCATTGACGCAGACGATGAGGTTTCCCGTTCTAGTCAGGCTCCAACCCCGACCGCGGAAACCGAACATGACCGTATGGAGATCGACGAAGAGGGTGTCACCTCTGGAGATGAGCCACTCCAAAGAGCACGTCGCGCTAGTAACTATCAAATATACACTCACGCTCGAGAATACCTATTGAATGACCTTATCAGAAGCCGCAAAGCGCCAACGCAAGGCCAGTACTCCTCTTCCAATGAAGAAAGGACGTCGTCTGCGTCCCCCTTCCATACTAGATACAGAAATGGCACCAGAGGCGACTGACAACATGACGGAAGAGTTGGTTCAAACACCAGGGACGGTTGACGACGAAGCATCCCCGGCACCAGATGATGTGCTGTTCAAGCGTCAGGGTGCGTTGCTGTTTTATCCGTTGTCCCACCAAAGATTGAAACATATTATTCAGGTAAACGCCGAGCTTCGTTTTCAGACGATAACCCACGAGAATTAAGGCGTTTACGGGCTGACTCCGAACCTATCGATGACGAAGATGGTGTGTAGGGATTCGGCAAACTTTCTACTTATCTTACTTGCTTTTAGGGCTTCCGTCTTCATCCCGGAGACGACGCCAGGACAATCAAGCTTCAAAACGGTTCCAGAACGTCATTGGCATGCTCCATTCCCAAATATCCGCACACCGGAACGGCACCATCTTCCATAACCCCATCAAAAACTCGGAGGCGCCGGATTATCACGAAATCGTCAAACGTCCCATGGATCTCAAGACTATCAAGTCGAGAATCAAAGATGGCGCCATCTCAAACTCGCTAGAGTTTCAACGCGATATCTATCTAATGTTTGCAAATGCAATGATGTACAATAGGCCAGGATCTGATGTGTATAACATGACAGAAGATGTAAGCAACCTAGTCCCCATTCAACCTGTGTGTAGGGACTTAAAAATCTATCCAGATGATGTTAGAGAGCGAAGGATATATCCAGACTTTCCGACAGACAGAGGGGTTCGTGCGAGGTTCTCAGCGCTAAATGACAAGGTTCAGTAAGATACCTCCCAGTTTAGCTGAGTTTGGTTATACAGTACATCACATATGTATGCATGGTCACAATCGTGGCCCACCAAAAATTGTGAGATCAAAAAGATTACATAGTCTTTTGAGTAGTTTGAGTTTGAGTTTTGTGAAATCAAATGGACCAGCAGATATTTCAGAATCAAGTCTTTCCATGCTTTGAAACCCACCTTGCTTGCAAGGTCTACGGAATTTAAGTACTTCTGTACAGGCACATTTGGCCCTCATGCTTTTGCCAAATGTTTCCTGGGTGCTTTGAAGTGCTGTGCTTGTTTTGCCTTATGTGCGCCGTGTTCTTTGCTCATTACTTGAATCAATCAATCAAATTTTTACAAGGCTCTTGTGGAAACCCGCCGTGATGGCGGGAACACTAGGGCGAGAACAGGCGAGAACTCACAAGAAAACCAAGTATGTACTAGGAACCAAGTATGATTGGTGAAGAGATAAGAGAGAGAGAGGGAGAGAGAGAGATACACTCGAGAGTAGTCTAAGGCCAAGATAAGATGGTGGTAAGAGCTCTAGTCGTATCTAAGTGTGTTCTATAGGGCACTTTATGTGCACAGTGTTTTTTTGCTTGATGTCTGAACTAAAACCGACAAAGACAAAGACATTCAGATGTTCCTGCCATACCAGTTTCAGTATCAACTTACTAACTGAAATTTATCTTTTCTTAAGCAAGGTGCAGTTCTACGACGGTGGAGCCTAATGCAGACCTAAATTTCCCAAAGTCAAGGTCTGATGGATTCAAGAATATTTAGGATTTCTAGACAACAGGAGTTGAGGTCACTAGCTGTAAGCTTTAACATTAATTATACTAGTAATGAGGATATATGCCACGGGCAAAGCGCGATGGCTCAATTTCATAAGTTAGGAGTATCCTATACATCAATTGCTGCTCGAGTCTGATATACACAGTTATTAAAGATACAAAAGAATTGTCAAAACCATGGATAATATGTCTCTCCCATCTTCGTCAATTGAATGGGATTTGTAGCTGCTGAGATCGTGCTCGTCACGGTTTGAAGCGCCGGGACGGAACCTGTTGCTGCCTAACAGTGGATGTCAGCCACGTTGAATGCAGTAAGTCATTTACAAATGCACCTGTTCTCGGTCTACTTTACAAGCCATGGCCTCTGCTCTAGTTGTCACTGCGTCGATGCACAAGTTGACAGCCTGACGGAAATTTTGATCGACGGTCACTGGGCGATTACGTTGTATAAGCCAGGCACATATCTCGTCGCGAGCGAAAAGACGAAGAGGAGTGTCCAATGCATACTGTAGCGTTGGTGAGTAACGTTTTTCACAAGGATGTGTCGATCTTATTTACCTCAGTCTCTGTCAAAGAACGACCTATTGCCATTAAACTGGGTGCGAATACGCCTTCGGTGACAATGGGGCCAAGGAAAGTCTGTAAGGAGGGAGTGAAGCGGAATGGAACGACGTCGCTGGAAGAAAATATCGGTTGTTGCGCTGCTAATCCTGAGAGACTGTTAATAAACAGATCACGGGTCAAGCGAAGTTCTAACCTGCAAACAACTCAGTCATGACAGTGAGACCGGTAGAACGTGAAACGTGGAATCGAGCCGGGCCGCGGCTTGACATGAAGAAGACGAACGTCATAAAACAGTTCGCTGCGTGTTGCAGGGCGAATTGTTTGCGCATACGCCAAAGCGAACTCGGCCCATCCATTGTCCGTATCATGTACTTTTCAAGATTTCAGCATATGTATTATAAGACAAAAGACGAACTCACCCGATTGAGCACATCATCTGGAACCATCTTGCTGGAGACCTCATCGACGACATTCTTTTTCAAGGCTAAATAATCGGTTTTGTTGAACTAGAAATTTGATCTTGTCATATGAAATTCCAACCTCATCAACATGATTCATACCTGACGCCCAGACTGCTTGACTTCCCGCATCACTTTCTTAACCTTTTCGCATGAGTATAATATCGGATCCTCCCGCTGGAAACCCATTGATTCGCAGTGAAGTTCGAATATGTCTAAAAACGATATGTATGATGAATCCAACTGATACAGTCGTATGTTCGGACTACATGATATTGCAGCTGGTAAATGGAAGTTGAGGTTCCTCTTGCGAGTTTCTTTTTTCCGAGCGAGGACCCTGTAACATATAGCTTGATTCATATCCGTTTGGACGACAGCATAACTGCTCACCCATTGAACGTTCGGCAGACTTGGGATACTCTCTCCTCACGGCGGAATGTTCTGTGATAGGGAAGCTGTACAAGGAATGGAATACGGGAATTATCACTCCCGTGAATGGTGATGCGCTTCCAGCAGCAGCCCTGGGATCGAGTATTCTCGAATTTTGGCACGAGTTTTTGTATCTTGATGAAATTCTGATTATTATCTTTGTCCTGCAGTAATTATGAGTTTCATTGTGTTGTGAAATTATTCCAATTGCATACCTCCGTATACTGCCCAGGAACATCCAACTCATCAACCTTGCTATACTGGAACTCAGTGAGGTAATGGCTAAGACTATCGAGCGGTTGAACCCGTGGACGGCCATCGAGGAGTACCTCGTACTTGTCCCGCCATTGTTGTAAACGCTGAATGTACTCATAATGAGTGAATTTGGCTGTGATAAAGTCTTCTTCGTATTCTTTCTGTGATAAATATTGAGCAAGAAAAATCATCCGCGTCGTCATAGCATCCATACCTTAACCTGAGGGTGAGTTATCCCTTGTGCCAAACGATGTAGGTTAGCAACAGTTGAAGCAGTGAGCGAACCATCGTCTTCAGTTTGATTTACTCGGACCATATAATGCTTGGCAGAATGAATACTAGAATTAGAATAATTTGGATGGCATACCTGTAACGCATCTTGTAGTAGCATACAGATGTGCCGATAGATATCCTCTTCGTGACTTGGCTTAAATCGATTGATTATCTGATCCACCAATGTTTCGAGGCTCAGAATGAGAAGAGGGAATGAAGTTTTCAGATTCTGGACTAATTCTTCTACACAGTCCCAAGTTGGGCGGTGTACAGCAGCATCAGCCACGAATTGTGACCCATTCTGCGATGCGCCAATACCTTGGGCATTATCTGCAGAGGGTAATGAGGTCTGAGAGTTATTTGGGTCCGACCCTGACCCGGGAACATCACTTCCGCTTCCATTTGTCGAAGATGACTCAGAGGCTCGGACGGGAGTCGTCTGGGCTGAAGGCACGGAAGGACGGGATACCATCCTCTTCGTGCTGAGTACCTCTTCGCGAGTAGTCCTTAAATTGAAAAACAACGCCTATAACGGTTTTGTCTCAACTCTGAATGTTCGTGAATGCAAATACACACCTGTGGATAAAGTCTAGCCAAGTTCAGCAGCACGTAACGAGCTTGTTTCACTTCGCGGTGAGAAAGGGAGGAGCAAAGCTGTGGTATTAAGGTAATCCAAAACCAAAATGCGGCCTCGCCTTTGTAAGTGTCGAATGCACGGGAAACGGTGAAAGAAGTGTCATCGATGCTCAAGAGCCAGAGTACTCGAGCAAGAAGAGGCCGACTTTTGCCACTTTTGTATAGTCCTGCAGCTTGAAGATAACAACTAACTGCATTTCCCGCATATGATAAATCATTGGGATGCTCTTTGAACATGCGGTCATTCCATCGCCCCCATTCAGCCCACGCCTTCGCTTGACTCATGTCCATCTGAACCGCTTGGCCAAATGAAGCATTCGCTTCCTCATGGCGGCCGAAACGAGCATGGAATAACCCTTTGAGGGTGAAGAACTCAGCCTTCTGCGATACGGAGAAGTACCCAAGATTTGTATTGTTGATAACTTCCAGTCCAGCTTGTAAGTCATTAGGTTTTTGATAATAACAGCGAGCTTGTTCGCGGAGTTTCAGGAATGCCTCTGAGATCTCAATGTTGGGTAGTGTATATATTTTCGCCAAAGCCGTGTGGCAGACATCGAGGAGATCGTGTTTCCTGGCAACATGGGCAAAACGGTTGATTATCCAGGCCGTTTCGTGATATCCTCGATAACCAGCCGTGTTCGTGTTCGCAGCACCAGTCTGCGTTGAGGGTGTGATGAGAGGTATGTAGGCATTATTGATGGAGTGGAAGACATTTTGTCTCCAGGCTACAAGATCGCTCCAGATGCTGATATCATCGTGAACATTGGGTAGACGCTCCCGCCAGGCTTGCAAAACCATTTTGAGCTCCGATGATTTTTTCTCAAGGTTTTGAGCATTAGTCGAAGCCAAAGATCCAAATATCTGCACAGCTTCCTGCAATTCAACGAATTGCTGGAAATGTTGGAGTAAAGGGACATGCGCCGGAGACAGATGCGGAGGTAAAGAGACCCATTTTCGGAGTGTTAACTGCATGGCGTCTTCGAGGATCACGGTAAACTCGGAATTTTTTTCAAGGGGTGACGGGAGTTTTAACAGCGCAATGAAGGCTTCAAAGACTCGTCTTCGTGGAGTGGGCACCTCGGGAAGTTGAGCAATATGATCCTCGAGTGCCTCTCGGTTCTCCAGCCAGTCTTTTACCCTCCATGCGCTCTCCAGGATCAAATCGTGATTCCCTTCATTACGACCGAGTTCATATAAAAGGTCCCATTGTTGAAGTTTCTCTGCCGAGAGAATCCAATGGTCTTCCCATAGGCAATATTCCTGCTCAGTGTAAGGTATGGCACCACTCCGTGCACGCTGCTGTGCTGTTTCGTAGGCATTCATTGCCTGATCCCACATACCATTTTGTTCCAGTGCAATGGCATTATTTGTCTCTGGCTGAAGACAGCGACGTCGCCAAAGGCCATAAAACATATCGTCCTCTGCAAGCTCCGAATAAACGTCAGCAAGAGAATCAAGGGCATTATCACGGAGAGTGAGCTCATCGTCTTTCAGATACTCCAGCGAGCTCGCAAGAATTTCCAGCGCGATGTACCATGCACCAAATGTTTTGGCAAGATATTTGATGAGATGGGGAGGAAGAATCATGGGAGGAGTGCATGCATGCAGCCCAGTAAGCACAGTTTGAATAACATTTGGCCGCATTTCAGCTTGCTTGATATGGTACTCCTTACTGAGTAGATTGATCATATGTTGTGTGAGGTCGGCTTGTTCACGTCGGGAAAGGCACGCCCAAGCAGCAGGAAAAACCGATACCCACATGTCGTGGACACTCTGAGGCGTAGCTGATACTAAACGCAGCATTGGACGTACAAGCTCCTGAGTTTTTGGACGGGTGATAAGAGGAGAAATGGACATTCTTCGTTCGGGTAATACTGAACCGTCTTGGTCGGTGGCACCCAGTAATAGGTGAAGGGCAATGTGCAGCCAATTGTGATCAGCAACAGGCTCCCAGCTCTGGACTGCGCAGATATACATCAAGCGGCTGAAAAGTGACCTAGGTACGCTGACGTCCAAGAGATCCAAGAAACGTTCACGGAGTGCAAAATCCTTCGAACGACATCCAACAAAGAACAACGGCTCCAGGCGCGCAGTCAAGTCGCTCCGCCGTAATGAAGGTTCGGTGTAAATCTCGTACACAAGTTCGAGGAACGAGTTGAACAGAGCTTCATTTTTGAGCTCAAAAGTTACCATTTTGAGTAACAGCGACGCCTTCTCCTTCATCGTAGGGTAGACTTCTCGTTTGACGAAACACCACGACTTGACTAATTCCAAAATGTAACGGCAAAGAGCGACGTTCTTGGACTTTTCCACCATAACAACCAGATTGCTCATAAGCCACTTCCTCTGTTCCCCTAAAAAAGCCACCGATATTTCGCAGATATCGAGGACCGAGACGAGAAGTCGAGCGCTTGTATCCATTACATTTACAATGGTGGTAGAGCTAGACACATGTTCTTTCAGAATTTTCCCAAGCAGTTTCATCAAATGGGGACTGAAATGCTCAATGCGTTCTGGAACTACCTGGACGATTGATTTCAGCATCATCAATACGCCACGTAGCGTCGTGGTATTCCGCAAACCGTCGCTTATGGAGGAATAAATCCAGGAATGGAAGTCTCCCATCTCGCCTTGAGGGTCTTCCTCTTCTTTCGGAAGAGGATACATACGGGCGAGGCGGTCGAAGATTGGATGAAGGGCATCATGAAGACCGTATTCGTCAGTTAGCAGGCCTTTCCGAATGAGCTTCTGCAATACGGCCCCATTCGAGTTCCACCACTCGTCGCTTTGCTCTGATGCTATAACTTGAAGAACCTTCGCGGATGCTACGGCAGACGCTAACGCCGTTTCGGAGGTCAGATCACTCTGGCAAAAAAATAGTCAAGATAGTATTGGATAGTGAAGAGTCTTTACACACCATCTCCAACACTCGTGAGAAGAATCGCATACCGAAGGCGACATCTGTCCAGCCACTAGGTCCCACCATTTGTTGAAGTAGCGACAATGCGCGAGGAACCAACGTCGCTCGGCCGGGAGGATCATTTATTATCGTGGATAGTCTAACCAGATAGCTAACCATATTTTCTCTATATCCCAAAGGTGTCAGCCAAACATCTTTGCCTTCCCTTTCACGTAAAGCTTGTTGCTCCCAGTCGAATATCACCTGCAATATATCAATGGACAGAAGTCGGGTTTCATGATTGCTTGTAGACATCAAGCCGAGCTTGGTTAGGGAATTTACCATGTAGGTAATGAAGAGTCGGCGCACAGGGTAGTATAGAGCAGGCTGCTTTATCATGAGATGATAGATGGCGAGAGTTTGCGAGAAATCGTCCGCTAACAAGCGTCGCGCCGTTACTGCCCATTTTGGAAAGCCGTTCTCCGCAGGTTCATTAGGAAGGGAGGGTGCAAGGACAGCCAAAGCTTCCTGTCGTAGGACTGCACGGCCTTCCGTTTGTGGTGCCCGAAGTAGTTCACTCCAAGTCCGTAGAATGAACTTGGCGGGTGTTTGGAAAGCGGCGAAGAAACGAGCATTCAGGAGGAACGCTGTCTGTTTCACGATCGGATCATCGCAAGACCCAACGAAATGCCAGGCACATTTAAGAATATCCTTTTGGACATGGTTCACCAATGAGGAGTAATGCTGAACTAGAACAGTGGTCAAATGTAGAATTTCGATTTTGAACATGTCATCGGTCTCTGCGAAGGGATTTTCTTCCAGTATGCGCCGCCAAAGAAGACTGTGCAGACGATCTATGTAAGATATGTCTAGAAGATGTTGTTTAGAAGGATTCCGTGCAGCTTGGACCAGTAGAGTGGGAGTGACGACGTAGCGTATGAAGTAAGCCTTATGGGACCAAGTACACGAACTTGTATCAAACCATGTCAAGAAGCGGAGGAGGATGTTTCGTTGGAAGATGGTATCTTCGCTAAGTGCAACATGTTGATAAAGGAAATGAGTTGTTCGCACTGTATCAATTTCCAAATTGCGGATGTAAATAGCGACGAGCGCGAATATGAGATCTATTCGCGAGGATTTCTCAAGGGTCGAACGAAAAATGGACATGATCAAGGTGTGACGTTGGATAGTCTCTCGTTCTGGCTGTTGCATACCCGTGTCCCACAAAGTGAGAAGTGCTTCGATCACGTTGTCATGCTCTAAAATCCAACAACGATCGAGACTTGCCAGATCCGCGAACAGAGAAAGTGCAGGTATTATGCGAGAGGAAGGTTCGTTGCCATGGAGGCTCAAACGTAGAATGGCGTTTGTGCGAGAAGCCAGTACACGCTGCACGTTCGGAGAAAGCTTAGCTTGAAGAATGCTTCGTAAGGTTCTCAAATGTCTAGGAAGGTGCAGATTGTCGATGAAGAACTGCACTCCTTCGTCAGGATACCTATCCAGGTATTTGGCCAAGGGTTCAGAAAACGGACTCTGGCCGGAAAAGTGCATTTGGGCCTCGGTCTGAACAATGGCATTTACCAGGCTATCGAGGAATATATTCGCCGCAGAAGGTAAGAGATGGAAGATATTTGCAAGTCGGACAAGCTTTGTAATGCCCTCGTTTTCACCCAACGGCGATCTGGATGAAGCCTGTAGCATCTGAGGGTCGGCAACGAAACGGAAATGGTCAAGGAGTTTGTGACCAATCTCGACTTTGAAGTAGTTAGTTAAAAGTTCTAACAAACGAGCAAGACCTTCCAACCCAGGGACAGATAATCGCTTGGGATCCGCTAGGTTCATCAAGATAGGGCGCAGTCCAGTTTGCAAAAGCTCCTTGGGTAACCTGCTCTGATGAGCGAGGACCATTCTCAAGCCTTCGTGAGCAACGTCCTTGACTTCTGAAGAAGGGGAATAGAGGGATTTGAAGTAGACACTGGTGACTCTAAGTGATGGTTAAATTTGATAAACGGATGGGCATATACATTCCTCCTACCTTTGCCTTGTTTGAGGATGTTTTTGGAAGAAATCTGTCATAGGCATTGAAGCAGTTAACAACTTGATGCAGGAGACACGAAGTTTAGTCATTTCGATTATGCCCTGTCTCGGATTACTTCGGCCGAGCAAGGCAGCATCTTCTGCATCAGCTAATGCTAAAGTTTCATGAAGAAGTCGGAGCAATTCATCATTGAGATCCAGTAGCGGAGGGTTGAGACTGACACAGTATCGAACCGCTTCTATGAGCCCGATTTGGATCGGGAATGTCAAAGCTCGTAAGGGCTTAGTGAAAATGCTGATTAACATACGGTCCCGGTGAGGTAGAAGGAGCTCAACGGCAGGTCTTCCGCTCAATTGCACCAAGAACTCGATGCATGCTTGAGCCGCCTGACGGACAACAGGCACAGCGCTCTGAAGTTCAGGGAAAAACACACCGACCAAAGCAATGAGCTTGCTTCGAATCTGTGCCTGGACCCCAGCATCAGAGTGGAAATCAATGTCTAAACTTCCAATTCTAAGGACCTCTGTAAGAACTCCGATAATCTCGTCCACGTCTTGAGGCAAGTCCGCGGGGAGGTCCTTCAAGATGTGAAGCAAAGTACGAACGAGGTCGATTTCCCGGTCGCGTACCCACTTGACACCAACCTCAGGCGTTTCAGTCATCATCTTGATGCAACCGCATCCTGCGATCTTTCGTGACCAGGAATCATCCAAGCACAGAGCAGTGAACCTGTTGGTAATTTGATGCAAAATGAGATATACGTCCTGCATGATGATATTATTCTGCTTCGCGTGCGTGACTAAGTCCTGTACAATGGAAGCTATTAAGCCGCGAGCTTTCGTGACTTGATCGGCTTGAGTACGAGCCAAGGCGTAAGGAAGTGCTTCGAGGTAGGACGACAGCAACGGCGAAGATCGATACGAAGAAGTTTCTCGGAAAGGCCCCCTTTTGAGCTCCGCATCAAACACGGCTTGTGAGAGCTTGCGAATGAAAGACTCAGCCTTTTCCTGAACTTCAGTAATATGAACGGCGTCAAAAGCACCTTCGAGGGTGCTTACGAAAAGTTCTTCTGCATTACGCCCTTTGATACCCTGTATTTTGGATGAGCCTTAGACCTAAGATTTGCTGTGGTGATACTCACCTGGCTCACGAGAGAGGACAACGCGGCCTCCATAAATTCATAAGCAGGAGCTGCCGCAGCTACAGGCCCTTTTGTAACATTCTGACGAGCCAGAACCACTCCAGGACTCATCAGGATCTGTTGTTGAACACCGAGGAATGTAATGGTCATTTTAGGATCATCTGAATGATGTTTATACTTTAAGGCAGGCTCTTTCGTCAAGAGCTTCCGATTTCGTCCCCCAAGCTTCCCCAATATACGGATAGTGGTGTGGGCAAGGTGATGATTAGCAGGGAGTGGTTTCAAGTGACTGGAGAGGGCATCCATCAGGTCCCTCAAAACGATATTGAGCGTAGGATCTAAAAAGTCGGGAGTAAGATTGTCAATACAAAGCTCCAATGTACGCAATCCTTGAGCAACGAGTTCAGGACCCCCTCGTAATGCAACGGCCAAGGGTTGCATGAGATACGTGAGATAGGGAAGAAGGTGAGTGAGTCGGAGTGGAACAGTGAGGCAAAGCTCGACTATCATGTCCCTGGTGGGACCTTCCGATGAAAGGAATTGGCGATTGAGACACTCTAGCATTTCTGGTAAAAGTGGAAGGACTTCTTTATACAAAAGCTCGAATCGTCCTCCGCCGCCACCGATAGATCTGAATAACGCCCTGAGAAGAAGGAAATAATGGGTAGGTTTCGATGCTTTTACAGCTAATGGGAAGCAGTCCATAAGCAGCTTAGCCAGATGAGAAGCCAGAATTGGCTCGTTGGAGAGAGGGAAAAGGGTGATAGATCCGAAAGTCATCTTGAACCAGCGGATAGTTGCGGCGGCTGTGAGATCATCATATTCCCCTAGCAGCGGTAACCTGTCAACAAGGAACTTGAGGACTATCGCCAACAGCGTCGGTGAACAGGTGTCTTTCTGAAAAAGGACCTGACAAATGTTCAGCAGAATTATCTTTTTCTGAGCAAAATTGAAGAAGAATTCAATTTTTTGCGTCCAAACTTCTTGAAAGACATGCGGATTGACTTCCATGAGAATCGGAGCGAACCAATCAATCACGTCGACCGGTTCATTGGGGCGCGGATCCAGCTCGAAATACGCCATACATCGTATACAACCTTCGAACATTCTGCAAATGAGAGTACCGTCTGGTGCCGGGCCTTCACACTTTTTTAACGTCGCGAGGCATACTCGAAAGCCGTGCAGCAATGTGCGAAACAGAAGACGGGATTCTGGAATGAACGATAAGCGTTACTCTACATGAAGAGCACTCGAACATACCCATCATGATTTCCTCAGGTTTTTCTAGCGCATACACAGCGCCACCCACAGGCCGCGCCTTTTCGATATATGCGTCATTCAAGATAGATGTTTCCCCATTCTTGGTCCTCTCTGCGGCTGCTGCAATCTCCTCGTGAATCACTGTCAAAGCATCTAAACGGTCAAGACAAGTATTGAACGTTAAAGTGATCAGAAAGGCAGCATTTTGTGGTGTCTCCTTATTCACTATGGCGTCGCTGAGGCCTATCAGAACCTTGGCAAACAATGTATGGAGATTGTTGCCCAGTGCGGGATAATGGAGAAGCCTAGAGTACATGTGCACAATTTTTGTTAATTGGGAGCTACTGAGTTCAGGCTTCAGATGATGGAACAAATCGGCGATAGCAGTGTATGTTTGGGCTCTGGAGTGACATAAATGGAGAGCCAGTGAGAATTCACTCCCTAACGCACCGAAGCATTTCCTTGCTCGTAAGACTTTCCCCAACAAGAAGACGCTCATTAAGCAGTTTGTCCAAGTGTGGAATTAAGGATCGTCGATAAGGCGTAGCCATCAAATGACGAAAGACGACAATAAGCTCCTGCAGAACAAGTCAAAAGAGAGACAGTATGATATTCCACTGAGGGTCACTGGTACCTTTCGCAACAAAATTCCATTAGCTGGACAATCTTGCTGCAAACGAAGTGCATGAAGTATAAGTCGATCTCCGTAGTTGTCACTTTGTTCGGGAGTATGTCGCATCACAAAAGCAAGATATGAAAGCATCTACACAACAGGTGATTAGTGATAACTGACGATGAGTAAAATGCAATGCACCTTGATTTGCGCACTGAGTAGGTCGTGATATAGTGCATGGTTTTTCACAGTTGGAGACATCCCGGCCCAGACAGAACCCGTGGCCTCCGCATCGATTCGAGCTTTTTTCTGCGCAGGAGATTCGACATCGAGGAGGCTGAATGATGACTGAATGGTAGCTTTTATAGTAGGTGCTATCTGGCCACGAGAAGCTTGGGAGAACAGTGCCATATCCAAACTCATTTCGGCTACAACTTTAGGGCTGTCCATGCCGAGGAAGACTTCATTGGGTTCCACAATGGCCGAATCTTCTGCAAGATACTTGCTTGCAACGGCCTCCATTCGATGCTGAGATTCTTGAAATATGGTAGTGAAGTTCGCCATATTTTCCTCCGTGATACACCTGTAGTTTTTGACGAGGTCCATATAGACCTTGCAGGCCAATATAACATTGTCTTCGTTGTCATTTCGGAGAAGATGATGAATGCATTCGATAATGGAAGCAGATTGAGCACGAGCAGGCTCCCCAACAGGTATACGGATTAAAATTTCCAACAGAGTTTTGCGGAACTGGTATTCAGGAACATCCTTGCGAAAGACGGGCTCTCCGGTGCGAAGGAGGTCAAGAAGAGTAGGAATAAGCCAAGGAAGGACTCGTAAAGTGTCTGTATCCCTAGTAGTGTCGAGCAGGTCACGGATTTCGCAGGCAACAGTATTTTTCGTAGTAAGATCTGCAAACAGGAGTTACAACGGGGATGACCATTGGCTAACAAGTTAGGTATGCACCTATACTCGGATCGGCAATGCGGGCAGCGCGTTGTTCGAGGTCAGCTGTTGAGGCTATGTGAGTAGAGACGTCCACGCCGGTGTTGGCAGCCATTTGGACGAAGAGTCCCAGGAAAGGCGCGAAGCCTTGAACTGGCACTGGCTCTTAATTACGAGGCTTCGTAGAGAGAGCAGCACGTGATAGCGGTTACAAAATCAATACAAGACTGAAGTACGTCACTACAGTGTCTTGACCTTCAACAACCATCATGGTACTGTTATCTGTTACTGCTGCAACTTTACTGTCCCTTTCCTTCACGTCTGCAGAGATCCACAGAGTCAAGTTGAACAAAGTGCCTCCAAATGTCGGAAATCCTGAACTCGAGGCTCTGCACCTTGCGGAGAAGTATGGTGTTCCTCAGCGTCAAGCACCTCTTGCGGGCTTCGGTGGTGCCAGCCGACCCCCAAGACAGGGTGACGACGATCTTTTCTGGACGCAAGAAATGACCCAAGGTGGTCACAGTCTTCCCCTTAGCAGTGCGTTTCCTTCTTTCTTTCATTCTGGCCCGCTTAGCAAAGTTGATCGTTACTAGACTACATGAATGCGCAGTACTTCGCACCAATCACTCTTGGGTCACCACCTCAAGAGGTAACAATACGTCTGTTTTGGATAATAAAGAACTTACTGACCACTTGTTCCATATAGTTTAAGGTTATCCTTGATACTGGGTTTGTATTTACGTAATTTTACCTCCCGCTCACTCAACAACGTTTGATCACGTTTAGTTCGAGTAATCTGTGGGTTCCAAGCTCGAAATGTACCTCCATCGCCTGCTTCCTACATGCCAAGTATGAGGCAACTCAGTCCTCGACATATAAGGAGAATGGTACCACATTCAGCATTCAATACGGTTCTGGATCCATGGAGGGCTATGTCTCAACAGATACCTTGACCATTGGCGACATCTCCATCCCCCACCAGCTCTTTGCTGAAGCAACCAAGGAACCTGGTCTTGCTTTTGCTTTTGGAAAGTATGTCATTAACAGCAGACCTTCAGTCCCAGCGCTCATTAAACATTTCAGATTCGACGGTATCTTGGGCCTTGCATATGACACGATTGCTGTCAACCATATTCCTCCTCCCTTCTACAACATGGTTGACCAGAACCTTGTTGATGAACCCGTATTTTCTTTCAGACTTGGCTCGTCAGAAAATGACGGTGGCGAAGTGGTGTTTGGTGGCGTGGATGATAACGCATATACTGGCGATATCACCTATGTCCCCCTTCGGCGCAAAGCCTACTGGGAAGTCGAACTCGAAAAGATTAGTTTCGGTGATGAAGATGTGGAACTCGAGAACACTGGTGCTGCCATTGATACTGGTTAGTATCAGTTCTGAATGCGGCGGGTCTCTCAATCTATCTGTTTTTCTAGGAACTTCTTTGATTGCCCTTCCATCTGAAATGGCTGACTTGATGAATGCTCAAATCGGTGCTACCAAGTCCTGGAACGGTCAATACACAGTTGACTGCGACAAGGTGCCTGCCGTGAATTTCACGTTCTGTAACGAAACTGATATTCTTTGGAGGTCCCTTCCCTCCCTGATCTTACCCTCTACTTTGGTGGAGAGCCTTTCCCTATCAAAGGTACAGATTATGTCCTTGAGGTGTCCGGTACTTGCATATCTGCTTTCACTGGCCTTGACATCAAGATGCCCGGCGGAGCCTCTCTCTGGATCGTTGGTAAGTAGTATGCTCTCCCGGATCCAGTCACATTGAGACCACTTATCTATCCGTTGCAGGCGATGTCTTCTTGCGCAAGTACTACACTGTGTATGATCTAGGCAGAGATGCAGTTGGTTTTGCGAAGGCGAAGTAGAAAGGAAGCCTTGTCGGACGTTCTATGATAATGTAGTTCAATATCTTTTAACTACCCACTCGTTCCCTCATGTCTGTATATTAATGACCATTTCGGCAATAAGTAGGTACCGTATCAAAATCTTTTATGCGTACTCTAGCTTGAGCTTTATATCGTATGAAAACCAGATCATGAACCGTCTTTGCTTGACTAACGATTGACTAATCTACCTCAATGAACTGCTACGAAGATCCTAGCTTGATATATCCCTACCTGGATCGATCCTCGTTTCCCTCTTACTCCCTTTCGACTCGGGTTCGGAAAAGGGCTCTCGGAAAATCTTTAGCGCGAACTTGGGATAGAGTCAAAGTTCTCGGTGGTCATGCTGGGTTAGCATCCTCTCCGTTTGATATTGGGATTTGAACACTTAGTATTCGCAAAGATGTATCAACGCCTTACACTGGGCACACGGAGGTGAACTCTTGCTGAGTGCGGGAGATGATACCACGTATGCTGTATCTTGTTACTGTTTAACGCTGAATCCTCATACTCTCCGATTCAGGGTACAGATTTGGAGACTGGATCCGACGAACACTTTCGAAGATTATCCATTCGTATGTCGGACGGTAATTCACACTGGGCACAGAGCCAATATCTTCAATACCGCTATGCTTCCCTATTCTAATCGAATGTGAGCAGCTATCTTTGCTTCCTCCTCATTCAAATCCTTATCCTAGCTGTGACAGTGCGACAGTATCCGGGGACAGACAAGTTCGCGTATTCGATGTCGGCGAAGACTATGAAACTTCTGCTCTTGGACAAGAAATTGGGCAGGAGTATTGTCTGAATACTTTGAGATGTCACGAAGACCGAGTCAAGCGAATAGCTACGGAAGAGAGTCCTGACCGATTCCTTACGGTCTCGGAGGCAAGTGCATATCCTCTGTTCCCCTGCAAAGTATTACTACTCAAGCCTACTATCAAGGATGGTACAGTGCGCCAGCATGATTTACGAACACCCCACGTTTGCCGTGATCACTGTCCAGCTCCGCTATTGCAAGTCCACCATGAACTCTCGACACTCGCTACATCTTCCTACTACTGTGTTGTCGCTGGAGATTCACCATATGTAAGATACTTTCATCGTCTCGGATGACTAGAATACAGTTGACCGTTACTGCTATGCTGCAGGGATATCTTTTCGACCGCCGGTTTACGGGACGTGATATACCAGATGAATGGGGTAGGCGAGATGAAGGCCTGGTGAGTTGTGTTCTACGCTTTGGTCGCACAAACCAGCGTAAGGTCCACAGAACACGCGCATATCCTCGAGAACACATCACTGGATCCAGAATGTCAGCCGAAAATGGCCACGAGGTATGCCTCGTCAGAATTTGTTGGCCACGACGTTGATGATTCCTCCGTAGGTACTACTTTCTTATTCTTCAGACGGTGTATATCTATTCTCGACGCTGCATGACCCAGAAAGCAGTAGTAGTCCATCATCATCAACCATAGTCCCTCCAAATCTCAAACGTCGTAGGATTTCTCGTGAATCCCCATCAACGTCGTCTACGGTATCTTCTTCTCCGCCTTCTGAAGGTGCTGCTGTGAATCTCGATTTGTTGGACCATCTAGAGCGGGAGGATGGGGATCAAGGAGAGGATGAGGATTTAGAGGAAGATGATGTTGTCGATCCATTGAGAGGGGAAGAGTTGAAAGCATTCTACTCTTGGACCGACATTGTAACACCCTACCGACGGTTTTCTGGAGCCCGAAACGTCGATACTGTGAAAGATGGTGCGAAGCTTTGAATATACTATACTCGAACGGTTGAATCTAAAGTACTTTCTAGTCAACTTTCTTGGTCCCCGCGATGAGTTTGTCACATCGGGATCCGATGATGGCAATTTTTTTGTGTGGCACAAGTCCACAGGAAAAATCCATGGCATATATGAAGGAGACGGTACTGACCACATAAGAAACGCAATGCAGACACGCTGATACTGGTCCCAGGTGCCGTCGTGAACGTCATTGAAGGGCATCCGCATTTACCACTAGTGGCAGTAAGCGGTATCGATCATACTGTCAAGGTATTATCTCCTTTCATATCTACAATACATACTACTCATCTCCTGAGATGATTCCTCCCATCAGTTGTTCGCACCAGTCCATCGTGAAAGCGCATTCTCTCGAATGTCTAACGCGGAATCAATCATGGACATGAACCGTGAACAGAGTGATCTCCGGACCCACATCCGCAGGATTCGAAGACACGATTTCGTCAACCTGCTAGCATCATTCAGAACGTCTACCGATGGGGAAAATAATACTGAAGCGACCTCTGATTGTGTCAATCAATGACGAGTCCTTCACTACATAATCTCCCTCTGTCTATAGGGTCTACATGCGTACAGCAGTAAGTATACGTTATGAATTGTATCTCATACTATGTACAAGGTAAAATTCGTGTAGTATCAATGAAATGTACGAGGTCCGAAACTAAATGTACGATGATTTGGCGAATACCCTCGAAGACCGGGCCCTCTGGGATTCGGAAGGGTAATAAGAGGTTATAAGATCAAAACAACTGTCGGGCTGCCACTAGTAAATGGGAAGGTAAAATAGACTGCTCAAATCAACTCTGGATTGGAGCCCTCGAATCACCAAGAGCCAGATGCACTATCGACCATAATCAGACCTTCGGAGCTTCGTGAAGCGGAAGAGGAAGATGGAATCTGGGAGGGGTATGTTATAGTGGAACGACTTCGAGTAGTGGCCAAACTCGGAGAAGAAAATCGGCTGGCGAGAATCCTCTCTGACGGGGCCGCGAAGCTTCGATGCTCGAAGACCGACGATAACTCGTCCTCCTCAGCTTGCCAGGCAACGGGACGGCTGAACCAAGGGTCGAATGTTTTGGTCACAATGACGAGTTTGGGGCGCAGAGATTTAACAGCTGTTTTGGGTGGTGCCAATTCTGTGGCTGCGATAAGTTTCTGTGGAAATTGTGCCATTGCACTATCACGCGGGTCTGTTACCGAAGGCTTCCCTATCCTCGCCTGGTGGATTACAGCTTCGCGTATACTGCGCGCAGTCCTAGAATCAATGGTCATGCTACTGCGTGTTGTTGGGGACCTTGTGACTCGCTGATCAACATCCCAACTTTGCAAGATTGTGGGTTAGTTCAATTAGCGAGCGGAATACGGGAGGTGAAAAACTCACGAGTAGGCCGGAACCGAAAAAAGAGCGTCTTTTTGGGTCGATGCTGGGCTACTAGATGTCAGCGCTGAAGCTGGAGACACGTCGGGTGAATCTTGTATGTTGATGAGCTGCCGGTCATCCGCATCATGGCTAAATGCGACTCGAGAATCTGTCAGTATCCGATACATCATGCTAGCAGATCGTCAGCAACTTACGCAATACTCCAATGGCACCAATGCTATATGAAATAGGATCTCCTAATGTATCAGTAGTAATAGCAGAGGGTACCAAAGTTAGTAAGTCGAGCAGCACAAGGGATAGCGCTCTGATTATTTGAGTATTGAAAAGATAAGCCCATCCCCGCCGTCTGTAAAGCTGCGGTCTGGGGAGCTTGAACAACAAACGAACGACAACAAAAATTTCCAGGCAAAGGTAAATTGAAGTTGACACCACTGCGGATGTTGGAAAAATGCTAGCAAATCGATGTTGGAATTGATCAGGTTAACGACAGTGCGGATAAACGTTCACTCACTGTCTCGTGATCGGAAAACAGAATGAGATGCCAAGTTGTGGTCCAGGTATAGTTCTGTATCATTTGATATATTGATCAACCATAACCGGTAACCAGGAGGTCTACTCTTACTGCGTAACACCTGTGGCCAATGCAGCGTTGATGAACACAAAAGCTACATTGTATGTAAGTAAACTATCACAGTAAGACTTGATACTAGTGTGAAGTCAACCTACCAAGGCCAGTCAATAACCAAATGAGAGAAATAACTAGCTCCCATTGTTTCATGCCCAAGTGCTTGAGAGCAAGAAGAAGCATGCACAAGCCCATTAAGCGCGCTGTGTCCAGCGAGAGAATACTCCAAGTGACCAAGAAGGCTGATGGAGACTATGAGTCCTAGACGCCGATGTGAGCTCAGGAGTAACCTAAGGTAACCTACCACATAGGTTAGAGTTCTGAAATGATAGTAAAGACCCAAAGTTGGTCAGACCACCCGTCACGAAAGAGGCAAACATCATGATGATCAGGATACGTTGTACATTGTCGCCTGCAGGAGGAGAGAAAACTCGATCGATTGAAGGGGGCGAGATATGTATAATGGAGTCGTTTTGAACGGTGGAGGCTACTAGCAAGGCCCGCAATCTTATGATCATTCTTTTCCGATGCAAAGAAGTCAAGAGAGTAGAAATTGATGCATAGAATACCCATCCAAGGAAGAATGCTGACACAGTCTGACTTGGGTGCACATTGCAGTTTGGTATTACTATATCTGGAACTCCGAGGTGCGCATAACTCACAAGTTTACCTGGTGCAAGAATGTAATTGAACCATTGGCATCGGTTTCCAATGCTCTTGATAGAAACATCATCCAAAGTGGTACCAGACCAGTGGAAAAATATCGACAAAAATCGTTCTTAGCTTGAACGAGCCCGACCTGCCCCGAAGGAGGAAGAACCAGAAAGAGGAGTACAAGTTGAGCAATAACGGAGAAAAACAGGTCAAAAATTTCGTTTATATTTCTTTTGACTGTGGTCAGTCGATCACGATCAATCCTAACAGCCAAGATACTCAGATAGATAGATAGATAAATACCCAGTGTTCCTTAGATGGTTTGATACGCATCTGGAACAATTGGTTACAGTTACCGACAGTAGTAACTTGTGAGGCGAAATAGGCATGCTCAGAAACAAATTCAAAAGCGATCAGGCTTGTGTTGTGAGACTAGCCCAGGTACTACATTTCCAACAGATCTATGACACAGTCGCTGGGAAAGCAAAAGTTTGCACTGGGTGAGGTTAGGTTCAGTACCGAGGACCAAGTGTTGATACCTGCTGCTGATACACCGGCGTTCAACAATTCACCTGACGTTATGGGCATAAGTAGAATGATGAAATGATCGTACCGGTTCACGCTGGCGACGAATAGAATACAAGTTAATTTACCAATTCAGTCTATTTCGTGATCATACTTTCCCTCTCCGGACCAACTCCAATCCATCGCACAGGCACCTTGAGGAATCTCTCGATGTACTCCACGTATTCTTTGCAGCTTTGAGGCAAGTCTTCATAACTTGTGATGGATGCGATGGATGACTTCCACCCTGGAAACGTAACGTACTGGACTTGTACTTTGTCGAGAATCTCAAGGTTGGCTTCAAAAAAGAGAAAGGTTTCAAAGTGAGAAGGCGCAGAGGGAATTTGTACTGACCTGGGAAACCAGGTAGCTCTTTCCCTTCAACCACATATTTTATGCCGATACGAATTTCCTCCAAATCATCAAGCACATCGAGTTTCGTAAGGTTGAGTGAGTCGTAACCGTTTATGAGGTTGGAATGTTTCATGACAACTAGATCTAGCCATCCACACCGCCTCCTGCGACCTGTGGTAGTACCATATTCATGCCCGACCTCTTGCAGATGTACACCAGTGTCCTATCAGATAATGAGATAGTTCATCGGCCCTCAGATGATATCACGAACATTAAGCTGCTCTGTAGGAAAGGGCCCACCACCAACGCGAGTTGTGTACGCCTTGATGACTCCGATAGTGTGTCCAATCAATTTTGGAGGTATACCAAGACCTGTACAGACACCCCCAATACCGGTAGATGACGAAGTAACGAAAGGGTAGGTTCCATAATCAATGTCAAGCATAAGGGCGTTTGCGCCTTCAACAAGAATCTTCTTTCCGCTAGAAAGGGCTTGGTGTATATATACCACACTGTCAATTACGAACGGGCGTAACCTTTCGGCTAGAACCTGGAGCACAAGGTTTATGCAAACGTAGGACCCCCCAAATTGATTTTCCATACCTTGTAGCGCTCAATTTCTCCCTCGGTGTCATACTCAAAGGTACCGTAGCGTTTGAAGCGGCCTTCCACGAGCTTGCGGAATCTCTGCGCAAATGTTTCATGATCGAATAGGTGATGAACGCGAAGACCAGATCGAGAAGCTTTCCCAGAATAAGCTGGGCCGATTCCTTTCTTAGTGGTACCGATGCTGATAGATAGTGAGAGCTTAGCGTCTGTCTAAATTGTTCGGATAGTAGCCTACCTGGAGCCGCCGAGCTCGACTTCCTTCAGACCATCAACTATCTGATGAAAGTCAAAGACCAACTGTGCCCTATCGGAGACGAAAAGTCGGTTGGAACAGTCGAGTCCTTCATAGAAGTAAAGTTTAGCCTTTTGATAGGTTCACTGATTGCTCCAGGCACACCTTGAGATTGTAGCGCATCCAATTCCTCGAAAAACGAAGGAAGATGAACAACTACTCCTGATCCAATGAGACCTGTGCATTTGGGATTGACGAGGCCTAGATATTGCAGGATTACCATTAGAAGTTTATACTTCTACTGACGATCTAACGTACCGCTGGGAAGCAGATGAAACGCGAATGTCTTCTTTACATTCTCTGAACCGACAGGCACGACGATAGTATGTCCAGCATTGTTGCCCCCAGCGCACCGAGCACAGACGTCAATGTCAGCGGAAAGAATATCTACAAGCTTCCCCTTGCCCTCGTCACCCCATTGAGCCCCAAGTACAACGGTGGCTTCGAAGACTTCAGTTTCAAAGTAAGTCATTGGTCGGATAAGTAGACACACCACTCATGAGGAAAGCTCTTCAGCTGAAGTCGTAATGCAGTAAGATACTATATGATTATCGATAAGGAGAATGTTGGTTGTTTTTTTTTGGAGTATGATCAATTCAGTTTGATATATACCACGTGCACGATTTCATCACCTTCTGCGACGACCTGCGACGACCAAATTGAACATGGCTCGATTTGACGCAAAACCGCTGAATCCCTCCAAACTGAATAGGGCTGTTCAGAGAAATCCTGCAATTTTTGGAATTCCTTTCATCCTTCTTATGGTTGCTGCTTCGTACGGAATGTCCACCTTTACTCAGACTCGTTATGATCTACATGACCACAAAGTTAAACAGGTGTGTTATCAATGCTATGCATCTGGTCGGTTAACTCATGGTTACTCTCAGTTGTCCAAAGCGCAGGAGCTTGGGCTGAATAAGCAAAGAAAGAAGTTTGATATACGAGAAGAATATTTCGTGAGTGGTCGAATCCCTCGTAGACTCATGAGGCGATCCAATCAAGTTGTAGAAACTCAGCTCACAAGCAGACGACGATTGGGAGCCAAGAAGAATACAAAGGCCGAAAGGTCTACCAGAATGGGGCGTCCCTCCAACCGAGCCTCCACCGAAGCCTTGAAACCACAAAAGATTCTAGCTCTCACTCTCGCCCTCACTATTCCTGTATCATAGAATATACTAACAATCAATCCATTTGGGGCATGAATTTCCAAGATATGTTCCATTTCAGGATCAGAGACATGCATTTCGATTTTCACCTTTCCGTATAATTCTCCCAGTTGTCCGTAGGTCAAACGGAGCTTCCTATACAGAAATTCGACAGCCTAAGCAGGCACAGGGACATACGAGTTTGACCTGTTTGAACGTGAGGAATCTTCTGACATTATTTGGATGAACACCCGATGAACACAGACACCCATCTCATAAAGATACACATTGGCCGAACAATAGTAGATATATATCAAAGTTTCACTTCCTTCAGTCCGTCTTTCCAGAATGTGAAGTAGGCTGTGAAAGGGGAACTCAATAATCAGTATACAGAATGGATGAATCAAAAGACTTACGGGTGACGCCATCCTCCTATACGACATTGTCAGTAAGGCATTGACTGGAGAACATGGACTCGGACATACCCTGTAATTAAGCAGTGCCACCATACCGTCAGGGTCCATGCCCTCACCGGTGTACTGTTGTTGTCATTCAGCCTTGTTGGAGCGGATAGATATGATACTTCTCACAAATTCATAATCTTTGAAATTTGCGACAACTTTTTTTGCAAAAGCGGCCGCGTCTTTCTCAAAAGGCTCCACACGGTCAGGATTGACTGCCTGTAGATGGTTTTTGATTTTCTTCATGTAACCCTATGAATCAAGAATGGATGCCTTGAAGATCCGGGCCAATAGCACCAGAACATACCTTGAGGTAAGTGAGATAGGATTTCTTGTCAAACGACGTGGATTGAAGACGGAAAGAGTAAACAACGTTGTTGACTTGTGTTGCTCCATCTTCAAGGGCCTCATCTGCATCCTCAGATGATGGGTTGGCACCTGATTCCATACTAGTCAGTATTAAAATCATATCAAGTTTGCGCAAACACACCGATATCTACATCAGCCCCAGCTTTGACAGTGATCAAGGAGCAGTCAACTTCATAAACGATATCGCCGACAGTTTTTCTAAAGAGATAGAGGAAGATCGTTTCACATTGCAAATGAACAGGGTACTGGGCAGGCTTACAGTGGGAAAGCATCGGAGAACATCTCGTCTCCAGAGACAACATCGCTGTACAGTAGCATAGCAAGATCGTATTTTATTCACGACGAAGGATCAGGTTATCGGAGGATGTACAAGTACAGAGAATAGTAGTTGTAGAAAAAAGGATGCGCGATCGATAATATTACGTGATGCGAGTCACATGGCTTTGCTAAATTCTTCGGTAATGCCGCATCTTACCGTAGAAATGGACTACCAACCGGTCATTGTGAAAGCACATCCTCGACCCTCTAGTTCCAAATCTAGTCCTGAAGCAAGGTACTGGCGTCAATTCAAGCATCCTGTTTTTGTTAAAGAATATGCTCCGGTAACTTCTGTGCATTTTTCTCCAACCAAACCACATCGATATGCCGTGACAGCAGCCACCCGAGTTCAACTCTACGCTCCCCGGACACAAAAGGTCACGAAAACCATCTCAAGGTTCAAGGATATTGCTCGGAGCGGCTGCATACGCGCAGATGGCAAATTACTCGTAGCTGGAGACGACACAGGCTTGATTCAGGCATTTTTTTTCGCTCGACTAAAAGAAACCAACGGCTCAAAGATTGTATATGTTAGGTTTTTGACATAAATTCACGAGCAATCCTTCGAACATTCGACTCGCACAAGCAAGCAGTTCATGTGACAAAATTCTCTTCATTAGCACCTACACAGGTTCTTTCCTGCTCCGACGACACCACAGTCAGAATATGGGACGTCCCTTCCCAGTCCTGTACAACCACATTTACCGCTCATACAGACTATGTCCGGTCTGGCCAGTCTTCTACATCGAGTCCCCATCTCCATTTGACCGGCTCATACGATGCCACTGTGCGTCTGTTTGATTCAAGGTCTGGTCAATGTGAGATGGTAATGAATCCAGCAGGAGGCAGCACCGGTGGCAATGTCCCTGTAGAACAAGTTCTGATGTTCCCGTCAGGTACTGTCGCCGTATCCTCGGCAGGATCTATACTTCGTGTCTGGGATTTGGTCGCTGGTGGACGCTGTGTCAGAGCTTTATCCAACCACCAGAAGACTGTCACAGCAATAGCTTTCGACAGCACCGCCAGCCGTTTACTTACTGGTGGACTTGATCAAATGGTCAAGGTGTACGACGTGAGCACGTACAAGGTTGTACATACAATGAGATACCCTGCTCCCGTGTTATGTCTAGCAGTATCAGTGTGTGCTTTGACATACCTTTATCTACCTGCCACTCATTTTGGTTGTTTTAGCCTGATGAAACGCATATCGCAGCAGGAATGACTGACGGTACTCTTTCTGTGCGTAGGCGTAATCCAAAAGCTTCCGAGACTCAGTTCAACGCTTCACTCGCTGCCGCTGTTCTACGTTCTGGTACATTTGAAACCTTCTTTGGTGGGACTCTACCGACAATTGGAATGGGCACGGTTAAGGGAAAGGGAAAGGCTAAACCTCTTGGCGATGTAAACGAATTTCGGATAGAGAGTCGGAGGGCCAAACGATTGAAAGGCTATGACAAACTTCTCAAGGGATTTAAATATTCTGCCGCATTGGACTCGGTTCTTCGCAAAGTATGTCCTGCACACTCAATTTTTGTCTTTCATTTCATTCTGAAACTTCAAGTAGCAAGTGCCTCCAACCACGACATTTGCATTGATACAAGAGTTGATTCACCGTGATGGCCTCCGAATCGCACTTGCTGGCCGGGATGATGTTCTATTAGAGCCTGTCCTGCGAGTGCTGGTCAAGCATGCCACAGATCCACGCTTCGGGGAGATGGTCTGTGATATCGCTGGGCTTGTGATACGTAAGTTCACAGATATACAATCTTGCTACTGTATCTAATCTTGCGATAGAGATGTATACTCCGATCTTAGGTCAATCCCCACTGATTGACTCACTCTTTCTACGACTACGCAAAAAGGTACAGACAGAGCTTCGGTTCCAGAAGGAAATCCGAAGAACGAAAGGTGCCTTGGACATGATCTTTTCGGCCGTAGCATCAACAAATCTCCCATTGCGATAACAGCCGTTTTTCAAAAGTAGTACATACAGTAGATAATGTCGACCAATCCTATTGATCCGTGACTCTATGTAGGCTCCAGTGCAAGAATGAGTCCTTGTAGTATGGCTTTTTGTGAAGTGGATCCCGCATCATAAGTGCTGTTCGAATCTTCGCCAACGTTATCGTGGTATATCCGTAGAGTTTGGACCACGTCTTTCAATGACTGATTTTTCCTACTGAGCATCTGTGATAAATGTAAACGGATCTAAGAGAAGCAAGGATTAGCAAGGACTATCGTACAACATGAGAAAATAAACAAACGCCATCATCTTCCATTGCGATCCAAGCAAGGATATAGTCCACGGTCTGAAGAGTATAAAGACCTCCATCTAGTCTCAGGATATACCAGGCGTCTTCATCTTCCGGTGAGATTTCCTCGCCATCTGCAAGCACATCCTGGAAGAAAGCGGTCGGCACAGATTTCGAAAGTGAAGAGTTCGCTATACCTTTTTCTGACGCGTGATTTCAGCGTCGGCTACTCTCAATCGAGATAGAGAATTGTCCCGGATGTCTAAGAGTTTATCAACCTTGTCGTAGTTGTTTTCGACAAACTTGGTCAAAAGACGAATTCGTTCGGGCGAGTCCGAAGGCAGGTTCGAAAACAATGAAGATATAATCCCTAATATATGGGACGTATCCTCTGATGCAAGTGGAAGGGCAGCGGATTTATGTTTTTTTGTACCCTAGGCACAGAAATGTCAATGTAGTGAATGTGTTCTACAGGGAGGAACTCACTTTGCCCATGAAAGCAGAAAACAATGTTTTTAGACCTAAGGCATCTATAAATGCCTGACAATTCAATGTACCTGCTGGGCCTGACATGGCATAGTCCAACGTTTTGATAGATTTTGAACGAGATTCCATTTTCTCTCTATCATCACATCAGCGTTAGGTTAGAAGACTCTCCTTTAACAATAGAACCGACTTGATGAGCAGAACCATTAGATCAGGGCCTTCGGCTTCCACAAAAAGCATCTTATTATCAGGTTCATTGAGTGCAGAGCACAGACTATCGAAGACGTTTTCCATGAATTCCAACTCTTCTGCATCGACGGGATCTCGCCGGCGGTATTGCTGCACACAATATCAAGATAGTGCTATCACTCGAAGTCAAGTATACTTACTGAAGCAACCTTTAGCAGTGTCTCGATGCCATCCTTTTTTCCAAGTTCTAAGCGATTGGCCTGGTTGTCCTGTAAGAGGATGGAAAGTAGCTCAGCTGCATAACCCCGATTCTCATCGTGTTTCTTCGATTGGATTCGTTGAAGCAACCACACAAGAATGTTTGTCTTCAACACCAAGTCTGTAGCAAGAGAAGGATTGAAACCAACGAGGTTTTCGAAAAATCCTTCATTCTATGAGTTTTGCGAAACAAGAATGTACTGATCCAATGAATCTCACCTAGTATATGGAATACACCTTGTCGATCTGATTCCTCGTCTTCATTCAGGCGCTTCAAATTACCGATCAGAAGATCCATTATCGAATTTTCCAACTGGAAAACAATTGTCGAGAGAATAATTGCGTTAACTTTGTTGAACTCACAAGTGATTCAATAAGGAGCTTCAGACTGGCGGCATGCCCTTCGCTGTCTTCCTCATTGCCGTCTGCTTCTTCCCCAACATCTTCATCTGTAAGTTCATGAAAAACTTCTACCACATCGATCACAATATCCATATTCTCGTGACTAAGCAAGCCAACGAGGAGAACGATAGTTTCCGACCGTACAAGCTCGGAGTACGCGAGCGCAGGAGCTTGAGCCAATGGAAGGAGGGATTTTATGGCATTATCGAGGTCCGCCTCTGATTCAATAAATCTGTAGCCGTGGTGAGTTTTTGATCTTTGTAAGTGAATTGGGATATAATCTCACTTCGTGGGGTCATCTGGATATTTGGATCGTTGATCTTGATTCTTGCTGACCGCGCGTTCAAATTTGAGGAGGGTTCTCCGTATGCCAGTTATTGTTAGTTCATCGGACTAGAAGAACTTAGCGTTTAGCGGTTACATGTTAGATCGCAAACATGGAAGTATTGAACACTCACTTCTGCCAACACCTCGTCACCTGCACGTTCAAATATATTCAGTATATCCTTCTGTTCGCTAGTCAATCCGCCGCCGTAAAATCTCCCGTCTTCGTCCTCCTCAATAAAATAATCGGCATCTCCGCCGGGTGCAAAGCTTGGATCTTCGTCCTCATCCATCGCGTCCTCCACAGTAGCACGCGTCTTGCTTTTCCCTCCTGGTGAATTCGGAAGGGTTTCGATGCCCTTCTCAGAAGCTTCGCTTTCTATTCGCATCTTCTTCAGCATTTCTGGAGTTGGATTAGCTGGCATTTTTCGTTTATTTCCACTCGTCGGAAACTTGGGAACCTGAGTAATTCTAAGACAGGCAGCATAGTCGAAGAGCAAAAGCAAGCATGCCTTGAAAAGACTGTCTATATCCATGTCGGTATTGATAATGTTGCGGACTTATTTGAAAGAAGATGATGAGTGGTCCGGGGCAGCGGTTAACGCGCGCAAAAGTACACGTGGTTTAATTATCGAAACCGCGCGCGCTCGCCCCTAGGCCTGTCACTTTTGTTTTCCGTTTTTCTTCGCTACAGCCATGAGTTCCAGGCGCAATAATGTTAGAGGTCCTACCTCTGCCCTAACAGACTTTCTCAGGGCAAGTGTCGATACCTTTATCTCAGACTTGGTACTGAAATTACTTACAGGAGCAAAATATTACACCTACAACCGTAGCAACTCGAGTGGCAACTCAGAATCAGCCCGCTGCAGGATCCAGTAATTCTGCACAAATTCCCGACTCTGCAGAAGAGTCCGTACCACTGAGGCGCAATCAAAGGCGCAACAGAGTGACGACACGCGATGTAAATCTTATGCATATCTGGAGTTGTTCCTCTGTATCAATGAAGTCGTCTCACAGGAGTATGACTCCGATGGTTTAGATGAGCCCGAAGCTCCAGCCACTAAGAAGAAAAAGATCACAGCAAATAAAGCCAAGGGGAAGAAAACAGGGAAGAAAGACGATGAGGATGACTATGAGGATGACGACGATCCATACACGGCGTTGTCGAAATTTGGAGCTAGAGCTAGGCCTGCAAACGGGAGTATCGAGCGTTGTGCTGAATGCGAGAAGGAGTTCTCTGTAGTCCGTCATTTTCATTTAACTTGCACAACATTGACCAATTTCACAATGAATCAAGAGCCAATACACAATAGCAGCCACCGGGTCCGGTTTCTTGTGTCACCCATGCGCAAAAAAATTGGGTAACGATCCTTTCAAGAAGCCCACTGCACCCCGAAAGCGCATGAAAGCGGCTGACAAACGCAACATCGTGCACTTCGAGAAACCTCGCTTCCCGACGCTTGTGTCGATATGCATCAACGTGTGTTACCTTCTTTTTCTCTTTCTTCGCCCAATTAAAGTCTATATCCAGATTATCTCCACTCATATCGACGACATCGAAGCATTTGGTGACATTGGTACGTTGAATATGGATGCGATTTCCAAGGCCATCTCCAGGAAGCGTAGTCTGTCAGTGTGCCTTTCACCCTTACTGTGAGCGTACTCGCTCACGTGAGTTATACCAGCAATTCAGAGAACGTCCATCTCTTCTATGGCTCAGGAAATACATCTCTCACACTTTATGATGCGACTAGTGAGCACCTCATCTCTGTTTCACTGCTTTGCAAATAACATGCTTGCATAGAACTTTCCCCTACCGCACTCATAACCCTAGGCCACCTGAATCCCAACCTCACCACTCTTCATCTCAATTTTTGCGGATTAATATCTGATGAAGTCATGAACTCATGGCGCTCTTCACTCCCAAATTTGGTACACCTCCAGCTCCTTGGACCGTTCCTCGTCCGTGTACCGGCCTGGATTGCATTTTTCGAATCTCATTCGCGATTACAAAGTTTTCTCATCACTCAAAGCCCCCGTTTTGACCTCGAATGCCTCCAAAGCCTCATTAGAACTAGCGGAAAGACGCTGACGAGATTGGGTCTTAGGGCAGTCGGCTTGCTGTCTGACGATTTCCTAGGACCAATTGGGTTGTTATCAGGCCAGCTCAGTTATCTAGACATCAGTGAGCCCTCGCAGTCTTGCAGCAATGAGGCGGTCAACACACTTCTCGGTGCGGTAGGCTCTACACTTACGCACCTGAATTTGTCCGGACACATTGAGCTTACCGATGATGTGCTTCAATTTGGTATCCTACCTAACATTACTAGTCTTCGACATCTTACCCTCTCGAACCTTCCACTGCTCACTGACGAAGGTGTTGCTCTGTTCTTTTCCCAGTGGCCCAATCCACCTTTGACTGCAGTAACATTCTCTCGCAATCCGAAGTTATCAACAAACTCTCTTGTGGAGCTGCTCAATCACTCTGGCGAAGGGCTGCGCTCGCTGGATGTCAATGGATGGAAGGACGTGAGTGCGACCGCCCTTGCGAATATAGCGACACAAGCCAGAGATTTGGGAAAGATCGACCTTGGATGGTGCCGCGAAGTTGATGATTTCATCGTGAAATCGATATTGGATAATTGCAAAAACAGATTGACCGAAGTAAAAGTTTGGGGATGCAACAAAGTCCAAGGAAAATGGGTTACTAGTGGAACAAAAACCAAAGCAAAGATTTTTGGTATTGAACGCGCACATACTTCTATCATATGAATTTATTTTACATAGTATTTACTCTTCGAATAGTATTTAGTGGGATGAAGTATTATAACCTTGAAGGGGGCCGTGCAGGTTAAGTGGTACCTATACCTATCGCATCTGCAAAATCTACATCTTTCAGTAGTTTCTATATCTGATGTTCTCTGCATTTACGAAAAACTATATCAAACTATTCGTATTGCGTAACGGGACCATAAAATGCTAGCACCTGTCATTGAGATGTGTAAATTGAGCTGCTAGTTGTTTTCAAGGAATATCATACGCGTTACGCCATAAAGGTCAAACCCAAATTGGCGCTGTCGTCGACTTCCATTCCACCAGCAGTACCTTCTCCGATCACATGTCTGGAAAGCTTCCGTTCTTTCTTCCTCTCCTTCTTTGCCATGATCCTATTCATTCGCCTGTTCATTGGGTTGCTTTTCCCCATCTCCCTCAACACATGTGCATCTGGAGGAGCATCATATGAGGGGATGAGATGAGATTTTCGATGGCGCTTTGCTTGACGTAGTTGTACATTGGAGGGTTCGTGTGGTTGTGATAGCCCGACCGATATTGAAGGGGAGGGGGAACGAAGGTGTTTGCCGAGAGATGTTCGTCTTGATGCAAATTCTGAAGCAGAGATCGTCCTAAGGGAACGTGCGAAAGATGATTCCAACGTGTATATCTCGCAGGAGACGAAACCACTTACGCGTCACCTTCCTGCATCCCATCATCCGCATTCTCATTGCCAAGAGTCTCATTTGCATCCCAAAACATGTCATCTCCATCCCCTTCCGCATCCATATTCACATCCGGGCCAGATCTACCTCCACCGAACGCACCAGCATCAGCTGCGCCGAAAAGTCCTTCCAGCTCAAACGGTTCTGAGAAGGACGACAATATCTGTGCATGTCCGACGTTCTCTGCTCCCGGGGCGATGATTTGTCCAGCTTGTCCTGGTGCAGAGCCAGATAGATCAGGCGCGGTCGAAAAGTTAGGAACGGCGGAAATCATTGATGAAGGGATAGTAGAGGGTATAGATGAGGGGTGGATTGTCGGAGGGACAGAGCAGTATGGGATCTTCTGATGGTTCCAGTCGGTGATGACTTGACGAGCAGCGGATGTTATATCAGGGGTCCCGCCCTGGAAATTTGAGGTCAAGGCAGGTAGACAGAGGATTCACAAAATAAGGTCACCTTCAATAATCTCCCGCTACTCAACGCCAACATCGTAAGAAATTCCAGAGTAGCGTTGTAATCAGGCAGCGAGTAGATTTTGCGCATTGTTTCTTTTTCTGTGCGAATCAAGATCTCTTCAACTAGGAATCGATTTTAAATCGTCAGGTATATTGGATGATATACGAAAGAATCACGAAATACAACTCACCAACAGCAATCGGGTCATCTACATCCTCAACCTTGACAACGTTCCGCAATAGGACGCTGCCCTTCTTCTGACCCTTGAAATCTTCATCGTCCTCGTCGAAAACGACGCCGGGTGAATCGACTATACGCATTCCCCGTTCAAGCTGTACTGACTGGAGTTCCTTGGTATGACCCGGTTGGGCAGCTACAGCGCACACCTATACAAAGATGGTCATTACTTCAAACTGGTCATGTTTTTGGAGAGAAGCAAAGTACTTTGTTTCTCTTCAGACTATTAATCAAACTACTTTTTCCAACATTCGGATAACCCACAACACCGACTGTGACACTTCCGGCTTTAGGCTTATATGCCTTGAGCAATTTAAGAAGCGAAGGTGCAGTGGAAGAGGATATGTTGGTCCTTTGGTGTTGGGCTGAGGAAGGAGATAAAAACGGTAAAGTGGGCGTATTGTGTCGGAGGTGTTTGAGCCATGCTTGAGCGTTGGCGCGAGGGATGAGATCTACGAAAGGAGCAATACGATGAGTAACAGATCGCGGAATATGATACTGATTGAGAGTCACTCACCGACCTTGTTCAATACAAAAACCAACTTCTTCCCTTCACTTTCCCTTCTTCTTACCTCCTCCTCTACCAACCGACTCCTACAACCTTCCGGATCCCGCGCATCCAGTACGAGTATAATGATATCTGATTGATCGATAACTTTGTGAAGTGTTCTCAGGTAATGTTTTCGTATTTGTTCTTTCGTCTTGCCGGTCGATGAGCCTGGGTCCTGGTTTTGCGAAAAATCGAAAGCGTCTTCGGCATTGGAGGCAAGTTGTGCTAATGAAGATAGTGTGGGCTCAGAGGCCATGACACAGTCGGGATCTGATCTGTGTGTTGGGATGCTCTGCAAGTAATGATCGGGGATCGTATAAGTGGCGGGGCGGATGGAGGGGAAACCAATGAGGCAGTGGAATCAAAGACATACAGGTCGAGCGCGTTGTCGGAGTTCATTCCGCTGCTTGATGTCAGGGAGCTTAGGGATTCCAGGATCTTTTTTGAGTTCTGGAAAGAATCCATTGATAATCAGAGGGAAAAGGAAGTACGAGCTAGTGCTACATACTTGATTTCAATGGTACTATAGGTTTCCTATGTTCTAAGAAGCAGTGAGCACCTTGAAACAAAGGACAAAAGTTTCCTCACTAGTTCTACCCATCGTCATAGTAAAAGTAAAGAGAAAAAGACGCGAGCGCTGTCCCTATGTACTTAGAAATACCACGATAGCACAGCCACAGCCATGTTTCCTGAGCGAGCGAATGCATTTTATCATTGCCAATTACATGTGGTGAATGTTAGGCTTGCGCTACGACTACTAGTTCCTACTCACAGTACTATATGCGTGCTAACTATTCAGGATATCCTGTGCTTCCGTGAAAAGTGCTAAATGCTCTTGGGACGCTGAAATATGCGGAGGTTAGTTTCTCTTCCGGCAAACATATCGTGCACATAGGCGACGTCGCCTCATGTTCGCACCAGGATTGATTTTGCTTGTATGAAAGTTTGTGATAGAGTATTAAATTTACAGTAAACAGTTACCATAGATCACCGCAGACTACGTATACTTGGAAAAATCACTATCCCTTTCATGCCATATACGACATTCAAAAAGCGTTTGAGAGCGTTCACGGAAGTTACGGGAAAAAATACTAGCCTATACAGCATTTGCCTGAAGCATATCAATAGGGCCTGTGTCGGTTCTTCTTCAAATCTTTCTCGAGTTGACGAGCCTTGCGATGACCAATCTCTACGGGACGAATAGCAGCATCATCGGCCTTTCGAAGTTTAACAGGTCGGTTACCCACGTATTTGCCTGGAATAAGCCCAATGAGCCCCATTCGGAAAATCGATTCAGATGTCTCTTACCGTCCATCTCCTTCCAAGCCTTCAAAAAATCTTCAGGATCAGAGAACGCAATAAAACCGTACTTGGCCTATGATAAGAGACATTAGGTCAGGATAAACAGCAAGGAAAAGTTGGATAGATTTACCTTCTGGCTCAATCTATCACGGATGACTCGCGCTTTCTGAAATGAGGTATACTTATTGAAAGCATTGGACAAAACATCATCCGAGACGTCGTTGCTGAGATCGCCGACAAAGAGTCTGAACCAAGCTGCAAAGACTATCATCAGAAGGAGGATTGCTTAGCCAAAGGTCAGAACTCACATGGATTCCACTCCAGCAACGTCTGATCTTCCCACACCTTGCCTCCTCCCTTTCGCAAAACAGTGGTTCGTTTGCCACCTTTGGCTAGTTTGCCACCCGAGCCACCTCGTTTGTCAATCATCGCCCCCGGAACATAGACACTTTGTTGAGCCAAGATACCAACATCATATTCGTAAGCGTTGGCAGGAACTGGAGCACTATGGTTGGAAGAGGATCCAGCAGCAGGATAAGATGGACCAGCATATGGTTTGTGGTAGGGATTGTCGAATGTCGACTGGCTGTAATAGGAGTTCGAGTTTGAATAATCCATGGGTGAGAATGAGAGAGCTTGTCACACCGTCTGGGCGTAACAACTGCGTAACAGCGTCACGATGTTACACTTGTCGGGACGCTCGGGCCGAAAGCAGTCCCAAATTTTGTTTGGCCTAACGTTGCCCGTTGAGTTCCTCAACACATCCTCAAGCCCAAGGTTCGTTCAATTTCGCTAATATGCTACCACCCGCCCCAAAAGCCCTCCAAAAGAGTCTAATTCAATCTATGTCGAATTTGGGGGGAAATTCCAAGTGCAATGGGCCGGATTGGATTGGAGATTGTGGGATGTACTGTAACTTACTGTTCTTTTTCACAGATGCCGTTCGTCAAAAAGATCAAGTCCGGTGCCTACTTCTCTCGTTTCCAGGTCAAGTACCGTAGAAGGAGAGAGGGAAAGACTGACTGTGAGCTGCACGGAATGCTTATTTGGAATTGGTTCTGACTTTATCATATAGACTATGCTCGCAAGAGGTTGACCACCCAGGCCAAGAATAAGTAGTATGTGCAGTGGCTCATTGGTACTGTATATCAATCTCTAACTTATCCCAAAGTAACGCCCCCAAATATCGCCTCGTTGTACGATTCACCAACAAGGACATCATCGTCCAGATCGCGTATGCTCGTCTTCAGGGTGACTTTATACTCGCCGCTGCACATTCAAAAGAGCTTCCACGATACGGCATAAACCATGGGCTCACCAACTGGGCTGCTGGTATGTAGTTTTTTTACTACCCATTTATTCGCTGATTTTATTTACCTCAATAATTACAGCTTACGCTACTGGTCTCTTATGTGCACGTCGCGCATTGACCAAGCTTGGGCTAGCTGACAAGTATGAGGGTGTTGCCGAACCAGAGGGCGAATTCACGTTGACCGAAGCCCTCGATGAAGAGGATGCCCCACGACCATTCAAATGCTTCCTTGACGTCGGTCTCAAGCGCACTTCGACTGGTTCGCGTGTGTTTGGAGCAATGAAGGGTGCATCGGATGGTGGTATCTTCATTCCCCATTCAGAAAAACGTTTCCCCGGCTACGACCCAGAGTCCAAGGAACTTGATGCCGAAGTTTTGAAGAAGTACATCTTCGGTGGTCACGTCGCAGAGTACATGGAATCATTGGAGGAGGAAGATGACGAGCGGTAAGTTCCACTATACTTCTCTGCTAACTCAAGATCTTACGCATCTGCCTTTAGTTTCAAGAAGCAGTTTGCAACTTACCTTGCAGATGGCATCGGCTCTGAGGATATGGAGGAGATTTACACAAACGCTCACGCTGCAATCCGTGAAGATCCGGTCTTCAAGCCCACAGAAAAGACCAAGGACTGGAAGGCGGAGAGCTCGAAGTATGCTACACCGAGACTTACCCATGCCCAACGCAAGGAGAAAATCAATGCCAGAATCGAGCAGTTCCGTGCAGGTGCTGGCGACGACGACGAGTAAGGGAGTCCTCTGGTTCCATGGTAGTTTTATCATGTTTCATGTTCATTCATCTATACCTATGCTCTTTGATCTTTCGTATGACACTATAAATGAGATCTATTGCGTTATGGAATGTCTATTCGTTCAGAGCATTTCCAAGAACATGTTGGACCCAATCAATCAAGCTCTTCTCTGCATCTGAAGAGTCGTACGTGTCGACGACTGGGTGTTTTGGGTCGGTACGACTAAGACGTGTTGCTATACATATGATCTTGAACTTGTGTCCGAAGGTGATCTGAAAATTTCTAAAAGAACGAATTAAAATAATGCATCACCATTGTATGAGGCACAAAAAGACATACAAGACGCAACCTTCCCATCGCCCAACACACCGATTCAAGTCTACAAACCAGACAGCACCCATGTCGTTGCATATCCGACGCCCCACATCACATATCCGCTCCAGGAAAAAGCGTTCAACCTCATCAGAGAGTAGTTCGCACAACTGAGGCATGGAGGAAATCGATATCGTTGCTTGCGATAAATGAGCAGTCAGAGCAGACGGCGATACCAGAGTCAATCTCAGATTATGACTGTGGAGATGTAAGTTAGGAAAAGTTGATCCGTGAAGTTGGTCGAATTTACCGATTGTCGATTCTCAGAGTACACACACCACTCAATGGACGAGCCTCTTCATCGACAGGAATCTTGATCAACTCGCTTCCAATCTCGCCTACAGCATTAAATCGAAGCATTGAAGGTATTCCAGCAGCAATTAATGCAGCTTTGACTACATTCAACTGCGAGTGGATACGTTCACAGAAGATTTGATACTGCAACTGGTCGATGACTGGTTGTAATATTGGAAGATTGGCCTGAGATGGATCCAGACTAGAGATACTCAAACTGGAGGATGAATCTGTACCAAGTCGCCGAGCTTTGACGTAGGCATGTCGTCGTAAGAGAAGGGTGAGGAGGTAGTGGTATATGAAATCAGATTTAGCTTGATTGACAGGATTTTGAGTAGAAGACATCCCCAACGAGAATATACCAGCATCAACCTATGTCACATTTGTTCAACTCGTATGTAGGGATTTGCCATTAGATAAACACCACCTACCAGCTCAAATTTGAGTTCCATTCCCTGAGTGACATCCACAAGGACAAGTCTTTCTGAAACTCTAGCGGAGGCAGTAGGAAATGTACCTGCCTCGTGTACGAGTATCGAGAAAATCTCTTGTTCAATCACCGCGCGCTGGGCATCTTTCAGACGTTCGTCAAGGGAAAGCGCATGATCCTCAGGTGAGACTTCGAGAGCATTGTGAGAATATACAATATTTCCGGAAGCATCTGGGCTGCCGATAGAGACGCGTAGACGAATATTGAAGCGCTGTGGTAATATCAAAGACTCCTCCTCAGAACCGCCGTAGGACATGTGGGCGATAGCACTTCTTCGAAGTATCGGAGGTGCTGTAATTGTACAATCAATACGAGTGCACCTGAATGATGAAACAAAGATGACAGACATTCTTCCAGTCCATACGAGATTATGAAGTCTTTTGAGGTTTTGTCAGCGCCCTTGCCTGTCGCGGATCCAGGTGGCAGAGGTGCGGGAACAAGTCCCCAGTTACCGCGACGTATTTTGAGCGCGTCAACCCAATACCTTTCGTTCTGCAACCTCCCACGTTCCATTCTCGTAGCTACAGACTTGAAGAGATGTGCAGCTTTCCTTAAAGCTTCGTCTTTCCCTCCTATAGCCAACTGTGCGTTGAACGCTTGCACGGACACAATTGAAGGCGGCTTTGTGACTACGGTCGCAGACAACGGAGGTAGAGATTCCGGTTGTTGGATCTGGGGTTCCGGAGCAGCAATGGAATGCAGAATGGAAGGCAAGGCTGTAGATAGCCCGTTAGAGGAGGCCAGAATAGATGATAATAGGTCTCTAGCCAACGTCATTTCTCCCAAAGCAATGCTGGTACGATCATGATAAGTTCTGCATAACATACACCTTCAGCACTCACTATAGCTGGGGCATAACCTCCATCTTCAATTTATAAAGCTCATCCTTGGTCATTGTGTGATTGCTTTCTTCATCGAACGCGGTATCTTGAGATTCATCTTCTCGTTTGTCGGCTGCGTCTGCGGAGGGCAGCACGCCTGTTTGCAGAGATCCATCCTTCAAGAGTTCAAAAAATTCCAGTCCACGTTCTTCGTAGATCCGTTGGAGATTTCGACCAAGCACCTCAGTCGGAGTTTCCTTGCTAACAAGGCTTGTTAACGAACAAAGCTGAGAAGAAAGTAGCTTACGGCTCATAGTGTAAAATACCGTCCGACGTGATGTCGTAAAGGACTGGTATTGCTTCACCGTTGTCATTCTTATACGGTCGTTCGAGAGAGAGTTTGGTCTGTTTCCAACCTGGCTCCATGTAGCGGATAATTATTTAAGAAGGATGATAAGATAAGCGGCGGCGAAAGCGCCTAGAATTATAGCAAGGTTCAACGTCAACTCTCATTCTGCTCTCAGTCTCTCTCAGCGTTGTCATCCTATCGACAGTCCGTTCATCTGTTCTCTCCGATCGACTTCAGTACAAGTGCTCTGCTCGACGATCCTTATTCTACGGATACTTCGAATTTGTATCGTCTTCAGCCATTTGGTGCTCCGAGTTACACTTGGTCGCGCTGCTAACGTACTTCCTGAACGGAGCATAGCCCTTGCACAGTATCTAGTAGCCAAGCACCCTTGAAGTAGCTATTGCTCAAGCTTCCATGGGATCTGCCCCAACATCCAGAGCTACGTCGATGAAGAATCCACATTCAGCTCCGTCTTTACCTGTCTCTTCTGCAAAGCGGAAGAAGCTGGATGACGACTCTGAGAACGGAACCAGCAGAAAGCGCAACCGCGTGAGGTTGGTTTTATAACCCATTCTGTGGGAACAGCCGACTAATTCTTCGACCTTGTTCGGGGTAGTTTTAGTTGCTCGGAGTGTCACAGGAAAGTTTGAAATTTTTGAGTTCCTAAAGCCGAAGAACTTACAATCGGTGTTCAAAATGTTACAGGAGAAAACAAAAGGTGCGTTTACCTTTTAGTAATTCTCTTATCTGTTGTTTTAAGTATTCTTCTTTACAGTGCGATCGCCAGATGCCTTGCGCCCATGTACGTTCTTGGAAGTTCTTGCTAACTCACACCAACATCTGTCTCTCAGTGCATCGCACGTAAGGTGCCTGAACTTTGCAAAGCGTATACCCCAGGAAAATCAGACCAAGACCTTGGTCTTCGGATTGCTCGTTTGGAACAAATAATCGAAATGGCTCTTCCACAGTTCTCTGACTTGGAATCTTCTGGTTTCAATGTTCCAGAAAGACAGCGGTCGATGTCAATGACAGAAGATGATGTACACTCTCAACAGGAGGATCACGATGCCAGCGGAGGGGCTTTTCAAAGTGGCAAATGGTATGGAAACAGTGCATCGGGAAGTATTGCACCTGCGTCGGTGCTCGAGCAAGTACGTGGCTGTTCAAATCGAAGTACTATTTTACTTATTCTTCTAGCTTCAAAACGCTGTAATGCCTCCAAAAGCGGTTAGTTTATCGACGTGTTATTCATGACGTTCTTTTCCTTGACGAGGACATAGGCTTCGAGCAACCACACTATCCAGTCCGTTGTGCCTGTTTTAGAACCGTCTGCGGCAGATAATCTGAAGACTTTGGTTCAAGAATGCGGAGTATCACCGCACAAGATCCCCGAAATTCTTCAAGAACTGCCACCACTCCGATCATCCGATGCACTGATCAATTATTATTTTACCTCTCTGTACGCATCGGCCGGCTTTTTAACTCGACTTATTTTGACGCTGATTATCAGAAATTGGACTCGTTACGCTATCTCTGAACCAGAGTTTCGTTCAGCGTATGCTGCAGTGTCTGCTCATGGCAGTCATGGTCTGAGTGCTACTAATCCCAATGATGTCCGATTCCTTCCGCTTCTTTTTGTTGTCCTTGCGATTTCCGTCAGACTTGCTCCTGAGGAATTGGCTGGTGATGCCCGCCAGAGAAGAATAACATCCCTACGATATTACTGGTCGTGTGAGTGTCCACTCTTTTCCATTTATGTCTTTCTCAATCTAGGTAGCCCGAAGATCTCTTCTAATTGCAGCCGCGATACAACCAGACTCTCTAGACATTGTCTTAACCCGTCTACTCGTAAGCATATTGGATTCACATTACTATATTACGGTTCGGTTGACCGCTCAATAGAGTGCTCGATTTCTGACGTTCGACCGTCGTATCACTGAATGTTGGAGTCAACTAGGCGCTGCCGTCCGAACTGCTGAAGCCTTGGGCTTGCATCGCGATGGTGCCTCAATGGGTATGGAACCTGCTATGGTTGAATACCGTCGTCGAATATGGCAAGTCTGGATTGTGCCTATCAACACTATATTCTCATACTATTTTAGGTCATATCTATACCATGCAGATCGTTCATACGCCCTCGTCTTGGGCAGGCCACATTCAATACAAGACGATTATACCTCGACCTTACCGCCTTCCAATATCGATGATGATTCTCTCGCAGCTTTCAAACAGCCACCACCCCCCTTGTCAATACCTACCCGTATGACATGTATAATCTTGCGCCACCAGCTGGCAACAATAACTGGTCGCATTGTACACCATTTCCAGAAAGTCCGAACACCGAGTCACTATTCGGAGGTTTGTGCGTTGGATGACGATATTCTCCGATATGTGTCCAATCTTCCTCCACATTATTCTCTCAATCCCGACACCTCTCTGGACGAAGAAAAGCCCTACATTCCCATCCATCGCTTTCTGCTGATCACAGAAGTCCTCTTTGTACGGACCAGTCTGCATCGTCCATATATACTCCGTCGCCTGAGCTCAGATCGCTATGCGCGATCTCGAGCAGCTTGTTTCGAATCAGCCGTTAAGGACTACCAAGTTCGTCAGGCGTTTCGAGAAACAGCAGCGGAGGAGGTTCGTATTTCATTGGGGAATGCATACAGAGAATTCCAGACTGCCATGATCAGTGGAATATACCTTGCCATTTATCCCAATGGTGAAGATGCTAGCATCATGCATACCATCCTAGATACTTTTGTGTCTGATCATGACGGTCTAAGGGAAATAGACGAGACCACGCGCAGAGAGCTCAAGACCATAGAATTTCTAAAGAGTAAAGCATTACAACGAAGTAAACCAGATCCTCCGTCCGTCACACCTACTACAAATGGGGATTCTACCAACGGCTCAGTAACGACGCCCGATAATGCCGCACAATTGCTTCTTAACATTCACCGTTCTCCCCCTGCTGTTGGTTCTCCCAAAGCACCATTTCCGTCCTTGTTCAATCTTGATTCAGACCATATTAATCCAACATCAACATATAATTACAATGGGAATCACGCAGCCGGCACCACTGCGCATTTAACGCTGTCGCCGACCTATCAACGTCTACAACATCCCCCAGAATACTCCCCAGCTTCATCTAGTCCCGCTGCGGAGGAATCTGAATCTACCGCTCAGATACTGTTTGATCATTGGTGTAACACTGTCAGCAATGCACCTTTGGAAAGCTTGAATGCACCTTTGGCTTGGGGTGGGCAGGGCGGAGCTGATCTTTCTGGTTGGGCAGCGCAGGCAGCCGCGGGCTCATCTGTGCAGCAGCTAACGGGCGCAGTGAACGGGGCAGTCAATGGGTCAGACAATCAAGATTGGAGTTTTTATTGGGAAGCGCTGGTCAATCAAATACCTCGAACGGAGTGAGGATCTTCTGTCTTTCCATGGTTTCTGTCCGTTCTCTGTAGCAACAGTTGTATCTATTATCTTGAGTTTATGTATATTGCAATATATATTTGATGTTTTCTGTGTATCGAGACGATACATAAAGTATCTGAAAGCGTAGGGCTGACGTACTATCGAGGTACCGGTATAATCTTTAAGTTAAACTTCCCAACAACATTTTATCCTTCGACTTCTTGAGTCTTATCATCGCGGAAATGGGCGATATTTCCCACCATTGGAATCTAGACTTTCTTCGCAATGACCCTCTCGACACTGCACCGAAACGTGTGCTGATTATCCTGAATCAACCTTTTTCTTGTTCTCTCTTGCAACGTCTCTGGAATTCTACATGTTGGCACTGTTGCGCCGATGGCGGAGCTAATCGACTATTGGACACTTTACGCCAGCAAAATCATAATACAGCGTTGTATGGATTCTCTCTTTAGTTGGGTTCTTTCGACATTCAAACTACTTTCAGCTACCTCCCGGACCTGATCAGGGGCGACCTTGACTCTTTGCGGCCGGATGTACGAGAATACTACGACTCCAAAGTCCGTATGTCGTTGTTTGACCCACTGCATACATCCTCATGCCCAATCTAGGGCGTTTTGGTGGAGAAGGATGACGACCAAGACTCTACAGATCTAATGAAGTGTATTTCTGCGATAATAGAGAAAGAAAAAACCGAAGGAACGAGTGTACGAGATCGCCTTGATGTTTGCATTAGATCTGGATAGCGCTTCACGAGTTTTAACAGCAATACGAAATTATTCTTCTTGGAGGACTGGCTGGACGCCTTGATCAAACTATTCACACTCTGTCCTATCTTCATAAATTACGGAAGGTCAGAGATCGGGTATATGCCGTCACGGATGACAATGTATGTTGGGTCCTCGATAGTGTAAGTTATCTGGTCAATCGATGATGAACTATGATATCCTATCCTTTTTTCAGGGAGAACATATCATAGAAATAGACCATACGATCCTCGGCGTTACCTGTGGACTTTTACCTGTCGGAATCGAAAGCACGATCTTATCAACATCGGGTCTTCGCTGGAATTTGAGTAAGTCCCGCCCTTGTATATTGACTCCGATACTGATCGTGACCAAAGCGAATCATACTTCATCTTTCGACGGACTTGTCTCCACGTCTAATCATTTGGTTCCAGGAGTGGATGTTTGGGTAAAAACTTCGAAGCCGATACTGTGGACTATAGAGCTTCGAGAGCAGTTCAGATAATTTTCTACTATCTCTACTACTAGATGAATTTCGATGATGCACCGCAGACTGATTTATGTATCCCAAAGCTATCCAAAGTCATGTACCCGCTTGCGCCCTTCCTCTAGGATAACAGCGCAGGTCTCACGGTAAATTGTTCAAATCTATCAGGACAAGAACGAAAACTACTGTCCATGCGCTGAATGCTTGATTCCATCCTTGGGCGCTGTTCCCGTTTTGAACGTTCGGCCGATAGGCTGCGAATGTTGCTGCGGTTGCTGCAGCGTCTGTGGTCAGCGTCCCCGATGGGATATCAATGGTTGGGGTAGCTTGTCTTTCAGTACTGGTAGTGCTCATTCTGGACTTGCGCAATTTTGAAGAGCTGCCAGGCGGGCTGTTTGACGCAGTGATGGTGCTGGAAGGTGCTGATGTCACGGTCGTCGCAGATAAGGAAGAGTTTGACTCCTGGCTGTCAGAAGAGTTCGCCGATGCGCTATTCAACGAACCGACTCCCCAAGGGATACTGTCTCCGTTAGGCTGTGTGGAATTCGCGGGTGGGGATGATTCACCAGAAGGTGAGGCAATCTGAATACAATCAATCATGTTAGAATATGACATTTGACCCGCTTTACCATATACTTAATAAGGTACTTACCGTAAAACGAGTTGTCCATTTAGAATTTGTCGTGTCGTTGCTATTGGTGAACTAGTTACATGTCAGGATCAAGTTGGACCAAAGTTGACGAAAGCTGCAGGATTGCAAAATCATACCTGGTAAAAATATATCGCCGAGTAGGGGTTTACCTCTGGACATGTCCAATTGAAAGGAGAAAGAGCTGCATTTGAACCATCCAACCCGCTTGCGACTGGTGCTACGAGCTGCATCTGGGTGTTGGAACCTGACATGAGGGCTTGAGAAAGGTTTTTGTCGTAAGACTAAATTCATTTTAGCGGTCGACGAGAGAAGCTTACAAATTGTAAAGTTTGACCAGTTTTCGCCCACTTGCCACTGGATTGTACAAGGCGAGCCAGCGTTGAACTGATCGCCTGGACCTGGGGCAGTAGGTGTGATGCCATCGCCAACAACAAAACGAAAGGCGGGAAATAGGACAACGAGAAATGCAAGATAAAGCATATTATATCACCGGGATATAGTAGCAAGATCAAAATTATAGTAGAGATGTACCGGTACCAGACCGATGGTGAACGAACTGTTGAAAGAGCTAGGAATCCGTGAAACGCCAATCTTATAGGAGCGAAAGATAGACGCTGGGCATGATGTAAGTAATCCCATGCCGTAGCAGGCCAGGGCCTTCCTCCATTTGACCACCATGCAGACTATTAATCGCTTTCTCTACGGGCCTACACCGGAAGAAAAGGTTCGAGCATGGCAAGCGAAACTGGGGCAAGAGAGTCGCAAGTTAGATAGGGACATGAGGCAGGTTGGATCATACATGTTCACCAGCTTCTACCAATGCTCACGAGAAACACTTTAGTTAGAGGTGGAGACAGGAAAAGCAAGGAACACCGTCAAACAGTTGGCAAAGAAGGGGGATGTCAAATCTGCACGTATATTGGCTCGTGAAGTTGTTAGATCACAGCGGCAGAAAGACCGTTTGTCAGTGAGCAAGGCAAGATTGGGGTCAATTGGAATACAGTTAAAGCAACAGCTCGGTACGTTGTCTATCTTATTGTCTTCCTCAAGTATATTCATCTCCCGTTCTGAAGCGATGGCAAAAGTAACCGGCTCACTCCAGAAATCCACTGAGATCATGAGGTTGTCGAATTCGCTAGTCAAATTGCCCCAAGTGAGCCAATCGATGCGAGAAATGAGCATGGAAATGACCAAGGTACGAACGAAGAGCATATAACTTTTGAGAAATGAACTTTTTTGGCCAGGCGGGCATTCTCGAAGAGATGATGGAGGATACCTTGGCAATGGACGATGATGAGGACCTAGAAGAGGAAGCTGACGAGGAAGTTGACAAGGTTTTGTTCCAGCTAACTGACGGAAAGCTGGGTCAGGCAGGCTCCGTGAGCACCGAGCTCCCAGTACGTGCATACTCCTTACATTCAGAGACTTGTTACTGATATCCTCTGGGTCATACAGCCCGTGGAACAGTCACCGGAAGACGAAGAAATCGAGCGAAATTTGGAAAAGTACCGACAAGAATTGAATGGTATACTGAGCGGATAATCAGCATCTGTAACCTGTATGATATATTTTGTTATTCTTGTATAAATTTGTCCGTACATACATACTGTATATGTAAGTCGCCAAAGCTTGGCTGTCTAGTGCGTCATTTGCCACGTGACTCGATAGTTTTCGGAACAATCGGACTGGAAATAACTTTCTCCATCCATCCCTCTATCACAAAAAATATGCTGCCCTCTAGATCATTAGCTGGCATTGCGCAGGGCGCATTCAAAAGCTCCCAGGTTGGGTCTTCTGGTCATGAAATACACAGCAATCTGACATGTGCTGTAGGCTATCAGACGTTACGCTTCTGCCTCTCCGACAGCAGCTTTCGCCGGACAAAAGGGTACTAATGTGTGTTGTTGACTGACCTTCACTTGTTCATGCATGATTGAAACATTTAACAGGGAAAATACACCGTCACTCTTATCCCTGGAGACGGTACGAAGAACGCTACATTGTTTGAGCGACTGCTTTAACTTTTACGAAGGTATTGGCCCTGAAATCAGCGAGGCCGTTAAGGATATTTATTCCGCGGCGGGCGTGCGTCATATTTGACCCATCATCGCAGTTGTGTCGCTAACCATTTTTAACAGGTGCCAATCCAGTGGGAGGAGGTCAGCGTGACGCCCATACTGAAAGGAGGGAAGACTGTTATTCCGGATACTGCCATCGAATCCGTCAAGCGCAATACTGTTGCCTTGAAAGGTGCGATTCTCCAATGCAGAGATGTGGACGCTTCTCTTAATCATCCTTTCTTCAGGACCTCTGGCTACTCCCAGTAAGCCAGACACTTTTCAATATTCGGTTACACTCAACTGGTGAAACAGTCGGGAAAGGACATGTCTCCTTGAACTTGACACTCCGTCGAACATTCAACTTGTTCGCCAACGTCCGACCATGTATCTCTATAACTGGTTTCAAGACGCCATACGACGATGTCAACACCGTCCTCATTCGTGAAAACACCGAGGGAGAGTATTCCGGTATCGAACACGAGGTGCGTTAACGTTTCGACGCGAAGAAATAACGTTGAATGCTATTCTTCGCGTGTAGGTTGTCAATGGCGTCGTACAATCTATCAAACTCATCACCTGGGAGGCCTCTGAGCGTGTCGCGCGTTACGCCTTCTATTACGCGCAATCGCAAGGCAGACATCGCGTCACTGCAGTCCACAAAGCCAATATTATGTATGAATGATCGAATATCCTGTTTATAATTTCTGAAATCCTTTCAAAGGAAAATGTCCGATGGCATGTTTTTGTCAGCGTGTCGTGAGGTCTCCAAGGATTTCCCTGATATCCAATACGACGAAGATCTCCTGGACCGTGTTTGTCTCCAGGTATGGGCTTGAGTCCTTGCCTCTCATAGCCTGTCGCCAATTTGCCATGTCTCCCTCAGATTGTTCAAAACCCCAAGCCTTATGCTGACCGTGTCATGGTGATGCCTAACTTATATGGCGACATCCTTTCTGATATGTGTGCTGGCCTCATCGGTGGTCTGGGACTTACGCCCTCAGGAAACATCGGCCGTGTGAGTATATTTCGTTTAATTGCAAGCGACATCAGTTTTGACGCTTGAGTTACTCAAGGACGCCTCCATCTTTGAAGCTGTACATGGATCGGCTCCTGACATTGCCGGCAAGTAAACCTTCTACTCGGTGTCATCGCGATACTGACAAATAAAATGTCACCAGGTAAAGGGCTGGCCAATCCCACTGCCCTCCTGCTATCGTCCTTGATGATGTTGAGGTACGTTTCGTCCGCGTGCGCGGTAAATAAGCCATTGCTGAAATAAGTCTATAGACACATGAACTTAGACGAGTACGCTGCTAAAATCGAGAAGGCGGCACTGACGGTACCTATTTCAGTTTTATAATCGGCGAATAGGTTGACTGAAAATTCATTGTAGACAATTGCGGAAGGTAAGGCTATCACGGGTGATCTAGGAGGAAAGGCCTCTACAAGAGAATATACCAAAGCTATTATTCAAAGGCTGCAATAATTAGAGTCTGCCACACTTTGTACTTTTGTTAGAGTTTAACGTTCAGAAAACTTCCCTCAATACATAGTACTTTGTTAGCGATAACTTCGTTCAATTCTAAGAACCGCAGTTGCACCATGTACGTGTGGGAAAAATATCATTGATGGGGCGTTGCGTCTCCAACGACATAACCTACTCTCTTACTCTCCACAACCGATAAGCATTCCTTCCTTCACAAGCCCCACAGGGCAAAGCCGTCCAACTCATCACAGAGTATAACCAACTTAAAAGGTATATATCTATGGTTGATTTCGTTGTCTTGTTCGCTCATCCCTGTTTGCGCGTCATCACCCGTAGATATTTGAAACGAAAAAAAACTGTTGAAAAGTCATCTATTTTCCATTTTTTCTCATTACGAACGACATGACCGATGAAGTTACGCCTCAAGCTCAACCTTCTGTGAAGAAGGAGGACAAGAAACCCGTTTTTTCAGCCAATAATCGTGGTGCTAAACGGAGTGTTTCGAATTCCAAACCTGCTGGCAACACGAACAATGCCCAAGGAAACCCTCGCCCTTCTTCCCGGAGCAGCAATAAGAAGCCCACTCAGGCGCCAGAATCAGGTTCAGAGTCTGCTACCCGTAAAGGGACAGACTCTGGTAAAAAATCGGAGCAGCAGCAGCGTAAAAATACTGGTGGTGCGAACCGTCAGCAGACCCATCGCAAGGCTTCTGCCTCTCAGGCCGGACGACGTGATGCAAAATCGTCGCCTGTCCCTCAGAACAAGGAGTCGAGTGACGCACTTTCTTCCCTGCAGCGGGTAATCGCCGATCTCAAAACAACATCACCCCAGCCTCCTGTTAACAACCCTGGTCCCATAGGTAGCTCCGTGTCATCCAACCTCCCGGTTAACGCACCCGTTTTCCAACCAGGGAATACGTACGCTGGTATGGCCAGTAACCTTGACCCTAAACATCGCAAAGTTCAGTCACTGGGCGCTTCGGGTCTCTCCGGTAACTTCAACTCTTTCTCTCCTAACCTTGGCTCAATGATGGAGGATGCCGAAGATTCCTCTGGCATGCCGCTTGAGGAAGGTGAAATTCCGAGTAACTATTACACCTCCCCTGGACACCAGATGCGTTCACAGTCCCAGAGCTTTACCGCTCCTCGATTCGCCGCTTTGGCAGCACAACAAGAGCAGACCGACCAGCTTGGCCCATCTGGACGTCCTCAGCTTGCCCCTAATTTCATGTTTGGCGGCGGTGCGACGAAGAAACCACAACGTTCAGGAGGTATGGGACCTCCCATCAACGAGGATGTTGGTTTCCAGTTTCCACAGCAACAACAGAATTATCAATCGGATGTACCAGTCCACGAGTCAGGTCACAGAAAGGCAGATAGCGGAGAGATTACCGGCATAATGGCTGAGCAGGTCTTGACTTGTTATTGCTGTTGTTTATGATCATGTGGCTGACTGTATGCTGTCAGATTGCTCTTCAGAGTCAAATTGAAGCGCTTCAGCACCAGCAACAAGCGTTGTACCAACAGCAACTCGCTTCAAATCAGGTTCTGTCCTTCCAAACACCTGGCTTGGTCCCTAATCGTCATCGACGCGTGCAGAGCACGGCTCCTGGTATAGGAGCTGGCGCTTTCAATGTGCCTCAGAATCCTATGGGTCAGTTTAACAATCTAGGGGGCCTTGGCCTTGGCCTAGATGGTCAGAATCAAGGCATTCCTAGAGGACATGGTCGTCGACATAGTGTGAATGTAGTCAACAAGTCTGGTCCTGGTACTTCCATTGGCGGCTTTAATGTCAACGATGGCTTCGAAGATGGTTTTGCGCCTCCTTCCAACTTCAATGGTCATTCGCGTCAGGTGTCGCGCGCAGACAATAGTTGGCGCATCAGTACGTTTGGATCCTTTCTCCTTATTCGAGCATGTGTTCTTATTTTTGTTTTTGCAGATGGTGGTGTCGGTGGTATACAAAACACCGCATTCACCTCAGATCTTGCTCAAGCTCAAGCGCAACTTCAGAGTTTGCAGCAGTTCCGTGCTGCCGCCGGAGGGCATCATCACAAGATGGCTTCGTTCAGTTTCCCTAATATGTTGCCTAACATGATGGCCGCGAATATGATGGGTATGGGTCTTGGGGGTATCAATTTACTGCAGCAGCAACAACAGCAATTCCAGTCTCAGCTCCAACAGCAATCTGCCCAACCACAGCGCAAATCTCTATTTGCCCCCTATCTTCCTCAGGCGTCACTCCCTCCCCTTCTCGCAGCAGGCAAACTGGTGGTCGGTATTCTCCGTGTAAATAAACGAAACAGATCAGATGCATATGTTGCAACCGAAGTACTCGATGCGGATATCTATATCTGTGGTTCTAAGGATCGCAACCGTGCTTTGGAAGGCGATATTGTGGCTGTCGAGCTTCTTGATGTTGATGAAGTCTGGGGTACGAAGAAAGAAAAGGAAGAGAAGAAACGGAAGAAGGAGGAAAACGCTGCCTATGACCTCAAGTCAACCGCTGGTCGCAAGGACGACAAAAAGAAGGACGATGTCGAGGTCGAAGGGCAAGGTCTGATGTTGTTTGAGGACGAAGAGTGATTATTTTTTGTGTCTAAAGTTGTTACAACATTAATGATTGGTGTAGGGTTACTGACGATGTCAAGCCCCAGTTTGCTGGCCATGTTGTTGCTGTCGTTGAACGCATGCCTGGACAGCTCTTCTCTGGAACTCTCGGTCTCTTGCGTCCTTCTTCTGCCGCCACGAAGGAGAAACAGGAGGCGGAACGCCGCGAACGTGAAGGAGACAAAGGCGATGAACCTAGGCGTGCACCCCTCGAGAGACCCAAAATTGTCTGGTTCAAACCTACTGACAAGCGAGTTCCTCTTATCGCTATCCCCACGGAGCAGGCACCTCCTGATTTCATCCAGAATTCAGACGCCTATGTTAACAAGCTTTTCGTCGCTTGTATCAAGCGTCACGTAAGTCTTCCTCTCGTTGTTCTTTGCTTATGAACTCGCTGACTGGTCTGTAGCCCATTAGTTCCCTGCATCCCTTCGGTACTCTGGTGGAGGAACTTGGTCCCATCGGTGATATTGAGGTTGAAACAAGTGCCCTTCTCAAAGACTGCAACTTCCCGACCGAGGATTTCACGGACAATGTCATCAAGTGCTTGCCTCCCATCCCATGGTCGTGAGTATATACCTATTTGTGTTGTTGGTCATCGTGTGACGACTACATATGATTTAGTATACCTGAACGCGAACTAGAGCTCAGGAAGGACATTCGAACAGCTCGTGTCTTCTCAATAGATCCAGCTACGGCGAAGGACTTGGATGACGCATTGTCCATTAAGTTGAATGATAACGGGACTTACGAAGTCGGTGTCCACATCGCTGACGTTTCTTACTTTGTCAAACCAAATACTGCGTTGGATCGCGACGCTCGCAAACGCGCCACTAGTGTTTACCTCGTTCAACGTTCTGTCCCCATGCTCCCTCCTGCTTTAAGTGAGCAACTTTGCAGTCTCGTACCTGGTCAAGACAGGCTCGCTTTCTCTGCGATCTTCACCCTTAGTAAAGAAGCTAAGATTCTGAACAAATGGTTCGGAAAAACTATCATTCGGTATGTTTTTTTCAAGGGCAATAGGATTTATCGTTGACGTTTGTTTAGATCGGCCTCTCAACTCTCCTACGAGGATGCTCAAAATGTGATTGAAGGCAAGACTTTGGGCGAAGTTCCCGTAATTCCTGAGCATAATGCAAGTGATATTGAACACGATATCAAAATACTCCATGGTCTCGCGAAAAAGTTGCGTCAAGAGCGATTCGACAACGGAACTCTCAGTCTCGAATCTTTGCAGTTACAGTTTAAGCTGGATGATAATGGAATCCCGGTTGACTGCTGGCAGCGCGAGCGCAACGATGCAAATGATTTGATACAAGAAGTAAGCTAATATCTTTCATATTTCATAAGATCTCGAGTTGGCTGAATATCTGCATTGTAACAGTACATGCTCCTTACCAACCTGTCTGTCGCGCAACATGTCGCTGTGCATCTTTCCGAACAGGCGCTTCTTCGCCGACATGACAACCCGCTTGAACGTCGCCTTGTAAGTATCTTACGTCATTGTCTATAACCTCTCACCAAGTTGGTCTATTGATCCAGAACACATTTTTGGAACGCGCTGAACGTCTTGGCTATAAAATGGATACGTCTTCCCCTGGTGCCCTGATGCGCTCATTCGACAGCATACGTGACCCCACTGCTCGAAGATTGCTGGAGTTGCTCTCGTTTAAAGCCACGCAACGTGCCAAGTACTTCTGTAGCGGAATGCTGGATATTGCCAAATACCACCATTACGCCTTGAACGTCCCTTTGTACACCCACTTTACCTCGCCAATACGTCGCTACGCTGACCTTCTCGTTCATCGTCAACTCGAATCAATCCTTCAAGGAGGAGGTTCGTTGTTTATAGTGCTTTTTCTACGAATCGCTCATATACCTGTTTCTCGATAGCTGAGCCCAAGTTCACTATGGACCGCGATGCTGTGGCCAAGGTAGCCCAACAATGTAACATGTATGAACTTTTTGCAGCTCATTTGATCGTTACTCATTGCGTTGGCCCACAGTAAACGAGACTCTGCTTCACTGGCACAAGAGCAATCCACTCACTTGTATCTATGTGTGCTGATCTCTGATCTTACTCAACGATACGGTCCTGTTATCCGTCAAGCCAAAGTTATAAACGTGCTAGACGCCGCCTTTGACGTTTTAGTCCCCGAATTTGGCATTGAGAAGCGTGTTCATGTTGACCAAATGCCTATCGACGTGAGTATTCTCAATTGCTTGTTCACAATCCGAACTGATGTTCAAATATGATCAGAACCATGTCTACGACGAGCACACTCATACGCTTCAGATCTACTGGTCCAATAAGGATGTGATTACTTGGTTGGCTGAAAACAGCGACGACGAACATCTGAACAAGATCAAGCAGAATGCCGAACAGCATGCTCTGAAGATGGAAGTAACCTCCCGATCAGTGCACGATGAAAAGGCGCTCTTCGATGAGGAGGATGTTGAAGAAGATGAGATTATTCTGGGTCGTAATGATCAATCTGCGGGGCCGGAAACATCGAAACAGAGGTTGTTATCAATCGCCAAGCCCGCGCCTGTTTTCGAGGGCCTCAGGAAAGCTCCTTCTGGTCACAAAATTCAGGACATCCGCGAACTAATGACTGTTCCTGTCAGTATCTCCGCTGTTTGTGCATCTCATGATCACTGACTACATCTGCTCCAGGTCATTGTTACTGCTGATCTGACTAAGAGTCCTCCTGTCATAAAGGTGTACAGTGTCAACCCTTACGCCGAGCAGAAGAATTGAAACTGAAGTTGCTTTGGGGTCTCCTCTTGAACACGTTGTATTTCTACCTAATCCTTCAAATTTGCCTCCATTCTTTCACTCTCCTCTCCTTATGAAGTTACTGACCTAACCAATCTCTTTGGCCCTGGTCATGTTTTTACGGCCGTTTGTGGTCTGCTCACACGTATTATGTGGATTACTTTTACAGATTGGTGAACCCGTTTATGCTGCGTAGCTTGTATTTCGTCGTGTACCATCATTTAGTATTGAGAAAAAATAAATTCACTATGCTTTTATTTATGTGCCGCTTCAGCTCAGTAAGCAAAACCAGCTAACCAGCTACTAGGAAGTAAACTATTTGTGCAAACACCTAGAGTCGAACGCGGATGTGTACAGAGGTGCACGGTGACAAAACCCTTGCAACCAAAATTTGAAGCTATCCTTGGGATTGGAAATTGGAGAGCGCCGAAGGCGAACGATGATCGATGAAGGCTCACACGCGAATACATGTCAATTGTATAGAGCATTGCATATGCAGTTCTCGAATATCATACCATGCATTCTTCACATTAAGACTGATGTACACAATGTAGGACAACAAACGAATGGATACATGAAATAAAATAAAAAGAGGGAAATACGTACGATACCAAACAAAGAATAGAATATACAACTACTCGACAGTGGAACACCAAAAGTTACCACTGAATGTTAAATCCAGCCGGCTGGAGGCGATCGCAGCAAATCGTTCCGACGTGCTCCTCTAGTGCTAGTACTGGATCCGGAATTACGACCATCTTTCCAAGACTCGGGAGTAGGAGGCGAACGTTTACTAGTTGTTTGAGAACGGGGTTGAAAATCTGAACAATACTCATTCGACGCTTTGATTGACGCGCGGTCATCAGATATCGTGCTGAGTTCCCTTGCTCGAACATGGGGTGGTGATTGCCCCGATCGATCGAGAAGAGTATGCATACTCGAGAGGGAGGTATGCTGACTATCCACGCCGTAGCCTGGATTAGTGGAGTTGGAACTCTGTCCACGAGAATGTGTGCGAGGAAGGCGAGGCTGGAGAGCAGGCTGCCGCTGACGGACCTCATCCGAGCAAAGTTTGTACAGGTCATCGAGATCGAGATAGGAAGCTTCATCGCGGAGCTCCAGCAGTGCCTCGAGGCGGCTCTGTGAGTTGGGTGGATGCAGCTGCGCAGCTCTTGGGAGTAATTCTGGAGCATCTGCACTTCCGACTGGAGAACGGAGATAGTTCAGTATATGCACATATCTGGGAGAAAGCAAGTCGGTGTCAATAAGAGTGCAGAATGATAGGACCAAGGGATACTCACGGTGCACTGGGACGATCGAGGAAGATATGGATATTCACAGGAGCCTGCGGTAGCAGACCTTGGGAAGCAAGGTGATTCCGATAGGTGGACATATCATCACTGGCTGTGGAATACACCGACGACGCATCTGAGTCCCGCCGTGGTCTTGGGAACAGAGAATGGAGGTAGGAAGCCAATTGGGATGGGCGCGAAGTTAAAGTTTTGAAGGTGGTCTTGTGAGATGTGGTAGAAGTTTCCACAGTCACCAGAACCGTAGAAGGATCGACTACGCCAGAAGGTACACCAGATATCAAAACTGGCTCGAAAGGTGGCTGAGGCGATGACTGAGTGACATGAGCAGGGAGCGCTGGTACTCTGAACTCGTCTGAGTTGGATCTGAGTTTGGGTTTGAGAGAAGATCGGAGACTGGGCAGGGATGGAGTAGGAGGAAGAGGCGCAATGGCAGAAGGCGGAGTAGGCCAGGATAACCCCGCAGATGCGCTGAGTATATCATTGTCGCCCTCGTCATAGTATTCGTCTTCCGAGCTCAGATCGGAGTTGCGAAGATCAGGCGGAAGAGATGGCAGTGGCGGGCTCTCCAGTGGCTTTGACCCAGAGGTAGCTGAACGCTGCAGAGTCGGTCTGGACGAATTGAAAGATTGAGAGGTAGAGGAGCGCTGTAATGAGGGTCTGCTATCAACTCCGGAGTCATACAAAGCTTCCTCCGGAGTCCTGACCACAGTGGCGCCGGATCCAAGGGGACCATGTCGAGCATTGTTCACAAGCTCAATGCTCCTCGCAGGTTTATGCTGGGATTGTGAAGCAGGGGATGAACCATTCTTGTTTCCCTTGTAAAAAGAAGAAACTGAGGACTGTGTAGAATGTCGCGAAAGCCAGCCCATCGTGTTTGACAAAGTCAGTGAATGTTTACGACTTCGTGAAGATTTAAGAGAAAGGTTAGAAGTAGAGCGCGAATTCGAGTTCATGAATAAAAAAGATGAAGGAGGAACGTGTAAGTCGGAAGGTTGCGAGGCAGTGGCCAGCATGCTTGAAAGTGAAGTACGGCCATCCTTCTTCCAGCCTTTTTGTTCTAACACTCAATTGAGATGAAGAACAAAGAACATTGACCGGTCACGTGACCCAATTATTGTCTGCTTCCGTGGCCATTGTACTTTTCTCCTCCGAATCGATGGATGTCACCGCTAAATTCCAAAGCTCTATACCTTACACTCTGCAGTCGGTGTCGCCCACGCTCGCTGCTCTACATACTCGAAGAAATCGTAGATTACTCGCAGAAACCACAGGCCCTGATTCCGAGAACTCATGTTGCGGCAAATGTGGGCTTTATCTGTTTGCTGGTGACAGTAGCACCAGAGTCGTCCGAATGAAGAATGCAAGGCGACGACGGAAAGGCGGAACGAATTCACCTACACCTACTCACAGGACGAGCAGCAATACAAGGGCGCGGCAATCTACGTGTTTTCAATGCGGCTGGGTGACTGAATTTCCTCTTGACAGGGAACCGGCATCTTTGTTCCCAATACAGCAGACTTCTTCATTCAAAGCAGCCGATTTGTTGAATATAGAGCAACTACACGTACCTTCCAAGTCCCTTCAAACGCCGAACGATGCTCCCGCTGAGTCGAGGGCGTCATCATCGCAGAGCATTGTGCAAGGAGAGACTGCATCTAGACAACTGCCGCCCACATCATCTCAACTCCCCAATTCGGGATTCAGTGTGCCCTCCGTTCAGGGGTCTAGAGTGACATCTACTCCTATTCCTACTTATGCAAAATCCAGGTCTCGTCCAAAGAAAAAGAATGGATTGCATGAGATGTTAGCTCAGAACAGAGCCAAGGAAGAAAAAGCCAAAAATGCATCAAACAGTGGCCAATCTGGCCTCACTGCATTCCTAAATTCTCTCTAGAAGAGTGCGTGTGTACCATATCAGGATAATTATCCAAATGCTGACGAGTAGTATAATAGTCCAATATAGCCTAATGATCTTAATGTACCTCTAACAACGAGGAAACACTCAACGCATAAAGATGATGAATTCTAATCTACCGTCGAGGCTTGACTTCTCTTCACCTCTTCCTCGTTCTCGATCTTTGCCGCGTTTGTGAATGGTGGTATAAACCTTCCCGGCCAGAACGGAAGATAAACCGCGATCGCGAGGAATAGCGGGAGTGTATCGAGTCCGTAGAAAAATGGTTCGGAGGTAGCGAGGCGTCCTTGGAAGCCTTCCGAGAGTTCGATCGTTCTGTATACCGAACGAATCTACACAGCCAAGTGTTACTCGCGATAAGAATTTCGACGGATATCGCGGGACGTACCAGAATTCCTATACAGCTCACAATCATGGTTCCGGCGAGAGCGCGCCAGTCCTTGTACCAAACAAGTGCTTGATCTTTCAAGTAAATTTCATACTGATATTTTCGAACACGGTACAGGAAGAGTACAAAGATGCAGGTGAAAATCAAGAAGGAGAAGAGCTGTAAAGCGAGTCCTGTGAGGAATACCTGTTTAGATTTTACGGTCAGTTTGAACGTCGAGGGTAAAATTACAAAAAGTATACTGACTCTGGATCCGGCAAGAGCAAGAGGTGCATCATTTGCAGATATTGACATTGCCCCTCCGATTGCCTATTCGAACCAACATACATGAGCACGTTCTATGGATGTTTGTGATAGCACAGCGACGCACCTGGATCAAGAATGTGGTAATGTCGGACGAGATAAAAGTTATGGTGATTCGGCGTGGGGTGACCAACAAGTACTTGTCACATCGAAGATAGCGTGCTAAGCGGCCTAATAATACGTATTCAGCTGCGATGAAAGCACAAGGCTACGTGGAAGTGGGAGGGATGGTTAAATTGAATGAGGTATTGCGACTAGATCGAAGAACACACCGAAAGGACCACAAAAAGGTATTCAACGATGTAAATCCCCTTCGATTCGGGATGCGAGTGAAGTCCAAAACGAGTTCCAATTCCGAAAGCGAATGCTATTAAATATTCATTCGTTCAGATCCAAGTTTTAGTTTGAGATAGCTCACTGTAAGCTCCAATAGTCATAGATAGCATGAATTTCCCTCCCCATTTCCATATAGACAAAGATTGTGCTATTGCAACAAAGACGAGGAGACCTAAGATGATATGAATAAGTCAATCGGAACGCCATTTGTGGATGGACCGAATGACTGAACTGAAAGCAATAGCGGTCAAGGTATTAGATGCGATGTAACGTAGTGGATTGTATGGGTCATCTCTCGGATCTGCGAAAGGGTCTGCTGGGCGAGGCAAGGTTGTTTTTTGGGCGGCCAGCACAGATACTATGAAAGACGAAACCCATAACAGCCAGAAGGTTAAAGGGCGGAACATGAGAGTAAAAGAATGAAAGCACGTTAGAGTGAAAACATCATTTCTCGGTTTGTCAGTGTCACTCTCAGACTTGAGTTTGAGTATGTGTGCTTATGATCACGGCCGCCGAAATCATTCAGGCTGAGTCAGCCACCTGCTACAACGGGTGCCTGAGAGGCTACTCCTCGGAGGCCAAAGCAAAAAAACCACAAATCGTTCAAAAATCATGTAGTGACAGAGTTAATGCATCTATCATTTTTTTGGTGCCCAAAGATCATACAACTCTCTATCAGCCGGGTCGAAGCAGGTCAGCATCGACGGGTCCGCGCGAATAATAGGTTTCCTTGTCCCTAAGCTCAAATTCGAGGAAGCAAACACGCCCCGCAGAGATGTACGGGAAGCCTCATGGGACAAGCTGTGAAGACTTGTGCTTAGAATGGTATTGGCTGCTGAAGGAGGGGACCCAGTTGAAAGCGTCGATGATGGTGAATGACGCCCCAAAGGCTGAGTACATTGACGTGAGATCAAAAAACCAAGTACGGTATACGTATACTTGCCTCAGCGCTCTTGTTTTGTTGACTAGCAAAGGGACTCCCGGGATTTGACGACATGCGGTTGCTGCTGAACCTTAGCCAAAGATTCAGACACAGAACAACAGAAGGATAAAATGTGAGAACTCATCCCGTGACCCTGACTTTCGTGAAGTCAGTGGCGAAGCATACCTTGTATTTTATATCAACGATACCATTCTCCTTGTTACCATGAATATCTTCAGAAGCTGTAAGATTGTGCTCTCTGCTCGATCCGTGGCCTCATACTGATACCCTTCTGTAGTAATTAGCAAAGTCTGGCGTTCGTGTTCATCTTCTCATTCTCGAATTTTTCGCTTATGTTGCTTGATGCACAGAGGATCCGAATGCTGCGGAAGGTGCGTTACTTCACGCTGAATCTTATGGCGTCGTCTACTTACTCCAAGCCTGAACAGTGGTCAAGATCTCTACAGGGCAGCTCTTTCTTCTCCGGCCAGGCAATATCCGCACCTCCAGAGAATGCATGTATGTGCTCCGTGTTCTGGAACGATAACATCGATCTGATATCATCCTGAAGCTACAACGATGCAATGGCGACTATTCGTCGCGTCCCCAACGTAGAACACAATTTTTTGTTGGTTATCACCAGAGTTTATGAAGAGGGAGGTCAGGAACTTTTGGAAGACGAGGATGAAAGTGAGCCATGGCACAATCGTCAATCTACTTGATCTAACTTCCTTTCAGCTGACGAAGAACGCGAATTTCTCATCAGCCAAGAGCTCGAATTCCGAACCGACAAGACACCCGAAGGCGACCCAACATTCGTGTGGCGCGACCTGGCTGGGGATGTGGACGAGTTTTTCGAATTCCTGGCGATCGGAACAAACGACCCCACAAAGGTGTTCTTTGAAACTTGCATGTACCGCGCAATGTACGAACGCAAATACGCGCGCAGTGCAGACAGTGTCGCTGAGCCTGATTTGGAAGAATTTGTGTTCAGGTGTGTTTGTTCTCTTCATCCTCATCGCAGTCTGCATCTGATACGCGATAAGACCTCGCACCGTGAAGAAACCTCCTCCTAGGCGCAAAGTTGCCAAAGCGCCATCCACTTCATCCGTCGAAGAAGTGAAACCACCTTCTCCCACCGCGAACACCTCTTCGCCCAAAGGCAAAGGGAAGGCCCCTGCAGCCAAGCAACTTCCCGGAACTCCCGTGTACGAATTAGAGGAGATTGAACTCTACCACTGGGAAGGAGAACAAGGCTTCGTTAATCAAGGGATTTTTTCGGCACATATTGTTAAAACGGGCCAGTATAGCTATGTTTTGTGTGCCTCTACCGATGAGGGCATACTACTTGAACATGATTTGAACTCAAGCATGAACCCCAAATTCAATCCCCGAATGCATTCGGTTACATGGAACCATGTTAAAGAGGGTCAGGATGTGAACAGCTGGCTGTTTGCTTTTCCTTCAGAAGAGGAGTATTCCAAGTTTTGCACGATATACCTACAATGCGGATGGGAAACACTCAACCAGTTACCTTTCAGCAAGATCAAAGAGGAGGATAGGAGATATGTTATGAGCTCAACCAACGAGGATGTGGAGATGCTTGATATTGAGGACGAGGAAGAAGACGAAGAGGAGGTTTTATCTGAACTAGATCCTGACGGTATGCGCTCTCACTGCTTTACTTCTGCCTTTCCTCAATGACACACAGAAGAAAGCGAGTCTGATTCAGAAGAGGAATACGATGATGACGAAGAAGAGCCGCGTCCGCTTGACGGTGACAGCAATTCTCAACTTACCGTAGGCTATCGAGGGGACAACGCCTTCGTTGTCCGCGGTAACAATATTGGTGTTTTCCGGCACAATCCAGATAGTGGCGCGATGAGATATGCTGGTACAATGAGCAAGATCTCGACCCCGAAAGGACAGGTGTTCAAACCTCAAAATGTAAGTTATGGTCTTCATAGGATTTTTCTCATCATTTTGAACTCATCATGTAGATCATGCTTCACGAACAAGACACCAAAATGGTGTTGATGAATCCTTCAGATCCGCACTCTCTTTACCAGGCAGATGTCGAATACGGAAAGGTCGTCGAAGAGTGGAAAGTCCATGACGATATCACTGTCAGCCACATCGCACCGACAGACAAATTTGCACCGACCACACACGAGCAAACCCTAGTCGGAGCCTCTCATAACGCATTATTCCGCATTGACCCTCGTATCTCAGGTTCCAAGATGGTGGACAGCCAATACAAGCAATACGCTGGGAAGAACAAATTCTCTGGTGTTGTGACCACTGCAAGTGGGAAGCTCGCTGTGGCGAGCGAGAAGGGCGATCTACGTTTGTTCGACTCGATCGGGAAGAACGCGAAGACCGCGCTTCCTCCATTGGGTGATCCTATCATTGGTATCGATGCCACCGCAGATGGCCGCTGGATTGTTGCGACTACCAAAACGTATTTACTGTTGATTGACACACTGATTGGGGAAGGCAAATATCAGGGTAGCTTGGGATTCGACCGTAGTTTCCCCGCCACCGCGAAGCCTATTCCGCGGCGGCTCCGACTCCGGAACGAGCACGTCGCGTACATGAATCACGACATCTCATTGACACCTGCCAGGTGAGTATCAAGCAGGACAAAAAAATTTTAAGCTCTTTCGGCTTGCTGATCGTCTTTCCATCAAGGTTTAATACCGGCGAAGGCCAGGAAGAGAACGCTATCGTCACATCCACTGGCCAATTTGTGATCGCCTGGGACTTTGCCAAAGTCAAGAAGGGTCTTCTTGATCGTTATGAGATCAAGAAATATGAAGACAAAGTCGTACAGGATAACTTTAGATTTGGGGATGATAAAGAGATTGTGCGGTTTTTTTCCTATTGTCGCTCTTTTCCTTTCGATATGCTAATGCGGATATCAGATTGTTGCACTAAAGAACAATGTTCTTCAAGTGAACAAGAAGGCTTTGAAGAAGCCTACACGACAATCTCTCGGTGTAGGAACGGGAGCAAGCAGATCTAATATTGTGAACGCCCCATATTGAGAAAGGACTACGAACTTCAGTTTCTTTTTGTTCACTTTTTTTTGTTTATTCTGTAATAGTTCGCAAGTAATATATCCTCTTATCGATGCTGTCTTTCAATTCTTACTTTCCCGTGACAAGGAAGAGCACGGAGCGTGCTGCGATGGATGAACTTGTGGTGGTGGTCACTTGTCATCCCAGGTACTTAGTCAACTGTTGACAAAAAAACATTAACTTTGATACATCTCTTCCTGATGGCCTGTTACTACTCTGCCCTATTATAATAGGCTGAACACTACCTCGAAACATCGTTGTTGAACGATAGCCTCGGATCGTTGGAATTCAACGAACATTCGGAATTGTATCAACGAAACAAGTGCCTGGGATACTTTATTATTGACATTAACAACATCACTTCCTTCAAAGATAGTCCATTTCATGACGGAATCCTGGACATAGATAGACCAAGTGTCTAAAAATGTCAATATCACACAGATGTCAGACCGTCATCATCCACATTCTATGGTACATAACAGATTCACGTTCCAACGGGTAAAAATCATTATATTGGTTTAAGACTCCTTAAGGCTATTCACTAAATAAATACAGATAGTGATATCTAGGAGACACGCAGTCAGTTAATGACACAGATATCGATGAGAACCAACTGACTAATAATTCGAAGGCGAGGCTGCTCGGTCGACAAACTCCTAGTGCATCGGAGCAGAGTATTTTGAACTACTATCCCTGGAAGAATCGTCCCGTTGTTGACCATCTCTGGAGTGCACATAGCGCCCGATCCCCAGATGCCAGCAGATACGAGGTACCATTAAAGTAAGACCTAATCCGATGGTTGTCCATAGCATGGGACTCCAAGTTCTGAAATTCCATTTCTCGTCGCCCAAGGCCCATATAGTCACATAGAGGTGCAGTATATCGCCGATGAGAAGCGGAGTAAGGAGGGACAGCACGACCTTTTCCTGTATCGCTGGAAAGGAACCGAGATGATTGCGAGCGGCCGAGAGGACAAAGTGGTTGATGACGCCGACAAGAAAACAAACGTGTGCGAGTTGTATCACAGTCTGAAAGCAAATGAATACATATCGCGCTTGATGACCTCAGATAGATACTCACAACTAAACCAGCGCGCGATAATTCAGCCTAAATGAGACAAGATTAGTTCGCGGAATGTGGGCAACGTATATGAAGCTTACCGGGGGAGGGTTGTCTGCAGGCCAAGGAGCTTGTCCTTCGAATGTCTGGCAGGATACTTAAGAAAACCTAATCACGAACTGATATTACGATATCTTACCGTCTTGGGATCCCTTGACGATGAAGAGCGATGAGCACGAGTCGGTATTCAATCGAATTACTTACGATGAGGCACCAATGAAACCAAGGAGACAAAGCAAAGGCTCGTAGCAAGCGAAAATCGCGTAGTAAACATGAGGAATTGCGGAAGTGGGTCGAGGGGAGGACTTCATTACGGTCGATTAATGAAGAGCAAAGGAATGTGGGTAGTTATACGCTGAGTTCAAAGATAAGAGCAGCCAAGTTGCGCAACCACATGAGAGAAGTCAAATTAAAAGGTCCATCACCATTTCAAGGCAAGGTTCTCATCAGCCAAGTTTGACGTAAAATTAACTTGGTCATTAAAATTCTCACGGTGGAATAGTGTATAAAAGTGCTCGGTTTTTTCCTTTCTGATTCTCTTCATCTTACATCCGAGGTCATCTTATAAACCAAGGAACATCCAAGTTTAAACTCCTCCATCTTGATGTACCTAATGGCGAGGACCGAGAAAACTCTCGCTCATGCGGGATGAAGATTATAATGCTCTTTATGTGTCGTTTTTCTCTTGCATTACAGAGCTTCGCTTTTTTCTAACATTTGCCACGTATTAGTCCCGTAGAATTGGGGACGTATCAGACGTATCAGAATACAATGAACAGGTACCACCTGGACAATTCCCTTCTTTCGGTGCTTTTGCAAACAGTATTTCAGATAATATTGCGAGTATATCCTGGGTATATCTACTTTTTGTATATATGTAGTGCATCACAAAACAGTTTTGAAGAAGCCTTTAGCTGCCAGATATTCATCATGCTCATTTCTATGCTTCAAGACTTTGCTGTCAACACCTTGACGCCAGAGCGGAAGGCCGATCTGTGTAAAATGTTCCATAAGGGTAAATACGATGTGAACGGGGAATGACCATGTCGTTGTCAAAGAAGGTACCGGTGAAAGCAATTTAATCAAACAACCACAAAAAAACTACAAAATGTTTACGCACCCATCCTACTACGGCATAAAGTCCATCTAGCAGTACATTGTGGTGTGGTGTTGCGCCTATAGTTGAAGAACGGAAGATATTGGAAAGTATATCCGGTGAAATGTGGAAATCGCCTCGTTGAACACCTATAACCGAGCGACAGCGAAAGAGTAAATAACCAGATCACCGGTATAGGAAACGATTTGATCACCGTGAATTAACTGTGTCGCGAGTACGTCCGGTGCCGTTGGTTTGTCTGATGAATCAACTTCCAGCGCAACTTTGGGCTTGGTACGATTTTCTTCTGCATAACCTGGGGTGTCAATGTTACCGGGAAACATAATGTGAACAGTACAGTCGTAAAGAATCAGTTCCGAGCGAAGAGTTTCTGCCAGACCTACACTTCCACGATAAGGAACGAGTTACGGATACCTGGCGATGAAATATACCTCGAAGCGCGTATTTTCCAGGAGAATATGTCGAATAACCGAGCATTGACATGTATCCGAGAAGGGAAGAGATGAATACGAGCTTTCCTGATGTTCTGTCGCGTACAATTGCTTTTGTATATGCCTTCAATCGCACAGTTGTTATTCAACAAACTTGCCAGGACTAAAAGACCAACTCACCAGGGCGGTGTATGCCTGTACCCAATATGAGTTATCCATTCCCTTGCGCATAGAGTTTGCGTCTTCCTCGACAAAAAAACCCGGAGTCGCTGCTCCTGCACACATAAACACCGCATCAGGATATTTGCCGCCGTGGTCCTTTGACGCCACTTCCAGTGCTGCGTTAGAACTGTCGGCATCAGTCAAGGAGTACGAGTAGGAGCATATGACTTGATTGGGGTTTTGACGTAGTTCCTGCAAGACGAATTAAGGATGAATGCCCGATGCGTGAATCTGAACGAACCTCCAATTCTGCTAACGCCTTCGTCAGACGCTCCTCATTCCGAGCGACGATAGTAACGTGTGCACCCATGTTCGTCAGGGCTTTGGCGACAGCGAGCCCAAGTCCGGAAGAGCCTCCAGTGACATAGCAAAACTGGGTTGTGACCAGTCAGGATATTTCAGTGTTAATTTTTTTTCCCGGCGCATACCTGGCCCCGAGGGTCCCATTTTTTTGTCGGCCACATGGCCCAGATAGTAAGGAGCGTAACAAAGATTGAAGTGATTACCGCGCTCTGGAAGTCCCAGAGTTGCAGCATTCAAGGTGGCACAGTCGTTGTTATAAGCAGAAGTGTGGCGCCCAAACATTATTAATATATACAAGCTGTGAACCCTGCTGTAGCACACGGTGCGAGCAAAGCGAGCCACCGTGGCGAAGGCACGGGTTCTAAAGCTTGTTAATATATATTTGTATCCTACAACGCTTGTACAACAATCTGTTCAATTTCCGAATTGACTTCCACATCCTCCAAGATCATCGCTTCGCCCTCTGCCCCTGCTTCTGATTCCATTTTTTCATTCAAATCTACAAAATCTCCTGCTGGGGCAACTTCGCCGCCATCTGCACTTGCTTTTTTGTCTCGTATGGAAGGAGGAACTTCTATTCCAAATACACGAAGACTCAGAGCACTGGAAGACGACCCGCAGGTCAACTGGATTGCTAAACGTGGAGCGAGGCGGATATGACTTACTTTTTAGCTTTCTTGTCCACCATGAGCGATATGGAAACGCCCGACTTCCAGATAGGCACCAGAAGATCATGCGCAAGTCTAGGATAGACTATGAGTGTTGGTTATTCAATTTAAAACATACGCAAGGTCCACGCACGAAGCACCATCAAGTTCTTCTGGGGGGAACCTGAAAATATGACATCCCAAATCTGAGGGGAGGAAAATTTCAGTTGCAGGGCATGTGTAGAGTACGCATATTGAAGCACACCTAGATTATTCAAGATAGGCCTGAAAGATTCTTCGAAAGATGTGCAAAGCGGGTAGTGCGACATCACTAGATGCTTGAGAACACTCATGTTACCATTGACGATGGATGTAGGATCAGTATATGGAAGAACAACAGGCAACCCTTCTCCCAAAATCCTGTATTGAGCTTCGACGCCCTTTCCTCCTTCTTGCTTCGTAAAAACCTTGGTTCCGGCAGCGGTAAGCCGTATTTTGGTAAAATCATTCGCAAGTATAATTTGCTTGATCAAGTCATTGGTAAGGTACATTGAGCGCACAACATCGCCTTCTGGATTGCGGACTAGCACATTTGACGAAGGGAATTCAGATGTCAGGCGTAGACGTGAGCTAGACGCGAAGTGCAATCAGATACAAAAGGAAAGCCAAGTATTCTTGAATATGCTGAACTTACATGCATGAAAGCAACGCTGGATCCCGCGGGGACAGGAAAGTATACGGCATTTCTTTGAAAGACCCATTGCCACTACTGGTGCCACCGCCGCCTCCTTCTTGAGTGACCGACTTGACATCAACGCCGGGCATTGGATCGACAATCGTGTCACTGGTCTCAGGTTCGCTTTCAAGGCGAGGCTTCTTGGTTTCTAGTTCGGAAGATTCCACATTCTCGATCGTACGTTTCCTTTCCCTGTTCCAAACAAAAGTCAGTCTCAAGGCTTTTCAATGAAAATGTGGTGTAAGAGCTCATATACCTGAATTCAGGAACCTCTATGAGTTTCCGCTCCAGAACAGCAACGAAAAATCCACCGGAATCCTGCAGATGTGGGTATATCCGCATGCTGATGGAGCACTAGATCAGACGACGAGAATGATTAAACAGTTACGCGACTTACCACCGTTCGAGTTTTAGTTCATGGGCATTAGGAGGTGGCCAATGGCCCGGTGTTAATTTCGTAGATGTTGCCGCCTGCGGGTCAGCAGCAACGAAGGCCTCGTACGTTTGATACGTGGAAGAGATGGATTTGTCTGCCGTGGGTCTCCATGAACTCATCCCGGGCCTCCGTTTGAGCTCAGGGAGATTAGAGGACACATCTACCAGATGGTATTCTGTGTGATCAATGAGGAGAATATGGTCAACTGTCTTTAAAATTGTAACGTCAAATTTCTGTTTTCTCACCCGGATTACTTTCGAGCGCAGCAGCAATGACCGCTTCGTTCTCGACCGGGTTAATGGAACAAGTAGAATAAACGATCCGTCCATTCGATTTGAGCATCTTCATTGCTCGCTGAAGAATACGCAGTTGTAACCTAGATCGATATCTCTTCGTCAGGGGTCGGAGTGACGAAAAAAACACCGTACCCATGCAGACCATTACCATCGTTAGGCTGCCAGTGCTTCCAGATTCCTATGTTCTTCCGAAGCGTTCCATCCCCACTGCATGGTACATCACACAATATCCGATCGAATAATAACTGCTCTTTCCTATTTGTGCTGGAAGCAGCCGAAAGTTTTATCGAAGGGTAATTCGAGGCGTCGAGGTTGGTTACCATAAATGCAGGACTTGGTAATCGGGCCGACTGATGTATAAGAAGATGAGTACGTTTGTAGTCACTGTCGTTGGCAACTAGGAGACCAGAGGGGATGGAAGTAGAGGTGAGCGTATCTTGAGCATGAAGGGCTTCAAGCAGTTGGGCTGTCTGAGACGGCTAAGTTGTGAGGCGACGATCGAAGATGCCACATACCTTGGAACCAGGAGCGGCACACATATCCATAACCTATAACGAAGAGCATGTAAAAACATGCCGAAAGCACCCTTTCAACGGAAACGCACCGTATGATGAGGTTCAACCTCAAGGAATAACGGAGGCAGCATGCTGACTGCTTCTTGTCTTGAAATATTGCCCTGCGTGATATAAAGAACTGAATATGCTATACGGAAACGACGAACTCACAACTTCCGTTTCAAAGACGAGGAATGAATGGAACTTTTTGAACTCGGGTGACTTTCTGAGCACCTTTTTGGGTATGTTGAATTGCCATGCTAGTCCGTCCGGATACCTTGTAAAAATTAGAACCGACATGAAGATACTAATGCTTGAGTTTATTCACCAAGGAAGTTGTACTGGGGGAGGAAGTTTTTGATCTTCAAATGTAACATTGCTCAAGAGAGGTACATGAACATTTTTAATAGTTTCATTCAACGACTTTGCTATCCTGCAATGTTTGATAGATGGATACAGAATGAACTGGAAGCATAGTGTACGCACTGTCTACTACCGGCAACTCTGAACGTCGTAGGCAAAGGAGTTCTGAGTGCATCCAGAAAGTCTTCCCATTCTTCGTCCGGAATAATCTTCTGTGCTTTATAGTAGGCAAAAAACCGCTCGTTCTTCATGTCAGATTTTTCGATAAGATCTGTGCGGTATTCATCGGGTTTGGGTTTTCCGCGACCGCCTCCACCGCGACCTCCTCTCTTCTAAGTGTTGATTAATATAGAGGTAGCGGAGAAACAAAAGACAGCTGGTCGACTAACTCTTCCTCTGCCCATTGTGGTCCAGGTAAAAGAACTGAAATAAATTTCGTGAATAAGCGCGCATCGAAATAGTAATTGCCGCCGGTTAAATCAAATGACTTCTCCCATCACCTTGAATGAAAAGGAATCTCGCGCTGGTCTCATACAGCAGCTCTGAGGAAGAGAACAACTTGGAAAAGGTATCGAAAAGAGCGGTCCCCAAAAAGAAGTGAGTATCTTTTTTACGAATCAATCCTCCTGCTCATGTTCATTCAGAAAACTCCCTGGTCTATCACCTTCTTTGATCGTCCAAACGCCCAAAGATGATCCCGCTTTGCATCAAGGACGAATTCGCATTATACCTCACATAGATGGCCAATGGGCATCGCATGTATACGTGTCTATCAGAGTTGAAAGGCGCTCTGCCATGTATAACCTTGTCCTCGATGCACTCAAGACTGCCAAAAATCTTGAACCTGCTTTACACGATTTTCCCAGAGTCGATGAGAACAAATCTGAGAAATACTTCAATTTACATGTATCCTTGTCGAGACCCATCTTTCTACGGACACATCAAAGAGACGATCTGAAACGAGAAGTAAAATCTTTGGCTGAGAAAAGCAATAAGTGAGTCACTTCTTCTATGTTGTCGCACTCTATGGAGATTGATGATAATGGATAGCTTCAAAATCTCATTCACTTCTTTCTCCATTTTCAACAATGACGAGGAAACCAGGACGTTCCTAGCCCTGGATATTGGCTCGGGTCATCGAGATGTATGCCTTCATTTACCATCCCAATGCCCATTCGCTCATACTTCCAAAGCTTAAACTGTTATCGGATGGTCTTTTGCCTTTTCTCGCCAACTTGCGCCAAAAAGAGTATTACGCCGATCCCCGTTTCCATGCATCTATCGCTTGGGCTCTCCTCCAAGGCACTACTTCATGTCCTCCTCAAATGAAAGTCACAATCGCGGAACCAGATGATCATGCTTCTATGGCGGAGAATTTTTCATCTCCACTCCTCAGTGGGATGCTTCCAACCCAAGTCGCCCCTTCTGTCAATGTCTTCCGACCAATCCTTCACCTTCCTGCATCCTTGACCACCATACTCAATGAACAATACGCTTCACCATTGTCATCCCAGTCCTGTAGTGCGTTTGATATACACGAACTTTGCGTGAAGATTGGGAAAGATGTATTTTCATGGAGGCTGAAAGGTTGAGTCGCTCTAGATTACAGTTGCATATATTATGAAAACCTAGGTGAATGAGCACATCAGTTGCTTTCTGACGCTCCCTGACAATAATGAAGGTCCCATGATGATCAGAAATAACAGTTGCCCTGCTCCCCAGCTCATTAAGACATATCTGGGTCGTTCCCATCCTTGCAATCCACGAATTTCTACAGCAAATGTGCTGATCGTCGTTAAGCATCCGCAGAAACCGTCATCTAGACCTTGAAGGAGTGAACATCCATTTGGTGATATTGGCTTGCTAGCGATAGATTGGATAACATGAAAGGCTGCGAGAAGGCCTGACCCGGTAGAATTAGCGGCGAATGTTCCGAGTGGAAAAGTGGTTAGAAGGGGGTTAAGTAACGTCGAGAGTATGTAGCGAATAAGAGTCCCAGGAAAAGCAAACAAGAGCGCAGCCGTAGCTTGGTGTCGATATGAGGTTGGAAGAAGAAAGTATGCCGGAAGAGTAGCCGCGTATATTAATACAGATAGAATGGATATTATATACCGCACAGTTCGAGAAGGAGGTTGAAGTGTCGGTAGGAAAGGATAGATTACTCGAGCCATATACGAGCCAAAGAGGACAGATGATAAGGAAATCGCCAGTGTGAAGACTGTTTTCCCGAGACCGTCCAGGAACTACAGTCAATTAGCCAATGAACTCTTGTGTAACAATTTGGGACGTACAGTACGGAGCCCAGCATGTTCAGCATCTTCACTGTTCAACCAAGAGTTAAAAACATCTAGTTGCCAGCTTGAGAACGTTGTAAGGGAACCGCAGAAGCCTGAACTCTGATCAGGTCAACTCTTGGATTCAATGGATCTTTTTCACCTGTAGTTATCGCAGTATACAATGGAGGATAGCTATCGAGATGTATATCAAATTTTAGGTTATGAAAACAAAGGTACGATACTCACAAGTTACCCAATGGTTCCTTCAGCTCCAATCCAAAGCCCATTACGAAGCATCCTAAGCCTTGCACATATGCCAAAGGAAAGATACTCTGGCCATTATAAGTAGTCAGCGCCACCAATCCCAATCTCGCTAAAACTCCGAAAATCGAAGCAGGCATGAGAAGAATCAGGACATGAGGCGCAAACGGATGGTATGTTCGTGACCGGTGGAGTTCATGATCATGATGGCTGCTCTGCCGGCTGGGAGGTGGTTGGTCTACAGATGCAATAGAGACTTCTGATCCAACATCGTGTACAGATGTATGGATTTCTCTATGTGAGTTTCGCCTCGAGGACAATCCGCCCTCATGCTTTTTGCCCAGTGTCCTGAGAGGAAACATCTAAAGGGAAACGAAAGAAGTCCAAGAGAAGTTTGTCTGCGGCAAGGGAGGTCATTCGCCCCTTCCACTCAATTCGAGTCAATCGCCCCGGAATACGCCACCTGAACCGTTAACGGTTACTTACTTATTTTTAGATGCCAATAGAGCAGTAGGTATTACAATTCTCTTTTTCGATATTGAAATTCTACACATGTGTATTCTTGTGTATTATTGTATCGCAAGTCGCAGCAAAGTCGTAGCAAGTACAGGGTTTTGCATAATTCCGTGAAAACAGGGTTTTTTTTTCCTACTTCGGTCCGATTTTTGAATGTTCCGGACCCAACTTTGATGTCGACCCGACGTGGCAACAACGACCACCCGCTCAACATCCCGACACACTGTTATTACATTAGTGCCTCTTAATTGTTAGAAAACTTCAATATATGACAGCAGCCTCTCAATACTAAGCTTTTTAGTCAATAACTGCTGGATCCTGTTCTTTTTGCAGCTATTCCAGTAAATTTTAGGTGCATGTACATTGTGAGGAGACAGTGTGCAGAGGTATGGCGCTGTTACTGGGCACGACGCCAAGCAGTCAGCTGTCAGGCCGGAGATCTCGGTCGAAGTCGCTTATGGGCGGTCCGGTAAAAAAAAAATTTCCCATTTTCACGGAATTATGCAAAGGGCTGTAAAGCAAGCATTCATCGTCAAAGGTTAGAACGTAGTCAGAAGCGACTTCAACCATGGATTACTCTCGATTTGAGGAAGAAATTTCTCAACATGAGCCTTCAGTTGTTCAAGTTGCTGCTCCGGCGAAGCCTCCTTCTCCTCATCCTCCTCCATAACAACATCTTCCCCATCCGTCGGAGAAGCCCAAGAGCGAAGAAAGTCTTCCACGATTCGGATACCTTCTTCTGTCACTTCAGGCGGAACGTCCACGTCCATATCCTTGTCATCTAGAGGGGACAATGATTAAGCCGTCAAATGGCATATACTTGAGCAACTTACCCCCGCCAAAATCCTCCAGTTCATCTGCTTTGCATTTCGCAAGCTGCATTCGGCCTCATTGAACTATTCGACAAATGAAACACAACAACTCAACATACCTTCACAACGCTTTCGGGGAAATTGGCCAACTCTGCGACGTGAATACCAAAACTCTGGTCAGATATTCCTTTGAAGACAGTCAGTTATCCATGGTCATCTGTAAAATCCTAGGGTCCTTACCGGGTTCGACCTTGTACAACAAAGTGATCTCTCGTTTTTCATCTTCTGCCCCTTTCTCCCCTACATGAGCAACTACATGCAAATTCTTAACGTGCGGAAGCTGCTGGTCCAGCGCAGTGAGCTCGTGGAAGTGTGTAGCAAAGAGACAGAAGGCGTGTATTTGCGATGCGATGTGTCTGTGATTACAAGTTTCGGTCAAAAACTTGACCAATGGAGACAAGATAAAACTGACTCTGAGATAGCCCAAGCCAATCCAAAGCCATCGTACGTCGACGTTCCTTGAGGAGCAGAGTGAGCGCACACAAAAAGACAAGACGTAATCAGGATATGCACACCTCTTCCAAGTTCATCGATGATAATTAGAGAATCTTTCGTGGCAGACTGCAGTAAGCAAAATCAAATTCCACCTCAGTAAGACGCATAACGAATTGCGTACAGACCCGAAGAATGATTGCGGTCTCTAACATCTCAGCCATAAATGTTGACACCCCCTTCAACTGGCTATCTCCAGCCCCGACACGGCAAAGTATGGAGTCAAAGATAGGAAGCTTCGCTTCCGAGCATGGCACAAAGCAACCAACCTGTGCCATCAGTGCGATTACTCCTACTTGACGAATATAGGTCGACTTTCCGCCCATATTGGGCCCGGCTATCAAGGATTAGTTATCTTGTTTCACAAAGCAGAAAAATCCTCATACTAATAATCTGAAATTCACTCTGATCTGAAAAGGAAGTCAGCGGTGTAAGATCTACTGCAAAGGTTTTCTCCACACCTTTGATCATCTCCACGTCGTTGGCTATGAAAGAAACGTCGTCTTGAACTTCTAGACAGGGATGTCGGGCGTCACGAAGGATAAGGCTTCCCTCACCTTTTGAAGACGTTATTATTCACTCAGATCATACTCATGAGAAGCTTACCACTTCGTAGTATTTCGGGCTTGACGTAGGCCTCGGGAGCGTTGACAGACACATGGGCGAAACTGAGCAGCACGTATTTCTTAGCAACTGTGCGACAAAGAACAGATAACCCACTCACCTCAAGATCACATCCAACTGTGCCAGAAGGTTGTTCAATGATTCAAGAACAGGCGTATATGTGGCTTGGATAGATCAGCTCAAGTCGTCTTTTATATAACGTAGGTTCACTCACAAGCAATATTTACAACCTCTTTCACCAGACCACTCTGCGTTCGAGTATATTTGCTTGAATATTCTTGGTAGTCTTCGGCAAGTTGCTTTAAAGTTTTGGTAGTAAAGAATACACCGCTTTTTATAGTTCCCAGCTCCATATATTTCTTTGTAGAGAGACCTTTTGCATCCTAGTTTTACTTTTTGAGCCATATTATTATTTGACGAGTGGAAAGAAGCGCACGTTCTTCGTTAGCCGGAAACAGTAACCGTAGGTCGCGTTATTCTCGAGATGCAATTTCTTGTCTAGTTGCATGTTGAGATCGTCACCAACCGCACGGTGCTCGTCGTCCAGACCATCTCGGACCTAATTCACTAAAATAAGAGCAGTGGTCGTCTAAGGTAGACCTTCTACACACTTCGGTAAGCTTTTCTGCAAGGTCCTGTAGCCGGGGGTCATAATCTGGTCTAATTACATAGTTGTGCTTATCCAGTTCCTTCAGATCAAGGGTTTCTTCAACCATCTCTGAGTACTTTGAAAGACTGCCTTCATGCTCCTAAATCAAGTAATCAGTATGTTCACTGACATGCATTTTATCAAATTGACTTTTAGTTTCTGCAGACACATCTCTTGCAACAGCTTATAAGACTCCTCTTCTTCTGATTGTACGCTCTCCAGGGTTTCAATCATCCCCGGTAGCTATATCTTTTGTTAACGAGTCATTGCTATTGGGAAATAAAGACTTGCCTTGAGTACAACCTGATACACTCTCACCACGTCTTCGAGACTCGCTTGCGACCGCTGGAATCTCTTACTCACTCGATGCAAATCAGGCATATACTTCAGGTATTCGTCCTAAATCAATTGTTAGATTGATTTCGGCTGTATATTGAACATCTACCTGTAGAGTTCGACGAGAGTTTGTATCGTCGACAAACATTTGGACCAGATCTTGGCGTTTTTCTGAAACGAAAACTTTTGTGAGATTCAATCATGATCTCGGAAAGAGAACACACTAATTTCATGTATGTTCACCAGTGGTTGCTTAAGCCAAGTTCCGAGAAGCCTCGTGCCCTGAGCCGTCTTACATTTATTCAACAAACCAAGTAACGTCGTATTTCGTGTTGTTACTCCAACATTCCCTGGAGCTTCCGTTAAATTGAGTGCCCTCAGCGCGCTGGCGTCAAGACGCATGTATTGGCCCAACTCGTGTGTTCGGATTGCGAAGGCGTTATGATTGGAAGGATCGGACAGAAGTGACAAATACGTGATGAGCGCAGATAACGCAGATGGAGCAGTTGGGAGTGCTAATTGTGCTGGAGGATATTGATTTTGAATATGGACAAAAAGATGAGGAACACGAACGTACGAATGGTGACGGATGCATCCGCTGAGCTGTTCTCCGTTGCAGATGGCATGGCAGCCGCTGAGAGTAAACGAGGCAAGTCGTCCGCAACATTTTTTGTTGAAAATTCGCTGGGCTTTCGCTCTGTGACCACAACGCCACATCGGTCTAGTACGGCCTTAAGCTTGTTAAGATCGACGTCGCGATCCGTAGATCCTGAAGCGGTCCCAGTGGGAAGGATGGCCTCCTTCACTGAGAGTTGTATTATCAGAGACTGCGAAGAAGTAAATTCCTGAAAATGAGGACACTGGTAGAATTTACCTCAGTGTTGGAAAATAAATCGTTGTCGACAAAATCCGCGACTCCGAGTTCGCGCACACTGGTATCTGCGAATGCTATACCGACTGTTTTCAATTTGGTTTTGCCGCCAGAAGAGGAAGCCGTCGACGCTATCTTGATTGCCATTACTATCGGCGCAGTTGTAAGGTCAGTGTCAACAAACAGCAGATCCTCGACTGCTTGTAGATTTCCAGGCGACGCCTGTGAAGCGTATGTGCATCAGGTCAGGAGAATACAATATAGCAATACAGTATATACCTCTTTGTCGAGAACAAACTTCGTGACTCTCTTTCCTTGCCCACTTTCTGGTACCCATATTTCAACTTTCAATTGCTTGATAGTTAGGGCCTCCCGTAACAACATCTGTGCGACAGTAGTCTTCATTGTCACGCTAGGCAGCCCTGCAGCTCTTCCTCCCGCTCCAAGATATTTGATGACAGAATTTGTGTGATAAACATGTGTGGCGACATATAGGGCATCTGGACCGTAGACTGCGTAATAAGCATCAGTTCCTGTACGATGGAAAAGTCGTAAGGTGCCGGAATCTGGCGATTTTGGCGGAAGTTTTCCAAAAAATGATATGAATCCGGGGTCAGTGACAGTGTCAGTTTGCTCTTTTTCCTTGTCGTACATCGAGATTCCGCATGAACTTGAAGTTTCAGAAGAAGCGGCGCGTTAGAAATTCAGAAATGTTACGAAGTGTCACATCACATGTCATGATATGGTGTGACGTTGGTCACACTCAACTACTATCCAACTAGTCCGATCGACTTCTGTTCTTCAACGTCAACGTTTGAACCTTCTTCGTTCTTGATTCTGATTGGACCTCATATCCTGCCAAACCTTAGACTATGACGCCTCATAGACACCTCAAGAGGCCCTTTATACTCTGCTGTCAAGATATTCATGTTAAGACTGAGTATTGAGGTACTGATGTTTGACCTCCGAGTCGCCTAAGGTTGCCCAGAGTTGCCTAGCATTGCACCACGAAGACGATGCTATCCGACATGTCTGTACACAACATAGGAGTGATTTAGAGACATGCGGCGCTGTGAATACATGGTACGCGTTGATTGGTGGCTGTTCAATTTCACTCGATGATTTGACAGGGTGGCTAACCGTAAGTAACCGTCCGCAGTTTTAACCTGTTTTTGACATACCTTCTTGCACTCAAGCTGGATATCTCGGTCCGTGTAAAATCCGAGCATTATCACGGAATTATGCATAGGGTATCATATCTACGTTCGGAAAAACATGAACTGTGTAAATCAAGTATGTTTAACTCAAACTATACATGCGGAGAATGAGCAAGCTAATTAAACCCTCCTCGGTCCGCTTCCAAAAGATCAACATGCTTATTTTTAGCATCCACATCGCAACGGGTCCTTTGTACGGTCCGTAGCTTTTTAAGCTTCCTCATGGCAACGACATCCTGACCTGGTCGTATGCTTTAGATCAGCCGCGTATCGCGCACAAATTAATGAGTTTTCTCGAAATTTATCCAGGAAAGACGATATAAGAACAACGACTGGCTACGCTACTACGGCTAACTAGCTATGCTCTCGTTCTTCTTTGTCGGCGTTTCCTTGCTGCTGGGCCTACAGGTCCAGACGGCTGTGGCCTTCATCGAGTGTAGTGTCCTTGACTATGGTAAGTTTCAAGGCTAGTTTCTCTACATTACAAGCTTACTGGAACTCCCTGTAACGTATAAAGGCGCTGTCGCTGATAACTCCACCGACCTTGGACCTGCTCTGACCGCCGCATGGCAGGAGTGTGTTATACCCCAAGTTACCACCACCGTCGCAACGGATGTTCTTCTTTACGTTCCCGCAGGATCCTACCTTCTTGCGTAAGGGGGTTGACATTCTATCGTGACAATAGAGGATCTAAACAATGCTCTCTGTCCGACTCTAGATCCACTGTAACGTTTGATGGCGCAGAGAATTGGAACTTGCACATCGCCGGGGACATCTACCTACCCTTTAATCCGGATCTGACTGGAACTATGCTTACTTTTGAGGTAAAAACTTTGTGGACTTAGGAAGGACGGGAGGTAATTACATGTTCTTCAGAACTGCGAAAACATTCTTTTAGATGGACCAGGCGCGATATATGGTGAGCACTTATCGCTGCGTTCTCATAACTACTGACGTCTATTCCCAGGCAACGGATACCGCTACCGTCCAGATGGCGACGTAGGTTAATTCGCACTTTGATCCTGTAGAAAGGCTAACAGTGATTCTCCTCTGAAGCTTACCCTGTACCCCAGTCGTCCACGTCTCATTCGTTTCCAAACCTGCAACAAGTACAATTTCAATCTGCACAGCTGATAATCGGAAATTAACGCTAAATTTCAGCTGCGAAATAACACAAGTGTATCTTTATGATGCTCCCATGTTCCATGTTACGATTATCGGCGAGTGAAAACTTGAAATCGATACATTCTAGTAGGCGTAGTATCTGACATGGAGATTTATCTACAGGTGACAAGTTAGTGGCTGCCTTTGACTCGTTGGCTGAAAGCTCAATGTATACTCCCGCATTCTAGCAATGTAGCTCACGACATGGCTATAATTGCTTCCCATATTGGTGCACACCCTTTCTATTTGCATATTGTTTCCACCCTTCCTCATTCTCCTTGCTCAACAGGAGAAACTGATGGCTTTGATATGAGTGGGAACAACAACTACGTACACGATGTCTCGGTCGAGGTGAGCGTTCTGAATGCTTTCTGTGTTCAGTGCTAATTATACCGGTTTAGAATGGAGGTATGTCTCTCCTTGTTCTCTGTTCAGCTTTGCTCGTGGACGAATCTTATACTTATCATAGATGAGTGCGTCACGGTCAAGACGCCGACTAATGTTCGTGAGAGTTCAGCTACTGTTCAACACCAAATTTGAGTCTAATAGTTATTAGGGCTTCGTTGCTGAACGAATAACCTGCAAATGGACAGCTGGTAAGCTGCGCTTGCATTTGTATGAGCACGCTCTTAGGGCCGCAATCTAGGTTGCAACATAGGCTCTTTCGGCTCGGGTGCAACAGGTGTTGATGTCCAGGTTCGCCTTTTCCTTTTCCAATCATTTCGTATAGCGTCTATGGAGTCGATGCCTGATTTTTATGCTGTTGTTTGTAGAACGTATATTACAGCGATGTAACCATCTCAAACTCCGACGCGGGGGTCATGATCAAGAGTTATCCCAACTGTCAGGGAACTGTAAAGAACATCACTTACACTGGATTTACACTCGTAAGTCTATCTCTTCAAAAAATCCTCAAGATTTTCTCAGTTCTTTTTGTAAGGATGCTGCCGCATATCCGATCTGTATGTCTCTTCTCTCTATCAAACGACGTGTCTTTGACGTTTACTACCTCCGTTAGATATCAGTGCTTTCTGGGAGGTATGAATTTCTGCTTCCATCTTCCATTACGGTCGCTGAGAATACATTCAGGGAGGAACTGATGACACTGGCACTTTGGAAATTTCCGACGTGACCTTCGACAACTTTGTGGTGTGTATCCAACTATTGTATAAGAAGAGCATATCATTATAGATATTTAGGGAACCGGAACCCCTACTCGTCCTGCTGTGCTTCTGGATTGTAACAAGGCCACGCCATGTGAGGACATTATTGTGAGTTGCTATTTTAATCGCTGCATTTGAACCTTCGACTGTTGATACTCGTCACGTTGTATAGTTTACAGATATTTCACTCACCGACACTACTGCTGACACTTTCACCAATGCTTGTGGTACTGGTTTGAGCGGATTGGACGCCTGCTAAGCGCCTAATACCGTCAAGTAAAATATTTTTCCACTGTTTTTATTCCTATGCATTCGAATGCAATCAAACTCGATACCCAATTTGAAACTACTATCCGAGTTTCAAGTCACTGTGATAGGCTGGTGCAAGACAACTTCTCTCTGGGATAACTTCACAAATACCAGCTGCAGAATCCGCCCACCGTAATGCGGGACCGCCGTAGGTCTATATCGTAGCAGGAGTTGAATAGTTGCGAGGCCGATTTATTAAATGAAGACTATCTCTATCTCTATCTAGGAAGCCAGTAGGACCGAACGTCGTTATACACACATAGGCAGGTATTCTAAAGCTTGAAGAGGAATGCCTTTGTGTGAGACAGATAATTCAACCAGTTTTGGCCTTGAGATGCTTCCATACTGATGATGCTAATGCCATTCCAATACCAGTAATAGCAATCTCTAACCCAACATACCGTGACATGCCTACACTGACACCAGCACCACCCCATACAGCTCCAGTTACCCTTCCTAGATAGTTGCTATATTGTACCATGACAGATGACATACCATTCCATTTCACAGTTGGCGGTAATTGCTTGCTGAGCAGACTCATTGTGACAGTGCTGGCCACATTGAATCCCAATGCAACAGCGAACCAGCAAATAAAAAATGCCGGAGCAGTTCCAACACCTATCTGACTTGATATCCAGTTGCTTGAACCTCCTGATGCAGTCTTATCTAGGCTGACCAAAACTAGAAATACTATGAGGGCAGCACCACCAAGTCCTGCGCCAAACATGAGTGTATATCGGTCTTGGACCCGTCGAGCAAGGAAAACGTTCAGCACGAAGAAAGGAAAACAAGCCAGAGCGCCAATTCCAAGGAAATTCCCCGCAGAGAAGGGAGTGAAATTGAGGTGTGGATCCACAGATCCATCTGTGTAAGTGAATTAGTGTTATTTGGGGGTTCTGTTTCAAACTGCAGTACTTACAAACTGGAATATTGGCTTCCCACGCACCTAGAATGAAAAACGATGCCATTGCAAACCAACATATGCAAACGACCGAGGCCCACTGACCGAGTTCTAGCTTGCCGCTGTGCTCGGTCGGTGGAGACGGTGAACGAGAGGGCATATTGGAGGAGGAAGGAGAGGGACGAACATGATGTCGAAAAGAGGTCCCCGAAGCGTTCACCGGATCGTCGTTCGAAGTATTATCCATTAGTTGTACAGGAGTTTTGTCTTCAAGCTCGATATTTTCAGGATCAGACTCTATAGAAGGTTTCTCGATCACATCGTCGAACCAAATCCTAACGGCAACCCAGTAAACCGCCCAAAGTCCTGCTAAAACCCACGCCGGACTAGTGAAGCCATTCCAAACATTTCCCGTCCCCTTCCCGAATCCAACATATCTGTAGAAGATTCCACCAAATAGAGGGCCCAACCCCATACCGACACCGTTTCCCACCATAAGCCAACTCGCAAGTGTGGTTCTCCTTCTAATTCCGACGATCCGTGGGTCAGAGCAAAAGCGCTTGCAGTACATCCACATTGCAAAACCAACGCCGCTAGTTATTCGTCCCAAGAGAATGAGATATAGCCAATTTGCTTTGTAGGCACATGCATAGAGCACCATTCCGGAAATGGAAGCGGCACAGGATATATTTAAGGCGAGACCATATCCACCTAAGGGTAGGATTAGATATTTCTTCGCCGCAACAATATCATCTGCAATCACCTCTATCATATTTCATGAGAGGAATGAGTGTCAGTCCCGAAAACACAGTGGGTATACCGATAACAACACCTGCTCACAAGCATCAGGATCAGAAACGTCTGAGAGAAGGGAGACAGAGACAGACCGCTAAATGTCGAAGTACCACCTAGATGTAACGCATACTCGTTTGACGAAGAGACGATGATAAAAAAAGAGATCTGCTATACGATGGGTATGTTTCCCTCTAGGATAAAGGAAGATACTGACCTGAAGAAGAGCATTGGCCAACAGAATGATCACCAAGGAAGAGCGCTTTGGCAACTTCAATTCGGGATCATCTACTGAACTCAAGACTTGGGTAACATTTTCAGAAGCAGAAATATCCTCATCTACGGCGTACGTTGAAGGAGGGAACTTCGATAGCACGATTGCAGAGGCCATGGTGGTTGAGAGAGATGCGGAGGGTGCGGACTGGTACAAGGGTAACTTTTTTCCAGCCGGAGATAATGTGGCGCGTGGCGCAATTTGCCATGTCTTACGGTAAAGAATTTTAACCTTTGTATTTATTGCAACGGAATTCGTGGTGTATGTAGCATGGGTTTCTATAAATTGAGTAATATGGATCTGTCGAAGAGTGAACGATAGGGCAGGCGGAAAGATGAAATAATATCCAACTTGAACTGAATGATACAAAAATGCAACGGGGGAGATTAAGAAATATAAGTGATAAATATAACCAAGCAATAAGGAACGATGAGGAAGATTCAGCGTCTCGCATAAAAGAGGGGTAACAATTTATTGAAGGGGAAGGGTATGAACTCGAAGTGAAGTGTAGGTGACGGGATCGCGCGAAGATAGGCCAGTGCTCGATAAACATGAGTGATAATCAGCAATGAATAGGTCGGTATTAAGACAGCGTGAGTGTTGTATAATAAACAGCAGTTCAATCAGGATGGTAGGTGTGTAGGTGTGTCGTCGAAAGATCGTAAGGAGTAGCCAATGGATACAGACGGATTCAAGAAACAAAATGAGTTGTGCGATAAAGATGTGAGGTGCATGCGAAACAAGGGAGGGACCGCAAGTAGAGACTATGAAGGCAAGATACCCTCCTCGCGCTCACGGATCCTTTGCTTTTCATCAACCAACTCGTCCAATTGTCGCATTCTATCACTCCTGTCTTTTTCTTCTCTGGTTCTAGACCTTGACGGTAACCGGACCTTCCATTCTTTCATCCATGTCCACCGAGATACACGCTTCTCATCTTGTTCTGACTGTTGAGAAGAGATTGATGCGAATTTTTCCGAAGTCGACAGTTCCACTGGCATAGAGCCCGTTGCCGAAGCGGAAGCGGAAGTAGATGTGACAGAGGTGCTGATTAATGCTTTCAAGTGGTCCCTTGCCAGGATCGGAGCAAGAGACAAGAATGACAAAAAAACTAGCTTGATGATGATTTCCGGTGACATTAGCAAGGATGAAACAGTTTGTGATGTTGCTGAGGGTGCGTAAGCGACCGTCTGTAGTATATCTCCAATCTAAGGAATCACAAGTTCAAATCTGGAAGAATATAGGAAATTATGAAGTTTATGAAGCTTACCTGGCAAGTTACTGCTGTCCAGGGTAAGGTGCCAATGAATGAACCCAACATGCAGTCCCATGTAGGGACGCCACAAACACCGCAGGCAATATTAATCCCTGACCATGGCACAACGCCCACGAGCCTCAGCACCGAAAGTCTAACCCAAGCACCGGAAGTACTGGATATTGAATTCACATCTGTGTCCGCTGATGATGGTGGTTTATTTGCATGGCCTTCCAACGCGGAGCGTGTCATATCCAGGACTCGCGGAAGGAAACGCATGACCAGTGGCGCCAGTGGAGCCGCTAGCGACGACGCGCAAAGTGAACCTATTGTGGTTAGGAATGTCAATAGGATCGTGGCAAACACTGGGGAGAACAGTGCGCCTGCGAGTACATTCCATATGACACTGCCTGGGATAGACCACGCGTGTTTCCACACTGCTGTGACAGCCAGGACTCCAACGACATGCATCGATGGCCAAAATCCACTCTCAGAATACCGGTGAAGCTCTTTACCCAGCTGAGCCAGGTCAGTGAGTGTTTTGGGCCATGCAAAAGGTATCGGCAGGCTCGAGAGGGAGAGGAAGACTACGGCGGTAGAAAGAGGGAAAAGACATATCACAAAGACAATGGGCGCGTGCATCTAAAGAAGTATGAGTATACCAGCAGAATCAAGGCAAGAAAAAACCTAACAGAAGGCCACTGATTGTACTGAGAAGATTTTGGGGTAAGTACCTCGCCAAAGCTTGCCTTGGTTGCTGACGCTGGTAAAGGAAGCGCATACACGTCTCCGTTATCCTCTGGCGTCGTCGGCGAAGACCAATCTGGTAGTAGTGCATGTTTAGATTCCAAATGAAGCCATTGCAAAACGGTCGACAGAGCCATGAAAAACATTGAAGGTCGAGGAGTGTCGCCAGAAGGTGTACAGCACGGAGGAGTTGAAGGAAGTGGCTTCAACTGAGTAGTCGACCGTCTCCGGCCAAGTGACTTGAGTGTAAGGGCAGGACGGAGAGTGGTCGAAGATGCTCTGTTTCTCGATATGGGCGGGGGAACTAGACTAGACATGGGCAGGACGGGAAGAAGTATAAAAGTTTGAATTTTTGATCATCCCGAAGACGCGAACATCCGGCATGCTAAGCATGATTACTCATCCCCTTTCCCGGATACGATTCGTAAGATTTCATTTTTTCTATCCGACTCTATCGTACATATTCATTAAGGGCCCTTGGCGCGTTCTACAACATTTCCCTCCTTCGTACTAAAAAGTGGCAATGATTCAAAGCTTCACAGTGCAGGCTGCAGTGAAAGAGCACCAAGTTCCCATGTCGGAGATGTTTCCGTTCTTACAAATCTCCGGCTGAACATCTGCTTCGATGAAAAATAGCGAGCTACTTACGGATTTGCGCTTACACTGTATCTATCTATCCATCTATTGCTGTTGAATCATTTGCTGTTATCAGGAGCAACTACATATTTTGACTGGCTGTTGGAAGATCGAGCTCAGAAGATTGATGCAGTCTGGTTGGGCCTGGATGCATGCGGCAACCGTATGCAGCTCTTTAAAAAAATCTCACGGCGCCCGGAGTTCTGCACGGCAGTATGTATATTAGGCACCCATCAACAAGGCATGAGCAAGGATTATGAAGTGCATGGTTAAGACTCGAGAATGATTGCATAAATGATGAGCTTCATAACACAGGGCATGCCGACGCATATGTTGGATGGTTATTCGTAGAAGGAGATAACCGTAAAGAATTTGAACTTCGTCCACAACAACGACACATTCTTCTAGTGAGCTGCCCTTCTCGATTCCTGAATGACGTTTCCAAGCTCTTCGAGTTTGCGCTTCGAGCGCAAGAGGGTACCCAGCTACGAGGAAATCAGAATTCAACACTAACGTAGTCTCCGAGACATAACATACTCTCTTCTTTGTAAGCTTGCGAGCTTTTTTGTCCTGTGAACAGCGGTATTATCAGTCATCAATACAAAATTCCAGTCAGCTTCCAGAGACTGACTTTTGAGTTCCTGAGCAGCTCCATCACTCTCCTCTCGTATGCAGAGAAACCAGCAACCTCCCTGATGACGGACCTCACAAATTTGGTCTTCGTCGATTGAATGCCCTTGCGTTGCGAAGGGCGCACAGTTTTAGGGATCGGTGTTGTCGGGTGACCCTTGTTAAGGCCAATGCTGAGGTCTAATTTTCATAGTTGGATTCCGTCCAGTTATCAGGATAGGCAGATATGAAGGAGCAGTTGTAGGGTGGAAAAGAGAAATGGCGAGCACATAAACGGTCATTATTCGATCAGCTTGTGGCCATCCGAGCATGAGAGGGTGCACTTACTGCTGCGAGCCATGGTCTTGAGGTTGCTGAAATTTCTACAGGGAGTTTGATTATGAAGAGTGTTGAGTCTCGTGCCATTCAAGCTGTATAGTTTCCCACGATTCATGTACTGTATTAAATTTTGGCGCGTGTCCTCGCGACTCGCGTCATTTAGTCTGTTTTGAGTACAGTAGCATGAACAATCATTGTAACGAGTCCGAGTCGTTTGAACAAAATCGAAAGGTAGATATGAATGTGTACGCGGTACGATAAAAAGTAAACTCTAACCCGATACTGAGGTCCCGTACGAAATAATTTTCTATACATGCAAACGTTCACGCTGCCAACCCCACCGCTGGTGACCACGATCTGATAACGCGTAGCTTTCCGTTCCCGATGGACGTGTGCATCTTGGGGAGGCTAATGTTGGTGTTTGGGGGGCGCGCGTTCGCATTGGACGTAGGTGTTGTTCGTGCAGATGTAGTGTTTGCCACTGCATGTTGGCGGCCCGCTGGAAGAGGATTTGAGGGTCTCTCGTCTTCCTCTTCCTCCTCCTCTTCCTCCTCGTCATCGTCATCGTTAGCTTCCTGTAGAGACGCTTGAGATTACAGCAAGCGGAAAAAGAACCGGGTTGGAACGCACAGGATCAAAATCCTCCATTTGTCTGTCTTCTTCTTCTTCATCATCGTCCTCATCGTACTCATCATCTTCGTCATCTAACCATCTACCTCTCCAATCCACCATATCCAACTCATCGGGACTCTCAGGCCGAAGCCTCAACCATTGCATTCGAGGCCCGCACTTTGCCCGTTCGCTAACTTTGAAGCCGTATATGCGGGGCACATAAACATAACCCGCAGCACGTTTCTGTCCTCCGTGAGGGTTAGGATTCACGAAGGTGGAAGCTGTATGTGCCATAGATCCTGTGCTGAGACGTGGCGAATTAGACATAGATGAACTTGGAGGTGCTTTCCAAAAAGGTGCAGGAGCCAGTTCGCGGTATGTTTGGAAGAAGAGATGAGCAAAGGTGGTACCGAAGAACGCGCCTATTGTACCATGTGTAAGCGGGGTTGTTCTTTTGCATTCCGGAACGTACCGTCAACGCCTTGGAATCGACTGCTAGGTGGAACGTATATATCGTTGCAATTTGGACAGAACAGTTTCACAGTATCAAGTCCGGGCATATCCGACCTTCCGCAAGGAACAACATTGGTACCCATGCAGTATACCCTCGGACAAGAGCCGAATATTCCAGCTTCGTATTTGTCTACCTGAAAATAACACACGGATAAACACAGAAAAGAAACGGAAGGTTTCCAATAACTATACCATGGCTGAGAGACCGACCCGCGTTAAAATATATCGCTGGTGAACTAGGCCGTATAGCATCTCCGCCGAGGATTCAACGATAGACACGTCTGGTATTTTTGAAGTATCTTCATCTGTCCAATAGATAAACATATAGATCTTCAGATTGTGGCATCAGAAACATACCAGGCTCAACATCCAGCACCATTTCCATAGCTTCTTTCCAAAATGGCACCATTGTATTCAACCCAGTCAGATTGAAATCATCCTCGATGAAATCTTCCGTGACTTCGCAGAAATACTCGTGTCCAGGCAGGGAGCAAAACCAACTGATCCAAGTCAGTGTGGAGGTAGGGGTTGACGAAGCTGTAAGACATCAATAGAATTGTTAGACGAAGTAGTTGCAATTCGAGGAAAACACGTACTGTAACCGTCTTCTTGCTCCTCAACTTCCTCCATGATTTCGTCCCCTTCTCCTGTTCCGCTGATGGCCTCTTCTTCCTCGAGCTCGGCTTGGTTAGCCACGTTCATTATTACTCCTTCAGATTGCCTTTGGATAAGCAGTTGAGTGGTGTGGTGGCTGTCGGAAAACAAGAAGAGGCTGTTGAACGTAAACAAGGTTCAACAAAGCTTGTCCGTTCCGCTCCACAATTTCAGGGGACTCTACATAGATCTGAAGACATAGAAACCAAAAGGTTCAGAAGCAAGCCTGGCCAATGCAACTTCGATTAATTTCTCGTCTGGCAATTCAGTGAAAAATTCAATATTCACGGCAGTCGGGACCACAAAGAACATTTGTGAGTGGGAGAAAGCGAAACTGAATGAGAAATTCATCTTACCATCCATTACAGTGTGGTGCAAAAAGGGAACATCCTGGGCGCCGCCAGGTTATATACTATGTCAGATCCGCCAACAAATATATCACCGCAAAAGTCATCACCTTCATCGCAGCCCGCTACGATCTTCCAGTCAACATCAATGCTGTCAGTTGACCACCACTTCATGCACCTCATGCCCTCTGGCACATATGTTGCACAGAACTTGTATACTCAATCAAATATGGCCATAGGTGACTTTGACCCAGAATAAGGCAAGGACGCGTCACCTCGTCGGATGCACGAGAGGTGATCTCAATTTCAATGTCAGAAATATACTTATGCTGTAATAGATTAGCGTAAGAATACATATATATATATGTGGTCTTCGTGGGGAAGCCAAGGCTGTCGCCGCCACATAGCAGTGACCAGTCGAGGATGGAGAAGTGAGCTGAGGTCCTGACCAAACTGGACTCCTGCGCCCTGGCTCCAGTATGCAAATGAGGGTAAAAGCCCAAACCCCAGGTGTGAGTTGATATGACAAAAAAGGGATTGTGGGTGGGGTCCAAAATTCTCGGGCATGCAGAGGACGAGAATGAAAGGAATTCTCGCCGCTCAGATACAGCCATCACGTCTGCGACAGCTATTGATACCAGAATTTCTCCTCGTCACTGGTGCTCCCTTGCCTCATCTAACTCTAACACTTACGCTAGCCGTACGCAAGTTCATGTAGCTTCAGCTAACATCTAGCTTGAACGTCGGCCCACTCGATGTCTTCTCATGATGAACAGGCTTTTAAAGGTGGAGGTGTTATCCATGACCAGATTATAACCAGTTGTTGTTGTATATTGAGGCCTTAAAATGGTCGAGAGAAACTAAAATAACAAGGGGGGTGGTGGGATTGCGACCGGGTAGTCATTATAGGCAATGATGTCGGGTTGACATCGGGTACATCAAAGCAAACACTGTCCAATACCTGTATCCATGGGGAAGTCAGAGGGAGGTAGATATCGGTAGATACTGTGCTCACAAACTTACTATGTCCTAGTCCAGCGTCCCTTGGGTGGCAGTCTGGTTGCACTCGCCGCGTACCAACGAATTCTGGGGTTACGGTGAGTTGCTCCAACCGACTCCCGCATGGTGAGTACTAGCTATATTACGGTATATGGTAGATACAGACAGATGTGCGTGCCGAATAACATTCCTTTACACTGCGTATGGTAGAGACTGAAAGCAAAAATCTAGAAAGCGGATAGAAATAGAGACGAAAAAACTAATGCTGGTCGTTCAAACCCCGAGCCTGACAAAACAGATTCTATCAGATACGGGCAGAGAACGTCGGTCAAAGTCGCACCTTCGTTTACTGTGTTCATATACTACATAAGATATAGATACTGCAGGAACCACCTACAAATGGAAGTGATTTTAAGGAATATACGTGGTGACTACAAACAACAATCTAAAACCCACCTTGGCTAAGGTCGGCAGAAGGCCTCTATAGAATCCTCTCCAGCCCTCCCGCTCCCAGGTTTTTGTGGCCACATCCAACGGACCCGAATAGGTCTGAGGATGACCGGGGCTTCCAGAAGCTTGCATTCTCGTGCGTACCAAGTTCATGGGATACACGGAGGTAGCACCGACGCTACCAGATACACTTCCAAAGGCGAGCACCGCCAGAACGCCTGGTTCTTCTTTTCCGGTTGATCGAAGATAAGCCAGCTTGAGCGCCTCGAACGTGGACATGTCTATGGCTGAATACGGGAACACCCCGATCAACCCTATCTATGAACCAAATGATGAATCAGATGGGTCAAGAATTGGAGGGATAATTTTCCCCACCGATAAACCGCGGTAGTATGCTCGGAAACCTCCAAGTGTCCAAACGTGCTTAGCAGCTTGTATCAGTGTGCGCTTCTGCTGACCGGTACTGCTCATCATTTGGGTCTAGAGTACACTGAACATGGAAATATAACAAATATCATACGAGGAGTCCGCGCACCTTCAGCGTCTCTATTGGGTATATGCCTGTTCGAAGGATGTCAGATGAGGCTATTCTACAAACTGAAAGAATCAAGGTGCACTGAGTTGACTGCTAATGCCTCCTAGCCCTCCAGACAGGAATCGACTGACACCGCTAATCTCTCGGGGATCATCGACATGATCCCAATATTTAGCGAAAGCACGTTTCTATAGTAGTCGAAGACCATGAGCAAGGTCCTGAGCACGACATAGGTTCAAACACACCGAGGACTCATATGTGAAAAACTTGATTGCTGATTCAGGAAAGATTTTTGCGACGGATAGACCGTTCCCTGTCCAGAATGCTCGCAACCCTCCTTCAGCATAGATACGCGTAATAGCATTTCCAATCGCTTTCACACCATTGACAGTCGGAACCGAAGATAGAGAGGAAACACCAAGATCTTGTGGACGCGTAATGAGAAAGATCTTTAAGCGATCGAACGGTGCAGTACAGGTCCTTGAGACTAGTGAATGCAGTATAGTTCAGTTCCGTGATGGTCAATGACGTGAAGAACAATGAAATCATACCTGCGCCCGCAATACCTCCAGCTAAAAGGAATCTCAGTGCCGCGTGATGTATGACAGCTGGGTCGTGTTCAGGATCGAGCTCGTCTTCTTCTTCACCGTCGTAAGGGGCAGGAACAGGTGGGGATTGATCAACATTGAGAGGTCGCAATGGAGGTACAGGAGGTTTATCTTCAGCACTGAGACTGACATCACCTGAGAAAGCCTTTTAATTTTGATACAAAGTCGGGTTGTAACCCGACACGCACCTTCCATAGTGACACGAGCAGCTCCTCGTCCATCATCTCCAAGAAACTTCGCGAATTGATAATATCGGTATATTTCTTCTGGTGAAATCTTCCGGGGAAGGAGAAGGAAGAAATCCCGAAATTCACTGAATGTTATTGCGTGTGGTTGAGGATTTGTGGTGAGAGATGCCATGAATTCATTCAGTGTTGCAGGCGAAAGCACAATATCTTACAGATATTATCGAGATAATTACTAAATGGAACGTCAGAAAAGACGCACTTGACTTCCGCAGAGCTGTGTCAAGCTCTCCGATCTCCAAACGACCATTACGGTTGATATCGAGTTCGTTGTGAAAAATATTCCAAAGCTCTACAAAACATGAGCACCTATGATTCATAAACGCAGAATGTACGTACCGACTTCCTTAGCCAACGCATAGGATTTGAATTCTGTCCATCCTATTTGCTTCTTTGAAGATTGGGACCCACAACTCCCAAATAGCTCAGCCTCATATGCTGCTCTCAACTGTTCAACTTTATCCGCTGTGATACCGGAGTTAGGCGCAGTACTTCTATGCACAGGATGGAGATGGCCAGTGTTGCATATCTGCTGCCACAACGCATGAAGACGTTCTTTCCGATAAGTCCTGCCTTCGCGTTCGCGAAACTCGGCCAATGATCGCGCAGGGGCCTGGAGCTTTTGATCTGACCATCGTTCTGTTGTGTTTATTTGTGTTTTAGAAAGAGAACGCTCGACTGCTTCTTGACGATTCGAATCGGAAGCATAATGGTCAGCAGTGTCCTTGCCAGCCATGTGTAGAGAAATAAAGGTGCCTCGGCAATACTGAGAGCTTCCTTAAAAGAGGAACCCACAGTGTAACTGGAAAGAAAAGGAATGTAAAGCTTAATGCTCCATTCCAATATTGAAGAAGTATGATTGTGGATGGAGGTTGAACTGATGAAAGTTGACGGAAGTGTCACGTTTATCTTATTGCTCCACATGCCCTTGCACTTCTATTATTGTAGGCTCCACTGTCGTGGACTGCACCTCGCTGCCTCGCTTGGGCAAGGATAGCCAAATTTTCACTGAAGTTGATACAAGTATGCAATATATGTATACATTTCTTCAATAAAAACCTGTGATGGTAGGAGGGATTTTAGCAAAATTTGACTATGGCATTGCCATGGCATGCATACAGCAAAGTGGAAATGTTTGATTAGTTTGAGTATTGAACAAAGAACACAGTTAACTGCGCCTTATGCATGCCACAAAGCAAGCCCGGGATGTTTGCAGACATTTGGCAAAAAGCTTGAGTCCAAGCACGACCAAAATGTGCCTGCACAAAAGTACATACCTGAGTGCAGTTGACCTTGCAAGCAAGGTAATTGATTTGGCCACTATTAGTACTTGGCCAGTGTCCACCATCATATACGTAGATAGATGTGACAAAATTGTTAGTACAAAAGAGTAGTGTGACCTTCTCGGAATGAACCAGCCTGTAGGTCAACTGTAGGTATGTTTTGTTGCATCACGTAAATGAAAGAAACAGTTCCAGCTGTTCTTAAGAAACGATAAAGTACCATGATACACCATACTTCAATATAGATACAACAGAACCTGTCCATGATCGTAAGTGTCCATATGCCTAATAAAGTAAATTTAGTGATTGCAACCAGTTTGTGAATGGCAGTTCAAAAAGATCAGGAGAAACAGCAACAGAAAGCATCTCGAAGTACGCAACCAACGTTCCGGAACACAGACCGACACGACCGGGGCCAAGTTACCTTACTCCTTATCGAACCGATTTTGGTGGAACCCGTGAGGCCTGAGCCACGCCTGCGGGCAGGAGGCCTTACAATATACATCGGTAGCACGGGAAGGTCATGTAAATCATCTTCACGACGCCCGTCAGTGTGCGACGTGTTATTCGTCCTTGCACTGCCAGTGATAACGTCGGAGACAGTAGTTTTATCAGTCCTGAAGGAGGCTTGAGTAGATAAAGGGTGAAACGAATTCCTGGAAGACCCCGCAGCAGTGGTGGCGGTACGACTGAGAGGTGGATACAATCCAGAACTTTCAACGTTTCTGATAAGGTTAATCTACGAGGGTAATTAAGAGCCACGAAGCTTATGCGTAGAGGAGACGACTGACCGGCCGAGGTACAGTTAGGAATTCGTGGTTATCAACACTAGAATCTTCAGGAAACTTTCGCTTTTTGGTAACGGAATTTATCGGGGGAGTGGGAGGCCGGTAGATCTGCAGGTAGAACGTTAATAAAAACACAATCATGGATTATATCAGCAAACCTGAGGCAGACGACGTCTAGTTCCAGTCGGGCTTGTAGGTATAGAGGGGTAACTTTCCCGACCTTCTTGTAGCATGGGGGGTGTCTGAAGTTGTTTCATAGTTCTAAAATGTGAGTGCGTAAGGATTGAATATGTACACCTTACCGACTGGAGAAATGACGGACGCCTCGAGAACGATGTGGCGTCGTTCGATGGAACAACTTGCACTGTATCAATTTGTCGTTCCTGTGCTATGGCTGCTTGCCGCAAGACATCCTGCCAGCCTCCGGGTAACTGCAGAAATTTGAATACCTGGAAAGATTGAGTAGAACAACGGCAACGTACGGGTGGTAACGCTCTGATTTTAGGCTGCTCAATTGTGGCATCCCCTTTCTCCCAAAGGCGATCTGGAGTGGCAACTGTAGGTGAAGAAGGTGGTGAAGGAATGTACTCCGGAACTGGCTTTCTATAACTCATGTCGCGACGAATGGGTGGAGCTTGAAAGGGAGTGGTGGTCGAAGCTGAAGTATGTTCCATGAACTTGAATGAAAATGAGGAGTTTAGTACAAAAGAATGGTAAGTGGCTGCGGGTTGCTATATAGTGGGACGGGGATGAGTAGGATGGCCGAAGCATAGATGAAGACCGTTTTATTGGAAGTCGCCACTGGCCAAAGCGCGCAGGAGGCGATCTTTAGCCCAATCCGGGGTGTATAGAAGTTTAAATGACAAACGCAGCGAAGCGATCACTGACTGAAAGAATGGTTCAGAAAACGTTGCCTGCTCTTTTCGAAAACCAAGGATTGAGCAAGAGAAAGCTATTTGCAACACGCGTAATCCTTAAATAGGGCATGTGGGAAACACACGTCGACTTACGCCCAGAACTAGTTCTTAGTCTGGCAGTCGGTGATGAAGAGGCGGTTAAGAAGCGCTTGCTTCGCGTTTCAGTTCACGCAGCAAATATGCAAGCGAGCGTCCGAATGTGACCTCGGTTGTGGTTCATGTGTTCGATTCAGCGGCTACCGTCAAAGCTTCTTTATTATTGTTGATCGCCATGGGTCTGGTAAAACAAAGAGGTTTAGTGACGTATGTTTGAAGGTTTGGAGAAACAAACACGACACCTACATAAGGCATTTCCGTGAAGCCAAAGCGTCGTTTTAGGCCTTTCCCAAGGATCTCGATGAATCACAAAGGATGGCAAGTACTGTGAATAGAAGCAGGTACCTATTGGAAATATACTCGCTAGTCATCCAAGTACTAATATGGATCAAACGTTCTTTCCCAACCGACGTTTGCTGTTCAACCACCAAATTCCGGCATTCAAATACGTCGCGAAGCAAAGCCATCCACAGTAAGGAACCAAAAAGTAAGTCGTTCGGGAATTAGTGGGTCCATCAAAGAGCTTCTGCAAGCTGAGATGTTTGACTTGGTATCAGGATCAACGGTGGAGGAGCACGTACAGTCGCATACAATGTCGTTCCAGCCATCAATATGCTGTCGATGAGAGCAACGCCGACCTAGACAAACATTACTAGTTGTGTAAATCGTAGAAATTGCACAGTGGTTGGTCTTGCCTGTTTGTAGCCAAAGAAAAGTGGCGTCCAAGCTAAATTCATGCAAAGCTGCGCGTAGTAAAGGGCGACGCCAAGAGTAAGGGAGGAGCTGTGGTTGATCGACGGTCCCAATCAAAGGCAAGTACCAAAGGATGAACATTATGAATGCTCACCGGCTGGAAGATGAGACAGAAACGTCCAATACTTTTACTGCGATGTGAGATGCGTATCCCATTGCTAGTCGCTTGGTTAGAATTGATGATTCGGATATACTTCGAATGTACACTTGCAGAGATAGAGTAGAGGCCAGACAATCGGAAAGACCTGTCTTGGAACACGACCAGGAGGAAATAAAAGGTTCTGTTTGAAACGTCAGTTCACAAGACATGCCATAATTGACTTTGATAATGTACATTGTACCATGGCCCTCGTACGACTTTGGCAGTTGGAGTACCACTGAGGACACCAAGAGCTAGTGGGAATGCTAGGGCAGTGACTGGGTTTCTTGATATGGAGAGTAGGATATTTGGAAGATATATGATGGACATGGTGAACTTGAGTTAAGCCTCACATCTCCTGTGGACGAATATTTGAGCAAACTACCAAAGTTTGAGGACGTCAGCCGTTTAGGTTACCCCGGATCTCGGACTCCGGATCTACTCCGCAATTTCATTCTTCACCGGTCACCAATCATGATACCCTCAAAGCATTCGATATCTCATGGCTTTAATCGTATCGGAGCCAACTCTCTGACCCAAATCAGGGTCCATGGTCTAAGAAATCTTCACTACAACCCCAACACAGTTACCGTGGCCCGAAGCGAGGAAGCCCACAGACGGGTCATAGTAACACGTCGGCGACCACATTGGAATTATCAACAGCGGACGTATGCATCTGAAGCGGGGGCTTCAAGTACGTTGCATATATGCCATAGTTTCAAGTTCGTTTACTAACATAATCAATCAAGGGGTACTGCCAGGCTCTCCGAGAAAACCTCATTTTGACAAAATCCTTGTGGCAAACAGGTAGAGGACAACCCTCACCCTCGTATTGCAAGACGCTGATTGACGCTCATGTCAGAGGAGAAATTGCATGTCGTGTCATTCGAACGGCAAGGAAGCTTGGTATACGATGTGTCGCTGTATACAGCGAGGCCGACCACGATGCTCTACACGTCAAAATGGTTCAGTATTTTCGCGTCTTACACCCGTAATTTCCCTGAGACGACATACTATAGGCTGATGAGGCTTATTGCATCGGGCCAGCACCTTCTTCCGAGAGTTATGTGAGTGGAGAGGAGTCACGGTGTTGGTCTTCCCAAAGTTGATAATGTCTTTCAGCTCAAAATGGACAAGATAATAGATGTCTGTCATTTGAGCGGAGCACAGGTAGGTCTATTTCCGTTGGAAATTCTGGCAATCATTTCATAACTACATCACCAATTACTAGGCTGTACATCCTGGGTAGGGCGAGTGGATTATTCTCTGGTGCCTTACACTAAACGCCCGAATACAGCTATGGTTTCTTGAGTGAAAATGCCAAATTCGCGGAAAGACTATCTGAAGAGGGAATCGTGTTCATTGGTCCACCTGCAAGTGCCATAATTAGTATGGGCTCCAAGAGGTTTGTGCTACACATATACTGTGTTGTATACTCCTCGATTTTTATCTTTGTAGTGAGTCGAAGAACATAATGACATGTAAGCCGATGACTTTTGTATCAACTTTGCATAATTTAACCTTACACTAGCCGCTGGCGTACCGTGTGTTCCAGGATATCATGGAGACAACCAGGATCCAGAATTTCTCTTTGAACAGGCGACTGAAATCGGTGCGTCTCCACATTAGAAATCATTATTCTTGAAACTCATTTTTTTCAGGGTTCCCCGTACTTATCAAAGCTATCCATGGCGGCGGTGGCAAAGGAATGCGTACCGTTATTGAAGCGACTCCTGACGCCTTTTATGAGGCTCTTACCTCCGCCAAACGTGAATCTCTAAAATCATTTGGAAATGATACAGTCCTAGTGGAGAAATATATCCAACGTCCGCGACATGTAGAAGTTCAAATTTTTGCCGATTCTATGGGTGGCGCGATCAGTTTATGGGAAAGGGATTGTTCAGTTCAAAGGAGGAATCAGAAGATTATTGAAGAGGTAACTCAGATGTCTTTCTTGGGTTCATATCAGGAACTTACTACGGTTACCTTTTAGGCACCAGCCCCAGGTCTATCTGTTGAGCTCCGCGAAAGCCTTAGCGCCAAAGCTGTTGCAGCTGCCAGAGCTGTGAAATATGCTGGCGCAGGCACAGTAGAATTTATATTCGACAATGACACTCAAGACTTCTACTTTATGGAAATGTATTTTATACATACGTGTTTTCGCTTTGCCTATTTATTGAGCGATCTCACAGGAACACTCGGCTTCAAGTAGAGCATCCAGTAACCGAAATGGTGACCGGACTAGACCTTGTAGAATGGCAATTAGAGGTATTGTTCACGAGAATATACAATACACTAACGACTTATCACGTTCGACACAGGTTGCGGCTGGCAACCCGTTATCTTTAGACCAATCTTCGGTTCCACTCGTCGGACATGCATTTGAGGCACGTATTTATGCAGAGAACCCTCGCAACAATTTCCTTCCAGATTCTGGACAGTTGCTATACCTATCGACCCCGACCCCGACATTAACACTACCTCAGTCTTATAAACCATCGCCGACGTTGATTTCATCCAATGTCGAGTCGGTCGCTCCTACCTTGGTGTCGTACGAATCCGTGGCGCCCTCAGTCCGTTTGGAGCAGGGTTTTGCCCAAGGATCGCAGATTGGTGTTTACTATGACCCCATGATCGCCAAACTCATAGTTCATGGAAAGGACCGAAGTGAGGCCTTGCGTATGTTGCGAAAGGCGTTAGATGAATACCATGTAGTCGGTGTCTCTACAAATGTTGAATTCTTGCGAACTTTAGCTGGAAATCAAGCATTCATCGACGCAGAACTGGAAACTGGGTTTATTCCTGTAAGTTGTCATTGAATTCGATCTTAGCTTTTTAATTTTCATGGCTATATATTTTTATGTAGAAACATTTCCACGAATTGTTCCCACCAGTCACCGAATCAGCCCCGGAGGTTCTTGCTCAGACAGCACTTTTTGTGGCCCTTCGTGACTACCCGAAACAGCAGACATCTACTGCTCAGTCTCCCTGGACGTCATTAGTCTCTCGGAGGTTCGGTGGTGATGTGTATGAACGTGTCATCCATCTTCAAGACGATACTTCTACCGGTGAGGCTCAGCCTATGGCCGTTCGGATCAAATCTCTGGTTGGAGGATTGTTCGACGTCGAAGTTGAAACCTCCGGCACTCCAGTCAAATTTTACGATGTCTCAGCCAAACTTATATCCCCGACATCACTTTCTATCACCCTCAATGATAAACTCTCCAACATAACCATCGTTTCCCAACCTCCACCGCCCTCCATCCCAGCTTCCCTTTCACATAACACCATGGAACGCTTACATGTTTTCAGCGGAGAGCGTAAGACAACGTTAGTAATCCCTACACCCCAGTGGCTTTTAATGCAGGGAGGTGACGTTTTGAGCGCTGCGGCGGGAACTGGGGCATTGAAGGCACCTATGCCTAGTCTCGTGGTGGAGGTCAGAGTGAAAGTGGGTGATAGGGTCGAGAAAGGGCAGGGTGTGATTGTGTTAGAAAGTATGAAGACAGAGACGGTTTTAAGAGCTGGAATCTCGGGTATCGTGAAGGTGATTGGGTGTAAGAATGGGGAAATGGTGCAAGAAGGAAAGGAGCTTGTGAATATCGAGGCAGACGAGGAAACTAAACCCTGAACCTTGAACAAACAACAGACGTGGATTGATTTACGGAACCTGTATACTACTGTAGCGTTGTAAATAGTACCTCCAATTAAGAGTATTGAAGTTACGTAGGGAGAAGGCTGCCATCTCCAGATTTTCCTTTTTGGTCCAAAACATCTCCAGCTTTGACCATCATGTCGGAAGGAACAGTCGTTGCTGAATCATCTTCACGCGGTCGCGGCAGAGGTCGAGGAAAGTCGAGAGGGGGCCTAGGAAAATATCTTCGCGCTCGGGGTAGAGGTAGAGGCATTGGACGGCCTGCTGAATTCAGCAAACGGTTGGTGTTAGAGGGTGAAGAAGGCGAGGAAGAAAACGAGGAAGAGGCTGCCGCTCGTCAGGCAAAATACTCTCGAAGGAACTTAGGAACTAACGCAGATCGATATGCAGAGCAAGAGCCGGAATTGGACTCGGATGGTATGTCCGATTGCAACTTCTTAACGTGGCGCGTACCCAATCACGCTATACACAGGGGAGCCCATCGTCGAGCCCGAAGTCGATCTGTCTGTGTTCTTAGAAAAGCAAAGATTGACAGATGCCCGTGGGCCTGCAACACACCTTCCGCCAGAAGATGACGATGATGTGGACCATTCTCTTGATACTCTAACATCTAGTAAGACGCCGAATCTCAAAGGTAAAGCCCAACAAATTCAGTGGGATGACTCGCTCGAAGACCTCTTGCATGAAAAGGCCGCAGCTGAGGCAACCAGAGGTACAGTTGACCTGTTCCTTCTACATTTCTGTCCTTCAGTTACTTACATGAGCTATTTAGAACTAAAGAACCGCTTTAGAGCAAAATCGGAGAAGCTGCGAACAAGTGGTAGAACTACGACTACCAACAGTAGGAAAAAAGGTGGGAGTCTTCTGAACCGCGAGATCTACAACACTATCTGGACAAGGTGTGTATTATAGAAGTATCCTATGCCGATGCACCACCACTGCCGATATCCGGGAATGAACGACCCAAGACAGAGATGGAAAAGATGGAAGATTTTCTGGACGATTTATTGAGTTGAGAGATGGGCGCGAATCTGGGTGATAATATGTACAACACAAAGTAGTGTCTCGGTAGGGTCTGTTTCAACTCTCTAGCGCTTGCCACTGCTCTCAATAGCCTCTCCGTTCTTACATGCAATGATCTTTATCTTGGATGCATTGACAAGCTCGGTGTTATCTAGTTTGAACGAGGCATCCTTAACGATGAAAGTCCACACGTCGTCGCAGAGACGGTAGGTATGTAAATGTCCCTACTCATGGTTGGTGATGAGTGCAAAGGAGGATGTGTAGATTCACCTTGAGCATAGTCTTGTTTTTGACCTGTTTGACCATCGTATCCGCCAAAGACTTGTCGAACTGAAGATGGAAACATTACTTGCATATCACCGGTAAAGCTCTGGATTTAAAATAGTACCTGCTGAAGAACTTTCATAGCCAATTGTGGCGTAATCGAGCCACTGGTTATAAGCTCGTCCAGCGAGTCGGTCAGTGCCATTCCAATGCTAGGGAGAGAAGTTAGGAGCACTGAACCGTATGGGAATGGACAAAGCGTACGAAGAACCACGATAGAACTCATAATATGCAGATGCCATGGTGGGGAGGAAGAAAGCACCTAAGTTATAGCGTACTCGACTTGGTAGTGCAGCTTGGAGGTTTTCACCTTTCTGATTCTTTACTTTCGGTTTCAATTCTCGCGTCTCTTTCAAGGAATCAATCTGGAATCAATTAACTCAAAGAGAGTTGTTTCAATAATTGGCACGGTGTATGACGCGGACGTTTGATGTGAAATTTGAATTCTTCGAAGCGGTAGGTAATGACTCGGTTTCTTCCACTCCTCGATGTTCCCCAAGGCGATCTCTTCAATGCCTTGTCGAGAATAGGTCCAGTTCTATTGAGCAATCCTTCTTTACCACTACCACCCAACTCCTACGTTTTACTCAACGAAGACACATCCAACGAGCTAGATCACATTATTCCCTGGTTGGACGAAGGCGCAGAAAAAGTAGTTCTTCCCTTAAGTTCTGCTAAGGAAGTTATCGGTCTTATACCACAAGAAAGACTGGTACTTCTTTTAGATGCTGTCAGTGTGAGCGCAGTATCGGATAAAGTTCGGAACGCTGTGTCTGGCGTTTTACTCAAAACACCGGAGATTGATTTGGATCTGATTTCCTCGGTGTCCAACTTCTTCTCCAAATCAGCCATCTTTGTGCTTGTAGACTCTCCAGACCTCCCTTCCATATACAACATCCGATCTCTTCTTCAAGCTGGTGCCAATTTGGTTCTCCCTAGCTCGCAGCTTACACTCGACATTTCCTCCTCCACACATCTCAATGTTGGGGATGTATTCCTTGCACCTATTAATTCCGATCGCGCAGACGGGCTTTTCCCTACCATTGTATCCACAGAAACCGGTCATTCCCTCGGTCTCGTCTATTCCTCCATCGAATCTTTGAGGGAAAGCATCATCACTGGTAAAGGTGTATATCAGTCGAGAAAACACGGTCTATGGAGAAAAGGGGAGACTTCCGGCTCGACGCAGGAAGTTGTCAGCATTCGTCTTGACTGTGATTCTGACAGTCTTGAATTCCGAGTCATCCAGCACGGGTCTGGATTCTGTCACCTCGGGAGACAATCGTGCTTCGGGGAGGCCAGCGGGCTGCCTCTTCTGGAGAGGACTCTGCGATCTCGCTTCGAGAGCGCTCCAGCAGGGTCATATACTAAAAGGCTCTTCAATGATCCAGATCTCTTACGTTCGAAGATCATGGAGGAAGCGGACGAGTTGTGTCGCGCGGACACGGAATATGAAGTTGCCTTCGAAGCAGCCGATCTGATCTATTTCGCTCTTACCAAGTGTACAGCTCATGGTGTCAGCATAGCCGACATTGAGAGATCGCTGGATAGGAAGGCAAAGAGAGTCACACGCCGAGCCGGCAACGCCAAACCCCAGTGGTCTACTCCCAAGCCCGCTTCTGCTCCTACTCCTGCTACGTATATGCCCCCAGCTGATGATCCCAATGCACCTATTCGAATGCGCACAGCAGTACTTGCAGGTATTTCTGAAGAAGAACGCGCTCTTCTCCTCCGTCGACCTGTCCTTAAATCCGATGAAATGATTGAAAAGGTCAAACCGATCGTCTCCGAAATCCGGGCCAGAGGAGACGCCGCCCTTCTCGAATTCACTGCCAAATTCGATAAGGCTGAGCTTTTGTCAACCTGCATGTTCCCTCCTTACTCCAAAGAATCCATGAAGATATCTCCGAACGTCAAGGATGCTATTGACAAGGCGTACTCCAATATCAGGAAATTCCATGCAGCCCAGGTCGATGGGTCTACATTGAAGGTGGAAACCATGCCAGGTGTAGTTTGCTCACGATTTGCTCGCGCCATCTCCCGTGTGGGATTGTATATTCCTGGCGGAACTGCCATCTTACCTTCGACTGCATTGATGCTTGGTATTCCTGCACAAGTCGCGGGCTGCAAGGAGATTGTTTTCGCGACTCCTCCTCGTCCCGATGGTAGTATTTCTCCAGAGGTCATGTATGTTGCACACCTTATCGGTGCCTCGGCGATTCTTAAAGCTGGGGGTGCTCAAGCAGTCGCGGCCATGGCATACGGAACAGAGACGGTACCAAAGGTCGATAAGATATTTGGGCCGGGTAACCAGTGGGTTACTGCTGCAAAAATGCTGGTTCAAAATGACACGGATGCTCTGGTGAGCATTGATATGCCAGCCGGACCGAGTGAGGTCTTGGTAAATCTTCCGATATCTTGCTCTTTTTAAATTTCTCTGAACACTCATTAGGTCATAGCAGACCATACTGCTAATTCTGCTTTCGTAGCAGCCGATTTGCTTTCTCAAGCTGAACACGGTATCGATTCTCAAGTTGTCCTCGTAGCCGTCAACCTCTCGACAGAGCATCTCGAACAAATCGAGAACGAGGTTGACAAGCAAGCGCGAGCACTCTCTCGAGTTGACATCGTCAGGCAATCAGTAGCGAAAAGTCTCATCGTCCAGACTACTTCTGTGGAAGAGGCCATTGAATACTCCAATGATTATGCCCCGGAACACTTGATTCTGCACTTGGAAAATGCCCCCGACAAGGTCCAACTCATTACCAATGCGGGAAGTGTTTTCGTTGGACCATTCACTCCAGAAAGGTAAGATACCGCTTTTACATCGTTCTCCACAATCCAGCGCTAACTGAATTTTGCCCAGTTGTGGTGACTATGCCTCTGGAACGAATCACACCCTCCCCACGAATGGCTACGCCCGTCAGTTCAGCGGGGTAAACACGCTTTCTTTCCAGAAACATATCACATCTCAAGAGATAACGTCTGATGGTCTTAAGGGATTAGGACCTATCGTAGCTACATTAGCTGATTGCGAAGGTTTGCAGGCCCACGCCAATGCTGTTCGGATACGGTTAGGCAACATGAACTTGTAAATCAAGTAAATTATATGTAGCCAGTACGTACAAAAGACACTACACATTCATAAGTATGTGAGTTGGAGGAACACAGATGATGACTGGTGGGGGAAGGCCGCAGGCGGCGAAGGGTCAAGGTGTTCACAGAAACTGTAAAGTAAGTTGACTCGATACAGGTACAGATAATGAATGCAGATGCTTCATTTAATTCGTAGTCACAGTGTTTGTTTTGCCAAGTAGAATAGGGACCAATTCAGTCTCATCATTTGGGCTCAGCAAGGGAAGATGGTGATACTCACAGAAAATGAACTTGAAGATCCATCTGGTCTTTTTGTTATATATCTTACAAGCTTTAGAACCCGTGCCTACGCCACGGTGGCTCGCAAAGCTCGCACCGCACTCCAGCCAGGTTCACAGCTTGTTGGGGGCAAGCCCCCAAACCCCCATTTGTCGTCGCTTTGCTCCTCCACACTATATACTTGTTATTCTAGTACTCCTCAGTTATACCAATAATATGTATTATGAAGCTAGAAATAGTGCTTGATGTTGAGGAATACCCTGTATGTACAACCCAGTCTGACAGGTAAACAGTGTTAGTACATTATACTGTACAGTAGGTAGGTAGGTCAGACATGGTGCCATGGAGTCCCTCAGTTGTGTTTCAATCAACTATGGTAAGCATAGTATACACTCTACAACTACCATACTGATGCACAGTAGAGTAAACTGTCCATTAACAGGTACATACAATATACATAGTTGTGTTTTCAACTAAGAGTAAACTGTTCATTAACACTTGTCAATTAGTCTCAAAGAACCTCTGGGATAGGATAGATAGGTGATAGTATGAAACAGACCTCACAATATATTTTCTATGTTCTCAGACATTGCTTAAGTATCACCTGTGCAGCCTCAAGAATTTGTATAATACAATGCAACAAACAACTTGACCTTTGGGATAAATAGCTTTGACCCCTTGTGTTGTTGTAGGGCAGATGACTGCATTCTGTACAGATTTCAGCCTATCTGCCTCACTAATTGACATTGGGATTTGTTGATTGACCATTTGCAAAAGCAAAACAGACTGAAAATTGATGTCTCTCCAATGTAAATGGCAGGTTCATCCAAATTTGAAGATGTTAGCATTATGCAAGGTTCAAATGCAGTCTCCTGCATTATCACCTCCAGGTATTCTAACCTGTAGAACCTTAGAAGTGCATTAGATCAAACTTGCTCTGGAACCAAATATAATTGGAATGATCAAGCAAAAAGATTACATACATGGAAGCTAGATATCTCTAAAATTACTGCAGATAATGAGAGCTGCAAGGGAATTTATCTGAAGGGTGAACAGCTCAAGTATTCAGTATGAGGGAAAGCGGCTGTGCCGCGCCGCTCCGCGGCAGATTTCTGAGCGCTCGCGCAGAGGATCCACAGCCGCTTCGCGGCAATATTGCTTAGTCACTATTACCAATACTCTGCGCGTCTGATATAAGCGCCCCGAGCAAATTTAGAATATAGGATGTAACCGCATTTCTGTAACACCCCATGAATGAAGACACATTCTTGTAAGGAGTCAAATTGAAGGTCTAATTAAAAGGTTCAGGTAGCTGCAGCCAATAGAAAGATAGCAGAACCATCTCATGGCGAGTCCTGAGGACCTTAAGCGACCAGTCAATAAGGAGCGAGCGAAAAACTCCAGCAATGCCTCGAGGCGACGACATTAACCCGGTGTATTAACAATCTAGCTGCGGACAGTAGTAAGGAGTCTATGGTATAAACTAGTTGGTCCTGTACAAGGAACGTTTTGCGACCTTTACGATAAGGTTAGTGTCGGGGAAAGCAAGTTCTTCGAGATTAGCAGCGTACTGAAGAGACAAAGTTAGTACAAGGCGATAATCATGAGGAAAAATGACTGACGGGAGTAGGTACATCGGCACCAGTGATACGCTCGACAGGCGCGTCGAGATAGTCGAAAGCTTCACTCTCAACAATTTGCGCACAGATTTCACTGCCGACACCAAAAGCGGGGAAACCACCCTCAACGATGAGAAGTCTACGAGGAAAGTGAATAAGAGCCGAATAACACAATGAGGTTGGATGATTACATACCGGTTGGTCTTCTTAACTGAGCTTTTGATAGTGTCAATGTCTAGAGGACGGATGCTGCGCAGGTTAATGACTTCTGCCTTAATACCCTCTTTTGCAAGAAGTTCAGCGGCCTCAAGACTGTGTGTCACCATTTTACTGTGTGCAACAATGGTCACATCGCTTCCTTCCCGTTCAACCTTCGCTTTTCCAAATGGAAGAAGGAAGTTGTCGGACATGGCCTCTGCAGACATGGGGAAGGAAACACCGTACAACATCTCGTTTTCAAGGAAAACAACGGGGTTGGGATCACGGATAGCGGACTAATAACGACGGAAGGTCAATCGCGCCATTATGTATAACATATCTAGACAACTCGCCTTAAGAAGGCCCTTGCAGTCTTCCGCACTCCATGGACTGACAACTTTCAAACCAGGGACCTGACCATACCAAGAGGCATAATCTTGTGAATGTTGTGCTCCGACACCCGCAGCTGCACCATTGGGACCTCGGAATACCACTGGACAAGGCACATTTCCACCCGACATGTAATATGTCTTTCCAGCAGAGTTGACTATTTGGTCAATAGCTTGCATTGCAAAATTGAAAGTCATGAATTCGCATCTAAGATTTTTGAGATTAATTGGGCGAAGGTAAAGAGTAGATGGCGCATTGAATGAGACCTACATTGGGCGGAGACCTGCAAGTGCTGAACCAACAGCAATGCCAGCAAAACCCATTTCCGTGATAGGTGTATCAACGACTCTCTTCTCGCCGAACTTGTCGAGAAGACCTTTGGTGACCTTTCGAAAACAGGTAAGAGCTACAATTGAGAATAGAAACTTGTAACATACCTTGTAAGCTCCGTTGTAGCGCGCAACCTCTTCGCCCATGATATACACTTTCTCGTCCCGAATCATTTCTTCTTCCATGGCAGCATTAAGAGCATCTCGGACGGTCATCTACAAGGCTGAATCATCAGTTGAAGCAGAATTAAAGGCGCAGTAAAAACGCACAGAGTGGCCACTGTCAGCTGTGGCATATGACCGCGCTAGCCGTAGCGATCTTTGGGAGGTGAATAGCGAAAGACGAGATTTTTGTGAAGAGGCAGCCAGCCGCGCAAAGGAAGCCATGGACGTTGACAGAAAACCCTGAGTGATAGTTGAGTGACGCGGTAAAATGAAAGAATTGACCCTCCTGGGCCGGAAGTAATCGGAAGTTCCCGGCCCTTGTGCCGAACCCCAACAACAAAGTTCCCATTCACTTAGCATATTCTCAGAGTGTTTTACAATGCCTCGCTCACCAGTTATCATTGTTACAGGGGCTTCCAAGTAAATGTTCAAGATTTGATTGAATTTCACCCACTCATAGCTGCTCCTACTAGGGGAATTGGTCTGGCGGTCACTTCCATTCTACTGAACAGATTCAATACCTCTGTTGTTACTCTGTCCCGCACAATTACCTCGGAACTTCGTGACCTTGCCTCAGACCGTCTTCTTACCCTTGAATGCGACGTGTTCGTCTTCAATCTATTTGAAGTCAAATCTTAACTTTACCATTATCGATTAGTGCTAACGAAAGTGCGGTCGTGGAATCAGTTAACAAGACCCTAGAAAAGTATCATCATATCGATGGTCTTGTCCTCAACGCAGCAATTCTCGAGCCAATCTGCCGAATTGGAGACGATACCCCGATCTCAGCTTGGAAAGATCATTTCGATGTCAACTTCTTTTCTCTTGTTACCTCGGTCAAAGCGGCCCTTCCTTCCTTACGCACAAGTGAGCTAGGAGGAAAGATAGTCTTTGTCAGCTCTGGAGCAGCAGTCAAAGGTTTTCCTGGATGGGGCCCGTACAACGCCAGTAAAGCTGCGATGAACAGCCTCTGCAGGTAGGTCCAAATGGAATAATTCTTTTCGTTCCACCCTCATCCATCCAGAACCTTGGCGGAAGAGGAACCTTCTGTGACATCTGTGGCTTTGCGCCCGGGTATAGTCAATACCGCGGTAAGCTCTCAATTTTTCTGTATCTTACAGTACATTCATATCCTTCCAGATGCAAACAGCTATTCGTGATCAGGGTGCTGCTAAAGCTATGGGGGCAGGACATCAGGCCTTCATCGAGTTGCATGCAAAAGGCTCTCTATTAAAGCCGGAAGACCCAGGACATGTTATTGCGGGACTCTCCGTGCAGTGTCCCAAAGAATTGAGCGGGCAATTCGTGAATTGGAATGATGATGTTTGCAAACCTTTCATGTCTGCGTCGAGCTAGTTCTTCCGTGCATGTACAAAATCTGTTTTGAAATCTTTGTAATATTACGGTGGTTGAATGACTGATTTGAATAATGCTTCTACGTAGGAAATAGCACATGGTTGTATTGGATTCGCCTGACTTTAAAAACGACTACTCGTTGCGTCCCGGCCTAATCAAAAAATCAAAACTTGCACCTGCTCACGAAGCCCCGTATATCACCCTCGGTAACAACATGCCCAAAGGCCACATCGACGTTCACCACCACTTCTTTCCTACGGAGCTCGCCAAAATCAAAGAGATAAATTTTGCCGAAATCGGGTTTCAGTCTCCTAAAGAAAATTTTCCTTGGACTCCTGAAGTCAGTCTCAAATTCATGGACCAAACTGGGATTGATACAGCGATCCTATCGTTACCTGCACTTGGTTCTGGGACCGTGAGTGAGAAAAATCGCGCTCTGGCCAGGGAGAGGAACATGCAGATGGCTAGGTTTCGCGATGAACGACCTACACGATTTGGGTTCTTTGCGACTATGCCTTTTTTGCAGGATGTCCAAGGTAGGTACTTAAAGGCCTTGAGAAGATTTGGTTCAATGTTTCTATAGGCGCGCTGATTGAAATCAAATATGCGTTGGACGTACTTCAGGCAGATGGGGTTGCAATATCCTCTTCGTATGGAGAAGGTTCCGAGGCCAGTAAGTAGCTTCTACTGTCTCCTTCCGCCCATCATGCACGCCAGTCATTAGAATACATCGGAGACAAACTATACGAACCTTTCTGGGCCGAACTACATTCGCGGAAGGCTGTAGTCTTCTTGCACGGAAACCAAACACCCTCTTCTACTCCATACCCAGATCCAACTCTGGGGCTTCCGATAGTTGAGGTATTTATGCACTCTGTATCATCAGGACGATGAGTAATTTCGTGCAGGTCCCTAATGAAACCTTCAAAGCGGCTTCGCACCTTGTTGTCACCGGTACTAAACGCAAGTATCCCGATATCAAAATCATCTTATCTCATATGGGAGGCAGCACGCCTTTCTTGAGGTAATGTGCGGCTTCTCGCTTTCTCAAGCACCGGCCTTTCTAACTTAGTGTGTGTAGCGTTCGGGTTGCTCGATTGTCACATTACATGGGTTGTCCGCTATCACCTGAAGAAATTCTTGAGGACTTCAAGTCATTCTATTTTGATACCGCGCTTAGCGCGCATGAGACAACGCTCACTGCGATCCAGTCGTTCATCACTCCCGACCACCTGCTTTTTGGAACAGACTTTCCAGGTAAAATTATTTATTATCACAATCTACTTATCTGTCTTTTCTTACTGGCACCTTCCCCCTGTAGCTGTCAACAGAGAAATTACTAGCTGGTACACAAAGCACCTTGAGGATTTTTTCGCCGATAATAAGGATAAGTACGAAGACATTGCCTACCGTAACGCGCTCAGACTCTTTCCACGACTGCGGACGCAAGATTGACAGTGGTCGAAGTCTGGCATCTATTGGAGGAAAAGATTATAGCGTAGCAATGTATCATACAGAAATTACACAGAGGACTCAACATACAGATAGCAATATGAAGAGCCAGGGGACTAACATCATTCTAAAGTCAGAACCGAACGTCTAAACTCAACACTCGCGCTCCTTTAGCCATTCATACACAACCTTACACCCCTCTCCTCCGGCAAGTAAAGCCTGTCCATGGCGTCCGTTTGGATCACACCAAAGACCTTTGCGTACCCCATGAGAACGCAAGTAAAGCTTCACCCGCTGTAGCGTGAACAGATTATCAAAGATTCCATGAGATATGAATAGAAAATATGCTCACCGAAGGCGCAATGATGCTATCTTTATCTCCAAGTAAGAAAAGAGTTTTGGAGGGATCACGGGCGTTGGGTATTTCTTCATACCATAGAGAATTACTGGACCAATCAAAGTTCTTTTGTAACAAGTTGACAACTCCGAGTTCAGTGCCTACAAAGTACCGCACCAGTAACTCAGTACCCTAAGTAAACGAACAGATTAGATTGCTGCAGTAATAGTTCTGTTCATTGCTCACGGTGTAGCAAGGTTTGTAGAGAAAATTCCGACAAACGTCTACAAGTAAGAAGTCGATCTTTAAATTCTGGCGGGTCAAGCTAAAACACTTACCGCCTTCCCAACCGCAGAAGGTGACTGGGTCGACAAAACATGAGCGGGTAACCATATGCGGGTAGTCCTTAAGCATCCATGCATGACAGTAAGATCCACTACGGAGGTATACCCTGAGTACGATGAACATTCTGACAAACAATGGATCTTACTTTGAATGACTGAGCATCGTAACCCCGATTCGTCGGCGACTTTGGGTAACGGAAGCGTGGTTCACCTCGTCTTCTGAAGTATTTGGGTTGGTATTTGGTTCAAAATCAGTCCAATCGAAAGAAGCCAGTAGAGTAGCCAGGGTTTTTGTTGTCTGCTTCCTCGGCATTGGAGCGAGATATTTAGGGTGAAATATTTGCTGACTGATGTGTGGCTGGAGCACAACGAGAAGCGGACGATCACGAAATTCTTGAACCAAATGAGACAGAAAATTATGGTACTGGAAGAGTCCAAGTCCGAGACCATGGAGAAACACTACAGGACGCGGATCTCGCAAGGGTTTCCAATTCTTTGGGATGCGAACCAAGAACCTAGATAATGTAAGTGGGCGAACGCGTTTGGGTAGTTCAGTGAACGTACTCGAGCCCATCATAATTTCCGCGCGAGAAACCATGGTTCCTCTGATACCAGCGATCAAGGCATAGATTGGCCACGGCCGTAAAGGCATAGAAAGTGAATGGACGCCAGAAGACAACGGCTTTATCGATATTAAGTAGAATGGGTCTACAGCTGATATCACTACCCTCCGGAATGCGTTTACCAAGACGTTTTTGTAGAAGCTCAATAGTATCATCAAGAACGACCCTGTGCGTTTGAGGAATTTGTCCAAGCTCCGGCAAATCCTTGTTGAAAATGGACCAGTAAATCCATTGTCGGACTTCGTGCAGCCTGACTGTTGACCAAGGTCGTCTTCCAAACCATCTGGAAGTATAGAATCAGGAAAACTGTAAGCGTGATTATCATTAGGCCTCAGGACGTACGTGCGAAGCGTGTTACGAAAGTCAATGGCACGATGGTCGTCCTGTTCAAGTTGAACAATGTCCTCCTCCGGACTGCCCGGTCGCTCTTCGTCCAAGGTCTCCTCGTCATATCCATTCGACGGCAGATTCGCGAGACCAGCTTTCAGGATTCTTTTGAAAGCAATTTGAATCTCAGGTATACTGCCGTGCCCATTATCGGAAGGCACAGACAATCGTCGCGTCAAATGAAAGTGATAGACACTGAATATTACCTGTAGGTTTTAGTGCATAAATAAGTGTAACAAACAATTACATATTCGTATCACGTACCTCAGAAAGTGCGATGGCAAAGAAAGTCAATCCAAACAGAGAATAAGACCATATTCTTCCGGTGTGAAGCGTGTAAATCACGAAAGCCCATGCTAGAGGAACAGCGCACCAAAGAGGAGCTACGAGAAAAAGCAGTACAGCATAGAAGGAGATAGTCCGCCTCTGTATAATGTCCGGTAGTTCAGATATATCTATAGCCATGTGCGACTAGTAAGGACAGGACGAGCAGAGTAGCTCTAAGAGCTCTGAGAGACCGAAATGAAAGGGTGGGCCCTGGGGTAAACCCTTTGCTATTGACCAGGCGCCTAAATCGGGCGCCAAAGACACTCGGACCGTCCGATTCTTCCGATTCGGGAACAACTTTTCGTTTTCCTTCAACGTCCGTGATGTTGCGCAACGCCCTTTCCGCCGTCGCCCGCCTCCCTGCTCTTCCGTCAGCGGTACTGTCTCCTCTTTTTTTATTTTGCGCGTATTCTTGATAGTTCTTTTCAGAGAACCGCCACGACCCTATCTGCAGGGTTTCCCAAAGTCACCAAGAGGGTCAGTCGACATCCTTCTTCCATTGAAGAGCTTTTTTTCTTAAGATAACTTCGCGCAGCCTTCTACTAAGTATGGTGGTGTCTATACCGTACGTGCTCGCCTACTTCATGTATCGTCAAGCTGATAAGCCGGTTTCTTCCGCATAGGTCACATTAATACCAGGAGATGGTATCGGCCAAGAGATTACTGACTCGGTCAAGGAAATATTTGAGCATGTCAACGCTCCTATTGAATGGGAGCAGTATGATGTATCTGGAATGTCGTCTTCTGGAGAGGTGTTATTTAAGCAGGCTATGGAAAGTTTGAAGAGAAACCGTGTCGGTCTTAAGGGTGCGTACAAGCTTATATTCCTCGCTGTCACGGTTCTAATACTAGACACTAGGTATCCTCTTCACCCCCATCTCCCAATCTGGCCACATCTCATGGAACGTCGCTATGCGTCAACAGCTTGATATCTACGCTTCCGTCGTGATGTGTAAATCCCTTCCAGGTTTTCCTACCCGCCATTCCAACGTCGACTTTACCATTATCCGTGAAAATACTGAGGGCGAATATTCTGGACTAGAACATCAAAGCTATCCTGGTGTGGTCGAGAGCTTGAAGGTCTCAACGCGTGCCAAGGCTGAACGTATTCACCGATTTGCATTTGATTTTGCGCTGAAAAACAACCGCAAGGTATGTGCATTCTGAATGGTCACAACTCGTATTTGACCCTCGTCATTCGGTATCAGAAAGTCACCTGTGTGCACAAAGCCAATATCATGAAGCTCGGTGATGGTCTGTTCCTGAACACATTCAGAGAAGTGGCGAAGGAATACGAGTCTTCCGGTCTTACCTTCAATGATATGATTGTCGACAATACGTAAGTCCACACTCTGCGTTGTTGGTACTTTCACTAATTGCCTCATACAGTTCCATGCAGCTTGTCGCTAAGCCTGGTCAGTTTGATGTCATGGTTATGCCCAATCTGTACGGTGCTATCGTATCCAACATCGGAGCTGCCCTGGTCGGTGGCCCAGGTATTGTTCCTGGATGTAATGTTGGACGTGTAGGTTCTTCTATCCTTTCATTGAACGAATCCTCATAGAATGTCAGGAATATGCTCTGTTTGAGCCAGGCTGTCGTCATGTCGCTAGCGACATCATGGGTACTAACCGCGCCAACCCGGCCGCCATGATCCTGAGTGCTACAATGATGCTTAGACATCTTGGGTATGTGTCCCTCACTAGAACCAAAGAAAAACGCGTTAGCTGACCCGCTCTATTTGCAGTCTCGACAACCTTGCAAACAGCATTGCCACCGCAACTTTCGATGTTATCAACTCTGGTAAGGTCAGGACCGCTGACATGGGAGGTGCGCCGTACTATGTGTTATTCACTTCGTGCTTCCACTCAATGCATGCTCACAGGATCATCTACCACGTCTGACTTCACCACCGCTGTCATCAAGAGCATCCCTTGAACGATTATGCAGAGTGGGCGATTGGCAAAAATAAATATCTATAGAACTTATAGATCTTCAGAATGTCGTGCTTAGGAGCACGACGTTTGAATCCATACTCGTTATACCATTAGGTGGATCACAACGTTAATGCTATTCTAATGCCGGTTTTGTACTCTGAGTCTGTATGGACTCTAAATTATCCAGGTCAATATTGTCAAACGAGTGGTCTTCGTCTAGCATGGCTTCGTATTCTTCCAGCGTCATTCCACGTTTGACTCTTTTGCTTCCTCGATCTTCTGCTGTGAAGTTTGCTTCTTCTCCATATCGCTGATATTTTACGAGATCTACTACTTCACTTTCAGCACCTGGATTTATTTGTTCTTCATTGGCACCGTCTGATGATGGTAATTTTCTGAGCGCTAGGATTGTTGTGCATCGAACCTCTGAGCGCTCCCCCCACCCCTCACCCGCTGGACGAAATTGTGTATAGAGTCCCCATGCTTTCGCGTTGATCTCATGAGGAGCAAAAGAGTTGACCAACAGACGAAGTGCGCCCATGATAAACGGCATGGTTTGGCGCAGTGAGCGGGATAAGTAGGCATATGCTGTCGAAGGTTGCGCCGGCGTTCCGTTATGTAGAGCGCGCCAGCAATTGTTCTGTATCTGATAAAGCGGTCTGTAGAGTAGTCGCCCAGTGGTAAGGACACATGAGATGAATGAGATGATCACAGCTTACATCCTAAAGGGCACGATGTATTGGTAGAAATCGGTGAGTAATGAATATCAGATACTTACCGCCTTCCCATTAAGTCTACATAAGGCTGAGTTCCTCCTTTCGTGGCCTCCAATCCTTTCTGCTTTCCCTCTCTATATATACCTAGAGAAACACCTTTTGATAATGCGTTCATTTCGGTGTAAGAAGATGCTTTGATTCGTAGTGAGCGAATGAGCAGGGTCGTATTGCCATGTGGGTTCACCTATGCTAAGAGCCTCTTCACGTTGAAATCCCATCCGCTCAGCAACGACAGTAGCCCAGGCGGTCATAAGTGGCGCCCGATTTACGACAGTCAATTTCGATTGAAGGATCTGCGAGGGAGGTCATGATAGCCTTAACCCGCTTCATTGCTGAACGGTCCACTCACCGATTCATCCAGTACCTCGTTGAAGTCCAAGCTCTTGAATTCCAAACCTTCACCACGGGGCAGAAACTCGTTCGTCTCCGAGTCAATGGGTTTCCGCTTCCGTTTTCTGGGGGTCTGTAGATAGATTGACGCCGTGTGATTATCGTTCAAGATTGAAGTAGACGCACCTCAGGTTCTATCCGTGTGCTGCCCGAGGGGTTAGAGGAAGAAGGATCTTCTTTGATGCTCCTAATATAACCAGCTTTGCGCATGGCTGCCATGACATTCTTCCGGTCTTCCTTATCATCAACCCCTGATACTTTCAGCTTCAGGTCAGTAAGGAGGGAGAGCTGGGCAGGAGTGTTGTATTCCTTGTATCTAGGAGGGCATCTGAATTAGCAAGTTCGAACGATGCAATACTGAGTAAGTATAGGCAAACATGGCTTTTGTGATGGCCATAGCCTTAGTGACCGGTATGTTGTGAGAGGTCAAGACTTTGATAAAGTTTGGAAGAGGTAACTTCATGGTTTTATCCATATTGTTGCAAGCTGGCTGGTAGCAGGAGCAGGTTATGAGGAAGAGTTCAATTTATTATAAGAGATGAGCGCTAAGCTCATATATTGATCCATGTAAGCATGCCAAATTCGATACTGGGACACGAGAGTAAGGTCCGGATACATGAGGTTTATGAATTATCAGATTCTACGAATGCATTTCTAACCATTGTACTGCGCTCTTGAAGTGTACCAAATACCTTCGGCATCCGTTGTCGCCCGAGCATACTTCAAAAGCAGCTTATCTCGTTCTTTGGAGTTGACTGCGATATCCGACAAAAAAGGTACAATGTCTTCGTTCTTCCATTTGCTGCGAGTCAAAAAGAGATCCGAGAAACGCTGAGCAGGATCAATTGGAAGTGAAGAAATTGGGAAATATTTCACAACTTGATGATCTGAGTAGGGGGCAGCGGGCGCGATGAGATAGTTTCCCTTTGAAGCCAAACATAAGTTTTCTGGTGGGCATTAAAATTTCGGCAACTTACAGCGAGAAGGTCAAGTGAGACGGACGAGTTGAACTTATCCCCCACTAAATCCTTCCAGGTAGAGATAAGGTCGTCTTTATCATAGGACCTGTCCTACAAAGTTATTTTGAGTCTCGAATATCAAGCTGTCGAGTACATATCACCTCACTTTGGCATCTTTCAATATCCCCAGACCGGCCTCTTTGACAACGGAATTCACATCCATCTTCCATTTTCCATCTATCTCATTGATATCCCCAAACCAACCCATCACTTGCACGGACACAATTCTAGGCACGTCATGTTCGTCTGCCAGCGTAGTACAGAGTTTCTCTACGGGGACTGATTCGTGATTGAGCATCAATGCAGCGAGTGTGTTTAGAATGTATTGTATGATCTTGGTAAGATATATTGAAGATATCGGACGAAGGGTTTCTGCAACGGTGATGAGACACATAAGGGAGGATTGACCAAGTTCAGTGTGAAAACAGCACAACCATTGATTTGAAGAATTCGTCTTTGGCGCAGTCCGCTTTTTAATTCTGTCTCACTCGCTTGGATCATTGCCCGTGCGTCCGTATAGGTGAAATGCTTCATCAAGTGCGAAACTCAGCGTCTTGACTTCATTTTACCCATGAAAATCCACACCTCCATGTTTTGTGAATGGTCAATAGCTAGCTCGACGTTCATACCATCTTCGTTGTCTTCCTCATCCTCTCCATATTCTTTTCCCTTGAGCAAAGTGTTTAGTTTGTGTAATTTTGGTACAGTTTGGGTCAGTTCGAGTATTTGGCTAAGCTGATCGCGTATGACAATGTTTGGAAGACCGTTATCGCCGCCGTCGAATGATATATCTGAATCTGGGGGCGAAGTCACGACAAGGATGGAGTTTGATAAGGACACGGAGCGTATGGTGTAAGTCTTGTCCTGTGTGCACAGGACTGCATCTTCTCCAGGTTGACCCTTGATGTAAAAGCTAAAAACGCGTATTCACACTGGTGATTAGGAAACCCGATCAGAACAGTGCGCATATTTTTTCCCTTACCTTGATGAGTTTGAGTCACCACCTTCGGATAAAGACTCTTCCATAACCTTGCATAATTCCGGAGGGAGTTCCATGAGTTTGTATGATCCCTGCTCGGTAAACGATGAAACAGAAAAGCGAAGATTGTGGTCCATGATGAAGTTTCAATGTAACCTCCACCCAATGACCTATATATATATATGCATTGCACGTGTGCCGTAGCCTTACGCGTTTATGAGTTACTTATGCAGAAATTTGTATCTTCATTTTCGATGTTCTCACTACAATAACGTTGAAAAAGTACATAGCCGGTTTACTGATTTACTGGGTAAGAAGGGTCGTCTCGACCATGATGCCAGTGACACGATATGGGTCTGTGAAACGGATATATCAACAGTCAGTACGGGCACAGATGTGATGATCATACCAATGTTCGAAGCGGGACGTCTGTCTTCCATGTACCCATAGCCTTGCGCAGCGACGTGCCTCGGCACACGAATAGAAGCACCACGGTTGGCAACGCCAGAGCTGAAAGATCCGATGTGGCCGGTTTCATGGCGACCAGTTAAGCGAAGGTCGTTATCCTCTCCATACACAGCGATATGCTCGTCATGACGCTTGGAAAGTTTTTCAATGGCAGCTTCGATGTATTTCATCCCTCCAGGCTCACGCATGGACTTGGTGGAGTAATTGGTGTGGCAACCAGCACCGTTCCAGTCACCCTGAAGAGGCTTGGGGTGGAAGGACACCTTGATACCCCATTGCTCGGCGATACGTACGAGGAGATAACGGGCCATCCAGAGGTGATCACCCATAGAGATACCCTCGCAAGGCCCGACCTGGAACTCCCATTGAGCAGGCATAACTTCAGCGTTAATACCGCTGATGTTAACACCAGAGTAGAGACACGCTCGGTAATGAGCCTCAATGAGATCACGGGCAAAGACTTTGCCAGTTCCTATTCATAGGGTGAAATCAGTACCGACTGAGGGGTTTATGCCGCATCGAACTTACCAGCACCACAGTAATAGGGTCCCTGGGGACCAGGGAAACCGCCCTTGGGCCAACCAAAGGGAGTACCATCAGCATCGAACAAGGTGTATTCTTGTTCTAGACCAAACCACGGCTCCTGATCCTTGACTTGGTCCATGACTTTCTTTGCATGGTGACGATAATTGGTCCTGTTGGGTGTGCCATCGTTGTTGTAGGTCTCTGCAAGGACAAGAATATTGTCACCACCGCGGAAAGGGTCTTTGAAGATCGCGGCAGGGCGCAGATAGACGTCAGAGTCGTGGCCAGGAGCTTGGTTCGTTGAAGAACCGTCGAAATCCCAAGTACGAAGTTGGCCAATATCAGTGACCTTCTTACTGACAGTCTGCAAACCTCCAAAATGAGCCGAACGCTGGGAGACAAGAAAAAAGAGGGTATTCAAACAGTGGTTTTGGAACGTAGACCGCCGTCACCGTCGATCCAAACGTCTGATAAGCAAACTAATGAGTCACAAAGCTGTATAACTTGGAAATATCTTACATTCAGCCTGAACCTTGTCTCCCTGAGGAAGAGCGAGGAACGGCGCAAGAAGGTCGTTGCGGTAGGGGAAGGTAGACATCGTTCAATGGGCAAACGGAGAGTGAACGTTGACTGAAAAAAGAAGAGATATGTGGATTATCGGTGGCTGTATCGTATTTATACCTTTTTCGTCATAATTTATATAATTCAAGGAACAGGTGATCCGATTTTGATTTTGGAGGAGCCGGTCAGTATTCCCGCGCCGCGGGCTGCCGCGCCCGCCATCGATAAAACGGAAATTACATCCAGACGCGGGTTTTTGGCTTGTGCCGTTTCGTGTTGAGAAGGCGGTGACCAAGCGAACGCTTAACTACTTGCCCGCTCTCACACACAGCACAATTAACCATTCATGATAAGAGTAACGCAGCACCAAGATCCTGTGACATAGAGTACAATACATAAACTTCAAGAAACGTCGACATGTGAAGGACAGTGATTAGAATTTATATTCCTTAGTTCTCCTGTCCCGCTCTCGGTCCTTGTCCATTTTCTGCTTCTTCTTGGCCATCTCCTTTGCTACCATATCTGAGAAATCTTCCTTATCAACGCCACCAGGTACACCAGCAGACCCTCTCGAGTTTGCCTCATATTTCTTTCGTAACTCTTCCTCGGAAAGCCCTTCCAATTCTCCGGCATCGATGGACACATCTACGCCATTTTTGCGCTGTAGTGGATGTCAGATATTGAATGATGATAGCATTGAATACAACATTACTTTTGTTCCGCGTGCGTCGCCCAATACAGGTATTGCTGCTCCCGGATTGGAAACAGCACTCACATCGTATCCTCGCTCGCTGCCCATCAAACCTCTGACTGATGTCTGCTTCTCTGGTACGACTTGGTATAATGACCGTGGCCCAGAATCAGGAGTTTCTGAAGGAGCTCGAGCAGAATTCTTCCGCAATTCGAGAAAGTCGGGAGTCTCGAGACCACCAGCAATCGTAGAGACCACGCTGGCCATACCTGACGGAGTTTCGAGACCCGAGGGTGTCTGGACCCCGTCAGCCGGAGCCACAGATACTTCCTCTTCTTCTTCCTCCGACTCATCTTCAGATTCCTCTTCAGATTCTTCTATGAACGAATGTAACGATTAGAATACACTATTGGCGAAACCAACGTTTTGAGCTCACCTTCTTCAGGTTCGAGTTCACCCCATAATTCTTTATCAACTGGTTCACCCATCTATGAAAACGCATTGTATAAGACACGAATGAAGAGACAGATAGGCGAGGACGTACATCTGAGTCGCCAAGCTTGGGCAAAACACCGAACACGTCACCATACAACGGTCGATTATATTCGTCGAGAGGAGGTTTGCCCCATCCGCCTGGGTGAAAGCCCCATTGAGCGCTGCAAATGATTTTGAGTGTAATAGAACAACAAGCCAGGCTGAGAACTCACCCCTCCGGAATGGGAGCGTTGAGACCTGGTATCCGTAATGTAGGATAGCTTGGCGGCGGTCCGAATCGTTGCATGCTAATAAGCCAAGGTGGGGGTGCGAGTGGTGGTATAGATAATGCCTCGACGAGTTCAGGCGATAAATCACCTGGTCTCTTCTCCTTCAGCGACGTTTCAAATTCTTTGCCTTCATAATACCTAATCAGAAACCAGTCTATTAGGTATAGAGGAGCATTGAATAGAATGACTTACATTTCTCCGAATCCAGTTACAGGAGGTTTGGTCTGGAACTTGAAGAAAGCGTCATGTAGTTTTTGGTAGTCAATATCGATTTTACCCATTTTTGGCTGCACACGCTCTCTCGTCTTAGCCTTTAGCGACATGTTGGCCTCCTTCTCCTTGACAGCGTCTCGCATTGTCGCAATTCCTGTGTCGGCAATGTAGGCAGGAAGTTGAAAGGGTGGTTTCTCAATCCCCCGCTTTCCTTGCAGATAGTCTCGCTTTGCGCTCCAATGTATAGGGATTGGAACGGTGTTTCGGTAACTCTTCAGATGAAGAAGAAGACGTGGGTCTGCAGCAGTGACATCTGTCCATTCAACCACTTCGGGTTTTTTGACAAGTTGTTTGAGCTCGGAAACGGTGAGACGCGCCATTTTTCGTTGCTTTTTCTTTGATAGAGGCTTCTTTTCTGAGTCCGAGGCTTCGTCGTCTGAAGCCATATCGTCATCTGAGTAGATAACCTCGCCTTTTGAAGGCGCTTGGTCTTCATTCTGCTGCAATCAAAAGGTGAGACTAGAGTTGAAGGCAGTTCATACTAGCGACGCACTGAAGATTCATCCGGAGGGAGCTGAAAACGGGCAAAAACGTCGGAGAATGCTTCAAGGGCAGAACCCTGTACATCCAACTGCTCGGGTACGTACTCGACATTAGAGTCCGAGCTCAATGACTCCTCTATCTCTGACTTTCCTCCATCTTCCGTGTCCGTCTCATTCCCGTTTGCAGATGGCTGGAATGATAGCAAGTTAGAGAAAATAATGTTGAGCCGAAAATGGTGACAGACTTGGGACGCTTTTTTCTGCTTTTGCTTAAGCCGTCTAAGTTGATTCTTAGATTTGACGGCTTTCCCTTTCAATGTATGTCCGTTTGTGATGCCATTGACCTGAGCTGGAGATATTGTAGTTTGGGCGACCATGGAAGAAGGTGCTTAACTATTCTTTGCGGCCGGATGGTAAGCGCTGCATGGCGCTTACGCTTGAAGTCTTTTGAATAGTCACCTGAGATACAATCTGAATCTGAGCCTCAGCAAAAGCTCACATTTCACTGAGCTCTTCATATGGAGTAAGTAGACGGGGTTTTCCATCTAGTATATGTTATATGCACTCCTCCTTGAAACACCTCGAACTACTTCGAAACAGTCACTATTTTTCTCGCAGCCCGGTTTGCCGTACCGATGCTTATATAAACACCGGTGAGCAAAATAATTGGCGGGCGCTTCCCTGAAGAAGGCTATGCACCCTCCTTTGAGACTGTTTCTTGACCAGGGACCTTGAACTTGAAGGCGCTGAGGCCTGTACTTGTATTTCTTCCCTTCCTCCAACTTCATCTCATCCGCTCATTGGAACTAATGTCTGGTCAAGTCAAGCTGTATGTCAAAATCAGTTGCTTCAAAGAATTATCTGGATATATGAATACTAATTTGCCACATGCAATGCATTCCCTGTAATAATATATAGTACTCTACGGCCTCCTCCAAATGTTGATTTCGTTCACGGTATGCTTTGTTAATTCTTCCATACTCTTATACTAGCTGAATACGATAATTGCGCTCAGGATACCCTGGCATTCCTCCAGGTGCTGCAGACAGGCCTCAGGCTGCAGTAAAAGGAGTGCGTGTTTCTCTTTGAATCTAAGCTCTGAATTCACATGATGTGTAGGCTATCGAGGTTCGCGCAGGTCCTCAAGGTGTCAAGGCAAAATGGGTACGCGTGGAGCTGCGTAAAGTCGAAACTTTGCCTGGTGGTGGTATGCAGAATACATTCTATGATTTTGTTGGTCCCAGTCCAGTTACCATCTGGACTGCCAGTGACGAGTACGGAGTCCTACGTTCGGTGTGTTCATGTTTTGGCACATCTTTGATGTCGCTCGCTAATGCTGGCGTTCCGCAATAGCAAGATTTCCCGTTTCAAATTCGAATACCTGAATCCGTACCCCCAAGTATCGCTCTGGAAAGTCGAGGTTACTCTTATTCAAATCCTGTACATCAAACACTCGCTGATTGTCCCTTGCTCAGCTGGAATCAAGTACGAATTATTAGCGAGCGTTTGCACCAAGGGTAAAAAGTGCGTGATTATGGCTCAGTCTTCGTTAACGTATCCTAATCAAAGTATTCACAGAGGATTTCTACGGCGTAGAAAATCAAATGTCGTCTCCACCCAAACCGCTATAATTATCGACAAGCACGAGCTTCATTCTACATGGCCTGTCTATTGTCAACCAGAAACCCGGCAAATCACACATGAAGGTGTCACCCTTACTGTAGAGCGTAATCATACCTGCTATGGACCAGGGGATCGAATTTCAGTCATGGCTACCCTCAAATCGGATAGTCTGCACACTATCCTTCTCCGTGGTTTTGAACTTACCCTCAAAGAGTCGACCATATTTCGTGCGGGTCCGTACACCTCGGGCAAGAAGAGTGTACCTCAGGTCCGTGTAGCCGTGGTTGCAGAGACTCGGTTACCTGTCAACTTTAGCTTGTACGGCGGTATGGTCCAAAAGGCGGAGCTGACTTGCGCCGTCTCACCAAATCATACTACTACGACTCTGAACACTGCGAGACATATTGATATTACGTATGTCCTCAGCGTAAAAGCATTATTGGGTACTGGTCAGCCATTGGTCATGGACCTGCCTGTTATTCTTTCCAATTGGCAGAGGTACGTGTGCCCGATCGTCGTTCGCAAGCTAGATCTCTAACCATCGACCATCTAGGAACGTCTCTCACGAGGCTATTCGTCGAATTGGACCTGCCCCTGGTCTGTCCCTGCTACCCACTACTGCAACCGGTGGGGTTAATACTGCAAACACTACGACCAGTCAGGTGAATACTCGACCTCCCATGACCATTGAGCGACCGACCACTTCCAGTAGAGGCCCACCAGCCTCTATTTCTAATACAACGGGTGGTACCGCAGACATGTCATCCAGACCAGATGAGTTAGGTTACAACACAAACGGGCCGAAATCAACGATGTCCACTGTCACCTCTTTTGACGATTTCAATAAGCCAACAACCGCAGTAAGGCCCAATTCTTCCGGGACAGGCGCCAGTGCCTCTACGGGTAATCAATTTGTCGGAAACACTTTGAATCAACAAATTCGAAAGCCCACCACGCCTGCACCTTCTGCTGTAACGGCAACAAGTAAATGGCTTAGTGCGGAGGAAGAAAAGAAAACACTGTATGAACGGGCAAAGGCAAAAGTTGAGGAAACGCAGGCTGGAGCAATGGCGCAAAACAATTCAGTGAATTTTTTCTTGTAGATTAGTTTATCATTTGCTAACACCCACTGATAGTCTGCTATTACTCCTCCTGTCAGTGCACCATCGGCTGCAGCTAAGAATGCCGGCTGGCTTTCAGCGGAAGAAGAAAAGACTCGACTGTTCCATAAAGCACAGGAAGCCGCTAGAAAGGCACAGGGTCTCGATGCATACTCAGCGTCACCCCCACCTCAAGATAATCCACCAGCTGTGACCTCATCTGCAGCAGGAGGTCCTCAGTACCTCAGTGCAGAGGAAGAGAAGGCCGCTCTCAGACGCTACGAAGATGCCAAGCGTGCTGTTCAGAGAACGCAGCTCGGAGGAACTGATGATGTGGGCTCTTCGTCTTCATCTTCGGCCTACGTGCCTCCGCCAGTCACAAACGACCTGCCGCCGTCGTTTGAAGCATCAGTACCAGTGGTTGACGCTCGTACCCAACTTGCAGAAAAGGAACGATTGCGTCGTGAATACGAAGCCAGAGATGCAGCAGCTGTCGCCCAACGACCCTCTGTTGATAACGTTCCGGCCTACTCGGAAGATAATTCTGGATCACAGCCGCTCACTGGTACCATTATTCGAAGTGCCATTGCCGAGAAGGAAATGCTCCGCCGGAAGTTTGAGATGCAAGACGCCCAAGCTGCCGGCTCGCCTTCGCAACCTCCGCGTCAAGCATCTCCGGTACAATCCAAAAGCCGGCCTACTCCTGCTCCTCCGTCGTCAACAGTACGTGTTCCCACTGCAGCGGAAGAGAAAGCTATGCTACGCGCGCGATTCGAAGCAGAAGATTCAGCTCCGTCTCACAGTACACCCCCCATAACCCCACCTCCCCAGATCAACGGTTACAACTACGTTAATGGTTATACAAATGGCACGCGTGCGGGCCCGTCCACTCCTTCATTACCTACATTTACTCCGCCTCCCGCGCCTCCTCCTTTGGCACCAAAGCCCCCTGCGTCTTACATTCAAGAAACGCAAGAGGAGGATGCCCGAGTTTCGCGATATGTTAACTCGGCCGCTCCAATTCCTGGCCTTGATAGCTACTCTATTTCTAACGGGTCCCTTTCTCGCAACACGTCTGCCAATGCAGCCAATGGATTGGACATGCATCCGTTCACGCCATTTTCTTCTGGATTTGATGGAGGGTTGAACCCGAAGCATATAGGGCTCACTCCCCCACTTCCTCAATCCAATAAACGGGATTAAACGTATCTCATTGGTTCAAGGAGATCACTTTACCCGCAACTCTACAAAACTTACAATTCCTTTGACTGCCGTCTACTAATGTTGTGCTGTATAGCGTCCGTTCATTCATTTTGCTTCCAGTTTTTTTTTCATCTATTTTATTATTTATTTCACAATCTATACCTAAGTATTGTCATTCTGTATGCTCAAGTATTATCTCTGTTTGGATGCCTAAGTATCGCAGCCCAATGCAAATGTCTTATGCTTATAGTTTGACGTAGAGAGTCCGGTATCGGAACAGCCGGTCCAACAAAAGCAAGCTCAAGGAAGGCAGACTGCTGCCAAAATATGCGTACCAAGGATATACGAGTACGAGTATGTCCAAAACCCTGTTCCAGGAAAGGTTTGTACGAGTAGAAGTGCACTGGCAGAAGGCCAAGTAGAAATATTAGTGATGCAGTATAAAAAATATGTGTATAATGGCATGGCATAGCTTCTGCACTATCCATATAAGAGTTATCATTTCAGGCTCATAAGGCTCATAAGGAGCTTGGAAGATATAAGAGATAGAGGTCATGCTCATGAAGCATAGAAGACATTTGACTTACACCAAACCCCCCCTACGTTTTCAAGTATAGGGTGTAGCATGTAGTATGCAAAGTGAGGATTTCATACCATTACAGATAGCACTAGTAGATATCATATCAAGTACTGTACTGTACAAAATCTATATTTGACTGCTATATTTGGATTGACTTTGGACTGAGGTGGACGTGTTTGATATATCGACATGAAAAAACGGTGCAGTCGCAACACAGTAAAATGCTACATGATGCTATTATGTACAGCAAGCCTTCAGGGAAATAATACGGTAGTAGCAAGAACGTCGAGCCACTGAAGAAAAATCAGAAAACTGTGATAGATAGAGCAAAATGACCTATTTGTCTTTGCGCTTTTTGGTTTTGGGATTCGATGGCATTTTTGTCATCACCTCTCCGCTAACATCCGATTTCCGTTTTTGTGCCCGTGTATTAGCGCCTGGCCCGTCACTAACTTTGACACGCTCTGCAGGAGGCACCGTTTGTAGGGAAGTCGTCGCCGTTGCAGAAGGACTCCCCGGCGGTACCACAGGAAAGCTCATCTCCATCGTCGCACCTCCCGTCCCGGTCAAGTTGTTGTCGAGGGCCGGTGATGGAAAGGTATTCAAGAAAGAGTCAAACAGCTCATCATTGGACACCGAGTCAGGCAGAGAAGGGAGAGAAGATGTATCCAGGATGGATGTATCGAGCTCTCTTCCTTTGGCCTGATTCGTTTCAGCATCAGCTACAACCACGGGGTCAATTCCGAGATCGTGTATCAGTAAATCGATCCCCGAATTTATGTGTTCCACTTCTTGTTCGATGTCCGATGCTTGCTTCCATTGTTCCAAATATGGCACATCGGTAAAAGATATCAGACCATTGGTATCAGTCAGACCAGGTGCTGACTGCGAAGGCAACTGAGGTGATAATGAGCCAAAGTTGAAAGTGGACAGTGATTGAGAAGGAGGTGGGGATATGGGAAGCTGGTTTTGATGCTGTGTCCCTTGCTGAAGCGAGTCAATGTTCAATGAATCATTAATGATCCCCGGCTGGTTATTTAGGGCAGTGAAAAGTTGTTGGAGGTCTGCCGGAGTGAGGTAACTAAGAGCGGTTTGTATTCGGTCGTCGAGGGCTGGGGATCGGGATGGTGAGAAGGTGGGCATATTTTCATCTTGCTGTATGATGCTTGTGCCGGGGTACTTGGGTTGTGTGGAAATCACAGTGTTATTGCCAGTCTGGGATGACGTGGATGGAGTGGATGAATTAGCGAGGGGTGTCGACTGATCCTCTGAAGGAGGATATGTTAGATCGAAGCGGGGAGTAGCGGCGGCGGATAATGAAGAAATCTCAGTCGCGGGTGAAGGATACGGGGACGTCATATGTGAGGTAGAACCTGCAGTTTCAATTGAGAAGGAAGGACCTGAAGAATCAAAAGTCAATCATCTGTACGTGCCTAGCAAAATGATTTGCACACCAGGAGATTCAGCCCGCGAAGCGGGGCTACCAGCTTCTTCATCCTGAACCTCAACAATTCCAACTCTGGTAGCAAGATCTCTCTTCTTGTCCTCTATCATCAGCCGCGAACCTCGTACAACTGAGTGAGAAGAAGGTCCTCCTCGCTCCTTCTCTTTAGCACCGGAATTTGCGGCCTGGTGGCCAAAAACACCAGCGAGAAACTTGATGATGCTATTCAGTGTGTCTTGCTGCTTCTGATGTCGACTGCGAGCTTCCATGGACTCTTGCCAAAGCAGTTGATTGGAGCTCTTTAGTTCATTCAGCTCTGAGGATAAATTGACCTGGTGCCGTCGAATAGCAGCAATACCATTGATAATAGCATGAATATCCAATGCCTGATCCGTCGAGTGATCAGTAGTCTGGGGCTGGGGGACTGCCTGAGGTGCCACACTAGGGAAATCAACCACACCCTGTTCCTTTGGGTGCATCGTTGTTTGCTTCTTTCGTTCGATGAGAATCAGACGATCTTCCTGACCCCGATGGAAGTCCGGATGGGCAAACTGGGAATATTCTGCTTCTGAACTGCTTCTCAATGCTCCCTGCTGCAGATGCGGAATTTTGTGAAACCCGTACATGTTCAATTGCCGTACGAACGATGCGAATTTGTTGTGCTTGAAGAAGGCTCCGAGACGTTCTGTGGCGAGACGAGTTGGATCAAGAACTGCGAGAATATTAAATGAACTCAGTAAACGGTAACAGCAAATGGGGCATACCAAAGAAAGAGTCTCCAGATTCTGACCAGCAAATCACATCGTCGGTCTCCGGATCGCTTACAAGTCTACATACAGCTAATGAACGACCAGATCGCGATGTAGAATGACTACGAACGTATAAAGTTTCTGAAGAAAGCCAGGAATTTTGGGGTTCATAGAAGGAGCAGAAGAAGGTAATGCTAGAGCAACTTGTTTGTTACGACCAGTCATGGTCGAGAATTGAGATCGGACTGAGATGTAAGTGGACAAAGAAGCCCCGGCAAGTCTTTGGCGCCCATAAAGTAATCTAAAGTAATATATTTACAGTTTACACAGACGTGTTCGCTGCGTAACCTATTCGTGTACAATCTCAACCAAGCTCATAAATTAACAGCGAGCTGGCACTATCGGACTTGAATAACCTCGTTTTCTTGCCTGTTTGATATGAGGTCTACCTTCGGCAACTGTTTCTTTTCGTTACGTTAGTACAAAGGTCAGCTGTAACCAGTACGAATTCATGGGAGAAGAGCAAGGACGATTTGAAGGCAATGAAGGGATGATTCGTTCCAAGGCCCACGAGGACAAAGGGTTGATATTCATAGACTGCATCCTAATAGTTGTACATACGCGTTCACATCATTGGGCCTCATAAAGAAGATCTAAGAATTTGGGACGGAAAGAAATGCAAGAGTTCTAACCGCTTCTTGAGCCTAGTCTTGCCATCATATCATCTGAACTCTCTTGCTCTTCGACACTATCGGATTGTGTCACCTGCAAAGTGATTCGTTTGATTGACACTCATACTAGGGGTATTCGGCCTGCACGTACCACCCGCAAAACAGATTTTTTGGATGATTCCTGAAGCTCTCCCGCGATGATCAGCTCATCTAGTATCTGTTGAATTGTAAGGATATGAAATGATTGAGGAGCCCTAGCACCTACAGCATATGCTTTTTGGAAATTGAAGATTCTGGTAGAATCGGGATAGTCGTCAGAGTGTTCATCCAGTACACGATAGCCTTCGCAATCTTACAAGTCAAGCTCGCAGACCTGGAAAGACGATTAGGATTCAACAAGCTCAGGTTAGATATATTCTACTGACATTCCCAAAGTAGCGATCAAGGACCTCCACATATCTGTGGATGATTTCCAGCGTGATAAGCTCGTTGTCACTAGAGGTAATACCGGTCACGAAGAACAGGGATGCGTATCGTCGGTACACAACCTTCGAGTCTACGAAGGCAGCAAACAATCGTTAAGTCACCAGAATAGTACTGATTAACCGCAGCACACACCTTTGTATTCCAAGAAATTACACATCCTCGTTCTCCGAGCTAATACAAGCTGAGTTACATCCTTCACTATCTTGGCTTTGGTCTTGGGCGGCAGCGTCGAGAACCATTTTGCAAGACGCACTTTCCCTGTACGATGGTAGAGGTTAATAGACTACTCTGAACAAGAGCCAGAAATACACGCCTTGCCGCGAGACCAGGAGGATGTAGTTAATCATTAAAAGTGTCTGGGCGTCTATTGCTGGACGCTTTGGCATTATACTACTTTACAGGTTTACAAGAACTATTATAGCACTATTATAGCTTGATACACAAGACAGCGAAAAACTATAAGTATGATGATTTACAAAAGATAAATATGGCTACAGATAGAGCCTTTCCCCATGCCACCTGTTACATGATGAATTTGGGAAGTCGAGAAGAAGGGTCAACATTACGTACCCGTTCCCGGTGGTTCCCAGTATCAACAATACTTTTTCATTGCGAGTCTTTCATAAAACTCGGCCGTCACCGTAGTCGATCGACCAGTTGCTTTAGCTTTGATTTCAGTTAGCTGCCTCATGGTGACATTCCAAGGAAATCGTGTCCACTTTCTTGATGACTTTTCAAAGTCATAGATGTACGCATACGAGGCCTTCAAGCGCAAGATTTGATCATGCGACAGAAACATGGCTTCTTCATTCGGTCCACTGGCGAACTGTCGAGAGAGTTTTCGAAGAATATCTTGTCGGGTTTCGATTGCCAAGTCTGTGAAACTACCGACTCTCTGGGAGTTCATCACTTCCGTTCGATGGGTCTCCCACATTCGATGGACATGATTCTCGATTTTTGTTAAATCCTCGGCCATAAAGTTGCACCCAATCTTTTGGGCTCGCTTGGCCAGCTCCTGTTGCTCTTTCCAAGGAGCAGCTAGCTGTTCATCCAGATAGATGGTATGCGAGTCGTATTTCGTGTCTGCATCGATTTTTTCTTTTTCGCCCTTTGCCTTCGCATGCATCTGGAGCTGATCCATGATGAACGGGCGAAGATGGGATGGCCTCTCGACGATGATGTTATCCATGCGAGCAGTTGTGACGGCCTTTTTACCCTTGCCTTTGGTCTCGGATTCTTTCCAGCTCATAGTTCCTTTGTCATATCGCGAGACGTCATTTCTCCAAACCTCAGGCTTGATTTTGAGACCAGTCTTCAGACCATCCAGAGTATGACAGAAACTGGGATATGAATGTTGAAATTCTCCTTGAAATCGAGAGAGAAGTATAAATGGCTTACATGTGTGCTAAACGTATTGTTTCTTCATCTCTAAGGCCATGTGTGTAGATCAAAAAGTCATGCATATTCGATGCTTGGCCAACGAGAGAAGCGGTTCTGATTCCTCCAATTAGATATTCCTGAAGAGCATGCAATCTCTTCATCGAATTTTCGGAAGAGGCAGGTACACCCGCAAGCAATTCTGCTACTGTTTCGGTATGTTCGGAAAAGCAGTTAGCTTTGATATCATCCCGTGGATCGCCGTAGTTGGGGTTAGCATTGCTGAATGAATCCACAATTTCTGGCTGATAGATACACAACGCCTTGTCACCATCATAGTCACCTATTTCCCAACGTTACCGCCATAACATATGACTCATAAATCTTGAACTCACCACCTCCAAGCCAATCTGCTGCACGACGGCCACCGGCAGTTGAGAGAATTAAGATGTCAGTGTAGTGTCGCAGCTCTGGACGATCAACTGCTCTCCATTTCTGCGCGTCAGTTGGGAGTTTGCACGGGTGTCGTGTAACTACCACTGAGCCGACCAGGACATCAGTATACTGTTCATCTTGGGTGAGAAGACCCCGAGCTGAGCTCTTGAAGTAGACTTCACCCTCTGCAAGAACATCTTCTGGATCTATGAAATATTTAAATCCCAATGGATAGAAAATATGGAAAAAACAAACCTGGGAGTATGAAAGCAGTAAATGACATTGGAACTTCAATCCGGAAGTTGGTTACATGGTTGTTAATCTGCGAGATGAGGATTCGCTTCAATTTATCTCTCATCACAGGGCAAGCCTGCGGTGTGAAGCCACCGTCAATCAGACGCATGACCGTTTCCTCGAGAGATGAGGGCTGGCCAGAGATCTCATCATTCCACCATGCAGTGGAACTTGGCTCGTCGTCTGCTTCATCGAGGCCATCTTCATCGTCATTTTCTTGGGCATCACGCTCGGAATATCCATTGACTCTAGCCATGCCAGACTTGCGCCGCGTAGATCGTGCAGCAAATACACCGCCAAGGTGTGACAGTGTTAACCATAGATTGGCCATGTCTTCTATGGTATCCCAGGTGGTAAGGGAAGTGACCAGCAAATCCAGTGTCTGATCTAGCAGAGAGGTGAAAACATGCCTTGGGACGCCGTTTTCTGCCAAATTTATGATTGTTTCTGAGGAAAGCTTGCAGCGGAATCGGGGATGGCATGTACGCAGGACGTCAATGATACGTTGCGCGCGGTCAAGACCTTGGTCCGGGTATGTGATTTTGTTCATAGAGGGTCTGATGAACACACGAGGTTCCCCGCTATCATCGCTGGGATGGAGAAGCAACATGCCCTGAAAAGACAGTCAGGTAATGAGTACCGTTAGCAGAGATGTCTTCCTACTTTTGCGCCTGCTATACGACACTGAATCGCAGTAGGCCATACATCCCATTTGAATTGAAGGTACAGCTTCTGTAACGCTGCTTTGTTTATGAATCCTGCACCATCGGTCATATCGGACCCCTCAGCGGAGACTAGCATAGGATATCAATTCCCTCTCTCAGGAATTAGAGAAGAGAAAAGACCGACCAATGTCCTCGATTGAGAAAATGTTCTGAGGTTCGATTTCTAATCCCGGCGCCGAAGTAGATAGCCCTAAGGCAAAACGTGAGGCGTACTTTGCCGCAGACTGTTAATCGTTCAAAAAGGTCAGTATACTTCCCGACAAATAAATCCATAATCTAACCTGATAATCGTTGAGTACAATAGGATTGTGCCAGTTCAGAAAATCATCGATGCTCAAGTTTTGAGACACGGTATCGAGCACAAGTCCTAGGTCTGGATTCTCATTTGTCATAAAGCAGAAGACATTCTTCTCCTTTTCTAGGAAAGCACGGAAAACTCTGCCTGCTATGATAAATGGTCGTCGGAAAAAATGCATTAATTCCTTGGAATATCGGGTCAAATTTTTTGGTATCTTTATTCGTATGAAAGACTTGGAACCGAATCGACGAGAGAATCGAGAGGATGCTCCCAGTTCCGCTTTCTCAAGTTCTACCTTGAACGATGGGGGTTTCTTTGGATTGTCGACTTGCATTTTCAGCTTGGCCCGGAATACCACTTTGCCACCGAACCAGTCCGAGTTCTGAACAAAGCCCAGAGCAGAATAAGGGTCCCGATTGAGAGATTCCTCTTCCAGGTCGAGTTCATCATAAGGAAACTATTAAGACCGACTAGTCAGGTGAAACTGATCAAAGCGGGTTATGAAGTCAAATGTCCACCTTTGCTCTGTATTCATTAGCAAAAAGGTGATTTGTATCCACTGCTCGAGACGGTATTAGAATCTCATTAAAGCACTATCGTACTCGAAACACTTGCCTTCTTCCCCTTTCCGCAATAAGATTTTCTCAACCAAAGGCGCCGCTTTCGCGTTAGTCCCCTGCTTCTTTAGCTCATCTAGCGCAGACATTTGGACGGTATCGTATTTAATTTTGCCGATGGAAACGAGTCTCGCGATTTCCCATTCTACGCCCCAGGGCAACTTTCGAGCAGCAATCCATTGCTGGAAAGACCTAGAGTATGCCTGGGAATTATCAAGATTACAGCATTATTGTGCAAATGGGTAAAGACCTACCACCAGCACAGGATCATGCAAGGAATGACACAGTTCTTCTTGCCGCGGGGCTTTGGATGCGCGCGAATCTTGAGAAATTGAAGCCTCGCTCGCAGAACGCTTCCCCAGGAAACTAGATGAGCTTGCTGACGCAGAAACTGTCGACCAATTTCTACGCTCAGTCGTCGGAGGAAAAGTGATTGCCCTAGAAAAAGTCGACACTGGTTTTCCGACTTCGGTGATAGTCACAGGCTTTGAAATTTCGTCAGGGGGGGCGGATTCTTCTATCAAAGTTAAAGAGCTGGAGGTTGAGCTTGAAACCTCAGTTGCAGGTTCGGTCGAAGCTGCCTCGGAGTTAGTAGATTAGATTCAAGTCGCCGAACCCAGAGAAATACGTACACGGCTCTTCGTACATCAGCATTGCCTCTTCAAGTCCTGAATCAATTGAAAAACTTGAATTCTAGAGGCGTGCTGGTGAGCGTCGATGTGGTTTGTGTTGACTATCACGGCAACGAACCCACCTGAGAAACTGGTAGTACAGCTGGGTCTTGTAGGTGAGAAAAATCACCGTCATCGTCTTCATCAATGATGTCGTTCGCATTTGCGACGCCATCTTGTCTGTTACCACTCATGGAAGTGTCTTCGTCAGGTAGATCTGGAGTGGAATAAGTTTAGTGAGGAGTGTGTTAGTGGGATTCTTCAACAGGGGAGGATAGTGCGGACCTACGCTCGAAGTCAAAATCGTCGAAGGAATCCAATGTGGCCCAATAGCGTTGTGATCTACTAGGCGGAGCATACAAAAATCTATGGCGTCGAAACTCTTTTATAACAAGCTGCGCAGATGGAGAGTATGAGAGGATGTGCTGGTAGCTGATGGGTCTCAACAAAATATGAATCCTTATACAGTAGGAAACGGGGAGAAATTCATGGTTCAAATAAATGACGAGAAATGTCCAGGAAAAGGTACTTTCCAGAAACGGAATCAGAAGCGCTGGTCACTTCTGATTCACGTGCTTCGTGTGCGCCGTCGACGCGCTTCTCCAGCAAATTTTCTTTTGACAAAGTACGTTAAGTGCCTGCAAGTGCTTTTATATTCGACAATGACGTCTCCGGGCTTGCCATGAAGCTCGAGTATATCAGGGCGTGTCGTTATTCGTCCAAGACAATTAAAACACACGCAACAACGATACACGAATGGAATTATGCGTGCTATATGGATGTATGTAGTGTAAATTTACCGTTTCCTGACGGCTTTTCTGCGCTTTCCCCCGGCTTTTGTAGCAGGTTTTCTATTTCCACCAACGACAGCTTCTTGAGGTGTGACAGTGCCACTGCCTGCTTGATCAGAACCAGTCGCGGTCGAGTCGTATCCATCATCTATTTCCAAGCCTTCCACAGTTTGCGCTTCGATATGGTTACCTTTTATCTTGTTCAACGAAAAAGAGTAAGCGGAATGAACAAGAGCGAGGAACCAAGTTCCGCGAACGGTCGGAGGTGTTGCGGTATCAGAATCGACAGGATGCATGTCTCCATCTGGATCAAGCTAGATAGAGTATTCGTGAACTCAAGAAAATAGGAGCAACGCTGTTACATACAACATAAACGGCGTCACCAGATACTACCATGTCTATGGTCTTGCCTCCAATCAAGTTTCCATCCTCATCGTAACGCTGCCGACCTCTCATGTTTACCTTAACCTAAGAGGTTGAGTCTTAATGCAGAAAATAGATCCAGTTTGAGATTAGATACCTTTCGCTGTCCCTCGACGGGCACCATCTTAGGACCCCAGGCAGCCAATCGTGCTTCCCTGACCACATCTTCGATTCTTCTCAAATCGCGCTTGTAGTTGGAAAGGTGAATGAAATATTGCATTCCGGAAGACAAGATAATTAAGAAGGTCAACACCGTCTTAAAAGGAGTTTCAGTAGTAGCAAGTCCAATCGAAAAAGCACGAACGCACCCCGAGTCCTGGTCTGAAGCGACTGTAATAATAGCCAGTTCCTCTCCATTTCGGTACACCATTTTTGTAGAAAAAGTCATATCTGTAAAGGTCGAGGTGAATGTTTGACGCGAGATGAGCGACGCAGCCAAAAAATCACCTCTTTCTGCTGGCCGGATTCCTCAAGATTGCTGAAACGACGCCCAACCTGGCGAAACGTTCGGCAATTTTCTTGTTACCAGGATTCTTATCTGGGCTGCCAGGACGGAAGGATCGATAACCACACAATTTGACAGAGGAAAATAGGCGCACTGCAGTTGTATGCTTAATTTCCTGTAAGCTTTGGCGATTTCTGAAGTCGAAGCAGTGGATGGAACGTCTAGCCAAGAGTAAAAGGTCGTTCCCCTCCCCTCAGAGCCCTCTATAGCACTAACAAGGTCGAAAATTTCATGATCTTCCTACAACATATCTCAATCATTTGAACATAGGAACAGCCGTAACAACAAACTTTGTCCCATCTGTAAACGAATGTCAATGCTTAAGCCAGTATAAGTAGAGAGCCATCGACTCACGCCAATACCGTTGCACAAAATATAATAAATACCAGGAAAGAAAGAAGCCTCATTATACCCTAACCGTGAGCGGAAGACGTAAATTGGAGAGTCGATTTATGTAGAACCGAAAAGCACGTGCCAGTGACATAAGCGGCCAAAGCTGTATATTTCACTAGGCTCCACTATCGTGGACCACACCTTGCTTGGCAAAGGCGTCACGCCACTCAATTTCATTATGGATACTCCAAACACTACATATCAATCTCGGTCCATTTACTATTAACACACTCCCACTTCCGTTGATGGAACTGAATAAGTTGCAAAGAGGGGCAAATGTCATCCAAGCCATCGAATGCATGTTCGACATCCAAGTCGTGCGCATCGATACCTGGAATGTTTATAAAGCGGATCTTTTGGCGATGATGCAAACACCGTCGCACAATGTTCAACATCCAAGCCTATAAAACATTGAATACATCTCTGTTCATTGAAACTGACACATACCGCTTCTTGTAAAGGTACGTGCGCAGGATTAACGACCAGTTCTTGCACCTCATTGCACTGCTTCATCACCACCTTCAACGCGTCGTGTTCCGCAATCGGTTCTTTATCCAAACACAAGCCAGATAACGCAACATGGGTTGCCGCAGGAAGCGACGGCAAGAACATCAGGAGTTCCGGGACACTCAAATGCGCCTCGATGAAAGCCGCCTTCTTTAGGCCGATGTGCGTAGGAATGGTAGACCGGTAAAAATGAATAGGGCCGGTGTAGGCGACCAGGCGATCAGGTAAGGCCTGTTTTCACACGGGGAATGCTCCAGTCTCGAACAACGGCCATCCTCCTTTCAGCGTTAACGTCGTCAACCCGCCCCATGCCTCGATGAAATTGAAGAATGTCCGCTGTTCCTTCACTCGCTCTGAACGGTTCCCAGACCAAGCTTGCAGTACAGTATTCACAGTCAATTCCCGCAGGTGTTGAGACAGTTGGCGAGTATTCTCTCCGTTCAATGTATCAGCAATTCGGTAATGCCAGCCCAGATACAGCACTTCCAGCAGGGGGCAACCTCGAAGCAATGTAATTTCGTCGGGTCGATCATCCCAGCATACGTCCTTTAGCCGGAGGCGAACAACCTTCAGAACCACACCATAGAACGATACTGGTCCAGTGAAGGTACACTTTTCCACCGTTAAATCGGTCATCATGGGGAGTGATGTTAAAACTACAGGGAACGTGCGAGGTAGTGCGAGGAAGATGAATTGAAGGTGGGTGAGTTTCGTAAAACGCTCAAGGATGGGAGTGAATGATCTCCACTTGTATAGCAATCCTGACCATTCCAGTGCGTTGTAAAAGTTGCCCGCATTTTGAATCGTTACTCCAACGGACAACGTCCTAACATTCGCGAAAACCTTCGTTGGTCTGTACAACCACGCAGTTCCGCAACGAAGTAGGATTGACGGAGTGAGACATACGACGTCGCGGTACAGGAGTGGATAAAGGACTTCGGCAAGGAAGTGGCATGTCGAAGCCAGTGCCCATATGTCTTTCCTCACGAGGGAACCAATGATGAACCATAATTCAACTGGTAATACACACCCCGTTGAGCCCATATCATCGTTGCGTCTTTTGCGGGACATTTTAGGTAGGTCAGTGGATAGCTCGATTATGAAGCAGCGAAAGGTTTTTTATTGGTGTAATTTCAATTGTAAGCATTCATATTGCCATGAGTTAACACGGGTTTGCTACACCAACTTCGAGGAGCCACTGTAAGTAGTGCTTCCCAATCCGGTGGAGGAGACGATTCAGGTCCACAAATGTCATTCCAAAAATGGAAGCCCAACAAAGTCTTCCAAGTAAAGCAATCACGAATATGGCTCAATATGGTAATGCACCGCCAACTTTGATGCACTACTCTAAGTACTTGTTCCCAAACCGGTGGTCTAAGGTGCAGTTCCAAATCTGGAAGCATAAGTACGACATCGACGTACTGCTAATTCGAAATTCGTAACAGTAAGTGGCACATTCAAGACGCCAGAAGCAACAGTCGATCACTTTCCAATCCACTTTGAATATTCCCCGGTTCAGTAACCCACAAATTATAACCTGAGTTCCCAGTTTCGAGATTATAACGACGATCTAGTTAACGAGGACTTCATTATCAATTTCGAAAGTTTTACAATTCGTGTATCACCGCTGAAATTGCGTTGTTTGTAACCTAAGTACAAAACGGTGCGCGATAGTCCATTCGACTATTATATCTGGAGCAATGGACATTTTGACAGTTTGTTTCACCTATCTTCCAGCGACATTCCTCCGACTGCACTTGAACAGTGGATTGAAGTTCTGTAACAACGCCCATTGCCCACCATGTATGGCGAGCTCCTGCACTATCGCCCAACGTCCTCCACACACCTGGACAATGACAACCGCAGTATGTGGTAGACGTTTGAGTTCTGAGTTTCCCAAGCAGTTTCCTGCTATATAGCGAAGGCATAGCGTATGGCTCGCGTAGGGTAGAAACCTTTACCTTCTTCAGAACATCGAGTGGGTACCCTAAGTACAGGCCCTTGGAGTTCAGAAAGCCGTAGCCAATTGTTTCAGTGCAGGCCAAAATCAAAGGTAGTGCCGACTTCGTCTTCCCGAACAGCACCCTAATGCGAGTGTTCTGTTGAAGATATTACAATGAATTCAACGGAGAGGAATTGGCACGCACCCTAAGTCCTTTTATTTCCATATACGAAGAACAAAAGTCTTCAAACACCACGGGAAGTGCGGTTACGGATGCCTGCATGTCGTTGAATTCGGCGAATAAGAACCAAGCCTCCTGTGTTTCATTTGGCGCAAAAATAAGCAACGGTGGCTCAACCTTACGGTTGAGATCAAACAAGTTTAAAAACTTCAACAAGAATTGACCCGCAATTAGTGATCGCGTGTTGTCGAGCATTCAGAACAGCGGAATTCCCTCGTTCACGTAGCGCTCCAGCTGATACAAAAAACGTGCATCGATGAAGGTGGAAATGTTTCGGTAGTGGAATTGAGAAACTCGCTTCAACATCGTCCATTCAGTGAAACCGCATACTTCCAAGATAGCGACGTCGATGTAGTGCGGTAGTTTGTTACTAAATAAGAATGGTTTTGAACCGTTATATATTGATATCGTAGATTCTGCAAAACACAACTGCGTTGTTAATGGGTTACTGATTATAACCTGTATTAAATCCTCACTGTCGCATGATATCATTTGTGATAATCCGGTCCCATACTTCGATGTCAACAAGGGATTGGTCTGTGGCGCTGTGCTTTGTGACAAGTACGTCTCCGCGAGGAGCTTGACCTCGGTGTATGAGCCGTTGTATTGAGCTGTTTGGAAATCGTCGTTGGGCGCTTGGTATGCCTTGTCGTTCAGTGTATACTTTGAAGTAGGATAGTCGACCTTGTCCATCGAGGCATTCGAACATTCGTTGGGCTGTGATGTCGAAAAGAGCTCGATCTGTGCTGAGGACATTAAATGTAGGCCTTATCCAGAATTCTGAGTAGACGTATTCAGGAGTTATTTGTACAGGGTCGTTGACTTGCGGTACCACAGGAACAGGTACTTTGTCGATGCCGCCGTCAGTATTATAAAGTAAACCTTGTCGATGTAAAGGAAAATCCTGTACATTGACATCAGTCCATATTCTGATGAGGCGACCGCACATACCGTTGAATGTTCGTAGAAGAATAACACTCGTTTTTTTACTGGACGCCCGGTTGCAGGCATGTATTGGGGGCTGGTAGCGCTGAACGATAACACTATGGGGTTTTATTCGGTTTCCATTTTGGGCGGTAGCCGTATTCAGACAGTAGTCCTTTTTTGGGTTACACTATGCGGAATAATCAATTGTTTTTGCAAGTCTTATCTATTCCCAAACAAATCTAATATTAATGCCTTCCAGAAACAGAGCGTCCGCGGCTAAGTTGTGATCATAAGTAGTCACCTCCCACCCAATTTGGGGTACAACGAATACTTCGCATGTAATGAAAGAATAACGTTCGCGTTGTACAACCAAAGATGACAACTGCATGGTTTGACATTAGTTACAGTGGGCATACATCAAGACTTGAATTTTACCAGCGATACCGTCGAGTAATTCCTGAATAGTACAATGAAGAGATCGTATAATTTGCTCACAGTACGCGCGGTGTAGTGGGTGCGAACCCACTGCGTGTTATGGCGGTGGAAAAGCCCTACCAGTAAGTCGCCCGCTGCAGTCTGTAATGGATTCGATGCTCTTGGCCATTGCGAATTGTAAAGCATAGCACTGAGTGCTGCGTCGGTTCTCATGTGAGTGTTGTGGTCGCGTTGCTCCTGCGTTCACGTGAGCGATTGGGTTGTAAGGAAACACCATAGAAGCTCACCCATTTAGACATTTCTGCCTGTGCAATACAATAGTACCGACACGAAGGACCTCGGATGACCTCAAATTTGAGTGATGGATCCCTCATAGTGTAGTCTATTTCCCAACTTGTGATGAAGACAAAGTCTGGTATCGAGGCTACCGAAGGTGGCACCTCTAGGGCGACTATGAAACAGTTATCGTCGCCCACGAAACGTACTCTGTGTGAGGCGAACTCCGACCGTCGATCCAAAGCATCTATTGCATGAACACTGTCAACCCATTTGCGACGCATGCTGCCATTCAAGCAGTAATGAGGTTCAACATCATCCTTAGCAGTGATCTCCAACGTTTCTTTACGCACATATGAACAGTACGGGAATAAAGCGATAGCGTTGGTGTGTGTGAAAAAGCACATTCCATCGCCTGGGTGAAAACAAGCCGAACGTTACTACGCAAACACAGGAGTGGATGGTTAGACCACTTACTTAGTGGTACATTGAGTACAACCTCCATTGGCGCACATGTAGCACTGACAATGCCAACGGAAATCGGACCGACTCCTGTTGTTGCACATCTCTCCTTGGTGAAGTGAAATGTACAAGTACTGGCAGGGAGACAATCAGTCGTTTCGTGCACTCGGTGCATTTCATCTCTGACTGTCTTTGTAAAGGATTGCTGTGGGTTCCTCCGTGGATCACAACGAAAGCCGTTGAATGCAAGCCAACAACCGAGGGCCATTACATCAACGATTGATACAATAATGACTAGTTCGCCTTCATTGTTTTCACGCGCAAAGAACCGATCCACAGGTTCTCCTGCCAAAAGAGCGCCAGTTTTTGCCTACTGCGTCATGAACGGATTACGTTCGACCGTCAGAGAAAAGATGTCGCACCTGGAATAGCTGCAGGAATTTCTGCTCATGTTCGTTGAAGTAGTGGTCCAAGGTTTTAGATCTGTTGTACGCCCTCTTTTGAAACGATTTCGATACCTGATACCACTCCCGATTGACAAGGCCAAAGCGGTGAAGATCTGTCGGGTCGAAACCTCTGAGGAGTGAATCTTGCGTCGGGCCAGGCCTATGTAAACATCATTGTCCATATCATAAGCAGTGTTAAAAGAAGCAGGATCATATTCACCATGTTGAGAAGGGTGAAATGTCCTGGTCAGTCATTGAGGATCAGAAAAGGAATCAATAATCCCACGATGTGGCTCAGTTTCCCTTTCGCAATGTGAAGAAACACGTTTATTCAGTGGTTGAACACTGTGTACGGTACTAATATTTAACGTGTATGTATCTAAACAGCATTTCGTTTTGCATCCCTGGCGACGTCACCCTCACAGTGCACGTCGCGCTTTCTTTTCAGCCTACTCTGAGTGTTGTCACCTTCGAGGGATCCCGTGTCCTCGTGTCCTTTAAGGTCGGGGAATCGTTCGGAGGCCGAGACACATCTTCAAATGGAGGACCAAGATTCGGCGTTAAGACAGGTTGTTCATTACCTACGTATGTTGTATTGTACCAGGTGTCCATCGCGAGGTGATTCGTTCCAGTAGGATATTGCAATGTGAATTCATCAGGAGGTGATCGCTGAGCCGTCATCTGTTCACTTGGACAAGGTGTAGGTGTAGGAGAATACATTCCGTAGCGATACTGCGGATCATCCGGTGACATTGACGTCGCAGTTCCCGTAGGTGACAAGTATGTAGCTGTTGGTGTGGCTTCGAGGGTGTTCGAGTGGTGGGCAGTACGTGTAGGAGTACGTGGACTCGAAGATCCTGTGAAGTTGGTACCACCAGTGGCGAGATTCTCAGGAGGCATCTTGTACAACGCCTGGGTGCGGTGAAGGGGATGACCTGGCGCGACAAGCACGAACGAATTAGCTCCATCGTTTACATTCACAACGTTCGCGACATACCTGTCAACGTTGCTTTCGGTGTTTTGGGTGGCGTAGGTGGAAGACTGATCGGGAGTGCACTTTTATGGGCCGGCAGCAGTATATCGACCCTCTCAACGTCGGCTGCAAAAGAGTATGGATCTGTGGGGGCGAAGTGCCAAGAGCGCAAGCTGAACGTTAACAGAACGGTGGCGCCAGCGATGGTGGTCCGAACTTTTCGCGATGGAATAAGTTCACCATCGATATCATACAGAGGAAATTCGGCGAAGTTCTTGGTGTCGACAATGTCAATCCACACTGGGTCATCCTCCTTACCTCTAGGCACAGCGTCTTGAACACCTTTTCGCAGGAAATGTCAGATACTGTAATCGTGGTTGCCAAAACACTGACCTTTGTTGTCCTCGCCGTCCTCAAGGTCCTACACGGGAGACGGAGTTCAGGAACAGCATGTCAAAGCAAACATAAAGAACGCACCTGTCATAAAGTATGCAGCCCCTATCATTTTCCTTTTCTCACCGTCTCGACGCCTTTACTTGTACGATACATCATCCCATCACTGTCAAACCCCCATCGATTACTGATCCATCGATTACTGATCCACCTGACCCATCTTCTCCTTCTATTGGCTTCCGCCACCTTCCTTGTTCCTAAACTGTACAGTATTACATCGTTGTTTCTCGCAGACCGGATTATGTATATATAGCCAACCCTCCACAGCCTGGTTCCTTATCTTGACCTCTCTGTCATTATCTGGGACCAGGTATGTGCTTACTTATTATTACCTATGACTACGATACTCAATATATCTCTGTCATTATCTGGGACCAGCCTGCCGCCGTTCTGCTCAGTCGCTCCGCCTTGTTGCCTTGTTCAGTTGCTCCGCCACGCCGTTCTGCTTAGTCGCTCCGCTTTCCCGCTCCGTTAGTCACTCCGCCTCTGCCGCTTCGTGACATTAGGTCAAGATCCATTACTGCACTGACAGCCTACCGATAAGGTTGTCCTTGCAGGGTCTATAGACACCACGTCTTCCCCAGTTCCGCCCGACTCTGAAACACCTGTTGCCAGTATAGACTGCTCCGCACTCCCGCACGCACTTGACCCCAGAGACCAAGCTCACGCTCATAACAACGACGATACTTGGCGCGATTGCCAGTCTCAACCTTGCCCCAACGCCCTTTCGAACTCAATCCGAGAGCCACTCACTGTGAGCAATATAACCTTCCTGCCGATTCCCCAGCCCCGATTGCCTACTCCCATCATGTCGACTCCCATCCCGCCTGCCCCAAACACCTCTGCGGAGGATCTCATGGCTCAGCTCATCAGACAAGTAGCTAACCTTGCTTCAGCTATGGAGGAACGCTCATCCTCTAAGTCAAGCATGAACAAACCCGAGGTTTTCAAGGGTAAAGATGGCGCTGAAGCCCGTCGCTTCATGGCTCAGTTCCAGAATTGGGCGTCAGAACAACCGGATCTCGCCAAAAGCCAAGTAAAACTCATCAAGTCCGCCTTGGGCTTCTTCACAGAAAGTGCTGGAGATTGGGCAACTCCCCATCTGCTACATTTCAATGCGGAAAATCCCCCTTTCGGAGGAAATTGGGAGGCGTTTCTGAAGGAATTTAGCCAACGGTTTGAACCAATGGACCCAGGTATGGAAGCCCGTAGCGAGATCAAGAATCTCAGGCAAAGTAAAGGACAGACAGTTGCGGAATTCGCTCAGAAGTTCAAGGATATCGGAGATCGGACTGAAATGTCTGATATTGACTTGCGGGAACGTTTCTTCACTGCATTACTCCCGGAGATCCGACAACACCTCATCACCGTAAACATTGCCCAAGGAATTGCTCCGACTCTGAAGGAGGCAATCAAACGGGCCATATCGGTGGATGTATACCTGCACGATCCCACCATGACTGGCCGGAACTCTGGATACCCTCCCACGCATACCGCTCATACTACTCCTGCTGACCCCCACGCTATGGACATTGATGCAACCCACACCAGTAATGGGAATACTAGGGAAGCATTCCTAGCTCGCATGCGAGGACGATGCTTCGGCTGCGGTGCCCAAGGTCATGTCAAGCAAAACTGCCCACACCGAGAAACCACCTGCCGCTACTGTGGACGTCGAGGACATCTGGAAGCAGTCTGCCAAGACAAATTCATGGGACTCGGACGAGACCGAGGCCGACGCCAGCAACCTCGACGCCAACAGATATCCGCTACGGGACCCGCGCCATTCTCCCTATTCCCAAACGAATCCGTCCAAATCGCGTCCTCGACCCCAACATCTGCTCCTGCACCCGTAGCTGCTACTCCGAGCCCCCCTAACCAGGACTTTTCCAATCAGATTGGTCAAATAAGGGAATTACTTGATCGTGCTAACGCTATGTCCTCCTCATCCTCTGGCTTCCAACAGGGTTTTTAAAGAGGGTACCCGCTTCGGCTGCACCGAGAGTACCCCGTAATCAGTTTGTTATGTTCGCTACTTCCTCGTATGACTCGCACCCATCATGTACAATATCGTCGATCCGGGAATTAAACTCTACTTCCCCACATTTCCGAATTCATGCGAGACTAAGAGGAAGGAATCACAGTATAACAACTGCAGCCATGGTAGACTGTGGAGCTACCGCCCTGTTTTTAAACCAAGACTTTGTCACCCGGAACCATGTAAGATGTGCACCCCTCCATAAACCAATCGACGTTTTTAATATCGATGGAACACCTAACCGAGCTGGACGGATAACCCATTTTGCACGTCTAGCACTCACAGTGGATAATCAAGAGCGATGGATGGACTTTCTGATCACCAACCTAGGAGGTGAAGACATCATCCTTGGACTCCCCTGGCTACGGAAGGTAAATCCGGAGATTGATTGGGAGAAAGGACGACTTTCAGTAAAGCCTCCTCGAGTAACGATAGAAGAAGTCCCAGACGAGGAGATCTTGTACTCTCATCTAGCCGCCACTCACACAGAAACCCCGATCCTCGAACTCCCGGAACTGGAACCTCCCGCAGAAAACCCCCACATTGAGGTGCCACTAGAAGCGACCCTTGAACCGAGTGAATCAGCAGCGGTGGAAGAACCACCAATACACCGAATTCGAGCCAATCATAAAACTCGCCGGGCATGGGTAAAAGCAGGAATTCTAGAGGAACAGACGGAGGAAGTCTGGTGCGCCGCAGGATTCACTTACTCCCAGCAGCTAGCAGAGGAAGCCAACCGAGACAAACCCGTTAAAACCTTCGAAGAAATGGTCCCTGAGCAGTATCGTGATTTCAAGAAGGTTTTCTCAGAATCCGCCTCCGAACGATTACCTGCCCACCAACCTTGGGACCATGCGATTGATCTCGTACCTGGAGCACCGGCAACCATGCGCACCAAGATTTATCCCATGTCCCTAAACGAGCAGGAGGAGTTAGATCGTTTCCTAGAAGAAAACCTACGGAAAGGCTATATCGTCCCCTCAAAATCACCAATCTCATCACCGGTCTTCTTCGTAAAGAAGAAGGATGGGAAACTCCGCTTCGTACAAGACTACCGGAAACTGAACGAGTACACTGTGAAGAACCGATACCCTCTCCCATTAGTTGCTGACATCATTAGCCGACTTCAGGGAGCCAAATACTTCACGAAGTTTGATGTCCGCTGGGGTTACAATAACATACGGATTAAGAAGGGGCATGAATGGAAAGGCGCGTTCGCAACAACCCGAGGCTTGTTCGAGCCTAAGGTCATGTTCTTTGGTCTCACAAATTCCCCTGCCACGTTCCAAGCACTTATGAATGCTATATTTGCTGATCTCATTGCAGCCGGCAAGGTGGCAGTCTACCTAGATGACATCCTTATCTTCAGTAACGATCTCGAGGAACACCGACGAATGGTACGGGAAGTATTAACCCGGTTAGAAAAGCACGACCTCTACCTACGACCAGAAAAATGCGAATTTGAACAACAACAGATTGAATACCTCGGACTCATCATCTCAGAAGGGGAGGTGAGAATGGATCCGGTAAAAGTAGCGGCTGTTCGCGACTGGCCAGTCCCTACTAATCTTCGGGAACTACGAGGGTTCTTGGGATTTGCAAACTTCTACCGACGCTTTATCCGGAATTTTGCCAAAATAGCACGACCTCTGAACGACCTGACGAAGAAAGACACCAGCTTTACCTGGACCGACACTCGACAGAAAGCATTTGATACCCTTCGAGAAGCCTTCATCTCCGCACCGATCCTTGCTCTATGGACACCAGACAGGCCTACTCGAATCGAGGTAGACGCATCAGGCTTTGCCACGGGAGGCGCCCTTATGCAGAAGCAAGACGATGGCCAATGGCATCCGGTAGCCTTCAGATCGGCATCCATGCAGCCAGCGGAACGGAACTACGAAATCTACGATCGAGAAATGCTTGCTATCATTGAAGCACTGAAGGATTGGAGGAACTTTCTAGAAGGACTCCCTCAACCATTCGACATCATTACGGACCATTCGAACCTCGAATTCTGGCGCACTGCACAAGACCTCACCCGCCGACAAGCCCGATGGGCCCTCTATCTGTCACGGTTTGACTTTCATATGATCCACCGCCCTGGCAGAGTAAACACCCAAGCTGATGCTCTCTCCCGCATGGCAGTTCATCATGTATCGGACAGCGATGATAACCGACAACAGACAGTCCTTAAACCTGGCCACTTCGTAAAAATTGCAGCTTCGATCCTACAGAACCCCTTAGAGGATCGTATCCGGAAAGCCTCAGAACGGGAGGCACAGGTATTGGAGGGTCTCAAAACAGTCAAAGAGCACGGACTACAGCGCTTGGCCAATGGGATAGCCGAATGGGAAGAAGACAATGGGTTGGTCTACTACCGAGGTCGAGTATACGTACCAGCAAACGACGACCTACGCACTGAGGTACTCCGTCAATGCCACGACAATCCAACTGCAGGACACCCCGGACTACATGGGACACTCGACTTGGTCAGTACCCATTTCTGGTGGCCTACGTTGCGCTCTTTTGTGGAAAAATACGTTGAGGGATGCGAGGTTTGTGCCCGTAAGAAGATCCATCGACACCCACGGGCCGTAACTCAACCATTAGATGTACCATCCGGTCTATGGGAAGAGGTAGGGGTTGACCTGATAACACAGCTACCTAACTCCCAAGGCTACGATGCTGTCTTGGTTTGCACAGACCTGTATGGAAAACAAATTCACGCCATTCCTTGCACCAGCTCCATCACAGCCGAAGGCGTTGCCGATATTTACTACCGAGAGATCTTCCGTCTCCATGGTCTTCCTCTTCACTTTAAATCCGACCGCGGACCCCAGTTTGCAGCTAAACTCATGCGATCCCTTCTCGCTAGGCTAGGAATTAAATCAGATCTAACCTCCGGATACCGTCCTCAGTCTAATGGCCAAACCGAACGAGCAAATCAGGAAGTAGAGAAATACATCCGCCTCTATGTAGGACGACGACAAGATGACTGGGCAGAGCACCTTCCCATGGCGGAGTTTGTGATTAACTCACGGACTCATTCTGCGCTAGGCATGTCCCCGTTCGAGCTAACCTACGGCTATCTTCCCCTGTTCAATATCCCAGTGGGCCAACGCAGCGGTATTCCAGCTGTGGATGACCGTATACGGATTCTCCGAGAAGCGCGACAAGATGCCGGAGCTGCCTTACACCTAGGAAAGAAACAACAGAAGGAGGGATACGAACGCGGGAAGCGGAAAGCTCATCAATTTAAAGTTGGAGACCTAGTCTGGCTCAGTGCGGAGGACATTAACCTTCAACTTTCCAGTGAAAAGTTAGGAGATCGACAGCTTGGCCCTTATCGCATTCTGGAGAAAATTGGCCCTTTAGACTACCGCCTTGACCTTCCCCGAACGCGGGAAGCGGAAAGCTCATCAATTTAAAGTTGGAGACCTAGTCTGGCTCAGTGCGGAGGACATTAACCTTCAACTTTCCAGTGAAAAGTTAGGAGATCGACAGCTTGGCCCTTATCGCATTCTGGAGAAAATTGGCCCTTTAGACTACCGCCTTGACCTTCCCCTATCCCTAGATCGCCTCCATCCCGTCTTCCATGTCGATAAACTATACCCCTGGAAAGGTAACTCCATAAATGGCGAAATACCAACACCACCAGAGCCGGTATACTTAGAGGATGAAGACGAACCGGAATACGAAGTAGAGGAGATCTTAGACAGCCGGGTTCGATGGAAGAAGTTGGAATATTTGGTTAAGTGGAAAGGTTACGACGCAGGGCACAACTCTTGGGAACCCGCAGCCAACCTCAGTCGAGCACCAAAAATTGTTCGGGCCTTTCATAAAAAACACCCAACAGCGGCAAAGCCTTGACCATCGAGGGCAATGGTCATAAGGAGGGGGGTAATGTCATAAAGTATGCAGCCCCTATCATTTTCCTTTTCTCACCGTCTCGACGCCTTTACTTGTACGATACATCATCCCATCACTGTCAAACCCCCATCGATTACTGATCCATCGATTACTGATCCACCTGACCCATCTTCTCCTTCTATTGGCTTCCGCCACCTTCCTTGTTCCTAAACTGTACAGTATTACATCGTTGTTTCTCGCAGACCGGATTATGTATATATAGCCAACCCTCCACAGCCTGGTTCCTTATCTTGACCTCTCTGTCATTATCTGGGACCAGGTATGTGCTTACTTATTATTACCTATGACTACGATACTCAATATATCTCTGTCATTATCTGGGACCAGCCTGCCGCCGTTCTGCTCAGTCGCTCCGCCTTGTTGCCTTGTTCAGTTGCTCCGCCACGCCGTTCTGCTTAGTCGCTCCGCTTTCCCGCTCCGTTAGTCACTCCGCCTCTGCCGCTTCGTGACAGCACCCTAAAAACTCTGGCACCTGCTCTGAGTATGCAATCCGCTGGTGCAACATTTTCATGGACAAATAAGTATTGAACCTTTCTGGAATTCTTTGAACCTGCAAGTTGTAGTTCCTTCACTCTTCCCATTGCTGGGGCCCAATCCTGTTGAAAAACATGGCCAACAGGTGGACCAATTTGGAACGTGCGACGCGCGGTCTCGGGGCTAAATTTGCTGTTCCTCGACCAAGATCCAAGCAGACCGGTGTTGTTCAAGTTCATAGCAACGCGGCCGACAAGGGTAAACGGTGCGACGGTCGGGATTGGATTGTCGTGCGTCACAGGCACGGTGACGAATTGTTTACCATCAAGTGTCGTCCAACGACAACCTTCAGGTAGCGGGCGTTGATTTCCAAGGTAGTAGAAACCCTCAAGAAGGCTGGTGCGAAGTGTGGTGAAACGGTCGGCTGACATTCCTGAGTTATGAGTGATAATGAGTAACTAAGTTGCGTTTAAGAAGATTAGCAATGACTTACTGGAATCGGTTTCTTTCTATGTGAGCAGACAGTTTTGCGGTTGGGTGGAAGAATGATACAGCAAAGCTCATTTATGAGGAACCGTGAGGTTGCATGAACAACAACGTGACGCCTAATTAAGACATTCACGTTTGTCCAAATTTGGATGAGGACGCAGCAGTGCAACCCAATTTGGATATGATGTGAAATGGGGATAGTGTGTACATCGGGCGGGAATCGTCGTAAGCAATTGCACTGTAGGTACCCCAGAATATGCAGTCCATGGAAAGCTCACTATCGGAGAAGGTAGCTGCGATCGTTAGCGGCAACACCAAGCATGCGTTAAAAGAGTTATTCGACAGTCATCACATCCATCTGCGTTCGACAGACTGGAGGAGTAAGGCAGGCATACGCAACGCACTACACCGTGTGCCCGACAACATTTTGGAGCCACTCCTGGCATCATGGAACGCCCCGCCTCCGGCTAAGAGACGCAAATTAGAAGATATTCCACCCGAGGTATGATTCAGACGTGTCGATACTCACAAGTTATTGATGCTTTTGTATTGGCCACGCAGGAACCGTCAACTTTCGAACTACTGCAGATGTACACAAGGGAACAGCTTGTCACGATATTTGAAGAAGTCGGAGCAAAGGTTGCATTGTGGGTGTTCCGGAGCAAGAAGGATGTTGCGGACGCAGTGGTGAAGCTACCTACGTCGACATATTTGACGCTGCGTAAACGCCTCTTGCAGGTAAGTACCGTTGCACTGTCCCACACTGCATTTCTGAATGTATTTCAGCCCCCCAAACGGCGGAATGTCATGCTTGAGCGTCAAATATATTGTTGTTCGTTGAATGACATTTTGTTGGTGCTCAAAGAGGAAGGATTCAACATTGAAGAATGTACCACACACGATAAACAGTCACTGTTGGATATGATAGATGTGCAGCCGGCTGCAGTAGTCAATAACATTCTACTCCGATTACAACCGCAACGGCAGTCCGTTATCGACCGGCCGTTTCTGACAATACCGGTAACGAGCTTGCCTCGTTTTTGTGTGAAAGAGAAAGGAAGGAATCTAATGGGCACTCCAACCAACCAATCTAATACACAATATGCGAGTTCACTGCTATCAAACTTATTTAATAGCAAGGGGTAGCGTTGGCAAAGGTTCCGCAAAGCTTTGAGAGCTAAGCACGAAGCTTTGATCAATCAATTTGAATCGTTCTAAGGGTTCGATATATTCCTTTGATCAAGGTAGATTCAGCACGATTTGTGCTTTGGTTTGTATTGATTTGGGTATATCAAGAATTGGGGGTTTGAATCAAAGTAAATTAAAACCGAAACACACAGACCCCTACGGAGGGCTAGAACTATGTGCTGGCACAACCACACAGCGTGATTTGCCCTTAAGACCAACGACTGATCCTAAGTTCGAAGAATACCCAACAACTGGATATACTTCTCGCAGTCACAAGGAGCAGAACACGACGTTCCTATACTCACAAGTGCCGGGCCCGAATGGCTGCTAGCGAAGAGGTTTCAGTCTGGCGGGAGTGTGTCTTTCCTTTTTACGGATTAGCACTGCAACGTCGTCCCAAAATCACTTGTATTCCAGATACATCGGATCGCTATTTATACATACAGAATATAGAGTCGCATAGTACAATTAATTTAATACAATAAACGTTCGGAACCGCAAGGAAACTTCTACACTCAGTCAGATACCATTTAATTTGAATCTACATGTCCTTATTTGGTCCATATTGGTTCCAAGATTCTAGTATACCCCCAAACATGGGTAGGTACTTCAATATTCATTTAATTTAATTGTTTTTAGAGAATGACTCGAGTAGTATTCAACTGTCATTGCTGTTCAACACTTACTTCGATCGTTTGTCATCTCGTCCGGAGGCAAATCAACTCTCCTCGATTCTAATCCTATCAATCTGATTCATCTGGATTAAACTAATTGCTTCTCTCTTTCAACAGACACCCATTGTGCCTATACTCTATCAAGGGAGTTACGCATAGTATTCATTTAATTGCATTCTTCAATGTTTTCTATGTCAGGACTCTTTGACATTCATTTGATATGTCTTCGGAGCCTCGCAGTCTTTCGATCGTTCTTCTAGTCATTTTACTCAACCATGCAACTTGATTGGTCTATTAGACTAAATCACAGTCCTTTAGATTAATGCATGATCTTGTTCTAGAAGGAGTATTTGATAATTCCTGAGTTCTAGAAAGTCATTTCGAGTCAATCCTCGGTTCATGGTCACTTGAGTAAGTTCTTCCAAACTCCTGCCAGTGTAAGGTCCAATAAGAATACCCTTGGTATGTCATACGTGAATGGTCATCCTTCGGATGTAGTCCGAGTCTGGTATAATCCTGCTTGACAAACAGGTAGACTGCTATCCGTAGGTAGTATCGGGGATGGGTAAACTGACCAACTTGTGGTAGTATGGGTATATGGTCCCTTCAACTTATTAGACTGATTCAGTATTGACTTTGACTGTCAATCTGGGTCTCAATTACAGTCCTCTCGATACAAATCTATACGTGAAAATGTCACAATTCACAGCATAGACGTCTAGCCAAAATTTAGGTGTGTCACCGGATGAGAAAGAACGACAAGCAATAGTTGAAACTTTCACCCAAGCTACTGGCAACAATGCTGTTTCCCAAATCATCTGCTGCATCTGCGCGAGAGAGGTATTCAGGTCGGAGGCGAAGTCTATACGTGTCGACGACATACCCCATCCCGAAGTGTTGCAGCCACGCAAACCTCATCCAGCGCATGTGTTGACATCTGGAATGTTATTGTATCGCGAAGCATCATCGAGGAAGGTCCCAGAATTCGCGTGTTTGACGTGCATGCATTCGTTGTCCTCAGGGAAATGTCCTCCTTTAGCGTTATCAAATAATATGTGGTTGGGCGAAGTACCGTTTGAACTCCGCATACTCACACTTTGTGAAAGGATACTGGTGTCGAGGTTCTTTTCTGCAGCATATATAATCAAACTGTACCCAAAAAGTCGCGGTGCGCGTGGATGGCCCAAGGAAATGCTTACCAGTGCGGTCAGAGGGAACGTATCTTCGTACTTCCTGAATACAGAAGACATTGTGGGTATGATAGATCCAGGATTCCTCCCCCCCCCGTCCTACAATACTAGCGGCAACTATTGGTGTAACATTCATTGGTCGGGACAACATTCCGTTGAAATACCTTCCGGCGTATCTTCGTGTGAGGAGGAATCGCGTCAGGGATGCAATCGCTTGGCTGATACCACGAAATCCTCTTTATAAAGGGCAAAAGATTTCGGAAGCGAACCTCAGTTCCCTGCCCGAAGATGGAGTGCCATCGGAAGTAGTTGATAACATGAAGTGGATCAATGATTTGCGTGTACTCGACAGAGAGAACGGTGGATATGTACCGAACCACGAAGGACTTACAGATGCCGAAGGTACCCGCGATGAAGAAGAACTTGGTACCATATTTCGTTCAGATCACGGTATGTGCTGTAGCGTTCATAGCCTGCGTAAAATTTGACTTTTGATAGATGACAGCACTGATGATGAAGACATCGGCGAACCTGAATTTGGAGGTAGTGACACCGGAAGTGTAGAGAGGGGTGAGGCGTATGTCGTCGTACTGAAAACGTAGCTGACGGAAGATTTCCAGCGAATCTACAAGCACTTGGTGTTGTGGATGTGGACGGCAATACAATACCTGAAACAGAAATTCTTGCGCACGCACTACGAAACGCCAGTGGAAAGGTGGAGAATTATCACATAACCCCCGGAGCACTTGTGAACACATATGGCCGAACTGATGACAGTGGGAAGCCAAGTTGGGGAACAGTGGAGAATCCGAATCACTTGTTGGGCTGCTTTCCTCATTTATTCCCATATGGGGAAGGCGGGTTGGAAACGTCGCGGTCGGTACCAGTCAGTTACGCAGCACATGCGAAGTGGGCTTTGCAGTATGGTGACCGACGGTTCCGATTGGACCAACAGTTCATTTTTCAAGTCTTTGGGGTCATCCAACGACGAGAAATATGTGCAAAGGCTAGTTTGAGGATAAGCCGGAGCCAATTCACCAAATACGAAATGGAGATAATGAAGTTGAAACCGAATGACTTATTGCAGGCCAGTGAAGAGGAAAAGAAGAAAGTGCCATTTTCTAACCCAGCTATCCGAGCGCTACGATCACAACTGACAGCTGTGCGGTCAAAAGTGCTGGCGACGGACGAAAATCGAGCTAGTGTTCGTGCGCAGATATGGTCTTTGAATGTCGCGTTCAATCCACCTTCACTGTGGATAACGATCAATCCATCTGACACTCATAATCCTATCGCGCAAGTATTCGCAGGTGAAAAGATCGATCTGGACAACTTTGTGTCCACCCGGGGCCCAACGTCGACAACACGTAGTATCAATCTCGCTTCGGATCCCTTCGCTGCGGCCCAGTTTTTCCACTTTATTGTCAACACGACATTGGAGGTGCTTTATGGCTTCACAAGAATGTCGAACGGTCATCCAAATCAATCGACCGGAATTGTGGGGTCAGTGCAGGCGTACGTCGGGATGGTTGAGTCCCAGGGACGGGGTACGCTCCATCTACATATGATCATGTGGCTTCAGGGTGCACCAACACCTGCGGAGATGAGAGAAGCCTTGAAGTCGAAAGATTTCCGTGACAGGGTTGCCAATTTCATTCGTTGTACCATACGAGCAGACGTAGGGAAGACAATGTCGGAATTAACGCAAATACCCACCAATGCATCGATTGCTTATGCGCGACCATTGTCAACGAAGGAACCGGATTACAAAAGTAGGAGAGCCAAACAGGAGGTTAATTTGGCGAGGAACCTGCAGCTCCACGAATGTACACCCGAGCGATGCTACCGCAAAGGAACAACTAGATGTAAGCGCCGGGCACCATGGCCGTTATCGCAGTTCGATTTCATCGATGAAGATGGCACTTGGGGCATGAAACGTACAGTTGGATACATGAATGGCTTTAATCCCACCATCCTGGAGCTTCACTTCTGCAACAATGATCAAAAGCTTGTCACAAATGGAGACGAAACGCAGGACATGACATACTATATAACCACATATTCCACGAAGAAGCGAGACAGATCTAATAATGAGAGCGCCATTCTTGCGCAACGTCTCGCATACCACAAAGAACAGGAACGGCAGAATACCGATAACGTCGAGGTATCGCGAAAGCTGGTAATGAGATGTGCAACTGCACTGAATCGGCAGCAGGAACTGAGTGCACCGGAGGTTGTCAGTTACTTGATGGGATGGGGTGATAGATATATTTCGCATAATTTTACGCCGATCTACCTTGATGGATTGAACGGACTTTTAAGAGAACATTATCCAATATTACAGGAAAAGAGGTACAGTGGACACACCTACTTTTCGCCTGAAACTGAAATAATCCACAGATGGGCACGCATTGCGAATGGAAGAGGATCGTATGATGTACTTGAAGTGAACCAGGATTCGAGAGCAGAGGTACGAGTCACATTATGACAGTGCGAACGTTATCAAACGAAGTGATTCACAGGGGGAGGAAATGAGGTTGACGATGGTTGGAGGGAAATTAGGCACCCGAACACAATTAAACGACTATGAAGACCGTGGAGAGTCTTTGATGTACTACAATGTCAAAGATTTCTTTGCCGATACGTATGAGAAATTTCAGAAGGACCACGAGGAAGCGGGAACCGACGACGCATTAGCGGGTGATGGGAAAGATAGACATCCAAGCCGTCGAGGACGACTGCCAGGGACTAGGCACCGGTACCAGCCTGGCACGAAAGCAAACCGAGTCCGTCTTGTACGACAGGACGGCCATGAAACAGTACCGCTGTATGTGGGGCGATGGTTTCCGAGGAATGACCGCCCGGAAGATAGAGCTAACTACGTCCTGCTCATGTTGAGCTTGTTGAAGCCCTGGCGACGGATAACCGACATTACGGAGGGTTTTAATACCCTAGAAGACGCTTGGGACGATTTTTTGAAACGTTGCTCCGACGATGTACACGATGTTATCAGTAACATTCAATATTTCTACCGCTGTTCAGACCAATCGGCAGCCCGTCGGGAGAAGGAGCAGAAATCGCACAACGGCGGTAACGAAGAACACATGGAGGAGACTCATATTGATTCACAGAGTGGAGATTACAAAGAAGGGTCTGTTTCCGAGTGGGAGGTCATTGAAGCGCAACAAACAGAAGCAATGGCGGCAGAGCTTTATGCTTATACTGCTATGGAATGTGCGTTCGATGCAGGGGTGTTTGATAGAGATTGGGGGATGGAAACGGAAGCGTTGATGGCAGGACGATGTTCGATGAATGACAAAGTTGATTTTCAACAATGGCACGAACAGCTGATTGAGTACACTGGAGCAGGTGGAGAATTGGTTAAGACGGACATATTCAATATCGGCAGGGTCGGTGCAGGACTTCCGGGGAATTCGACCGTCGTGCAATCCGTTGAAGAGGTCATTGACAACCAACAACCCGCAGCAGGCGGTGAACTGCGGAAGATGTTGAATGAAGAGCAGGGTCGTGCACACGATATCGTTGTTGACCATGTCGTCCGAACCATGAAAGGGCGTCCACCGCAGCAATTGTTCATGCTCTTGTTAGGACCTGGTGGAACTGGGAAGACGGTGGTCATAAATGCTATTAACGAAACGATCCGGAACTTACGTTTGGAGAATTGGCTGGCAAAAACAGCGACGACAGGTGTTGCAGCAAGTCATTTTGGAGGCAAAACACTCCATTCTTGGGCAGGTATCAAAGTGGCTGCAAAGGCAACGGAAGACTTGATCACAAATGCATCTGCAGCGGTACAGAAGCGCAGGACCGCGAACATAGGACCAACTCGATACCTGATCCTAGATGAATGCTCAATGGCAACGAAGGAACTGATTGGACGAACGAGTACAATCTGTTCGCACATTGCCACCATAGGAGACAAACCTGGTAGTGATACATACTTCGGTGGGATGAATGTTGTGTTATGCGGAGATTTTCATCAATTTCCTCCTGTCGGACAGGCTGATGGTGCTCTGTACCTCGGCAATGCACCAGGTGCGAACGCATACGCCGTTTTGGGACGTCACCTGTATACACAGTTCACTACCGTAGTGACACTGAAGAAGCAGGTTCGCGTGAGAGATACGCGGTGGATGGAGCTACTGGAACGACTGCGGGTGGGTGCTTGTAATGCCAATGACATGGAGGAGCTGCAGAAACTACGGTTAGATTTAGACTCGAATCCTCGTATTGACTTCGACGAGCCAGGATGGAATTCGGCCATTTTGATCACGCCTCGTAACTCGGTAAGGCGCAAATGGAATAGAGCGGCCATACGACGACATTGCAAAAAGGAAGGAACTAGGCTCTACTCTTGTCCGGCAGAAGACACAATTGGAGGTGTCCCTTTAAGCAACGAACAATTGCTCCGTATCGCGCGTTTGGACAGTAAACGAACCAGCAATCTCGAGCACCGGGTTGAACTAGCAGTTGGGATGAAAGCGATGATTTTAGCGAATGTCGCGACAGAGGCAGACTTAGCGAACGGTACAAGGGGGACAATCACCAACATCATCTTAGATGACCGAGAACCAATGGAACATGAGGTGCGAGATGGGGCGACGTTGTTGCGTTATCCGCCTGCAATGGTATACTTCAAACCAGATGGGGAGACGAAGGTGAGACTGGAAGGATTTCCGGAGGGGCTGTTGCCTATCGTACCTCAAGAAAGTAAGTTTGTCGCGGCAGTGAATGAGAAAAAGACACGCATGATACTACGGCGCCAACTGGCGCTTACACCAGGGTACGCTTTCACTGATTTGAAGGGGCAAGGGCAAACCATTGAATACGTTATTGTGGATCTTGCGCGGCCTAACTATGGGTCGAAACTGGATGCGTTTGGGGCGTATGTTTCATTGTCGCGCAGTCGGGGTAGGAATACAATCCGTCTGCTTCGCGGTTTTGACGAGAGCCTTTTTGTCAATCATCCGTCGCCGGAGTTGGAAGTCGAGGACGCCCGTCTGGCGGAATTGGAGGCGGAGACTACGAAAGCTTGGTCGACAGGCACACTATGGCACAATATGTAGTTGAAGGAAGTAGAATGAATAATCACATATCAATATGTAGTTGAAGGAAGTAGAATGAATAATCACATGATCAATAGACCTAAGTTACAGTACTGGTCTGATTTATACGAGGTCGTAAGACCAGGTAAACCGAATGTTCATCCGAAGCAGCAGCAACTCGTCCAATTCACCATTTAAAGAACAGAGTGAGGAGGACTTTTGACCTCGATGAAGAATGACATGGACGTAGAGTGTAAGTATGATGACAGCATTGTCGTTATTGGTGACCCAATGATGTCGAGTCTGAGCAAGCGAAGTTCAGGCGTCAGTTGTTGTAATGAATCCACATCACTTACGATGTAAAGGCCTGTTGGATGAAGTAGTTGCACACGGTTGAGAAAGTGGAAAAGTTGCGAGAAAGAGTATACATCGAAAGAATCCCTCTGTGTTGAGGGAGTGAGACGGTGTCGGTGGATAATATCGTGCAGGAGATCCCGGACAACATCATTGTTCTGGTGTTGTATGACATTAAAGCAGTAGTTCGGAGCAATATAATCACTATGCGAGGGTAGCAAATGTCAATTAGCGCAGAGGGCAAAAACGCGGGGAAATTGGGAAACTTCATACATGGTGCTACCGTTGGTGATACAATAAGAATGACACTGAGTAGGAGGCGTTACGATTATAGACATTGAGTTGACATTATAAATGATCTCCCAGCAATGTGATCCAATTGTGGGAGTCAAGTCCGACCACATTGCACCGTTTTGTGGACCAGCGTTGATTTTAACGATCAACGATCTTGGATCGGTGAAAGAACGCTTGATTTGGAATGACAATTCGCTGTTGGGAAGTAAAACATCGGCCAATGAAGGGAGTAAGCTGGGTTCTGGCTGCAACGGAGTTTCGGGGTCCAGTCTGGAACAGCATGGCATAGCAGTAGGATGTTGTGTTTGATCGATGAAGTAGTCGAGCTTTCTGTTCAAAGTAGAATTCGGAAACGCGGAGTACAAGTTGCTGTGAGTGATAATGTTCAGGCAGGAAGCTAACGAAAGAGAATGAGATCAGGTTGCAGGCGCAATAGATTGGTCATACTCCACTGAGTTGAATTCAGAACATCTGCGATGACTGTACGATCAGCGCCCACAAAAGACACTGAACAATTGCCTCTGCAGAAGACCCATGTTCGTTGGTTGAAATGCAAACCACGATAGGAAGGTAAATGATGTTTAATGTGGGTGGCATGGTCGGGGAATAGGGGAAGCTGAAGTGGGTTTGGCGTGAATGTATACCCAATTCGAAGCATCCAAAAGGCGACATCAGGCAAGTTCGGAAGTAGCAGATGTACTGTCAATGATAACGTTGCTGATTCGTGGAGGAGGAAACATTTGGAATTTTCGCCAGAAATGACAACACCGGACGTCTAACGTGGTTGGGACTGAATATGTTAACAAATATTTTGACGAAAAATACATGATCACCATGTAGTCGTAGAAAGTATCGAATTCGTTGTCAACGAAGAAACACCTCAGGAACCAGTCCAAACGCCGTGCGTGAAGACAATAGGAGGAGACTTGTTTGTAACAAAGGCGAGAAGTCGTAGCGACATTGACTAGATCATTGAGTGACAAATTTTGGAATATAAAATGTGCACAGACGCTAGGGATAAAGTCGCAGGTTATGACGATAAAAGAGGCCAGCATGCAGCCACGAACCTGCAAACAGCATTCATTGCAATGAGAGCGGGTACAAGGGGCATGGAAGACGGCAAATTGGTTTGGGAATGATCAGTCTAAAAAGACTGTACACCGATGGCAAGCGGCGGAGGGCGTTACGGGCGAGTATACGGAGCCATTAGGAGATGGGATAGTTATCGCACGGGAATATATTTTATGTGAAGCGTTATTAGCATGTTACAGAATATGAGTAACGCTACTGAAATGCAACCTAGTCTAAGTAGGTTTGTAATGTACTTTGGAAGAAGAGCTCAACACAAAGCAAGGCCTACTGTAAGTTAGTTATCAAGACGGTGGTACACAGTGGAACACGTTACATGATGAGAACAATTTCAACGTTTCTTTTCAGAACGCCGATGGGCAGTGCGAGCCAGAACTATGGGTGTATGAAATTAGGCATCAAAGTAGTTGGAGCAGAAACGCAGCAGTACCTGACTCGTTGTATGACTGAACGCGCGTAGTTCGTCTAGGCATACGACGCAATGGGGTTGCCAATGGAGCGAGGGTCGGATGTGCAGAGGTAGGTGGAAATTGACGACGAGGCTGTATTCCGGCGGGGGTCGGTTGAGACACCAGCGGTGGAGTGCTCGGAGATGTTAAGGTGTCGTGGAGAGGTTCAGTTTTGACAGAGTAGTCAATGTGTTCCAATTTGATTTTCTTGGGAGGCATAGTGAATTGGGGGGGGAGGGGGGGTATTCGCAGACGGGGATTATTTGTACTGCAATTCGGGAGAACAACTCGGTTAGACTCAGTCCAAATTGGTAATAACAAATACGGTGGAGATAGGGCAAATGTAGAATTTGAAAAACACGTCTGGGAAAAAGGTATAGTGGGGGAGCACCGCGACAGAGACAAAAGACGGAGTGCAGCATAAGGGGAACACGACGAGGAAGATGAACGAAAGAGCGACAGAAATGTCGTGGAGAAGGTGGGAGAGATGCGCCAAAGTTCACAGGAAGGCATGAGAGAGTGGTGCGATTCGCTTCGAAACATGCTGTGTAAGTCAGGAACAAGCACAAAAAAATTGCGAACTTACCAAGCACGGGAATAGAGGCAACGGCAAAAAATACGCGCGCGGTACAAAATGGAGCGAAAAAAATAATCTACGGAACGCCTCACGATCTTCCGGTTGGCAAAGAAAGTGGGTAATATTTCGGTGTCCATGAATTACTGACGTTGTAAACGAACAGATCATGGAAGACCTCATGAAAGCATTGTCAGAACCAACAGCGACTGGAATGAATGGGGAACCCGCCAATGTAATGGGGGGGGGGTTTTCATAACTTCCAGCTGGACTTGGGTAGTAATCGAACACCAGAGCTGCTCAGTGGTGAACGAACAGTCACACCGCAGATGGTTCACATTGGTGAAGGTACAGTCACACCCCGGATGCTTCACGTTGGTGTTGGTGATGAAGGAGGTGGTCTCGAAGACGTGGATGAGAACGGTGGTATAAAAGCTGACGACAGATGGTCGTCAGCGCCAGCGCCAGCGTCAGTCGGATACTGCCCGGAGTATGTGGGCCCCGGAGATGAGGAAGGCCCACAGACAAGTGATGGTGAAAGCGCGGTGTTGTTTTTGGGCACGCTGCATCGCAGGTATATGAGAGTTGAAACGGTGAGAATTGAATTAAAGCGACGCATGGTTTGCTCACCGGTTTTTGAGAAGGTAATGTGGAACTATTTTACATCGACAACGGGGGTGTTGTGGATCCGGTGGGATGTCAAAGTAGAACTGCGCAAATTTCAAGATTTGGAGGCAGAGATGGAGAAGATGAAGGATTGCGTTGGGGGAATGTACGAGAGGCATGTTGTGTTGTTGATAATGTTCACAGATGCACCCGGCAAGATGGGGAGGTTTGAGGGGACTGCGAATGTTTGTAAGTTAGGGAAAATTGATAATCACAGAAAACTAACGGAGTGATTGAGATCATTCGGGAGGGGGCCCCGAGAGACTCATGGCAGAGGAATACAACGACGAAGTGAGGGGAAACATGATATTTGGAATGAAAGTGAGAAGCGGAGGTGGAATAGGTGTGGATCCTAATGTCACGAGGAGAGCAGATCTGTTGGAATCGGCACTGGGTGAGAGGTATCAGAGCGTGCGGACGGTAAAACAATGAAGCCGAAAAACGAACAATCTGCTAACGGAAAATACAACAGGTATGGTGGAATTTCGTCGTGACATGCGAAAAGGAGTTGTGTCTGCAATGGCGCCTTATAGTAGAGTTGAAAGACATTCAAGACATAAAAGAGGAGGTAAAGAGGATGGAAGCATGTGTTGGTGTATTGTGGAGTAGAAAGGTATATGTGACGATGGTGTTCGTCGATGCACCCAGAGGACCCACAATGCGGCAAGAAACGAGAACGCTGTGTGAGTTGGATTTTAATCCGTTCGAACGTAACTGACAGGGAACCCAGATCACCTGCCTGGCGGACGGAACGGTAATACTATGTAGACGCACGGGATGGTGGTACCCAAGCACGGTACCAATGCAAGCAGGTGAACGCTCCTGTAACAACGTAGTGTGTGGTGTGAACGCAGCGGTAGTAAGGTGTGGGTGTGTTAATAAAAATTACTGTGTTGGGTGAATGTTGGCGACGCTGTATAGTCAAGTTGAAAGAATACAGGAAAGAAAGTGCGGGAAACAGTATAGTTATCTTGTTACGTAGGAGTAGTAGATTATTAGGGTTATTGGTTACGACGTAGGACGACGTAGAGGGTGTGTATACTACGTATAGGATGTAGGAGGGTGTTGACAAACAAAGACAAAATGTGCCTGCACATCAAAACTGTACATTTCCGGGATGGAATAGACCTTGCAAGCAAGGTGACTCAGGACATGCACGGTTCTTCAGGGTTAGGCCAGGTTAGGCCTGGTTCTTCTCGAAAAATGTGACCATGGAGTAGAACGTATGAGCCGGTACTATATGTTTATTGCGGTATGTACAAGATGAATCTGTGAGCGGCCACGAAAAGGTATGGAAAGGTAAAATGAAAATTCAAAACAACATGTCCGAGTATTCAAGTCTAGACCTAATGGATGGGATAACGGAAACATGCAAGATTAAATGGAAAGTATTCTAATAATTGAGGAAGACCAAATCGGCTGGGTACGAGCAAGTGAATAGCAGTTCGATGCTCAGAGCAAGTCCGAGGATTTGTAGGTGATGGGTTTGTGGGTAATGGGTAGAGAGGCGACACAGGAAAATGTCAATAAGAATGCGCAGATTGGATGGTTAAGAAGGGGTGATGCTAAAATCATGATAATTTCCAGTGTAACGAAAGGAGAGAAAGTTCAAAAGAACGTGGGTTTATTAAAGGAGTGACAGTTCTTGTAAATACCAAGGATAACCGGGAAAGGGAAGGGTCGTTAAAACATTGCAAAAAAAAAAAGTTGACTACAGATATAACGATAGATGGAATGGCCGGAAGAAATACAAAACAAACAAAACCGAAAAGACGATTATCCAAGTGAAGGGTTGCTCTGTCACCCGTGAGGCCTGTAAGGTTTGGCTTCCAGATAGTGATATCATGAGAAGGTAGTTTGTCTTCTCGAAGGAGTATGTCTGGTGACAGTGTTTACACCGCCATAAGCTGATGGGGGCCCTCCATGTAACGTAGGCGGAGCCGTCCAAGGACTTGGCAAAGTTTGTTGAGTGTGAGCTAGATTGGGGAGTCGTCCTCGGGGCAAATGGTTGGACGACAAAGAATGAGGGGATGTAGAATATGTTGAGACTCGTCTGGTACTGTCATCACTTGTTCTCCTTTGATGCGTCCGGTGGGGAGAAGACGATGACGAATTGGAGGATTCCCGCGGTGAAGAGCCTTCACGATTATGCACTGAATGTCTGTTCAACGATTCCGTGCTGCTATTACTCGGTACCCGTTGTCGCGAGGAACTCTGAGAAGAGTGGGACTGGCGGCGAGAATATTGGTTGACCATAAATGGAGCCGCCGGCGGAAGAAGGGGCATGTCCAAAGGGAAAGCGGACTGGTAGGGATTAAATTGGGGAATCGGTGGAACAGGTGGGATGTAAAAGGCCGTGGATTGTGGGCGGATGCTCCGTACGTCTTCTGACGAATGGATGGAAGATGGCCCGGAATTCATTGGAAAATAACCTGCACCACTGGCAATACTGGGCGGCCTTGAGTTGACCGGTGACTGATCACGGGAAAACGATTCCGAAGCCTGTCTTCGCGGAGTCGGTGGCCCTTCAGATCCTCGCGAAGACCTTTTGGATGCCAGTAAATTACGTTCAGGCTCTCGCAATGACGCAGAAGAAGAGGAACGCATTCCCATCCTTGAAGATTCGGCACGTTGTCTCGCAGCAGTCACCTCTTCTGCATATTGCTTTCGCTTTCTTTCTTCATCTTTCAACCTTTTTTCTCTCTCCCATACCAGTCTCTCTTGCTCCCACTTGCGCCTTTCTGCATCTCTCTTCTTCCTTTCTTCTTCTACTCGAGCGCGTTCCTCCTCAAACTCTCGTTTCTCTTTTTGCTCCCGTAGAAAACGAGCCTTTTCTTCTCGCTGTTTCTTGTGTCGCATAACGTACCCAATAGGTATGTTTTCATCCTTTTCCTCTTCAACGAATCTCACTCCACGTTTGATCGCATTGTGGTTTGAAGCAGGGGAAGAGGTTTCCGTCATCTCGGTTAGGGAGGCCGGTGACGCCGAAGTGGTATTCTTGGACGCTGGTAAAGTAGCAGATAATACTTGAATGAGAGGTTCTTTTTGCGGTCCATCGGAAGAAGAAGTACTGAGTGTCGAAGCCTGATTGCGAAGAGGTGAAGGAGCCAGAAGTTGAGGCGAGGGGATTGACCGAGAGTGAGAAGCAGATGCTGGAAGATGATGGTTTAATATAGCTGCAACCCAAAAATAAACGGCCCGCACTCACAAGATATATGCGATGAAGCGCTGGAGGATGAAGATGGAGCATCAGAAATCGCTGCCGAGCGTACATTGAGATGCGATTCGGCGGAAGACTGGAAAGGCGGAATATCGCCAAAAACGTCAGCCTCAGCTTCTATGGCTTCAGAAAACTCTAGAGCAGCAAGGGCAAAACCAGGAGTGTTGGAAACACGTTGACAGGTGATATTTCCATCTACGACAGACCACACAGAAAAGCGATCTTCGAAAGGGGGGCGGTTTATCCAGCTACGTAGACCAATACTGAAAGAAGCGGTATGATCAAACGTGGAAAGAGCATTCTCGTCAATCATATCAATATCAATAGGCGCCTCGAGTCTTGGGGTGTCCCTGGTACTAAAGGCAATGATTTCTTTCGCTTCAGAAGACGATGGATTTGCGTCCTGAAGCCTCTGAAGCATACGTCTTTTCAGTACGGTACGAGCGAGGGAGTTTGTGCTTGGCACAGAACGTGAACGATTGGAGGATCGGGGATACGGAGGTGCACCAGGCTGAACAACAAACGGCGCAGAAGAAGGCCGGCTAATAAGGCTGTTCTGGATCAACGCTTGAAGGACGGCTTGGGCTTTGGACTGTGAAGCAGGCGTAATGATAGGCTTTGCCAAAACGGGTTTAATGGGGCGAGGATCATCCTCCTCACCGTATGCATCCGATTCGGAGTCGGAATTTGGATCGTTGTGAGTGACAATCGGTGCGCGAGTTCCGGGAGGGGGTGTATGAAGGAGCGGAGGAGGCAGTGGGGTCCAATTAGACTCATGCCGACCGTTAGCCTTGATAGTGCCCGACTTTTTGGCGCGCCATGGTATCCAAGTCTTCTTCGAATTTACCAAGGATATGGGAATGTCCTCTGGGGTCTGTAAGTTGACCGAACCTGCAGAGGAAGCCGAGGAATGGGCCGGCTCACTTCCGCCAGCACTGAGCTGTGGCGTCGAAAGACTCGAGTCGAACGTGGTAATATCAGAGGGAGCCGGCTGGGTTCTGACATTCAGAGTGGACCGCTTGGATGTTTTCTCGTTCTTCTCGCGTTTGGAGGATATAAAAACCGAGGCAAAACGTCGCATAATGGATGAAGAAGAAGGGAGAAAAGTCGTCAACGCTGGAACATTGCACTCCACCAACCGTCGTTGACCACGGTGAGAGTCGAAGAAGAAGGAATTTGATGGGGCTGAGAAAGTGAATGGAATGACAGATGAACTGTGTGTCAGGAGGAAAGCGATCCGGTTCAAACACGCCGAAACCGGAATTATCTATTATTAAATTTCTGGTTTTTGCCACAGTTTTCTACGTTCGTACTTTTCTACAAGACTATCTATGTAATCCTCTGGAATGCCCACTAGATTTGAACCTCTTCTTACCAACATCTCATACTCTTCCGGCACACTTCCAAATATATCCCGGGAATGAAATATTGTATATTTTTCTCCGGGCACCATGAATGTGTTACTCGGTCCTTGAACGGGAGGACCTCGTCTGAATGGAGCTGACAGAGATGGGCTACACTCCCTGGTGATGGAATTTTTGACAATGGAAGGGCCCAGATTCAAGGGAAAGTAGTTCGCCAGCATCTGCTCCTGATCTTTCGGGGGATGAGCTCATAGTGTCATTCAAACGCGGCAAATCACAAACTTTGCAATCCGTCCTCGCCAGGTCTAAGCAGTATCCGTTCACAGAAAGTTAAATATTCATCCAGTATTTCGTCATTGACACTGTCCATTAATCTCGATATCTGAAGTTAGATTTCCAACGCGCTACGCTGCAAGATCAGCAAAGCTCACATTGGCTTTTCGGAATTGAAAATAGCTTCTTTGCGTGGATCTACATCCCCCATGTGCCTCACCAGTGCCAGGTAGTCTTCAATACATGGTAGAGCGAATGCTGGGTCATTACTATCTTTCGGTGATCTAGATCGAAAGAAGAAGTCAGCGCCAGCAACAACCGAGTTCGAAATTGCCTGCCTCCTCTTTCCGTCCAGACCGTAGACCATCTTTAACACCACGATGACAGTAGCCAATAGACTGGCCTCAACCGGTGCATTATCCAGATTGTGTGTTTGTGGATCTCGCGCTTGTAAATTTTGCATCCTAGGTGCCAAGGACTGATGTAAGACCATAGGTAAAGACAGCCTATGCGATAAACTTTTGGTCATGGCATAGAGTGTAGCTATAGAACGTTCAATATCGAGTACCGCGATCACGTACGAGACTTACGCGTTCCACCCATTCCTTGTATGACACGCCACAGTAAAGGAGCGGCGTTCGCTTCAGGTGTTGATATTTTGTATGAGATGTAGAGTTGTTTCGCAAGACGTGACGAACGTGCATGTAATGTCAAAGTTTTTGGGGCATGCTGAAATTTGGCGTCAATATAACGAGGGAATGTCCTGTATGGAACATATTGCTTACAGCAGGAGAAAGCGCTTGTATGTTATGTTTAGTGAGATGTGAGACCATCTCCATAGGGAGCAGACGAACAGGATCCAAGTAGGGCAAGTCATACAGTGTTATGTGTCTGATGACACGACAGGACGCAACAGGCGACATGAGATACGTGAAGAATGCATATCAACATCGCTCACCGAATAATGTCGCTGTACATCATAGGTATACGCAACGTCCAGCACGCCACTACTAGCACTGCAAGATTATTCACTGGACCCTCGTGCGCACTATGCCCGCGTTTGCGTCTTTTTTCGCCAGCCTCTCCCCTCATCTGACCTTTGCTGTCTGCATCATTCAGCTCACTGTCGTCATCATCTTCCGATTCAGAGTTTTCCCGCATAAGCTCAGCCATCTCTGAATCCTCTGAATCCTCCTGTTCTTCGCTCCGTTTCTTACCGACACCGCCGACACCGCTATCTTGATCATCATCATCATCCGAATCTTTGGCGTCGCCCGGAACATCTTGTTCTGAAGACGAGGAGGAAGGAGAATCAGACGGAAGAGGGGAACTCGGTCTTGTTTCAGTGGAATGTGGGCGGGACTTGGTCTTAGATCGGATGTTGGAAGGTTGATCATCTGGTTGAACTTTACCCTTTGCCAAGTTTGGTGTAAAAGTACGTGTTGGACGAGCATCGAAGAACGGTTCCGATGGGGGAGGGTCTTGCAATAAGCTTAGATGCAGAGCCCATAAGTCTTTGCACACCATCTACAAGAGGATAAATCCATTTTCAAATGCTCCGATTGCGGAAACAGTATAAGCACTTACTGACCTCAAATTCCTTGGGCAAGTTCCACAAGGTAATTAAGGCGGAAATTTGCTTTCGTAGGATTAGCTGCTGACATTGAAAATAGAGGTAACGGCCAAGGGCCCCATGATATACTGCCAAAAGTGAGCAGGTACTGATTGAACGACCAAGATCGCGATAATGGGTTCGTACATTTCGGATTTGCTTTGCTTTGCCGTTCCTTCTTCTTCCTGTTCGACTTGAGGGTACGTTTTCTCATCATATGGTTACCAACATCCTCAGCCTCATTCGTTTCATTCCGATAGTTCTAGATATGGATAAGGGATAACGAAAAAAAGGTCACAACATCTCAATTTGATGATGCATAAGATTCACCTGTAAGATGTGTCCTTCACTGCAGGCAATGAAACCACTAGAGGGTTCCTTGTGCCACTGTTTAGAGCCGCAAACAGCACAACGTCGGCGTGCAACCATTAAAGTTTGAAGTAGAGGCAGGCACAAGGTACACTTAAAGGCAGGCACCATATCATGACAACTTGAACGAAGCCAAGTCTGCCTCAGTCAGGGAAGACATACACCTCGATTTGGTCGAAATCAAGATTTTAGGATGACACAGTTGAAGAAATGAACGGTCGATACTTTGCATACTCTGAACCTCACACATTCAAGTTCGTATATGATCTTGGTTGAAACGTCCCCCGATCCTCTGCAAATACTCTCACTTACTGTCCAACTTGAATGTTAACATTTCTTACATTTGTGACAAGTACTGTAATAAGAATGTACACCGACAAGCCAAAAACTCTTGCTACAATTTTGTGAAATGTGGTTCTGCTTGATTCCCGAGCACAAGTAACCGACTGGGTTAATAATGGACTGATTGTTGGTATGCTCAAATGGAAAATAGCAAGCGCGAGCAGATAGAAAGACAAGCGACATGTGTATCAAGTATGACGACGTTTCATAAAACCAGAAACAGACGTGACTTTTTGTCGTGTTTTATTGAGGTTAGGACGAACCGTGGATGTCGAAGTTGTGGCTGACACAGATGTAGATGAGGAGGAAGGAGCTCCTCTCGAAAGTTTCCTGTCGTTGATAAGATACAAGCGCACCAAGTCCAATGTGGCAATGGCATCCTCAAGTGACGAATGACCACTAGATCCACCTCCCTCCTGTATCGTCGAATTCAGATGTTCTCGCGCTCTTGAAAAGACAAAATTAGCTGTGTAAATAGGATAGTTGATGCACTCACAGATCTCGCAAAGCTCGCCGATAAGGGGCACCGCGGGGATGTGGATATAAAAACACAGTATCTACACATCGATGGTGAACTAGCCTTAATGTTTTCAAGTCGTTCTCCAATGCATGTCCTATTAGGATGGTATCCTTCCCAATCAGCGAGTCCAGAGACTTCCGTATCGATGACAAGGGTAATATGGCACGCTCTGCATGCATTTCTGGCGTAATACCAGAGAAACGCGTATTGAAGTCCAATATCCCCACTCCATCATCCATTCTAACTAGCTCATCGAAAACGGGCTTTGCAGAACCGTCAACGACGGAAACGCGTGCAACCCGCATACCACCAGTTGTGTAAATCATCTCGCAGTCCAGAGCAACGACGTCTAGTAATTCTGAAGAAGAGGTCGAGACCGGTGTCGCCAATTCCGAAAATGCATGTCGCAAATGAAGGGTATCTGGATCTGATTCATAAAACACATGGGGACCATGTACACAACCTTTGTCGGAGACGTCTTTGGAGCAACAATTGTACACTCGAGTCCTTTCACCTGAATAAATGTGTTAAGTACAGACGATACGGTAATGACCAATAAGCATTACCATTAGATACTTGGTTGTAATGTCTTCCCCAATGGTGTAAACATTCCTGCCTGCCTGGATCTTTCTCTTCGAGTCTACGTACGACAAATAATTCACCACATCGTTCACACTTGACAGGTTTACCCTCCATGCTAGGCTGCAAGCCCCCAGGCGTTGGAGGGATCTCCACGACATACCCCCAACTTTGAAGAATATCCAGAGGGACTACATGTGGTTCGAGAAGCGCCGAGGTTATGCGTAGTTCAGTTATAGACTTCTTTGCTTCCGCGCGAGCAGTAAGATCAGCTTCCGTGCCAACTGAAGAATCAGATATGGAGGTAGGAGGAACTCGTCGTTTGATGGCAGCGACGGATTGTATTACTGCCTAAGCAAAAGGTGAACAACGACAAAGACTGAAAAAAGACTTTCGCACGTTACGATAAGTGAACTTGTTCGACGCCGCGTAAACCTCTTGCTCTTGCTTTAGAGCGTGTTCTGAGGCAAGGTTTGGATGGGAAATCAAGATCTTGTCGTACAAGACCAAGAAATGATCATATAGCGTTTTGAGCATGGCCTGAATTATGATGCTAATGATGTGGATACAAACATATGAGAAAGAGAGAAATACGAACTTGGCGCACAGGGATAGCAACGGCTGAAGTAGCTGGAGTGACTTGAAGTATCGGAACTCCTGCCTACATGGCGAATGACCAGTTAAGTTCTTTTTACATGTCGCATGGGGCCATTAACCCACAGGAGTTGATGTTTGTACCACGCGTTTCTGGGGCGGATTCAGCTTCTGAAGCTTTCTGGGTGGTTCATTTGGCGTAAGAGTTGGACTTCCAGTCGCTCTAAGAGGCGAAGAGTTGACGGTACGTTTGGCACCTACAGTCTTTACTTGTTCAGCCTGGGAAACTGGGCTGGGAAGTGAGCTGGTAGAGGCGACCTTGGGTTCATCGACTGGAATTCGCAAAGTTATTGGTGGAGGCAAATCCGAGGAGGCGTTGTGAGAGAATAGACAATTTGGACGTGTGCATGAGTCTCGTTGAGGGCATTGAAGGTTAGCAAACAGCCCTAGTGTTGAAAACATAGCATAGGTGAGAAAGAAGTATATCTGACTTTCCGTCACTTGACTTTGATCATGGTCAAGCGAAAGTCTTCCACCAGCGTGATCACCGCGCTCAGAAACTTCGAGTTCGTCCTTAATTTATCATTGTTGTCACACTGCATGCAAATTCTGATAAGTTCACGTGACTTACCTAGAACTTATCTGAAACAAGCGTGAAATTACAAGCATATAAGATGCCGAACTTATTCAATAACTGATCAATGACTTATCCAATACCGCAATTTACTTTGTCCTCAATAAAAGGTGCTAAGATATGCGAAACTTATATGATATATATGGACAAAAATTTCCGGATAAGGATTGAATAAGATCAGGGAACTTATGTAATACAGATAAGATAATAATTTGGACCTGAATTTGACAATAATCAGATAAGTGATAAGAAAGAAATGGAACTTGTGCAGAACTTATTTGATATAGATATGAGACAAATATGGAACAATAAGGAAACACCTTAGAAACTTATCTGATCATGTCACATGAAAGAACACAATAAGGATAAGGAACAATGGGAAACTTATATGATACTTTGGGTGTGACTGTGACAAATATGTTTACAATAAGAGAGTGTGGATATATTAAAAACTTATGTGATATAAAGCAGAAACTTATGTGATATAGATGCTATATCGTTTTTTCAAAAGTTGTGAAAAATCAAGCTAAAATTGTAGGTATGAACAATAAACTTATAGGATTGAATTGGTGAGAATTATAAGTGCATTGATCAAGGTTGCAGAAGGAATCCACAAGTTGATTTGGACCTGTATGGTGCAGAGCGGTGCAGAAGGGTGTAGACGGAATCCACAAGCTAAGTCGAACTTGTATGGTGCAGAGCGGTGCAGAAGGAATCCGCAAGCTTATTTGGACTTGTATGGTGCAGAGCAGTGTAGAGAGGTGCAGAAGGGTGCGGAAGGAATCCGCAAGCTTATTTGAACTGGTATGGTGCAGAGCGGTGCAGGAGGGTGCAGAGGGGTGCAGAAGTAATCCGAGAGCTTATTTGAACTTGTATGGTGCAGAGCAGTGCAGAGAGGTGCAGGAGGAACCCGCAAGCTTATGTGGACTTGTATGGTGCAGAGCGGTGCAGGAGGGTGCAGAGGGGTGCAGAAGGAATCCGCAAGCTTATTTGGACTTGTATGGTGCAGAGCAGTGTAGGAGGGTGCAGAGGGGTGCAGAAGTAATCCGAGAGCTTATTTGAACTTGTATGGTGCAGAGCAGTGCAGAGAGGTGCAGGAGGAACCCGCAAGCTTATGTGGACTTGTATGGTGCAGAGCGGTACAGAAGGGTGCAGAAGGAATCCGCAAGCTTATTTGGACTTGTATGGTGCAGAGCGGTGCAGAGAGGTGCAGAAGGGTGCAGAAGGAACCCACAAGCTTATTTGAACTTGTATGGTGCAGAGCGGTGCAGAGAGGTGCGGAAGGAATCCGCAAGCTTATTTGAACTGGTATGGTGCAGAGCGGTGCAGAGAGGTGCAGAAGGGTGCAGAAGGAATCCACAAGCTTATTTGGACTTGTATGGTGCAGAGCGGTGCAGAGAGGTGCAGAAGGGTGCAGAAGGAATCCGCAAGCTTATTTGGACTTGTATGGTGCAGAGCGGTGCAGAGAGGTGCAGAAGGTGCAGAAGGAATCCACAAGCTTATTTGGACTTGTATGGTGCAGAGCGGTGCAGAGCGGTGCAGAGAGGTGCAGGAGGAACCCGCAAGCTTATGTGGACTTGTATGGTGCAGAGCGGTACAGAAGGGTGCAGAAGGAATCCGCAAGCTTATTTGGACTTGTATGGTGCCGAGCAGTGCAGAGAGGTGCAGGAGGGTGCAGAAGGAATCCGCAAGCTTATTTGAACTTGTATAGTGCAGAGCGGTGCAGAGAGGTGCAGGAGGAACCCGCAAGCTTATGTGGACTTGTATCATGCAGAGCGGTACAGAAGGGTGCAGAAGGAATCCGCAAGCTTATTTGGACTTGTATGGTGCAGAGCGGTGCAGAGAGGTGCAGGAGGAACCCGCAAGCTTATGTGGACTTGTATGGTGCAGAGCGGTACAGAAGGGTGCAGACGGAATCCACAAGCTTATTTGGACTTGTATGGTGCAGAGCGGTGCAGAGAGGTGCAGGAGGGTGCAGGAGGAATCCGCAAGCTTATTTGGACTTGTATGGTGCAGAGCGGTGCAGAGAGGTGCAGAAGGGTGCAGAAGGAATCCACAAGCTTATTTGGACTTGTATGGTGCAGAGCGGTGCAGAAGGGTGCAGAAGGAATCCGCAAGCTTATTTGAACTTGTATAGTGCAGAGCGGTGCAGAGAGGTGCAGGAGGAACCCGCAAGCTTATGTGGACTTGTATGGTGCAGAGCGGTACAGAAGGGTGCAGAAGGAATCCGCAAGCTTATTTGAACTTGTATAGTGCAGAGCGGTGCAGAGAGGTGCAGGAGGAACCCGCAAGCTTATGTGGACTTGTATGGTGCAGAGCGGTACAGAAGGGTGCAGAAGGAATCCGCAAGCTTATTTGAACTTGTATAGTGCAGAGCGGTGCAGAGAGGTGCAGGAGGAACCCGCAAGCTTATTTGGACTTGTATGGTGCAGAGGGGTGCAGAAGGGTGCAGAAGGAATCTGCAAGCTTATCTGGACCTGTATGGTGCAGAGCAGTGCAGAGAGGTGCAGAAGGGTGCCGAAGGAATCCGCAAGCTTATTTGGACTTGTATGGTGCAGAGCGGTGCAGAAGGGTGCAGACGGAATCCACAAGCTAAGTCGAACTTGTATGGTGCAGAGCAGTGCAGAAGGAATCCGCAAGCTTATTAGAACTTGTATGGTGCAGAGAGGTGCAGAAGGGTGCAGAAGGAATCCGCAAGCTTATTTGGACTTGTATGGTGCAGAGCGGTGCAGAAGGGTGCAGAAGGAATCCGCAAGCTTATTTGGACTTGTATGGTGCAGAGCAGTGCAGAGAGGTGCAGAAGGGTGCAGAAGGAATCTGCAAGCTTAGTTGGACTTGTATGGTGCAGAGCAGTGCAGGAGGGTGCAGAGGGGTGCAGAAGGAATCCGCAAGCTTATTTGGACTTGTATGGTGCAGAGTGGTGCAGAGAGGTGCAGAAGGGTGCGGAAGGAATCCGCAAGTTTATTTGGACTTGTATGGTGCAGAGGGGTGCAGAAGGAATCCGCAAGCTTATTTGAACTTGTATGGTGCAGAGCGGTGCAGAGAGGTGCAGAAGGGTGCAGAAGGAATCCGCAAGCTTATTTGGACTTGTATGGTGCAGAGCGGTACAGAAGGGTGCAGAAGGAATCCGCAAGCTTATTTGGACTTGTATGGTGCAGAGCCGTGCAGAGAGGTGCAGAAGGGTGCAGAAGGAACCCGCAAGCTTATTTGAACTTGTATGGTGCAGAGCGGTGCAGAGAGATGCAGAAGGGTGCAGAAGGAATCCGCAAGCTTATTTGGACTTGTATGGTGCAGAGCGGTGCAGAAGGGTGCAGAAGGAATCCGCAAGCTTATTTGAACTTGTATGGTGCAGAGCGGTGCAGAGAGGTGCAGAAGGGTGCAGAAGGAACCCGCAAGCTTATTTGGACTTGTATGGTGCAGAGCGGTGCAGAAGGGTGCAGAAGGAATCCGCAAGCTTATTTGAACTTGTATAGTGCAGAGCGGTGCAGAGAGGTGCAGGAGGAACCCGCAAGCTTATGTGGACTTGTATCGTGCAGAGCGGTGCAGAAGGGTGCAGAAGGAATCCGCAAGCTTATTTGGACTTGTATGGTGCAGAGCCGTGCAGAGAGGTGCAGAAGGGTGCAGAAGGAACCCGCAAGCTTATTTGAACTTGTATGGTGCAGAGCGGTGCAGAGAGATGCAGAAGGGTGCAGAAGGAATCCGCAAGCTTATTTGGACTTGTATGGTGCAGAGCGGTGCAGAAGGGTGCAGAAGGAATCCGCAAGCTTATTTGAACTTGTATAGTGCAGAGCGGTGCAGAGAGGTGCAGGAGGAACCCGCAAGCTTATGTGGACTTGTATCGTGCAGAGCGGTGCAGAAGGGTGCAGAAGGAATCCGCAAGCTTATTTGGACTTGTATGGTGCAGAGCAGTGCAGAGAGGTGCAGGAGGAACCCGCAAGCTTATGTGGACTTGTATGGTGCAGAGCGGTACAGAAGGGTGCAGAAGGAATCCGCAAGCTTATTTGGACTTGTATGGTGCCGAGCAGTGCAGAGAGGTGCAGAAGGGTGCAGAAGGAATCCGCAAGCTTATTTGGACTTGTATGGTGCAGAGCGGTGCAGAGAGATGCAGAAGGGTGCAGAAGGAATCCGCAAGCTTATTTGGACTTGTATGGTGCAGAGCGGTGCAGAAGGGTGCAGAAGGAATCCGCAAGCTTATTTGAACTTGTATGATGCAGAGCGGTGCAGAGAGGTGCAGAAGGGTGCAGAAGGAATCCGAGAGCTTATTTGGACTTGTATGGTGCAGAGCGGTGCAGAGAGGTGCAGAAGGGTGCAGAAGGAATCCACAAGCTTATTTGGACTTGTATGGTGCAGAGCGGTGCAGAAGGGTGCAGAAGGAATCCGCAAGCTTATTTGAACTTGTATGGTGCAGAGCGGTGCAGAGAGGTGCAGAAGGGTGCAGAAGGAACCCGCAAGCTTATTTGGACTTGTATGGTGCAGAGCGGTGCAGAGAGGTGCAGGAGGGTGCAGGAGGAATCTGCAAGCTTAGTTGGACTTGTATGGTGCAGAGCAGTGCAGGAGGGTGCAGAGGGGTGCAGAAGGAATCCGCAAGCTTATTTGGACTTGTATGGTGCAGAGTGGTGCAGAGAGGTGCAGAAGGGTGCAGAGTGGTGCAGAGAGGTGCAGAAGGGTGCAGAAGGAACCCGCAAGCTTATTTGAACTTGTATGGTGCAGAGCGGTGCAGAGAGATGCAGAAGGGTGCAGAAGGAATCCGCAAGCTTATTTGGACTTGTATGGTGCAGAGCGGTACAGAAGGGTGCAGAAGGAATCCGCAAGCTTATTTGAACTTGTATAGTGCAGAGCGGTGCAGAGAGGTGCAGGAGGAACCCGCAAGCTTATGTGGACTTGTATCGTGCAGAGCGGTGCAGAAGGGTGCAGAAGGAATCCGCAAGCTTATTTGGACTTGTATGGTGCAGAGCAGTGCAGAGAGGTGCAGGAGGAACCCGCAAGCTTATGTGGACTTGTATGGTGCAGAGCGGTACAGAAGGGTGCAGAAGGAATCCGCAAGCTTATTTGGACTTGTATGGTGCAGAGCAGTGCAGAGAGGTGCAGAAGGGTGCAGAAGGAATCCGCAAGCTTATTTGGACTTGTATGGTGCAGAGCGGTGCAGAGAGGTGCAGAAGGGTGCAGAAGGAATCCACAAGTTTATTTGGACTTGTATGGTGCAGAGCGGTGCAGAAGGGTGCAGAAGGAATCCGCAAGCTTATTTGGACTTGTATGGTGCAGAGCAGTGCAGAGAGGTGCAGAAGGGTGCAGAAGGAATCTGCAAGCTTAGTTGGACTTGTATGGTGCAGAGCAGTGCAGGAGGGTGCAGAGGGGTGCAGAAGGAATCCGCAAGCTTATGTGGACTTGTATCGTGCAGAGCGGTGCAGAAGGGTGCAGAAGGAATCCGCAAGCTTATTTGGACTTGTATGGTGCAGAGCGGTGCAGAGAGGTGCAGGAGGAACCCGCAAGCTTATGTGGACTTGTATGGTGCAGAGCGGTACAGAAGGGTGCAGAAGGAATCCGCAAGCTTATTTGGACTTGTATGGTGCAGAGCAGTGCAGAGAGGTGCAGAAGGGTGCAGAAGGAATCCGCAAGCTTATTTGGACTTGTATGGTGCAGAGCGGTGCAGAGAGGTGCAGAAGGGTGCAGAAGGAATCCACAAGTTTATTTGGACTTGTATGGTGCAGAGCGGTGCAGAAGGGTGCAGAAGGAATCCGCAAGCTTATTTGGACTTGTATGGTGCAGAGCAGTGCAGAGAGGTGCAGAAGGGTGCAGAAGGAATCTGCAAGCTTAGTTGGACTTGTATGGTGCAGAGCAGTGCAGGAGGGTGCAGAGGGGTGCAGAAGGAATCCGCAAGCTTATGTGGACTTGTATCGTGCAGAGCGGTGCAGAAGGGTGCAGAAGGAATCCGCAAGCTTATTTGGACTTGTATGGTGCAGAGCGGTGCAGAGAGGTGCAGGAGGAACCCGCAAGCTTATGTGGACTTGTATGGTGCAGAGCGGTACAGAAGGGTGCAGAAGGAATCCGCAAGCTTATTTGGACTTGTATGGTGCAGAGCAGTGCAGAGAGGTGCAGAAGGGTGCAGAAGGAATCCGCAAGCTTATTTGGACTTGTATGGTGCAGAGCGGTGCAGAGAGGTGCAGAAGGGTGCAGAAGGAATCCACAAGTTTATTTGGACTTGTATGGTGCAGAGCGGTGCAGAAGGGTGCAGAAGGAATCCGCAAGCTTATTTGGACTTGTATGGTGCAGAGCAGTGCAGAGAGGTGCAGAAGGGTGCAGAAGGAATCTGCAAGCTTAGTTGGACTTGTATGGTGCAGAGCAGTGCAGGAGGGTGCAGAGGGGTGCAGAAGGAATCCGCAAGCTTATGTGGACTTGTATCGTGCAGAGCGGTGCAGAAGGGTGCAGAAGGAATCCGCAAGCTTATTTGGACTTGTATGGTGCAGAGCGGTGCAGAGAGGTGCAGGAGGAACCCGCAAGCTTATGTGGACTTGTATGGTGCAGAGCGGTGCAGAAGGGTGCAGAAGGAATTCAAGAGGTTATTTGGACCTGTATGGTGCAGAGCAGTGCAGAAGGGTGCACAGAAAATCTGTCAACATATTTGTTGTGTATACCTGCCCAGATTCACGATGTTGAGTTTCCTTGATCTCATCACTACTTTTACATTACAGCACTTTGCATAATTCTTTGGGTGCTTGGATTTTGCATGATATATTTTCACTGAAAAATCATTCCAAAAATAGCTTTTAAAATCCCGCTGGCCCCGGCGGTCCCCAAGGAGAAACCTCTCCAGCCTGGGCCCAAAAATGCATTTGACAAATAAGCGGCGATAAATACGGTACCAAATCCATACAACCAAACCTTTTCGCAAAGCACTATGTGAGACAATTTTGCTACTGCTCTAATCTACAGGTCATGTCACTGATCTGAATGTTCCTCACCTCTTGATTCTGCTCAGCATTCATTGATTGAACAAGCTCGCTTAGGATACTATGCAGAAAAAACGCACCGTCCTATTTTATGGGCAGTTTCTACAGGGAGCTATGTATGTATATCACTGGGGACTTGAGATCAAAGGTCAAATATCATTCGACGATGGAGTGTGTCTCGTTTATTGCGCATATTTATGAACATCAAGTGATAAATACATTATACAACCATCCTACTCAACAATACGAGCTGAAGTACTTCTCCAATTCCCAAACTTCGAAGACACCTTTCACTGAAGTTTCACAAATTTCAAAACCGTTGCCAGTGACCAGTGAACAGACAGCAATTGATCAAAGTCTGCCTCAGTCTGAGGTTTCTGTCCCAGATTAATATTCTGAAGTGAACCACGAGCAGCACCTGTCGCGCTATCTACATCCACCACACCCATCCATGAAGCAGACAAAATTGGAATGAGAGATTGATGAACTAGGCCACAATCTATTTCATTCCATGACGGGGGGCGAGAAGACGATGCAGACAAGGAGATTGCAATACCGTTGTGTGCTTGGAAGTTGAGACCTGATACGGATGGCATGGTGCTAGCTTGATTCCTGTCACGATCCCTGTCTCTTTCACTTTCTCGTTCATCTAGGAGCCTCTGTCCAGATCCAGAAGAAGGTCGGCCACCGTTCATTCTTCTACCATCGCGTTGTTGTTCATGATATTCCAGAAGCGAATCATCTGGGATACGGTTAGAAGACAAGATGTTGAGTGTCCGACGGGGGTTGATTTAGAAGAGGTGAGGTTAACGACTCCCGTTGGAGGATGGCGATGAACGATTGTACGTGGATGCCTATTCCCATTCTCCCGTTCTCACTCTGAAAGCATCTCCCCTCTTCTCATTCGCGGGCTGAGTGACGGACCACGGACGACAGTAAGAGAAGTATTGTTACCTACGGAAGAAGGACCATGATGGTGGACGATGTGATGGTGATGCGGACGGACGTGATGGTGATGATGCGGAGCTTCTGATAGGATATGAATGTATATGGCAGGGAGCATTGAGAGCACCAGCTGATTGCGGTCGAGCATGCTGCTGTTCTTGCTGATCACAGTCGATGTTGGTGAACAATATGTTGGTCTCTCTCCCTGTCCCGGTCCCTATCACGTTCACGGTCTGTATCTTGACCCCTGATATCTCCGGCATCTGTGTGCTCCGTTCTCTCTAGTTCGCGCTCATGTTCTTCTGCTTCCCACCGATGACCAGTCCCAAACCCACCCATGCCCATACCTGGACCCATGCCTTGCCCATTGCCTTTGATACTATTTAGTCCGATGCCAACACTGGGTCCGATGGGTGATATTGATCTTTTCCATGGACTCAATGCAGGAGGGGGGCCTCCGCCTCCGATTCCAGGCCCAGGACGGCCAAAATGGGTTGAGGAAGGAACTTGTCTACCGTGAATGCCATGAACAGAAGAAGATGCGGAAGAAGGAACAACGACATCCCCGTCCCGCTGATGCTCAGATTCAGGGAAAGCGCCATTAGTGGTGGTAGAAGGATCAGAGAATAAGTGTTGAGATTGACCATTGTGAAAAGAAGATCGTCCGCCACTTCCTCCGCTTCCGCTCGGCACAGAACGGATTTCCCTCTCCCTATCTACTCCGCCACCAGCCGACCCCGACCTCAGCCCTGCAGTAGATCCCGACCGGGGACCCACCCCTCCCATAGATTTGCTGGGACCAAACGAAGGGAGAAGCGACTCACTACCACCTCCACTTCCCATCGGGGGCGGCGGAAGACCACCCACAACGAATGAAGGTTCGTGCACATGACCCATCCCCACAGTGGACTGGGAAGATAAAGAACCGGACAATGTCCCGGGGCCTGAGACCATCCGCCTGGCTAGTCCGGGGCCATGGTTTAAGGAGGACGATCCTCGACCTAATCGCTCTCGAATGGGATTAGACCCATTATGAGTTCCCGCTCCCGGCGTGTAGACATGTCCAAGACCAACAGGAGGACCGTGAACCCCTTGCTCGTAGATCGGCAGGTTAATATTCATATCCATGTTCAGGCCATTGTTGCCAACGCTCAGGTTCATTCCCATTCCCATTGTATTCGTCTGTGTGGAACCTGGCCGTGATCTCCTAGCTCCTGTCATACTAAGCAAGTTCTCTAGATCCCCCTGCGATTCCGATGAGGAAAGAGTTGAAAGCTCAGGATATGCTACAGTCAACCCGGGGGGTAGCGTGTGTGTTGATTCCATGCAAGATTCCATGAAAGTGGTTTTGTTGGATCTGCGACTTGCTGCTTTGGGTTTTGCGCAGCGATTTATGCCGATGATTGCGTATGATTCGATCAGAGTTGGCGAAGGGGAACGAGTCAACGATCTGGCGAAGGGTAGGCGCGGGCGGAAGGAAGTCGAAAAAGTGAGGAAAAGGTATTCCACGAGCTGCATTGCAGTTATCAATATTCAATGAAAAGATGAGAAGATGTAAACAATGGCATTCACCGGTTTGAGGCCTATCAACAGCCCTTCGTTCTCGTTCCAATTTTCGGCGTTTACGATGATTTTCTGCAAGCATATCTGTTTGTAGTTCGTCTCTTTGATGCTGTAAGGGGATGAGTAACAGTGAAAAATGTAGAAGAGGCATGTATACCTTCCGCGAACTCCAAGTCGCGTCTTCATCAATCTTCCTGCGTTTGGTTATGTTTGCTATTTCAAATGTACACTTGCGTTCCGATAGTTCTAAACGCTTGTTTTTACGTGACAAAAGCTCGCTTTGTATGAAGATTAGTTCCGGATGTTCACCTAAAGTATGTGGTATGTGAGATCTCAAGATTGAGACGGAAAGTAATTGCATACCACTTGCTACCAAGGATTCCTCCCAAGCTAATTCTTCCATCTTCTCTATATACAGTTTCTCTCTTAGCAAAGCAAACTTGAGCTCAACGATGGCAAGCATGTCAAGAGCTTCAACTCGATGGACAGGTTGAAGATCGAATTCCTCCTCTTCATCCTCAAGGTTTATTTCTGAACGATCGTCATCGTCAATATCCTTCTCCACATCCTCTTTATCCGAGACTTCTTTTTCTTCATCGTCTTTGTCTTCATCGTCTTTATCATCATCTTCCTGAACCTCGTCTACCTCCAACTCGTCCGCATCATCTTTCTCATCTTCACCCTCGCCCTCATCATCATCATCTTCCTTTTCGTCTTCGCCGTCAGAGACATCAAAGGGAGCATCGACATCCGGCTCGACGTCAACTTCGACATCAGGTTCAGGTTCCGCATCGGATTTATCTGAAGGGTCAGGGTCGGGGTCTAACATGACCTTGCTTACATCTGCGAAGGATGTGCCCTCTTCTGGCTCTAAGGTCTCGTCCTTGAAGGCGGCCACCTTGGTAAGTTTGGATTTGAAGTTCCGCGCGGTAGTATCATCAACGTTAACCTCAATATCCATAGCGTCCTCTTTGCTGGGAGGAATCTCGATATTGACGCCGAGTGTGCCCACTTCGTCGATGCCCGAAGCGGGAGGCCTGTCAGCCTCTAGAGGAACAGCAACCCTCATACCTCAAGTACGAGCACGCCCTCGACCTCGCCCTCGACCACCACGAGAAGCCTTCGCCTTCGAATTCGTCGCTGGAGCAGTAGTGGTTGATGGTGTAATCGGAGATTTATCAGATACAGTGGTGTTAGGAGGGAATGAAGAGGGTGGGGTATCGACAGAGTAACACCGTAATTTAGCAGTGAGGATGGACTTAGGCTGCTCGTCAGGTTCTATCTCATTTTCTTCGATGTCTGTATTGTCATCTTCGTCTGTCTGTTCCGCCCGAATGAGACGTGGGGACGGAGAATACAGACGTAGTCGGAGAGTCAGGGAATACGTGTTCGTGGTCGTGGTCGGAAGAAGCAGAGTGCTGTGGCGGTATGGGCAAAAGGGAAAACGGTAAAGGTGGAACCGGAGGCGGCGACGATGAGGAGGAGTTTGACACGAGCCTGGATAACGCGGCTCTACGTGACCTCGCAGTAACAGTTTTATCATCTTCATCTTTGTCTGACCCGTGGAAGTTGAAGTCTGCTTCATCATCATCGTCAGAGTCCTCTTCTTCATTGAAAGAATGTTGGTGAACAGGATGTTGTGGGTGTCGATTCCGCATCGACCGTGCAGGCGAATCACCGAGTTGTAATTCATCGTCCCAGTTCTCTGTAGTGGTAGTTTTCCTCGTAGTTGTCGTAGTCGTAGAGCTCTTCCTTCTCTCGTTCCCATCTTTCCTCTTCTTTCCCGTAGGAGACCCAGGCGACCCAAGGGAATAAGGAGACCGAGGAGGAGAATCAACCCGATCTTCGAAATCTTCATCCCAATTCTCCGTTGTTGTTGTTTTCTCTGTTTCCCGAAGTGAACCAGAGCCAGAGCTCACGAGACGTCGTGTGGGTATCGATGGACCTGCTTCAGTCCATTCAATCCATGTCCTGGTTTGCTGCTGGTGCTGTTGGTTCGAGTAGCTATGCGCAGAATTCCTCGAATGTACAGGTGTAGGCGCAGGGGTTTCTAAATCCCAATCTTCCGCTTCCATCGTCACTTGTGAGCTCGTGGTTGACATGGAGATCCGGGGTTTCGATGGAGAAGACGGTGAAGATGGATTACGCGTACGACGAGGATAAGGTGTATGAGGTGAATGAGGTGGACTTTTGTTTTTATTCCTGTTCTTCTTGTTTCGACTACCGTCTGTATTCTGCGTATTCTGTTGACCTTGACCTTGAAACTCGAGATCATCATCCCAATTCTCAGCGGGCTCTACACAGAGTTCAGAGTCCATAAGGAGATCGACCTCGAACCGACGCGTCGATACAAGGAGAAGAGACGTACCCATATTAGACAGTGCCGTAGCCATTGGAAATAACTGTACAAATGTGTTTCTCTTTTATCACAGGCGCTTTTTCATCAGAGATCGTTCTTTTGGGGGGCGTATTTAGTGATACTGGCGTATGCTGGTGTATGTATGTGGCGGTCGGGGCTGGCCGTTCCTGGTGTATCAACGTACAAATGCGTATAGACCATATAAAGCGTGCAGAGCTTCTCCGTTTGGGCGTGTGGCCATGTATATGTGGACCAGGTAATAAACAGCCAGCTCTCTCGTCGAGGTTCGTGTGTCGCGTGAATTCGTTTGTAGATAACGCGTTAACAGGGTCTGCCAATTGCTGAGGAAAGAAGTCGGTGTTAAGATATGAGAGACATTGAATGTATGCAAGGGTTCGGAGTGCAAGGATCGAGATAAATGTGAACAAATAAATAAGTAAGGATCAAGTATACAAACAGATTACGACTTACAGTTCAAGCCAAAGCTGCTTGCATCATGCTCGAGCGCACCAAAAGCCGCTGGTACTCCCAGCTGCTTCCTTTGAGAATGAATTTTTCGAGGTGCCTGTGCCCACCTTGCCAAAAGAGAGGTTAGCAAGTAAATTGGTTCGAGAAAATACGTACAAGAAGGACAAAATGCTCCGGGTCGGTCTGTGCATTCCATCTCTAGTAGAAGATGCCCTAGCGTCTCTAGAAGCAGATGATTTACAGGTAAAGACAAAAGACTAGGACTTGACGAGCGGAATCTCACCCGCTCTTCGTCTATATTGGACTTTGATTGGTGGCATCCAGATACGATGCGCACTTGGACATTGTCGGTCCCACTCCCTTCTCCGTCGCATGAAGTTGTTGGTCATGCCCATCTTCCAAACGTTGCCCAAATCGACGAATGCATAAATCCACCCTCCTCCATCTGCATTCGAAACCCTTCTCAGTTGCCGCTTTCTATACAGTGCATGAAGCTCATGTGATGTCCTCCGACCAGTCATACGGATTTGCTGAGGATCGGCTCCGTAGATGTAACAGTGGATTAATGGAGTTCAGAGCTCAGGTTGATCCACAGATGGTGTGTGTATGCATGGGAAAATATTCTCGATGGATAAATATTCATCGAATCGGAATGATCTCTAAATCCAGTCTCAATCAAGAGTATATACATATCTAACAATCATGTAAGTGACTCGTTAGAAGGAGCAGCATGAACACTGACTTCGATGAAAAACTGGAGGTGCAATTACCTCAATGGATATCATTTCCTAAACCGTAAATGTCAAAGCTAGATATATTAGTCACAAAAAGGGAAATCGCCTGAAAAGGAAATCGCTGACAATCTTAGAAGGACGAAGATGATAGATAAAATCAGGTTGTATGCCATTACATGATAGATGAGTGCAGTAGAAGGAAAATGAGCTTATTGTGATCGAGTATACGACATCAGCATTGAAGAAAATATTTCCCTCTTCTATCTGCAACGAAAGTCCATACCCATGAGGTTTATATTATCGCGAGGATTCCAATACCAATGGATTTGAAAGTGTTTGTAGAATTCAGTGGAAGTGATAGCCGTAGAACGAATGTCCACATTATGCCTGAATTAAGACTGAATATCCACACGAGACCCACTATGGAAAAACTCACCAAGAAATAAGATGGTGGAATAACGCTGCGACTGCTATTTTTTCATGACAATGCGCGCAACAGATGACATCTGAGAAGATACCGAGGGGCTCCTGAATACGAATCCTGGAAGTCTCTTGGCCAAAGCGGTTGATTATGAAGAATATTTCTTCTCCAATCCTCTGATTGTACATTAGCTGTAGCAGATAGAAAAGCATGAGCAATGAATGAAATCTCCAGGATACTCCACTCACTGCTGCAGGCCATGTCATAAACAACCGTCCAGGGAAAGCGTCCTCTTGGGGACCTGAACATTCAATGACTGGGTGTGCCCGTGTCAGGTCACCAGTTGTCGCTGTAGATGGGTCCAAGCCGGTACCGATCAGGATTGTTTCCGCGAATCGTGAACTTTCCCTGTTGAAGAAAAGTGAATGCGATGACCAAGAGCCATCCTGTTCTGTATCGTAATGCTCGTTGAGAATTCGCATCCTGTGGTGGCCAACATCGTCGATTATGCGATTGTTGTGGCAACACGGATGATAGAACACCTGCGAGCTCGACATCAGCACGTTACATCTCGCACATCCGAAGATTGTGACGGCTAAATCAAGATCTGAGAGGGTCGCGCTAGGTCGAACATTTCGAAGAATTTGGAGGATTTCCTGGATTTTTGAGGGTCTCCATTCACCAGCGATCCGAGGAAGGTGTTCCATAAGTCTCGACCTCACGAATTCAGGCGTTAGTTCCTCCTCCGTCGCTGTGTCCCAAACCATTGCCTTGAAGACTGGATCAAAGAGAATTTCGCCCACTCCAGGATAAGGCTCTCGCAGATCCCGATGAGACAGGATATCGGTATACTCTTGCTTGAGGTAAAGGTAGCGTTTTCGACAGCTTTCATTGTGCTCTCGCTCTAAGCGTTTCTCTTTGTGCTCAGATAATAATCCGACTAGTTCAGATTCCATATGAGCCCAACCTTGAATGACGATGTGTTAAACCCACACGCTAGAGCTGAAACCAAGAAGTGGACATACCGCGGTCGGTCAATACTTTTGCTTGTTTGACAGAGTGAAGGTTTAGAAGATCATCGGATATGTTAAAATCAGATTCCCCAAGGAGGATCATGTCGGCGTCTCGGCGCAAGCCGATGAGTTCCAGGCGAGTGAGAATCCTGATGGAACAATAGTTGTAGATGAATACAAGTTAATAAGCAGCAGAACACTTACGCTTGCAGCCTCTGGTTGCGAATATCGTTCAATTGTCTAGATCGTTGCTCTAGATGATTCAGGTGCCATGCTTCACAAGAACGAGCATGCTAGAGGAGTTGCTTGTAAGTGGCACATATGTTCAGGAACAATAAAGCATTACATTATCTATTGCTCGACGTTCTCGAAATTTCTGCTTGATCCATGCACGACGATCTTCTTCGGATTTGAGAGCCACATACTGGGCTTTTAGTTTCAACGCTGCCTCGTAATTAATGATCGTAGTATCACGGTCCTTTACTGGAAATAGTGTAAATTGCGGAAGATCTTCGTGAAATTGAATTAGACTAACCTTTAATCTTCTCTTGAGACAAAATTTGAAGCGAAGTGAACGGATAGAGTTCGTGTGACAAAATATGCCAGTTGTATATGGTGAAGCTATCAAATATATGTCAGGCCAACATTGACGATTCGCAATGAGAACACGCCACACGTTTTTTCACAGTTTCGGCAACTTCTGAGTCGAAACCTCCACAAAACAGTATCGCATTTCCGTGGCTTGTTACAGACCTGCAGAGCTTTACTGGTTGGGATAATATCTAGAACAGGAAAGGAACGGTGCATACGTGGCAATAAACATCAAAGACCAAGTGAGCATACTGAGGCTCATTGAGATCCATTGGAAGAGGAGGCAGACCCCCTTCGACATTCTCACGAGCGATGCGCCAGATGTTATTCGACGATTTTGTCATTAGAAGTTTTCGAAGGTGTTTACAGGTGCGACCCAGATGGAGAAGATCGCGGGAATCGAGATAACAGAAGATCTTTGAATTCGGGCATTAGGATACGAAGCCGGAAGAGAGGTAGCACTGTATATGTACCTCGTATAAAAAAATCTCGACAGGAAGGTACTTCCACAACCTTTGTAGGAGGGCGAATACGCCGCGGACTCCCTTGAACCGTTTCGGTACTTTGCGTCGCCGAACTGCCTTTTTCTTGGGTCTTCGTTTGATAGTCTTGGCCCGTTTCTCGGGACGATCGCCACTCTCCTGAACTTCCGATTGCTCGTCGTGTCTTTTACGTTTCCCAGAAATGGTAGAGGTTTTACTAGCGTCGCCGGAGGTACCAATCAAATTCGGTACCATGGTGTGATTATAGCAGTGAGCGGTGAGCAGGCAGAGATATTTGAAAATATGGTGGTGGTGCAGATTTGATAGAACGTAGCTGGAATTAAAAGGCATTCGTGCACGTACGCAATTCCAAGAACAAACAAAGGACCTAAAGGCCTTTGTCCAATATCGCCCCACGTGGTTATCATAGGTGCCAGTGTATTACATCCGAAGCCAGTGTACCGCCACGAGTTCGCATTCGCAATCGTTAAGAGTAGAGGCGATTTAATTTGACTTTAAACCAACATCTACTTCGGAGAAACATAGTTTGATCGCGAACTTCGCTACTGCTAGAGCCCTATCGCCATCGTTCTCGCTGACCCAGTATTAAATCTATTCCCTTCTAGAATCAGGCTATGTCAAATATATACTCAAGACATCGAGCGAAAATCTCACGTTAAATTTAAAACTACCTTAAAGTAACATCCTTGCCCCGCAGCGCAGAACATTCTTTTCGACGATATGACAGATATTGAGTACCTGCAGTCCCAGTCACAACGTCTTGGGATGACAGATCCGAAGGACCCTTGATTACACACATGAGGACCTTGTACAATCTCTACTTTGAAGCTTTTCAGATCCAAAGGAGATGAAGCACGAACAGTATAATCTGGAGGCTTGATGGCTCCGGAGCTCTCGTTATAATCAGGACTTCGGGTGAAGGCAGAGCAAACTTTGGGGGTTTTCTAGCGATTTGGGTCAAGATTGAGGAATCCCTCGTATTGGCAAATTGATTCACGTACCTGTAGATGTAGATTTGAAATATACGAGTGCGTTCGTACCTCCACAGCGCAGCTGCATGAAGCTCGAGATTGAGAGTCCTATTCACAATGACAAAAGTCTTCGTGAAGAACCACCAAAGTGGTTCGGAAAGCAAGAAGAGGGAGAAAAGCAGTTCAGATGCGTGTCACGAACTGTGACGAGGACGGAGCGGACCGCCACGGTCCACTTACACCACGTGCAAGGATCGATGTAACTCCGAACCCATCGAGCGGACCTTCTGCTTCTGTTCCGCGACTCCTTGTCGTGAAAAGAGGACCGACTTCTGGTCGGTCTCAATGAGCTGCTCCATCTCAAATTCCTGGCGCTACCTTTTGCCTTCATTGTGCGGACTATTACTATATATAAGGCACGAGATCTAGAAATGTCATTATATCTACTTAAATCGATCATATCAACCATTGAAGCGCTTCATAGCTCAAGTCCTGATGACTTTCGTTATCGTGAAAGTTGTCAAGGCTGCAACACTCTCCTAGTGATATGTGCGCAGGTGAAGAAGGTGTCGTCAATTCGAATCATCCTCACCATTGCAGTTTTCACAGAGCTCCGATGCTGCGTTCGCAGCCACTATAGCTATGTTACTCATTAATGATGGTCCTCTGCATGCACTCCTTCTCGAATTTTGGAACTGGAACGACACAGGCGTTGTATTGAAATGAAAGTAGGTGCGGACGTCTGTAAACCGGCTTCCCTAGTCAGGCGATCATGGCGGGCTTCATCACGTATCTCGCAACATATCTATCTATCTATCTATCTATCTAGGATTGAATCCGGGTTGTACACCGCTCCTTTCGGCTTCTACCCGAACTCCTCTTACTTTTCGCTAGGAAACTCTGAATCCAAATCGAAAGCCTTGATTATTTAAGATGAAGTTGTGAAAGAAGCGTACGGACCGTGCCACTTCGGACAACCTGTGTAGCTGAAGGATACATGGGCTCGCTACTGATTGACGCGTGCGTACGGACCGTGCCACTGAACAACACGGGTCGTCCTTTGTTAGAGTTGCTTTGTGTTTCGATCATATATAAGACCTTAACGTCCATCCCAGTGGCCATCTTATCATCCCTCTTCTTCTCCCTGCGACCACGACTACTCACGTTATATTGTATCATGCAAGTTCAACTTTGGTGAGAATCGTCAAGCACATACTACTTCCATACACTTACACTATCATTCTCTTTTTACCATTCTTTAGGGCGAGGAACATTGCTCCAGGATCTTCAATTGAGGTAGTCCTCCCGCGGCCATTGTATCTGACGAATATTTCCCTCTCCTGCGACTTTCAAAATGCCTTCGCGCCGACCTCTCTGGTGCTTTCCATTGTAAGGACCGACCGACGTACGTCTCCACCTTTTACCATAGCGACTCTCATCGTCGGGCAGGTAGGTCATATTTCGCATGAATCTCGACTCTAATTAATCTAACTGTTTAATCATTTACATAATTGACAGTCTTTGACGCAACATATTCATGTTAGACTAGACGCAGGTATCAAATACGTACTAAGTGTTAAGGGGTCGAAGTAAGTCCAGACATTTTTGACTCCTGGCTGGTTTATATTCATATAATGCCTAGTACACTATCTATCTTGGGGTATCACTCTCAGGTGAACGGTACGTCGAGCTTTCCGAAGTGTCGTACGGGAGGACTAATTCGTTCTGTCAGATACATTGATCCAACCTAACATGGAGAGTGCAAATCAGAATTCCAACGATCTGGGGGTAACGGCCGCTACTCCTGCTATCACTATCTCGCCTCCGATAATAAACGGTACTCAACAGCCACCTTCCGGCTCAGGCTCTACCAATCCCACTGCCGGCAATGTTGCCACTTCCAGCCACCCTTTAACAGTGGCTGGGCCAAGCGACGGAGGGTTGACAGGGGATGGTCGGTTCGACAAAGCACCTTCGACCGGATTTAACTACTCGAGCGGTCAACGTCCCACTGAGTCGAATAAAACCGTAAATCTTCCGGTTCAAGCACCGAGACCCGAGCACTATGGGTCCGCTATGGGTTCCAATAACGGAGATCATGCTGCGAAGAAGATGAAAACTGAAGATGGGAATGCCAGGAGGCAGTATTTGCCCACTGGCACCGGAATGAGTGGACAAATGGGTGGAAGTTATACTGGTAGCGAAAGAAACGACACTCCTGGAGTCATCAATCCCAAAAAGAGGAAAGCAGCTGCCGATAGTAATACTGGTGCATCTCCTCTTGCTCTTCCCCCTCATTTTAACATGACCGCATCTTCATCCTCTGCCGACCGTGCCCAATCAAGCTCCCCGCGCCCTCCTCCAGCAGCTTACCCGCGCCAGAATTTTTCGAATACTTCGGGGACGAACAATTCTCATTTGAATACGACCCCTCAGGCTGGTCCTTCCAACTATCAGAATACCAGCTATTCCAGCCGGAATCCATTTGCGCCTTCTCCTACAGCTGGGAATGACATGTAATATAATTCCGCTTTATGGTGTAGTAACTCCCGCTCGAACATGTCTACATTGTGGCTGGGAATCGTTTTCAATGAGACTCGGAATTGATAATGAACAGTCACGAGAACTTGAATACGGAAAATTCATAACGAATCAGGGTGAAGGAACTAGGTTATTTGTCAAATTTCATAACAAGTAGCTGTATGCACATGTTCCTGGGCAATCGATTACTATTAGATATTTCGCTGGTCTTATTTGCCTACAGTCAACTTCGGTTTCATGGAACTAACCTGCTGGACTCGGCCAGATTGAGAAAGATGTGTATTGGCACGGTTCGACGGGCCGTTCAAGGTGCCAACACCGCAGTAAATTTAGCGCTCTGGCCACATTTGAATCTTCCTGAACACCCATGGAGAAGACTCAGGTCTTTTCAGCTCCGACTGCTTGTCGGTGGCTTAGATTATTATCGATGGATGCGTTGCGTTGCCAGGGCAAAAAATCGCTCCTCTCCATTGGGCATGGATTCATCACAGGTCTGCATCCAACTAAGCCTAAAAAGCGCAAGTAATCTGATTGATATGCATATGTCGCAGAAATGGAATATGGAATGTCGAACATCTGATCTTCTTCGTACGCGTTTGAACGGTTCTCCGTATCTATATTATAGCACAACTCCACCCCACCAACCCCCCTTCCGGCTCCGCGTCATGAAACCCAGGACTCAAACCCCCCGTCGTCGGGGCGAATATCTTCCACGACAACCTGGAGAGCTGAACTCCGCTATCTATATATGCTGGTGTGACGAATGTTCTAATTCAGGGGTGTGTGTTGTGAAACCAGGGGGTGATGCAATCTCTGGACGATATTTCTACAGCGAATACGAGCTACGTCAGCACTTGGCCAATGGTCGAGCAATAGATCGTGGTCGTATCGATGCTTCGCCTGAACCCTACTCCTTACCAACGATGTCCTTGTTCACTCAGTCTGAAGCCGCTCTCCCAGAAACTGTGTTTGACCCTCCAAACGTCGTTTCTCCTTCAGTATCCTATCCTCTTCCTCCCAGTTCTCTCAGGGAGACTGAAGAACTTGACACTCCCATCCCTGAGGCGTCGAAGCCCACGACAAACATATTATATGAATGGAAAACACTAGAGAACATTCAACTCCATCTGCATGATCTGAAGGAGAATCCTCTTCGATCTTGGATACCTGCCGACATTCAATTTCGAAGTGATCTGGGTGGATCCCCCGACTTCAAAGATTTCATCTCTTGCCTTCATGAGGACTCACGCAATTCAAGCTTTCTGGGACATGTAGACTGGTTGCGGAACAGCCGAATGTTCCTTGATAACACAATGCCGTTGAAAAAGCTTTCTGCTGCCTTCAGCTGCAAGCATAAAGTGGTTTGTACCGCTCTTGAAGTGGAACTGGAGTATTGTAGACGTAAATTAGAGGTGGAATGGGACGAACGATGTCAGAGGGCGGCTGGCGGTCAAGAGTCTGTTCATTTCACTGGTGCGATATTCCTGTCGACGAAGCAAGCTTTTTGCTCATCAGTCCTCCACTAGATATCTCTGTAGGCGATCTTGAATCTAGGAAATCTATTTTCTTCATTGTGCTTGTAGTCGCTGCTATGCTGCACATCATCTGCGATCTTTCGTCCGTTCCGGTTGGCTTTCTGCTTGGAAGTTTGCGCATCATTCTGAAAATGACAGATTGCGCCTCTCAGGAAACCGATATGCACATACCAAAAGATATACGAACCGTTATTGATAGACTCGCTCTAAATCCAACATACACCACTTATGTTTGCTGTCCGAAGTGTTTCCAGTTATACGATATCGACAACTATCCTGAATTCTGCAGCAATCGGTCAGCCCCTGCTAGCCCTCCTTGTAACCGTCGACTACGATCCTCCCTTGGCTCGTCACAGGATTCTCCACGTCCAACAAACCCAGATCGCCGGCGTCCAACTTCAGTGAGATCTTATCACTATCAGGATTTAAAGCAGTGGATTACCTGGATGCATAACCGTCGCGACATCGCACCACATCTCGAACGTCCTTATGATCCAGAACCACCTGCCGATGGGAAAGTGAAAGATATATGGGAATCCGCTTTTCTCCGTACCTTCCTTGGTCCGGATGGCAAGAACCTTTTTCTGTCTCCCAATGATCTCAATGAGAGTCGTCTGGTCTTTAATCTGAACGAAGACGGTTTCAATCCGTATGGCAATCGTATGGCGGGAAAGAAAGCTTCCGTAGGCGGAATTTACCTCGTCTGTTTGAATCTTCCCCCCGAGCTGCGACTAAAGCCCGAAAACATCTTCTTGGTAGGTGTAATCCCTGGTCCCAAAGAGCCGTCCGCTCATCAGATAAATTACATCTTGCGACCATTGGTCGACGATCTTGTGAAACTCTGGAACGATGGTATCTTCATGGCACGAACTTATCAGCATCCCCGCGGGCGTTCTGTTCGAGCTGCTCTGGCTTTGCTGGTTTGTGATATGCCCGCAGCACGACTTCTCGGTGGATTTGCGCACTTCAGCAGCAATGCTGATCCCTGTTCAATGTGTAAAACCTCGGACCTCAACAATCTGAATTCACAGTCGTTCCTTCCCCGAACTAATGAGGAACATCGTCGAGGGGCTCGTGCTTGGTTGGCTGCGCAATCTGAAGAAGAGCGTGATATACTTTTTCGCAGAAATGGAGTTAGATATTCCGACCTCTTGCGGCTTGACTACTGGGATCCTGTTAGGAATACAGTCGTTGACCCCATGCATGGTTTTTACCTCCGCATACTTCAGCGCCACTGTCGTCAAATTTGGGGTATGAACGTTGAGCTGGTAGACTGCGAGGGCTTATGGGAAATCAAACTTCCAACAGAGGAGGGAAAGGCTACTGCAAAAGAAATCTTCGATCATGGAACTGCCAGTAATCTGAGGAATTTGAAAGCTGACTCTCTACGATATCTTGCTCTTCAGGAGGGTCTTGACTATCGACGTAATAAGAAGGCACTTGCCGATTCACTTCTACAGTTGGTAAATGTATCTATCCCGCGACTCACAATGTAGATATCTGACTCAATTACAGCGAGTGGTCAGACAATGGCAAGCTCTGGGGCTTCAGGACATGACACGACCTGCTCAAGACATACCGTCACCCGATCACCCTTCGATTCCTCCAACAGCCTCGCTCTCAATGAATCAAACTTCCGTAGATCAAGAGCTTGAAGCCGGGCAAACTCCAAGACAAAGGGATTCGAGTCGGGCACCTCAAGACGATTCATTACCTAGTCACCGTTCGAGCTCTGTAACAGCTTCCTCGAACAATAAAAGTTCCGCAAATCAAGAGTTCAACGCTGCGCATCAGGCATTCCTAGATGGACAACCGAAAACTCATTTCAAGAAATTGTCCACCGAGACGATTCAAAAATTAGCAAATCTATATGGGGTCCATGCATTCACGCCAGCCGGTGCCCCTTCCCGAGCCAAACAAACACTGATAGATGCGTTGTTCAAATGGGTGCGCTCTTACATATCCTAGTTTCCATAGATATTGAATTGCTCGAGTCTGTTTAGAAAACTGAAAGTAATGTGGACCGAACATCGATGAACGATACTACGGTTCCGTATTTTTTTTCCTCTGCGGTATATCAATAATGCTCATATGCTGTTTGACGTAGCTCCTTCGAGTCGGAGCTAATCCGGCTTTACCTCCTCTCTCGACTTATGCCCCCATTGGAGCTGGCCCTTCTGCCCAGGTACGCCCTAGATGTTGATACATTTTGATCGTGTACAATGATGCCCGTTGTAGAATGCTCGAGTTCAAGGCGTATCACGTTCAAGTACTCATCATACTCAACCTGGGGAGCCCAGCCGCGATGAACATCTCAAACTCTTTCTCAATGCCACAAAATCACAAATTGATCATTACCCTGCTAAGGTTCTAGAGGGTATAGTTCACGCCGTCAAGATTTGGAAGAAGGCCGCTGCTGGCCCTCGACCTCATCGAAACAAGTCTCCGAGAGGTGACCTGTCCGAAAATCAGGTTGACGATTTTTTCGAAACACAGTCGAACGGTTCTCTTGATTATGAGCCATATGACCTGGATAACTACGATGAAGGTGATGATCGCTCAGATTCTTCGGAAGAGGAAGTTGAGATTGTGATACCTTCAACCAACAAAGGAAAGCGCGATCTTATACATAACATCGTGCGTCAGCTCTCATTCTCCATACGATTCATTGATAATCACACCTTTCCCATACCTCAGCGATTCGAATCTGGTATCACCAGTGAGAATGGTCAGCTTTTGAACAAAGCAGCAACTCGCCGATCGGGCGTTCTAGGGAAAGACACTCTTGCTGCCATTCGAGAGGACATGGAAAAACTTCGAACTCCGTCTTGGATGGCTGCTGCTCCTAATCATCCCGGGGAGGCTTCGCAGGGAAAGTTCACCGCTGATCAATGGCGAACATTTTGTACTGTCAATTTACCTATCACTTTGATTCGCCTTTGGGGTTCTTTGCCACATGAAGAACGCAGATACGAAATGTTGGTTAACTTCATGCATCTTATCACTTCTATTCGTCTAGCGGACATGCGGGTAATGACAGAAGAACGCATCCAAACTTTCGAACGTCATTACAGAGCATATCTCACGGGTATCATTGGTTTCGAGATGAAAGACCGTCTTGGTGGTTTATACCCTCACACTAGAGTCACCCCTTATCAGCACATGATGCTCCATTTCGGGGACCTTTTGCGGTTATTTGGTCCAGTCCATAGTTGGAGATGCTTCGCTTTTGAACGGTTCAATTACATTTTACAAACCACAAAAACAAATAGTCGGTTCGGTGCGCAATTTCTATGTCCAAGTGAATCAGTCCTCACGTTTGCTATGCTGCCACACATAGGGGAATTGGAGAAGACTATGTTCACTCGCTTTTGTATGATGCAAAAGCTGAAATCTCTATTCCATGGGGAGGCATTTCCGCCAATTGCGCGTGAATTGGCCACATTATATCAAGAAACGTTTGAAGACTTGGATGCTCGCGGAACTCGCATAAATGATGCCCTTGCCTATGAAGAGCCAAACTCGGATACGGGCACTGATTGGCCGGTTTCTTCATTGACAATTCTAGACGCCAGCACCTATCATAAGGTGCTCAAAATCAGCACGTCCGAGAATTGGACCGCCTCGGTTCGAATTCATGGTAGATTTAAGCAACGGGGCCTCACTTTTACTCCGCAAAAACGCTCGTTCTCAGACGCTCAGGTTGTGTATCATACAGGAACTGCCGAGGAATGGTCCGCTGGTTCCATCAAGCGTATATTCACAACCATTGGGGAATCCAAGGACGGGAATAGCGTTGGTGAAACATTTGTTGAAATACATCCGTACAGGTCACTAACGGCCCCGCATGCTGAATATGACGACTATCGCAAGTTCGGATTCGCTGGCGGTCGATTTTTCTATGACATACTCGAAAAGGAAACACTTCTTCTTCCGCTGGAGAAGATATCTGCTCATTTTGCATATTCAATGCAATCTCACTCGTTGATTGATGCTTCCATCATACATGCTCTTCCCTTGAACAAGGTCAATTTTGTGCTGATCATTTGTTTTCATCTCATTCTCATTACATTCTTGCATCCTGTTCAGGAAAGTGAATTTACCATCTAACTTCAAGGACCACTGAGCACCTTGACACTGAAGCTCTACTTATCTATTTTACTCTGTCTCCTGTATGTCTATAGCAAATAACTTGATTACAAAAAGCAATTGAAAGTGAATACAAGATAAGTAGCACGTTAATAAATTTGTATTGAACAAGTAAATCTATAATCGACGAGGCAGAGAAGGTGGACGACCAAGAATGTCAAAGGCACTTTGAACATAAAATTGAGCAAGGATCCTCTCCCATTCCACTCCTATTGAAGCAAGTTTAGTCAGATCCATTTCAATACCACGTCTCCAAATTACGGGCTTCTCTCTCGGCCAAGTATCCATCAGTGTCCAGAAATGCTTCAAAGCAGCATATCGTTCGCTCCAGCTGACGGCTGCTAATCCTAGATCTACACTGGCATGTGGGGTCAAAGAATCAAAGAGCAAGGTGTGGCTAATGAGTGTCCTTCTACTACGTTTATGATTTGCAGTCGCTGCCTCTAATTCGGCAACAGACAAGCTGGGACTAGGCTGGGGTCTGCTCTGGTCCAGTAGGTCGTCGACGTACAGCAGTTCTGAACGAAAATTAACCATGCATAGCTCACGAATGAGTTGTCTGCTTCTAGTAATATCAAAGTCACCTTCGACAGTCCTTGGCCTGTAGCTCATCCTTGTATCATATGATTTGATGGACTGCTCGACCAAATTTTTAGCATCCAACGCAACTTGTGTCTTTGGCGTGATGACTACCCCTTCTTCCAAAGGCTTGATAAAGGTATATGCAAGCACCTTGCGCCATACATCCACAGTTTGAGGGGATTTACCGGCCTGTAACATAGCAAGCCAAGCAGGCCTAATGTGTTCCCAGGTGTAGAAGTAAGGCGATTGACGAGTCTTGTCTTCCAGGCCAAAGAATAAACCTGGGTCTGGGGCAGGAAGCAATTTTTTCTGCGCCTTGATTCCCTCTTGACGAATGGTCTTATTTACATTGTACCATCCAGGTATGGCCGGAGGAACTCGCGGATCGTCATTTGGAAGGTCAGCAAATATGTCGCGTTGAGATTTCGGTGCTATCGATATAAGTAAGCTAGTGTTCAACAATGTTAGAGAAATCAGACGTACGATTGGTGGCAAGCTTGCGGTTCCGTCCCCCTCTTTTGGGAACTTGATGGCGAGACCGATGAGTACCTTGTGCATTTGCAGGAGTCGATTGTGCGATAGCAATAGTACTTGTTGGCGATTCCGCCGGTGCCATGATTCGTCCTCGAGCAAGTTCATAAGAAGAAGCATAGGCACCAGGAAGGTGCATATTCTGGAAAGGGCTCACGGTTTCGAAGCAGTTGGCAGTAGCTGAACGAATCACCGAAAACTTTATGTCAGACCCAGCCTGTGTAGTTACAAGAGGTGGATAGGGAGGATCTGCAGGCGCAACTTCTAC